CAGTTTGCCTCCAAGGTCATGCGCACCCTCCTCAAGCGTCTAGGTATCGAGTCCAATCTCACCACTGCCTATCACCCTCAGGCCAACGGACAGACCGAACGAGCCAACCAAGAAGTCGAGAAGTATCTCCGCCTCTACGTCAGCCGCCGACAAGATGATTGGGACAAACACCTTCCTATGGCCGAATTCGCTTATCAACTCCCGAATCCACTCTGCCCACGACCGATCACCCTTTGAAGTCCTTTACGGCTACATCCCTCACTTCAACATCCCTGTCGGTAAACGAACTGATCTCCGCCCCGTTGATGAACGCATCCAGCAGCTTCAAGAAGTCCGCAAGGATGCCGAAGCCGCCTTACGTCTCGAGAAAGCGCAACAGAAGGACTCGTACGAATCCGGCAAGCGATCAGCTCACCAGTTCAAGGTTGGAGACTACGTCTGGCTCAACGCTAAGGACATCCAGATCAAAGTCCCTACTCGGAAACTTGGCGACCTCCAACTCGGCCCTTACAAGATCATCGAACGAATTGGGCGACCTCGACTATCGTCTTGAACTTCCCCCATCCCTCTCCCCGCATTCACCCTGTGTTCCACGTCGACAAGCTCTCCCCCTGGAAAGGCAATGATGTCAATGGCATTCTGCCACCTCCGCCTGAGCCTGTTGAACTGGGGGGGGAGCTTGAATACGAGGTTCACGACATCCTCGACAGTCGTTGGAGGGGACGAGGGAAGAACCGTAGGCTGGAGTACCTGGTCAGTTGGAAGGGCTACGGATCGACAGAGGATACTTGGGAACCGGAAGAGAACTTGGAGCACGCCCCCAACGCCGTTGAGGAGTTCCATCAGCGTCACCCCTCTGCACCCCGCCGCATCTCAGCCACCACCTTCGCTTCTCTCCCTTGGCGCTCGATTGAGAACTTCACGAACACACCACCCACCGACTTCGACTGGGAGCTTGGACGACGCCTACCAGTGATCATCGAGGACGATGAAGCTTAGAAGGGGGGTAATGTCGTGAACAGCAAGTACGAGCCCCTATTTTTCCTTATCTTATCTTATCGCTTTCATCGCCCTTATCACCTTTTCTTTATTCTCATTTCTGCCCTTATTCTCGACACGGACACTTTCTCCCATGGAACACTGCCTCGTTATGCCCTTTGCCCTACGTCTTATTGTTCTCTCCATTCTTGCACTGCCTTGTTACTCTGTTATTGTCTTCTTCATTCTTCGCGCAGCCTTCGCGCAGCCTTGTGACTCTCCTTATTGTTCTTTTACATTTCACCATCTGTTTGTCATCTTGACTCATCGCGACTATGTAGACTGTAGAATAGGTATATAAGCTAGGTAGATCCCTCTGTATTTCCTCAGCTTGACCTCTTTCGTCAATACACCGCTTCAGCATTCATCTGCCCTTAGTTGCTCATCGCTCTTATCTCGCTCTCTGCTCTCATCCGCTCCGCTCTTCTGGTCTTTGGTTTGGTTTAGTGTTCGCTCTTCGCGACAGTTTCGCTGTTTGTGGGGCGTCCCTGTAGACCACTTTGACCTTCTGTTGGGGCTCACTGCGATATTCCCGTTCTGTTCGCCACTCTCTATCCACTTCCATGGCTGCGTCCTTCCCATTCTTGGAGAGTGGGTGGAAACTTTCTTCTGTTCCGCGGGTCTGGCAGCGAATTGGGTGGCGACCCTTAGTCGGAGTTCGGGGTTTAATCCAGCCTTGTACTGATCCAGGGCCCATTCGTCACCGTATCCGGTGGCTTCTGCGTAGCTGTTGAACATTCCTGTGTACCAATCACAAGTGTTCTTTCCCATGTGAAGTTGCTTGAGTTGCTTCTTTGCGGTTTCCTTGTTTGGGAGTAGGCAGAAGTATTTTCGGAACTGATTGATGAAATCTTCCCATGACTGGTAGTACCCTTCCGGATCAGTGAAGGTCGGATCCGTCTTCTGAGCTTCCTTCGCCTCAAGCCACTTTTTCTTGTATTCGGTCATCTTCCTATACTCAATGGACGCCCAGTTCCGGGTTTTGTCTTTCTCCGTTTCATTCACAAGTGCGACCATGTATCGGATTCTTGCAGTGGCTTCATATTCGTTTTTACTATCCAAGTATGTTTCCACTGCTTGAATGAAGGTTTCGACGTCTTCTGCTTTTCCTGAGAATTTGGGTGGTTTGGGGATATCCAACTTGGGTTTGGATTCTTCCCTCGCCTTCCGGGCTTTCTCCAGAGTAAGGAAGTCGTCGTATTTCTTCAACATTTCTTCCAAGCCAGTTGCCATCTTTGCAGTGCCTCCGCTAATTCCTTCTACATGCGGAGCAGTTTCCGTGAGGGTCTCGCTGATTGTGATGATGGCTTTGTTGGCTAGCCCCCAGATCTGATATAGGATTGCTCCTACTCCTATCAAGAAGACTATGGTATGGACTTCGGATAGTTTTTCCGAAAGTCCGCTGGCTAGGGCGGGTGTGGATGGTAATCCGGAGAGTTGTACGATGGTCTGCCAGGCAGACTGAAATATTTGTTCGGCCATAGCTAGTCGTTATAGCGGGCCTTAGAGGTTTGAGACTTCGTTCTTCTGTTATGGACTATACGTGATACAAGCACGTGTCGTCCAGTACTCAGCGACTTTGTGGTCGATGAATCAACTCGTGACTACGTCAAGAGTTCTTCGCCTGTAGCTTTGTGAACTTCGAGCTAGACTTTGAGTGATAATTAATGATATTTGTATTTGCACTGAGACTTGGTATAGCTTTGTGAACAATTAAGAACGAAGTGAGGAAACTAACTAAGAGAACTAGAGGGTTTTTATACTAGAAGACGTGTGTTAACCATGAGGCGTAGTCCTCATGGATAACATGCGTATTCCGCGGAATGTATGTAGGTTTTGGCGGTTTTTAATGAGTATCAGTCAGCAATCATCAATGCGCAGTAAGTATGAGTAAGACGATGAGTTGAGATGAAAAACATAAGGTGGAAATGAGGTAGGTATAGTAATACAGTATAGTAAGCATATATGTTCGTAACAAGCAACACTTATGGGAGTGTATTGGGAGCTGGAGTCTCGGGGTACAAGATGATGGACTAGTGGGCTGCGGGCCGTTAAACGGCATACAACCGAGGCCTGTTGGGACGAAATGCCCCAAAACCAACAAAAGAAAAATCCGCAACATCGAGAGTCGAACCCTCGACCTCACCAGACATCACGTGGCCTTAAGGTGTCGAGAATTTTGGACGCGCGAAACCCCGCGCAAAAGAACCCGAGTCCCAACAGGCCTCGGAAATTGATGGGGACCGCCGACGTGCGAGTTGCTCCCGTTGCACTCCACTTTTCTTGAATCTTCGTAGCATTGAAGTAAAGCACTAACCGAAACTGCAGAAAAGTAAGTCCAAAGGACGCCGCTTCCCTAAGAAGATTGGAAGATTGTGTGCTGGCACAGCACACCGCCGCTCAAGTCACCATCAGCAAGAGCATCGCGTACAATGTTGATTGGGGGGTCTGGTATACCACTAATTCTCTAGTTACCTAGTGATTGCAGGCCTCAAGGGGGACTCGAAGACTCTAGGCGAGCCGACCGCATCAGCATCGCCGCCGTACAGACTCCTTTCGGAGGCTGTTCCCAGGATCGTAGAATACCGATCGAACGATACCACATAGAATTGCATCAGCAAAACCTAGATATGATTCCGAGAGCTTACGGGGATGGCAAGAATGAGATATCATTGTAAGGAATGACGTTTTGATCGGAAGCTCCAAAAGATCTGGCAAGCTTCGGCAAACCTTGCAAGGTTGGTCGAAAGCTTGTAATCTTTACTGTTACCTTGTATCGTCGGTATTACCTTGCAGTGTGAAGTCATGTTCTTATATTCTCCTCGGCTTCCTTCTAATTTTTCCAAGTCCTTGCAAACTTGCCTATCCCGTTTCTGGTGTGCAAGCTTCCCACGCCTCCCAGAGACCTCTTGCCCCGGCTATGTTTATGGTTGACGTTGTGACGTATTATGGATTTAATATACTAAAGATCTAGAGTACATCGATTCCCAGTCGCCTCAAAACAGTGCAGAAATGTCGCATATTAGTCCAATGCTATGTCTCCAAACCTTCTGGTTTGCTTCAAAGTTCAATGGGCTGGTCTCTTTGTTATGAGTCTCGGACAACGCGACCACCGACGTCGCGATTCTTGAGAGGCTTTGGCCAATCTTACAAGGATCCTGGGAACCTTGCAAGGTTCCGAGAAATCTTACCACGTTCAAGATAATCTTATAAGCTACAAAAGATCATGTCACTTTCCCACTTTTTCTTACAAGGTCGACAAGATCCCGCGTGTTGACAAGAAATTATGAACTTTACAAGGTGGCTAAAATTTCTGGTAATCATATCTGGGTTTTGCTGATGTGTTATAGGGTCAGAGCTTGTTGCAACCATATCTCCGACCTTTGTTCCAAGGGGGTCGTGGGAAAGAAATCCCGGACACCGACCTAGGGAGGTAGTTCCACCCTGAAGGGCCAGAAAAAAAGTTTGGAAGGGCCTCCAAAAATAGAAATTTAGCCCCTTTCTGAGTCAAACAGCATTCCCGTGCGCCCAGAAGAGCAGAAAATCCAGGTAAAAACACATTTTTGACCTACATCCAAGGTCTATCGCGAGTTTATGTGCGCCAACAACCCTCATCCGCTCTGGAGTCTGACCGTTCACGTAAGCTGGTTAAGATTGGCTCGAAATCCTGAGCTTTCGACTCATGGAAGCATAGATAATCAGAAGGACTCTGTTGCAATATCGTACGGACGCTCTGTCCCTCTGGTCAGAGCTGCGAGTTCTGAATTCAAATCCCTCAAAGCTCAAACCATCTGGGACAGATATTCAACACCATCTGACAATCCACAGGGCCTCCGAGTTACCTTGCGGATTCCTCCTTTATCGCGCTCCTCTCAACGCGATGCGCGGTCCGACAGGGGAGGAGGCCAAAGGGCGCGGAAGTGACGTAATGACATTGCTAAATATGGTAATACCCCTATATTCTACCTAGGTAGTTCAGGTTGAAATCCTGAGAAAAGATTTTTCGACCCTCTAGCCGGAACTTTTTGGCCGACACCCCCTTGCTTTGTTCCTGTATAGTCATCAGTGTCTTCGTTGATGACTTTTGCAAATTCCCCCTATAGTGCGATGAGCCAACGAGAAGAAAGGCCAATGGATGGGGCATACCGGGCGGAGGGGGTGCCTGCACACGCCATCGGGGGCCAACTCCCCTTTTTTGCGACCAACAGGGGCTAGTTGAGTGTGGCAAATAGGGTAGGTCCTTGTCCGTCCTCGGACACCGTCGAGTGCTTTGCCTTCAGGTGCATATATGTTGCCAATGACAGTATAGATGTCAGAATGGACGAGGTATTCGTAGTCGCTTGCGCTCGGCTCCTGTGCTCCTGGCAAGTGGTGCTACAATAAATTTCAGTGAATTAGCAGCATATCAAGGTAAATCGAGGTACCACTGACATGCTCGGATGATTTAAGTCGTACACTTTGGACATCCACGATTGTCCCAGCGCCGAGTTCAAAGGGCTGTTGCTGTCGATCGCCGTGATTCTCGACGGTGATGAACCCTGCGATCTTTGTTCCAAGTCTAAGTGTCTTCCCAATCTGGATCCGACGTTCAGCATATTGGGATGGGAAAGGCTAAACAACTATACGGGGTAGTGACCAGCGTCGCTCTCGCTCATCGTGCTGTAGACAGTAGGAAGTTGCTATTCAGGCTTCGGGGAGTAAAGCGACCTCTTTATAGGATGTGACATTCAGATATCGCCAGTGATAAGAGCTTGATGAACAAAAGCTTTTTGCTTCCAGCTTCCAACATCGATATCCCGGATTAGTCGACCCATTCACAAGAGTCGATTGACCGGCCCTCATCGATCCTGCGGCTTTTGACAACGACTTGTCCCTTGCCTTGCAAAGTTGGTGTGATCATCGCCAACTTGAAAAAGGTAGAATCGTCTACTATGTATCACCATACAACCGCCAAACCAATCAGTGAGGTTTGCATCAGGTTGCATCCAACCAACGGACGAGATAAGGTTGAGCACTTTCAGACCACGTGTTTGACTCGGGAACACCTACATAACTTGGCGTTAATATCAACGAAGTGATGGAACAAGAAGTCGAAGACAGGCAGAGACAAAAGAAGCCCGACCATGTTGCAAGTACATACTTATGTTGCAGCTAGCGCTGGTTTCAACAGATCTCAACCTTGAAGCTCGCTTCGCGCAGTGACCATGTACCACAAGTCAAGACATTCGAGAACGAGGCCTGAACATCAGATGGGTTTGGGCGCTTGCAGGACATTGACACACGTCTCATCTGTCTTAGACATGGATCTTGAACCCAGACACAGACCATCCCTGTCTACTGTGCGCCTTCTGTAAGTTCACCCCCATACCTCAGAGCCGCCATGCCTACCATAGAGCCAGGAAGCACAGTCCTCGTCACCGGCGCCAACGGCTACATCGCCCTCTGGGTGACTAAAATCCTTCTCGACAAAGGGTACCACGTCCGAGGGACCGTAAGGTCAGCCAAAAAATCCCAAGAGGTGATGAACACCTTCAAATCCTATGGCGATAAATTGGAGATTGTCGTTGTTTCGGACGTTATGAAGGTGTGTTTACATCCGAGTCTCCGGACCCGGGAAGCATATTCGAAGAAGAAATGAACTTTGTTCTTATTGGTGTTGTACAGGAGGGAGCGTTCGACGACGCTGTGAAAGATGTGGCGGGGATTGAACACCTTCTGTCTCCTTGCCATATGGAGGGCGAGGATCCCAAAGGTGAGAATTCGAGAGTGCCGAAGTAAATCCCAGCGCCTAGTAATACGCTTGACATTACACAGACTACATCGATCCAGCAGTCAACGGTACCCTCGGTATCCTCAACAGCGCTCTCAAGAACGGGTGCGTCCTGCACATTCTGCAATCCAATCCATGGCTAATCGTCCATAATCCACTAGACACGACGTGAAGCGAATTGTCATAACCTCCAGCATCGCCGCCATAACTGAGACCCTTCCCCACCCCAAGACATTCAGCGAGAAAGACTGGAACGAAGGATCTCTCAAGGAAGTTAAGGAAAAAGGAAGAGATACGGCGGTGTTGACGAAGTACCAGGCGTCCAAGACGCTTGCCGAGAGAGGTAAGTCCTCATGACTAGAATAGAGATAAGACGACCGGCGGTTATTAACGAGTGCTCATTTCATTGTAACAAAGCTGCATGGGATTTCTACGCGAAGCATAAGAAGGAAGTGAAGTGGGATCTGACGGTTATCAACCCTCCATACGTGCGTTGACACCTCACTCTCTCGAAATCTCCCATCCTCACCCAATTACCAGGTTTTCGGCGTAAGAGCACCATTCTTCCAATCCGTCACCGACTTCCATCTAACCGAAACCTCAATCACATAGCCCACGCTCCAAAACATCTCATCCCCCACCTCGCTCAACGCCTCCATGGCCCTATGGTGGGACGTCGTCGCCTCCAAAGACGCGCCTACCATCTCCAAGTCGCTACCCGTCTCAAAAGGGTCTTCGTGGGTTGACGTCCGCGACGTAGCCCAAGCGCACGTCCTCGCTTTGGAGAACGAAAAAGCTGGCGGAGAGAGGATCATCGTGGCTGAGGGCCCGTTTGTTTGGAAGGAATGGCGTGCGTGTTTCTCTCTCTATCTTCGGAGATAAAACAGCGAAGGCTCACGTACTTTATTCTTGCTGGTGCTTCTCCAGTCGAGTCAGCCAACACAGTCACGCCCTCCAACGCCATCCAAACCAAACTGGCAAACCAAGGGATCAAAAGTACGACAGACGTCTATCGAGATCTTATGGACACGTCCAAGGAGCAGAAGATCTTCGGTTTGAAGCTCAGATCCATGAACGAGACTACCAAAGACATTTTGGACGACTTTGAGAAACGGGGGTGGTTGGAGAGGGAGAGTATGCAACCGAAGGCTATTGACTAAAGATAGAGTAACCGTCCGGTCGCGCAGATGTAATTTGTAGCTCGCAGAAATTGATTCATCGCAATGTGCACCGCGTTCTTCAAAGTTGGTAACGCGTAGTGGCATCACGACTCCTTTGAACGTCCAGCGCGCCTCTTTCCATTTCCGTCAACTTCATTTCCTGAATCGGAAGTCCAGCCACCGGGGCCTTGGCCAGTGGGAGCGATAAACAAAGCGCTCATGAATGCTCGCATCCTATTCTACACATGCGCAAGTTTATCCAGACTCCAGGTGTCGTTTGAGAATAATAATAAACAACGAGAACGCATTCAAGAGTTGGTCCCTAAACCCAGGCACCGGAACACCATGCCAATTCAAGAAGAATCAACGAAACATCATTATCCTCAGCCAATAAATCTGTGTAAATGGTTTCAGTTCAACAAGGGGTAAACACAATGGTCAACGTTCAACCCACGCCAATTCAAAGACGCCTACGGGTCCCGTCCAATGTCAACAATACGGACATAGTATCCTACAAGCATCAACAGCAGCAGCGATTCCAGGATTAACTTCCCACTCCAGCGGCTCCGCATCGATGCCTGTCCCCATTCCATTTCAACGACACATGTTTCACTGACCTAGACCCCACGTACCTAGACAGGCCTGGACATCCAAGAACAACCTACAACCAAGAGCACCACAATCAAAACATTTAAAGTACTCTATGCATTGTTTTCAATAAATACAAAACAATCCCCGGGATGCATGCACGGAATATGTAGTGGACGAGATGGGAATCGGTGTGTTCAATAATGTTCATGTTCTTCATGTTCGTTTCGTGTTAAACGTGGTATGTAAAACTGCAAGCAAGCAAGCAACATCGACAAAAAACGGAGAATTGACAAAGCGAATTTGCTACTTGACGAACAAACGAGACAAAATACCAGGACTAGAAGAACCAGAAGAAAGTAGGGCTGAAGAAAAGGGGAAAAGATTATCCATGATTAAAAACGGGATTCGTAAAAGAAAAAAAAAAAAAAAAACCGAAGGGTAGGAACGTAGAGTACGACGAAGGGTATCCGAAGGGGTACGAAGAAAGTATAGAGCCAAAGGAAGAAAGGAAAATCGTCCCGTCACCAACACCAGCACCACGCCCATGGTACACCACTCGAACCAGGGTAATCATGACAGTCGTAAAGCGTTACACCAAAACCAACCGCTACACGACCAGAGCGTATCGGAATGGTCAAGGGCGCGTTTCGTCGAGAACATGATCGTCATGGATAGGCAGATACAGAACAGAACTAGCTGTCGTCATAGTCGAGGAGAGTCGTGGCAGGTTCGTTGTCGAGAATCAAGGTCGGGAATGTCGCGGGTCGAAGAAGGGCGGTGGAAGGATGCGGAGGAGGGTGAGGGAAGAGGATGTTGGCAAGGGAAGGGCGGCTGTCGGTGGGACGACCGAGGGACGATCTCCAATGGCAACCCAAAGCGCGAAGAAGAAAGATACAGTTTGAAAGGGCAAGGGAGAAAGGAGAAGAGCAGCTTGCAACAGGGTCCAAGGATAAGTGGTATCGCCAAAATCATGGTAGAATTGCGGATGGGAAGGGGGGACGAGGGTGTGAGATCGGAATGTCGGATTGGGGATGACGGAGGTCGAAAATGAATTCTGGAATCCTGTCGCAAGCAACCGGGGGAGGGAAGAGGGGGTCGGGTGGGAGCGCAAAACGAGAAATAAAAATAGGGGAGGGAATAGGGAAAAAAATGTCCTTGGCTTGAGAATAAAAATATGGGAAATGAACTGGGAAAAAAGATGCGCGGTGTGAACAGAAAGGAGAAGAAAAAATGCGGGAAGATGTTGCAGATATGGAAATGGTAGCGATGAGCCGGAACGGAAGCAAATGGGCACTCCCCCGATCGCGCTTTCGTCTTGGCTCCACCAGTCGGATGCGAGGGGACTTGCATTCCAAAGGGCTTCGTTGGGACTCGAACGGAAGGGGGAGCAATTGATAAAAAGGGATATCGATAAATAGCACAATAAGAGACATGCGGTCCGAGGATATGGGTTTTTCATTTTCCATGTGTTCGTTGCTTTGCTTCTTTGATTCTTCTTCCTTTGGTCACGCCCCCTTCCTTTCCTGAATTTTCCCAACCTTTTTCCACCGTCTTCCGCTCACGCTCGACCAGATGCCTGGCCAAGACCTCACGTCGTCGGAACTTGGACATAGAAATACAAGTTTGTGCCGAAAACAGATGCAGAACGTCTAGCGAAAAGGACCAAGTGCTTGCTGGGAGAAATCGAAAGTAGCCCGTCTAGACAATAGATCCCGAGGATCTTAGAGAATCCTCTGAACTCGGCCCTACTGGCGGTGGTGGTGATAACCGGGGTGGCGATGGTGATCGTGAAGGGGACCTCGATAGACTGCCTGTAGGTGATGGAGGAGATGGAGATCGAGACGGCGGCAGTGTGGCGGGGCGAGATAGCGAGGATGACGCCTGTGGTGGGAGCATGGGCGTTTTCCGCTGGATCTGGATGGAAGACGCTGAGCGGGCGGGTGGTGGGCGTGAAGACGGGCGGCGGAAAGTCTGCAACGTATACTGCATCAGCATCATATCGCAGAATGATGATAACGAGATGGACGGCAGTGCACCTCCATCTCTGTTGACAGGCAATACTCACATGTCTGGACATGATCATTTTGGCCATGGAGACGGGGATATCCGATTCATAGAGGGTAGGCACTGTGAGATGTCAGAATGGAGTTTCGTGGTGACCGGAGCGAGCGGTACTCACGAGGTCGGTCAAACGCAGGGCCGGTGCGCCTGCCCACTTGGGACATCAAGTGTGGACGTCGAGGCTGAAACTGAGGCTGGGACCACGCCTGTTTCTCGCTGGGGTAGGCGCACTCTTCCGACTGTGATGGTGGAGCCCTCAAAGCTGAGAGGCGGAGGAGGCCCCACAGCCATGACGAAGTGGGTGGGCGTGTGTCTTGTCCTTGAGAAGCGATGGCGCTCTTCTCTGTCGGTGATGTCAGGGACTGGGTCGGTGTTGAGTGCTGCTGCTGCTGTCTCTTCTCCTTGACCAGAGCCAGGTGTTCTCTCAGACCAATCCAAAGGGCACGAACGAACGATGTGAGGATGAAGACGGCCAATAGGGAGAGCAGAATGGTTGACGAGGACGGGAAGACGGACAGGGTGAGGTCGACGTCTGACATGGAGAGGGGCAGAGGTGGCATGGACATCTTGGGTATCTGTGGTATCTGTGGGATTGACGTTGGCAGGCGGACTTTAAGGAGCATATTCTGGCTGCGATGCTGTTACAGGGCAAAGTCTGATTTGCAGACGGGCAGAAACGTTGCAAGTTATGAGTTCAACGAGGCCCAGGCAGTTCAGATAAAGACTGCACACGCACCACTGCAAACCAAACTGCCAGGACAGCCTCGAACACCAAAGAAAACCGTGAGCGCAGGAGACCAAGACCGAGGGATTCGAGTCCAGCAACGACGGCGGTCGCGACGAACGACGACGAGCTCGATGTGCGGCGAGGGCGACAGCGACGAGGGCGAGCTGGGAACCGAAAAACCAAAGAAGCGAATCGGGGGTGATTATAAGGGACAACACAGCAAGAACCACAACAAGCACCCGTGGTAATGTTTGCTCGTTGTTTTGGCGACCCCCGAGCCGAGCCTTTCACACTCCGCAACTTCTCCTTTTGGATCCACAGCCCCTGTCCGCGTGGTTTCATCCTCTCCTCTTGTGTCGACTGATCGAGCTTCTTTCCCTGCAACAGCCATGCTCCAGGGCTCCGGTCCTCAACAAGACCGACTTTCACCCGCTACCCCCATGAATGTCCCAGACAACACCTACTTGCTACTCTAGAGTAGCCAGCCGAGCTATCCGGCGAGGGCATAATCACAAATCAATAAGCTCGCTTGCAGTGACAGCCTCTTGCGAAAATCCATCTGCGTGCACTCACTCGTTCCGCTGCTGGCGGATAGTAGCTATCGTCATTCTCGGCGTTAGGAATCCTGCAGTGCTCTGCCTCGTCGTCTCAGGGCTCACAGTGATAGACTTGAACGGATAGTCTATCGTTCGCGACGACCACGCACCACCACATTGGGATCTGGCACTGTATTGACAGCACGCATTTTTCATTGATTCATAAACTCGCTTCCAGCCCTTTGTTGATCCTTGGGATTTGATGGCTTTTGTCGTGGCGGGGGCGAGGGAACTGTCCTCGCTTAGCTGAATCTCGTGTCATCTCCGCTTACGATGGCGTTTGCGAACCCCTATTCCGAGTCGCCGCTGGGTGCTAGCCCCAGGTAAGCATCCCTATGTGCATTATTGGATTTGCTCTTATCTTGTCATAATAAATCTAGAGCATGTATGGCAAGTCGAGTTCGGAAGCTTCAATTAACGTTGTCACGGCGAACATAAGTAACCACAGAATATTCCAGTCTTATCACCACACTTCTGATATTGACATCGAGAACTTTATTTCCTATATCTATGCGAGTGGGGAACAAAAGCCGTTGCAAGTGCACTTGACTCTTCTCGATATTTCCTCCCATTCCATCCATCCCATCTACCACCCCACACTTCTCTTCCATAGACCCGCCAACGCCTAAATCATGTGGTCCTCCAAGACTCTTCAACACGAATTCGGATTTTCCGGTCATTCTTCAAACATGAAAGGTATTTAGCCGCTTGTTCCGCTAGTGGCACTGGAGGAGAGAACTGGCCACTGATTTAATCCGCCGTCACGGTAAACATTGCAGCCGACGCTATGCAGAGAAGGTCGATTTGCTCCGCTTGATGTTTAATGGGAGGCTAGGGAAGACTAGCTCGCACCAAAGTCCCAGTTGACGTATGTTCCGATACCTATTACCCGGAGTAAATACTTACACCGTGACGAAGGTGACTATTGGAATATACAGGTCAATTCATGTCGATTTGACCTTTGCAGTTTGAATTTCAGAGGATTCCAGACGGTGTATTCAACGTTCCAGTCAACGCCTGGCACCATGAACCCTGAATCACTCGACTTAACGGACATGCCACAACCGAAGCGCACTCCCGTTAACTTCCCCTCTCTTCTTTCGTTCTATCCGCCTAGTCTGATCTCCTCATCTCTTCTCGACCGTCGATAAGATAACGAGACGATTCACATATTCCCATAGACTTACTTCCCCACCTGCAAATCCCGCATCGCGACGACCTACCGCAGTGACGCTACTAGTACCTCTGACGACCGTCGCCACCCATCACCCGTCTCCACCTCATTAGGAAGCGCGGATAGACCACGGGTGACGCATTGACGGCGGGGATGGGGACTTTACTCAGAAGATTATCCGCTCCTCCAAGTTATCCACACACACACACTACTTCATGATCACCCTACCCTCTAAATGCTACGCCTTCTGCCCGGTAGTCTGACGCAAGACAAGCCTGGCGCACAACTACCCGTGACGCAATGGTTCGGAGCAACCCCCACAACAGGGTCTAGTCGAGAGGCGTGCGTGTATGTATTACTACTGTTAGCGAGGTGGGGTAAATAGCTACCGCTAGGATAGAGGCAATTAACGACCATGATGCCAATGCCTTCTCCGTTGTTCACCTGATCATCGACATACGTGTCACCCCACCCCGGATTTTCCTCGTTCATTATAATGTTCTAATTGGTGATTCTGATTACTTGTATTCAGCTCGTTGCTTACTATACCATGTACGTGCTTTCGAGTCTATTCGAATCCTATTGCAATGTGATCTCCTCAGCTTGGACTCACGAGGCCTAGGACTTGGGGAATTCGCTGATCGAAGCGTCAAGGGTCCGCTACACTCGCTCCACTGATACCGGTACCCAAAATCGCCCCCTCTCCCATCTTCTTCTTGAGATAAACTCACTACTCTATCTCTACGTGCTTGCTGTGGTCCTCGTTCTACCGCCCAATCCAACGTCGCCCAATATGTAGACAGTAGATTTACATTTGGCGGGGAACGAGCGCCACCTCCGCAATGATCCAAGTCCCGGACTCCAAAGAGCCGCCTGGCGTCGCGGATAGGTTGCAATAGGTTGCTGCCACTGCTATGGAAGACCGCTACGAGGCCAGCATGAGCAGAGGAGAGAGTTCCGAACACGATTGGCCTCCCGTGGATCCGTTTCGATGGACCACTGGCATTGGACTCCAGATCCTTGTCGATTTAGTACGTGGATCGACAGGGTTTGACAGAGTATGGACTCTGATAGGGCTATTGAAACAGGAAGTGGATATATGTCGACGTGTACTACACGTATCCTGATCCAAGGCCATTTACTTGCAGCTACTTCTGGGTTGTCGCTATTGCCAGCCTCCGAGCGACATTTGGATATCAAGGTATCGAGCTTAGTTACCCGCATGACACTACACAAACAACCACACTGCACGAGAGGTGAAAATCCCAACTGGGACGTTGAATATCGACCAAATTGCATCAATATAAATCAAGCCCGTAGACGAGTTCAGTGACCTCAAAACTGTTGGGTGGGATAGCGTACTTGAGTATTCGATCCTCCGTGAATGGTGCCCGGCGATTGAACGCAGCCCGAGTCAACTTGTTGCAAAAGAAACAGAATTAACCATTGCAAAGAAGCGAGAAGGCAACTAGTAATACATCAAGTACGAGTACAGCGGAGTCCTATAATACAACAGCGTTGGAAAAGGGATAATGAAACGGAAGAAAGTCATGAATCGCAGGATAGATAAATAGATCATCCTTTCGGTGTTTAGATACAAAAAGGCTTAATAGCAACGGAGAAAGCAGGAAGGAAACATAAAAAGGCATAAAGAGGGTCATAAAAGAGTATCGTGGGTCGTCATAGTTTGTTGGATGTTCGAGGTCAACGGAAGGGTGAGATAGGCAAGATGTTGTCGGCGTGGAGGGCTGCAAAGTGAAGAGCAGCGCATGTAGGCCGAGAACGAGATGGAGGTTCGCAGAGCAGTCGTTGGCCGTAAGGGAACGTGGAGCCCCCATGTAGCGTCAATGAACGCGTGCAAGGTTGACTAACGAATTGCCTGGAACCGCGGTGCCAAAGCAGTAAAGCTGAGGAGTCAAGTTGGACAATGCAGAACAGGGATCCTACTTGGAAGCCCAAGCAGCTCCAATGCTCATGCCAGCGCAAAAGCTGGCACTCACGGTCACCAATCCGCCAAGAACAAACCACCTCCACTGCGTCGGCTTCTCCGCGTCCTGTGCATCGGCAATGCGCACAGGTCCAGCTTCAGCCGGTGAAGCAGTGTCAGCCCAGTATCCCTTTGCGCTCGAGCGCACGGCACCGAAAAGGCGGGCCTTCAGCGGTCCGAGCATCGACACCGTGAAGAGGAAAAGGGAAGGGAGATGCAGCGGGTCGAATGGTTGTGCATGGGGTATGAGGGTGTTATGCCAGCTGGATGGAGACCCCTTCTCGGAGTTCGCAGAGGAATAGGCCGGAGAGGCTGGAATATCACCATCCAGGATGCTGCTGGTGTCATCGTTATAAGGGGGCGGAGGCGCCCCATGCTCCGTCGGCTGCTCGTCCACACCCACTTCCCTGCGCCTCGAGCCCCTCTCTTGCAGCCGAATGCTAACGTCTCTCGAAAAGTCTTCCATCCATTCTCGTTCCCACTTCTCCTTGTCCCATCGATCCCAGGCCGACTTGTTGCTTGATCGCGGTTTGGGGCCAATAGACTCGAGTCTGTGAGAAGTTGGCGCATCATGCAAGACGCCAGCCACTGCACGTTCGACTTCGCGCCATCGCATGAAGCGCTCTGCCGCTTCCATTCGCAAGACCGAGATCGTTTCCGGGGAGCGGAACACACCATTCTTCACAGCGCCTGCATTGGACGGACGGAATGCTGAAAGCTTGGAACGTGAGTTGCGGGTAAACGATGAGATGAACGATGTAGCGGTGGGATGAAGCGCTGGGGAGGAGGCATGCGGGGATGAGGACGAAGAAACGGGGTACGATGAAGGGGGAGTCGAGAGGACAATAATGGGAATGTCCCCTCCGAGAGAGTCGATGATTAAACGGTCCAATGCTGTTGGGGCTGATCTTGAAGTGTAAGTGAAGCTCAGGTGGAAGTCCAGGAAGGAGCCTACCTGATGGTAACAGCAAAATCAATGCTGTAAAGAGTGGGGTGGCGGCTGACGAGATTAGATTCGCCAGTAGAGCAGAGGGTTGTGAATTGGGGTGCAGCGTATCCGCTATTGTGTGGAACGGGGCGCGGATTACACTTCTGAGGTTGTCGACGAGTGCGTTTCCCTACGAAAATGTCAGGCGGAGAAGTCAGCCAGTGAGAGAAGAGAAACGCACATCGGTCATAGCGTCGTAACCAGGAAATTCCACGATCTCCACATTCCGGGCGGGTTCGAACTTCTCCAGGCCGTGGGCATCAGTGTGCTCGACCCAGTCTGTCGACGCTCGCAGCACTTTGGCACCTGCCATCCCAAGGAGAACCATTTCATCGTCTCCTTCGCCGTCTTCCCCGACCGGATCCTCCCAGGTGCCAACCTCGACAACCTCCTCGTTGTCCTCAAACAACAACCCCGTCAGGAAGCTCTTCCCCGCTCCCTGTCGCCCGAGTACCAGTAATCGGACCTCTCCAAGAGTTTGGCCATATGGCGTGGGCCTCCGCAACGCTGGCGGTAGCGTAAGTGAAGGAATAATCAGTCCACTAGTCGCATTTCGAGCCGCCGATGCACCTGAATGATTGCTTGCATGGTCCTGATCGTGATCTAGCGGTTGAGCAAAGTGGCCAGGGCTTGCCGCCGCCGAGCTGAAGAAGAAAGATGAAGTAACAGATGGCAGCGAGGACACTGAGTCTGAGGGACTGTCTGGGGGCGACGGCAAGGCACTTGAGCGTGGGGACGATGGCAGTGACAGGCTCATGTTGCTGCTGGTGGCGACGTTCTCCTGACTGCTGTTCACCTCCTGCAGCTCGGACAAGATGTGAATTGGGACTGACAGTGTGCGGACTGTCGACGCGCTTTCGCTGATGCTGCCGTCCATGGCGAGTGGGGGAAACAGCAAAGACAGCACTCGTCCCCAACATATCCCAGCCCCTCACAGATGGTCACACACGTGGATCAGCGCAATCACGCCATTTATCTTATCAGATAAATCGACAATCAATCAACGCCACGGTCGATGACAACGAGCCGCGCTTTTTTGCTTCTGCCCATCGTCTTCAACGACGAGCTCGACCCAAATTGCATTCCTTTGATCAATTTCCGGCTGGAGATACGCGTTAACACTGTTGTGAATATCCTTCTGCCGATTGTACGCCTACTGGCAGGAGTTGACTTGGTGCGTTCTGGCAGTTTCTCGAGAGTCGAGGTTCACTGACTTGTCGGCGTCCAGGCTGAAGCAGGTGAAAATTAGACCATTAGGCATTATTAAGGGCGACGACCGCATCCTATCAAGTCCAAAACGAAGCAGAAGACTGTCGCTTCTAACCATGATCCTGACAACAATAACGATGTCGTCCAACATACAGTCTCCATGATCGATGAGCGATAGGCGAACCATTACAAGGATTCCCTTGTTAAGGCGCATTTCCTGCCAAAAGGAACCCTTGTTCTTCTTTACACCCGCAGTCCTTCCGCACCCTTTTGCATCGCATGACATAGGTGGGGGGGTTCTTACCAATTTTGACTTTCCAGGAATCCGAGAACCCGCTTCTGTCAATCAAACGTTCCTCTCTACACAGAACAAGGTATCCATCGACGTTCTCCGCCAAGCCACTATTCTTACAACAACACTTCCTCTACAGAAAAAAGTCCCATGATAGGTGACGCGAACTACGTACGTACCGAAAAGGTATCTACAGAAGATGGGAGAACGAACAAGACGAACAGGACGGGACAAGCTAGTGAGGTAATAAGGTAAGTAGTGTGTGGTATCGAATTGCGTGCAGGAAAAAAAAGTGTTACAGGATAATGATGGTTGGTGGTATGCAGGTTGTAAAAATACAGTAAACAAAAATCTGGATGAGGTGACGGAGTGAAAAACGAAGTCAAAAGTAGGCAGAGAATGCCAGCTGCACCCACCCAGCCTTCGCAATGAGGAAAGAAGACGCCAAGCTGCAGAAACGACTCGGCAAGAACAGAGCAGAGAGGAAGATTAGAAACAACTCCTCAATCAGGGTGAGTGATTATAATGAGTAGGGATTCATTGAAGCCATGAATGACGAATAGTCAAGGTCCACGTGTTGCACTTCAGACCCGTGTGGTGGGAGCTGAGTGCGCGTATAATCGCAGTGCGGCTCCATGATCGGGACTTGCGCGCTGTCGTACGTCGATGCGAGGCCCTGGTACGGATGGTAGCGCGTCGCGGTGTTGTACGACGACTTATGCTGGTACGTATATTCGGGAGTGGAAGTATTCCGCACCCTATACCTCCCACTTGGTGGGGGAGGCGTCCCGGCGTAGGCGGGTGTCGTGGGCATACTGTTTGTGTTAGTCGAAGGTGACGCCGGGCTATTACACCGCGACCAACTCTTCATGTCCACGCTGAGCGAAGTGTCAATTGACAGGTGAGGGGGAATCAATTGGTTTGATGGTGTTGATGACGACGGCTGAACGAACGTGTTATCCAGGGGATGGATGGTCAGTGGTTGCGGTTGCGAGTCGAATTGGTAAAGAGTGTCGGATGAATGAATGTTGGAATTGAAAGTGAATGAATTGAAATCCTAAGGTATGGAGCGTTAGTTTTCGTTTCAGGATGAACAAGGGGATTAACTTACGAAGGTGTGTTCGCTTGGTGTAGGCTCGAACCCGTACTGGTCGAAAGAGGGGACTCCCAGATACGTGTCCTGCTCCGACACGCCCTGGGTTTGCAATGGAACTGGCAAGGACAGGATCTCCGTCGAGAGCGGTGAGGGACAGCTGGGGGCACTTGACGCTGAGCGGCAGGACACCTGCGAACTGGAAGCAGCTCTCGGCTTGGTGGAAAGACCAGCAGGCGCGCCCTCTTCCTCCTTGACAGAAGCTGGTTCCGACGACGACCGCCGGAACGACTGCTCAGTAATAGGGGCCTCGAAGCGCGTGACAATAGTCGGGACGTGGTGTTTATCAAACTCCTTCACGGCTTCGTCGAGTTCCTTCCCCTTCTTGCCCTGTACCAGCAGCTCGGCTATCTTCGCGCACCGCGTCTGATCCTTAGGCCCCACCTCCCTCACCTTCCGCTTCCCACCCTTCTTCTTGGAATGAAGCGGCTTGAACGCGTACTGCGGGAACTTCAACCGATGTTGTTCCTCAGCAAGCTTCGCCTTTCGATGCCATACCTGGCGTTCCTCGTTGGGGAGGTTTTGCCAAGTCATGCCAATTATTTTGGAGAGCGTGCTATGGTTGGTTTCGACACCAGTAGAGACGTGTTGGCTCCGGATGAACGCGGATCGGAAGAGAATGAAGGCATTGGGAGGGCGGGGGATGTAGTTGTCTGGCTTCTTCCTGCTGGTCTTGCGCGGTTGCAGCGCGTCCTCGTCATGTGCGGGGAAGAGCATGGATTCCGGGCCGTCATCGTCATTGGCAATGGGCGGGGGAGGGTCGTTGAACGTGGTTGGGGTTACGTTGGGCGCGAATGCGATTCCACCGGACGACATGGATGGAAGGGAGGACGATGATCCTGCTGAAGATTCACCTAAATATCTCGTCGCGGTCAACAAAAGCTCAACTATGGTGAATTATGATGTTGGAAAATCTCACTGTCGCCGATTGGACCACTTTCCTGCCTCGAGGCCCCTGACGGTGATAGTGCTGATCTGTCGGCAGGCATAATGAACGGAGCAGTAGGGGCAAGGAGGGAACGGGGGTGTCGATCGACCAGCGCGCACACAACGACAACACACACAAGATTTCGAAAGGGAAGGGAAAGGGTATCGCGAACGCAGTCCAGAAGCAGAAATCAAAACACGAGGCGTTCGGGTACGCCTACTTATATTTTTTGAACGTGCATTGGATTTGGGGGTTTACGCAACAAGAGAGCTTGTCGCCCTAGCAAAAGAGCAGGCTCCACTAATACAGATGCGGTACGTACGGGACACAATGATACCCAATTCAAGGTAAAGGTTCCTTTTCGTAGATCGATCTCTCGGACTTTTGGCCCATGGGAATGGTGCCGGACCCGTGTGGCCCACTCACCCCTTGGAGTTGTTTATCTCGCGTCGCCTCCCATCAAACATACCACTTGTCCCGAACAGCCAGTCCTTCTCCCCCGTATACCTTTCTGAACCTACAACATTCCTTCTTTAGTGGACCCACAGGTTGGTTAACAAATCTCTTGTATCAAAAGGCTCTGTAGCTCTTCTCAAGCTGATGATGTCCGCCAACAATCCGCATACAACCCTTGTTCAACCGCGCCTTGAGCTTCCCAATAGATAAATCATAATTCGGCGCGGAGAACCCTGGACTGGTGTCAATTTGGGTTCATGACAAGACAATGATGTGTGACAAGAAGATGATGGTTGGTTGTGGTTGGTTCGAAGAAACTAAATTGGAATCTGACCTGTCTCCCTCGAACGGAATCTGCTGGTGCCCTGATCGAGATGTGGCGATTTGGTTCCGTCTAGCGCTCTTGGGGGATGATTTACGCAGGTTCCCCGTATTCTGGACATCACTTGGGCTATGCCACCATGTGGCATGTCCACCTTCATGAAAACCCAACACCCGACTCTGCAGCGCACTACCGTACATGATTTTGAAGACTCGAATATTTTCCGCTTGCGCAAGGGTTCGAACCTGGATATTTCCTTTCCGAGCGCAAAGTTGCACGGTCCTAATTTGGAGAACATAAACGCGATTCCGCAAATGTGAACCTCGCCGCCGGTAAACTCAAACCAAGGAAAACTAGATAAGTACAAGAGTGTCTTATCGAGGATTTGTACTATAGCAACGTGTATATCTGACCTGCTGACCTCGTGAGTGAGAACCCGCTATTTTCCTTTGTTTTATCGCGAATTTTTTTACTTGAGCGGAGGATTGGCGGCGGTCAATGGCAGGCCGGATTCCAGAAGGTTGAGGTGGAAAAATGGGTTTGGTAGTTCCATAGCGAGGTCCGGTGGTGGACTATAGAGAAGATTCTGAGCCTTGATAGTGGTCTATGACGCAAAAGAGTCGCTCCGTCCCGTACGGGCATGAGTCCGAAACGACTTTGCCTTTGAGCGGTGTTGATTACTGCTTTTGGAAGGGTGATTGAGACTTCCTCATCGCAAATGCTAGGAAGTCCCTTTGGTGTAAGGAAAAGATACCCTTCTCTTTGCCTTGAGAGCTCGCTAACTCACACTTTCACATACACGAGGCGTGTTTTCGATTCTTCCAAGGCCCTCTTTCAAAAGTTCTTTTCAACACGTGAACGCCGATATGAATCGAGGTTCGGTTTTTTTCTGATGGTCGCTGTGAAGTAACCTCCCACTTTCATTCGGAGGCCGTTGGATTATACGTTCTGACAGACCGTAGCGGTGACTCGAGGACGACCTTATTCTCTTCCGGGAAAGTGAGCGGAGGACTCTATCTGCCTCTCTCAATTATTTTTTTGAATTCCCTCGGTTGAACTGTCAAAGTGTTGGAGTTCTTTTAAGTTGCCGACGCGACTATAACCTTTCAACATGCCATTTGAAGCGACACGCATAGCAGAGGTTGTTGTACTTTGAACATGGAGGCGCACGGTGGCGGCCACAGAGTCCTCTACTTCCTCCTCCGCCGATGAACATTAGAGTCAGCCGTCTGGAGGCGTATTCAATTGGTATTCAGTCTAGGAGTCGCATGTTGCTTCCCTTCATATTTGGGCGCGCTGTAATCATGCGGGGTAAGTGTTCCTGTGGAATGAGGTACTCGCTTGTCCGCAATATCGATTCCGTCGACGGCAGGAAGTCTGCAGCCACTGTGAACCTGTTTCTGTACGATCGCAACGGGAGTCATTCCTGGATTACCGGATGAATGCCACCCAGTCGGGCCTCAGTGTGGTTCAGCCTTTGCACGTGGAGGGCGCTCCTTCGCGTCCGAGCAGCACCCTGGATTTGTTCTCGCTCATTCTTCACTCACCCAGTCTGCACTCAGAAAACCTGGGAGAATATGGTTCTTGAAAAATAGGTTATTCGCGTCTGAGGAATGGACTAGTTCGAGCCATGGGCATGGTGAGATTTGTTGTACTTTAACCACTTGGTGTGTAACCGTCGCATATTAATCCGAACTTCCTCAATGCAGATTCATACGGCGGGGACTAAACTCCAAGGTTGCGTTGGGTGCAGAAGTCGGACCGCTGTCTGCCGCTGGTGTTCCTTACGCAGTTCCCCGTCGCAATACCACTCGGAGCGTACCTGACAAGGCTTTGGAATTTCAAACCGCTGAAGCGGAGTCGAGGTGCGTGGGCTTTGGATTTTCGTTCCCTTTTATCCATTCCTACCAGCCTTGGTACAGCGACGTTATTCTGACTTTCACAATCTCACTTCCATGAATCGAGCACTGTCCTGCCTATTTGGACCGACATGAGGTTAGCTCTGTCGTAAGGAATTCCGTACAGTGCATCGCCGCCGCTCGCTCTAACGATTCTAAATCACTGTGCGATTGGATCTTCAACTGATGGCTCAGGACGCCACCGAGCGGAGTAAAAGGATTACAAGCTCTGGCTCGGACAGGGAGCAGGGCACTGCGCAAACGACTAGAAGGAATGTGCACCATCGAGTCATATCGTTTCGCTGACTGTTGTATTCCTTCGTATGATCAGCTTGTCACCACTGGTTCCATTCACCAAGTTTTATGAAAGTGTGAGTACTATCAATTTATCTTCGCTTGCGGGCTATGCCTGATGAAGATCATATCGTTGCAAGGAACCGAATTCGTATTCCGGTCAGCAGTGCCTGTGGCAACGTTGGGAGTATATGTAACATATTATTTTGACACCTCGTTGACAGAAACTTCCGTGGAATCAAATTGCACCGGTGTGTTAATCCCAATTGGACTGGCGCCTAGTAAGTAGTAGCCTCCCGCTGAACATTGGCTCTTCAGACTTTTGTCCAGCCTATGGCCTAGAGCCACCACAGCTATCTTTCCAAGAGAAAACGCTGAGCCCTGGTGTGTCGTCTCTTATCTTCGCGAGGGCCAGTTGAAACTCAGCGACGAGCTGGAGCGGCCACGTTGCCACCGTTAGATGTCTTCAATCTGTTCGCATCAACCCACACATCGGTGACACGGAGCACGGAGCGAGCACACTAATTTGCACAGATGAATGATCATGGACAAAGTGGTATGTAGACCCGAGATTTGTATTGGGCTCTCTATTCGCTCTCGCGGGACCGGCGGCGACTAAGAACCGGACATCACAGCAATCGAGCAGCAGAGCTGTTCTCTCGTCGACCGACGCGTTTGGCGCGCTCTGCTCGCGTCTCTCACGGACGTCGGGATGACGACTCCGAGTCGATCGGAGGGGCGGGAGCATATGACGTAGAGCGGGGTAAGAGCTTTTCAAGATCTATGACGACACTGGGGGCCTGGCGTGCTCTTTAACAACTTCAAAGTCCATCTCACGTTCAACGTTCAACTCTGGGCATATGTTGTCCAGGAATTTCCTCAAGGCACTGTGTAACTCGAGCCCACACCACCACCGTAACTGGTCTTCAGTAGCCTCATGGGTCAACAACCGGAGTCGAAGCAGCAGCTCCAGACAACTCCACTGCTCTCGAACCTGTTCCTCACACAAGGTTCTTGGTGATTCCAATCTCGCGGTTGGCCACTCTCGATTCCTCGCCGAAGCTCCTGCACATACGCCTTGGCGACATGCCGGCCTGGGCAGCATAAACGGCGACAATCCGGACGACCTTTCCCAAGATGAGTTTGACGGAGTCGGTAACGGGAGAGGTACGCAAAGGATCACTCTGAGCTTTCAAGTCTCACTGACAAGCCGTATATCATTCAGGAAAGATTCTACCGACCTCTTCCCATCTCTTCAAACTCATCCTTCCACTCGGTGATCTCTCACATCCAAAAAACCAGCACACCAAGCCAGAGACACCCGGACAGATCGAGCCCGCCAAGTCATCCGTCCCACCCACAGTCATCCTCCTTCATCCTTCACAGCCTCTCTCGCATGTCGGTCGTCTCATCACCATGTCCCTCGCTCCAGCGGCTCCAGTCGTCTCTTTTCGAAGCACGTCAGCCGGCGGTCAGGCTTTTCAATGGTCAGATTCCACAGATGTTGGTGACTTCATTCGCGACGCAGCCCGTTCGGCAGAGTTCACGATATGTATATCATACAACCCAAGTGACAGTCTGAGAAACACACTACTCGAGCAAGAGACCAGCCGCCGTATACCCGTCAACAAGGATTCGACGACGAAGCAGTCAGAGGATAAGGGCGTAGTAGAAACAGTCATAACTGTCGAAGTCCCAACGTTCACAGATCGCACGCGATACCTTCGTCGGAGACTCAAAGCAATCGAGCAGCGTCTTCATGAAATGGAGCTCCTGAAGAAGGAATGCGATCGAGAGGCACATCGAGGAGCACGGAGGATGGCTCTAACTGGATTCGGTGCACTCGTAGTGTATTGGGCAGCTGTAGCCAGGTTGACGTTTTGGGATTACGGCTGGGACATTATGGAACCCATTACATATCTTTCAGGACTGTCGACTGTCATCCTAGGTTACCTTTGGTGCGTCTCCCCGTTCTCGTCGGTTGTGCCTTTCGGGGAGTTAACAGCTTTATTCAGGTTCCTCTACCAGGGTCGAGAAGTTTCGTACTCTTCTGTCCTTGCACAATCCATATCGAGGCGAAGAGACGCCTTGTACAGGTCCAAAGGACTGGATATCGCCAAGTGGGAAGAGCTTGTGAGCGAGAGGAGGGCCTTGAAGAAGGAAATCGGTCGAATTGCAGAGGATTACGAGGATAGGTTACCGAGGGACACGTCTCAGGACGAGTCAGAAGAGGCAAAGGCCACAGAAGTCGAGAAGGAGTCTCTCACATCGGAGGGCGTCGTGGAGAAGATCGAGAAGGGGGAAGAACCAGGGAAAGCAGGAAGGATTTAGGGTCTTCATGTCATGCTTGCATCTTGGAGGTCATTAAAGGCGAGTTAATCAAAAGGTCTCTTTCATTAGTACAATAGGTCCTATTATCTATTAGCACATAGCTTCAATCAATATACCAGAAGGACCACGGGGGAAGCTCGAGGCCACTAAGCTACAGCTTGAAGATACGCTTCAATCGTCCTTTCAGGATGATCCCACTGTACCTATTCAAATCGGATAAAACAAGCTTCGGTTACGCAGGATCCCAACGGTGAAAACGAATTTTTACTCACAAAGTGATTCGTCCGCGGCATCACCTCAAACTCAACCTTCCCGCCTCCACGCTCGGCATCGTCATCTTGAATTTGCCAGCACGCGACAACGCCGAAAGCGCCAGTCATGTCGCCTGTAATAAGATATACCTTCATGTGGGGGAACAACTGGCGAATTTGGGAGCTGAAGCATGCTTTAGCGTAGTTGGCATGGAGCTGAGAGCCGAGGTTGGCCATGAGAAGGCCGTCTGAGCCAGCCACGGGTGCCGGGAATGCGATGCCAGAGATCTGAGAATGCATAGAGTAGATGGTTGGTACGAATTGGGTGGAGGGAACCACGTGCGAGAGAGCGGAGGGATCCCGTGGAGAGACATCGCCGTGGTCGAAGTATCCGGTAAGCCATTGCATGGTGAATGGAATGATATCTTTAGGCGGGATGGATGCGTCCAACGAAGGGCCCCAAGAGCCAGGTGGGATTGGCAGGCCCAGGGCAACGGAAGGCGGGTCTGTCGCGGTCGTTAGTCTGAGGAGAATAGCCAGTGGTAGGAGTGCCTCTCACCTTGAAGAATCGACGCCCGGACATACTTGGCCAGCCTGTCCTTTACTTCGTCTTCCAAGGAAGGCGCACTGGCGATTGCAGCGGTTGAGAAGGATGTTCCGAGGGACCACCCCAGAAGGGCTACGCCACCCTGCTTCCCATCCTCGGAAATAAGAGGTAAACCCTTCAGCTGAATAAACCGGTCCAAGAAGTACAGGTACTCTAGTCCCCGGTCACGAAGGTAGCCTGCTTTCTCTTCGTCTGAGCCCGTCGCGCAGTTGAGCTGTTCGGTTGACAAAGGAGAGGAACCGGGATAGTCTCGTCGGTTTATGGCTACGATCCTTAGGCCTGACTTGGGTGCTAGGTCGAGAACCTTTTGGAAAATAGCTACAGAAATGACGGTAAGAGACGGTGTGCGGTGAAGTTCAAAGGGAAAACTGACGAGCGCTGAAGATAATGCCATGGATTGCGAAGATAGTGACGTAGTCGCTGGAGTCTTCCGGTGCTCCAGAATCGAGGTAGGCGAACTGGGTTCCGGCACTGTCAACGACAAGTGTCTCTAAATCTGGCATAGCAAGTAGTCTGGCAAATCAATGTCCAAGACGGAGGCAGGGGGGAAAGTAGTAGGCGGGCAGGGGATCGATATAGGGCATCCGGTGGATAATCCCCCCAATTTTATAGTGAATTGGAAGGCGGAGATTCTAGGAGTGTAAGCGTGACAACGCGGATTCTTTTACCAACCTTACCAATGAAGCAGATCAGAGACCATGAAGAATGTGTCACCGACTTGATCAGTATAGCGCCCATCGAGGACTTCGTCCTTTCGTCCGCGAATGGTGCAAATGAAACTGTCCCTTCTAATCCAGGACACATTCTAAGATGCGGAGTTCGTTTGCAGGATGCTTAGGATGCTCCCAGAGCAGAAGGGCGAAAACAGCGGGGGGTTGCGAAGCTCCCCTGCCTGCTGAGTCCTTACCATCTTTCCTAATTGGGAATGCAAGAATCTATTTCGTCTGCATCAGTACGGGTCTTGAGCGCGCGTATTGCATAAAGCAACGCATTCTTACCAATGCCTCCAAGCTTGATTTGGAATCCGGACATGCTCCTCCCCGTGTTCGTTCTACTTGGGCGGTGCGTGGTTTGAAAGCCTTCGGCGTTCACAAAGAGGCAGCGCCGGCGGTGAATGACACATGAAATCAGACGAGCTCTAAAATGGCCCTTTTGCGATGTTCATACGACTGAACATAAAAATCTTGACAATACTGTGTCAGAAATGGCCCCTGCGAGATAGAGAGGACCTCACCGACTACAAAGAGAACCTCGGGAAAGACAATGTGGATCATTGACCCGGAAACTGACGTGTTTGAGCATACCGAAAATAATAATTTATGGCAGTTACATGTAGAGGTATGTCAATGCTACAAGGAGAAAGTTCCCGCTTGCGCCGGGTACCTACGCCTTGGTCGAGTTACCGCCTCCAATGGGAAGATCAGCCCCAGGTATTGGAATATCAGCTCCAATCTTGTCGACCACGTAGTACCCAAAGAAGAGAACTTTGAAAGTGATGGCGATGCCGAGGTGGATGGCGGCGAGTAAGAGGATGAGGAGTCGGGTTGCTTTGGCTTCCGCCTATACGTTATCCGAGTCAGCGATACGGGAAAGATGAACCGTTGGCGCGCGCTTACCGAGGCGAGGATAGGGTAGATGTTGGCGGCCAAGAAGTAGCCCGAGAGGCCAAATGCGATGCCCACTAGAGCCCATCGCACAATTGGGACAGGGATAACGCAGAGAATCTGGAGGATTGTAAGTAACGGACAGCGAAGGTGGTATGAAAGGGACGTACGCTGACTGGAATCCATACAAACTGGCCATATCCCCACACAGAGATCGCTTCAACGACACTCCATTCCCCGACTCCGAGATATCGAAGCGCTAACCACAGCAAGACTGGCAAAGCAAGGCCGTACGCGTATACCAGCGATACAGCAATGCTAAGAAGCTTGAAGTCGTAGTCATATTTATCATCGCTGGATAGGTATGCTGAAATCGACGCAGCCAGACTTGAAGATAGGAACAACGCCAGGATTAGGGTCGTTAGTGTCCAGAAAGGGCCATACAGATCGGCTGGAGTCAGGAAGGTTGGGATAAACGTCCGCGCCTGTAGCGGGTTCATGGTCATATAGCATCGCTGTAGGACGGTTTTGGTGTCGATGTCGAAGTATGGCTGGTAGTATTCCACCGTCCAGAATCCGCCGCCGCCTTTTGGTCGGTTCTGGGAATCGGCGAGGTAATCTCGGTTGGCGTTGCCTACACCGGCGCTTCTTTGAGGGTTCTCCGCTGTGGCATCTGCGCCCAGGAATGCTGTTCATCGAGGTCGACCTTCAGCTCGCTATCGACATTCCAAACGGTTTGCATGACGTACATTTGAATTGTAAGCCCTCGGGCCCTTCCTCTAGCCTTGACTGAGCTATTTATTAGCGGCTATACTGGGATAGATTCTGTCCACTTACATCGTCCGCTTCTACTTGGACATAAGCCATTGTGGATCGTGAAGAACGTTGTCAACCCCGGAGATCGCGCTGAACGACGACGGAGACGTGTTGTTGTGTGGGAACTCATTCCCAAGAAGGCAGGTGCTCTCTGCTCGCGCGTTCGGTCCTCAAAGGTGCCTGCTTCATTTTCAATCACGGGCTGTTCAGACGAGGAGGTTCTCTGTTGGCTTGAGACAAGATTGACGCAATGGAAAGGAGATATTTCATAAAAGTATCCTCGTTCATTATTGGATGGAGAATGGTTCCACTCGTTCATAGAACCGGGTCATCACATCATAGTGGAGTTGGCCTGCACTCCTCGAAAATAACAGGCACATTGTTCAGCTTTCAAAAGGGCGTCTACCGTTACTATCATAACAGTTTCTTATCTGTGAGGGACGCTTAATTCAATACAAGTTTGGCAAAGGCCCGGCACTTGTCGCCCAATGCCCTGCTCGATCACGTTTACCTTTTCGGTAGATCCACCTGCCAAATTCGTACCCCCAATGTCCAAAGCTGATGTCATCTCCCAACCACATGGTGTCTTAAAACACATAAAACAGTGCCTCTTCTTCCTCGACCTCGTTCTCCGCATACTTCTCAATAGCTCAAGACCTTCATAGGCTATGTCAGGCAACTCACGCAGGAGCGACGTCTATCATTCTCCTTCGACTCCCACTAGCCGCTCTCCAGTCGAAGAACGGCCCTACCCAAACAAGTTCCCTGGATCGTGCTACTGTCACGAAGTGGAGTATGTAGTAGAGCTTGGTGACCCAGAGAACGAAGCCCGAACGTCGATTTGCTATTGCCAGAACTGCAAGGTATGTCTGCGTTCTTCCGAATCTTTCGGTCGAGCTCACATCAGGATAAAGAAATGGACAGGATCGGCATTCGGAATCACCACCAGGGTCCCTAAAAGCTCTTTCAAATTGACGAAAGGTGAAACCAAGAAGCACGTCTCGGATAACGGGTCAGGGACGAAGCTACATCGCGAATTCTGTGGAACCTGCGGAGGAGGAATTTTGGAATATGGCGTTCGTTCCCTTCCCTCGAGTCAGCCTTTGGTCACCGCTAACCCATAGGCCATCTTACAGGAAAACGCTGGAGATAAAACCTACATCACCTACGGCTCCTTCGAAGATCCTAGTCAACTACCTCCCCGCGGCGAATTCTTCTGTAAATACCGCGAATCATGGATGCCCGAAATCCCAGGTTCGTCCGCTACCGTCGTCTGCAAATGTTGGCATCCCCCACCGACCTTTTTGAACGACCCTACATACGTACATCTTCAACAACATGGTTGGCCGTGAACATTTCATTAACTCCTTCCCGACACTATTCATTGCACTACACGTTATTCGATGCGATCAGGACTGTTTCACAAGAACGAAATCAAGAATTAGGCAGATGTTGTAACGTAGGATAATGTCGCAATACGATATTGCCCGATCGTATACGTTATTTTTGACTAGTGAGTGTCAGGTTCGGTCGGAGAAAAATAAGGATGATGGAAAACTGGATGGCTAGGTTGGGAGTGGGCCATCCGCCAACGCTGCCATCCTGACCTGCTGATATGATTTGACAAGCGCGTCAACCTCGTCCCATGCCGCTCGGACAGCATGGACACCAGCTCCTCTTGACGCAAGTCATCCCAAAAATCGTGTGTATGGTGTTCTTCAACCTCCCTCCCTGTGCAAGCACTAAAAGATTCAATCTGCGGATGCCTAAGTCCGCCAGGCGAAATCGCTGCACTGACGCTCGAAACGTTGGCGGAAGAGGTGACCAAGTGGACAGTGGCGAGCGTGGATAGTATCGTTCTAGGTCTATTGCGCTACTCTGACTTGGGGAGGCTGGCCGAGGATCTTTCCCAGTCGTGGTGGATTTCAAGGTGCAGTGATACGAGAGCATGAAGCTTGTTGATAGGGCCGAGGGCTTCAAAATTGTTAACTGACGTCGGAATGAGGGTCAGTTTAGTGAGTTTTCCAAGTTCGCCGACTGAGCGGAGGAAACCACAGGTGACGGGACCTGCGTAGGTAGTTTGGTCAAATCTCCCGAGAGGGCGACGCGACGATTTGGGAGGAATCGCCGAACAGAAGTCTGCGTAACCTTGCATATCTCCCTCGTCACTGTCTGCAGCCCAGTCCAGCGGAATATTGAAGTGTCGGTCAGGTGAATTGCGAACAGTGATGAACTATGTTTGGAGTCGGGGTCCCATTGCAAGAGGTAACGGCCGAGTCCCGCCACGCGCTGGTGGTAGGTAACAAATGGTATGAAGACGAGGAAAAAATGGACTTTGCTGCTTTGAAAAGTAGCCAACAACTTCGGGACCAAGTAACTGTCGAGATCCGAAGCGCACGTAAGTGTCGACAATCCAATGTATCAATCCCGGGTCGATGTAAGTCAATGGTAGGGCGACTAGAGTGGGAGTGGGGTACTGGAGGCTAACGCCGCCTTTCGAACATGTTGGTAAGATTTCACCAGCACATCGATCTGGTTCCATGACTGACTGCTCCCCGATACCTGCTTGAGGGAGGGGAAGAGCGCGTCAAGAAACATGGCAATAGCGATGAGACGGGGTACGGGAAATTCGGCGTCGGTTTGGGTATGAATAGTAAGACTTTCGAGTTGGTGTTGCGAACGCTGGAGGGGCATAACTGGATCGGTGTCAAAGCAACCTGGCTTGAAGGAGAGTTCCAGGCGTTTGAGGGTCGTACATCCTTCACAAGCGAGATAGACGAGGTCTTCCAGCGTGGCGAGTTCATCGGTGTCTTCTTATTCGAGGAACTCGTGGGGTATAGTGAAGTGGAGGATGATTAATCTAGAAGAACCCTGTCTTGCAAGGCATCGGGTAATGAAGGATCGAATCATAACCTTGCTGAATACTGGTAGATCCACCAACTGAATCTCAACCAGGGTGCCGTCCCGAATTCGTTTCAGCAGTGCCGACAACAGTTCTTCTTGACGGGATTCATTCCAGAACTCCCCTTCTGGTTCGTAGTCGGTGACGACGTTCACCGTGCCGATAGCAAAACCTGAGAGTTGCTGGTTTTGCTCGATAAATGGGGCGTAATTGTGATAATGGACAATGTCGAGATCGGTCACAAAGCTCGAAAATTGTCGAAGTCCACCCGGCGCAATGGTCGTATTGACACCCGTTACATTGGCAGAAGTCGTGACCATCTGGAGAACGCGCAGATTCGGCAATGTTCTCGACCGCTCGCAGTATTCGGACATGGAGAGCCCTGGAGGCCTTTGCCAATCTTGGAGGATGTTAAGTTCAAGGGTTTCGAGCACCGATAGCTCATTGAGAGGTTGAAGGTCTTGGAATCTGTTGACAGTGCTTGGGGTCAGACGCAGTGTCGTGAGTTTCCGTAGATCTGCGATCGAAGCAAAGAAGCCAGTCGTGACGGGGCCCGCAAAGTCGAATTCAGTCAAATGTTCCGACAGCTCACCCACTTGGGAAGCAATCGCCGAACAATGGTCTGCATCCCCCTGTACACCTGGTTCGTCTTGTGTATCCCAGCCTGGAGGAATTATAAAATCATTATCCGGCCGGGTACAGGCGGAAACAAATAGCGTCCGAAGTCGCGGTCCCATTGCTAGAGGTAGAAGGCGGATCCCCCCGCGTGCTGGAGGCAGGCAAATCACAGACCGCACGTGTGGAAAGAGCGGGGATCTTGCAGATTTTGCAAGAAGGAACGAGTGCCAGTGATCTGAGAGTTCTTCCAACGGGCTTGCACAATCGAATTCAAACCGTCGGACATAGCTGGCGTAAGTCTGAAACCGGTCCCATTCGGAAGCACGAATCCCGTCTAACGTCTGAAAAGGGATGAGCCGTAGCACTTTTGAAGATCGTTCGTTCAGAAACATACTATTCCCGTGTCTTCCACTTTAAACGAGGGCAGAAATGCGAAGAAGGGTAGCAAAGAGTGCATATCCCTCCAGAGGAATTCCCTCGCCGAGTGGAAAAAACAGCGGTTCACGAGCAGAAGTGAATAGAGCTGTCGCTTCCAGGATTTCAATGGGGAGGGTGGCGGTTGAATAATCATAAAGTCTATGATCATGTACAGTAAATCCTGGTTTACCGCGACCTGCGTTGAGGGAGGGGGGCGAACGCTAATCAATTGGCTCTCGGGTGGTTCCACTGCTAAGGTTTTCGCGAGTCAGATGTTACACAAAGGGCAGAGAAGAAGGTAGACATATACCCATTTGCTGGTCAACGTCCATTTTCAGGGCCTTCGTAAGTAACAGAAGGTTGCGAACAAGAGTATGGAAAGGAAACGTAAAACTTTGCGACTCTTTCGATAAACGCGCCTGCCAAGCGCGTCGCAGATATTTGTCTGCGCCCTCCACATCAAACATAGAAACATCAAAACATACCTGAGCCTAGGTTCTCTGAGGTCCCACTTAACAAAAGTATGAACGAAACGAGTACGTAGGCACACATTCTATTAAAGCTAAAGCTGATTCCAGTCAGGCCCATCCAGCAGTTCGGAAACCGACATTGTCCTCGAACCCGGGAACCCAGGGTCATCTGAAAGCGCTGAAACTGCAGTCGATGCCTGTTTAGAAGTCCTCCAGAATGAAGACCTCGTTTACCTTATTCTCAAAATGCTATGTGAGTCGTTCGAAACGAGCCACATCAGTGCTATTAGTGGTCCCAGCCAGTGGAAGCGCCATCTCCTCCCCTTGGTTCTGGTTACGCCGTTCTTCAAGGCTGCAACCGACATGATATGGGAACACATGCATTGTTTACTTCCAGTCTTCTCCTTACTTCCATCGTTCAAGGCAGAGGCCACGGGATATGTGAGTTTCTAAACCATGAATCTGATCATCCAGAATAAGCTGACAATCAAAGTCATTCGGTGGCATAACGGACGACGAATGGAGCAGTGGATTCTACCTATACACGGAGAAGGTGAAGCAGTTTACCTTCACTTCTCCCTGCGTTTTCGAGGAGATCTCCCAGTCATGGCTCTCTTTCCTTCTCATCGAGAGCTTAAAGCGACCCTTCTTTCCCTCGCTAAAGTCCTTCACGCTGCTCCATGGCGCCCAAAGTGCCTTGAAGATATTACCCATGACAATACACCCCGCTTTTCAATCGCTGGATATGCAACTTCGCTCCATCATGAATACGACGGCTGTACCCAAAGACTGGGAGACAGAAGGCGAAGGGGACTCCGGAATTGATCCCTTCGTTTCCAGTGTAGCCTCGTTGACCAGCCAATTGAAGAAATTGCGATACAGAGGTCCACTCACGGATTCATCGCTGATTTCCATCTCCCGACTAAAGAAGCTACATAGCTTGAGCTTAACCCCGACAACACCTTGCACCTACAACGAATTGCCCCGGAAACTCAAAAATCTGACTGAACTGCGCGATTTGACCATCGCCGTTCATCGACCTCAATCAGATCCTCCGACATGTCCCAATTACAAGTATCCATCGGGTGGGCATTTACGGCTTACTAGCATCAGCCTGACTGGCAAAGCCTGGAGCATTTGTTGTCTCGTTTCCCAACTCTCGCCGACAACGCTCGTTCGCTTCAGGGCTTGCGTGACAGATATTGGCAATGGGGGTCCCCTGAAAAAACAGCTAGCGATTGTTTTATCCCGCAACAAAGCCCTTCAGCACCTCACTGTTTCCTCATTCCAGCCCCTCGTGGCGAGAACCCGAAATTGCACTTATTCTTCACTCCCTGACAGCCCCGAATTCGACCTACTTACCAAGCTACCTTCAAGCATACGTTCAGGCTTGCAGGAGGTGGACATCACGGGTATTCCCATTTTCTCGACGTCAGACATCCGGCTGGCTGTGACAAGGTGCCTCCAACATTACCCGGACGCGTCTTTGATCAAGTTTCGATTCCACATCCCGAAGCCTCTCCGGAAGGATGAAGACGAGGCGTTTCTGCCCACATGGGACACCCTCTCCTTCATCGCCCTCGAAGGCTCCAAGACTCTAAGGCATTTGGAACTCCAATTGCAAACTGCTTGCTTCCAACAACCTCCCACCATTCCTCCCGGATTTAGCGACCACGGTCTACAACACTTGTTCATTGTGACGGACGACCCTTCACTGAACCTCAGCTTTCATGACAAGATCGCCATCGCCGTGTTCATCGACCACCTCTTCCCCCATTTACAGAGTGTGGGTGGAACGGCTGAAGAGGAGTGGGGAATGATCAACGCCCTCGTTCTATCGTATCAGGAACGGCGGCTGGCTGCTCTGGAGCGATACCGACAGGAGTCGCAGGGTAAGGAGCAACGTTAGCTTACAAGCTCTCGCGCCTATTGGTTTAGAAATAGAACAGTATCTTCTACTAGTACTACATGCTAGCCTCGAATTGTAGCAGTATTGGCCGACAGTATCATCTGCGTATCGGTCTCCAACATTACCGGCTATCTAAATATACACTATGGTTCTCGCGCAAGTGACGATCCGAAGCTCTGACACAAAATCTGACGTCAGGAGAAATCACCCGTTACCCTGAAGGACCACAGAAGAGGAGAAGAAACCCACGGAAGACCGTCCGACTGGGCTCTCGCCAAAGCCGTCAACTGAACCGCTTGAAAGAAGCAAAATGTATTCCAGACCGGATCTCACCTTGTCAGAAGACTCGGAGACTTAACTTCCCTTCACTCTTCAGCGAGGATTCCGAGTTCTACGCCTTCTGTTCAGAGCATACGAACCCAACCGTCCCAACGAGGAAGCTATCGATCTACATACATCCATGCTCCGGTATCAAGATAGACATACAGTACCGTCACTTCTGTACTCTATCATTGCGTCATGCACGGCGTTAGCGCTCGGAGGCTCGGACGTACCCTCAATTACATCTGCCGCTGCCATTCTACAACTAGAATGACCCAAAGTCCCGAGGAGGTTATTCAGGCTGTGCGATATTGGCATATGACCCGAGTTGTAATGCTCTGAAGCGCGCAGAAGGCGCCGTGGTGAAGTTCCCGGACTTTTCGCGCCTTCAAAGTTAACGGGCGCTTATTCATTTGATCGAGTTCGGACATGTCGGGGGAGTTGAACGAAAGAACAAGGGAGGGCAAAGGCAGTGAGAAGAGGCGGCCGAAAAGGGCGAGCAAACGTTCTTTTAATGTGCGAGGAATCGAGACGGTAATAGACGGAATAGGTTCGATAAGGTAGGGCTGTGAATGGTGAGCGTGGCAATTAAACGCCCACTACTCTGCCGACTTGCGCGCACGTGGAGTCACTGCGGTCGATCAGCCACCGACGACTGACTTCCTTATGACTAGGTAGGAGCCATGCTTTTGGGCAAAACAAGTCGTGTAACCTCTGGTCACGAGTGCCGGTGGAGATAAGTAAACGCTAAGGTACCCGACCGCAAGTCACATGCGGCTTGCTGCGCATCGAAATGTCCGTAAATTCAACAATCTGTAGTGTACAAAGAACATGAGGCCTGAAATTAGAGATCGGGGTATATTCCCGCATCCTTTCTTTGCTTGGTCATGGCTATGCACGAGCGTTATCAGTAACGGTGAGATGTCCAAAATAAGAAGGGACATACCGGCGATGATAGCGCTTCCCACTCCGCTTCCGTCCTCTGCATGGTGAGTGACAATGTTCCTATCGAACAGGTGGTTAGCGATACGTAGTAGGCGTGCGGAGCATAGCCAGCCGGGACACCACATACCTTCCTCTCTCGCCAAAGATATCGACAAGGCCCTCGTGAATTCGCTCGGCGAACCCAGGATATTTCTGACATTGACAGAGCGCCATATCAGTTTCCGAGTTCGAATCGTTTGATACAGATAGGGAGCCCTTACGTTGTATAACGAACCATCTGCGCCAACAGAACAGCCTTCGTCTAGGTACCCCATCTTGCTCACGATTGCGGCAATTCCGCAGGCGCTCAAACGTGCGGCCCGTCGTCCGACCAAACGTGCAATCGCCCTCAGGAACTGGCGCTCCGCGAGCGTCGTCTCAAGCGCGAAGAAATGGGAGAAAATACCAATGATCATCAGCAGTTCGTCGGTTGGGTCACTGAATGCGGGGGATCAGACACCGGCGCTTCCACAATTGGACAGCTGTGAGCACAGACCTTTCCATAAGGGAAAGCAAGGCAGTGTCAAACGCCCAAGGGACTTCAAGCTTGTATGTGTTTTGTCCAAGGAACAACACGCCTTCATCTATCAGCTCACAAATGATAAGGCGGACTATTTCGCCAAGATAACGACCGGAAATAAGTTTCTAAGCAAGTCGGAATGAAGGGAATTAAGCCAAGTCGTTCCTGTGGAACGTGCACCAACATCATGAGGCGGACTTACCTCAAACGTCTGCTGGCCTGGTTTGCTGGACGATTCGTCTATACTTATGTCGTACTTGGTTCGGGGCAGGTGTTCATGATTGTGTGAATCGAAGGCTCCCTGTAGAATGGATAGCAGGCTCGTTAGAATGGTGGCGCTCAGGGTCAGCATGTACGAGGCAGTACGCACCCATTCACAGTTGATTACCATTTCAACATCGTCGTCGATTCCAAGGTACTTGATCTTGCCAATGTCCTTCACACGTTCCATGTACGCAGCGTTACAGCCCGTTCCAAAGATGCATGCGATCTTTGTGGACGGGTTGACGTAGCGGGAGGCGATGAGGGTACCGGTGGTGTCGTTGATGAGCGCTTTGAGTTCAACTGGGAGATTCTGTCGCGGATTATTATTAGCGGAAGGAATAGATAAGACGATTCAATACAAACATATTTCTCCAGAGACTTTCGGAACATCTCTGCAACATCGTGGCCTTCGGTGTTGGGAGCCACGAAGCCTTTCGTCCACCGCATTAGTACACCATGGTCGATCTTCTCCTGCCTAGATCGTCATGTTACACTGTCTTGTCGGGGGATAAAGCCGATAGTCCTTACTTGCATGGGTACGAGAACTATACTCGGTCAGTAGACGAAGCAATCAAAGTCAATCGGAACGCACCGTAAATCCGAGGGGGAGCTTCTGTCCCGGTGCGAGTTGCAAAATCCCATCCTCGCCCGAGTTACCCTCGATGAAGGTTTGCAGGGATTCAGCACAGAAATCGAAGAGCTTCTGGCCGTCGTCTTGTTTCTGTTCTTCGGAAAGTCGATATTTGGATTGCGTGATTTCGAATTTGCCATCTCCCTGGAGATTGAGAAGACAAACGCGGAGATTGGTGCCGCCTGGAAATGATGGTTCAATGTTCATTGAATATTTGACGCACAATGGTAATTACCAACCAAGGTCGATAGCCACAAACTCTCCCCTCTCGTTTCCAGACGGCCAGCCGAACACATACGTGGGGATCATAGGCTAGGGTGCGAAATGGTGAGCGATTGCCCAAAAACGTTGATATGAGGGCGCGATCCGAGGAAATGTCGCCTGCATCCCTACAAGATAGGGGCACTGTCCCAAGCGATCACAGCTGCCGCCGTGTTTGGCGCCTGGGTGGTGGCCACTCATGGAACATCGGACTCACCAATTCCTGATCATGTTTCTCTAATCCAGTCTCCAGAGCATCCTTGAATGCTTCTACGATTATCCGCATTCGCTGGGGGGTCAAAGTAAACCTAACGTCTCATTAGCCGGGTGCAGCGATCCCCAGAGTCATTACGAGATGTTTACAGCGTCTCGAATCTTCGCAGATGGTCGGCCATTGTCCTAAGATATACACACTTATCGTCAGATCAGCCAGTCGTTGTGCAATGGACTACGTATCTCACCTCTTAGTGGCATGGGGCAAGGCTTCCTCATCCTGGGTCCTTGTGTGCTGGGCGAGAGTCTGCCCGCTGGGCAAGGTAAAAGTTCCACTTCCACGACGCGACAACGGCATTCTAGTCGAGATTGGTGACGATAAGTATGGGCGATGGTGACGATAACGAGTAGAGAGCCAGTGTGACGTTTAGGAAGGCCAACGAAGTCTGGTCACTGTTCCACCTTGATGGGCATGGCGTGGGAACTTACTTCCCCACCGAGAAGCCCATTTTTGATCCCGTCCACGATGCCCACCGCGACGTCCAGCTCACATTTTCCTCCGTTCTCATTACCGTGGCCGACGCTGACGATAGTTTGGACCAATGATTGGCCTCAAAAGCACACTCAACGTACGTGAAATCTTTCCTCGGACTGAACTTCGACTTGACTGGCTTCCAGGTCATCGACAATTCGGGTGCCCTCCTCGTCGAGTGCATTAACGTTCTGAAGAACAAAGTGACCAACGGTCACGGCTCTGTCGGCGACGAGATTGTTTGCGTCGTGAAACGCGCTCGACCCATCTCTGCTGCTGCCCAAGCCTCGGTGAACGCCGTCAAGGTTCGCAGAGGTGACGTTCGACGCGCTGTCATCGTCCGGACACGGAAACAGGTTCAAAGACCAGACGGAACGTTTGTTCGCTTCGACGACAATGCTGCTGTTCTTCTGAACAACAAGAGGGAGATGTTGGGAACACGTATTGGTGGTATGGTCAGCGCTGACCTCCGGCTGAAGGGATGGTCGAAAATTGCCAGTTTGGCGCCTAGAGTGAGTCGCAAGTTTTGCTATTCTGGAATGTCTATTAAACCTTGGTGGTCATTAGGTCGTTTGAATATGTCTATATCCGCACTATAATTCGTCGTAATACTTAATCAGTACCCCACCAGCCAGATGCCTTCTTCCTTTTCGTCACGCTATTTCGCCCACGACGGAAGGTCGAAGGGAGCCGTGATGTTCCGCATATTCAATTGACAGCTTCGCGAACAGGTCACCGGTTATCCGTATTCGTTCCAAGTTTGGAGAGTGGAATGACTTCACTGTTCTCAGATTGGGCCTGTGTCGACTTGGTTCCGTCCTTCGACCGTCGGGTTTCAATGGAGGGCTACAAACGGTTCCACCGATGTTGGCTGCCCAGCCCTTCTTTCCCGACTGGTGACTCTGCTGGAAGCCTGCCAATGGTCCACATTGCGCAATGCATCACTGGCTGTTCCTCGGCCGAAGATAAGTATCATACTCGTGCTGAATATGTTTTTTGATGCAGGGTCAGAAGGTCAGAAGCAGGTGCTGTAAGGGGTGATCTGAAGATCCACTTTCAGCGAGTTCCTAGGTTGACGGTTCATCACCGGTTTGATTCTACAGCATTTCTTGTTTTACCCCGCATTCGACTTTTCGAGCTGCCGCTGGGATAGTTGCCTCGCGACTGCCTCGAGGCCGGGCGGTTAAATCCGTTAAACGCCCATCAAACCTCCTCTAGTGCTGTAGAATACCAAATGCAGGGTGAATCGGGCTCATTTCGTTTGTTTCTGCTCGGAAAGAGCACGGAACTCGTCCCTTTACGTATTGGCCTTGCCGATGTCATAGAAAATATAAAGTGGCCGGTTTGACTCGTAGCAAAAGGCTTATTCCCTCGACCTCATTATCGATTTTTAAGTAATATCGTCTAATTCCAACAATCGAGTCATAGAAGAAGGCATCGTAATTGGGCAAGTGATTTGCTTGCGCGATCCCCGCACAACAATCAATACCGTCTTTCTGTCGTCAGTCATCGTCCCCCGATGACTCCAAGCTCACTCCCCAACAACGATTCAGCCCCAGGTCCTTCAACCAACCCCAACCAAGGCCGCCCTCGTGGTCGGGGCACATACGTTCCTCAAGCTTGCAGTGCTTGTCGACAAAAGTAAGCTCAATCACTCGCGTCAAATTCAAAATCTGGCTCCAACACCTCCCTTTCAACAACAGAAAGATAAAATGCGATGGCCAGAAACCAACCTGCACAGCGTGCTTGAATGCAGATCGCGTTGACCAGGTGAGCACGGACGCCGGTGAACAGCGACGAACGCGTTTCCTGACTCGCTCTTTTTTACCACCACCACGATCATTAGTGTTTGTGGACCAAGGATGCCACACCCCTACGGAAAAACCGCAATGAAGCGTTCTTTGAAGCCCTAAAGAAACGGAACGATGCATTGAAAGAATACTCGACTTACCTGGAATCGCTGCTCGAACGATGCAGGGTAGCCCACGGCGGTATACCCTCAGACGTCCCCTACGTTCAACGGCGACCTCGAGAAGAATTCGACACTCCGGATATGTCGTTTGACGACATCGACCCTACCAACTTTGGCGGTGGCGATTTGGAAGCCGTGGTGGATGGAACGAACGGGAGCTCAATACAAACACTCATAGCACCCATCCAGAAGCTTACAGTGAGTGGCATAGGTTTCTCAAAGGTGTCCACACCGCTTAGGATTTCCCTTTCCAGCTGGAAGAAGGGTCCTTGATGACCTTCGGCTCAACATCAGTCTTTCGATTCCGGCCAGTCGTCCTCAACAACGTTCCTTCACGATTTCCCGCCATCATGGAGAATCCCAAGGATACCTATGTCCTGCTTGTGGAAGGCGTCGACAGGAGCTGTTACAACCCCAACTTCGACTGGGCCAGATATCTTCCATCGGTTGTTCCACTGGATCGGATGCAGCATGACAAGTCAGTGACCTTCCATCCAACTACCCGAAAAAACACCCTTTGACCAGCTGCTTCGTCGTAGGGCATTGGACCTGACCTTCAAGTTCGCAACCTCATGGTGCCTTCGAATCATACCGGGACTCTTCTGCCGTGATATGTACCGCGCACTGAGCGTTCCCCGATCCCAACCCCCTCCCAAGACTGCCCACTACTCGCCGATGCTTCACAACGCACTGGTCGCCCTCGCCCTAAGCCTCCTCGACGAACCCGCCTTCCGCGACCTGAAGACGCGGAAGTACTTTGCGGATGAAGCGAAGAAATACATCGATTCAGAGTGTTCGCAGCCGAACCTCTGCACCGTCAGTGCCCTCTCCACGCTGGGCACCTTTCACTCATCTCAGGGAGAACAAACGTTGGGGTTCATGTATTTTGGTGAGTTAGTCCAAAAGCTAAAAAGAACGCGATCTAAATGCGTGCCTTTAGGTATGGCGGCTCGCATATCACAAGCCCGTGAGTACTCCCCGACGAATCCCGTATCGGTTGCATCTCATCCTTTGTGTACAGTGGGCCTGGACGTGGACTGCTCGGAATGGGTCAAGCTGCACCTAATAGAGGAGACTGATGTCCTCGATCGCTACTGGACCTTCTGGACTATCTTCGCTCAGGTACGTTTGTCTACGCCTCTTTCCATACTTTGTATCTAATTCAGATCCTAAAGGACGTTAATTGGTCGCTTTACGTGGGAAGGGACTTCTGTGTCCGAGCCCCAACCGAGAGCGACTTCAAGGATATGCCTGTGCCATTCGTGGACACCGAATTCGATAAGCTCCCTTTCCACCACCCTCCCTCTAACATCCCTCCACAACCTGGCTACCTATCCAAGGTGTTTGCATCGACATGCGAGCTTCTCGTCATTGCTCGCCGTATCATGAACGTGGTGTAGGTCTGATTTTACAGCTTTGTCGACGGCATTGCTAATATCAGTTTTTACAGCAATGGGATCTCCAGAACGCGTGTTCAAGCAACTGTCATTGATGAGATGATCAGTGATATTGAGTGCGTTGTTCCATGCCTTTTTGGTCTATGTAATCTCATAGTTTCTAGTCTCCAATTGAACGCTTGGAAAGACTCACTTCCACCAGAAGCAGACCTTACCCAGAAATCCCGAACTACGGCCACTCCACACAAGCTCATGATGCATCTGAGCTATTGGTGGTTTTTCATCCTCCTCCATAGACCTTACTTCCATAGGAAGCCAAGGGTCATCCACAGCTCTGACAAAGAAATAGACCACGTCAAGGTGTGTTTCATTTTAGCATGGTGTTGGCAATCGATTGACTCGTGGCCTCTACAGCTGTGCAAACGCGCTGCGGAGAACATTATGGATCTACTCGGGATCTGGAAGCAGCTCTATGGGTTGAGATATACCCCTGTCAACATCATTCAACCTTTGTTCGCCGCTGGTACCATTTACCTTCTATCTGGGATCCAGGCCACTTCCGGAGTTCGTGTGGCGAACAAGGAACTCAAGCATTCAATCGACTCGCTCGAAACATGTATTTCCCATCTTCGCGAGATGTCCAAATCGTGGCAATGCGCTTCCAGCATCCGGTCGATTCTCCGAAGCTTGTTCGAGGACAAACTGAAGCCCGCGATGGACAAGAAGAAGCCCAGCATAGGACCGACCAAGGCGCATTTGCGAACCAACTCGGAGGGAGATAGGATTTACATCACCAACCCTCCATCCCGCCGTCACTCGACTGTACGCAAATCGAGGTCTCGACAGACGACGGGTTCCACTCTCCCCCGAAGCGATGGTGGAGACAGCCAACCGGTCATAGGCTCCCCCACGATCTCAGTCCATCCCGCTTTGGACGATACCCAATACGCACGGGATCAGTCACAATCAACATTCAATTTACAGCAATCGAGTAATACTGCCAGTCAAGACTTGTTGACGCCGTGGAGCGCTCAAACGGGTTCACCCGGGTCTCAGCCTATTCCAATCAATCGCCATCGCTCAGGGTCGCACAGCGGTAGTTCGTCTTCCGGTTCGCCTGTGTCCGTCAAAATGCCAGCCTCCCCGCATCTTCACAATGGGCGCTCCATCTCGATATCGCCATCGTCTCCGTCTGGTTCCTATATTCGGGACCCTTCCCCCACAGGTTCCTTCCATGGCGGAAGTCCGATCCAGAATATGGCAGGCGGTTTCAGCAACTCTGTTGATCTTGGGATGATGGGGCTCGACATGGGCGAAGGGCAGGGTCAATACGACTATGCCAACTTTGAAATGTCAAGGTACCTCGCGATGCTGGGAGGACAACACCTTTCGGATGTCCCTTTCGTTGGTCCCATCAACATCACGTTCGGGGAGCCTATTGGCTCTCTGGAGCAGCAAACACCCGCGATGGATTTTGATATGGACTTTGGAAACTTTTCGTCGCAGCAGCAGAGTGGCGGTAGTGGTCGGGAACCGTTGACTGGAGATTCACCGGGTAGTTCTGGTTTACCGGGATATTATCCTCCGATGCAAAGTGCGCCGCCGACAACGGCTTCGTTTGGACGTCGTGCAACTTCGGAGAATTTTAGACCCAGCCATGGCATGAATGGCCTAGACGTTTTCAGTGAATTCGATTTCACGCAGGGGTTTAGGTAGAGGGTGGTTGTTCGTCATGCTCATCGTCTTGTCTGTCCCCTCCCCCCCCCCCCACAGCGATCGAATGGGGACTCTCTCCGCAAATAGGGCCCTGCGTTCCGTGGATTCGACTCCGCCAAGCTGCTCTTTCAATTCCTTCCAACGTGTACAATAGGATCCTCGCGCTCGCCTTTCGCCTTCGATTTTCGACTTTCGACGTTGGACATTCGATTTCGCTCTTCCTTCGTCCCTCTTCGACTTTCCCATCCCTTCCATCCCTCTCTCCCTCTTGGTACACCTTTTGGTTGTGCAATGCTTGTCTTCCTTCGTTGTTTCCCTTTTCCCATTTATCCCTATGCCCCCCTTCTTTCGCTTTCTCGGAGGACAGATTGACTTGACAGATGAAACATTCCGAATCCTCTCTACCTTCCACACACGACCGCAACCCTCCATCGTCACACAGTGGTAACCACAACGCCTCGGCACATCGGGGACCATACACGAAGTCTTACTCTCGCTACTCTCGTCGTTTCCAGCAGCGACGTAGACCACTTGCATTTTCGATTCTAGATATCCCCTCGTTCCTTCACCAAGGGATTGGGCCCGTACCCTCCAGAACAGATACACATCACCAACACGCCTGGAGACGCCACCGCAGAACAGATACTCACTATACTCGAACAACCCCAAGACAGCATTCCAGGACCTTATCCCCCGCATTCTTTGCATCGTATCTATGAATTCCCCCATACTCTCTCCAAGTTTTCCACGCCGCGCATTGCTAATTATTGTTTTCGAAAGTACTGTACACACTCGTCTACTGAAAGTTTCCTGAGCGCAATTGCCCTGGGACTTGTTTTGATGGCGAGCCTAGTATGACTATCTCGTTGCCTTGTAGAAAGAAACTTTGGATTGCTACCCGTTGTCACATGTCATTATTTAAGCTTCGGTTGGTGGTTTGGGATTCTGTACATGTGTGCATTGTTTTAGTTAGTCATCGTCGTTTTAATTTTTCCTGTCCCCCTGTAGCATTATCCTTGTTTGTTGTAGCTGTATGTACTAGTTGTATCCGTGCTTTGGCGATCTTGGAATGTAATTTTTTAAGGATTGAATAGCGTGGTTTGGACCACTATTTTGAAGCGACCTGGGCATGCGTCCGTGTAGTGTCGGGTAGGCGCGTATTACCCAATTATAAGGTGCGTAGTATAATTGTGCTTAGAATGTCAAAATAATTGCAGCTCGTGATTTCGAGTACGTGACATGGTATAGGATGCTCAAAGTGTGTAAAGGAACCCTGGCTGGCCTTCCAAAGGTTTGTCAAGCTTGCCTTCTAGCGCGCGCCTATTCCAATACGCGTGCCTGATCATGAGAAGGCCTGACAGGGTGACAACGAGCAGCTGAGAAAGGAGTACTGCAATTAGACCTACGTGGATCGAGAGTGAGCGGCATACGCCTTGATGAGTTGGGTTCAGGCAGCAACACAATGAATCGGACCCGACTTGCCTGGGACATACGTTGGCCTGTCCTGATTTCTGAAAACGGTGGCGCCCACGATGCCGCCTGCGGACACCATGGTCATGAATAACGCACTTTGTACCGCCCTGTGTGAGAGAGAGGTGTAAACTTTATAATAACTGCACTAAGTCAAGGACTTTAAACACTACCGTTTGCTGTGGGATACGACATTGTTAGCGCCGTACGCAATGATCGTAGGCGCCGCGGAAAGACCGCCAAGGTTGATCAGGAAGGTTCCTATGGAAAAAGGGCGTTCAGGAGCCAGCTTAATACTCGACACAATCGGACTAATCCCAATCTCCACGCACCGAAGAAGCGGATTTTGGCCTTGGGATGCCAGGCAGTTAGCACACAGCCGGTTGTCGAAATGAGTGCTAGGATAATTATGAACGATCCACGATGCTTTAGTTTGTCAGCTAGATACGCCAGGAGGCAGGCCACAGGAATCTATTGCAGATGGTGGGAGACGTTGTGAGGAAAGGCGTGAGGCCTTTTGAGCTTTGGTTGGCTTACCCCAGAGATTGCCACAGCGGCTGCCTTTAGGGCAGAAATGTGTTAGAATTAATTATGTTGTCTTTGGTTGGGACCTCGAGAGTTACTCACGCGGAGAAGGGTGCCTTTGAGGTCGTACCCCATCCCAGTGAGGATGATGGGAAGGAAGTAAACCACTACAGTCCCTGACATCGAGCTGCAGAGGGCGATAATACCTGCGACGACCATGTAATTTTAGCAGGTATGCGTCGCTAAAGCGAGGGAGACCACACCATAAGCCCACAAAGTCCAATCACGAAGGTGAACGGCCACTTGTCGAACCGTAATCGCGTCGGGAAGTGCGTCACCACGATCCTCATTGATACGTTTGATCACAAAGGCTGTTTGCTCCGCATTTAAGAATTTGTTCTCATCCGGGAATCCGGGTATGAAGAAAAAAGTTAGGACTCCCAAGACGACTGTGAGTATGCCTTCGACAATCTGAGTGGTAACTTTAAGCGCCGATTACGCCAAGTGATGGTATTTGGGCGCTCACGAAGATCCATCGCCAGCCTTCCAAACCACCTTTTCCGTCCAAGAGGCTTAACCCGTAGGCTAGCAGTGGGCTGAAAGACGTCCCCAATGTAATCACAATTGCTAAAGCGGCCAACCTAAATCATTCCAGTGAGTGACTGGAACAGGGCGGTTCAACAATGTCGGGTGTTACCTCTTCTGAAATTCATGACGAAGATACCAGGATGACACGAGGAACAGTATCACGCCATTGAAAGGGGCTCCAAAAATTCCCAGCAGGAGTCGGGTTATTAAAAGCTGTTGCCAATTCTTGACAAACCCCATTCCTAGCTGGGCGGCACCCCAGGCGAGTATCAAGGACGTCATCAGTTCGCGGACACCGATCCAACGAAGTACCATGTTGGAAGGGAGTTGCCTGATTTGGTCGTCCTATGAGCAATGTTGTGGTGCACAGGAGAATGTGCTCACAGAAGAATGTGGGGGACGAAGAATATGCATGTGATGATGCTGTATCGGACGCCTACGGTCAATTCCTAAGAACTTCGTCAGTTTGCTGAGCCCAGAGACAGTGTGCTATGTCTAAAGTAGCGAAACAAACCAGTGCCTTATCTAGGCCAGCAGCGTAAGCGGATCCCAGGTTATGAGGCTCAGTGGTTGAGAAGCATTGGATGATGGCTAAGATCGGGAGAATACGCAAGTCAACCCATAGCCTGTGTGAGGAGGTACATAGGGTTTTTATCGTACGCGACGTCAATAATAGGGGGACTTACATAGTTCTTCGTTCGAATTTTGGGTCACGCGAAACCTCAACAGCTTCGACAATCTCGGGAGGGGGTACTGGATCGGTCTTTTCGTCTGCTAAGTCTAAGGGATGCGACGACATGGCAAAAACGAGAAGGGTGTCCGCTCGGAAGCAAGGGAATGCTACGCACATACGGGTGGTTCTTATACTACTTGCTCGCCTGCAGGGCCACTGGGCGCGGAAGCGAGAAGTCTGCCATGCGTACGCAGACATTCTTCTGCATCATAGAACAGGTCTTTCGCTACGAAAACCTCGGAAATTCTCACAGATCGTCCCAACTGTGAACGCTTCCTCTATCACTGTTCGTCCGGTATCTCTGAGAGAGATAGGAGAGGGCGAAATGAACTCTAATTTTCTGCGAAGTTTGTAACCGATTGCCCAATCTTGATTCTTGGCGCCTTCTTAGACTAGACATAAAAATAACTCGAAGATCTTTGATGTCTGGACCGGCCAGGCGGTCTAGGAGTAAGTATCACCATTCCCTACAGATCCTAGTGACCTGAGCACATCAACCATGTCGACCCTTGTCTTCACGAGCGGTGTTAAATTTAAGCGCCAGCGTTTGGAGCTTGGTGGGAATTTGGCGCCGATCCTGGTTTTGTTCCCACCTGGGTTCGAACACGCGGGCCAAACGGATGGTGGCACAGCCACCATCTGTGTTATCAAGCATCGAGTCAGCGACCGTGAACAAACTCGACCCGGCTTATTATCTTCGAAAATCGCAGCCTTGTCTGCTGAAACTCTACCTTAAACGACCACAACCTCAAATCCTACATAAAAGAGAGTTCACGATGTCTGAGCCGCTGTTCGACCCATCCTTGAAGAAGAAAAAGAAGAAGACCGTAGCGTTCACGGAAGACCCATTGGGAGCAGATGCAGACCCAACAGCGCCCGCACCCGACACGATCGACAGCACGACCATCAGCGGTGAGGCGGTGGATTTGGGACCCAAGACGGCCCATGAGAAGATGAAGGCAGAGGCCGGGGAGGGTGATGCTGGCAAGGCCAAAGAGGAGGACGATTTCAAGGCCATGTTTGGCGATATCAAGAAAAAGAAGAAGAAGAAGGAAATCCCTCTCGATTTTGTATGTCTTTCCGTTCAGTTTTACATTCTGAAGTCGCCCAATAACTAGGACCGCGATTTTTGGCGTATAGGGTGACGATTCTGCACCAGCAGCTGCTCCATCCGGAGACGGAGCTGCAGAGGGCGGAGACGATCTCGACTTCTCAGACTTGAAGAAGAAAAAGAAGAAGAAGACAAAGTCTGCCTTTGATCTTGAAGCTTTCGAAAAGGAGCTCAACGAGTCCAAGGCCAAGTCTGGCGGAGATGACGAGGAGGATGAGGACGGTGCTCCCGTCGACACATCACATCTGGATAACATCGACGAAGCTGAGCTTGGAGACGATCCTTTCGCTCAACCCGATGCGCCCACTGGCGTCGATGCGGGCACCGAAGCCTGGTTAGGCACCGATCGTGATTACACTTACCAGGAGGTAATGCTCAGACAATTTATTTCCGGGGGACTATTTCTGATCTATGTCTTTAGCTCTTGACCCGATTCTACAATTCTCTCCATGCCGCCAATCCTGCTCTCCTCTCTTCAACCACCAGGAAACGTTACACCATCGCACCACCCCAATTGTTCCGAGAAGGAAACAAGAAGTCGATCTTTGCCAACGTCACCGAGATTTGCAAGAAGATGCACAGGCAGGTGCGAACTGTTCTTTCTCTTCTGTTCAGGCGCAGTGCTGATCTTGTATATCCATAGCCCGAGCACGTCATCCAATTCTTGTTCGCCGAAATGGGTACCACCGGAAGTGTCGACGGTGCAGGCCGATTGGTTATCCGAGGTCGTTTCCAACAGAAACAGATCGAAAACGTCCTCCGACGTTACCTCGGTACGTTTTAGTTTGCTCCTTTCCATCCATAGCGATTCGACCAACTGACGCTGCTTCTTCTTCCACTCTTTTCAGTCGAATACGTCACTTGCAAGACATGCAAATCGCCCGACACCCTCCTCACCAAGGAGAACCGTATCTTCTTCGTTGCGTGCGAGTCTTGTGGCAGCCGAAGGTCCGTCAACGCTATCAAGAGCGGTTTCCAGGCCCAGGTCGGCAAACGAAGCAAGAACAAGGTTTAAAAGGAGCTTCTCCTTCACAGATGTACCATACAGACTCGTACACATTGGCATATTTCTTCAATATCGATCAACTTTTCCCAACCGATCCTCTGGAAGGACGCGACAGGAGTTTCGACTCCCACTCCTCGACATTGACGCTCCCTAATCTCGTGTGCGACTGAGATCCAATGGTTGTCAACATTCTCTCTTCAGAACAAGGCTATAATTCTACATATCGTCGTCCCATGCACTCACCGGGGCGTTAAATAAACTTACAACAAAGTCGTCAGCGGTCAGAGAGAAGTTCAGGAGCTGGGAGGATGGCGTAATTAGCGGCTCTGCGGGCACCTTACAATGTAGGACGAACCCAAAGGTAGGAGGACGAACTCAAAAGCTCCTGAGCGATGACTCAACGGTCTTGTGGGCGACAAGCGTGGTCACCGTCACCCAGAACTGGACTCAGTTCTCTGAAGCTCTTCATCCTGTTCCCATTGTAAAATCAAACTATGAACATCAAATACGATGTGACTAAGGTAGGCATGCAGTAGACGAGAAAACATGGGGGAGGTAGGTAGGTAATACACGGTGTTTTGAAATGATGTACATGGCTGAAAAAAGGAAGACAAAAAACGAAAGCATATCCAAACAATTCGAATAAATTACATTAGGTATCCGAAGGCGAACGTTTTGGAAAATTGTGTAGGTAGAATGTTAGTTGTCCCCATCCATTAAAAAAGACATTAAGATCCCAAGAACTTGTGAGTAGAGTCTTCCCATCTAAGAAAGTAAACCCCCAGTCGTCACGTCGCCTGAGTGAGCGGAGGCACTACAGGTGCAGACGAAGCAGCTGGCGTCGTCGTATGATTCGTGCTTGTCGTGTTCGTAGTTGCTTGGCCACCTAACCCTCTCCACCAACGGTTGATGCTGCTGCCGAAGCCACTTGCCCCTGTTGTCGTCGTCGGAATTGGGGTGCTTCCCTTCACAAATCCAGTCTTATCCATCCGCCCGGAGGGTACGCTAATGTCGTTCGATGCTGATGTGGTCTGGCGTGTCAGTGGCCTTGGGGCGTCGGGAAGAGGGACAGGAGGCTTGCCAGCCGAGGATGCAGCTGCCACGGAGACATTGCCCGGGATCAGAGGAGGAACAGGGGGAACCCCGCCCGGGTGTCCATGACCATGTCCAGACTGCGAACTGAGGCTCAGAGAACTAAGCGACGCTGAGCTCGAGTTGTTCGTTAGGAGATTACTGAACCCACTCTCAACCGTGCCGCCGGTGTTGTTCCGTTGATGCTTTGAGAAATCCGACTGTTCATCGTCCATGGTCGAAGGTTCCTGGAAGTAAACCGGGCTTCCTAGAACGTTGGTCGCAGGGTTGGCCGATTGTCCATAGGGGTTTTGGTAGTACACGTGACTGTCCTCGCTTGCGCTAGTGCTCGCTGTCTCGCTCCGTCTCGGTTTTGCCTTCTTCCTAACCTCCTTGATCTTCTCTTTCCGGCTTCGATAATATTGATGGAGCATCGCACCCACACCACCACCAGCAACCTTTTCGGAAGCCCTCCCAATTGTAGCATCCCGGTCCCGATCCAAAGGTATTCCACCCGCACCCACTGTCTGCCCAGCCAAGACACCTTCGATCCCGAGGCCCAAGCCCGTCGATGCCTTGGTCGGCACACCAACAATCGTTTCCTCTCCCGGGCTCTTGAGCCTCCCAAAGAACCCTTCGTCATTGCCTCCACTCCCCCCACTCTCACTCGTGGTCGTACTCGTGCTGGTCGTGTCTCGGCTGAAGCTCCGGCCAACAGGGGGAGGCTGCCCAAAACCAGGGTTCATCGGCATCCCAGCCATCATCCCCTGCACATGAGGCCCTCCATACTGCATCATCAACATCCGCCTCTCCTGTTCGCTCATCGCATCCAGCTCCTCAGGGTCCATATAAACTGTAAACGGGTTTTCTCGGCGTTTATCAGTCGTCACAGTTGGATTAAATATGGCATCGATCAGAGCTTCCGTAGTCTTGGGTCCATAAGCGACAGGAAGTCTTTGGACGTCGAAAGCAGCGAGTTCAACGTGTTGATGCCGACGAGAACGAGGGTGGTGTTGGCGGTCGTGATCCAGGCTGGATTGACCATCGTCGGTATGCGCCACGCTATCATCATCCCCAGCACCCTTCATCGCCAGCACACCATCGTCCTCGGGAGCGCTCTCAAACGCGTCCGCATCGCTCTCCGTATCAGCATCAACTTCGCTCTCGCTGGCACTCTCCCCACTGACAGGCGGAAGGGCGGAAGGGTTCGTCTCCAGCTCGAGGCGGAACTTCTGGCGCCGCTCCTCGCGCCGGATCAAGCGACGCCTGGCCTTCTCAGATTCCTTGTCAGACTGAATGGAAGGCGCTTTAGGTGGAGCTGGGGCAGGAAGGGGGATGTTTAGGCTCCTTAGGAAGTCTCGTCTAGCTTGAACAGCCGCGGAGGATCCTTGTTCGTCGAGTTCGCTCTCGCTTTCACTGGGAAGCGCATACGGGTCTTTTAGGCGGTCTTCAGCCAGCGTAGCTTCGTCCTCGAGGCCATCGACACGCCCTAGCAAATCCATGTCTAATTCCTCCTTGTCGCGGTAAGGCCCGTAGGTATAAGCGTAGATATCCTTCGTCCGCTGCTTGTACAGGGTGTCGTTTTGAGCCAGGAAGTTCTCGATGTCGCCCATGATTTCGGCCTTGGGCAAGGGTGGGGCAATGTAGTCGGTGTTGCCGCTCACGTAGGTCATCTCGATAGAGATCTGGGTAGAGAAGAGAAGAGTTAGTCCAATTGCCGTAGTTAAATGAGACGCAAAGATAGAAGAGGCCTGTTTGATGGGCATAAAAGACTAGGGTAATCACTCACCTTCAAGGTGGCATTCACGCGACTCTCCTTGAGCAGATATCGCCTCTCTACCTTCCCCTTGCCAACGTATTCCGCCAAATTTAGGTACACAGCACCTGTTCAATGCACAACACGATTGATGTCATAGTTAGTTAGAACCATGGTGAACAGACAAGAATAAGGAATGATGAAACTTACCCAGCCTCGGGTTCTGAGGGACCCCGTCGGGGTCATCTGGTATCACACGCTGCATTACGACCAGTTTGAATTCGCTGGGCGACAGGTTGTGCTTCGGGTTCCCTTGCTGATTTGAGTTTCCTGAACGTGAGGCAAGGTCGGTGTAAGCAGAACACTCGAGTTACTAGATGGCTTCTGTACGTACGGGCAATGTCGAACTTTATGATCGCGTTCAGAGGATAGGCAAACGTGATACTATGGTCCTTCAGACGCTTATATGGCGTAATGCCTCGTGGGGGCGATAAATTGGCTTCCGGGATACCACCAGGCGCAAACGTGCCGTCGCGGGGTGAAAGGACACCAAATCCGAGGGGATGGCTTCCTGCATTGGCTTGAGTGATTGTCCCTGTGGGCGACAGCGCATTCATCATTCCAGGAGAAAGCGGTCCATCCAAGCCCGGTGAAGTCGGTATGGCGCCAACGCCCAGTGCTGCGTTGGAGGCGAAGCTTTGTTGATAGGTCGGGGAGAACAGTAGCGACTCTTCATAAGCTTTCGAAGTGCTTGTTGAGGAGAATAGGTATTGATTGATACCATATCCATTAGGCGACGTAGAGTTCGGCGACCCTGTCGGTGGCGAGAAAAAGTTACGGCTGAGATTACCACTAGGAGCTACCTTCGTCTTCCTGGTCGCAGTACTCGAAGGGGTGGATGTGACAGTGGTAGTGTTGGTCGCAATCGAAGCGCCGCTTCCAGAAGTACCAAAAGAGGTCGACCTAGACGAATAGCTGTCGGTCGAAGAGTAGCTTGAATAGCTGTTCATCGAGTTCGAATGCTGGGATACTTCAGAGATTAAGCTCGGGCTGGAACCGTTCGCAAGAGGGTGGGATAAGCCAAACTCGCTGGCTCCTTGGTGATCGTCCTTAGCCTTCCCTTTATTATGACTGCGCGCCTTCATCTTCCCAAGCAATCCTGCCTCTTCTCCCTGACCGCCGAGTTTGTCTGAGGCCTTCACTTCCCCTAAACCAACACTGTTCCTGAGCTTCCATCGCACTCCGAACTCCCCCCTCACGAATGGCACATTGGCCAGCTGCTGGACCTCTATCTTTGCAAGGAAATAGCTGTGCGCCTCATGGTGTGATCGGGGGAGGAATGACTTCAGCTTGCCTTTCGCGGTGGTGGGGGTCTTGGTGGTGGTCGATGTCGGAGGGGCGGCTGATGGTAATGGAGACGATGGTGAAAGAGGCGTGCGAGACAGAAGAGGTGTCCTGGGCGCAAGCGACGGGGTTCCTGGTGTGCCCGGGCGAAGCAGAGGCGTTCCGGGTTTCGTGAGGAAGGACGGCGTACCCGGTGTCGAGACGTCGTGTATTGGAGGTAGACCAGCGATATTAGCGGCGCCCTCTGCCAAACTCTGGTACTGACCGGGCTGAAGGGTGGTTGCTGAGGAAGACGACGCCGATGGAGAAACTAGAGACGGCAAGGTCAAATTTCGCAGGTTCTTCGGCCTTGGATTGGCTGACGGAGAGGCGAGAGGGGCGGTATTCTGTCGAATGGGTCCTGGGCTCGACGGTGTTGGCTTGACGGCGCTGGAATATTCTTCGCTCGCTTGGGCGCTCAGATTCGGCGAATCAACGTCCTCGTCACCCACGATTTCTGGGGACGAAGTCATGTTTGTGGTCGCTGGGTTCTTGTGGTCGCAGTTTGGGTAGCGATGCTGATTTTGTGATGATGCTATGACAGGAAACCGGTGATATTATGGCTCGAAGATTACGAGGCGGTCCAAAGAAAGCGGGCGCCCTTGAATTGGTGTCAACGTAAGGCAGCGCTGGCGCTCAAATATCGTGCTCGTCGGAGTTTCCAATTGCTGGTCGTTACTGGGCAGTTTCAGTCAATGGTCCTCGTCTATCTTGAAGGAACGTAGACCTTGAGCGTCCGTGAACCGTGCAAAGCTGGAATATGGACCTCAGCAACATTCGATGCGACTTGGACCTGGAAACTTACTAATTAACGGTAATTAGGAATATTAATGACTGTTCTTATGGAATCGACGCGTTCTCGTCACAGAAACCGGTAGCGAAGGTTAATTACTGGCAGCTGCCGTTGTTCGTGTGGTCCATGGATGTTTTCTGCCGTCGCCGTTGCTGTCGTCGACGTCGAGGACGACGGTGGGGCTGAGAGACCTGAACGACGTGTCCAGAGTTCGACTGACCCAGCGTGGGAACCTTTGTCTCACATGATCGCCGGTGTCGCCGAGAAAGCCTAGAATAAGCGCCCAATAGTGCTTTCAAGTCCGAGAAGGCAGAAAACGGAGTCTGCGGCAATACTAGCACTTTTGAAGTAACACGAAGGAGACATTGTGACTCTAGTATACAGAGTAATTCAGGGAAATACATGTGGTACTTCGACTCGACTCGACCCCAGATGACACAAACATTCTCCAGAGTCCATCTCAATCACGAAGGAACGCATTGGGAGTAGTATTGATTCACCTTAAAGGAGGTGTCGGAAGAAGCTTGAAAAGGATTACTTGAAACGTACCTCTCTGCAAATGGATCCATTAGCACAAACAGTCGGCCCAGAGTAACCGACTCCTCCGCTGCAACAGCCATCAGAATGATATCGCATCTACAAAAGATCTCAGACATACCATTGGCCCCAAAGAGTCTGAGTAGGTCCAGGAGCGGTACTCGTAGTAGTCGGCGTGGTTGGTGTTGACGTCGGGACACTCGTGGTAGGCTCAACTGGGGAGGAGCCTCCAGGTCCTTTAAGCAAGAAAATCTCTCCAGAAGTATCACTCGAGACATATAAATTTTCTCCATTGGCAGAGAAGATTAGCCCAACCGGGCGGAAGCAGCCTGTTGGGTACCCAAAAAAAAAGTCAGTTTCGGTGATCGGACAGTTGAGTTACCACATACCTCCTTGGCATTGGTTCTCGTTCCTATTTGTGAGGAGATCGGTGAAGCTGGTCTTCGTCTGCGCAAGATCGACAGTGGGGCTCCATTCTCCCGTCGCCGAGTACCTCCCAGGGATGATAACGACTTTGTACCCCTGCATCAACGATATTTAGTACAGCCTCTGAGCAATGAAACTTGATATACCTGTGGCGGGCTCCGATTCCAGCTTCCATGTAACCCAACGTACAAATTAGTATCATCGGGTCGAACTCCGAACTTCATATCAAGAGGTGCCGTGTGCGGTGGCAGCAGAGCGATAGGTTTCACGGAATTCGCTTCACACCATGCATCTGTGTACTGGCTGTTTCCTGTATCTTGCACGAACCAATCTCCAGGCCGCACAGATTTGTCGATGATGTCGGTTTCTTCCCAAACGGTATAGCAGTAGGGATAGCCGCCAAACAGGTTCTCATTGGGCGAAGTTGGATTGCCAACTGCGTAGTTCGGGGTTAAAAAAATGGGTGATCAGTGACAGTAATACAAGGGCAATAAATACGCACGGCGGTAAACCTTCTCGGCAGGGTTGTTGTTGTGGATATCACGTCGAACGCCATTGACAGTTCGATATGCATTATCCAACGAATTCTCTACATCGGATGAGTCGTCGAAGGTTCGGCGACGAAGAGCCTAAGAGGGAAGTATAACGCACCAACGCTATAAACAATCCCAGCCCTGTCCTCCGCGATTCCAACGTCATTTCTCAGCCCATACCTGCAAGTGCCCAATTTCAGTGCAATCACCCTGGAGATGAAGCATCCGGGCTTACCCAAATACCTTCCCGTAACTACTATTATAGGGAGCGCCGTTTGCAGGAAGGTTCCGCATGTCAAATACCCTAATCTGACTTCTTCCAACAGCAGGTTGGAACGAGGGCACGTCGATATTCGAATCGGACCCAACGCTAAGCGATATAAAGTCGGGGTATTTGCGAGAGACGTGGATAGTGCGGGTGTTGTGTCCTGGATTGAACATTCTGTCGCAAAGGTCGGTAAGGAAAGCTCTTATAAAATTGCGTAGATAATTGTCAGACGTACCCAGTTACAAGGACCTTCATATTCGAAACCGTCATTGCAACGGGATCGTAATCCCAAGACCACGCAATGTCGCTCGAGCTAAAATTAAAGGCAAACCGATAGGGTAAAATCATCACCTCCAGGCCAGTCAATCTATAAATACCCCCACGCACCTGGCATAAAGCTTATTCCCGACAACATCCAATCCATGATTCAACCTTGTATCCTGGATGATGGTCTGACTACTCGTGACACACCCGTTCGCGTCGACTTGGTGGCCAGTCACGCCGATACCGCGCTGCAGAACCAACAAGTTTCCTCTGGAGTCCATGGTAATTCCTCTTGGAGACCGTAGGCGACCAAGAACCGGTGTAACCCTCCATCCAGGAGCAACGTTCATGACATAGCTCGGAGCGGGGGCACCAGGGCACGAGAGCGGCCCAGTGGGAGTAGGGATCTGTGTCGTCGTAGCGGTAGTCGGAGTTGGCCCGGGCGTTCCCCCGCCGGGGGTCAAAGGTGGTGCATTGGCAAGCTGCGAGAGAATTGTGTCGTATGATGCCGAACGGGCATTGACTGTATTGAGGATATGCTGGCCCGACAGCGTATGCTGGTACAAACTCGAGTTGGGATCGCTGGGCGTGAGAGGCTTAATCGCCGCATGTGTCACAAAACCGAACAGGTGATCCCCGTTGAGGTTGATCCCTCCAGATCCTCCTGACCAAGACGTGCAATTCTATTGAGAAAGGTGAGATATCTTCTCATACATTCAACAGAGGTTGATCCTACCTCGCAACGATAGAAGATACGCTGGTGAGTGCTGTTGGCCCCAGATGTACCTAGAACAGTCAGCCTCGGGCCGCCAACAAGCGGTCGAGGTGGTATGTAGCCACTATACAATGTCCTTTAGTTTCCTGGGATACCTCGAAGGTTAGCCGCAAAGACTTACTCGATACGTCGAACGGAGATGACTGCCTTGCCAGAATCATCAACCCACCCAACAACCAGTGGGTTATCTGGCATTCCCCCACCCAAGCTGTTACCTATCCATCCAGCTCTCACCGGGGCGGTGAAGAATCCAATAAACTCGTTCCTGCCAGCGGGAGGAAATAGGTAACCCCATGCAGTGTCGAGCGACGAAATGTAGTGCCGCCAGAAGCAGATATTGGTCAAGTTATCGCACCATTGAGTTGCGACGGGAAAGAGTTGAGCAGTCACCAGAAGAGCTAGGAACACCGAAGGTAAGTTTTCAAACTGCGAAGGAAGATAAACAAGCTCACACACCTCGAAGGGACAACACAAGCACGAAGCCAACAAGCGCAACCATTTCGCAACCTTCAATCTTCTGCGCACATAACTGACCATCGATCTTAAAACAAAACAGAAACACGGCATATAGTCGGTTACAAAAGATAAAACCACCTATCTTGGCCAAGAGGACTCGACACTCTCATATTAGCCAAGGACATCGCGAAGCCATGGACTGTATACGACGGGAGCACGTATCAATCTTCATCGGTAAATCAGAACCATTGCCATGCTTCACAATGCCGACCCTCGCGGAGCGCATGATGCATCTCTATCCTGGCAGCGACATAGCTGAAGCCTCGTCAGAGGTTTCCATCCTTGTCACTTACGAAAAGCCACACCACCTGACCCGTCGTGATAAAATCGTCACAAATGTCGCGCTGATAACGGAGAAAATACGTCGCAGATAAATGTCGCGGCATCTTGGGAAAGCGAAAGAAGCGAGCGATTGTGGAAGGTAAATGCGGCAAATGCGCGAAGGGACCGAAGGAAGCATGGGACGACGGTGTCTTGCCCCATTAGGAGACACCCTAGACTGTTTAGGTCGAGAGCTTGGACAAGGGATCGATGATGTTCGAGTCAACACTCCCAATTCGATCAACAATTGAAGAGAAGGGACACAGGAAGACGTTGAATGACAACGAGAGCATTCTTTTGGGGAGGCAGGTCAGCTACCTTCCAGTATCTACATCAGGCACTGTTGGTAATTGGACCCCATAGCCGACGCCGCTCTTGCTTCCGAATCATGGAGAATGTCTGAGCCTGCTCCAAAATCCGGTCCCAAAATTCCAACTCGGGGTAACGATGGAATTCGATGGTCTTCAGTGAAGGGAAGAGGGAGGAAAGAATCATCGCAACAGGTTCCTCCTGATGCTCTCCCATCGTGACGGTATGCATCAGGTTCAGATTCTTCACCTTGGAGCAGGCGGGGCCATTCCCCGGTGAATTAAGGGGCTCCGGTTCAGGTAGAGTTGTAAGGTCCAAAGTGAGCCGCAGCGATTCGAGATTCGGGCAGTGTTCTGCAAATAGCGCTAGTTGGCCGAGGGTCATATCGGGTTTGGTCAAATCCGCGACATGGTGCTGCAGGTAAAGGGTCTTTATTCGGGGCCACGCTTTGGCGACTCGCTCCGGCCCATCATCGTGCTCGTTGAGATAGACAGGGTAATGTAAACCGAGCTCGAGATGTTCAAGTTTCTTCAGGGAAAAGAGAGGCTGGAGGTGATCGCAAGTTGCCAGTTGTCCAGATGGGCGGACGAATCCGAGTTGTGGGTCGTGAATTATCTGGAGGGAGATGAAATTTGTACGTGAGACATGGTCGACCAACAATGTGAAGAAGTGGAATAACTCCTGAGGAGTGGGGGAGACTGGATTTGTGTAAACAACGCGAAGGCCATGGAGTTGCGTGGGCGGAAACTTAGCGAAGAGTGTCTCGAAAGGTGCCAGTTTGTCACATCTGACCCCCAGGTATCGAAGAGATGGAAACAAACCCGTTTTTCCATTGACGCATTTGATGAAGACTCCAATATCTGTTGTCGATTCGAAAACCTCGATGGCTTGAGTCGCGGATCCGAGGTGCCGAATGGTATCGTAGGAAATGTTGAAGGGGTGCGAGAGATGGCGAAGAGAGGGAAGGTTGCGTAGAGGTTCATCAAGGGAGAAAGATGCAGCGATGTTGTCGTGGGTTTCGCAGCTGCACGATGGCTCGTCGATCGTCACCACTAGCTTTTGGAGACGTGGCACCTTTGTGGGCAATTCGAGCATAAACTTCTGCGCAAAGAAATCGAAGGATTGATGATGACCATGATAGTGGTAGCGAAATTCGATAGTTGTCAGACTTGGAACCAGAAAGGTTTCAAAAAACGGCCTGGACAGGCCTGCAAAGGCACACCGCAAATGTCGTAGACTGGGCAGGCAACCGTATCGAGGTAATGCGCAGATCATACTGGGATGGACATCTGCGATTCGTTGACCGATTTTCGAGTCGTATTTCGGAAAGGTGATCTCAAGCTTTTTGACACGGTTGGCGTAGAGTCTGAATCGCTCCCATTCTACAGGGGTTGGAATCCTTGTAAAATCCTGCACGGTCAATCAACATCAAACCATTTCTTAATCAATCCTAAGACAACTCACCATTCCCTTTCGGGGGTTCCAGCCATGGCCAGACAGTTCACTGAAGGTGTGTTTGCTGGTCCAGCTATCGTCCGGGAGAAGGGACAAAAAGCGCGTCAACGTTGTCTCATGCCACAGAATACCCAACGCGGGCGACGTGAAGGCTTTGCATGTTCGTGCCAGATTCGCCACGGTTTTCGCGTGTTGTTTGTCGTTTTCGTCATTCTCGTACACGTATTGGAAGATGAGAGTCACGATTTCGGGAATACGTAGACAGTTGTGCATGGTAGAGGTCGGGACCAAGCAGTGCGCACCATAAAGGGCCCTCGGCCGGCAGAGAGCTACCCTCAAGTGGTTTTCACGTGATCATCAAGACTCGGATAGGGGCGCACGGGCGCCTAATAGTAGTCTCCCGTATGTGTTTCATTGGTAAGTACTACACTAGGTCGTCTGCTGAATCGGATTTGGAAACACTGCTTGATTCACCTCCGCCTTTCCCTGCGCAGCTGCAGCCACCTTCTTCTCAGCGAAGGCGAACGGTATCAATTGCTCTCTCACGTCGAATTTTGGTGTCGTACAGGAAGTATAGGACATCTCGTGTCTCGCCGAAGGTTGACGACCTGAAGATAGGAAAGATTGCTGAGCTTTGGTGGTGGCATCGCGCTGGACAGTGGAAACCTTTTGCATCTGCTTCCGCGACGGCGCGTGTCCGTTTTAGGCAACGTCGCGAGAGGCGGCGGGGTTTGTCGGCGTTAAGTTACTTTCATCCGAACCACGACATGGCGACAACATTGGCTTTGAAACACTCGGGGTGGTCTTCTGGCACAACGATCTTAAAGACATGGAGGCCTCAGATATAACGGTGTTACTTCTCTGCGATACCCAGGCATTGTCCCTCTTGCCCACTGGGTGTTGTCGAAGATGGAGATTGCCTCGAGCATCTCGATGTGCTCGCAAAAGGTACGCTCTCTCTGACACTTCTAGGGCTTTCCTGAACGACAGTCGTTTAGCTTGAACCTTTCCAGCACATTGACACATCCGAAGACGACGACGACACCAACTGGCTGCTGGTCAGAACAAGCCAGCTCCTGCTAGTGGCAGACTCTCCCCAACCTGTTGTGGAGCCTCCGAAACCCAGGACGACAATCAACAGCCTCCCAAACGAGCTGCTGGATGTGATTTTCAAGATCACGCATGCCGACTGGCTGCTGTTCACCCTTCATCCAGAACTGTACTCATCGCAACCCAGTACACTCCGGAAGAGATCATGGAAGGGATTGATGAAGCTGTTCTGCCAATTCCCTTACACGCCGGCTGCAGTCTGTCGACGCTGGAGAAACATCGTTCACGATACGGCTCGGTTCTGGACACGACCTGTCGTATTCGTGGATAGCAGGGACCCGTTGGCCTCCCTATCCAACCTAAAGAACTTCATTCAGCGATCCAAAGGCCACCCGCTCATCCTTGCTGTCGTTCGCAAAGACTACAACGTCGTTCAAGACCTCCAAGAAGGCATGAACGTGTCGCTCTTCATGGACGTCATCCTCGCCAACCTCAACCGCTTCAACGACATCTACTTCCACCTCCACCATAGCTCCTCCCTTCCATCCATCGCTCAATTCCGGTATCAACCTCCCTTCCAGCCCAATCTCGCCCGATTGGCTCTACATTGTGACGAGGACGACGGACCAAACCACGACACCACCATTCCCAAATTCCTGGTTGCGACGCACTGGCCGCCTTCCCTCGTCACGCTGAAAATCGACGGTCGCAACTTTGGCACCATAGCTAAGGAACCGTACACATGGTCCCTTGTCCTCTCCCACCTCAAGACTCTCTCCATCGAGCGCCTCGACCAACCCGCCCATTCCACCCACGAACCACTCTCTCTCCTCGAGAGCCTCGAGTTCCTAGCGCGGCTCCCCGAGCTGGAAGTCCTCACCATCCGCGACGTCGCTTTCGAGACCAGCACCCGAGTTCCAGGAACAGCACCCATCGTAATCAACGTCACCGACCTCATCCTCGAAGACCTCAGCGCCGACGTCGCCAAACACATGTTCGATCTGGCCATCTTCAACCCCACCTACCTCCTCCTCCGCAACATCCCCATCGACGCGCTCCCACACGTCCCCCAACCCATCTTCCTCGAACTATCGGAAATCCCAATCGACCAAGACATCGAAGACTTCCTCTGCTTCTGGGACGGAGAAGTTCTGGCGCTACGGGACTGCCCGGGGTTCAACGATGCCATTCTGGCCTTGTTTGCGGAAGAGGTGTCGCCTCCTTATCATATCTGCCCCAGCCTGCGGGAACTGCACGTCCAGAATTGCAGCAACTTTAGTGGGAGGGGGTTAAGGAGGATGGCGGAGATTCGGATGGACTTTGCGTCGAGGAGGGAGAACGAGAGTCTCAATTTGTCGCACATCAGTGACATTTTTGTTAGTGGGATGGGACCTATCTTGGCACCCGAAGACGCGCTGTGGATGAGGACCCACCTCAAGACGTTTGTATGGAGCACCGTGCAACCTTCGGGCGGGTCGTGCCATCTGGATCCAAGCGCTGTCGTTCCATTTACAATCCCATAACTCAATTTCTTCCTTCTCTGACCATTTGTTCCTACGATGATGACGATTTTCATGACCGCAACGACGTTTTCACGACATGTTTCATACTTCATGGACTTTGACTTTCCTCTGTGACCCGGCGATTTAGATTGTACTTAACATTGTATGGCATGTCCCATAGTAACCATCCACATTCGGACTCAATGGGGCGAACGACGAACATCTGCCGGCGGCAGGCACCTGCCAACGGGCATTTTACGGGGTTTATGCGAGGCTTTACCTGTACGCATTATGAACGCTTTAGATCATAGTGGTACTGTAACGTGTACGTAGTGTGAAGAAAATAGACTCAAGTGTCTCTTGTCTGACGTGAGCGATGACCGATCGTCACACCCTGTGAGTACCTCGTTCTCTGGCTTTCAGGAAACGAGTACATGTGAAGCTGAGGAAGCCTGTCGAGACGCATACGCCCGCGAAGACGATGGGGCGCCACCAGTGGAAATCTGAAGTGAGCAAAAGGCCTGCGATTGGCGTGCCTGTGCAGGTCAAGTTAATTGGCTATTTTGAAGCGGTAGGTATGGGAAAGCGCACCTATCAGACCACCAATGCCTAGGAAAGTAATTTATCATGAGCACCCAGCCCCGGAGATTGACTGACAATGCCTTCATACCTGTGAACGTAAAGCAAATCCCCAACCGTGATCCTATCTCACTATCGCTGTGCGCCAACGACGTGATTGCTGGCGGCAACGTGCCCACATCTAAATCATGAGTGAATTAATCCAAACGTTCGTACTCCGGGAGATTGTCTTCGCTCACAAGCTCCGGAGAAGAATCCAAAGAGGACGGAGTAGAAGATCGTCCCTACGGCGTTGTTTACTGCGAGCGTGCAGAAAACGAGGATGGCGGAGACTGCGGTACAGGGAACGAGGACATTGAAGGCACCAAATCGGTAGATGAAGATGTTTGGGACGATTCGGCCGATGATGCTGGAACCGTTGAGAATGGCGATCTGAATCACAGCAAAGGCAGTCAGTGGAATCCCAGTAGACTGGCGGGAAGCTATCCTACCGTGTAGAACGCAAGGTCCGGGTTGATACCATTCTTTATCGAGTTGAGCTGGATGAAGTAGATTGGGAAGTACAGGCCAGATAGAACGCATATCGTCCTGGAAGCTCGTCGTGTCTCATACACCCTGACAAAGAAGAATGCCGACTCACCCAAATACCGTGATCGTATAGGGGATATCAGAGAGGAACGTTCGGAAATTCTTCAAAAGACCGGGATCCGAGTTCTGCTTGCGAGCTGCGAAAGCCTGTGGCCGCGGTTTCATCAAGATGATGGAAATCAGGAGAAGTCCTCCAATAAGACCCGCACTTGCTCGGACTCCGTTATGAAACCCTAAGGAACCATGGAACCATTTGTTCAGCATGATAGGGTGGAGCATCCCGCCTAGCGCTGAGCCCTTGGGTAGCTGGGTGAGTCGCCTTTAATTGGAGGAGATAACTAGGGGACTCACGGCAGTTCCTATCCCCAAGGCTAATGACCGACGTTTAAGGAAGTATTGAGAGATGATCCCCAAAGCCGGGATGTACATCAGCCCAATTGCAATCCCCATCCCTATGCCTTGCAACAAGAACACCTAAAAGTTGGTTGAAATGAAGAGGTCAGGATGGAGGGTCCTCCCCAAGATTCGAAGCAAGAGAAAGCAAGAGACTGGATAGAAATCCCCAGTCTGGAATCTTGGGCTCCATGTCAACTTACCTGGTACAACTTCTCCGGCTGAGTGATGGAGAGCATAAATAGGCAGAAGACGAGAAGGATGGAACCTCCGATCATGAGGTGATAACTGGAGAAGCGCGTCGTCGCCGAGTTCGATTAGGGTGGGAGGGGTGAATGGGACTGTACGTTGTTAAGAATGGTACTCACAAGTATCCTCGATCGAAGGCCCGTCCGGAGACGAGCCCTGAAGATAGGACCAGACCTAGCTGGACGCTACCGATCCAACTGAACAATGAGGTGGGTGATTGGTATGCATTTGTTGGGCGAGATGGGTTGAGCCGCGTAGACCGTACCTGATTTGCCCTGAAGTGTAGTTCTTTGCAAGATAGTACCGAACGTAATAGTCTGGGGGAGGGGCTTAAGGACACCCCGCTGAATGTGAATCTTCAAGTAGAGCCTCCTACCATTGTATACTCCGTAGGCGTTGGTGTAACTAACGTTTGGAATCATTCAAACGCGCCCGTCCCCATATGATGAATTCGCTGAAGCACGAACCCGAAACTGCACATTTGCGAAATCACCCTACAAAATTCAATTCTTTCGTTAGCGGGAAACCTACGCGCAAAAGGAACAGAAGGACTACGCACACTCCAATGACCACAAGCCACGCCCGGAGCCCACCTTCTGGGAAGGTCGCCTCCCCCGCCGGCTGCTCAAGATCACCTCCTGTTTCTTTTACATTGACAGACCCCTCGCCCGATAACGAGCCGTCCTTCTTTTCGATGCGGTCATCGCCAGCAATTGAAACCGTTCTTGACTGCTGGGCTGGCGTCTCCGCCATGGGTACCACCGTCGATTCGAGCGACAAGGTGGGGGAGTCCAATGAGGGCATCGAGGTGTCGGAACGGGAACAAGGGATGCCGGGCGAGAAAGGATGGATCAACTTCGTCAGAATTTGCCTCCACAGTGGCCTCTTTTATATATGTAAAAACCCTACATCTCGATTCGCTTTGATATCCTTTTAGTACCCCTTATATCGCCGGTTAGAAGATGATCGTTGTTTCTTCGTAATCACACGCAGAATGGGCAAGACGTACCCCGTTGTCCTGTTCTTGAAACATCCAAGGTTATCTTGCGATTCCATTGGCAAGAGAAGATGGTAACACTTCGAAACGCGATGTCTTCAATCTTCTGGAGGTGTGAAATCTTGCTGGCATTTTTGGGAGGAAGGAAAGTCCCCGACCGGATCCAACTCCAGGAACCGCGATAGGGTCCTTGAAGATCAGATGTCCCGGCGGCAAAGTGCGGCAGTGTGTTTTTGCAGCCACATGAGCCGGTGGATTGGGAGCGATGGAAGCTTTTCGACATTCCTACCCAATCCGGGTGCTAGGAAACCATCCTTCTGAGTCTTTTCTCGTCATCGACAAGATAGTGTCCCATCGTGACAACGAGCTATCCCTGGAGTCTGCAGATAGGCGGCCCTCGTAGCGTGCAGGGTTGCTCCCCGGGCCCTCGCTCTCCTTGTGCACGAGTTAGAGGGAAAGATGTAGGGTTCAAGCGATGGAAAGATATGAGAACCAAGGGTCTCGGGTTGTCCTAAAGGGAAGTTGAGGATGGCGGATATGAAATCTGAATGAATGTTGCCGCTGGAATTGTCGTCATGTTCACGGAAGTTCACCCGTTGACATTGACGCCACTGTGACCAATCTAACTGATTATCAGACTATATTTATCATGTAAATCGCAGGGTAGAGAACGATTATCTTCTCGGACCAAGAGTCTGGTTAACGTTCACGAGACTAGTAAATCGCCCCTCAGGAAAATGCCCGGTCGAAATTGATACACTCTGTCATGTACATACAGTACAGGTACTTATATTTCTACAGGACTCTACGAAAATGTTAAGTATTGAACGGGTGTACTAGGACAAGGTTGAAGCCCGTTAAGCGCGCACTGGTCCAGCTGAGTCCTGAGCTTGCAGTCTAAGGGTCGATGAGATTTGGGCAAAATAATACGTACGTGTAGTACTACTGAGTCGATGAGTTCGCATCATTTATAGCCCTTTGAATTCCGATATAGAAGGACATTGTCCAGCTTGCCTGTTGGTTGCCTCAGGCGGGCCTGTGACAACGTTTGAACTGATTCAACGGCAACCTGCGGCAACTCCATGTCCTCAGCCGGATTGGAAGCCGGCCCCGAACGTTCTTGTCCTGGTTCTTTCCCTTCATTCATGTTGCTCTCAATATCTCTGTCGATCGTAAAGAGAGAGACCAATGATACGTTTTCTGGATGTCCTCAGGTTGGGCGGCTATTCATAAAGTGTGGATTCTAGACTCCTTGGAGACTAGGGCTCCAAAGTGGGATTGACCGTTGAAAGCATTTCTCATGTGGAGGAGAGATGTATGTAAGTTCTTATATGCCTTGCTTCTCGTCTCTTACCTAGGGTCATATTTCATTCCAGAAGGCGCGGGTGTGTGATTGTTGATCGCATGCCATCCAGAGCTTGGGTTCTGGGTCGTGAAGGTCAACTCAGGCCGAAAGGGAGGTATTCGTGGTTGTGTGCTGAGCGCTTTCACAGTGCACTTGTCGAGGAGTCTGGACCGCCGACGCCTCGAGGCGACATTTGGCGAGCACGGCCTTGGAAACCCATCCTAAACCCCTCACGGTACCGATGCTACGTATGAGGGGCACACACCGCAGACCAGCCGCAGACCACGCTGCCCGCCATTGCTCGGTCGCTGCTATCGCTGAGCGCCATTGGAACGATAGTGCCACAAGTCCGTTACTACCATTCAGAAGAACGGGTGGAATCTAACTGCGTAGAAAATGATTCTGCCCATTCTCCACCTCGAACGTTGAAGCTTGAATGCAGGCTGTTGACACGGCGTCCACTGTCAGAAACCTTAGCGGAAAGAGTGCCAAGCCGTGCGCCGTTGCAACATGCCATAACGCCTTCAGGGTCTCCTTGACGGGTGACAGCGATCTTTAGCTATTTCTGCTCCTCGGCTCACTCTTTTTTGAATTAGAGTGAGCCTCGCTTGCATTGACCATGTTCATTCTGCAATTTACCAGGCTACATTCGACCCTCTCAGAACGCATCAACATAAGAAATAAGGGCATGGCGAGCTGGACATATGGTCGAAAGCCAATGGGCACCAACCTCAGAGCTAAAATTAACACCCCATTTGGCGGACATTACGCCTCATTCCCAGCCATTTAACTCTTATTCGCTTTGCAAAGGCCCCGGGAATCAATTAACGTTAACGCTGAATTATCCCCTCTCCACTTTCGGATTGGGAATTTGTGTGCAGTGATCGCAAGATCGCCTAAAGGCTGTTGATGTTCGCGAAGCCTGATATGACAGGGCTTCTTTAGCGGTTTGGTTCGTGCACCGGCTCCAACGGCGTGCTGGCGCTATAAATCAGCTAACCCAGGACGATATTGTCCAGGTCTTTCTTAGTTCCCCTTCGTTCCCTCCCATTTGGCCCGTTGACCCATCCCGGACGACTCCTTCCTCAACAGTCATAATGAAGCTCGCTTTCATCGCCGCCACTCTTTTGTCCTTCTTCTTCGCCCTCGTCGCTGCCGTTCCCGCAGGTGGTCCCAATGCGGAGCGTCTTGCCCGAGGCCTCCCGCCTCTGCCACCTGTGAGGCGACACGCAACTCCTGCTCACCGTGAGTCGTTCTCTGCTGGACCCATTTCATTTACTAACAATGTCCACAGTCGCTGCCCGGGCCCAACCATCAGGCTCCAGCAGCCAGTGCAATGGCGGAACCATCAAGTGCTGTAAGTATTTCATTCTTTGAGCATTGCGTCTCCGATACGAGGATGCTTACCCTTTCCAGGCAACTCTGTGGCCTCTTCCAATGACGCGGTCCCGAAATTGCTCTCGTCGATCCTTAATCTTGGCCTTGGCCTCAACACCATTGTCGGGATGCAGTGCACCAACCTCAACGCCCTGGGCGTCGGCGGTGGAAGCTCATGGTGTGTATCTTACTGTCCGCCTTACCCTCATCATTAATTAATTCGTCGTTTACAGTACCGGACAGACCGTTTGCTGCAGTGGTAATGACTTTAACGGTGTTATCACGGCGGGCTGCACACCCAGTACGTCCACATTCCACGTTCATTTCACGCGATTCTAACGATTCCATCTAGTCTCCATTGGCGCTTAAACACGCAAATTGACTGTTCACTCCCGTTCCCCTCCGGGGACCCTCATCAACGCTTGGCCTAAACTTCTTGTAATCCCAGTCACTCTTTCACCACCACACGCTGTCCCGACCCTATTCACGCTTCACGCTTTCCATCCCCATCCTACGCGTACGACTACATCCTATTCACACTAAACTCTCCACGCAGCCTTGTAGAGACTCTTCGCTGGACCCTAATCCCCCTATTACCCTCCTGTGTCGTCACATTATCATACCCCTTCATGCAGATTCAAGTTGCTGTCATGATATCCTTCTCTTTGTTCTTGACACTGGGCCGCGAATTTCTCTACTAGGACTGTTAGCTAATCGTATACCTCCTCCATCCTCTCTTCCTTGTTCTCTTTTCTCTCAGGTATTGTGGTGTTGTAGATTTGTGAGGCACAGTACTCGCTTGGAAAGTGAAATGAAAAAAATGTTTGAGCCGTTTGGCTCATGTATTTGAATGATCGGCTCTCTGAACATGTACGTCGTTCGCACAAGGGAAGTGGAGCAATGTTCATGAGATATTATGGCGCCATGGTGGTGTCTACGACTCGAATTCCATCGCTTGACCATGGCCAGTGTAGTCGACCTTCTCATTCAGACTTGGCGCGCGGCGACTTCGGTCAGTTAACATTAGCCTCGGTAGGCACAGCGGAATTCATTTTATAGCGTTTTTAATGACTGAGCTTGACCGGTGAGAGCGTCGGTGAACACTATTTTCCGGTTTCTGACGGATCCGCCGTAGTGTGTTGTACATAGATGAAGCCTATTATTAGGGGTTACTAAACCTTGTAGTAACCGACGCTCCCTGGGCTTCTTATCAATCCATGGACGATGGATGGTAGAAGGTAGAAGGTAGACGCTCCTTCAACGCCCGCATGGTCGACCGAGTGTTATCTCCTGTTCCATACGAAAGGCGCGGTACTTCCCAACCAAGCGTGCGGTGCCCCTGTCTCAAAGAACCCAGGCGCGTCGAATAGGAAATCCCATTTCCACTAACGGCAACTCGAATCGCCGTATCACTGTTCGCCTCCTAGGGGACCGGCGACCCATTCACTCCGGACCCTCTTCGAAGGTCATGGACTTTCTTCTTTTTTCTATTCGGGTTGGTGATTCCGAGGCTTCTTTTGGGTGCATATCTTTTATCCCCTCGTCGACTTCGGAGTCGAGACTTCTTTACATATTCTTTACATATCTGTTTAAGATTCCGCTTCCTTGGCTGTTTCCTCGTTGAACGAATCGTGATAAGTACCTGGTTACGCTGGTTGTGGTTCTGATTCTCGTGACGGCGGCACTGAGTTCTCTCGTGGTCTCTTCAACTTGGCCGCTTCCTTATCTTTCGCCCCCTTTTGAAGTGTTTGGTAGTATACGGCGCGAAGTTGAATAGGTAGTTCTTCTCGCCATCATCATTGACATCAGTTTGCCCGCTTCTGTGCCCATTTCTGCGCATCGTCCGACTGCTGTTAATTCCTGTGTGCAAGAGAAGTATGTACGCGAGCCGCTCGTTTGTGACGCGTTGGCTGTGGTGTTATGAAGAACCTTGGGCGCTTGTGTGTGTACATGCCCGTTGGGACACAACAGAGGTCCAAGCTATCCATCCGGCTTGGCAAGAGGCTGCATCAGGGTTGCATCAACACCAGCGGAAACGAGAAGACACCGCTCCTGAGCTATCCCATACTTTTAACTTGCAAGGAGTATCCAACTCTTAAGGCATACCCAGGTGACCTGGATACACTAACGTCGTCCTGTATCCGTAGAATATCCGAATGACTTTGGGTCGCGAAGAATGGTAGTTGGAACTCGCTGTGCATTTGTTGCTGCTTTCGGGCCTCGCCTTGCGGGTGAGTTTGGGGACCATAGGCCGACCTCAGAGGTTGCTGAATCATTCCTTCAGAGCGACAGGAATTAAGGGTCGTTCTGAACGTGTTAAATGGGGGAGGATAGAGTTGACGATTCCTGTTGAAGGAAGGTGTCCTGCGTGGTCGAAGTGGTTGTAGGTCCTTGTGTGTCCTCGAAGGCGACGCTCTGGCATGATTACAGTCGATACACTGTGAGCATGTCCGCATGCGACCCGTAGTCATGGAACGCGAAGATGTAAACGGCTTCCTGTAAGGCACGGGGGGAGGGTGGCGCACATGTTGCAGGGAAACTGACAGCGATAGATTGTCACGCTCTGTATTGCTACTGGGTGATGCAGCTGGCACAGGGGAGAGGTAACACAATCTTGCCGCGTTCGTATCTTGGATACAACGAAGAGGAAATGACGGAGCAGCGATTACATAGGCAAGAGGAATTGTGGCGGGTCATCTTCCACAGAGAAGACGTCCATAGCGTGATAGAGTGCTGACGTGACTAGATATATTTCACCCCTACGACATCAAGTGAGCATTGCGCCCGGGTATCCACGATTCAACGTCAACCTCCATGGCCGAAGGATCTGCGCCTGATAGGTTCAGGATCAAGCTCCCAAAGATCACCTAGAATCTGTCACCGCCGTAGTCGTGGATCTCGGAGGACCGTCCAGGCACCCTTCTAAGTTGAATCCCGAGTTCCAGTCCTTGCATGTCGGTTCGAAACACAAAAGCGCCCAATGTATCATTCTCGGAGCGGCCCCAGTGCACAGTAGAACTAGTCGTATAATGAATTTGCAGTTTCGGAAGGGTAGTTAGCCAAGAACCAGGCAGCAGGACGAGAGGAGCGCGGGAGGGGGAGAGTCGCGGCATCCGCGGCGAGGAATTGATGGCCATCAAACCTTGTCAGCCAACTAGCAAGCCACTCGGAGAATTCCGATCCACACAATTTCGGCCTCCACATTGGACGGGCAGTGGCCAAAAGCAAGTGCTCGTCGTCGAACGTCAAGATGGTCAAAGGTACGCTCATCGACGCCGTTACTATGTCGGATCCATGAGCTGACGATCCCGAAAGTTTACAAGCCCGGCAAGGTAGAGTTCTGCTCGTCAAATCGATGTTTATGTCCGGTTTTACCAACGAGAGGGGGATTGGTTTGGGGTGTCGTTGTTGTTGGTGTTATTGCAATCTAGGTCGCCATCGTCCTCCAAGGCCGTCAAGCCGGCAAAAAGGTCGTCGTCATCAAGCAGCTCGATGAGGGAACAAAAGAGCGACCATACCCCCATGCCATCGTTGCTGGGATTGAGCGCTACCCACGGAAGGTGACGCGACGAATGGGCCAGAAGAAGGTGCAGCGGAGGAGCAAGGTCAAGCCTTTCATCAAGGTGCGTAGCCGGTTGTTCTGGTTGGCAGGAATGTAGGAAATCAATGGACGGAATCAGGTTGTCAACTACTCGCATCTCTTCCCCACCCGTTACGCTCTCGAACTCGAAGGCCTCAAGGGCTCCGTCACCAACGACACCTTCAAGGAGCCATCACAGCGGGAAGATGCTAAGAAAAACATCAAGAAACTCTTGGAGGAGCGCTACCAGAGCGGTAAGAACCGATGGTTCTTCCAGGCCTTGAGGGTGAGTTGCACGAGATCCACACCCTTTTCGACCGCGTCTGACCCGTTTCCTTTAGTTCTAAGATGTTGTTGTTTTCTTTCACTATGCACTTATTCAAAATGTATGCACTATGACGACATGACACATCTCTGCACTTCGACGCTTTCGATTTGATTCCATGACGGGGCGAGATATCGGCTCTTCGAGCTTTGGAAGCTGGCGAGAGACGGGGACATTGATTATATTTTGAGGAGCGCTGTTGTGGATACTTGGGAAATCTACTCGCTAGCATGGGCTGTCCAGTGTTGCGGCAGGATCTTATCTCGAGCCCTGCCATGATGTGGTACCTTGACTCGAGATCGCGACCTCCTTGGGCTTTTTTCATATTTCTGAGGCCGGTATGCATACCCGCCCTAACGATTATCATTGAGTATGTATTGGCATTTGTGAGCTGCCTTGAAGAAGTTGAAAGGTGAGGCGCCGACGGCAATGTTTGGCAACAGCTTGGAGTTGAAACGTTGATACGCGTGGGCGTGTTCCAGAGAGCGCGCTTGTTTGACAGTCGCGACTTATCCCCCTCCACGACGTCTGCACCGTCGCAGGCGCTGCTTCATCGCCTCCCACTGAGATCCAGGACGAAATCCTTTACGAAACCGCCACGAATACCCTTTCAAAAAGTATGTTTGGCCTTTGATAATTGACGAAAAACGCAAGAACTTCATCTGATCACGATGCACCACGATTTATGCAGTTTTCTGGTTCATTTTGAATCTTTGAACCCAATTTCCTTAAACCTATAACGAAACCATGTCGCTATTTGGAGGAGGAAGTGCCTTTGGGTCGACCAACACCGGTGGAGGGCTTTTTGGCCAACAGCAGCAGCAACAACAACCTCAACAACAACAGCCCAGTTTGTTCGGAAACACGGGCGGAACTGGGACGACTGCACCTCTGCAAGCTCAGCCCACTCAGCCCGCTTTTGGTGCTAGTACTACGACGGGTACGAGTGGAGGAGGGCTTTTTGGTTCGACTAACGCCTCGACCAACACGGGCGGTGGGTTGTTTGGCAACACTGGCCAGCAGAATACGAACACGGGGACTGGTACGACTGGAGGGCTGTTTGGGAACACGAGCACTACGGGCACGGGGACAGGTGGAGGGCTGTTTGGGAATACGAATACGAACCAACAGCAGGGCACGACTGGTGGAGGTCTATTTGGGAACACCAATACGAACCAACAGCAGGGTACGACGGGTGGAGGTCTGTTTGGGAACACCAATGCCAATCAACAGCAACAGCAGCAACCTGCGACTGGAGGTGGACTTTTCGGTTCGACCACGACACAGCAACCTGCCACTGGAGGCGGTCTGTTCGGCAACACGCAGCAGCAGCAGCAGAATACGGGTGGTGGGCTGTTCGGGAAGCCAGCTGGAGGGGGACTGTTTGGATCCACCAGTACCACGACGAATACTGGAGGGGGATTGTTTGGGAATACGCAGCAGCAACAGCAGCAGCAACAACAACAACAGCCTCAACAACAACAAGGTTTCGGTGGTCTCTTTGGCCAGTCGACCAACACCGGTGCGGGTACTGGATCGCTCTTTGGCAACAAGAGCACACTAGGCACGAGTGCGCTCGGTCAGCCGGGTGCCACGGGTACTGGAACAGGAGGGCTGTTGGGCACCTCAACGCTCGGTACGAGCAGTTTGTTACCGTCGCGATCTGGTTTGGGAATGGGCGGATCAGTGTTAAGCCCATCGAATGGCACCACCATGGAGAGCAAGATCGAAGCGATTTACAATGCGTGGAATCCTGCTTCACCGCTTTGTAGGTTCCAGGTATGTCTCGTTTGCTCAGTGTGGGCTGAGGGAAATCTTTTGACTGATCAGGGCTTCCTTCTCCGGCTGATAGCATCCCTTCTATAATCTCGTCAATCCGAACGAAGTAGGGCTGTATGGACGACCACCCAACGTCCTCAACGATGCAGTGTGGGAGAAGGCCGTTCAGGGTAACCCTGATCCTAAATGGTACGTCACCACTTTTCCTCTCGTTTCCGTCGGCCCTTGTACTCACATCCTGCACAGCTTCGTCCCAGTAGTCGCCATCGGGTTCGACGACCTCCGTGAACGCGTCGACGGTCAATCCAAAAAAGCAACCGAACAGTCTCAAATGTTATCCGACCTCAAACAACGCCTCGCCGCTCTCTCCACGAAACACGACGTCTCCAACGTATCCCGGCTCCAACGCGCGTCGGTGCAACAGGCTCAAATCACTCATCGCCTTTTGAAGTTGATCCAGCATCTGCATTTGTTGATTCCGGCGGTGAGGAGTAGTAGTATACGGCCTGAGGAGGAGCAGTTGAGGGGCAAGTTGGAGGAGGTGGAGGATGAGGTTAGGAAGGGGAGGATGAAGGCCACCTTTATGAGTTGTGGGCTGTGCTTGGGGCTGTTTCTGCTTCTTTTGAGAAGGGGAAGAACGTGGGCGGGGGAGAGTGGGCTGTTGTGGATGAGGAGGGGATGGCGCAGATTGTTCAGGTACGTGATTCCTTTTGTGGTCGAGGAGAGGAAAAACGAAACTAAAACATGAATTAATGCTATAGGTTTTGAAAGAACAACAAATCGGACTTGCGCATCTTACGAATATCCTGCAGAAAAACCAGAAGGATGTGGCAATTGTGTTGGGTCAGTCGAATTCGGATGACCTACAGGATGGAGAGAGTTTGTGGAGTTCGACTAGTACGCTTCGTGCTAGTGCTTTGCGATAGATGGAGTGGAATGTTATCTACGCCTGGGTGTTTCTACTCATGGATTTTACTTTTTTTTTTTTCTCCGTTCTTTGATGTGATGATGCTGAGGGGATGCGGCTCGACCAATTCGACGATGAGGTGGGGATGTAGCTGGCATGTGATGTAGGCGGCATGTACGTTAGCCTCATGTCCGTTGCGCGGTACCCAAATCCCGCGAAAGTACAGGTGTCAGTACACCCTTCTTTTCTTACTGTATTCAAAGGTTCAATCGAGGCGGAGAGTCTCTTGGCTTTTTCATACTCAACCCGCTGTTGCCAACCTTCCGCCCGCAGGTGTGTTCTTTGAACATCCCAAGGCTTTTGTTGCCAGCAGAGACAACATCCCCCATGTGTACTTTGGAACGCGAACTTCATGATTTGGAAAGGGTGCTCCAGAAACCTCTGGTTCGATATGCTTATTAACATTGGGTAAATCACGCTTGCGGAGCTGAAGGACAGGCGGGAATTTGCAAGGAAGTGGTCAGCGTTCTGCACCAATGTGTCTCGCTCCCGCACATCGAGTTGGATGTCCCATGGGGGGATTTTCGTCGTGGATATCCTTGAGCCGCCACATGTCGACGACTTTCCGTGGTGGTTCATTGGATATGTTTCTGCAGAACCCAACCAGCCAGCTGACGGACACCCTAGTTTCTATGGAGGGGGTGGTATCAATGCTCGATCTCAGAGGTGAAACCGCTCTAGACTTGGCTGTGCAAAAAGGTCATGCGGTCTGCGTAGAGGACATCCTAGGATCCCCGACCATCGATGTCAATGCTGAGGATAGGTTTGGAAGGACGGCATTGGTGAAGGCGGTAGGGGGGAGGTCGCAAGGACACTGTTGAACGACTGCTCCGGGTGCCAAGAATCGAGGTTAATGCCTTGGATGGGGAGGGATGGACGGCGTTGGCGGTGGCTACATTCTGGGGCCACAGAGGCAATGTTGGACGACTTCTTCACATGCCAGGGATCGAGCTCGATGCCTCAAGTGGGTCTGGAAGGACGGTGCTGACGCAGACTGTAAAGTGGGGTCTCACATAGACATTGTTGAGTGGCTTCTTCGAGCGCCAGAAGTCAAGGACAGCACTGTGGATGGGTCTGAAAGGACAGCATTGGTCGCAGTAGCAGAGGGTTGCAAAGACAGTCTCAAGCGACTTCTTCCAGTACCCGGGGTGGAGGTAAAGGATGGGGAGGGGAGGATGGTACTGATGGAGGCTGTACATCGGGGTTGGGAAAGACGCGACACCTCGAGGCTCTAAGTAGATACGCTCTCCCACCGTTCCCTGTACTAGGAGGTAGTTTCCCTTTTGTGATTGATGGGTATTGTTCTTCCTAGTTTAAACTTAGCGAGGATAGGAATACAATGAGAAGGTGTCAGGCGAATGAGGGTGCTGTAGGATGCTGTGGGTCACAGGATGATGGGGCCACAGGATAAAGCGTCGGAAAGGAATTCAACGTTTGGGCGCCTAATACCTTTCACAGCTTACACGTTCCTTCCTGTCCCGTGAGGCAAGTTGAATATCATGAAAGACACGCGTTGACCGCATGCAATCATAGGAATACAGGAGATCGATTTGCGTACAGCATCTCTTTACAGCTTTCGCACAGGAATGCACTTCCAGGAAGGGTGGTGTTACAGTAATCACAGCCAGTGTTCATTAATTAATTAAGTAGAATCCGTTCTCGATTTGGATCTTTTCAGAAGATGTACACCGTTTGGAAGGGCATGGAGTTGGAATGCTGCGACCTAATGAGCCCGTGGAGCACCAGATTTAGGTAAGTGTGGGCGAAAGTGAAGGCTACTGTGTAGGAACATCATTGCGCGGTAGAGAAGAACACTGATTCCTGGATTTCAACTTAGTTCATTCGGAGTCGGAGTTTGATTTGCATCAATCCGAGTCATGCGGAACCCAAGCACAGGCAAAGTTGAATCCAGTCCACACACGAGTATCGACATAACTAAAAGAGTGCGCTTCGCCGCAGAGCCTGCTACTACAGAGCTACGCCTACGGCCATCTGCGGCCTCCCGTTCTTTGTCAATATATCCGCCCCCCCCCCCCCCCCCCCATTTCGCTAAATCGAGCGGGCGTTGCCCTTCCCTTCCTATTATTATTGGTTTTATTTCCATACTATTATTACCTTGCACTTTGCGCTCTGCGCATTCAAACATGTTACGCGATTCGAGTCCAACGTCATTGATTCATCTCCTCCAAACATTACATTCATTACACCCATTTACTGTACGAAGTGTACGAGGACCAAAGGCGTCACGATGGTACTTATCACAAGAAGCATCTAAACCTATCTAAACAAATCAAAACCTTTCTCGCCAGGGTCAGTCCCAATCGCCGGCCCATTCGGGCCCAATTACGTTGCTAGCAAGGATGTCGAATGACACTGCGCGGTTGGTTGATGTTCTGGGCAAGAGGCACCTTAGTTCCTCCACAACTATTTCGCCCCGTAGTCAAATGTTCGACCCTGGAAAATCGTGGAGTCTTCACCAACCGTTGGCAAGCGTAAGGTCCTGGAGCTTGGGGAAAGAAATTGCTAGAAACAAATCGGGAGCCGGTGGGCATCGATTGGAATAGAGGGTGTAGATTCGAGAATAAGGGGTGAGATGCAAGTGTGCAGGTTGAAGGTCGCTAAAAGAAGCGAGAACTCCATGGTCACGGTCCAGCCATCGCTGGCAGGGAAGGCCAACCAAGATCTTTACGCGCTTCACCCATTTTGCCAAAGTCAGCCGCACGCAATCTTTTTGAACGTTCTAATACGGGATGTCCATGTTGGAAGGTGATGCTAGAGAGTCGAACACCGTCTTGACTCTTGAACACTAGCTCACGGTCCACGGAAGATGAATTGATGAGCCAGAGTGCAGAGACGACGACAGGCCAGGGCGACGCGTCGCAGGGCGCTACTGAAGCCGTCCTCGTATAGAGAAGAGAGGATGACTTCTCATATGCCATCGTTGAGGTAGGGAACACTGGGAAGCCGTCGTGGGAGAAATAGCGCTCGTTCTGAACAAAACGTTACAAAAGATACTTCTGGTTCATCAGCGCAAGCAGGAAATCGATGCGGATAAGAAAAGCTAACCTTGTGGGGGCGCATAAGCAAATGTACTGCATACAACAGCAGGAGCAATGCGAAAAGAACATGGTACACGGTTGTCGCAGTCTGGATTCACGTCAAGGCCGTGTTATACCAGCAACTATGCAGTATGCATACAAGGAGAGTAAGACCGTTCTGATTCAAGCTGAACACTTAGCCCGGGACTGACATGTATGGGCCACTGTGGACTTTCGAGACTCGCAGAGCTCGAAGCCAAGGTAAGAGAAGAACTGCGAAGCGCTGCCCCTAATGGTCACAGCCACCTTACATTTTCGTGGGAGAACTGAGCGCCAAGACCCTGTGGCAGCTCTATTGAAGACCTACTACTACGTTGTAGTAGCAGGAATGCCATCCTCTCATTTTTCCTAATTTACCTTCGTACCGCCTCACACTCGTTGAAAACATAGAGAGTTTGGATCGGAGGGCCCGAGTACATGGCGCTGCAGCACCGCCCAGCTTCATTTGGACAGCAATTGGCCACGGCGCACTGTGCACGCTGTTGAATATTCCCTCCTAGGGCGTCAGCGTCTAAACTGTGTTCATGCTCCCCATTACCATCTCATAACGGCGACCATGGGACCCTCGATTCCATATCGCCTTTCAAGGTGAACCTCGTGTAGAACAGGTGGTCTGTGTGCTGTGGTAATGGTGGGTATAAGAACGGTGCCTTCGAAAGCTGTCTCAGCATAACCGTTCCCAACCTGTCTCCTCCTATGGATAACAACCCCCTCAACAACCACGAAGACATCGTAAGCACCAATGGTTTAGTGTGACGAGGGCGCTGACTGACTTGATTCCTTCTAGACTATGCATGAACATGCAGGTATGCATCTCATCGCCTCTGGCCGGGGACGCGCATCTAACGACACCGTTTAAAGAAGAATCTATCCAAGAAAAAGATGTGCAGGACGGAACTTTGGTTCTCGTGAATGAACTACTGGAGTCCGTTACGACGGGTATGCGGCAAGATATCCTCGAAACCGCGATTACCGTTCTACGAGAGGCCATCCGCGAAGCTGACGGCGATAACGACAGAAAGGCGAAGGCTGAACTTGCCCTGATTAAAGCGCTTATAACCCGTTTTGCTTACCATGGATGGGTGGACGATCTGGACGAAGGAACGAGGTTGTTGGCAGATAACGCGGGCATCGAGTCCATTTTCATCGTGAGTGCTAACAAATCAGCCAGCAGCTACAGGCAATGATCTTGGAATCGCACAGCTTGAATTACAGATGATGGGTCCCGAGGGAGATCACTGCCCTGAAATTGTCACCTTATCCCTCAACCTTCTTCATGAATATCGACAATCCGTCGACAAGTCCAGCCTGGATACTGCAATCTTTGTTGCTACTGAAGCCATTGCTTCGCATGATGGCAATGGCAACCAACGAGCGCAGTTGTCGCTTCGTGCTGGGAATGCACTGATGCTGAAGTACCTAGCCTGTGGCGGCGAGGACGATTTGTCTTCGGCCAGGGCGTTGTTTCATGACGCCAAGGAAGCGTTCGGAACAGGTGATCCCATGCTTCATGTTGCCCTTGTCCACCTACGACACGTCGGGTTTGTCAACTTCCTGGAATGCGGACCTGAGCAACGGGTAATTGGGCTGCAAGAAATGGCACAGTATCATCAAGCCGCTCAGGCCGAAGATCAAGAAGGACAGGACGCGTACGTACTGGGTTCCCAGCTGATGCAAGGAGACAAACTCGGAATCGATGAATCCATCTTGCAATTTCGTCGCTCACTTTCCCTCCGGCCTCCACAGCATCCAAGGCGACACGACACACTTGCGCATTATGCTCTTGCGTTGGGCAACCGGTTCGGCTGCGCTGGTCGGATCAAAGATCTGGAGCAGAGTGTCACTCTTCATAGAGAAGCGCTCACTCTCCGTCCTCAAGGCCATCCCGACCGCGCCAGCTCGCTGAACAACCTCGCCAACGCCCTCTCCACTCGCTTTGGCATCAAAGGCGACTTCCAGGACCTCGACCAGTGCATTGCGTTCCACGGGGAAGCGCTCGATCTCTGTCCTCAAGGGCATCCAGACCGTGCCAGCTCGCTTAACAACCTCGCCAGCGCCCTCTCCACTCGCTTTGGCATCAAAGGCGACTTCCAGGACCTCGACCAGTGCATTGCGTTCCACAAGGAAGCGCTCGCTCTCCGTCCTCGAGGGCATCCAGACCGTGCCAGCTCGCTTAACAACCTCGCCAACGCCCTCTCCACCCGCTTCGACAACAAAGGCGACTTCCAGGACCTTGACCAGTGCATTGCGTTCCACCAGGAAGCCCTGTCTCTCTTTCCTCACGGCCATCCAGACCGTGCCAGCTCGCTTAACAACCTCGCCAACGCCCTCTCCACCCGCTTCGGCACCAAAGGCGACTTCCAGGACCTCGACCAGTGCATTGCGTTCCACGGGGAAGCGCTCGATCTCCGTCCTCAAGGGCATCCCCACCGCTCCGGGTCGCTCAGCAACCTGGCAACCGCTCTCTCCACTCGCTTCGGCACCAAAGGCGACTTCCAGGACCTCGACCAGTGCATTGCGCTCCACAAGGAAGCGCTCGCTCTCCGTCCTCAGGGCCATCCAGACCGCGCCAGCTCGCTCAACAACCTCGCGAATGCCCTCTCCACTCGCTTCGGCACCAAAGGCGACTTCCAGGACCTCGACCAGTGCATTGCATTCCACAAGGAAGCGCTCGCTCTCCGTCCTCAAGGCCATCCAGACCGCGCCAGCTCGCTCAACAACCTCGCAGGAGCCCTCTCCACTCGCTTCTCCAACAAAGGCGACTTCCAGGACCTCGACCAGTGCATTGCATTCCACAAGGAAGCGCTCGCTCTCCGTCCTCAAGGCCATCCAGACCGCGCCAGCTCGCTCAACAACCTGGCAACCGCTCTCTCCACTCGCTTCGGCACCAAAGGCGACTTGCAGGACCTCGACCAGTGCATTGCGTTCCACAAGGAAGCGCTGTCTCTCTTTCCTCAAGGGCATCCCCACCGCTCCGGGTCGCTCAACAACCTGGCAACCGCTCTCTCCACTCGCTTCGGCACCAAAGGCGACTTCCAGGACCTCGACCAGTGCATTGCGCTCCACAAGGAAGCGCTCGCTCTCCGTCCTCAAGGGCATCCAGACCGCGCCAGCTCGCTCAACAATTTGGCGGCGGCCCTTTTTAAACGTTTCCTGAGCGACAGGAACTCAGAAGCCCTCAAGGCATGTATAGTGCATGGGCGAGAGTATCTGGCGATCCTTTCCCACCCTCATACCTCTCCCGAAGACCAACATGATTCTACCCGCACCATGTGGAATCACCCAGATGGATTGCAGGCTGTCATTCACCTCGTGCAGTTTCTCAAAGAGCAGTACAAAGTTTGCAGCGACGACAATACTCTGAACGAGATTTTCGACCTCCTCAAGTCTGGCGTTCAGTGGTATGGGGCATCGCCCCTGGTCAGGCTATCCCATGCCCGGCTTTGGGCATCCTCCTGCCGTGAATTCCATCGTGCCCACACCGCACTGGAGGCCTATGGTCATGGCATATCGTCGCTTCCCGTCCTAGCCTCCCTCGACCTCACGCTCGAACAACGTCAGAACGTCCTCGTCCACGCGAAGGATTTGTCAAAGGATGCAGTCCAGTGTGCGCTCGAGCAAAATGAACTCGAAACAGCGCTTGGCTTTCTCTCCACCGCACGGTCTGTGTTTTGGTCTCAAGCTCTCCAATTCCGTGGGTCATTCGACCGCCTCGACGCTCTCCATCCGGACCTTGCATCGGAACTCCGATCAGTTACTCGCCAGCTGCAGATCGCGACCGAACAACATCCCCAAACTGGCCCAATACTGTCCGCCAGTACCCCGCCACTCCGCCCGTACCTTCTTTCCCAACAGAGGGAAGAAATCATCGCAAAGATCCGAGCCATGGACGGCTTTCATGATTTCCTGCTTCCCCCTTCACCCAAAGTCCTCAAGACCGCAGCGCGCAAGGGACCTATCGTCTTTCTGAATGCGAGTAACTTCGGTTGCCATGCTCTCATTCTCAAGGAAGATGGGACTCTTCACCGCCTTGCTTTGTTCGCAGACATTAGGCTATTGGCTTTCCTGGTAACTGCCATTCGCCAGTTGGCTAGGGGCCTTGAAATCGGTATCCGAGCGCGAAGTGAAATCGATGGCTGTTTTGAGGGGCGAGATCTTCGCTTGAAAGCAGTCCGAAAGAAGGAGAATCCGGACTGGACCGTCGACGATGACTTTAGAGTTGTCCTCGAGGTTCTGTGGGTGATGATAGGCCAACCAGTTGTTGACGCTCTCGAACTGAAGAAGGTATGAGCACCCGGTGAATGTACCCAGTAAGGTAGTACTGACCGCATCACTAGACCCGAATCCCGCCTAGAATCTGGTGGTGTCCAACCGGCCTTTTCACGTTCCTTCCCATCCATGCTGCCGGGATATATGCCCCCTCTCCTTCTTCAGAATCCGATTGCTTATCCGATTATGTTGTATCCTCCTATTGCTCTGCTCCTCAGGACCTCATCGCACCCCCGCCCGAACCCAACCCCGATTTCAAGATGCTGGTCGCTATTGAACCTGAGCGACCTGAACCAGGTGCATCGAGCCTCCCATCGACCAAGCAAGAACTGGAGAAGATCGAATTACACATCCCAGAAACGGACCGTCTGATTACCCGCGTTGGGAAAAGGACAACCACTGGAAAATCCGTTCTGGAAGACATCAACGCTGCATCCATAGTCCATTTTGGCTGTCATGGGATGCAAGACCCATCCAATCCAGTCTACAGCTGTCTTCTACTCAGCGAAGGGCGTTTAACGATGTCGTCGCTCATTCGGAATTGCCAGACCTCGATGGCGGCTCTTGCCTACCTGAGTGCGTGCGAGACTGCCATGGGTGATGACAAACGTCCGGATGAGTCTCTCACTCTGGCTGCCACGATGCAGTTTGCGGGCTTCCGTAGTGTGGTTGCTACGATGTGGTGCGTGTATCCTTTCATTTCTATAGACTGACTGTTTGATTGATATTGGTTGGGATTTAGGTCAATCCACGACAACGACGCACCCATCGTAGCCGACGCCTTTTATCGCCATCTCTTCCGCCACGGCACTGCTGCCCCGCCAGACATCACCGACGCAGCATATGGACTGCATCTTGCTGTGAAGGAGTTGCGGGAGAAGGGAACGTCTTTCCATCGCTGGGTTCCTTTTGTTCACCATGGCATTTGACTGTGTTTTCTCTTTGTTCGCAAAGTTTGAGCTTTTCTGCTTCGTGTACAGGTATGGCCGCTACCACAAACTCCTAGCCTATAGCATGTCCTACGAACTTTCCAGCGTCCTACGCATGTAAACCTAACTACGTGTATAACAATATTATGATTTTCGTCCTTCAACTTGCTGAGCAGGAGGGTCAATTTGTGTACAGCATTGCATTCGGCTTTGACACAGTCACACACTTTCCGCTGTCGTTACTATTACCTCCTTCAGCTCCATGGCATTGACGGCAACACTGCAGACGACAAAGAGTGGACTGCATTGCTCCTCGGCCTCGCATAGTAAAGGCCACAAGGGTGTGGTTCACCGACTCCGCAGTGGCGGACGCGCAGAAGGGTCGCAAAGCCATCGTAGAGCGACTTATTCGAGTGCCAACGGATTGGGAGGGAAGGACGGCGATGGTAGCAGTGCACGGCTGGGTTTCATTGACGTCGTCGAGCAACTTCTTCGAGCACCAGGGATCGATGGGTCTCCAAGCCTGGGAGGACAGTGCTGATGGGTGCCGCAATTAGGGCTCACAAAGCCATTGTCCGGCTACTTCATCGAGTGCCGGGGATCGTGCTTAATTCACAGCGGAACCATTGAACAAAGTCGACCTGTGCTCTCCTTTAGCCATATGCATTTTCTCATGAAAATTATTTCTCGCTTGCGCATTCCCCCCATTCCATCCTCCGCTCGTCCGGTAGTACTCTAGACCCCACCACAGTCCATAGCTCGATCATCAGGTGTTTATGCTGCCCCGAGACCTTACCTGTGTGAAATTTGAGGCAAGCTACCTCTCCTTGTCTTCTGGATTCTGTAACTTCCACTGCATCGTCGACGGGGTACAGAAAATCTTTGGAGTGCAGGGTTAGTTCTGTACTGGTACTAGTCGATATAGTAAATACATCACCCGTTGCCTTGTAGATTGAGTGTTAAAATGGCGAAACTACAAATCAAGTCAGCTCCATGGGCCTCCCGAAAACTTCGTTCACTGACGCAATCCCACTCGAACTACTGGCCATTATTAGCGCAGGGAAAGACGCGGGTAAGACGACGGAAGGGAGCCTATAACTCTAAGAGGCCCTTGAGCCTATCCACACCAAGAAGGCCGACGATAAATCGATATCCCCTACGTATCATCCTCACAAGCGCGGCGCATATCCCATCCGGCGGGTTACACATGCATCTCAAAAAAATCATCCAACGACTAAGCTTCGGGCTTCTGAAGTTCCTCCACCGGACAGCCATCTCTTCAGGGACGCCCTGCCAACGGTCGCACTCTTCAAAATGGCCAGGTCTGCTTTCAGGATATTCGACATGCTTTTGGAGGTGCTTCGGATCCACTGAAGAGATCTCCGCTTCGAAGAATTCGAGTGCTTGCGCGGCTGTGAACCTTTGAGGGATGTCCCATCTGGTCATGGTGTCGAACAAGGGTGCGAGTAGAGGGAGGTCTCCACATGCTAAGGACAGATTCAGGGATTAGCGTGATGTGGGGTAGGAGTTTTGCGTCCTTACCTGGAAGAACTCGCAGAGGACCGCCCCCAAGGCGCCAACGTCCCAGGCGAAAGGATCGTAGTCTGGTTCACCCTGGGCGACGTCCGGAACGCCGTATACACCATCCCAGGACACGTAAGGCAGCCGGAATTCCGACGGTTCCATCCCTGGGGGGACCATCATAGAGATGTTGTAGTCGATGAGTGCGTACAGTGCCTGGCCGTCACGCCTTAGCTTGTGACGGATGTCTTTTCCGTGCGGGTTAGAATGGCCCGAGAATTGGTTGATGACAGCATTTCCAGTGGACATGTCCTATGCGTGCAAATGTGTCAGCGTTGGCTCGTACGCTCTGGTGACGAGAGATGATTGGGGCGCACGTACCCTATGGACGATGAGGTTCTTGTGCAGAAAGGCCAATCCCTTCGTACGTGGATGGACCTCAGAATGTATGCACCAAACGACCACAAACGGCGGCGTACTTTAAGCATTGCTCTGATGAACTCGACGACGTCCGACAACGTGGCCCACATTGGGAAGACTGGCCCCGAGCCCCATCTAGAGTGAAATGATTAGCGCTACGTGCTATGGGACAGATAAGAGGTTTCCCCGCCTGGGCATCACAGCGAAGCTGTGTGTAGTCGAGGTCAGAATATCCAATATGGGAAGAATACAATATTCCTTGAGGGTTTCGATATCCTGAGCCCGGAGGAGCTCGTAAATTCGAAGTTCGTCCGACTCGTTAGGGACAAGCTTGATCACGACATGGCGGCCTTGCTGGTCTTGAGCAAACGCCAGTACACCCTGTTATGAAAGCGGGGTGAGAATTATATGCGCGGTGAACCATATACGTACTCACCATGTTTTCATAAGCAGGCAAATCGGGCGCTTCCTGAATGCGATCGTATTCGCCGATAAACGCGTAGGGATATTTGCCATTGCTGTCCCAGTTGCTTTTCATTCGCGGCACTGTTAATGATGGGTGGAGTTTGGTGCGGTCTTTCCGGTCCAGGCTGAAGCGTTCATAGAGCGTGTATCCACGAGCTTGAAACCACTCGAGGGTACTGGGCGAGTCCCAAAAGCGATATCGGCGTATTGACCGTTCCATTATCTCTTCCAAAGGGTAATCGTTCCACTTTGGATCGGGATAGGGGAACGGAACTTCGAGGTCGCTCTGCTACGAACGTCAGGGAAAGTTACAGGGGAGTGGTGAGAGGTGTCGCGCACCATCGTCAAACGGAAGGTAAGGTGCTGGCGTTGTGAACGATCTGGAGGGAGTTCAAGAGATGGTATGGAGGACTCGAGGATTTGACAAACCAGGACATTTCAAATTAGACGCCAAAGAAATTGTGATCTCACGGTCACATGGCATACGCGCTCACCACTTCCGAGCGGCGAGGACCGAATCCGATAGAGCTACACCTTGGCGATCGAGTTTGCGTGGTCCCCCTGAAATCGTTTGTGTGTTCAATACAGAAGGGCCCAATCTAGAGCGGGTGTCGCGTACCGCTTGGTTCTTGGTTCTTGGAGGGTTCGGTGACGATCTTGAACCTATCAGCGGTGCTACGGATAGTCGGACTACAGCTAGCCATCGTGATTCTCGGTGACGAAAAGGGACTGTCTCTGCACAAGAATTGGATATTGGAAATTAGAGAGCTTTAGGGAAAGTAAACTCAGATTACCGGTGGGCATGGGTGGTATAGAGGGCCGGCTCGCTGCGTCCATCATCTCGCGAAGTGGGCTTGCCAGAATAGCTTTGCATCCAAACAACTACCAGCTCTTCTGTCTCGATTTTCCAGCCAGCCGTGTAGATATAGTCGTTTAAGCCTAGTTGGTCGACCACTGTCACCTGATCGACTTCGATGAATGCGTCAAGGGCTCAAGAACATCAACAGGTAATGTGATGAGAAATTGAGCCCCAAGCTCACATACAGGCGATTGTATTTGGCGTCCAGAATCTGTTCGATCCTGTCCTACTCGGAGTCAGAGGGCGCGTCCTCGTTATTGGGACCCAAAGCGAGAGTACGACGGTTATCGTTCAGGAGCGATTCGCATCATAGAGACGCTGCAAGTAGATGTTTCATGACCACGTTTCCGAGAGAGATATCCTGTATATTTCAGTCAGTGCTTGAGTGAAGAGATAAGGAAGAAACGGAGCTTACGATGTTAATCGTGCGATCCTTGTGAAGGAACGCCAGGCCCAGGGGTATTCGCCACATTTCAGAGTCATACTCATCCATTCAGCTGAGCAATACATCGAGCCCTGATGCACTAACTCGAGAACTTGTGCGAATGTTGTCATGTCAGGGAAGATAGGAAGGCCATTCTACCTAGATTTTGGGTCAGATAACGATAACTCCAGAGACTGAGTAAACAAACGCACCTAGTGCGATACGCGGGCGAAGTCAGAGTATCATGATCCTGAACGCGATATTCGTAGTTCATCTGATGAGTCAGAGACCGGTTTCAGAGCGAAGTGATGCCCTCGTTGGCCTTGAGCAGACTTAATTAGCAGAGCGTGAGGCAAGAATATGTTGCCCAATACAAGCTGAAAAGTTGCTATCCCAGAAAGCGAGAGAGCACAAACAGCATTGGTGAGAAGCTCGTACACCCAGCCCTTAGGGTTCAACCATCCAGGACCAAGCCATGTTCTCCAAGACATTGAACCCTGAGCCTGACGCTGGGAACGCACATGGTGGCAGGAAGCAAGGGTTGAATAGGGGCAGATCCCGAAAAGGTAAACGTGGGAAGTTGTTTGGTGTGAGGGGCCGACTGTGCCCGATTTTGCTGGCAAGCGTCGACACACAACAATTTACACGGTCTCCTCACCTCCTCCTCTTCCTCGTCGTCACCACACCACCACCAGCCATGCTCGCCCGCCAATCCCTCGCTCGCGCCGCGGCACGCACCACTGCTGCTACCGGGGCTGCCCCCGCCGGTGCCCGCAACATGGCCACCCTCCGTGAAATCGAGCTGCGTCTCAAGTCGGTCAGGAACATTGAGAAAATCACAAAGGTGTGTCGATTAACCGTGGAGAGAAGAAGAAGAAGATATTGAAGAAGAAAGGAAAAATAGTCAATGAAAATGATTGCGTCCACCAAGTTGAACAAGGCACAGCGAGCGATGCAGGCCGGAAAGGAATACGGTTTGGCCAACTCTGGTACGAAAACACGACATATACCCGACTAGAAACTATAACTAAACCATGAAACAGAGGTCTTCGAGCACGTCCCAACGGACAAGGCCGGTGGCAAGAAGCTCTTCATCGTCATCTCGTCCGACAAGGGTCTCTGCGGTGGTATCCACTCCTCCGTCTCAAAAGCCACCCGCAAAGTCCTCGACGGCGCCGAAGACTCGCCCCTCGCCTCCGCACCCGCGGCCGACGCCCAGGTCGACCCCGAATCCCCCATTGCCGTCATCGGTGACAAGTCCAAGACCCAGCTCGCCCGCGCCCTCGGCTCCAACTTTGCCATGACCTTCAACCAAATCGGTAGAGACATCCCCACATTTGCCGACGCCGCCGCCGTCGCCGACCTCATCGTCAAGTCGGGCGTCCAGTACGACTCGGTCTTCATCGTCTACAACAAGTTCGTCTCCGCCTTGTCGTACAATGCTGCCGTTATGCAGGTCAAGGGCGAGCAGGCCTTGAAGGAGAGCGGTATGTTGTCGCGTTTTTTTCGCGTGTTTATTAGCCGAGGGGAAATAATTAATATTGGGGATTGGAATAGATGCCTTCAAGGTTTACGAAAACGAAGATGATGCTACCAAGGACCTCGCCGAGTTCTCCCTTGCCAACGCCATCTACGCCGCCCTCGTCGAAGGACACGCTTGCGAACAGAGTGCTCGGTACGTCATCACATCTCTTTCCTTCCTCCAACCCCTACTTACCCCCTCTCTTCACAGCCGAAACGCCATGGACAACGCCTCCAAGAACGCCACCGACATGATTGCTACCCTCCAGATGCAGTACAACCGTGGTCGCCAGGCTGCCATCACCAACGAACTCGTCGATATTATTACTGGTGCCAGTGCCCTCTAAAAATACCCTACCACTTTCCTCCTCGTAGACTGGGTGGTTTTTTAGATGCTCTGTTGTGCTAGTAGTAGTATTATATACATACCATTCATTCCTTTCCTTCGCATAAATAAACTAGTATTCGGACCGACCGACCCTCTTCTGAATGAGCAGGACACGTTCCATTTGGGTGTCGTTTACTAGGGTACAAGAAAAGGTGGGTACGAGCGGGCAGAATGCAAGATACACAGAGCAAGGCAAGAGCTACTAGGTGGAATGCTAACGTATACGTATGCGGTGAAAAGAAGAGCATAAAAAGTGGAGAAGCAAGGAAAATTACAGGGTAGAAGGGATGAATCATCGGGAAATTACAAGAAGGCAGAGAATCAAGAAGAGAGGATCAGTCAGTTGAAATCAAGAAACACGTATGTATGTACAGCGTTCGTTCAACCCAAAAAGGTGCTCACGAAAATTCGTCCTCGCGAGACTTTGCAAACAGCACATGGGATCAAGTAAAAAAGAAGATACTCAAAGTCCACACCATACTCATGACCCCAAATCCCCAACCCGGGTCAACGCAACCCTCCTCTTCTTCTTCGGCGGCTCCTGGTTCCCTCCCGCTGCTCCTGCACCACCACCCTCCAGCTGCCCTTCAACCTGGTTATTACCCGACACCTGCTGCTGCTGCTGTTGTGCGAAATACGATGCAGACCCATGCCCGGACCCACCACCATCTCCCCCATCCACACTCGCAGCAGGCGTCAAAGGCGGCTCCGCCCTCTTCTTGGGTATGACCTGCGGAGTCGCCGTCCCTGCTCCTCCCACACTAGGCAACCCAATGTTAGAGGAGGCAGGCGTAACAGCCGGCGTCGACGACGACGTGGACGTGCTAGGCGCCAAAAGCGGCACCGAGTGGTGCTGCGCGATGGATTGAATTTGGAGTGTGTGTTGCTGTGTGTGGTGCGCGGGGAGGATCTCGTCGAAGATGATGATCGTGCAGTAGCCGTCGCGTGAGGAGAGCATTAGGGTTTGGCCATCCGGGGACCTGGAAAAAAAATACGTGAAACGCGAACGCGTGCGGTGTTAGCGAATCGTTACTGGACGGGACGATGGACGAGGGCGTGAAAAGAAGCCTAATTCGCGATGTAGTTACTCACCAGCTAACATCTGTAAATTCATCATAATGCAACTTGGTCAATAACGCTACAGGTCCAGCTTGCTGCGTGTCATACACGGCTATGGTATCCATCGTCACAACCGCGTAGAGCATGCGGTACGGTAAAGCAAAGATGGAGCCTGTAGTTGGTTTAGTCGGGGAGGTGCTTCCTGCATGAGCTTGCGAATGCGAGTGAGAGTGTGGGTGCGACGGAGTCTGCGTCTGCGACTGCGACCCAGACTCGTACCCCGAAGAAGGGATAGGCGTCGAAGGCTTAGACGCAGCAGGCGTAGGAGGGCGTAAATCCATCGGCGAGAGCGCAGGCGACGCTTTCACTCCCGCACCAGCACCCGCACCAGAAGTAGCTACCGCCAACTTGGGAGCAGGGGCATCCAAAGAAACAGGTAAAGTCTGCGGTGTGCGTTGGGGCGTCAACAACGACGAGGTTGCTGGAGTTGGTGCCGACTCGGAGGAATGAAGAGCAGATCCTGAAGTCGAGGAGGAAGAACCTGGGGGTAGGTGTACAGGCCCGACGATATCAACATTCATCGATACTTCCATCCCCTTCTCCAAAGCAGCCGTAGCAGTCTTGGGCTGCTCACCCCCCACCTCACCCTCAACACCCGACCTCAGCTCATACAACACCGGCGAAAACCTGACCGCCACACTTGCTTTTTTGTGGCCTGGAAGTTGCGCGATAGGCGGACGCGCAAAGTTGGCGCGAGAGTAGATGAACACTGATGAACTTGAACCTGAGGATGTCCCTGGAATGGCGGTGGAGGAAGAGGAGGAAGAGCAAGGGTTATTCGTAACCGTCCCCGAACCAGGCAAGACATCACCCGCAGAAACAGAAGCAGGCCTTCCCCTCCTCCCTCTCACAGGCGTCCCACCAGAGTCGTCCTTCACAAACTGCCGTCCACTCCCCGGGAGCACCACACTCGGGTCCTCAAACTGTCCCGCAGGCGTCATCAACAGCCCCCCATCGGGGCTAAACGTCAGCCGCCTGAAAAAGTTGGTGAAGCTTTCGTCGCCGTAGAGTTTGACCGAGGCCCACGAGTTGGGCGGGAGGCTGCGGATGGCGGGGAGGGGCGGCATTGGGGAGGGCGAGCGGCCGTAGCGCGCGTGGGAGTGTGGTGTGGCGGAGGCGGTGGAGAAGGTGGAGGGGGAGTTGGGGGCGTTGGAGCCGCTGAAGGAGGAGCGGCGCGAGGACGGCTCGATGGGTGGTGGAGGGAACATGGTCGTCGTCGTGGACGGTGTGCTCGCTACCGACATCGCGGGTGTCAGGGGTGCCGCACCACCGTCGTGCGAGTCGTCCATGATTGCGGATTCGTTGTCGCTTTCGGGAGGCTGGCTGGTGTTGCTTGTGGTGGTGGTGCTTGGGTTGAATAACCGCGGTCGCCCGGTGACGCTCGGTGTTCGACTGTGTCGACGCGGCATGCGGGTGTTCTTGCCTACGGCGTGGGCTTCGAATGTCCCGTTCTTGGTGGAGATGCGGTAGATGTGCATGGAGCGGTCGCTGCTCTGTGTCGCGATGTACTCGTTGAGCGGGTCCCATGCGACGCCTTGGACGAAATGCGAGTGTTCAGCGATTTCGCAGACGCATTTGCCTAATCCACCAATGGCTAGTTAGCTACAATGTATAACTGGTTGAATTGGGACTCACCGTCTGCGGCAGCGAAAACCCTCGCGGTGTTATCTGTGCTCCCAGCAATAACGTACTCTCCAGTCGGACTCCACGCGAGGTCGTACACCTGCATAGTCGTACATCTAAACGACGTACGCGGTTTCCAGTATTCTTTCTCGTGTTGGAGGTCTTCTGCACTGAGATCGCTCCCGTAGGTCGTAGCTTGGGGTGTGGACGAGGGCGCCCATATAATGATCATCCCATCTATGCTTTTATATCAGAATTTATGTGTTGCGGGAAGGTGGAAGACGTTACCGTCGCCAGCCGAGGCGATGTATTCGCCTAAGGTAGAGGGTGAGTCGCGGCGCGAATAGGAAAGGCAACGACGAACCGTTGGGAGACCACCTAACGACATTCACGGCGGCGGAATGCCTGCTCAGCGTCGCCAGATACTCTACACGGGGTGGTCTCGGAGCCCCACACTGCTCCGCCTCGTCTACCAAACTCGCAGGCCGTATATGCGGGTGAACCATCCACAACTAACGGAAAAAACTCGATCAAGACGCGCTCATTTTGAAACGAAGAGAAAGGGAAAAAACTGACTCGAACATGGTTGTCCTCTCCACCTGTAGCGAGTCTGTAGGATTGCCCTGCAAAGTTCTTCTCCTGGCCTGCGGGTGGACGCGCCTTTTTGAAGGGGACGGGCTGGAAGTCGCAGGTCGAGATGGGCTTGCTGTCGTGCCACCGGATTTCGAGCGTTCTGAATCGCATTTTTTGTGTTGTTGACGTTGTTGTTGCAAGGAAAAATGTGAACGCGCTAGGTGTAGCTGAATCGCGCCGTTGGGTCGGACACGCTCGCAGCTCGTTCGCGGCGGTGGTGGTAGTGGTTGTTAGAGAGGACGTGTGTTGTTAGTTATTGTCGGGGTTCAAGAATTGAATTGGGTTTATTCAGGGGCCCGGCGGGAGTGGTCGTCGTCTGAATCGTAAAAAATCAAACTTTGATAAATTCAGTCCGCGTTCTGGGTACGGTTCTTCTATGTAGAAAAGGGTTTCACCTGTGAACAAAGGGTGGCTGCTAGGCTACCGCGGTCCTTTGTTCTGGACACCTTGAATACAAGCAAGGGCGGACAGTGGGTGGTGGTGGGGAGTGAGAAATTAAAAGTTGTTCACGATGAGGGGCTTATGTAGAAGAGGTTCGTTACCACTTGTCACAGTTCGTGAGCTTCCAGGCTGCCGCCAAATCACACCTTCCTAGGGCTTCAGTGCGGCTATAGAGTTGTACTACAAATTCGAGGCGTGCTTGGTGAAGGTTCCATTCAAGAGAACCTTCGTGCTTATTTTCGGGTTCGACTCCCTAGTCGTACAGCAGGGCACACAATGGCCCCTTATATACCTTCAGCATCCTCAAAGCCTGAAGAAGCAACCAAGCAGGTCAGAAACTCGACTCGCAGTTCAAGGGAGGGACGTGGTTGATGATCCTCAGGCTTCCGTGCCGTACATACGCCATGCCGAAGATCAAACCCACGATCACATCCACCTCTCCTCCTCTCACGTGTCATCTTCGCGGCTTCGCGCCCAGCCCAAACTCTAAAGCCCATTTCCCAAAGAACCACCAGGATCTCTCCACACACCCACTCCAAGGATGTCGCGCCCGGGTACTCCAAGCTCTATAGCCTCCAGCTCAGGGAGGCGCAGTCCCGACCTCGATTTAGACCACCCACCAGGTCTATCCTTGGCCGCACCTCCAAAACAACCTTCACCTCCTCCTCCAGCGGCAGTGGTTGTCCCTCCGACGAAGGCCAGGCCCAACATGGATCTAGCACAGAGAGCATATCGGTTCAAAGGCAAGATGAAGGAGCATAAAGCAAGGGGAGGAGATGCGGATTCGAGTATGGATGTGGACCAGACCATGACTGCTGTCGAGGAGACCAAACCCCCAGAACAAGAGGATCCATCGTCTTCAGTACCAGCTTCAAAACGACGAATAGCAGTGCAGGATAATGATATAAAATCGTCTGCACCTCCGAGATTACGAGCACGGCCGTCGCTCAACACGAATTCAATACCGCCACCTCCGATCGTCTCTGACCCGCCCGCTTCACAACCGGCGTCACCGTCTAAACCGGAAGTGCCTCACTCATCTGAACCTTCTACCAACCCTCAACCTAGTTCCCCATCCAAACCTGAACCTAGTTCTCCGTCCAAACCCCCCACGACGTCCAACCCTGAGCCTCCCAGTTCCTCCTCCGAGTCTAAACAACCCGAACCCTCCACACCAGCCTCGAGCACACAACAACAGCCACAACCACCGACAAAACCCCAACCCGCCAAACGCAAAGATCCCTGGAAAATGCGTATACCCAAGAAAAAGTCGTCAGAAGTTACACATTCGAAACTCGCTATCGGCAATACCGCTAAGCCTGGAGGCTCTGCTGCTGCCCTCGCTGCACCCGCTAGCTCTGGCCCTTCTTCCTCCGCCACGGGCAACATGGATCGTTCATCCAACAACAACAACGCCAACGCCAAATCCCAAACGATGTGGGACCCGTATACAAATCGTACGCCATTGCCACTCCTCACCAAGATACACCCTGAACCTGACTCCTCTATGCCTATACCTTCTGTGTCTATGGCTACTTCCCCCCTTCCACGCGTGGCCGCAATCGATGACACCTCAACTCCTCTCGCATCGACCACTCCCTCGTGTTCTACAGTCTCCATAGACGACCTCGACCGCGCCAAGTCCCTCGTCCTCGACCTTTTAGGCTGGGGCGTCGAACCAGAATACCTCGTCAATTGCGGTGTCTCCGCCCAGCTCATTTATCGCGTTTTTACGGATTTGAATTTGAGGCTGCCGGTTAATTTGAGGGTGCCGCCTTGAGCAGTGCTGTGTTATGCGGATGTGTACCTCTCATCCTGACCGACAGCATACATCGCCCTGGGAGTTAACGATGACTTTGTTGGATTTGAATGTGTTTGGGAGAGGGGGTGGTGCATTGCGAAGGTGGCGAGTGGGATTGAGGTGGTTATCTCAACTTGCGGTCCGCCTACGCCAATGCTTTCTATTTTCCCGTCCATGTCCTTTCGTACCTCGACGTCGCCATCGACATCGCATTACGTTCTGTGACGACTTTGCCCGACATCGATATCAAGGAATCCAATACATGGCAATGACCTCGACCAACCACTCGGAATGAAGGCACGACTGGACATGCATACACGGACGCGCATACACAAAGCTACCACTTCAGATTTACGACTTCCCGTCTCGTTTTCGTCGCTGCGTTTGGTTGGTGGATGGATTCCGAGTTTCGGCATTCGACATTGTGGACTAGAACAACATCGAACCGAACCCTTCTTCAAACCCTCCTCATTGTATTCATACCTCACTGTCTGCATGGTATTCACATATCGCTCTGGTGGTTGTATCCGCGTCTCATTCTCCGCGTCGTATTCACGTATCGCTCTCCTGGTTGTATTCATACCTCACTCTTAGACTCCTCGGATGGCGTACCTATTTGGGTCCCTCGAGTACCTCCTGTTGTATGTATGTAGACTTGGCTTTTCTTATTTTGGGCCTTGAAGGACACTGTGGAGTTTGGACAGGATGACGATGGGGGACCTTAGAGGTCTTCCCCCTATTTTCCGAGTCAACGGTGGTCGATGTGATCCGTGCTTCCGCCGGAGATCGGATTTGGGCCTGTCTGTGGGTTGGTGGTGTCTTCGCCTGGCGCCGCAGGTCCACCTCGGATTTCGCTTGCGGTGCTTGGTACATTTCAGTCGACTGACGGAAAATATTTGGCGGGCGAGTACTTGGTGCTGTGTAGGCGCCTCCCGACCAAGTCCTTCTGGCTCAATCAGTGGGAAGAGGGGCCCTAAAGCCTCGCCGTGGTCGGGACTCGGACTGCCCTGGCCCTCGATACTTTCCTAAACGAACACAATCAACGCGTGCCTTCTATGGATAAGTGCATCATTCCAGTATCCTGGAGTCTTCAATTTTGACGTTTTCTTTTATATTCATCCTAGACGGTCTACTGATATCATGCAGTTACAGTATCCGCGCTTCGCCATTGATCGTCACAGTGATTGTGGGTTCCCGAGTCAAAGATATGTCGATGCGGAGGGACATGCTGCCATGCTGCATCTGCACATTCAGAGGTTCTGAATCTATCATCCGATGGCACGCAAAGGCTGTCACCTTCGACATACTTCTCTTCTTCTCTTATCTCAAGGCGGCCATCTTCATAATCGCCGAATCCCAATGGGTTGTGGGACCACGAGTTCCCGAGCCAAACATTGGAGCAAGTGTGTCGTTACTTAGCGAATCTTCTGAGTCACTTTGCTTCGTGGTAGGAAGTATTGCTGTGAATCCAACGGTCAGATTTGTCCCAAAGTTGGTGCACCCCGGCGACTGCGTGCACTTTTTCGAAGCAAATATCTGGAGAAAACGACCCGCGTGTCGCTTCTGAGTCTCTTCGCCTCGTAGCATGAACTAGCGTCCTTGAATCCGAGAGTCAAGTCGAGAGAAATGCCGTCTCGCCTCTTCCAGTAACGCTGGCGCCGCGGCTCGTCGATTGCGTCTGTGTGCTTTCTCGAGACAGCATCTGGAGAAAATGATCAGCGGGACTTTGGTGCTCGAATACTGTTAGATTCATACATATCATTGTGGCTGAAGGGTGATACCGGGTACTGGTAACTGTGACGGGATGTAGTTACCCCGGGTAACGATGAAACTTTGTCCCACTCCCGCTGCTCTGGTTCCCTCAGCTACTTATTGTGCTGTGTTCCGCGCACTTCCATTCCAAGTCGGTTACTTACACGAGAACCGAGAGTTCAAGGACATAATCAACTAAATCAAGCGATGACCGATCCCAAAGGTTGCAGGAGCGCCTCGTGTACTCCTACCATGCTTGATGGCAATCACCTACCTGTTCCCCGCTGTATCGTGACCCACAGACCTAACTACACAGTTGGACAGGGTGTCTGCAGCTTCGGGCGATGCGTGCATACCTCCCCACTACTCTATATACAGCTAGAAACTATGTACAATGATGTAGCGTATACCCTCGCGGGTTAAGCGCCCGGGGTTCTCCCCAACCTCTCTAACGGGATATTGGTCGATTGTCTTGAAACTTCGTGTCAAAACAGTGGCGTGATTATGACTTGATTGTCAGATGCACCGACTCCGACGTCTGTATGACATCCACCCTTTGGCAACTCGGAACTTCCCTGGGGAATCCCGGTGCCACTCACGATCGGCTCCCCTCAATTCCTAACGATGGGGACTACACGAGGTCACCTTGCCTTATGAATGGCACTTCGGTCTCCTGACATTGACACTTCCAAGAAACAACTCTGACTGGAAACTGACCAAGCTACTGGTTTCTCTTTTCCCAATTCTGCGACGTCTCGAGGCGAACACACAGATCCTGGGTGTTCTCAGTGTTCCAAATCCATGGAAGAAAAGGTTTTTCACTTCTCAATCTACCCTTACGTCGTCCTCATCCGATCAAGGTAGGGCTAAAGCGTGTTTCTTGAAGGAGCCCACGACCATGAAGCCGCCGCCTGCTTCTGCATATTAAAGGTGCCTTCAGAGGCAACATAAATTTCCCAGTAGATCCCTCTACTTGAATCTACCAGCTCCTCTCTAGACTCACTCATCGCAACCGGACAACATGGGCGATAATCCTGGAAGCTTGCCTGTGGGTCCATCATCCCCGTGGGGTGTCTAGGCTCACCATAGCTTTGTCGCAGATAGGGGCAAAGTACAAGCTCACTGGATCAGTCGTGGGCGCATACCGTGACGGCAACGGTGTTCTCCACCAGGTGACGTTGGGGCCGGAGGCTGGGGACGACGCCTTGAATGTTGCTGTCAAAATTGACGCAGTACAGTCCAAACGCACATCGGTTTGCTTCCGGCGCAACGTTACTCCTCACAAATAGACTGACTTAGCTTTATTCAACCTTTCAGATGTCCATTGCTTCCCCGTCCCCAGAGGACTACATGTACAGGCTTATCTACGAGCTTGAGGTCACAGAGCAACACTGGAACCAAGGAAAGGATTACAAGTTCCTTTTCAAGCACTCTGCACTGCGCAAATCACTTGATGACACAGAGTGTCCCCCAGATCGTTGTGCCGAGGTAAGCACATTTGGCCTCTGGCGTGCGCAGAGATCCCCTAATCCGGAGTACCCTTCAGGGCGAGACGTACTTTGTCATGAAACATTACACTGGGGATGAGTCTGCTCACCCTGGGATCCTCTGCGGCAATTCAAGGTTCAAGCTCATGATAAGGAGTGATGTGTCAACCAAGGGTGTATGCAGGCTCTCATTAAACTGCCATGATTCCATGCATTGACTCATATCCTCAGGGAATGCCCCTCGGTGGAGGCGCTCGTTTCAGTCAAGCTCAGCTGTCAAAGGCCCATTACAAAGTGGCACCAATGAATCTGCTCCCTAGGAAGACGACCCGTCTCTGGAAAAGCTCCAATTACGTGGCCTATGGGGGAATTAAAGATTCGGCCATTTAGACCACAGTTTGGCAGGGCTGTCTATCTTTGCATGCATAAATAGTTGATAGCACATGTCATATGTATGTCTAGTTTCAGGAATCTTTCGGATTTCACGAGTTACATGGATTCCTGGTATATCGAGATCCTTGCCCAACATCGAGTTTCGTCAAGACTCGAGATCTACACCGCCAATCATGCCTCACTATGATGTAAGGTTTAATGTTCACAAAAGTCCCAGGGGTTTTGGCATGACGCGCGCCACGTAAATTACACCCACTCTCCATGTTTTCGCTTCCCATAGCCGTGCCAGGTGTGCAACCGACGACGTGACAACGTGAATGCAGAAACATCATCCCTAGGTGCAAATCGGGACATGGAATTAAGGTGTATCAACCCACATAATTCCAATATAGGTCCCCGCGTAATAAACATATTCGTCGACAATGTGGGCTGCATCTCTAATTAAGGGCTATCTCAACTATGGATACATAGCTACCAAGGCTCTTCACGAGGAGTGAGCTCGACCTGGAAGTTGATCTGTCCGGGCACTAGCTGTTCGTTTAATCCACGCTCGTGCTGGGCTGCTTGATCGTCTTGCTTCCTTTTCTTCGCCGGATTTCCGCCTGCCCTATCACCAGTGTCGGGGGCATGGGAATCTGCATGTGAGGCTCGCAACAACTTTGAGAGCTCTCGATGGCAAGCTGCACGGTCTTGGACAAGAGGTAGTGGACGAATGAGCTCCCCGGGTACAACCAATCGAAGTAGGTGGGCGTTATGTAGAGCATGGGTATTAATCACGAAGCGAAGATCATCCGTGTGTTGAATGTGCTTCTCCACGCGACCCAGTTCCATCCGCTCCTGCCTGACACGCCGCTCACCGGTGGGAAGACACTTGCCATGATAACAATCATGCTGCGCGTTGAATTCAAAGAGGATGGACTGGTATTGAGGCGATTCTGAACAACGACTGAACGGAAAGAGCAAGTAATGACGCACCAAGCCCGCTACAGCAATTACTGCTGTCTCGCCGAAGGGCCTGACGAGGACCGGCATGGAGTACACCTCGTGCCTTCTGTGCGAGATTTGGAAGCGTTGCAAGATAATCACACTCGCTTCCGTGGTTGTTTGTCTCAGTATTGCGATGATTCGACCGGCAATAATCTAGAGAACAAGGTTTTAACCTTTAAGTCCCGGTGTCAAGATAGCGAGGGTATGTGCAGCCCTTACCTCTTCAGAAGCTGTCCGAAAGTGTGTAAAGATCCAAGATCCTACAACGCACTTGTCACCAGAGCCTGAAATGACAGATTGGCCCAGAAACCAGCGGAAGATGGGCGAAGCCCAAGTAGGATCAGCCATAATCGTCCCCGGAGGAACGAAGGAAATCTGTGTCCATTCAAACTCCTGTCGGGTCCCGGAAGCACTCTGTGGTTTGGCTAAGCGAACTGTACCTAGAGTGGAGAGAGAAACATGAGTGCTGTAAGTTGAGGGATTATAACCAGAAGGATCACCTGCTGGCGGTTGCTCAAACGTTTTGTTAAGTGCAAAAAGGCGTTTCAATGGCTCCGACTTCGCAACATAGTTGATGAGGCTACGCCCTGGGCTGTCCCATTCCCCTAATTCGCGGTTGAACCATCTACCGCCAGACAGGAGGTGCCTCACTGTCTCTTGCTCCGAAAGCTGGTAGGCAATATCACGACTAGGGGCGAGGTGATTGGAAAGGACTGAGCAAAGTCGGAAAATCGTATTAAAGGATTCATAACTCTCAGTTGCGACCCCGATGATTGGACCGTGGCGCCTAATGTCGTCGGTGATGTGGACAAGGAGATGGTACTTGATTTTCGCAATGATTTTCGAAGGATCAATCTGAGCGGCGGCATCTAATACGTTGGCAACAGCAACCTCAACGTCGGACTGCAGTCATTCAAATAGTCAGTCAAATAAATTTCCCAGAAGCAATCATTTAGCGAGCTCACAAAGTAGTCGTCAGGATTCCGTATCTCTGGATACCACAGCAACGCGGACAGATCACCCATTGCCTTGACAAAGGCATATTGGGCGGGGGACACAAGATCGTGAACATGAAACGTATTCGTTTGGACAAGAATCTTGAACTGGCGTCCGATGAGAGAATTAGCGTACTGCATAATGTATGCTGCTCGGATCGGGGGGATGGATAAACCTGATGCTGCCGTGGACTGCAGTCGAGTAGAGAACAGGCTTTTCTGTGCATCTGTCCAAGCGGTATGGGTCCCATGCCACGAGTACTTGACGGCGCCTAAAAGAACAGTGTGAAGGATCTCCACTGGTGTGTCCTTTGTGAAATCACAATCTAGAAAAAAGTGATACGTCGTAAGTTCCTGTTTATCACCTGAATCTCATAATATACTTACAGTTCAGTTTCAAAAAAGGATTATATATCTTATCCTCATTGGCATCAACCCATTGCATTAACATAGTGCGTGCTTCCTCTTGGTTCTTTCCCTCGTCCTTCTGTGCTTTCCTCGATCTTTCGATGAGATCTTCAATCCAGTGTTGTGCGTAAGCATCTTTTATCCCTGTCTCCGTTTGCAGTTTGGCAACCCTCGCAGCTACACCCGTGCAGGCAGTTCTAATCTGCTCGTCAACCCCAGCAAGGGTCTCCTCCAAGGTACGATCTTCCCCTTTCTATATTGCGTGGATCAGGATTCAGCAATCAGGTTTCAGATATGTTAGTGGGCTTACTTCGAAAAACGAGTGGAATCCTTTGTCGGTTTCCTTTTCTTTTTGTGTCCCGCCGACTTTACATTTGCGGCATGGAAAATTCCCCTTCCCGCCAATGTGTCCCGAGCTCTCGCTCTGTGATGGATTGTCACCCGGTCCGCAGTTGCACTGGAGTCTCAGACGTATTCTCTCCTTCCTATGAGCGTCATACGCCTTGATGGGGGCCTTGTGGGTTCCCCTTTCAGAAAGAGATGGTTAATACTTCTGTAAGTATCTGAAAATAACTGGACGACATACTCAATCACGTCCTTTACTGCTCGGAACTGTTCGGCTATGCTCGCATTTTGGGAAGTGGAGATGAAATGGATGTTCGATTCTTGGAAGAGCATCTGTCGTGGAAGATTTCGGTGCGTGGTGTACAGGTTCCAATGCTTATTCCAACTTTTTGACCTATTACCTGATACATCATCTGCAAATATGTCGATGAAAGAGGTGTATAGAGGCTCGCCGCCAGCAAGCGCTCTGTCTGGGTTTGGCATCCGCGCTGGATGGCCAGCGTTCACTGTCTCGGCGCTCCAAATCGGAACAAGATGGAGCTCCTCGAGCGCTGGCAGGTTCAGCTTCAAATGTGCTGCTTCAATAACAATGGTTTCGCCTTCAGAATCCACCACAGTTGCCGAGCCCTGCTCAATTGCCAAATGTGAGTACCTCCTGTAGACGGTACTGCCAGGGCAAACACTCACATCGTCGTTTTTTTTGACCTTCCACGCATCTGCAAAGACACCCCCACTCTCATCCTCTAACCAGCGGACAGGTACAACAAGTGACCCGTCTTCTAACTGAGCCAGCTCATCAACGTAAAAGTGATAAAGGCCGTTGTCGTACATGGGACTCAGCGCATGCCTATCAAGGTCAAAGCGCCACTTCGTCCCATGCCAGATTTCTGAGATCACGCTGTCCTTTGAGATAGGGATGTATCGTCGTATGTGTCGGGCAACCTCTGGGTTGCACCAGTCCTTATTGTCATGATAGGTGAGTCCTCGAAGCTTGATGATAACATAAGAGAGGCTTACATTTCGTATCACGTCTGCAGGGTTGTTGAAGTAGAAGGCATTACCCTTCGGAGAGACGCAAGGTTCACTTCGTACACCACATTCATTACGAAGTCGCTCCTGAAGCTTTCGGAATGTCACGTAGCCTGGTACGTTTTGGACACCAAGTTCTCGTAGAAGCCATAATAAAACCTTCAGAAGGCCGGCGGAAAGTCGAAGGCGGGGCATGTTGTCGAACGCGTCCAGAAGGAAAGTGAGTTTCGAAGGGTATGGGTGCCAAAGGGGATCACTTGATGGTGTGCGGTTGAACTCATGAGCGAGGATTTCCTCCAGCCCAGGTTCTAGAAAGGTTTGAGGCACCGCTATTAAACAAGACGCGGTAAATCACCCACCAGTCCCAATCAGAAGCTCGGTGAGTTCGTCGTCGTACTCTTGCTCCTCAAGGACTGAGTCAACCGTCTTCCCGTCCAGTTCAGGGGGAACATCGTCGAACTGTCCCCAAAGGCCATAAATCTTCGCTCGTTCTTCAAATTCCCTGGCACGTTTTTCTTGTTCCCTTGATTCTCGATCGTCGATAACCAGCTGCTCTTGTCCAGAGTCAAAAGCATCCCACATGGACTGCTCTGCTGCTAAAACTGGCGCATGGCGTGCTTCAATCTGGTCGTTGATTGCAAAAGAAACGCCAAGGTCTTCAATGGCAATGGATTGCGAATGCAATAAAGTGATATTTTCTTCTTGGGCACGTTCGAAGATGGCGCGCTCCTCCAGGTCCCGAAGTCTCTCGGAATCTTTGTGAAGTTTCGAAGTCTTGTGCGACCTATATCCCTTTCTCTTGTGCGATCGGCTTCCATAGTCTCCAAGGTTATACTGGGTGCAGACCTTGCAGTAAACCTGGTCAGGATTGTTTGGCATCAAGGCGAAATCTAGAAATCTCGTGAGTCCTGGATACCCTTGTATTTTCACCCAACAACCTCTAACCTTCATCCAAGGTGTCCTGCTTTCGTCCCCTGGCCATGTTTACTCAAAGTCTGAATGGGTGAAAGCAGAGTTCAACATGTTTCATCCATTCTCGCTTCGGAGTGTGGTGCTCGGTCCACCAGGAACGACCGTCAAAATCTGATTTTAAATCCGGATGGTCCGTCCTCGTTTGCTGTCCCTCCTTCCTCCCCTTCCCTGCGTCTCCTTCAATCTTTCCCCAACGCCAAACCTTCTCTAAAGCCAGGACTGCCTCACTCCCAAGGTAACTCAAGTCTGCTAATTCAACAGTCAATATGTTGGATCATTCGTTCTTTTCAGGTCTCCATAATGCCGTCTTCTGCCAGCTCACCAACTCCCAGTGCCAGACAACGCACTCAATCACCTTTCAGGAGTTCAAGCCCCAGCTCATTGGCACCTGAAGATGAAATAGACGTCTTCATGAATGCCCCTTCCGAGTCTGATGACGATGACATGGCCAACAACCACCAGGACGACTCGAGCTTTACACCTGGTGGGTCGGGCGGTGTTCAAGACGCACAAGATGATACAGGTCGGTCACAGCTTGCTACAACATTGGTCCAGCAACAACGAGCGGATGTCGTGCGAGCTCGTCGAGAGGCAACTCGACTGAAGCTCCATCCGTATCAAAGTCGCATTTTGGAGGATTTTGCTCGTGCTCCTCCTTCTACACGAGCGGTCACTTTGTTTGCAGAAGTTCTTGCTATAGGCAATAGGGTTGACGATATTGTTACCTCGAATGGACCATACACCATTTCGCCCGGTCTGCAGGTGAGACCAAATTCTCGCACTTTGCTCTTGTCAGTGCTAATGTGTTTACCTTGCAGAATAACATTAAGGCCTACTGTACAGCTGTACTCCTGTCCCCTGAGCTCTCTACTTACAAAGGAAAGGTCCCCAGAAACCGAGTCATGGTGGGTGGCAGAGCTTTCGTCGACAGTCCTTGAAACGAACCTCAGAGACTCCTGTTCTTCTCAATAGGCCATCATCCATCATTACAAGCTTGAGATCCCCGCCAATATCGATCACGACAAGCAAATTACACAGACAATCTATCAAGCCATAACGGACGAGCTCACCCAGATCCGATCGAAGATCAAGAAGGCAATTGCTGCAAGCATCAAGCCAACTAAGGGAGCAAAAACGCAGAGTGTATATGAGCTGGCGATCGAGCTCGTCAAGGATACTCAATGTGAGGTGACCGTCCGCCTTGCAGCGCGAGTCGCATTGCTGGTATGTTTTTATACCACGCCACCCATATCTTCCTGGACACTCATTGCGTGGTAGCGTAGGGTCTATAGCGAAGACGCGACGGAGAGCTACTGGGATAGCGTCAATCAGCGACTTGAGCTGGTGCTCACCAAGGCTGGTGGAGACGCAACCAAGGTGCATAGGTAAGTTGATCCGGTTCTCTTCCTAGATTTCAGTACTCACGAAAACTTCAGAGCACTTGCAGGCTATCTCGAAAGCGACCGGAAGAAGTACGGGGTTAACGGGTCTCGAAGCGCCGGCAGCGAGCATGGGCAGACCGAATGGCAAAAGACGGTTGACGGCATCGTCGAAGCTCGCGAAGATTCAGATGACTGATCTTTCAATTTCGGTCTATCGATTTCTGGACACCTCGCCGACATCTTTCCTCCCATGCCAATTTTAGTACTTTAGAAAATGTAATAATTTGGTTAGCTGGTGTCGAATTTAACATACGGTTGGAAGAGAAAGAAACCACTGCATTCCATGTACGATATCGATTATAGCAAACCCAAGCAATATGTAAGACAACAGGTGAGGAGGATATAGGCTAATTGGCCTCTTTGGTATGTCTCGGACGGATAAGCTGCACATTAGTGCCCAGCGAACGTCCTTCCGTCCCGACATGCTGTCCTCATATGTTACCAGACCTCCAACTCACCTACGATGACATCCGAAGTCGCGGTTAAATCTCATATTTTATCCATGGGACGAAAAAACATGGATCCCATGGGCGGCTGGCGGCAGTGTGCCATTAGGTCGATGCCGATATGGGAGCCAGGTGCCAGTCACCTGTCACACCCTGACGGGATATCAAAAAAATCAGATTACACTATAAACCCCAGGACTCATGGAAAGTGTGCGTAGAATGTGGTAAAAATACCTGTGAAACATGTACAAAGTATGCGTAATTTCTATACTATCCATTATCCGTATACTTTTTATGAGCAAAATGTCCAAATTATCCAGAGCTCTTTGCGTAAACAGGTGTAAAGTATCCGTTGCAAGGCAAAGTATGCGTGAACAAGAGTACTTTGTATCAGTTGGTGGGTTTACAGTGTTACCGCCACCCCGTCCCCACATTTCCAAAAATTGGCGGTGTATACTGTTACTCCGCGACGGCTGCCAAGCAGAGTCTATGACTCGGATGATTGCACTTTTGGACTTCCCGGCGCGAGCGCGAGCAGGCCCGAGGTGTGCGCCTACGAGAGCCAAAATAGTCCAATGTGTGTGCCTCAGAGTTATTCGAACGCTGTTGCCTCGATGGTATACGATTCTATGAACCTTTTCATTGGACTTGAAAGTTAAACAGTCGGAAGGACCCCATTCTACTAGTGGGTTGCAGACCATTAAATCCGAGGCCTTTTGGCCCTGCAGCCCAAGAGTTTGTCCTTGTTTGATCTAGATGTCATCGCGATCTCACATCTCCGCGCGCGCGGAACTGCAGCCACATCACGTGCATCAAATCACGTAGAAATCACATGTTGAAATCAAGGTCGAAACCTTGGCGTCCCAAACCGTTACCCATCTCCCAACAGAACCCGAGACCAAAAGGCTCTGCACTCCGCATTCCCCGGCCTGTTGAACTCGGCCCGCGGATCCGTCGCGCCCACGTGACGTTCTGCTTCCACTCCAGGAATTCAATCAGCGCCCACTACATACTACAAAGTGGCATGTTGTTTTGTGCACCGTTCCAAGTCCCAGTATCTCACCTCATCAACGGTCACCCCTCCGCCTTCCGTCTCCCACAAGCTTTGTGTGTCTGAAATTCGATGACGGTTCGTTTGTTGCGAATGCGACACGTCAGGACCAGCTAACTTCGTGCTAAGCAGAATCCCCTAACGGTGCCATTTGCCTACCCCGACCCTAATGGGAATGAATACTCCTTCGAAGAGCTCGAAGAGCGGGCACTACGCCGCTATTGCTTTTGGGACGCGCCTAACACTGTCGAATGGTTCCAACAACGTGGATACACGCTTTACGCGAGATTCAACATGGATCCAAAAGACCAAACCAAACCCGACCCATCGTGCACGGCACCTCGACTGCCAAGTAGGCATGAGAGCAATGGTCAATATCCCTATGCATTTTACGACGACTTTAAGATGGAGGAGGACGAGCCTGATTTGGCTGCCATCGAGGAATCGGTAAGGTGTTCAAGCTCCTCAACGGTTCTTCCTGTTAAGCAGCTTTGCCTCAGGGCTCCCTAGTGTTCGCTCAAGATCAACAAGGCCACCACGTCGCAATAAAGCTGGTCCCGAATGACTCGGATGAGATTCGAATTTACGAGCTCATCCACGCTCGGGACCATGAGACACTGAAAGAACAGTGTACACTGCCTGTTCTGGACATTCTTTCCTCAACGACCCACAGCTTTGTAGTGATGCCTCGGTGAGTGCCTATGCTGCCGTCCCAGTCTACCGCCGTCGTTTCTTATGCGTCGTCCAGCTGGGGCGCTCACCCCATTGACCCAGCCCTTGCTTCATTGTCGGAGCTTGTTGTGTTTATCCGCTGTCTTCTCAAGGTAAGTCAAGGTGCTCAAACTGCAGCGCGTTACACGGAATGATGATACTGAACCGACCCTGCTTTACTAGGGCCTGGTATTTCTTCATAAGAATAATATTGTTCACAGGGTGATTGCTCATTATGTCGTGTACAAAGAGGTCCCACTGACAGTATGAACTCCTAGGACATTTCATTCCGAAACATTGTCATGAATCACTTCTCAAGCCACACAAGCATGTACGCAAACGAGGCGCGAAGGAAACTCCGAAGGGACCAAATGGCTTCTTATGCCTTTATAGATTACAATATTTCCGTCATAGCACCTGATGGAGTCGAACGGTCAAAATTCCGGCTACCTGCTGAATTGTCGAGGGATAGTTCAGATGGGGTCCCTGACACTGAGCAGGGTGAGCTGGACTATGATCCATTTGCATACGACGTAGGCACCCTAGGAGCTATGCTATCCACTCAATACCAGGTAAGACCTTGAACTTCCTCTAAACGCGGTGACCATCGTTCCTAAATTTTGATTCGTCCTCCAGTACTTCTGCGGGGACCTGCCGCTGCTAGCTCCGCTGTTTGACTCGATGACGACTAGGGACGTCTCCCGAAGGTTTACTGCAGCCCAAGCGCTTGAATTCTTCGAAGCGGAGGTCTCTTTGCTGGACAAGGACGCTCTGTCGAAGCGTATCCGTATGCCCGATTACAGAAAGCACCACGAGGTGTATGATCGGTGGAAAGACATCCCTGAGCCTCTGGCTATCAAGTGGAGGGGGAATCGGTGCGCAGAAATTACCCGCTGGACTCATTTCTTGAGGTGGATGTGTGCGGGGAACGGAAGAGGACAGAAGTTCGTCATGACAATACGTAGGGCAGTTCGGCTTGTGTCCTGGCTCTTTGGAGCCAAATAACCAATGGTTACTGGGACGCGGGCGCTGTATTGGCCGTATTGTAACGTCTAGCGACCTGGCGCGGAGCAAAGCGTTTAGACGAGAGCAGTCGTAGGTTAAGCGCCCATGATCGCCTGGACCGTGCAGAGGTGCGGCTGCGCGCTTGGCGTCTAGTTAGTGCGTCTGTAGATCTACTAATGTTAAATGCGTTCCAACGGCCTGATTGATGTAAGGACTGCTTTGTTTTGAAGAACTATACGGATGATGCAAGTATACACCTTAACCCGTGGATGCGAGTGACCGAAACCTGGAAAAGTGTTACTTATTCGCTATTTAAAGTACGCAGAGACTCTAGATAATTAGCACTCAGACTTCCATGCCCTTACTCTAGTGTGGTGGGAGCTGTTGAGCGCCGCTGTGGCTTCGTTGAGGACCTGATTCCTGATTCAAACGTGAAAGATGCAAGCCCACGTGCACGTGATGTTCCCCTGAGCGCCTGGCACAGACTAACTCACTGTTCACGCATCTCACCGAAGACATGATCACCACTCAGTGAGTATTGACCAGCTATGTCATCAGCTACAATGTCGGTACGTTGGTTGCGAATGCGAAACGTAATCACCTCACTAATTGGTTGGACAGAGTCCTCTGGTGGTGCCATTCGCATACCCCGACCCCAGAGGCAACAATTATGACGAATGGAGCGAGATTGTAGAGCGGGCGTTGGGCCGCTACCGCTTTTGGGATGCACCTACCACTGTCGAATGGTTTCAGGCTCGTGGATACACCCTCTACGAGAGATTTAACATGGATCCCAAAGACCAAACCGCGCCAGACCCATCGTGCACGGGTCCTCGGATGAAACGTGGGTACGAGAGCAGTGGGCAATATCCCTATGCATATTACGATGACTTCAAGTTGGACGAGGACGAGCTTGACTTGGTTGCTTGTGAACAATCGGTGAGGAGTCAACAATCCGTAATGTAATTGCGTGCTTATCCCTTTTGGTACAGGGGTCTCTCGTCTTTGCTCAAGACGAACAAGGTCGCCACGTCGCAATCAAGCTTGTGCCTAACGGGTCCGACGAGCTTCGTATCTACGAGCTCATTCATGCGCAGGACGTCGAATCCCTCAAAGAACACTGCATTCTCCCGATTCTGGAGATTCTGCGTTCAACAACACATAGTTTCGTGGTAATGCCTCGGTGAGTCCTATTTCCACCATCGTCGAGCTCGCACGCTTATGCAGAGGAGTACAGCTGGGGTGGAGATCCAATCACCCCACCACTTGCTTCATTGTTGGAGGTTTTGGCGTTCATCCATTGTCTTCTGAAGGTTTGGCCTTGTAGCTGACTGCCACTCGGATACCCTATGATGACAGAACTACATTTACATCTTTTTCCAGGCCTTAGCATTTCTTCACAAGAATAACATTGTTCACAGGGTAGGCGCCTTCTCCTACTATGCGCACGCAGTGAACATTGATAGTACGTTGTACTAGGACATCTCGACCGCCAACATTGTCACAAATCACTTCTCGACACACGAAAGCATGTGGGCAAGTGAGCCACGTAAACAGCTACGGCGGGAACAACTGGCCTCGTACGCCTTAATCGACTTCAACTACTCCGCCATAGTGCCCGATGGCGTTGAGCCGTCCAAATTCCGGCTGCCTGCTGAGAAAGCGTTTGACGCAGCGTATGCTGTGCCGGATACCGCTCAGGGTGAGGTGGACTACGACCCATTTGCCTGGGATGTATGCTCCCTTGGAGCCCTCATGGCCACTCAGTACCAGGTGCGATTTCGAATTCAATCCTCCAAGTCAGTTTTCCGCTCACACTTTCCAGTACTTCTGCTATGACCTCCCATTCCTGGCACCCCTGTTCGACTCGATGATCACGATCGATGTTTCTCGAAGGTTTACCGCAGCCCAGGCCCTTGAATTCTTCGAGTCAGAGGTTGCTTCGCTACACAAGGGCAGATTGACGAAGCCCATTTGGATGCCTGATGACAGGACCAGGCCGTGTGATTACGACCGATGGAAGTACGTCCCCAAGTCATTGGCTGTCAAGTGGAAGAGTTACCGGTCTGCAGAGATCACACCTTGGGTTCGCTTTCTAAGACGGGTGTGCGCTATGGGAGACGGAAAGGGATATATCATTGTTATGACAATACGTAGATGTATTCGGTTCATTCTTGGGCTCATTGGGGCCAGGTAAAACACCTATGTACACAGGCCATCCGATGATGCTCGACGCTCTGTTACTTGTTTCTATGCACGAACGGATGTCCCATCCGAGTCACCCGCGATGCCCGAGAGGGTGCTTGGTTCTCAGCAAATAAGTGGCATCTGGTTCCCCCGCTATTCCCCGTGTCTGTGGGCGAGTGGTAAGTACTGGGTTCAAGCCCGGCGCTTTAATCAATAAGCGCCCGCCACCCACGTGACCATGGGCATGGTAAGGTTCGACATTCAACATTCAGCAGAACCATTTCAGAACAGCTGTTTCTACTGATACACACCCGACACATCTCACCGTCGACACCCCGCCTTCTCCTACAGGCTTAGTGATGGTTCGTGTTCTCCAAATACGACACGTCCGAGTCACGACGTGGCTAACTTCCTGCCAAACAGAAACCCCTAGTGGTGCCGTTTGCGTACCCCGACCCTAATGGGAACGCGTACTCCTGCGAAGAGCTTGAAGAACGGGCACTACGTCGCTATTGCTTTTGGGATGCGCCCACCACTGTCGAATGGTTTCAGGCTCGCGGATATACCCTCTACAAAAGATTCAGTTTGGATCCAAAAGACCAAACCAGTCCAGACCCTTCGTGGACGGCACCTCGAATTGAAAGTAGGTGCGAAAGTAACGGTCAATATCCCTATGCATTTTACGACAACTTCAAGATGGAAGAGGACGAGCCTGATTTGGCCGCCGTCGAGGAATCGGTAAGGTCGTCGAGCTTATCAATAGCTCTATTAACCAGATCTGGCTCAGGGCTCCGTCGTGTTTGCTCAAGATCAGCAAGGCCACCAGGTTGCAATAAAGCTGGTCCCAAATGACTCGGATGAAATTCGAATTTACCGGCTCATCTACGCTCAGGACATCGAAACCCTCAAGGAACGTTGTATTCTTCCTGTCCTGAACATTTTATCCTCGACGACCCACAGCTTTGTAGTGATGCCTCGGTGAGTGCATCTGGCCCCATCTCACTCTGTCGCGTTTGTTTCTTAAACGTCGTCCAGCTGGGGCGCTTACCCCATCGACCCAGCCCTTGCTTCATTGTCGGAACTTGTTGAGTTTATACATTGTCTGCTCAAGGTCCTTCGTACTGCAGGTGGTTACAAGACATGATGATACTGAACTGACTTCTTTTCCAGGGCTTGGTATTTCTTCATAAGAATAATATTGCTCACAGGGTGATTTGGCTGTTATATCCTGATTCTGCGCAAGAGGTCCCACTGATAGTATGAACTCCTAGGACATTTCGTTCCGAAATATTGTCATGAATCACTTCTCAAGCCAACCAAGCATGTACGCAAACGAGGCGCGAAGGAAACTCCGGGGAGACAAACTGGCTTCGTACGCCATTATTGATTACAACATCTCCGTGATAGCACCTGAGGGAGTCGAGCGGTCAAAATTCCTGCTACCTGCTGAATTGTCGAGGGATAGTGCGAATGGGGTCCCTGACACTGAGCAGGGTGAGCTAGACTACGATCCATTTGCATGGGACGTGGGTACCTTAGGAGCTATCCTGTCCACTCAATACCAGGTGAGACTCCGTCATTAATAAACCAGCACAATTCTGATTTTTCCAGTACTTCTGCGGAGACCTGCCGTTACTGGCTCCCTTACTTGATTCAATGACCACTAGGGACGTCTCCCGAAGGTTTACCGCAGCTCAGGCGCTCGAATTCTTCGAAACGGAAGTCTCTTTGCTGGACAAGGACGCGCTGTTGACGCCTATCCGTATGCCCAATTACAGAAAGCACCACGAGGTGTATGATCGGTGGAAGGACATCCCTGAGCCGCTGGCTATCAAGTGGAGGGACTATCGGTGCGCAAAGATCACTCGCTGGACTTATTTCCTGAGGTGGATGTGTGTGGGGAATGGGAGAGGGGAGAAGTTGGTCATGACCATACGTAGGGCAGCTCGGCTTGTGTTCTGGCTTTTGGAGCCAGATAGACAACGGTTGCTCTGACGTGGGCGCTGTATAGACGTGTACATCTAGGCTGGATCAATATGTAACGTTTAGCGGCCGGGCCCAGAACAAAGCGTTTGGACGAGGACAGGCGTTTAAGTGACCATTCGCATCTCGGCGAATCCTACTAACCGAGTATATGCACCCATGGCGCGATAAGCGCCCAGCGGCTGGCTTGAGCTCGACGCGGTCCCAAGCGCTGCGGCAATGAGAAACAGGGATACTCCACGAAATGTGAATGCACATGTGAACTGAATATACATACAATACATATGGACGGTGTCCAGGGCGTTATGGTCTGCGTCAAACTACCTCGATGCGTGTTGGACCGGCCTGCTTCTCGTCCAGTTGTGATTCTGAACGCGAGTCTGCCAGTTTGCCTTTATGGGCATTGGGAACTACGGAGTCTTCGTGCGCCATAGAGTTGAATGTATCTCCTTGGCCAGTGTTGATGCCAAACTCCATACCGGTTGAGGTGTGTGCTGACCGCCTCGTCGTACCGGATGTTCGGAGGTCGCGACCAACAGCTCTTCCTGTTGTTACACGGAAGATAATCGTTTGTGGAGAGATGGCCTATTAACAGACGAGAACTTGTGAGTAAAGGAAGCGCCATAGATTTTGGATGGCATAGATCTGCTTACTAGGAAGAAGAAATAGAGTATGCGGAATACGCCTTGGTGCGGTCTAGTTGCTCCCGAGCCTTGTGATTGGTTGATGAAGCAAGCTAGCACGATTCCAGTGATTGCCAATGGAAAAGCTGCCTCCACCAGGATAGCGACAACACCAAGATATAGCTTCGAAGAGCCTGGTGGCAGGAACTCGCTGTTCTTGTAGTAGGCCATTAGAAGGCGGAAGGAGATGGTTGCCGTGATCAACACGTTGAGGGCGGCGTTCAGTGATATCCAGGCTACGGAATAGTCAATCTTCCACCCCGGAAACACGTCGAGCCAGAGCATCTGCAGGAAACCCATCACTTTGGGAAGAGGCTTAGTTCTAGGTGATTGCGAAAGGGCCGAGAGGAAACTTACCAACTGAGGCAATGTAGGTCAAAATTGGAAGGACAACGACCCATTTACGGTCGTGCCAGAAGAAGTAACATCGATAGACCTGTAGAATGTAAGATTAGTTGCATTTCTTAGTCCGTGATCAAGACGCGGCGCACCAGCAGACCATCTCCAACGAAGGCGATAAACGTCGACGATATTCTCGCAACACCATACGCCGGTGTGCCTCGTCCAAATCGCTCCATAGCCGCCCGGGACCTCTGCTGATCACCAGGCACTGTATTCAGCAAGGTATTATAATTCGACCAGTTCCCCGAGGCCGTGGAGATGATGCTTAACGCCAGTATAGTAAAACTGACAAGCACGTAGAGGAAGCGGCCTCTTCTCGCGGAGCGAGGGCTCTCCATGAAGACTATGGTCCCATAGAGGAACATGAACATCTGGAGACCTGTGTTCTTGGGCGTCAGATAGGTCTCGATTGAAGAATTTAGTGACATACCTATGCTCACTAATTGCACATTCGATTCTGCGTAGGTTATAGCAAGCCGAGGGCCCATCATGCCCCCACCTCCGCCCCCACCTCCGCCACCCATGCCTCCTCCTCCAGTTTGGTTTCCGTTGCCGCTCATCCTCGTAGTTCAAGACAGTGTCAAGAAGGGTATTGGTGCAGCGAACTGCAATGCAGAGTTATGAAACCAGGGGCAGGGGAGTCGAAAAGACGCCCTAAGAAGCCGTCCGAGGTCTTTATATCCCACTTCCACGCATCTTCATCTGACTGGTCACTGTTCCCATTGGATGACGGCAAGAAGCAGCGACCCTGTACCCCTTGTTCTTGGGATGATGCTCCAGCTCTGCTGTGAAGTAACAACCCCGAAATGGGATTCTGGAAGCTTGGTGTATAAATATATCGAGTGATAAACTATCCAACGAGGCATTGCAGCCGGCACACGGCGAGTGCTAAGCGTCAGAGCGCACATGGTCGTCTGGATTCCGAACTTCGTTTGTTGCGAGAACCGGCCGAGAGAAGCGCCCGTTCATATTAAGTATTCTGAGCAGCGAGAGGGGCTGGAGGTTTGCAGACGAGTAACAGTACCAGGAACGTCCCCAAATTGCACAGCTGGATCCAAAAACTATCCGAGGGCAGAGAGTAGTAATCGCGACCGAGCGGAGCCTCTTCTCCTCTGAAGATGATTGTCAGGTTCTGGGAATTTTGGAGACGATTATGCCCATATTACGCGCGCCTTCTCCCATCAAACCCTGTTCTTCTCCCGCTACCTCCCACCAATGACAGATGAGGAACAATAAAGACCATCGTTTGAAGCCTTTTGAAGCGCACTTCGTCCCTGACAATCAGCAATCGGCGGTCAATCAGACTGCTGCCGACGAGGAGACAGAGAGAAGCAGAATGAAACGTTGATCGGCAATGTCTGTCAGGAAGAAGTCGTACTCGAACATGGAAGGAGGTGAGGAAGGGGTCGAAGGAAGTGATCGTAGGAGCGTCGATCAAGCCATGCAGAAGGTCTTGGTAATCCCCCGCCGGCGTCTGGAAGGAAAGATGAAAGCGAAATAGATTAATTAGTACTAACAGGGCGCTCTAGGAGCTACTAAATGGACCATACACCAGAAAATCCCGCTTTAAATATAAGGACTACAAGTGTTCTTTTCATCTAAATAAACCTGCGGAAACCATCACCATCAACGCTCAAACTTCCTGAACGATGAAGAACTGCCCCACGAACCTTAATAAATTATCGTCTCGACTACACCCAACAATCAAGCCAACCAGATGCCAATGAAGACAGATAGGAAGAGCGAGAATGTGACAGAAGTTTGGCTCAGAGTCTTCGCGCCACCGGAATTATCTCCTGGTCGCAGCAAGAAGATTTCCCCAGTGGTATCGCTCGACACATACAGGTGTTCACCGTCGTTCCCAAACACGAGTCCAACTGGGCGGAAGCAGCCCCGTTGACAGTCATTCTCGTCCAAATTGGCTAGGATATCCACAGCACTGGTCTTCGTGTCCTTAAGGCTACCGGATGGACTCCAATCGCCCGACGAAGAGAACTGGCCTGGAACGGCGACGACTTTGTAGCCCTGGTGCCGAAGTTGTCAGTTATCCAGGGCACGTTGAAGTAGAGCGGTCTTGAGACGTACCTGAGGTGGCTGACGATTCCAACTACCATGTAACGAAGCGTACAGGTTGCTGTCTCCGGACTTCACGCCAAACTTCAGATCCAGAGGAGCAGTGTGGGGAGGTAGAAGGACAGTGGGCTTGACAGCGTTCGCTTCACACCACTCATCGTTAAACGTCGAGTTGCCCGGATCTTGAACGAACCAGTCTCCAGGCTTCTTGCGCGTATCGCCATCCCTGAAATCCTTTTCTTCCCATACGGTGTAACAAATAGGGTAGCCTCCAAAGATCCCGGCAGGCTCTGTGGGGGAGCCAACTGTTGGGAAGCGTGTGAGAAGAGCACAGAGGGAACCATTCGATGTCCACGTACGATTGTAGACTTTCTCCGCTGGGTTATCTGTGTGGATGTCGCGCTGGTCTCCATTTACGACGCGGTAGGCGTTATCAAGGGAGTTTTCTGAAACCGTGAGTCAGTCTATGAGGTCTTGCTTTGCACACAAGCGACGAACCGATGCTGTGGATGTTGCCAGCCTTGTCCTCTGTGATTCCAACGTCATTCCTCAGTCCATACCTATCGGGATTGATCAGGTATTGTCCTCCTGCACACTCCGCGTCCGCACTCACCCTAGCACCTTTCCGTAAGTCCTGTTCGAATGGAGTCAATGAAGGAATCGAACGAAGATGAAACCAGGACTCACTCGTCGGTATACGCAGCGCCGTCTTCAGGTAGCGTCCGCATATCAAACACACGGATTTGAGCGGTTCCGGATTCGGCCTGAATGGATGCTTCATCGATGTTACCGTCGGAGCCCACACTGACCACCAGATAATCAGGGTTTTTACGAGAGATGTGTAGCGTCCTGGTGACATGTCCTGGATTGTCCATTCTGATTGAAACCCAAGATGTCAGCTCGACACTATGTGTGCGGTTAGTGTGCCACACACCCAGTCACCAAAACTCGTCTATTCGAGACCGTCATCTCGCTGTCATTATAGTCCCAAGCCCAAGCGATATCCGAGGAGCTGTGAAGCGAGAAGGAATTAGTCCGAGTATAATGAGAGTCTACTGGGGACTCACCTCGCCACTAGTCTATTTCCAACCACATCTATGCCATGGTTTAGCCTCGTGTCGTCGATAATCAACTTGCTGTTGGTCACACAGCCTTCAGAGTCCAAGGTGTGCCCTGTAAGACCTTTCCCTCTTTCAATGACGAGGAGGTTGCCTCGGCCGTCTAGTATGATGCCTCTAGGCGTTCTAAGTCCCCCCAAGACGGGAGTCCCTACCCAACCGGGTCCGGTCTTGAACGCGTGGCTGGCCTGGGGTGCGTTGGCACACGCCGAAGGGTTGGAGCCAGTGGGCCTTTCCGCGGGGGTAGATGGGCTTGGTGCATCCTCTTCTATCGGAGGTCGCAAAGGCGGGGCAGCTTGTAGTTGCTGGAGAGCCATATCGTAAGAGTCCGAACGGGCGCTTGATACATCGAAATCATGTTGTCCAGCTACACTGTGTACGGGGACGCTGGAGTCGGCATTGGCCACATCGTCGGGCTTCTGTGAACCATGGGCTGCAAAGCCAAATTGCGCGGTTTCGTTGAAGCGGATACCATTAGATCCTCCCTCCCACACGGTACAATTCTGCCGCAAACGACGTGCGTTACTGAGTCAGCATCGTAAGGAGGTAAAGGTCCATGGGAATAGACGGCGTACCTGGCAGCGGTACACGATACGCTGGTGCGTAGCATTCGCTCCAGAGGTGCCCAACAGGGTGAGCTGCGGACCCTCGAGAGGATCTGGCGACGCAAACCGGCTGTGTAATCGCAAATGACATACGGCATGAGTACGGCATGCGACCCCTATTAAGAAACCGGGGACTCACGAGGTGAAACGCACAGACAGCAAGGCGTTGTGCTCATTGTCCACCCATCCAACGACGAGAGGGTTGGACCTCATACCACCTCCCAAGCTGTTCCCAATCCATCCCGCTGAGACTGGACCAGTGAACAGACCGATGAATTCGTCCGGCTGAGGTTCCCCTGCTGAAGGGCTCGGGGGGAAGACGTAGCCCCAGGCAATGTCGAGGTCGGCATCGTAGTATCGTTGGAAGCAGATGTCTGTTATGCTGTCGCACCACTCCGAAGTCCCTGGACGATCTTGAGCATAAGTAGAGATCGCACCTGAAAGAAGAAATAGGATGAATATCAGCCGTCCAATTTCACGACCTCGAATCGACACGCACCTAGCAGTGTGGCTCCTACAAGAGACCACGGAAAAGTGGAGAACATGGCAGATTCAGAAACGCTGGCGAGTCCACGAGGACCCAATCGTCATGGAAGATTATAAAAGAACGACAAGAGATGCCGAGAGTTAGACATCATCACTTCCCGCGGAATCATTTGGAATAACTGCGTGGTTATCATCAAAGAACGCCTGTAGTCTATTTTTACCGGGTTTCACGCAGGCACCCACACCCTGATACCGGTCCATAGCGCTCAAACTTACGGTCACCCATTGCATTCTGGGAGATCGGACGTGTGCATGTAGTTACGCTCAAGGCAACCTCATCGAGAGTCGTAGAGCAGTGTGAAGTAAACTGGGAATTCTCGGCCGTGATGAGAGCAAAGCAAGTGTGGGATGACGAATGCCAAGACTGCTGCGACGACGACACCGACACCCACCTACATAAGACCTAAGCCCACCAAGGCTTGAAACGACAGGGATTGTCACAGGCCCGGATACCATGCCATCCTCTGACTTTCAGTCAATAACTATGTGATCTTTTCCAGTGAGTTTCGTGGATGTGAAAGTAGTTACTCACATTTTGAAAGGTTTGGGCAGTCATCATCTCATTTCTCCTTACATAGTCGATCAGTCACAAGAGATTGTCAGAGACAGGAAGCTCTGAAGTAATCACAGTAGCAATATGAGATAGCTTACAGTTTGATTGCAGTGTGGACGAGTAGCCGTGACGATGCCCCAGAGAGGTACAGCCCGCAAAGCCAAACGTGGGCGAGCTTCAGGGCGGAACCTGCTTCAGTGTATGTGAGGTGAGATTGTATGTGGTCTTGACAGTGGAAGTGGGGAAAGTTCGGCTGATTTACGAGACACCAGAACCGGGCTGCAAACGCCGCACTTGAGATAATTCCGTTTCAGCAGGGAGGTCTGAGAGATAACAACCTTGACTGCGAAGGGGAAAGCCGTTCAATCATGCAGAACCTCTCGGGTTGGCGCTTGAGGAAAGGAGCCCGAGAAAACCCAGAGCGAGAGCAGCTGCGAACTTCATTGGGGCAGTCCATGGCAGCCGCCAGCGTCCAAAGAGGTACATGGCACCAATAGAAATAGCTTGCTTAGTCCGCCAGTGTGGCTCACGGTACAGCCAGCGTCTTCCTAAACCGATCCAAGCGAAGTCTCGAGCGCATTCTCGAAAAGGGGCGACGCAAGCCGATTCTCCTCTAACGGGTGTGGAAAAAACAAGGTTGTTTACGCTCAGCAGGTATTTTGGGTTTCAAAACCACCTGAGGGTTGTTCAAGAGTTGTTGGAGGGGGTAGAAGGCAAAAAACTAACGTTGAAAAGTAAGTGGGACGCTTGACAACTGCTTGAAGCGGAGCCTGAGTCGGATCAAAATTGCTGATGCCTTGATCACGTGTCAACGAATTTCGTTCGCGCCGTGCCGGACAGCGAGCAACCCATTCCCCTTGTCGTCCGCAATGTTCGCCAGTTTAATCCGCCTGGGCGAGTTCTCTCAGCCATTCAAACGCGCCCAGTTTGGTCTTTTTGGCGGCAAGTCCATCCAGTACGGCAACAACGTCCCCTTCTCAAAACACAAAACACGTCGGACATGGCTACCCAACGTACAGCGAAAACGACTCGACTCTGAGGTCTTGGGCGAGAAGGTGCGGATAAAGGTCACGACAAGAGCGTTGAGGACCATTAAGAAGGTGCGCAACATTATTCTCAGTCGTAAACCTTTTGCTTACCGGTGACTATGGCAGTATGGCGGACTCGACAACTATCTCAAGGGAACCCAGTCACATAAACTGAGTTTCGCTGGTCTTGACCTGAAGCTGAAGATCAAGGATGCAGAGGCGAAAAAGCTGGCTGAATTCCGGCAGTCTCCAGAGGGAAAGGAGGAGCTTCAACGCCAACTGAAAGCTCGGGATCCATGGGGAGTCAAAGTTGGCGCCATGAATATTAAGCTTAAGCGCATTGCAAGCGTGGCGCCGTCGGGAACCTTGGAGGGCGCTAGACAAGCCAGGCGCGAGGCGGCAAAGGCTTTGGGTATCCAGGGACTGGCTAGGTATGTTGTCATCGCCGTTTCCCCGATCTGGTCTGACCTCTTCTTAGTCCCCAGCAGACCTTCGAATACTTTACGCAGAGGCAGCAGTGAAAACGCCCTTATCATACATACAACCCGTCTGCAGTCTTATAATACTAATACCATCATCTCTGGACCAAGTTGCGCGACTGCCATCTATCTTCATGTCAGAAGACGCGAACGCGGTTCCTTTGCCTGTTTTGCCTAACCGACCAAAAGGCGGTGTACACTGGTGCGTCAGGTGCATATTCTAAATTCTCTGGTTAACTTATGTTACTATTCTACAGAGTTAAATTACGTCCGCAGGTATCAAGTCATCCTTGGTTCCACCTTTGACATATAAGAAATCGCCTTCAAAAGGACTTCTCGAGTCATGTCCAGCTCAACCCATAGCTCGTTAACGAAGTACCCGACGTATTGGAGGTTTTCGCGCAAGGCATTCAACTTCACCAGGGTCAAAATCGCCTTCTGCTCCTGCTTCAGGCTGCGCGCAGTGGCCGCGAGTTCTGCCGCGACCGTCTCTGTCCTCCTCTGGCTGAAGGGTTTGCCAGGTGCTAGTCGTGTCTGGTTCTTCCACCCGGGCTTCATCCATGGAAGGCGAAAGGAGGCAATGCAGCTCCAACCCACAGAATCTGGCCCGACATCCAGGTCTTGTACCACCACAGAAGGCATCGGGTGCAAAATGTCACGGATCCATACTGGGACCAACCTGCGGAATAATTCAGCCTGGTTCTTGTTGTGCAGGTATATGACCAATTCTGGGAGCGTTTCCAGTTGAGGAACCGGCATCACGACGCGAGGGAGTTCGTCCTGCATTCTCTTCGGTAGTGGTGGCAGCTCTAACCCGTCGTCCGATCGTCGAGGTCCAAGGTTGGGCGTGTTCAGCACAAACAGCAAGTCGTTGATTGGCATCTCGCAAACGCGCGGCCGGAAACCTGTGCACCGACTCTCATATGCGACCAGGATGTGTGTAGGGCCTAGTGGACGGGGCGATACCAAGGTGTCGACGTCGGAGAAGTTTAGGCTTTCTAACGAGACGCTACAACGGTTCCGGATCCAAAAGGCGGATAGCCTGCGGGAGGATTCTCTGGAAGATAAGATGGTGTCGTCGAAGTTCAAGAGACGCGTGGTGCTGTTGGCTTTGAGTTGGTGCCCTTCTGTACTGTCACAGTCGTTGATCTTGGTCGTGTCTGATCGAGGGCTCCCGCCCACTCTTTGGTATAGCCAGTTCGATTGTCTGGAGAGAGGTGAGCCCCCTTCCGCTCCGATATGAGATAGATTGGCCACTCACTCCTCGTCGTAGTCAGGTCTTATCTTTAGGTCGTCCCGCAATTCCTCAATACTTCGCCGTCGCAGGTAGTCTTCTCGATCCGGCGAGATGTCAATCAGAATCTTTCTGTCGATCTGGCGCTCTTTGGGGTGTCCAAATGGTTTGACTTCTTCTGGGTATTTAATGAAGTTGAGGATCGGGAGGTGAGAGGATATCGACATGGTGTTGGAGTGGTATACTAATGTTGAAAGTGGGGGAACTTCACAGGGGCCCTGGCCTCTTTCTTATACCACACCAGTCGGATAAAGATCCATTGTCCCTCTCGGGCGTTGCTTGTAAAGGATGTGGAGTCGAAATTCCATTGTGAACTGTGGCATCGCAGATTGCAACGGTTACAATCGAAGAAGTGCGCAAAAGCCACTCTTTTTTGGGCAGCGAAACGGATGTCTTTGTGACGCTCCGTGATCGACTCGATCAAGAAGGGGCGCGGTTGGTGTATCACTATGTAGCCTGTTTCAAAAACCCCTTTCTTACTTGAATATATTCTGTGTTCATTTCGCAGTGGAGTTGGCGTGATAGGCTGCGGTTGTCCCGACAGTATGTCCGCGTGCGCGAGTTACAGCTATTATTTTTCAGGTCCTTATCTCAATCAATGCTCGCGCAATTGAGTTGGGGGTCGGTGGCCATGGGATATATGTATGGGACACGGGGGCGCACCTGAATTATCGCCTATCATCGCGGCCGACGCGATCCTCATTTGGTCTTGGCAGTTGCGTCCGCGTTTTGCAGACGTAAATTACGGGCGCTTGACTCGGTCTCAGCGCGTAGACCAATAGAGTCAAGTTTCCTGCTTTTCCTACAGGTCCAATATTCCTTGGCCGATGTCCACGCGATAAAGAGCAGCAATTTCGGCGGAAAGCTCCCGTTAGACTGCCAAGGGGCGGCAACTTCGCGGCTAGCACGGTATCTTTTTAATATTATCCCCAAACACGCGCTCCATGAGTGGCTGGCATAGGCCGGCATTCCAACACGACGAACGATGGGAAGGTTGAATTCATTTCCTCGCCCTCTCTGTTCAACTTCTCTGTCATAGCCTGCAGGAGTCCGCTGCCCTTTCTGAGTCTCGAGATGAGGAAGAGCACTGGATCTACTACTCGGTCTTCCCTCACATTCCTTCTACTCCTTCCTCTCTTTTCGTTCTTTTGCTTTCAACAGGCTTCAGCACAAACCAGCTATGCGAACGAGTTTATCGACCCGGACCTCATTCTGGCAGGAGACTTTGCGAACAACACCGCAGCTGCGCAGCGAATGATCAGGAATTGGGCGTCTAAATGGGCCAGTGAAGGACCTTGGAGTACGTTCTTCCCCTGACCGCGATTCGTTCCTGCAGCATTTACCCATTTGAATGTCAGGTGTAATGCTCAAGGATGCGACACCTCCTTCTGGCACAAAACACGATTATATGAGCTGGGCTCCCTAGTGCGTTTGGGGTTTCGTCAGTACCTTTGTAGCGCTGATCAACATATTTTTAGCTGGTGGCCCGATTGTTCAGATGTCGGGAATACGACTGTGCTATCAGAGGAAGAAGGTATGTCATATGTCACAGCCTCCTGGAAGGAAACTAGACCAACTGGCGGAACATTTCCAGTCTGGACCACCTGCCCATACCGTCGTCGAGACGGCGAATTCAACCCGGACGTTCGCGGAGTGAACGACGTTGGCAATTTCCAGGACATGTCCGATGCTGTTTTGTATAATGCCCTTGCATGGTCTCTCGAAGAGGCCGGAAAGACACTGTATGCTCGTAATGCTGGTACACTCCACCTTGGGGGTTCAATCTCTTTTGAATGGGAGCCCACTCATAAAGTCTCTCCTAGTTCAGTTCCTTAGAACGTGGTTCTTGAACCCAGATACCCGGATGAATCCCAACCTCAATTTTGCGCAAATGATTCGTGGATCTAATGGTCGGCCTGGTAGCGCGACTGGTGTACTGTGAGTTTGCGGTTCTCTTCAGGGATGTGATGTCTTGTTTACATCTGCATTTCAGAGATCTCAAAGGAATGGCCAAGATTGCGTCTGCCATTTTGATCTTCAGGAAAGGAGGGAGCACCGAATGGACCTCGGACGATGATGAACAAATGGTTGAATGGTCGAGAGAGTATATTGAATGGCTTGAAACCGCCGAACTGGCCTTGGATGAGGGTAACTCCCGAAAGTGAGTGCCAGTCCTCCGAAACTTGAATATGGTTAAACGGGTTTCTGTTCTCTAGCAACCATGGTTCCTTCTATTATAACCAGCTGGCTGCATTGAAGCTCATTGTGGATGACATCCCTGGAGCCATCAATGTCTCGTCTACATACTTTTCCAGACAATTCCAGTCTCAAATCGCTGCTGATGGCGAGCAGGTGAGCAAACCATCGAGTACAATCAGGTCGATAAACTCAACCTTTTATTAGCCTTTTGAAGCCGCTCGAACGAGGCCATACCATTACCGCGCCTATAACTTAGCTGCAGCAATTGTGAGGATTTACTGGTTACTCTTTGTCCGGACAGACTTACGAACCCTTTCCAGACCAACGCTCGCATTTGGAAGTATGCAGATCCTAGTTCAAATGTTTGGGAGATCACATCAGCGGAAGGCGCGACAATCAAAACTGCACTCGACTACGCGATGACACACAGCGCCTCCTCAAGTGGAGAGTCGCAGTATGCTGCAGAGCTATACCCTATTGTCGCGGCTGTTGCCTCGGTGTACGGCGATCCCGATGGCCAGTATTTGAACTTCTTGCAGGAGAACGATGAAGGGTTTTATGCGGAACCTTACTTCTTGTGGAACAGCGGGGAATGGACCTCTGATGTCACGTCGACTGCTCGACCCGGAGGACCGAAGCCCACTTCCAGGAAGACCCAGGGTTCGCCTTCAGTTGATGAAGACGCTGGAAGCGCTGATGGGAGGGGTGTCCGACTTTGGGGTCTTGCATTGAACGTCGCTGTCCTGGCGCACACTCTGCTTTCTGTCGTCATCTAGCTATCAATGCATAGTATTTACTTTTACAATATACCCTTTCCGTGAAGTTCAATGAGTACCAAGAGTGGTAAAGGTCTCATAGCCTGAGTGTCTTCGGTCACCTGAAGCGACTGCCGTCACTGTCCAAAGCCGTTGCTGACGTTGCCTCCCGGCCGACACAGAAGCCAATGTTACAGGAATGCGATCGGAGGCTTGTTCCCCTCTCGATTTCTTGAGGCAATGACTGCAACAAGTTGAAATCCACTCTCAGGACGTATCTGCGTACCAGAAAATCACCAGATGTCATGCATATCTGGTCGGACAGAAGGTGCGTCTCCCTTGAAGGGCTACAGGTCTCGCAGATGTGAATTGATGGATATCATAGTGCTCTGAGAACGGTACTAGTGGCCCCCGGATCGATGACTATCATTCCTTGGCGCCAGCTGAAGGCCCCTTATAAGTGTGAAGAAGTAGGTGTGCGTTTTCCCGCAACCTCCCGACATGCTTCATGTCTTCGCCTTTCTCGCTGTCTCTTACATCCTCGGTGTTTTTGCATCACCCCAAGTCAGAATAGGGCGTACACAGCTAACTGGTCTCACCCTTTCCGATGGCATCGAATTCTTTGGAGGTAGAGCTCTTCCAATTCCTTCTGTTTGGCCACAGGCGCTAAACAGTTGCCTTCGTGTTCAGGGATCCCTTATGCGGAGCCACCTGTTGGACCACGGAGCTTTCGTCGCCCAGTCTTGAAGAGAAACTTCAATACAACAGTATTTGATGCCACAACCTACGGAAAAGCGTGTATGCAGGTGGTGAGTCCCTCTCGGCTCAGGAGACGATTTTATACATGCAGTCCATTAGCCCATCGAAATCGATGTCACAAATATGTCGGATGATTGCCTAACTCTCAATATTCATCGACCATCCGGCGTTAAACCCAACGCAAGACTCCCAGTGGTAGGCTTTCGAGCAGCGGGACTATGTCGAAGATCCTGCTGAAGTGAATGGTAGTTGTTTTGGTCTTACGGGGGAGCATGGTCATGGGGAGCCTCGTCTACATACAACGGCAGCACGCTGGTCTCTCGAAGTATTGAGAGGGTATGGACAAGCAATGCTGGTCAGAAGCCGATTTTTTCAGCTAATGGAATCTTCGTCAGGGTACTCCCGTCATTTATGTCAATTTCAACTACCGCCTGGGCCCCTTTGGGTGGCCACAGGGACAAGAATGTGCGCATGGGCAGACTTGGTATTGAATTGTCAGATTCTCAACTCCTGTTACAGCCGAAGACCAGGGCGTACTCAATCTCGGACTTCATGATCACATCGCAGCGCTACAATGGGTACAGCACAATATTCACCACTTTGGGGGAGACAGAAACAAGGTATGGAGACCTGCCTCTCCGACAAGCTGATCGCTGAGTAGAAACAGGTGACGATATTTGGAGAAAGTGCTGGCTCGATCAGCAACGGAATTCTTTATCTGAACTCAGGACTCGAGCGTCTAGCTCGCGGCGCTGTATGTCGCCCAAACTCGATCTTGCTTTATTGTCGCTGACGAGGCGACAGATTTTCCAGTCGGGTCAGGCGAATTCCGTTATCAATCCGAAGGCCTCGTACAGGGAAGACGTCTGGCAACGATTGATTCGAGCTATGCCTTCCTGTGCAGCCACTTCAGAGTCCGGATCCTCGATTCCTTGTCTTAGGGAAGCGAGCTCCGTGGAGATCCTTACTGCATGGTTACAGATTTTCCAAGAGATCCAAGATTTTATCCTCTTCCTACCAACGATAGATCCTGCACGAGGGAGCTTACTTCCTGACTATCCTTCGCGCCTATATAGCCAGGGTCGATTCGCAAGGATTCCCTTTATTTCAGGAACGAATTTGGATGAAGGTGAGACGGCTTCAAGCGACAAAAGGCAACCTCACTCACCAATGTCGCCGCAGGGACCGCATTTGCTAACTCCAACCCAAACGCCACTGAAGATAACATCAAAGGTCATATTATAGGTTATAACTCACCTTCGCCTGATGAGAAAGGCCTCGCTCGAGTTGTCGATGAGCTGTTTGATGTATACCCCGATGTCCCCTCCCTTGGTTCACCTTTTAACACCGGAGATGAACTTTTCGGATTATCTCGTTCGTACAAGAGGCACGCCGCAATCCGTATGTCCTGCCTGCTCAGAGCGTTCGGAATGCATCTAATCCTAGCCAGTCACGGATATGGTTTTCGAAGCACCGCGTCGAATGTGGCTTGAAGCTGCAACCTCGCGAGGCGTGAAGGCTTGGAGTTATCTCTTCAAGCAACCTCAGCCCTTGGACAACCCGGCATGGGGAGGTGAGGAGAGACGTTTTGTCAGCTAGGCAGGAGATTGATGATCATCCCTTCCCGACAGTCTACCATTCAAGCGAAATTGAATTTGTTTATGGACAGCCTCGGGATCAGTCACCAAGTGCTAGGAACGTTAGCACGCTTATGATGGATTACTGGATCTCTTTTGCCGTCAATTTAGATCCCAACGACCGCCGTGGATTGCGCAGTGAGTGTCTACTAACGCTTGAGATCGCCTTCTAAATTCACGGCCATCCAGGACCTACTTGGCCTCGATATACCAAGAGGGACGGAACGTCGCTGCAGCTTCAAGGAGGAAACACAACAGCCATTACAGACAACTTTAGGGTCCAGAAGAGTCGTTTCTTCAATTCTCACCCTATCTTGTTCCGCCATTGACCTCATAACGTAAATTGTAATCAGAACAATGAACGGGCAACACACAGAGGTTCTGCAATATAGATATAAAGGGAATTTGGGCGTTTACGCAGGAACACATTGGGAGTAATATTGGTTTGCCTGAAATCGACGGTAAGGCGTCGTCGCCTACAGCTGAAGACGGGGGAACTCACCGCTCTGCAAACAGCATTGGCGGGGCAGAGAGTTGGCCCAGTCCAGCCTTGTCCGCCACTTTGAAAGCGAAGAGTTAACGCAAGAGCCGATTACATTTCGCGTTCAGCCTACGCACCATTGCCCATACATTGTCTGCGTTGCTTGAGGTGGCTGGATTGTCGAAGGTGGTTGAGTAACCACGGGTGGAGTAGTCGGGGTCCCAGGAGGATTAGTGACGACGGGAGGATCAACACTAGGACCCCCGGGTCGTTTTAGGATGAAGACTTCGCCGGTCGTGTCGCTCGAGACATAGAGATTCTCGCCATTTGGACTCCAGACGAGTCCAACGGGTCGGAAGCAATTCGAACCTAGCCGCGACAATCATTGTCAAGGCTTGGGGCGACCAAGATTTGCCAAGCTCACCACCGAATGATCCTGAACATTGATTTTCGTTCCGATTGGTCAATAGATTGGTGAACGAGGTCTTGGTTTGGGCAAGGCCGACGCTTGGAGACCATTCACCAGACGCCGAGTAGCGACCTGGGATGATCACCACCTTGTAACCCTGCAGAATTTCCATGTGTATGTCAGAGAGGGAATACAAGGATCACAAGACAACTCTTACCTGAGGTGGCTGTCGGTTCCAGCTTCCATGCAAGCCGACATAGAGGTTAGTATCGTTGCCAAGGCCGAACTTCATATCCAAAGGGGCAGTATGGGGTGGGAGAAGTGCTGTGGGCTTGACTGCGTTGGTGTTGCACCAAGCATCATTGTATTGACCATTGGGGTCTTGTACAAACCTGGAGGCGGATTCGGTAAGCTATCATAGACAGGGATTGAAACGCTGCTCACCAATCTCCGACCTGCTTGGGACTATCGGTGAAATCGCCTGCTTCCCAGACGGTGTAACAATCCGGGTAGCCGCCGAAGATCGACCTCGGGTTGGAAGGATCGCCCACTACCGCCGGGGAGGTATTGACAACTGGAATATACGATCCGGAAGGCCGAAGTAGAACTTACAATTATAGACCTTCTCGGCGGGGTTATTGGTATGGATATCGCGACGTTGACCATTGACCATTCGGTAGGCGTCGTCCAGTGAGTTCTCTATATCCCTTCTTCAGAAGATAGGGGAATGAAAAAATCTGGATGCCACTGACCGATACTGTGAATATTTCCTGCCCTGTCCTCTGCGATGCCGACGTCATTGCGCAGCCCGTAGCTTGAAAATAACAAAGCTGAATGACAATCCAACAACAATCCCGGAATCCTTACCCCAGTACCCTCCCATATGAGCTACCATAGGGAACGATATCAGTGAAAGGCAGAGTACCAGTTCGTGCCAAAGCACCTACCTAGTGTAGCTTACACTTTGAGAAGGGAGATTGTTGTAGTCGAATACTCGAATTTGGGCTCTGCCTGATCCAGGCTGTCTCGTTGGGGTCGACGTTGCTCTCTGATCCAACACTCAAAGCGAAGAGGTTGGGATACTTGCGAGAGATGTGGATGGTCCTCGTGAAATGGATGAAGTTATTCATCCTTTCAGAAAGGTACGTGGTTATCAAGAACGCTCTAAGTCAGACTGCTCACTAGAAGGGCTTACCCAGTGATGAGCGTTCGCTTGTTAGTTGCCGTCATGGTGACTGGGTCGTAGTCCCAAGACCAAACGGCATCTCCTGAGCTGGATTGAATAACGATGAGTAAATTCTTCCCAGTGGTGGCAAAGGATGGTTACCTGGCCATGATTCTGTTGCCAGAAGGGTGTACGTCAATCGCGTGGTTGATCTGGCTGTCCTGGATGATGGTTTTCGTGCTGGTCACGCAGCCGTTGGCATCCAGGGCATGTCCCGTCAGTCCTCGACCACGTTGAATGACCAGGAGATTGCCCCTCGTATCGATCATAATTCCTCGAGGCATCGTGAGCCCGCCGAGAAGCACACCGCCCCTCCACCCAGACGCCAAGGTCATGGGGTACCGAGGCTGAGGAGCGCCTGAGCAAATGCTCTGCGCGAGCGAAAACGGCGCTGGAGAGTGCGGGTGAGAAAAGGTTGAAAGAATATGTTGAGGACCGACCGAGAAGCGCCAGCCAAAGGGCCAATGTGACTGTTGCGACTTGCATATGCATCTCTGAGTTCGGGGAGAGTCGAGCAGATTCACTTCCCATTCTGGACGTTCTTTTAAGCAGGAACGCTGTGATGGAACGGGTCTTCATCGGTTTCTGAGGCTTTGCATTCTCGGACATTTGTGATGCTGAATCGTCCAGTTCTTGGAGGAGCTAGCATTCATTATCCTTCGTCGAAGGGTCTCGTGAACTCCTTCCGTCGCCCCAGAGAATCTTGGCATGGTTAATCCAGATCCCCAGAAAGGCAGAGATTCAGGATAACTCCACAAGGGAGCATTGTGCCACGGGGTTTATTGAGGCAAATATTCCTTTTAGGATGGACGCACCTGGAATAGTTAGGATGCGCATGAGCAACGTCGCGTACTGGCCTCAACAGCCTAGAGAATTGATCGTGGGATCAAACCGAGGTCGACTGTGCGAAGTTGAAAGCGGTAAGGCCGTTAATCTGCTCGAAAGGTGGGGGGAATGCCCATCGCTTCCGAGTAAACAAATTAGCCGCTGCTCCATACGCCAACTTCTAACATAGTGCGGAACTCACAGTACGCGCTAGCCAGCGCTTTTTGAGGAGTGGGAGGAAATAGAATCGATTCATAATTCAAAATTAACTCGACGCACAAGCTGTGTACAGCAGTAGCAAGGAGCCAGCGACTACCATTCAAAAGAATGATATTGGCATAGAAACAGGAAGCTACAGAACCAACGAAACCCGAAATTATGCAGGAACACACTGAGAATACCATTGGTTGGACTACGTCTCGAAGTCAGAATGAGGGCCTTGGATCAAATCAAGTATTCACTTACCGCCCGACAAACAGCGTTGGCAGGACACAGGGTCGGTCCAGTCCAGCCTTGACCGCCACACTGTCCATACATGGTCTGCGTAGCCTGAGGGGGAGCAATGGTGGTCGGCGGCTGAACAGGTGGTTGTGATGTGGGGGTTCCCGGTTGAGTCGTGATTGTAGGTGGCTGTCCAGGGTTGGTAGGCCCAGAGAGCCTCTTGACGAGGATAACTTCACCGGAACTGTCGCTGGTAACATAAAGGTTTTGTCCGTCTGGGCTGAAGACAAGACCGACTGGCCGGAAGCAGTTGGCATCTGATGACCTCGTATTTAGCTACTTGGGCAAAACAAGAGTCAAACAACACTCGATACTCACTTCCGAATCCTGAGCAGCGTGTTTCATCGACGTTGGAGATTAAAGTACTCCACGAATTTTTGGTCTCTGCGAGAGAAACGGTGGGAGACCATTCACCGCTCGCTGACCACCGACCAGGGACAATTACCACTTTGTAGCCCTACATCGTACGGTCGTTGAGAGATTAGATTCTGTGCCTCTGGACATGGAACTGACCTGCGGAGGCTGACGATTCCAGCTTCCGTGAAGGGGGACGTATAAATTACTATCATTCCCGACGCCGAACTTGAAGTCCAGGGGAGCTGTGTGCGGCGGCAGCAGAACAACAGGTTTCGCGGTGGTGTTGCTGTTGCAATAAGCGTCGTTATACTGCCCGCTATTTGTTTGCGTAAACCTAGGCGATGACATGAAGTGACGCTTATGACTCGATGACTGGTGCTTCTTACCAATCGCCGACCCGTTTCGTGCTATCATTAAAGTCTGCTGGCTCCCAGATAGTGTAACAGTCAGGATAACCGCCAAACAGAGATCTAGGATTTGCAGGATCTCCAACTAGACGGTTGTCAGAGATAGTTCAATATACTCGTCGGGAATGCTTACGGTTGTACACTTTTTCCGCGGGATTATTGATATGAATGTCGCGCCTTTGACCATTGATCATGCGGTAGGCATCGTCGAGTGAGTTTTCTAGGGGCGGTAAGAATATTCCGTGATTAAATGGCAATACCTCCAATTGTGACCTACCAATGCTCCAGAAATTTCCGGCCCTATCTTGAGCTATGCCAACGTCGTTCCTCAGCCCGTATCTAGACCATGGTAGGGGTAAGAGGCCCAACAATATCTAGACAAAGGATGCCCATACCCGAGGACTCGTCCATATGAGCTAGCATCGACGAAAACGTTAGTGGCGGGTAGGTATATGTGAAGACAACTTCTGTGTACCTAGTAAACGTCGTTCCAGAGGCTGGAAGGTTGTTGTAATCAAAGACCCGGATCTGAGCTCTCCCAGATCCCGGCTGTCGCGTTGGTTCGTCGATGTTCGACGCCGAACCAACATTGATCGCGAAAATGTTGGGGTTTTTCTTAGAGATCAGGATGGTGCGAGTGAAGTGGAAGTTGTTGTTCATGCTATGTCGAAACAAGTGAGAACCATGTGGATGAGTGGAAATTGTCCTCGTACCCAGTGACCAAGGTCCTCTTGTTACTGGTGGTCATTGTTACCGGATCGTAATCCCAAGACCAGGCAATGTCCCCTGAGCTGGTTACCAGACCTCAGGTTCAGCTCACGCACAGATATCCATTTGGGAATGCACTGTACCTGGCAATAATGCGATTTCCAGCAGGATGAACGTCAACACCATGGTTAATCGCCGAGTCTTGAATGACCATCTTCGAGCTGGTAACACATCCATTGGCATCGAGAGTGTGGCCCGACAAACCACGGCCACGTTGGAGAACAAGAAGATTGCCTCGAGTATCCATGGTTATACCACGAGGCTCAGAGAGACTTCCCAGGACGGGGACTGCTCGCCAGCCTGAGACGACGTTAATTGGGTACCGCGGATTGGGTGCCCCAGGGCATGACACAAAAGTCGAGCTTGGTGGTGGCTGAGGTGGCGGGGTTGTAGGAGTCGGAGGCTGGGAAGTTGGTGGCTGCGTAGGCGCACCCCCAGAAAGAGGTGGAGCATTGGTCAACTGTTGCAAGAAGTAGTTGTAGGAACTGGTGCGGGTACCGAGGTCGAAGCCGTGTTGGCCTGCAGCTGAATGCCTGTAGAGGCCAGAGTTGGGGTCAGATGGGGTCAGCGGTTGGAGAGTGGCATGGAAAGCCCATCCCAACACCGAGCTTCCAGTAGAGGGGATGCCGCCACCGGACCAAGATGTACAGTTCTGAGCAGTTGTCGTAAGACTGCCGACCGTCGCGGGAGGACCCAAGATAGGTGCGTACCTGGCAACGATAAACGATACGTTGGATTTGGCCGTTGGAACCAGACGATCCTAGTATAGTCAGACGAGGTCCAGAATAGATCGAAGGTGGGGCATAGTCACTGTTCCATCGTTAATCAAGGCCCATGGTGGGAGTCATTGGTGAGACAACTCACGTTGCCCATCGAGCGGATATCCTGGGAGTCGTGCCATCGACCCAGCCTACAATCAAAGGGGCATTGCGCATTCCACCTCCCAGACTGTTCCCGATCCAGCCAGAATTGGCCGGTGCTTGGAAGATTCCAATAAATTCATCTGTCGCAGCTCCACCAGCTGAAGAGGGGAAGAGGTATCCCCAGCTCGCATCGAAATCTTGTTGATAGTATCTCTGCCAGGTTACACCTGTCAAGGAATCGTACCACTGCGATGCCACCTGTCCATGGACTGGGGACCTGAGGTAAGAAAGCGGCGCGCTCCAGTGAAGGGAAAGCAAGTGACGAACCGAGGACAGAGAGCAGCCCAATGGCCCAAAACAGAGAGGAAAACATGGCTGTTGCTCTGGATTCCAGTAGCCTTCTTCCGTGCAAACGGTTTTGCGTTTTAAACGAGCGCTCTCCTCTCATCCATTCGGTACAACGTCGGTTCAGAGAACCCCAAATCCTCGGATGTTTGCTTCACTGTTTCGAGTTCTATCGCGCCATGGTGCACTAATACTCACGGGTTTGGAGACTAAATGTTCACTTGACATGGTTTCTTCATCCACTATTACTCGAGAAACCTGTACGGTAGCAGGATGAACTCAATAACAGATCTGGTAGAATCCGATCAAAGACTTGCCATGAGTTTGCCACGCGAACGATTCCTCCATGTCGAGAATCGGTGCCGCTGGAATTAGAAGCGCAATCCCCGTGATGTGGTTGCGGAAAAACTTTGAGTAGTAACCGGTGAAGATCCATTGGTCTTTCCTGCGAGGATCAGTGAGATGCAACTGAATGGCGTGAGATGGCTCTCCATGCAGGACATGTGCACCGCGTTCCGAAGATGTTGCACATGCGGGGACACTAGAACGATGACCATGAGTAGAAGCAAGAAATTACCTATTGTCGAAGGCAGGCGAAGGTCATGCGCGACGCAACCCTATCTGTCCCTCTGCTGGATTGGGAAAGCCACGTGGGAGTCCCGAAGAAACATGAGCGAGGAATGAATGGATGCAGAAACAAAATCGATTCTGTCTTGAAGCCCGACTAATTTTACAGCACGATGTCTTGAAATAGATAGGGGGATGTTTATGCAGGAACACACTGAGAGTACCATTGGTTGGACTGGAGAGAGCGTAAGCAAGGGATGTAGTGGGTGTCAGACGAGCAACGTACCTCTCTGCAAACGGAGTTCGCTGGGCAAAGAGTGGGTCCGGTCCATCCTTGGCCACCGCTGGAGGGATTATTAGGGTTCCGCATAGCAATGGATGACTAGTAATTACGCACCATTGTCCCCAGAGGGTCTGGCTGGCTTGAGGAGGGGCGACGGTCGTGGGTGGCTGAACGACCGGCGGGGTGGTGGGAGTAGGTGGGCTGGTGGTGATGGGGGGCTGGGTGATGGGAGGCTGAACAATAGGGCCGGACATGCGCTTGATGATGAAGACTTCGCCGGAGGTGTCACTGGAGACATAGAGGTTCTGGCCGTCAGCGCTCCAGACCAATCCAACAGGTCGGAAGCAGTTTGCATCTGAAAGGAGGTCAGTCTCCTTCCTAAACGGAGACCGGATATGAAAAACTCACTTCCGAAGCCTGAGCACTGGTTCTCGTTTCGGTTGGTCAAAAGGTCAGACCAAGCAGTCCTGCTCTGAGCGAGGGGAGCTGTTGGCGACCACTCTCCTGAAGCAGAGTATTGTCCAGGAACAACGACGACCTTGTAACCCTTTGGATCCATGCAGAGTCAGAAATGCTTTGGCATACAACACGTAGCAACCCGTACCTGGGGCGGCTGTCGGTTCCAGCTTCCGTGAAGGGCGACGTACAAGTTGGTGTCGTTTCCGAGACCGAACTTCATGTCGAGAGGAGCAGTGTGGGGAGGAAGGAGCAAGGTAGGCTTGACAGCGTTGGCGTTGCACCAAGCGTCGGTGTATTGACCGCTGTTATCCTGAGTGAACCTGGATGCACGAGTGAGCTTTGATTACCAAATGAAATAGTGCTGGATCCTACCAATCGCCAGGCTGCTTGGGCGAATCGGTGAAATCGCTTGGTTCCCAAACAGTGTAGCAGTCAGGGTAGCCCCCGAAGATGGCCCTGGGGTTAGAAGGGTCTCCCACTGCAAGTGAGAATGAGGGAGATGTCCGCAAAAGATGGTGATCTGGCACATACGGTTGTAGACCTTCTCAGCGGGGTTGTTGGTGTGAATGTCGCGACGTTGTCCATTGACCATTCGGTAGGCGTTATCCAGCGAGTTTTCTATGGGATGGGATCGTTAAGAGGGAACTGAGAGTTAGTTCAGGGACAGTCAACTCACCAATGCTGTGGATGTTGCCGGCACGGTCTTCAGTGATGCCGACGTCGTTGCGGAGACCGTATCTACGAAGGGTTGGCAAAGACAAATCACGACATGAAAGTGAAGCAAGCATACCCGAGGACACGACCATACTGGCTGACGAAGGGGACACCATTCTGAGGGAGTTGATCATAGTCGAAGACTCGGATCTGGGCACGACCAGAGTTCTGTTGACGAGTTGGCACGTCAATGTTTCCGTCGGATCCAACGTTCAGGGCGAAGAGGTTGGGGTATTTGCGAGAGATGTGAACAGTTCGAGTGAAGTGGTAGAAATTGTTCATTCTGTTGGTTTGTTAGTATCAGAGGAATCCACTGGGGCTTGTCGCCACGTACCCAGTGACGAGCGTCCTTCGGTTGGTAGCAGTCATGGTGGCTGGGTCGTAGTCCCAAGACCAGGCAATGTCACCAGAACTGTAGGAAAGTGTCAGGTGCGTTTCAGGGCCATGGGGTTTCAACACCTTGCTTACCTGGCGATGATCCTTCTGCCGGAAGGATGGACATCGATGCCGTGGTTGATTTGGGTGTCCTGGATGACGACCTTGCTGCTGGTTACACAACCATTGGCATCCAGAGTGTGTCCCGTCAAACCACGTCCTCGCTCAACAACAAGGAGGTTTCCTCGAGTATCAAGGGTGATGCCACGAGGCATGGTCAAGCCACCAAGCACAGGGGCGACACGGAAACCGTTGGCAACGTTCATCTGGTACCTAGGCTGGGGAGCACCAGGGCAAGAGACGAAGGTGGAGCTCGGAGGCGGGGGAGGGGGGGCGGTCGTGGTGGGAGGTTGCTGAGTCGGTGGCTGGGTCGGGGCACCTCCAGAGAGCGGAGGGGCGTTCGTGAGTTGCTGAAGGTAGTAGTCGTACAAGGTGGTGCGGGCATTGCCAATGTCAAATCCGTATTGAGCGGCGTGAGAGTGTCTGTACAAGCCAGAGGATGGGTCGGAAGGAGTCAATGGCTTGGTGGTGCTGTGGAAAGCCCAGCCAAACACGGCTGAACCAGTTGTGGGAATGCCACCAGCTCCACCAGTCCACCTTGTGCAGTTCTGAAGGAGTTCTGTCAGCATGTGTGTAGAACTTGCTCCAAACTAACGCACCTGGCAACGGTAGACAATACGCTGGATGTTGCCATTAGTGCCAGAAGACCCGAGGATGGTAAGACGGGGTCCAGAGTAGATGCTAGGTGGTGCGTAGTCACTGCCAGCCACAGTGTAAGTATTGTTCCGATGACAGAAGAGATAAATTCAACACACGTCGCCCATCGAGCAGAAATCCTTGGTGTGCTGCCATCCACCCAGCCCACGAGAAGGGGGTTGTTTCTCATAGAACCACCAAGACTGTTCCCAATCCATCCTGCGCTGGCGGGGCCTTGGAAGAGACCGATGAACTCATCGGGGGCCTGTCCGCCGCTTGCAGAAGGGAAGATGTAACCCCAGCTGGCATCGGTATCCTGCTGGTAGAATCTGGAGAAGGTGACACCAGTGATCGAGTCGTACCACTGAGTGGGAGAGCCTTGCGCGTTGGCTGGCGTGCGCACAGTGTAAGCAACGACAAAACGTTCATGAATACTGAGATAAGCGTACCCAACGCAACAAGCCCTAGGGCCCAAGCCAATGATGAGGAACGCATCGTTCGTGGTCGGTCCCGAAATCCCCTCCTCCACGTTTTAAAGAATTCTCCTGGGATCCTAGACGTCGACACCGGGCCAACATCGGTAAGGAAATCACAAAATCTTCGGATTTAAGTTGGTCAGGTAGTGCATTATCCTGCCTGTTATGTGCAAAGAACTCCTCGAAATGCTTGACGATGAGCAGCTTGGCCAGTCTGGGCAATACTTGGCCGACGACATTGCCTCCGCCGTGGAGAGCGCATGGGAATAGAGCCAACCTCATTGGCTAGTGTAAGTGATCTTGGGTGTTGGTTCTATGCTCCTGGCTTAGTTTCAAGAAAGCTGGGGTAGAGTAGGCATTCATTTCATCGTCTTTGCATCAACGACCAAGGGCAGTCAACTCACTATAATTGTAGAGAAGCGCCCCGAGTTGGAGTAGCGCTAGATTGGTTCTGCGCGGATCTTCCCACTGACATCGCGTGGCCTCGGTGATAGTAGATAGCGTGGTCGAGCATGGCATAGACTTCGTGATGTCCCTGCAGACTCGAAAGCATGGCTAAAGGGCAGATGACGTTAGCTTGTGGCTTTGCGAACGAACAGGGTGGAACCAACCTTACAATTGAAGGTCCTGCGCTGGGCTGAATTCAGGCAACAGGGACATCCCATCTGACAAAGACCGCAAACCTTAGACCAAGTAGCAACTTCTGAGCGTGCAGGGCACACAGAGGTAGCTCCTAGAGGTCGTTCATGGTCTTCCAGCGTACGATGACCACCAAAAAGCATAGGCGATCTAACCCCAACCATGGTAAGAACCATTCTGGCCTCTGCAAGTCTAATGGTTCAAGCAATTGAAGCGGTGAGAAATATCAGTCCTGTGACCATTCAATGAATGATCGCACAGGTCGAACGCTCCAGCCCAACGTGTTCAATTCGGTTTCGGAGAGAAGAGCTCGAAACGGCGCTGTGATCTCAAGAAGGGCCGAAACTTCTCGAAGAGGGCGCACGACCACGCCTATTAAGCAGTCCGACTTGGAAGCCCGTCACAGCTGTATTCGCATTTCTCTAAGTACTGGAACAGACTGAGATAATCAAAAGGCAGAGATTAGCAGGCTGAGCAGGACACTCACAACAGAGCATTGGCGTCTACTTGTCCCTGTCCCTCCTCGAAAAATTCCTGTCTGCTGGGAAACCTAGGTGTCGGCACGCTTCCAACCTGTAGTTTACACCCAAAAATCGGTTTTTAACTGCAAGAACAACGAGCTTTGTTGACACGACAGGGGCGGTTACGGTTTCAGCGTTGAAGACTGATTCGAACGACGACGATGATGATGAAGACGCGCCGACAGCGAGCACTGCGCGCCTGCGCTTGTTTCCGATATGTTTCTCACGCTCCATGCCGGAATTCGTGCCGCTCAAACTCTGATCTTTCTGGTTCTTCATCACCGCCAATCCCTCTCAGGTGTCAAAAAACTCTGAAAATCCGGCATGGATCTCTCCAAAAGTAATCACCCACTAGTCTTGGGGCTATAGAAACCTGGGAATCCTTCGACCATTCACTTACATTTCATCTTGCTTCTTCAGACTCGGAACCTCCTAGGATATTTCGCGGGAGGATCTTTTTGAAAAGAAGAAGATATACAGGCTGCTTTCTCTGGGATTCTGCATCCTTCTTTCCCTTCGTCATGGGACTACATGCTTCTCTACTTCTCCACCCCACCTCGGAAAAACGAAAAGAATAGAAGAATCGATAGGGTTACGATTGGCGTCTCTTTTTCTTGGTGGAATGGAGTAAAACCCTGGCTTCTGTGTATTGATGCAACCAGCATGATCCGTTTGCTGGGACTAGGCGATCTTCTGGAACCTGGGTGCGCTCGTGGTGACTCGAGGCTCCCTGGAATGTATGGGTATCCTCCTGGCCGCTTAAATGCATACCCTCGAATTGGCTTTTGGGTTCTGTACCGGCCCGCGCTGTCCAATACGCTGGACGACGACTTCCCGCGCCCTCATCAAAGCTTCCAATACATCATTCAAAAGGATCAAGCACTACCAGCTGGTCTTCGTTTCTTCGACTTGGCCTTCACCTTACCCCTTGTCGTCGTGACTTCCGAGAGATGGCGGTTAGCACCCGAGCGTCACCAATGACCGGTGACTACCAACCCAGAATGCCTCAGCTTACACATCCGACATATTGCCTCAACCGCCCCTCCGTAAATATTCCCTAAAGGCGGGGTAGCCCTCACCCCCCACTGCACCCTGAGGGCGGGTGATGCTCGGAAAATGCGGGGCTCCTTGGATATTGCCTCACTATAAAATACATTCATCGACGCTAGAGAGGCGACTGTTGTCTCTGTACGGGTATTTCGTTTAAACGCGTCCCGATGCTGTTCTCAACCTCGACCCTGCTCGCCGCTGCCACGTTCATCGGGCAGGCCGCTGCGCACGGCTATGTCCCCTGGATTAGAATCAACGGCACCAACATTCCTGGATGGGATGTCACCAGGGGTAAGCCTCTTCTGTGTGCCTTGCCAAAGACGGCTGTCTGATCTACGTTCTCTCTATAGATGGATACACCGTTCCCCAGGTTAGAATTATTGACAAAGGCAATCCGAAGGCCCCCGACTAACAATGATGCCTAGCCCTTGAGAATCGTCCGTGCCACCAAGCCCGACAGCGGCTACATCTCCAACGTCAACTCCCCAGATATCACCTGCTCGATCGGTAACTCAAAGTTGCCTCCCGTAAGCCTCAGAGCCCCATCGTTGTTTTGGCGCCCATTGTGACGCTCTCCCAGGGCCCGATCACTGCATCTATCCCCGCTGGTCAGACTTTGACCGTCGTTTGGAACACTTGGCCCATCGGTCACGATGGTCCCATTATTAACTACATGGCCAAGTGCCCTGTTCCAGGATGCTCCAGCTGGAAGGGTGACACCGGCTCTCCCTGGTTCAAGGTGGGCATCGTGTGCTTATTTATTGGGATGACTGTAGCGTGCTCAGCTTATCGCCTGTAGATCTCCCAACAGACCTACGATGGCGAGTGGCCCTCTAACAGGCTCGCCCGTGGTGGCTTCACCTCTGATGTGAGGATCCCCGCCAACATCGAGCCAGGTGACTACGTAAGTTCTAGACCAATTCACTTTTGGATCGAACAGAAAAACTAACTTTTGCTTGAAGCTCCTCCGACACGAGCAGATTGCCCTGCACGGCGCATCTCAACCTGGTGGTGCTCAATTCTACCCTGGTGCGCTACGGCTCTTATCCCTTGCATCGGAAAGAAATTGATGGTCCTTTCCTTTTAGTTTGTATTCAATTGACCGTTACTGGCGGTGGAAACCTCCGACCCTCCGGCTTGAACTTCCCTGGTGCTTACAAGCAAAACGACCCCGGCATTCTCTTCAACCCCTACCGTGGCGATGCTGCCAACAGGGTAAGCGTTGATCTTTACCCATGGTATCAATCCTGTCTTCTGACGTCGCCTGCAGGCTTACATTCCTCCTGGTGGCCCCGTCTACCCTGGCTTGACCTAAGTACGTATCACTGTACCAGTCAGCTATACAACACCTTTTGTGCTCTCCTGTGCAATTCAATAAATACACGTTTCTCCATTTATGTTTGAGGCACATAGACTGTGACCGCTCGTTATATAGAGGGACTGGTCTTCCACACCAAACCCATTCTCCGGCAGTTACTAGGCTTAGTCCGTGACCCACACACGACGCGCTCATCGTGATCAAAATAGGGGCCTGACTTGCCTGAACCGATACCGTGGGAACCCATCACTGACCAGAATATTCGACGGAATTCGTGTTTCACCACTGCAACCACCATGGGCGTTAGCGACAGCGACCTCGACGAGAAGAAACCCCTACTCAACGAACAGGAGAGCAACGACGAGGTTGATGACTCAAAAACCAAGGAAAAGGAGCCTGTGTCGGATGAAGAACACAGCGATTCTGAGGACGAAAAGTCCGAACCACAACCGCAACGCCCTGCTTCTCCTGACCCACGATTCAACCCACCACCACCATCACCCTTGAAACGCTTCCTGTTGATTGTCTTTGTGACGTTCTTGCTCTGGCTGGCTTATGCACTGAGGCAACACCACATCAGGAAGAAGAATAAACCACAGATCATCTACGCGTCGCGGTACGTCTTGTTCGGTCCTGGGTCCCTTCATCCTTACTGACAGCTGACTGTTGACGAATAGGTATTCGAAGGAGTACAAATACCGACCGGCAGCGAGCCCTATTATCACGGAGACGCTGAAGGATGGGAGGATTAGGATTAGAGGGGCTTCACCGGAACCGACCCAGCCTCCTCCCCCTCCTCCCCCACCCAAGAAACGGAGAACGCGCAGAAGGAGGAAGGCGAAGAAGCACTAGTGCATCGAGGCTTGGGGTCCACTCCATCATTATACCCAACCATCACATTATCTTAGTATGGTCATTTCGTGGGGTTAGTCCAGACGCCAGACGCCAATCTAATTGACATTCATTTATTGGGTAATTGCACGCCCTGTTCGCAGGCTTTAGCAAGGTTCACGCATTCAGGATAGCTCATGGCTTTAGGCCCCAGGATTCTGTCCGACTGTGGTTTTGAAGTCTGCCCTAGTACAGTGTGTATGTGTTCCAGCGGGCCTGGTTGTCAGCCTGGGATGAATTCGTCGGGGTAGCGAGCGTTCGAATTCAAAGTTTAGTCTGAGCTTGACATAAAACCAACCGGCGAACTTCTTGGGGAATACCGATATGTTGCCTATATCTACGGTGCTATTTAACCTTGCATAGAGTCAAGGCTAGGTGTACTCTCGTGGTATTCGTATTATTTGAAACGAGTTGGCTCCAACGAGGCTCGAACTCCCGATTCAGCGCTTCCATTGCTTTATTTAGCAGGTCGGGCCCAGGCACCGCATTACCCCATTGTGACGGCAAGCTCGGCTCTCTCCGTTCCACTACCCTCCACGTTCTCGATTCAGGCGCCTGCGACAGTACGACGAGCTCATGGTGAAATGAGCGAGCAAGAGCAGCCAGATGACCTCCAGCAACAGCAGCAGCAGGTTGACCGAAAGGGCAAACGACGAGCAATCATCCACGAACCTTCAGAACGGACGCCTTTGTTAGGCGGAACCTCCCAAATACCATGGACGGTTGTCAACGACGTCGAGGACTCAAGTCGGGCGCGGAGGACGCTGAGGTCAAGGCTGGCAACAGTCTTCCTAGCGTCACTGTCGATATGCACTGTTGTCTTCGCTGCGATAGCGCTTCTGGCTTGGTCGTATGCCGCCAAAGCAGCGGATCTGACCCCAGAAGACCTCATCAACAACGACCTTGTCTTCGATGGTCCTCAGAAGGTCGACCTCCACAACGTGACCAAAGACGGGGGAATATGGGTGACCGTGCACGGTCGTATGGGAGTGGACGTAGGAGACGCTATGGGCATCAACTCCGACCCCGACGATGGACTTCTTCAGCGGCTGTGGAAGAAGATTGGACGGCAAGGCGTTCGGACCTTGCACACAGTATCAGTGAATCTGAGCACTGTGACGGTCATGCCCGAGTTTGACCCATTTACGACCCTCGCGACCCTCGACATTCTCCCTCTCGACCTGCCACTCACTGTGGATCCACCAGAAGACGACTCATGGTTGACTCCTGTATCGCTCCCAGTCCTCCTCTACCCCACCACCAACTCCAGCCTTATCACCAAGTTCCTCAGAGACGCATGGGATAGAGGCTACTTTGCTGTTCGTGCCGATGTCGACAACGTCCTTGTGAGAGGAGGGCATTTGGACAGGCCAAGTTGGAGAACAAAGTTCCATGGGAGGTTGTCTAACATCCGGACGTCGCTTAGAATGAAAGGTGGGTAGCCATGGTCACCTTCTGAGATGGTCACTAATATTAACCGTAATGTAGTCCCCTCTATCCCAGGACTGCCTCGCCCCGGATCCAACGCCCCCTTCCCCGACCCTTCTCAGCTCATCACCCTTAAATCCTTTTCGATCAAGTCTTCGGCGACGCATCTCAATATCGCAGCAGAAGCAACAACCCTCAACCCCGCTCCCCAGTCCTTTCAGTTCACCTCCCCATCACTCCCCTTCACCGTTTCCATGATCGACGAGGATGCGTCTCTGGTGGACGTAGCTTCTGTCGTCGCTGAACCATTCACGCTCACCCATCCAAACATCACCCTCCACGTCAATGGCTCAGTGCTACCCATCAGGCCATCCACATTCTCCACATTATCCGCCTTTCTCATGCGCTATCTCTCTGGGCTCCCCAACCGCATCAGCATTGCCTCCAGCTTGTTCCCAACCTTGTCCATTGCAACCGACTTCCCAGGTCCTAATCCCCGACCCGACGTCCTCCGCAATGTCACTCTCCGCGACATGAAGCTCAAGACGAAGGCGAACGGTCATTTCCTGGCCAGCGGGACTGTCTTTGCGCGTATCGTCCTTCCCAGAGGGATGAACATCGGGCTGAATGTTTCTCGCGTTCTGCCTGATGTTCTCATCTTTGACGGGGAGGTGGATCGAAATGGTGACCCTACGTCGCCGGATCCCTTACCAGACCCTCTCCCAGAAAGAGCGTTTGGGCGTATTCGTCCTGAGGATTGGCTCATTGCGCACAGTGTCCCTGACGATAGTAGTGATGAAGGCGAAGGTTCCGCGTATACTGTGTCGGCTAAAGTCAAGGATGTCCCACTGGAAGTACTCCCAGGTCGCCAGAAGGAGTTTAGTAACTTCGTTAGCAAGGTGCGTCTCCTATTTCTTTTTCCCACTCTTAGCTGACTGAACCTCCCTGGTTTAGGTGATATTCACCAGCGACGGCGCTGTAGCAGGTCTACAAGGAACAGCGGCTGTAACAGTCCAAGTCGACGGCCTCCCTCTGGAACGTCCAGGGGCTGCATCGAACCACCTCATGCTCGCTCACCTGCCCTTCCAAGGGAGCGTCCGGATAACGAAGAAGACGCTTCTCCACCAGACTGTTCATCATTTACAGTATATTCTAGATCACCTTGCGGAATACTTCCCAGTGTAATGTAGTTTTCTTGTCGTGTTTTCCCCTACCGCTGCCTACCTGGGACATGCGTGTCTCACATTCCCTTCGCCCCTGCTCTGGATGGCTTGTATAATATTTGTAGTATTCTCGTTGCTGTCTTCATTTGCTATCGATTGACCTTTGTTGCTTGGTGGACGGACACTTCGCTTAGGCTATTGACTCCTTTAGTGTATTATTTTGCTTTTGACGGGGGGATGGCTTTGTTCCAGGAGTCGAAGCTATTATCCGTTTATGACTATCACGATATCCGCTGTTCTCGTTGGCCGATGTACGTGCACTTCGGATGGGTGCTAGGTCTTAGGCGCCCGACGTGATCGGCGAGAAAAGTCCGGCGCTTGAAATACCCGATCGCCTCAGGCTCGTCTGAACCACGCGTCCACATTATGTCCGATGAGTGCACGCATGGTAGACCTTGGGTAAGGATCTGCGACGTGATGTAGGTCGACTCAAAGGCCCGGAACTTTGACGTTGCGACGACCTGACTGGGTAATGTCAACCCTGAATATGATGGTGCATTGGCATTCGTGGTCTCAGGGAGAACACGGTACTCCATGGAGAGCTTCCAGAACTCAGTGAACTTTAGTTAGGTTGTAGTGTATCGATTCGGTCGACGAGGCTCTGGAGAACTCTGAATACAACCCACAAGTGGCTGACAGTCAACTTTTGGGGGATGTAGCAAACACCAATGGCCTACTTTGAACGCCATGACCAGAGCACCGATCTCATGCCGGAGTAGCACATGCATCCTTAACGCAGGGTTGATTGATAGGAATGCTGAACCTTCCGGCCCTACGACATTGCAATAAGATTGTAATCAGGCTTCTGGTTCCGGACACTGGTGGTACACAGGCCGAGAGCCTGTCTTTCTTCATGCAGTCCTCTGCGTTGTGCGGTTGCGATGAGTATAAAAGAGATGAGCCTTTGGTGCTCTGTTTCTTCAGCGAGCTGGTCTCACTCCTGGAAACACAAAAAGCGTCTCTCCTACACTCCCATAAACCCGTCACTCTTCTCTTTCACACAACCCAATTCACCTTCGCTTCACCTAAAGAATCAAGATGCAACTCCGTTTCTCATTTTTCGCTCTCGCCTTGTTGGCCCTCAACGCAGTCGCCACGCCCATCTCCTACGTACGCTCTTTCACTCACCAACGAAAGCCTGTAGAAAAAACCATACTGACCACCCATCCCCTAATCTTTTAGGCCGACTCGGAGGACCTCGAAATCCGAGGCAAGAAGCCCAACCCCCTCCCAGCCGTCAACCAAAAGGTCGCCAAACTGCCCGACGATCTCCGCCGCAAAGTCTTCGGTCACTGGAAGAAGCAGACTTTGCAACGTGCCAACGCTCGGGTTGGACACAAGGCGATTATGCAGGAGTTGAAGGGACAGGCTCCTCCCGGCCGCTGGACTGATCGCACTACAGCTGCTTGGGCTGTACACCAGAAGAACAAGAATCTGAGGAGGGAGTTGCTGGACTCGGACGAGCTCGAAGTCCGAGGTAGGAAGCCCAACCCGCTGCCGCCTGTCAACCAAAAGGTCGCCAAATTGCCTGAAGAACTCCGCCGCAAAGTCTTCGGTCACTGGAAGAAGCAGACTTTGCAGCGTGCAAACGCTCGGGCTGGACACAAGGCGATCGTGCAGGAATTGAAGGGACAGGCTCCTCCCGGCCGCTGGACAGATCGAACTACCGCAGCTTGGGCTGTGCATGAGAAGAACAAGAATTTGAGGAGGGAGTTGGAACTTTTGGATGAGGTTGAGGAGTTGTTGTAAATAGATGATCATGATGACCTGTGGTTCTCTTTGATGCTGTGTATGTCGTGTTTGAATGGAATTGGGCGCAGAACCGCTACACTGTCCGAATCAATGTTTCCACTTCGAATGGTATCTGTTCACAACAAGATAAGAATAACCGCGGATCGGAACAGGAGAGATCCCTCGTGCGCAGCGATAACATGCCAATGGATCGAGGTTGCAAATCATCCTTGAGCATCGCGATGTCTTTCAACAATGTTCTAAAAGTACTGTGGCTAGAAGAAAACGGAGCGCCCATTGTAGCCTATCGCAATTTCTTTGATGCTGTCTTTGAATAGCAACGGGCTCGAGGAGTGTTTCTGTCAGCCCTATATGCCCCAAATAGCTTGAAACAGGGCTATAAGGCGTGTCACGGGCGGTGAAAAATCAATGGAAGAATGTCCAATATCGAGTAGCGCGCCCGGCGGCCTCTTTTATCATCTATCGTAGTTCTTTCCTTATTTTATCCCTCCGCTAATAGATACTGGTCATGAGTACACCCTGGTCAGAGTTGACATAAAATAGGTCGACCGTGATTGAGTATGGGCCCTAGAGTTCGTTGATACCATCAAACGTCCAGAGGAGCTTCGTCGATTATGATCAGGGCCCACTGGGCGCCTAAATCCAATGTCCCATCAGCGGTATCGTATGCAATTGAGTACTTAGAAGAAGAATCGTTATACAAACAGTCAACGAGATCGCACGTCATAGCAAGTCGTATGTAGTTGTCATTCCCTAGCTTTCGTTCCCTACGAACCAGTGGGACTTGGGTTGGCTGAATCGGATTTGGCAACGCTGCTCGATTCACCCTCCGCATTTCCCTGCGCAGCTGCAGTCGCCTTCCTCTCAGCAATATACTTCTCCTCATCAATACCGCCCTCCACCTTATGGACAGTCTTCAAGTTGAACGTAATGATCGTCAAGCCAAACTCCTCAAGGATCCTTGACTCCCAGCCATCCGGGATTCGCTCGTCGATCAAGATACTCTCGAGGTCGTCCACACGGCCACCAAAGATGGTCAACAGAGTAGAAGAGCTAGGGTAACGGGGGTCAGATAACGCTCAACGAGAGCACATCTGTTGAAGCCACGCACTTTGCACTGCCGAATGTCCTGTGGACCTTGCTAAGGGTATATTCAGGGTTGGTTTCACGGGCGTCAACGCGGCGCTTCGCCGAGTATTTCGAAAGATCTTCGATGGTCAGGAGCTTCCTTCCCTCTGCATCTGTCCCCGTAGCGGAGTCAAGAAGCTCCCGAATAAAAGGGATATGCGGCTTGGACTGGTCAGGAACGAGCGCCGCATCCTCGCCTAGCATTGCCAAGATTTACATAATGAGCGACCCTGTCAGTGGCAGTCGGAGGAGAACAAATGGAAAAGGGACACACGGGTCAGTGAGGCGTCGTGCTCGATTCCATTGTGTAGATCCAGCTCTTGCAGGTCGAAAGTGTCCTTGTTAAAGTCCTTCCCCAGCATAGTGGCAGCGTAATTGGGCACGAAGAGGCAGAAACTGGGTGCAAAGTTGTAGGTTTCACGAATCTTGTCGCCCAATTCTGAGAACTTGATGTTCTTGCCGTCATGTGGCAGGAGACCTAGTATTGCAAGCAATGGCTTCCAATTCACCAATCTAGCGTATACAGTAGCAGAACGCACCATGATTGGCCATCGCATTTAAGGCAGGACACGAACATCGACTGTCGCCCTCTTTGGGAGGTACGAATTCAGGCCACTTCCCACCAGCACCGGGACATCCTGCAGGCGTCACGCTCCCGGGTTTTCGATTAGGCCAGACGAGATTCGCAACAGTACAGCCAACATCCCATGCTACCGCTCGCATTGACCGGATTTTCCCTGTTACGCCCATTCTTGCTGTCGGGGACGATAGGCTGGTGGGGTGGGATGGGGGGGAGGTTGCTGGTGGAAGGGATCCGAAGGTGAAAGGACCCTTGATTGAACTCCTCGCCTCCCTTTATATGAACAAACAGCCTGTCCCAATTCGTCATTCTATGAAACGTCAATAGACCATGGAAGCGAGCTAGCCTCCATCCGTTCGCGTATAAGGAGCGAGTATCCGGCGTATGAAGCCCCTGTGGCCATCACGTGTGGCTTGAATGTCAAGAGGAATGGAAGAAAGAAGAGAACACTGACAGTGACAGCGATGGGAAGTAGTGCGTAAAAATACCTGTTCAACAATATTGCTTATTCCTGCTCTTCGTGTAGAGCGACTGAGATGTATAATACCGATGGGTAGGAAGTCAAGATACCCACTGATGTCGAGGTTGACAGTCAGAATGCACAATAAGCGCCGACGCCCAGAGATAGGCTGTACCCCCATTTCCGTCGAGCTGGCCGACACGAGCGCTATTCCTATACTCAGCGTTCATTAGAAAGCTTGATTGGCACAAAGGTTTACTAAGTTGATTTCCAAAAATACATTCCTTCATCCAGTGCGTTGCGGTGCGGCCGATTTGTATAAGAAGTGCGGAAAAGTGGACTAGGTTCCTCAGCGAGCTGGTCTCACTCCTGGAAACGACCTCCCTTCCACTCCAATTAACTCACCATGCAACTTCGCTTCTCCTTCTTTGCTCTTGCTATTCTGGCTATCGGTGTCGCTGCTGGTCCTCTCCCACAGGTAGGCACTGCCACATCCATGGACAATGTCCTGATACATGCGCTAACCTGTTATCCTTCCTTGGTAGGGCTCAGACCTTGTGATTCGAGGCAAGGGAGGCAGCAAAGGTCCTAAGCCTAACCTCGCCCAGCGCGTGTCCAACCTCCCGCCCGAGCTCCGCAACCAGATCGGAAACGATCTAAGGACCCATAAAACGATTCAAGCCCATTTCGGTCCGGGGTCTAAACACGACAGACTCATGAAGGAGATGAACGGAAAGGTCCCGCCCAACAAGTGGACTGACCAAGCCACCCCTGCATGGAGCGTCTTCGAGAAGAACCGCAAGCTCCGCCGAGCTCTGGAGAGCTTCGACGACTACCTCGAAGTACGGGCGAAACACAAGAATGGCAAGAAGGGTCCGAATCCTTTGAAACCGCCCAAAGCATCCGCTCCTCCCAAGAAACCCGCCCCGAAGCCTGGCCCCAAGCCCAATCTTGCTCAGCGCGTTTCCAACCTGCCACCCGAACTGAGGAACAAGATCGGAAACGACCTCAGGACGCACAAGACTATCCAGGCCCACTTCGCACCTGGATCGGTTCACAATAGGATCATGCAGGAGATGAAGGGGAAGGTACCGCCTACCAGGTGGAGTGACCACACTACGGCTGCTTGGAGGATCTTGGAGAAGAACCGTAAATTGCGATGATGGCATTGGGAGTGTATGTCCACGTAGTAGAACTGCATAATCGATCGAATCGATTGCTTTAAGCGCAACATCAGGTTGGGACCTCGCTTTGCAGCTTTCCGTCAAAGGCTGCTAGTTCGCAATGGGTACCGACTCTACTGCTACGCAACCGTCAATATCTACTCAAACCAGTTCTCCAGCTGCCCGTTGAAGATAGGCCCGACCTTTGTCAGCACAGCAAACTGTACTCCGGAACTCCGGACGGCTTCGAGGCGATGATAGAATCCCTCTCGAAGGTCCCTCAGATCAAAGGCGGCGGCTGATTTGAAACTGCAGGCTTATGATTGGTACAATATCACGACCCGAAGTGCTTAGGGCCCACGGGCTAAATGCCTATTTTTACCAGCATCATGATCACCCAGTTTCAGACAGCCAAAGTCCCATTATCATCACTATTGAACCCAAATGCAGCACAGCTTTCTTTGCTTACTTGAAGACTCGATTTCAATCACAAAAACAAGGAGAAAGGACAAGAAGAAAGGTGTGACCAGATCTCTAGACGCTCACACCCCGGAATGACCGCACCTGTGTGCGAAGCCTCGTGATCTGGCCCTCGGTGAAGCTGTCCATGCAGTCGTCATCAGAGTAGTTCATGAAGTTCTCTGCGGTCATTCAAGCGTCAGCAAAGTAGGAAAGTCAGGGGTTAAAAAAATAGGCCACTTACTGACGAGTGCCTTCTGCCCACCGGGACATGAAGCTATGGGTTTAGGGCATCCATAGACTGCTTCCCGCTGCTTGGGGGTGTCGTCGACGTAGTCTCCCTTGCCGGAGCAACCTCCCTACAAGTCACGAATCAGCACAAGTCACAATAAGGTCTCACTCTGTACTGACCTCAAACGTATGATACAGCCCACCCCAATGCCCAACTTCATGGACCAACGTCATTCCTTTATCGTACGGAGCACTAGATCCTCCCGGCATTGTGGAATAGAGGAGAACAACGCCATCGACCTCCGGTTCGTCCTTGTAGTCACTGGGGAACGTTGCGTATCCCAGAAGTCCAGCGCCCTCTCCCTCACGGAATCTAAATTCGACATAAGCAATTTTGACATTCAATATTCATATCCCGAGTCCCGCTTCTCAGTTCAACGTTCAAGGGTTAGTGAGAAATACACATACCCAACAGTCCAGATATTCAACGCGGACGCGTTCCCGTACCGGAAAGTCTTCTTCATCTGGATCTCATCTTTACTTCCCGGGGAAACAGCCGCGAACCATTCAGGACTCTTGATCCTGGTAACGTTCACCAAGTTCCAGCTGAGTCCAGTGGGCTCGTAGGACTTGTTCATGATTTCCATTTGTTCTTCAATTTGTTCGTCACTAAAGAAAGCGCCACACAAGGCCAACGAGGCAGGATAATAAAGTCAGCACCCCGCCTAATCTCAGGATGTAGAGGGAACGTACGTGACATAACCTCCCTCGGACGTCTTGTTCGCATGGACGATGTGGAAGTAGACGTCCAAAGTAGCCGTTGCATCGGGGTCTGCAGCGGGCACGCGATGGGTCTGGAAGTACTTCTCCGCAGCTGTCCGTCGAGATGAGGAGATGTGTGTACCGCAAACCCTAGACGTAAACCCACTTAGACCATCCATCTTCAAGACGATTCAACGCAGTAGAGCGCTCACCTCCGATGTCGAAGCTCACTGCGGAACTGCGGAGCAGCAGTCACCGAAGTGATGGACGACGAAACAAACAGCAAAGCCAGTGCAGAGCAAACGAGGGTTGTCATCGAGCGCATGGTCAACATAACGCTTCTCGTCGTAAGTCTCGTATCAAACGAAACGATTGAGTTGTGGGTATGCAGAGATATGGGCGGCCGGCGAAGGAGAACCTGCTCCTGGCTTGTGGGGGTCGTCGCAGACAATCACAAAGAAAGAAAGATAACTCCTTCGCCAGCGCTCGGTTTATATGTGTATGATCATCTGCGTCCGCGTAATTGATGATGAGTATCAGACTTGGAGGGATGGAGGCTGTTCACTGGCAGGGTGTGGTTGCAATCAGCGCATGAGGTGAAACGAGGTCAAGCCGCAATACGGCAACTATTGATAGACGTTCTATTAATACTGATCCCCGTAAATAAGTAATCCCAACAAATGAAAACGATGCAAGGAAAGTGTGAGGATCCAGCAATGAACAATGTAGTTCTAGATTCTATACATTAGGGTATCTACATACTTAAAACACACAACATTAAACCAACCACCGGGTCGTGAGCAACGCCATAACCAACAAAACAACAAAAACAGCAGCAGAAATCTGCCCTCCAAAGTCCGTCCAAATATCGTTAAGATAAAACTCAGGTCGAGGATAGTCCAATCCAGGTGAAACAGACACCTCCACTCGGTGTCGCTTGCCGGGTGTCTTGACGTCCTGGCAGACGATGAACAAAGTCTGGCGTCGCTCGTCGTAGACGTATCGGTCCCCTTTCTCCAGGCCATTAACCATGACGTCCCTTGACTGGGCGATAAGCGATGGGTAGAAGATCTCTGTCTCGGCGGAGAGCAGGGGCCCTGAGGAGTTGGCCCATTCGTAGGTGAATGTCCCCGTCGTCATTTCATATTCCATCTTGATCGGTATCCCGCAGGTCTTGGCTGGGTACGGCCGGACGATTGAGGTGAGGATTCGTCCACCGTTATCCAAGGTGGGTGATGTTTGGGAGTAGTCGAGCAGGGAGGGTGGCAGGGCTCGATAACGACTGAACCATGAAAAGTTCTCGCCGTTCCAGTCGTCGCCGTGGACATCGTTGTTTGAGGGATTGTAATTCCACAGGCTGGAAACATGGCATCAAGAAAGATGCTGCGTGTACTTTGGACAGACTCACGTAAAACCAACGAATGACCGTTCCAAGGCGGTCATCAACGCGTCCATCATGCGAGCGTGCCAGGTAAAGTCTCCAGTCTCGAAAGCCTCTTTGTTACTGCAGCAGCGGTTCAGCAACAGCGGATTGTTTCTAAGATCCAGACACTCACTTCATGTCCATTGGAATACCACATTCGCCGATAACAATAGGCTTGTCCCCGAGGGCTTCATAACCCTTCTGGACAATGTTGCGAATCTGAAGACTGTAGTTATCCCTGGCACCTTTCTGGCCCCAGTAGAGGGCCTTCGGGAGGAACATGCCCTAGGTGAATGTAAGAAAATAGGCAAGACACTCAAGAGTCAAGCGAAGGACCTACCCGAGAGAGGCCTTGTACATTGACAGTAAAGTCGCCGAAGGCCTTGGAGAAAAGAGCATTGAGGTCGTACCTAGCAATCCAATGTCAGCAAGGTAAATAAATGAAGGCATCTGAGGACTAACCAGTGGGGCGCATACACCAGATTTGAGGGACGGCGTTCCTCAGTCCATGTCTTGGGGCAGAACTGACAACACATGCCAATTAGATAAGAACCTATTACCGAGCATCGTACATACCTCGTTCGGAATCGGTTCGGCAAAGATCATCTTATCCGCACCGATGCTCGGTCGAATACGCTTCTCCCACCTCTGCATGAGAGGGAAATAGCAATCGACATACCAGTCAACCTTTTCTTTAGTCTTCGGATGTACCAGGAAGTATCCTTCCCTCAGGATAACAGCTTCGTTTTTCTTCTGGTCCCATCCCCATACGTTGTGCAGCTCCCAGATACACTTTCCGTTGGTAGGCCCGTCTTCTCTCCAGGCTTTCACGCCGTTCGCGTTGACGAGGGTGTTTCCAGTCAGTTTGGTCGGCCAGGGGAAGGAGCGTTCGTAGTGAGGAACTTCGGTTGGGTGACCAGCGCCGAGCTGGAACGATTGGAAAGCAGATGCTATACAAAACTTTAGTACGAGTTCAATTGAAGGCGAAGTCCGTACTTACGGACGTGGGCAAGATGCAAATCTGTGTTGTAGTCAAAGCTATGAAGGGAAGGTAGCTCGATGTAGCCTCGATGAGGCTCATTCATCATCTGTAGAGGGGGTAAGCTTTGAAACCAGGAAACGTAGTCACTACATACTTGGACGCCGATCACGCCTTCCAGGTCGCCAACAGCCTTGACTATTTCTTCCCAGGTACCAAGGAAGGCGTCTTGGAGGTACTTCTGGATGGTGACCTCCTCCCCATCCGTCCCCTTGACACGGAGCTTTGGAGCGAAGGTATCTCCGCCCCAGAACAGCGTTCTAAGCGACGCGTTTCAGTCGATGCGATGTACCTGAGCAGAAAGGGAATAGACTTACGCCATAGTAGCTGCGCTCAGCTTCTGGTACCCGCAAGGCCAGATGCCGCGGTCAGGTTCAGTATGCCCGCCCCGCTTCTGACCCTGAAGCCAACCCGCTCCGGTTTCTTCGATTGCGCCGAGGTCGAATCCTGCAGCTTCCAGCGTCCAGGCAGGCGCTCCTGAGCCACCAGAGTAACGAGACCAGACATCTTGATGCATCGATACGAAGGCGGTCAGGCCGTACTTGGGGAGAAGGGAGAGAAGAGCTCGAATATAAGCAAGGTATTCCTTGTCGTAGATACCTCTTTAGCTGCAAAGTCAGTTTGTGCCAACCGGAGACGGGTCACTTCAATGAGACGTACGGTCCAGCGTGCTCAACGGCCTCCCAAGTAACAAGAAAACGAACTGAGAACCTTGGTGAATAAAGACGCGTCCTAGAGCCCGTCCACACTCACTGAAAGTTAACCCCCATCTCCTCAGCCTTGCAAAGTGCTCCGGAGCCTCCTCCAAGGGAAAGGGACGGCCAACAAAGGTAACAGAGCGATGGTCCCCAGGGAAGTTTTCGTGGTCATGGTCGAATGGTCTAAAGAAGCGTTGTCAGACGATGTAATGCGGGAGGCTGTAGACAACGGACGTCTTGCAACAGCCTGATACGTTGGCACCGCGAAGATGGCAGACTCGCCCGTAGCCGTCGACAAAATGGCGGCCTTGGGTCTTTATTGAGCCTCCCGTCGCTAAAGGTGACCAGTCGTGAGCGTATGTATTTGCTGAACCCGGTTTATATCCTGGTTCAAGCGAAGGGTGCGTTGCCTGTCGCGCGCTAAATTAGCTCGAGCTCAGAGTTCTGGGATGATGCTACTCACCGGAATATTGGGTTTAGCATCCTGGACGATAGGATTTGGTTTGCGAGCGTCGTTTTCGACGAGAATAAAGGAACTGTCTAATGTTGAGGGTATCGACATGGCCAGCCAGGATCAACCCGTCACCGCTGTGCTTGTCGGTGACCAAACAGCGCTTGTCATCACTTTTGACACCGACCACCATCATCCTCGACGGAGACCACGGCTTGGCTCTACTTTACCTCCATGCACTATCTATAAACTAGCAACAAACGACGTCTAGAGGGAGAGAGAATACCATTGGAACAGCGGGAACTTGGTGCGTCTGAGATTTGTAGTCAATAGCGCGTCTATTAACGATCTGTCCAGCAATTCTGTCAGCATGGACGACTATAAGCAAGCGAAGGAGGCCTTTGTCTCTGGGATGACAGGGTCCTCAATAACACATATCAACTTGGTCTCATTGGCTGCGCTGGTGCGTCCAGTGTTTACAGAATCGCCCGAGCTGAGCTCACCGCCCGCAGTAGTCTTCAGTCGCGTTATACGCCGTCCTCTACAACCAACGACCAGATCGAAAATTTGGCTTCCTATTGTCATGGGTGGTTCTCGTGCTACCCTTGCTTCTGTCGATGACCCAGTTCGCGACCCGACCAGGTCTCCTTAACCTTCTACTCGGTGGTCTCGCCGTGGCCCTATACCACTGGATGCCGAGGAAGGAACCCCGTTCACCCCTGCCATGGAAGCAACATGCGCCAAAGGAGACTGAGAATCGCCCAGGCCATCTACCTCCACTACCAGCATTGACGACGTACCGGGCACACATGATGCTCATGACTATACTGGCTATCCTCGCCGTTGACTTTCCTGTGTTCCCTCGTATCCTTGCCAAGTGCGAAACGTATGGAGTTTCTTTGGTGAGTTGAGGTTCTGGAGTCTTATGTCGACGCATCCTCACAGACTCAGATGGACCTAGGAGTTGGATCGTTCGTCTTCTCGCAGGGGATGGTTTCCGCCATTCCACTGCTCAAGAACCCAACTTACTTGACCTCGCCATTGGGACCCAAGCTTGTGCGCGTCGTTCGAAAGGCCTTTCCTGTCATCCTTCTGGGAGTCGCCAGAGTCTTGGCCGTCAAAGGAACAGAGTACCCAGAGCACGTCACTGAATATGGAGTGCATTGGAACTTCTTCATCACCCTTGCTGTGGTTCCCATACTTCAAACATTACTCCACCCAGTTCTCGTATACCTACCGATATCGATGGTCGGTGTACTCGTCGGATTAGGTGCGACCCTTCCATTTCCTCTCCTCGTTCGCGTTTGACACTTCACCAGGTCAGCAGCTGGCGTTATCACAACTCGGTCTCAGAGACTACGTCCTAAACGCTCCACGCGACAACATCATCAGTCAGAACAAAGAGGGAATCATCTCAGTTGTGGGTTACCTCGCCATCCATTTATTGGGGTTGTCAGCAGGGACGATGGTCCTCCCTCCGTCTCCGTCGTTCTTCAGGAGGCGCCAGCAAGCTTTGGCTGAGCAACGCAGTTCCAAGGAGGCCAAAACTCAGATTGAAGAACTCGACTTTTCTAGCCCACGTCAACTTGGAAAGACCGCGACAGAGCTGTGCTCGTACGCCATTCTGTGGTGGGCGTTCTTGGGTCTAACTCGATTGCTGAAAGTTGGTGGGGTGTGGGGTGACGAGGGCGGCGCTTCAAGGCGAATGGTGAGTCTATTCATGTCTCTCATTTAACTCGTCTTATATCAAGAGTAGGTCAACTTGCCGTACATCCTCTGGGTAGCAGCCTACAACGTCACCTTCCTCCTCGCCTATATCGTCGTTCTGGATATCTACTTCTTCCCTGGACCCAAGCCGAGCAAGGCTCGGAAGGACCCTTCCCATTCGAACTACTTCACCGCGCCTGAAGGCAATCCTCCAACCCTGCTCGAGGCAATCAATCGACATGGCCTCTCCATTTTCCTCTTGGTAAGTCGCCTCTCCCTTCTGTGGTATATATCTAAACCCCCGCTGCAGGCGAATGTAATGACAGGAATCATCAATTTGTCCATGAAGACCATGTACGCATCCTCCTGGCTGTCGATGTCTGTTCTCGGGGCGTATTCTTTGGTGGTGTGTGCCGTAGCCTGGTATTGGGATCGCTTACCCCGTCTAGGAAGTCATCGAAAGCGAGACTGAAGCATGTAGCGTCTACGCTAACAATAGATATTTTTTCAACCTCAATTGGGCCCCAGCAGGTTTGAACTCGCGACTTTGTCCGGATCGGCAAGAGAGCGGATCAATTTTTTGGTCGCCACAGGTTCCATGTCTAATGCCCTACCAACAACCGGTCTTCTGGTTCCCTCAGAATCCCCTCCACTCATCGCGTGGTCTCGCGTGGCTCCGTCATATGTCCCACTACTCGTTCCCTCGATTCCACATTTGTGTCAACGAGCCACCTACATGCCTACCTGCTTTACATTTATCCGCTATCAGCGTCGTTTTCGCCGGACTGCATCAACCTGTAGATCTGGGGAACGGTGCTATCGCACAAGAACCTATCAAAACGTCGAAAGGTCGACTTAGGGCCGACTACAAGGACAGGGTTCGAACGCTTTTGGGAGGCAATATAGCCTCAAATTAGGAGCGTGGACACTAAACGGACTTGTGACCGTGGTTCTCTGCCACTCTCGGTGCTCGATACGGGGGCTGTGTACTAACAGAATATAGATGGTGGCGCCTCGAAAGACTTCGCTTCGCGAACTTCTACTGATAATAATTGATATGGGTAGGGAACAAGGGTGCGCCGATGGAAATGGGAGGTTCAAATGGGAGCGTTTGACCCTCGAGGGAAGTGACTCTATGAAATTTCCGATGTTCAAGCTAGAGTAACTTCCTGACCACCGACGATGACCCGTTTGAATGGATATAAATAGTGATATATATCGCCAGGGAATGGGAGTCGGTGAAGTTGTACTGGTGTAACAAGATGGTCTTGCTTGTGAGCACCGTGCTCACTCTGGTATTCAACGGTACGTCGTTCTTGCTCCTGGATTACCATTCGAGCTAAACTGATCATGCATTTGCTTGAACAGTTCTGCTGGCTAGTGCCCAAGCCACGCGATGGTGCGACGACTTGACGAGCGTCTGTTTTCAGCGATACTATGAGGAGCACCTCGATACGGCATGGGGCTACCTATTTCCCCCCACAGACCGAGGCGAATTCGTTGGCTTCTTCATCGCACCTGTGAGGTCCGGCTGGATCGGCAACTCCTTGGGAGGCTCGATGCGAGGGAACCCGCTTGTCGTTGGTTGGCTCGACGATGATAACAAACCCGTCATCTCTGCTAGGATTACGCCGTGCGTACTTTCGTGGTAGCGTTTGGGTGTTCGAGGAATTTATGTTTACGCTCGTGTGCAGATCGTATTCCCCGCCGCAGCCCCTCGATGGGCCTAAATTGACCATTCTAGGTAGTTCCGGTTCCAACGGAACGCACCAGCGCATTGTCTATCGTTGCGAGGCAAGTCCATAACCCATACGGTCCACGGACTTGAGCAAAGCTCACCCTACGACAGAACTGCACAACCTGGACTGGAGGCTCAGGAGGTATCAACCTCAACGGCACGCACCTCTTCGGATACGCAACACACGCAGCCATCAAACCCATCGACCCGTCCAACCCCAACTCAAGCCTCTACCAGCACACCGAAGCGTCGCTGCATACCCTGGACACTGTCGCAGGCCGATCGGACGCGTACGACACCGATTTGGGTCAACTCACCAACGCGCCCCCTCTGGTTCCTCCAACGCCAACGACGACGACTACAGGAACAGGCCCCACGCCTACTGAGCCTGCTCTGTGCCCTGGTGCACCCCGGCCGACGTACCCGCTCTATGTTGCGTCCGGGTGGAAGGTCACGCCTGTTCTTGGCCGTCTCGCTGGTGCACCACGGCAGATTATGGTCGATTCGAGAGGGAATTTGTTGGTTCTCCAGCGGGATATCGGTGTTACTGGGCATACGGTTGACGAGAATGGGTGTGTGACCGGTACGAAGATGGTCGTTGCTGACTCGAGTTTCAACCACGGTCTGGATGTTGTGGGGAATAAGTTGTTCGTTAGGTACGGAACTGAGGGCGATTCACATTGGTTTGGCGGGAAGCTGACCGGTATGCTTGCAGTAACCCGGACATTGCTTGGTCTTGGGACTACGACCCTGTGACGATGACGGCGACGAATAGGACGGTGCTTGTCACTGGGTTAGTTCCTTCTCCTGTCGAACGATTTGCGTTTAGTGACCAATCCCTGCAGGATGTTCAACCCATTCCACATCACACGAAGCATCCACGTTTCACGCAAGTTCCCTGACTATATCTCGCTCAGTGTGGGCTCGGACGGGAACCTCGACATACCATCTATGGATCCTGCTCTGGGGCGTAGCCAGATTCGTGTTTTCGATATGCGGCATTTGGCAGCCCATGCGAATAGGTACAACGGGACGCATGGCAAGGTGTTTGGGTAAGTTCTTGTTCTGTCTTTGGAGGAGTTGTCGAATGTCCCTGGTATCTGATATAAGTTCTGAATAGCTATGGACTACGGAATGATGTGGGCATAGCGGAAGATAGAGCAGGGAATGTCTTCAGTGTCGGTATGTTATTATTCTATTTCTCCCATTCCCGCCGGTCCTATATACCCCGTTTCGCTTTCAGAGAACTCCCTGGACGATGCCCACAGAGTGATCGAAGGAGTCCGAGTCGATATCCACGACGATAATCCGGCCGAGAAGATCTATCGACGTGAGTCAAACCATTCCAGTTCGCCGTACTTCAAGCTTCCTAATACTAGGATTACTTCGTGATCACCCATTCCAAATCTGACTAACTGACACTGTCCTCTCCAGTTGGCAAACCGACATCACCAAACCAACGATTCTTCGGCGGCTACCCCTACTGCTACAGCGTCTGGGAAGAAAAAGACATCCCCAACGCGAACCTCAAACCCGGGCAATACTTTGTCCAGGACCCGAATGGCCCCTACAGCGATGCTTGGTGTAATATCAACGCAGAGAAGCCAGTCGCGATTTTGCCTCCTCATGCTGCACCGCTTGATATCAAGTTTGGCGTGCACCAGGATGATGGGAATCTGTATGTTGCTTTGCATGGAAGTTCGGCGAGGACGGAGACTTTGGTGAGTTGTCCAGATCGGAGCTTGATGTTGCGTTCGCTCTGATAGGAGTATGTGGTGGCTGGCTGCTAGGGATATAAAGTCGTCGCTATTCCTGGAAGTTACTCCCCTTCGGGAGAGTGGACGTCGGATTTGGATCTGGTCGGTACGAAGACGGGCACGATTGACATATTCTTCAACGAAGATGAGACGAAATGCCGTTCTGGTGCGTAGTCCTCCACATTCATTGTACTTTCCCTTCTCAATGTTCTCCGAATGTGTAGGCTGCTTCCGTCCTTGTGGGATGTCCTTCGCTCCTAACGGGAATCTCTACGTATCGAGCGATACGTCTGGAGAAGTCTTCCTGTTGAAACCTCCTTTCCAAGGACCGCCGGTGATACCCACTACGTCTCTTCCTCAAATACCGTCGACGACTAGTAGTGGACCGCAAGCTACCCAAACAATATACGGGCAATGGTGCGTTTCTATCTTCTGTTAGGACTTGGCGATGTCGAATTGACGTGAGTCTGGCACGATAGTGGGGGAACTGGGTACTCGGGGCCTACCGTTTGCGCGGGAGGATCACGATGCAAACAGGTATGTCGGATTGACGATCATGTATTCAAACTCCCTTATGCCCCTGGATAGGTGAACCCCCATTTCTCTCAATGTCTTCCGCTGGGGGCTTGGTGGAGAGACAAGGAGGGCGGAGGTGAGGAATGAAGCGAAGTGTACCATATGCGCACGTAGATGGACTCCAGGGTGGCAGTAACTCTTAAAAATGTACATGTTATTATCCTACTTTCGCACCTCTGCGTTTCACGGACTCGCTCCCGCTGAGAGTGTTCCAGGCTTCGTCTTGAACACAGCCTCCAGCTTGTCCATGTTCGTAATCCACTCTCGCATTTTCTCCGATGCAATCATTTCCCACGCCGGGATGGCTCGTAGATCGTCCAGGAGGGGGAAGAGGAAGAAGTCAGCCCAGGTTGGGTGGCTGCCAAACGCGAATTTGGCGTCTGGAACCATCCGTGATTCGATCTTGTCAAGGAATTGTTTGGCGTTGACGACTCCTTGATCGTCCTTGCTGGGAGTGACTGAAGCAGGGTCCTTGTCCTCGTCTATAGCTTTCACGTAGGGTTTGATTACGCCACCCTCGAGCGCCGGGAACCCTGCGCGTAACCAAGTTCCAATCATGATCGCCTGGAATAGGGTGGTCTTGATACTTACCAAATGACGCTATCAAGCTCACCATCTCAAAGACTTTCTCCTCGAGCACGCCCAACTCCCCTGCCTCGGCGTCGGAAAGTTCAAGCGGAGGCTCGGGCGCGACTCGCTCGATGTACCGCGCGATAGCCTGGCTCTCCGATAAGGTAAACCACTTTCCATCCTTGGACTTGGATTCGATCACGAGCGAGGGTAGATATCCGAATGGATGGTGTTGGAAAGCGAGGTCGCTTTGGGGAGGCGTTCGGAGCTGTTCGAAGGGTATGCCTTTGTAGTGTAAGCCTAGAGCGATGGTGCGGGTGAATGTGGAAAATGGTGTTCCGATGAGTTTGCAGAAGGTTAGTGAAGAAGACATTGGGGATGTTTGGGTAGGGAGATCTGGTGGACCCGGCGAGTGAGTGGAGTGGGTACTGTGAGATACTTGTGAGTTCTCGTTTATACTCCTCTGGTCAAGAGAAGCCCGGGTGCTGACATGAAGACTTCTATTCTTGATCTTCCGAGTCTCAGGTCAGGCCAATTCCAGAGCGTGCCGGATCCGGCTTGACCGAGCTTAACTGTAGCATTCTGTCTGGACGCAAATCTGTTTCGTCCGGGCACCTACTAATTTTAAAAACCAGTAACGGCCATATATCTATGAACATTAACACAATCAAATTCCCAAGCCAAACCATATATACGCCCGCAGTAGTACTGGATCGATTCTGAATTGAAACGAGTTAGCAATGCCACAATTTCCGCATCTCCTTTCTGCCGCGCTACAGACGATGTCCTCTTTCTCGCTCTGTAGTCCACACCAACGTCGATACCAGGGCACCGAATAAGCCGTGCTACGATGCCTAGATAGCCTTGATCAGCTGCGAGTACTTGTTAAACTATAACTTCAAATCCCTGTCATGGGACTCGTTGTTCGCATTGACATCAACTCCCCGAAACTGGACAAGCTGCTTGGTCACTTCATCGTGGCCGCGCTGCGAAGCGAGCATAAGCGCAGTCCACCCATTAGTCGCAGCATTTACGTCGATGCCAGGGAATCCAAGCAGCTGGCCCACCACTCGATCGTGACCGTTATACGAGGCATGCATGAGCGCGGTCCACCCATTGTTGTTCGCCGCGTTGACGTCGACTCCATGGAACTGAAGGAGCTCGCTCACTACGAGATCGTGGCCGTTATACGACGCGTGCATGAGCGCAGTCTCCCCGCTATTTGTCGCAGCGTTGACGTCAACGCCATGGAACTTGAGGAGTTGGCCCACCACACCATCGTGGCCGTTTTTCGAGGCGAGCGTGAGTGCCGTCCACCCGTTTACTGCGGCGTTTACATCGATGTCGTGGAACCGAAGGAGCCGTTCGACCACGTCAACACACCCCTTTTGCGAGGCGTACATCAGCGCGGTCCACCCGGTCTTGCTCAGAGCGTTGACGGCGATATCGTCGAACTGGAGTAATTGGGCCACCGCTCCCTCGTGGCAGTTCACCGACGCCAGCATGAGCGCGGTCCACCCGTTGCTGTTCGCATTGTTGACGCTGACGCCGTCGAACTGGGCGAGTTGTTTGACCACTCCATCGCCACCCTTCTGCGATGCGTACATGAGTGCGGTCCACCCTTCGTTGGTGACAGAGTTGACGTCGATACCAGGGAACTGCAGGAGCAGGCTAACCACCTCTTCGTGACCATTATGCGAGGCATACATGAGCGCGGTGCAACCGTTGTTGTTCGCACTGTTGGCGTCGATGCCGTTGAACTGAAGAAGTTGCTTGACCACCACCTCATGGCCATTTTGCGAGGCCAGCACGTTGACCTTGGTTCCGTGAAACCGGAGGAGCTGCTGGACGACACCACCGTAACCCTTTTGTAAAGCGTACATCAGTGCAGTCCACCCGGTGTTAGCTGTCGCGTTGACGTCTACGCCGTGCATCTGTAGGAGCTGGCGAACCACGCCATCGTGACCGTAGCCTGAGGCTAGCATTAGCGCTGTCCACCCATTGCTTATCGCAGCATTTATGGCGATGCCATGGCACCGAAGGAGTTGTGCGACCACACCATTACGGCCTCTTTGCGAGGCGTACATGAGCGCGGTCCACCCGTCGCTGGTGGCAGCGTTCACATTGATGCCATGGACCTGGAGAAGTTGGCTAACCACTACATCATGGCCGTTCTCCGCGGCCAGCATGAGTGCAGTCCACCCTTTGTCGCTCACAGCGTTGACGTTGATGCCATGGGCCTGGAGGAGGCGCCTGACCGTTCTACTGTGGCCGTGTCGCGAAGCCAACATGAGTGCAGTCCACCCAGTTTTGCTTGCAGCGTTGACGTCCACTCCAGGAGAATTGAGGAGCTCGTTGACCAGTCGCTCGTCACCGATATAGGAAGCCCACATCAACGCAGTCCAACCGTCGTCCACGGCGCTGTCATTGGCACCAGGGCCCTTCCCGGAATGGCTATCCCCTTTGCCTTGTTCCAATAGGGAGGCCCATTCCAGCGCCACCTGACCCGCCTTACTCGCGTTAATGTCGATGGATGGAACTCGAAGAAGTTTCTTCACGAAATCGACCTCATTACGATACGAGGCCACCATCAAGGCAGTCCAACCCAGCATTGTAGTATCGTTGATTCGGATAGGTTCGGAGAGTTGGACGCATCTCTGAGGCGAACTACTGGATGAGGTCGGTGATGCTGGAAAGTGTGAAATTCCATAATCGTCAAAGGCCATGTTGTCCAAGATGGTTGAGAGGCCATAGCAAGCAGCGACATGGAGCGGCTTCATCAAGTCGAGGCGATTCCAATATGTGTGGGGAAAGGATGTGCACTGCTGCAGAAATGACAATGCAGCATCAACGGCCTCGGGTGAATCTCCACATTCCCGAACATGGGTACCCCAATGTCGGTAGGAATAATCCAGGAGTGGTTCCTGGCTGAGAAGTGTCGTGAATTGTTCAGGTTCGGTAATCGTGCAACAAGGTAGATTGTTGTCGACCATTCGCTGGGCCAAGACCTTGCTGATGAAGAGGTGGGGTTGGGGAAAGTCCTTGAGGAGAAGCGGTTCGAGTGCATCTTTGGCTGTAAGATCTATAGCAAGAGTCATGAGCATATAGCAGCTATGTGCGGGTAAGAAAGATACTCACGGACAAGTCTAACAACAGCACTTTCCGCGTCCAGCTCCACCAGACCACAGCACAGGTCAATGATGGCTTGCTCATCTGGTATCAGGGACTTATCGACACTGTGTGTTTCCGGGTTCACACCAAGAGCGGTTTGCAGGTCCCGCAACGAGAGCGGTCGGCGAGCAAAGACGAGCCAGAACAGTGTCAGCTTGGCAATCTTCACGAGTTCTGGGTCTTGGTTCTCGATCCGGGAGATGCTAGCTGCGTACATCCCCTCTATCCCTGCGGGAAACTGGTCGAGCTTCGCTTCAATGGTGACAAGCGACAAACAGCTGCGGAGAGCTTCGATTTGCAGGGCAGCGTGAAGGAACCTGGACATGGATGTGTTAGCAAACCGTAAGAAAAAAGTACTGCATATGCCCACGCTACACGTACATTCCAGCTGCCTTCTCTGTTATCCGTCTGATCGCCTCCTCTCGATAGTTATGCTTCTCCAGAATACGACATAGCCCGCTGTACCGCCTCAGCCTGTCATCAACAAGCAGTCGGAGGTCGTGATCCTGCGCCAGCAACGTCAAATAGACCGCGTTCTTCAAACTCGTCCTCAGGCTTTCCAGTGGGCGGGAGGCGAAGATCACATTCCCCTGCAGCTGTTCCAAGACCAGAATCAGGTCGACCAGGTTCTTGCGATCGACTTCGTCCACTCCATCGATGGCGCAGTATGTGCGATCAAAATGGTCTTCCAGTTTGAGGAGTACTCTGAGAAGATCGTCGTCGGATGGGCTTGTATTTTCAAGGAGACCGCGTCGGTAAAGGGGTTTGACGAGGTCCACGAGATGGCTGTGTCGTTGTAGAATTTGAAGGATGAAGCTTTTCAAGATATCGCCAACCGAGAAAGTTTCGTTGTAACGGTTGTAGATGAAAAGTATGCAGATCTTCTGGTCTGCGGATTCCTCGAGCGGTAGGAGGTCATCAATGACTCGTGACCTATGAATCAATTAGCTGCGCGTCTACTCGAGCTTGCTCCGGTCTTACATTAAAACCGTCTTCCCAGCGCCAGCTTTGTCTTCGTTTAGCCAAGGAGTGCAGGATCGAACGGAATCAACTCACGTATACCCGTCGCACAAAGAACAGCGCCCTTGGTATCTTTCCAATCCTTATACTCCTTGCTCGTGATGAACCAGTTTCCAGTCTCGGGGATCCGTTTCTTCTTCATGTCGTTGTGGATTGCTCTGGCATTCGACTTGAGATTGAACCAAGCGGCAATCTCGGATATCAGAGCGTCTAGACAGGTCATACGGTAAGGCAGCCCGGAGATTTCAGGGCGGGTCATACTCACCACGAGCTTTCGCTGAGTCGGGAGGCTCGGCGTGGGGGTAGATATTGTGGACATGGGTGATGAGATCTCCACCGATTATTGTCCCCCCTGTGATAGTATTGCCTTCACCGAGGCTGAAATTTGGGGCTATGTCTCTGGCCACGCTTGCAGCGAGAGACGATACTTCGTTCACCATGACCTCCATACCGTCACAATATCCTGGTAGCCGATGTCAGAGGAGGGCGGCAGCGGATGCAATGTCCTTGAACTCACCTGGTCGACGGCCGACCTGGAGGGACAGGCTTCGGGCAGCGACAATAGCAGTGTATCTGAAGTAAATTGGAGTTGTCGAGATGACGGCGATAAGGTATCAAGATGGGCATGGGCGCATTGTGGGCGTCATTGCCGCGGCTGTGCGTGGGCAGCATTCGTTGACAGGACGGTCCTCAGTCTCGTGAACCAGACTCGATGAGGGAGACAAGGCACACATCAAGGCTCGCAGGAGTTATATGCGCGCGGGAAGCAAGTTCCCTGGTGTCCTCCGGTGAACATCGGTGGACGCTGGGGTTCGGTGTTTGTCACTATTTGCCAGCGACCTCCGTTGGACCGGTGTGGGAACGCGCTGGCTGTCGCTGAGCGCCTCTCACCTCGAGGGACCAGCGCCCGCCGGCCCCCACTGACCTCCAGCGTACTCCTCGGTGGTCGCTGGAGCCCGCTGACCTCCACCGGAACACGTGGGGTTAAGCTCACTGAACCCCGCCGGAAGGGGACTTTGGCTAAATTACATGTTTTCTCTAGTTCTAGCCACGAACGTTTGTCAATATCTTGATCTTTAAAGCTTTGCAGGATACCAATTAAGTCTACCTCTATATCGTTGATTGGAATAGTGCTGTTCAGAAGATATGGGCTCTTGCATACCCCGTGGGGTAGAAATTCATTTGTTTCTCTCTAATTTCTATTTAACTAACCGCAGACTTTTGATGAAGATCGATACGTTGGAGCTTTGTAATATGGCATTTGAGATCATATTGAAATAACGAGTTGGAACGACACCATCCAGAAGATATGGCTCATGCAACCTACCTTAGTCTCATGGTCCGGGCACCAACATGCCTCCTCCTGTACCACCATTTTCTCGAGTTACAGCCACAAACTTTGCTTGTAACTTGAAGATCAACTAATTATAATGGAGATCCTTAGATACAACCCAGTTATGTGAATTGAAAATCGGCTGTTCAGGAGAAGGGGCGTGCACAACTAATAGGCGCCCGGGGCTGTGTCTACTCAAAGGTGGCATTCGGAACCCATATAACTTGTGCCTTCATTATTGCCATTACAAATAAACTGGTAATTACGCTGCTGGGATGGTCTATTTAAAGGTCGAAGTGAACCACCCGTGGTGATTGGTGGGGGCCACTGGAGTCCACTGGGGGTGGTATCATTAAGCGATGACTCGGGACAAAATCCATCGATCATGGCCCTTCGGCCGCTGTCGTTCACCGGGGTTCGCTGGAAATTGCTAATGCCATCGACGATCACTGGACCCCGATGAACGCGATGCTAGTTCCAACGGGGTTCACCGACTGTCGCTGGAAGTGGTGGTGAGTTTTGGTGGAGTTCGGCAGGGGATGCCGGCCGTGGGTGGGCTTGCCCACGCCGCGCTTATTACAGGCTCGCAGGAGGGGTGGCTCGGACCTTGAAGACTTTGATGCGGCTCCCAGCCGAAAATTGTGATAATGTTAAAAGGTTTGTCAACGGACAGGAAGACGCATAAAAACCCGGCCTGGATGACTTTAGTTTATATATAGTCGTGTAGTACAGTATTTGGTGAGGAGGAACGCCGTCCAAAGGAAAACATGAAGCAGCAGCAACTTTGCTTGATCACTCCGGCTTGCTCGCCAATCCTCTCCCATCACGCACATCACCGTTTTCCAAACCCCGCGCCACCCCCCAATTCAGGTGGCACTGGACAGCCCCAGCGTTAACCAGGAAAGCACCTGAATCTCAGCCTCGTGAACATCGAATGCCCCCAGCACGACACACTTCATTGGAAAGATGAGCGAGGCTTGAGCTCATCCAATGCGCGTCCACAATTTGGTCTATCGTGGCCGAACGGCGCCGCCGTCCCTCCCTTCAACCCCAACCTGTGCGCTCCTCGACCTTGGGATTGATCAGCAGCATCGAGCACAAGAGGTCCGAGAAATCCGCATGGAGCCATACTAATTTGTCGCCTTTAGGCTTTATCTCAATTGGAGTTGTGGTAAACACCAGCAATGCGACCTCGAGTCGTCCCTAAATTGAGATTCTGGACAATTCGGACTGGAACGAATGAAGACGCGAGTCGTCTAACGACTAACGTTGAGCGGTAAGCCCATTTCCCATATACTTCGCCTGGGTATCACTCACTTTACGACAGGTTTGCACCTCTCAATGCCACGAACCTGTTCGGATACGCGACCCGCGCAGCCGCCCGTTCAACCTCAACTCAAGCCTCTACCAGCACACCGACGCGTCGCTGCATACCACCGTGGACATCATCTCAGGCCGATCTGACGCCCCTCGGTCCCGTCAACCCCAACGACAACTCGACGACAGGGACAGGACCTACTCCTACGGATTCGTGCTGTGCGAGGCGTAACCAGATTAGTAGAAGTGAACTCGGCTAATGTAGCCGAGTTCTACTATTCTGACCCATTGGCACCGAGTTCTACAGATCTCGCTGCATCATCCCGCCCCATCCCGCCTTTCCCGTCATGCCCAGCCTTTTTGAGGTCGATACAAATATGTTCATTCCGATAGATTGTGATTAGCTGAAGTAATTTAATCCTTACCAAACGACCACAATCCCGATAATCTGCAGCATTCTATCTAAGTTAAAGTCTCGGGGGTAGGAGGTAGGGTGTATTTTGCAGGGATGTTTAAGCAAAAGCCTTTGGCAGCCAAGGGGAACTGCATGGACACCCCATTTATTTTCCTTGGGGGCGTCATAGACGCACATAGACGCAGGGAGACTATGTGTACTTCGTAGCTCCCAATTTTGGCGAGCGCTGACCCAAAATGGGCGCCAAGAGGCCTGCCCTCCGCCAAAGCCCCGTTTTGATTCTTGCGTCGGTATTTTACGGAGTACAGTCGTGGACAGTCAAACTCGACAAATATGGTATATCGCTGATTTCTCGACAAAGACTTGATCGTTCGGTCCAATTTTTTGTCAGGAGACGTAGATTTGCGAAAGACGTCGAAAAACGCCTCTCCGAAGTTTTTCCCACGCCTTTTTGTCCTTGGCCAATATTTCGAGGGTATTCACCAGAAATTCTTTGAGCGGGACATGGTCCAGATAGCGAGGTGGCGGTACAAAGGCACTCTAAACATGGCCGTGAGTTCGAATATATCAATTCTAATGCAGAAGAAAGGTGAACTGAGAGGGGGAGCTATAGGCAATGGGCGCCCCCAGGCCGCGAGGCCTCCTCTTAGCGCACAACCTTCCTTTTTTGGGTACACTTAATGCCCATTTTCTGACGGAACCAATGAACCAAAAAGCGCGAAACTTGGGGAGCGGAAACCTTTCCTGAAAAGGAGTCATTTGCGCTATGTTTCGTGTTTGTAGGGGCAAAAATGGGTCGGCGGCCAATATTTTGGCCTTGGTGCGACTAAAAGGCCTGTTTCTTGGGATTTCCCCGACGGATTTTGCTCAAACTTGGGTCATAAGCTCCTGTTCATGAGACAACTCGATTCCGATTGGTTTCGGAGGCAGCACCCACATCTCCAAAAATTTGCTGGGTTTGACTGTCCACGACTGTAAATGGCGGGTGACCAGATTGGTGGAAGTCGCTAATGTATGCATTAAACGGCCAGATTGGTAGAACTCGCCGAAGGCTAGCCGAGTTCACTTCTACTATTTTGATATATACTCGTGCTGTGCCCTTGTGGTGCGCCGGAGCCGACGAACCCGCTCTTTGTTGCGCCCGGAAGGAGGGTCACTCTTGTCCTTCACGCCGTTTAGCGGGTGCACCGGGGCAGATTCTAGTCGATTCGACGGGGAACTTGTCGGTTCTCCAGCGGGATATCGGTGTTACTGGACATGCAGCTTACGAGAATGGGTGTATGATGGGTAAGATGATCATTGCTGACTCGAGTTTCCAACCATGGTCTGAATGTTGCGGGGAATAAGTTGTTCGTTAGGTACGGAATTGAGCGTGGTTCACATTGGGTTGACGGGAAGCTAAGTAACAAGACTGGCACTATATCCTTTACTACAGGCGTTTACTGGAATGACCACTACTTGTAGTGACATAGAGTACGAATTATCAATTGGTCCTGACTGTCTATCGCATGCTACAATCCTATAAACGAGTTCTCTTGGGAGGCGTCTCAGAGTCACTGGGAGGAGAATGCAGCCGTCTTTTCTCTCGCTGGGTAGTGCCAACGGGATTCGATCGGTTGCAAGTGAAGTTGGTTAACAGCTCTACGACGCTCGTGTGTCCCTGTTCCTGCGCTGCAGATAAAGCCGTCGCGCCAGCAGAGTTAGCAACATCAACGTCAATTCCCAGGAACTGGAGGAGCTGGGTGACCACTCCATCGTGGCCGTTGTGCGAGGCCAGCATGAGTGCCGTCCACCCGTTGTTGTCTGCACCGTTGACCTCGATGCCGTGGACCCGGAGGAGCTGGGTGACCACTCCATCGTGGCCGTTTTGCGAGGCCAGCATGAGTGCCGTCCCCCCGTCGGTCGTTGCAGCGTTGACCTTGATGCCGGGGACCTGGAGGAGCTGGCTGACCACTCCATCGTGGCCGTTTTGCGAGGCCAGCATGAGTGCAGTCACCCCGATGTTGGTCGTGGCGTTGACCTGGATGCTGGGGACCCGGAGGAGCAGGCTGACCACTCCATCATGGCCGTTTTGCGAGGCTTGAATGAGTGCAGTCACTCCTTCGGCGGTTGCAGCGTTGACCTCGATGCCGGGGACCCGGAGGAGCTGGCTGACCACTCCATCGTGGCCATTTTGCGAGGCCAGTATGAGTGCTGTCCACCCGTCGTTGTCTGTACCGTTGACGTCGATGTCGGGGACCTGTAAAAGCTCTTGGACGATCTCCCTATGCCCTAACACGGATGCCAGGTGTAATGCTGAGACACCCTCTTTATCGTTCGCATTGACATCGACGCTCTGAATTTGAAGGAGCTGTTTTACGAAGTCGAGGTGGCCAAGAGCCGATGCTATTATCAGTGCAGTCGAAAATAGCATCGTACCCTCGTTGATAGTAGCACTTTCCGTGTGTTGGCCCGCTGGCTGGGACGCACCCTGGGACGAGGCTGTGTTCGGCATTGGATGTACATCGGGGTCTCCATCGCCTACAAAAGTATGCTCTAAGTATATCGGGAGGGCATAATGAGCAGCGACGTGGAGTGGTTGCAAGAGGTCGAGGGCGCTTCCCGGGCCGTAGAGCTTGCAGGGGAAGGAGGTACACCGGCGTAGAAAACCCATCGGGATATGATTTGCTTCGGGTGAATCTCCGCACTCCAGAATATGGGTGCCCCAATGTCGGTAGGCATAACCCAGAAGTGGTTTTTGTTCAATGAGGGCGTCGAAATCTTCGTGCTCTGCGATGGCGAAATGAGGTATATTATGGTCAACCATCCGTTGAGCCAAGACCTTGCTGATGAAGAGATGGGGCTGGGGATTATCCTTGCGGAGCATGGGTTCCAGTGCGTCTTTGGCGGTGAAATCTGGATTAAAGAATGTGAGCACACGACTCCGGCGACACAGGGTGGCGACACTCACGAACTAATCGAACGACATTACTTTCCGCGTTAAATTCGACCAAACCACAGCACAGGTCAATGATGGATTGTTCGTCCGGCATAAAGGCCTCCTCAATGCTGTGCGTTTCGGGGTTTACAGCAAGGGCGGCTTGGAGGTCCCGCAACGAGAGTGGTCCGCGGGAAAAGACGAGCCAAAAAAGCATCTGCTTGGCAATCCGGACGAGCTCTGGGTCCTGACTTTCGATTCGCGAGATACTATTTGCGTACATTCCCTCTATTCCGGCGGGAAACTCCTCGAGCTTCGCCTCAATGGCAGCAGGTGACAGACAGGTGCGCAGTGCCTCAATCTGCAGAGCAGCGTGGAGGAACCTGGACAGATGTTGCGTCAGCAGGTGCTAGGTAAGAGGAAAAAAGAATCCCACTCACATTCCTGCCGCCTTGTCAGCTATTTTCCTAGTAGCTTCCTCCCGGTAATTGTCCCTCTTCAAGATGCGACACAAGCCCGGGTATCGTCTCAACCTGTCCTCAATGAGCAGTCGGAGGTCTTCGTCCTGCGCGAGGAATGTCAGATATCGAGCGCCCTCTAACTCGGTTTGGAGATGTTCCAGGGGCCGAGAAGCGAAGATGATATTCCCCTGCAGTCGTTTGAAGACCTGGATAAGGTCGAACCGGTTGTTGTTGTTGACTTCATCAACACCGTCAACGACGTAGTAAATGCGGTGGAAGTGGCCCTCGAGACTGCGGAGCAAGTTTTGAAGGTCCTACTCGGATGGATTCGTCTTCTCAAGCCGACCACGGCGATAAAGGGGTTTCACGAGGTCCACGAGATGGTTATGGCGTTGAATAATTTGAAGGATGAATCCTTTCAAGATGTCGCCAATCGAGAGAGATTCGTTGTAACGGTTGTAGACGAAAAGGATGCAGGTCTTCTGGTCTACAGATTCTTCGAGTGGTAATAGGTCATCGACAACCCGGGACCTGACAATCGATTAGCAATAAGTCCATTCCAAATTGCACCGCTCTTACATTAAAACTGTCTTCCCAGCACCGGCTTCGATATCCATCAGACGACATCGTAAAAAGACGAAAAGAAGCAAGCTCACGTATGCCGGTACCACAAAGAACAGCGCCCATTGTGCTTTTCCAAGCCTTGTACTCTTTGCTGTTGACGAACCAGTCTCGTTTCTTCTTCACATCATTGTGGATTGCTCTCGAGTTCGACTTGAGATCGAACCAAGAGGTAATGTCGGATATCAGAGCGTCTAGGTAGGCCGTAAGGTAAGAGCGAATGAAGAATAAGAGATCCAATACACACCACGAGCTTCAGGAGAGTCGGTGGGCTCGGCGTTGGGATAGATGTTCTGGATATTGGTAGTACTAATATAGTCTCCCGCAATCATCGTCCCCCCAGAGACGGTGTTGCCTTTACCGAGGCTGAATTTCGGGCCTATGTCGCTGGCTGCGTGCGCAGCGAGAGATGATGCGTCGTTCGCCATGACTTCCATCCTGTCACAGTATCCTTCATGTCAGAGGACGGCAATGGATGCTATCCCTGCGTACTCACCTGGTCGCGTTCGACCTGGAGGGGCCTTCGGACGGCGACGACATCAGTGTCTGAGACAGAGAGTCCTCTGGCTGGAGATGAAGGTGATAAGTTACCAAGATGGGTTAGGGCAAATTGTGGGCGGCACTGCCAGCATGCGGCTGTGCGTGGGCAATGTCCATTGACACTGACAGGAAGCAGCAAGAAGCCCATCCATATCACTTTCGTCGTAGTGAGCCCCACAGTAACCCGCCGAAATTATATGTTTTGTCACAGCTGGGGGTCTGTTCCTGCAGACGATCCACGAAGTCGTTCAAGTTGTCCATGTTGACATTTGAAAACGTCGCCCCTGCCACCCTCAGGAACGGTTGAAAGTGTGTCGTTCACCGTTCCGTGTCCAGGGGTAAGTTTCCTATTGGTTTTCTTTCTTTGGAAGGACGGTCGTATGCGATATATAGAACAGCGAGGGCTGTATAAGCTTGTGGATGGAGAGGTTGCCGTGGAAAAGCGGATCATCGGACTCCCACCCCTATCTTTCGTGTGCATGCGCGCTCCAGCGTAAGCGCTAGCCAGCTTCGCAGTGCAACGTTTTGGCACAAGACACACTCTTTCTTCCCTTTTCCGTGAAGCAGAGCCTTTACTATCTTCTCATATGACTCAATCTCTCAGCCTATCACTGAGTTGCCTCTCCCTGCTACGGTCATATTAGCATATGAGATAACAAGATGTGGGGCGAATGCAATATCGAATCGATTCGAGAGTAGCTAGCTTAAATACATTTCAAGTAGCTACAGTGGATAATAGAATAACATGAGGGTAAACTAATACCACAAGGAAGAGGGAGTGTCCGAGCACATCCCAGAGATAATCCATCCGAAATAACTCGATCGGATGGACGAACAATAACGGAGTAATAAGAAGAAACATTGTACACTACATCGAAGGTCCGTAGTGTACATGGAAGGTCCGAAATAACTCAATACTCCTCCTTGGTCGTGCATCCGAGAGGGAGAAGTCCGAGTCGGTAAGTGAAGTCGTTATGAGCCGTACGAGTGAGTCCCTTGGTGAAAATATCGGCGAGGTTGTCTAGAGTGTTAATGTAAACCGTGTTGAGCTTTCCAGAGTTGACAAGATCGCGTAGGAAATGAAGGGAAATGTCGATGTGTTTGGTACGTGCATGGAATTCCGGGTGACGAGAAATGGCGATGGCAGCTTGGTTATCCGTGAAGATAGTCGTAGTCGAAGGCTGGGGAAGTCCGAGTTCGTCGAATAGAGAGCGAAGCCAAAGAGCTTGCTTCGCAGCGTGAGTGGTGGCGATGTACTCCGCCTCAGCAGTCGAAAGAGCAACCGAAGATTGTTTCTTCGAGCTCCAAGAAGTCGCTCCTCCTGCGAGCGTGCAAACGTAGCCGCTAATCGACTTGCGATCGGCGTTGGAGGCCCAATCCGCATCCGAGTAGATGCTCACCTCAGGCTCCCAGTCGAGCTCTGGACCACCATAGGTGAGGTGCAAATCCTTCGTGCCTTTCAGGTAACGAAAGACACGTTTGACTGCGGTCCAGTGCTTCGGTTGGGGCTTCTGAGTGAACTGGGCAAGTCGGTGGACGGCGTAAGCGATATCAGGTCGCGTACCCATCGCTGCATAAAGCAGAGAGCCGATAGCAGTCGCATAGAGTCCAGAACCACGCTTGTCTGAGGTAGGAGGGTCGGAGGCAGGAGGGTCGATGGAGTCGAGGTTAATGTTCGCGTCGAGAGGTGTAGATACGGAATTTGCATCCGATAAACCGAAACGCGCAAGCATAGAGTCGATATAGTGGGTTTGGGAGAGTGAAATGGAGCCCTCCTCCTCGTTTCGGGTTATCTTCATGCCCAAAAGCGTTTGAGGTCGCCCAAGGTTGGTGATATCGAACTTCGAACTGAGGGAACCAATGACGAATTGTTCCTCCTTGTCAGACGTTGTGAAACCGATAATATCGTCGACCCAGAGCAGGAGAATGGTGGTGTCGTTGCCAGAGCGTCGAATGAAGCAGCAGTTGTCGGTCTTGAGCTGGGTGAACCCCGCATCGCGCATCGCAGAGTTAAACTCGCGATTCCAAACGTTGCCAGCTTGCTTCAGGCCATAAAGAGCGCGTTTGAGGCGGCAAACACGACCAGTTCCATCGTCAAAACCGGGTGGTTGCTTCATGAAGATCTCCTCGTCGAGTCGACCGTTGAGATAGGCGCTTTTGACGTCGAGTTGGAACATTTTCCAACCGTGAATGGCGGCGAGGGCGGTTGCTGTACGAAAGGAATCGAGTCGCATGACTGGGGCGAAGGTTCCGTCTTTGTTAAAGTCTTCGCCAGGTCGTTGAGAGAACCCCTGAGCTACAAGCCTCGCCTTCCACTTCACAACCTCTCCATCATCGCCTAACTTCTCTGCAAATACCCATCTACATCCCACAGCATCCCTTCCAGCAGGTAAGTCGACCAAATCCCAAGTCTTCATCTTCTCTAGCATCCCCAACTCATCCTCAATCGCCTTCTTCCACTTCTCAGCATCAGGGCCCTCCAATGCGTCCGAAACATTCTTAGGAAGCGCTCGTTCGGACTGAGGGACTTCTTCGAGGATGTAGGATGGTGAGGAAGGTTTAGGAGAGACAATGAAGGCTTCTTCGTCCTCAACCTCCTCCAAAGTGACAGAAGGATAGGTAGGTGGAGGGAGGACGATAGCAGGAGTGGGAGAGTCGATTTGTTCGATAATGTAGGTCGGTTTGGAGGGTGTGGGTGAGATAATACGAGCCTGTTCATCCTCTACCTCCTCCATCGTGACTGGGTAGCGAATAAAGAGTGCCTGACCACCATCCGAGTCCGAAGAAAATGACTGAGATGATTGCTTCGACTTCCGAGCTTTGGTAATCGCAATGGTGCGCTTCTTGGGATCGCGTTCAGCGGGTTTGCGAGCCTGAGGGTTGTTCAGCAGTTTGAAGTCGGTATCCTTTGTGCGTGGGCGAAGGGAGCGAGTCGACGATTGGGTATCAGGTAAAGCAGAGGGGGATGGGTCAGGCGAGTCACCAAAGTCAGATTGCTCGAAGATCGAAGGGGTATAGCGAAGGTCGTCCCAATCGTAGGTCACATCACTGGTATCGGTCTCGACATCGCGTTGGGAGCCTCCAGCGTTGACACGAAGCTCCTCCTCGAGACTAGTGCCAGGGATAGTGATGGGGATGCGGTTCTCGTTGAAAGCGACGTTGCGAGAGACCTTGACCGTGCGTTTCGAAGCATCATAGTACCGAATGGCCTTAGAACCATCCATAAACCCAACAAACATCATCCGATTGGCCTTGGGATCGAGCTTCGACCTCCCATCAGACTCATCCAACACCCAGACATCGCAGCCGAACTCTCGCATGTGGGAGACGTCCGGCTTCTTTCCGTGGTAAGCCTCGTAAGGTGTGGTGCCCGGAAGCGCTCGCACAAGCACACGGTTGCGGATATAGACGGCGTGACGGATACACTCGTCCCAGAGGAAGGCGGGGACGTTGTTGGCGATGAGCATAGCGCGTACGAGGTCCAGGAGAGTGCGGTTAAGGCGTTCAGCAACACCATTCTGGGCAGGAGAGTAGGGAGCAGTGGTGTGGACTTCAACACCCTTCTTCGCACAAAAAGACTTCGTGCGTTGGTTGACGAGCTCCAGGCCGTTGTCGAATCGCATCCAGGCAGGTGGCTTGCCAAACTTTCGCTCAACCAAGGCGATGTGCTTCTCGATCCAGTCCGCAGCTTCATCCTTCGACTTCATGAACTGAACATCCACATATCGGGTGGCGTCGTCGGTGAAGGAGATGTAATATTGGTTGCGCCATACGGACTTGGTCTTGACTGGACCCCAGACATCGCAGTGGTACCCCTCGCCAGGGATAATAGAGCGATTCGAAGCCGAATGGGGATGGGGACGGTGAGAGAGTTTCATCAGGGGTGTCATGAGAAGTAGATATTCCCTTCCACACCTTATCACTGTATCACTATAAGGTGTCTGTTATCACTGAGTATCAAGCCAAGGTCACTGCTTGCCAGAAATATGAACCATAATCACTATTTCACTTGTTGATCACCCCTTTATCAGACAATATCTTGATGAGTCGGGTTTGGTCAAGTCAATCATTGTGATGCAGGATGAGCGATGGCTGATACCTCGTGGCCAACCTGTATTCCATCTGCTATGGGCTGACAACTGCTCCTACCTCCGACGCCAATGATAATGGTGCACCACTCTGTCATAGATGATAAGGCCTGGCCACACGCGTCAGTACTGACGACTCACGAAGTAGAGACGCTCAGGCTGATGTATTCATTTTGGTACTAGTACGACTCGGAGTACAGCGGCTTTATTACTTGTTGTTGGCGTTGTCACAGAGCGGTCACAAAGTGAGTGTGGTACATTAAGAAAAAACCAGTCAGAGCGAGAGGCGAGTTACCGGGCGTTTGCCAGACTATCAACTCCGTCTTCACCGTCGCTTCCCTCGAGGCTCGATCCCCCGCTCTCCGACTCAGCCCTGACCCAGCCCTCATCGAGGATGTCACGGTGTAATTCGTCTCCCTCTTCCCCTGGTTCCATCCCTTCAACTTCCCACTCAAGTGCCTCCCTGTCTTCCAATTTAAATTCCGGGTCCACCTCAGAGTCAGTACTGTCGTCAGATTCGTCAACGTCAAGGGTGGGGTCGTAGCCGTCGCCAATCGGGCGGCCTAACAAATCGGAATCCCCTTCCGCCAAGTCTGAATCTGTCTCAGGAGGCTGATGGTGCGACATCTCTGGCAGAAGTTCGTGCGCTGTTTGAAGAGGAGACTCAGGCCATTCTTCATTTTTTTCCGGTGCATCGCCATGGCTATAGAGATGCCCGACCCCCAAACCCCAGTGGAACCGCATAACCATGTCGCGGTCTACAAACCTAAACGAAGCGGCGGGGAAGAGTCAGCCGAAAGTACAAACACCCGAGTCTGGCAAATTAGGGAGACTCCTGGCCAACTACTCACCTGTTGACGTAGTACTCGTTATAGTCTCCATCATCACCGATTCTGTTGGATGCACCGCGTATACGCGACCCTTTTCCATAAACCTTTCCCTTCGCAAAGCGCGGAATGATATGACAGCCTCGAAGAACGTATTCGGGCGCTAAGAACCCGATCGTGTCGGAGTCGAATTCAGCCTCCGTGAGTGGCGTAAACCTCAGGCGGTCTAGCTGCTTGGAGTCCCAGCTACCCTCACCGCAATGCTCGTACCAACGGACCCAAAGGAATTCGAAACGACGTGGCCTGAGGTCCAGAGACCCTGGCCCGTTGTAGATGATGTTGGCGTGATACACGCCAAGGACGCGTGCGTAGTGAAAGCGGCCTCCACTGCTGAAGGTATCGGAGTCGCCGTCGTTTTCGAATAAGGTGGAAGAGCGGTCCCGGAGGCACATGATGTTGCGCCTTGAGGTTTTGGGGTTGATCACGTCCTGGCCTCGTCGTAAGTCGTAGGTGGTGAAATTCTTGACGAATCGACCGTGGGCATAGATGCGCTCGGGCTGAAAAAGAACGTGGCACGCATTGTTGTCGACAGACTCTCCGTTCTTGTCAGCATCTTCTTTCAAAGCGGTAAGTTTCTCTATGCTCCGAGTAAGGCTAGGCGATGGTCGATTGGCCTGCGCAGCAGTGGCTTCTTGAAGGAGGGTCTGAATGACCCTCGGGTACAGATGCCTGCGAAGTTTCCAGACGAAGTTCTGGAGAAATTCGGAGATTCAATGATAAGCTCTACATCACCCCTTGTGCTCGACAGGTTCCAACTTACCCGATAGGCGGGGTCTTGTGTGCCATCCGCCTCTCCTCGAGCAAACGAACGGAGGGGGACGGGGCGATTCTGAGACTTTCCGATGAAATGTGATTCATCTAACTCCTCCTCGGGAAATCCTTCTTCGCGGGGATTGGGGAATAGTCGGCGACGAATTTTGGCGATTCGGTTCTGCCGCATGTGTATTCTTGCGAGTTGTAAGGCTATGCGTTTCTTGTTTGTGCGCTTGTAGCGACGTTTTGAGAACTTATGGTACAGCTCCGGCTGTCAAAGTATTCATACAACGATCAGCCACACGCTAATGAGACGAAAAGCAATGAGAACCGCACCAACTGGGTGGAATAAGAGTCTGTCGTTCCAAAAAGCTTGATGTGCTTCGCAACATCACCAAAGGAGTGCCACTTGGAGGTCTTGAGGTTCAATGTTTTGTAGCGACGCAAGTCTAGAGGCAAGAAAGAGACTGGAGTTAACAACTATTTGAGTAGAAGATTAGAAGATCTACTTACCTTTAGCTGTCGGTGGTGGTGGTTTGGCACCACCATCTGCAGATTCGGATGGCTGACCTTCTTTCGATGCGTCACGGCCTCCTATATCGACGGGATACAAACGCGAACTTGAAGGACCAGCCTGAGGAGTTCTTTCGGGCTCATCAACGATGACGGCCTTTCCCTTTCCTTTCCCCTGGTTCGCTCCTCCCACGTCGGCGGAATGTGATTCATTCTGGCCAGAGGCAGGAGTTGACGCATGAGTCCCCGCTGCCTTTTTCTTCTTCTCTTCAGCTTTGGCCTCCCGGCGTTGCCTCGCCTGGAACTCGCGAGCGAGCTCCTTGGTTGCGATCTCGCCACAGGTCTTGGATTCGAACTCTCGGACATCGTCGCCCAAAATCCTAGTCCACTTCTCAAGCAGCGTGAGCGTATGGGAGGTGTGAAGCCGGAGTTTTGCTAGGGCCTGCCAGTGCACGAATGAAAACAGCATGCGCATGATTCTTCGATTATGAGGAGCTGGCATGAGCTCTTCAAACACAGGGATAGCGCACTGAAACAAAGATTAGCGTTGAAAATACTTCCGGCCGACTACCGATACAATTTACCTGAAGCATGTCTTCAAAATCTCGCGCGGCCAACTGTTTCATTTCGGAAATGTTGTTGCGGAACCGGCGGATGGTATCGACACCGAATGTAGGCACCAGACGATAGCTGTCGGTAACTTTAGTTTTGGGGTAGGTACCAAAAGTGACACCACATACCGCCTGTCCAGTTCATTAACCTGGCCACTCTGTACAGCCTCCAGCAAGCGCAGTAACTGTACAAATACATACTTCCAAACACCTCCATCGACCTCGTGGAGGATGTCGACGACCACCATCTGGTGGAAGTCGAAGCCAAAGGGAGACAGTCGTTCGGAAAATGCGTTCTACAAGTTACAACTATCTGTGAGTACAAGTTCAAAATGTGATTTCAATAACTTACTCTCGTCGGAACTAAAGACCTATTTTGAAGGAGGCGGTTCACTTTGACGCTGGTGACCGGAACACGATCGAGATAGATGCGCTTTCGTGCGTCTGCAATCAACTGACGACGTTTTTCGTCATCTACACGCTTTTTTTTGTCTCGGTTTTGCATATCTTTAACCTGTCCCATCAGGTGCACTTCTTCCAAGGGTATGAGACACCGAGGACAAGGGCATCTACCAAGGTTGCGGATACTGGCAACCACGATTCTAGAACAGATACATCGTTAAGTAGCGGGGATATCGGCTCGTCAACAAAAAATCGGACTCACTTCTCCTGGTAATCTGCAGAATAAGTGAAAATGCGGGGGTAGAAACGCCGCTTACGACCATCGGGACAGTCTACGACAATCCCGTGCTGGTAGGCCTCAATGAACTCGTCATCAAGGAGAAGGCGCCATTGAGCATGGAAAAGCTCCCGTTCACAATGGGTAAGGAGGGCAGGGTCGATTCGATCCTTTCCAGAGGCATCGAGGTAGAAGTCTTTGAAGGAATCGGGGAGCTGGGTAACCAATAGTTCGCACTATTAGTACGAGCCTTTTGAGATCAAGAATGAACTTACCTTCTCCAAAAATGCGACATGTTCGCCGAGCTTATTGGATGGTTTACATCTCCGGTACTTCGAATCGTTCCCGAAGAACATGTACACCGGCCAGGCTTTCGCGCTCCCAAATTGGGCTAGCATGGTAGCATCGGAGCCAAACATCAGGCCAACGATGTATCGAGGAAGGTCGCAGCCGGGTTCTGTCAGGGTCGGATACAGAGAGAGAGGAGAGAAGGACGTAGTAGGGCGGAGGATAGCCTTGGTCTCACGTTATAAGAACGTGTACCCTTCGTCACGGTTCCAAAGGCTGGCTAGGCCGAAGGACCAGACGGAAACGCCTTCCGGCGGAGCGACGAGAGTGAAGGACGACTGGAGCTAAGGCTCGACGGTCGAAGGCGATGAGGAAGAAGAGTTTACTGAGGATCTTAGACTGAGAGATTCGATGCGTATGAACCTAGTCGAGATTCCGGATGAGGTACCTACTACAAATCGAGATAGTACTTATAGTAAATACCAGCGGGGAATCTACGGGCGAATCGAGACGAAATGACGAAGTCCAAGAATAAAAGAATAAGTCAAGAACCAGAACAAGAAAGGCGAAATAGTACACAAGGAAATCTAGAGTACTCGAGAACGACTACAACGTCCAATCGTAAACCGGCGGATAAAATCCAAGCAAGAATGTTCGTACGGATCGGTCTCTGAGCAACTGGAAATCAAGTGTAAAGAAATAGAAGCAAGAAGAACAACGACACGGCGGAATAAGAAATAGAAGATTGACAGAATAAAAACATACTTCGAATACACAATACGAGACCCGTTTGACAGCTTGCCAAGCGCGCGTCTAAAGTCCACAGGATTATCCGGCGGATCCGAGAGTTCCGGCACAGCCGCGAGGCCGCGCGCGCGCGCCAGATCACGTGATTGCAAGTCACGAGAAACTGGACAATTTCTGGCTCGAATTCTCGTGACCTTTCCCACGCTCCGAGAACGTCGCGCGTCAAAGTCAAGAGAGGAACCGGCGGGCTGAAATGAAGTGGGTGTAACGAATAAAATGTATAAGAGAAAATATAAATAATAATATCGAATGGTGTTGAGGGTGAAGGTAGAGTGTAGTTGTACGTATCGAGACCCGGCGGTTGCACGAGCCCTGACAGGTTCCTTTGGAGACTTCTGTGAGGTCTATGGTTAATGCCGATAAAGCGGTCAGGATTGGGGCACTTAGCACTGACGAGAAGTTTCTCGTATTCGTCGAGAAAGGCTGGGGATGTGTATAGCTCGCCGTGTACTTGGACGTTCTCCTTGCTTTCACCTGGCTTCCAACGGAGTTCGTAAGGGACGTAATGGAAGTTGTCTCCGTCCTTTGCGTCAGAAAGCTTGTCCCGGATGACAGACATCAGAGGACGATAGGTGAAATCTGGGATCGTGTATGGGATGCTTCCGCGTTTGGTGTGCTTGGACCGTAAAGGTACGTCGATCGTGACCTCGCCAGTGACCCAGGCCGTGCCATCATCGTCTACCCATTCCTCCTTGTCGTCTGGTCGAGTTCCCGAGGTAAGAACCCTGTCGATTTTCCCCCAGTTTGCATCACGAACACCGGCGGCATCCCAGTTTTCGTTGCCCACGATTGAGATAAGCTCCATAAAATCCCGTTGACTCTTACCCTCCCTATCTTTCCACCACCACTCCGAGAGCAGAAATGAGCTTAGGTTGGGGTAAGGATGAAGGGGATTGGTATCGCTGCCCAGCTGCTCCGGAGGAGGGATCGGGGCCGATTCGTCGTCGTGTAGGTCGGGGGGAGTGACGAATAGGTCGGGGTCGTGAGGTTGGTCTTCCACAGTCTTAAAACGTTTGTACAGGCCAAACGCATTGCGAGCTGTTTCGCGGATTTGCAATTCGGGTGGAGGCTGGGCGGATGAAGAGGGTTCCGAAGAGGGTTCCTCGGTGGGATTGGTACGAGATTGAGCGGTGACCGCAGGTTGGCGCTGGGCGGGTCCGGGAATCGTAAATGGAACGGTAGATGATGGGAGGTAATCAGCGTATCGAGAAAGCCAGATGGACTTTGGCTTCCTTTTCCCTCGACCGTGTTCTGAGGATGGCGATGCTAGCTGAGGGTCCTGGTCGTTTATCTCCTACATAGCAGTAATAAAGTTCAGTACGACGGGTAGAAAGAGAAAAAGGCAACCGACCTCTGAGTCGTCAATTGTCGAGCTCGCCCCATCCAGATCATCCTTCTCTATAAGGTGAAGGTCGTCAGAGCCGTAGTCCACGTCCAGGTTGTTCCTATCAAGCCAGTATGGTGCCGGAGGCGTCCCTTCTAATCGTCGTCGCTTTCTCGTATGTTGGCCGTGTTGGACGTCGAGCCTTTCCGGGTCCGCAGCTGCCAGTCTTCTCCGGTTTTCTTCCACCGCCTGGGCGCTAAAGGCGATGAACTCCGTGCATTTTCGGATATGGGCGGTGTATGTGCCTTCTGTGTTCAGCTGTCGCCCGCACACGCATTCTGCGAAGAATGTCGCTCCACGACTTCCCAGTGCCGCCTCTGCTAGTCGTTGACGGATGACCCTTGCCTGAGACTTTCGGGACTTGGGGTCTCGTTGTGTATTGGCTTGAGGAATGTCGTCGTTGGTGGGCATCGTTGGGCGCGCAGAGGGATAATTGGGCCGTAGTGCAGAAATGGCTGATTTGTCGGGTATTCCTGACGGGAAGTTGGGGATTGAGCTGCACTGCCACCAACAAAACACGGACTCGGAGAGTTTGCCTAATCAAGGCCACAAACATGTTTGACATCTATCTTTCCAAAATTGGCATCAGCCCCTTAAAAAGTTAAGCCGGACTCCGGGGCAACGAGGAAATAAAGGAGTGTAGTTCATGTATGTACAAGAGGCAAAGATAAGACATTCGAGAGGCTATCTGTAGTACTAAGGTGCGGGTACTAGGAAATAGAAGGAAGGTGAGGAGACCGGAGATTCGGATGCAAGGGAAGCTAACTGGGTGTGTTTTAATAGCCCAGACGCGAGGGAGAGGGAATTCGAAGGTAGCGCATGGGAAGCAATGAAGCAATGTTTAGAAATATCAGCTAGAGACAGTACCTGAGCGTAAAAATGGAAGTCGTTAGTCAAGCGGTTGAAATATGGGGACTCGGAGAAACGGCAGAGGGGCATAAGCCTAGCCAACTGAGCACTGGGTGCTGGTGCACCGGATTTATCCAGAGCCATAAATCTAGAAATAGGAGTTAAATGAGCTATAAAGAAACCCACAGAGTGCCGAACACCCGAATATGTTATTACCTTCAATGAGATAACGTAGATGGTAATCCCGGAAATCTCGGCGGCATCTTCTTCGCCCAATCGTATGCTGTCGAACGTCTCGTCCAGATAAGACGTACGAACCTGTCCTCCCGGCTCAAGAGTGTCCAATGGTTCGACCACACCCCCTTCTATCGCGTCCGGTGCTCCTGGCCTCACGCCGACGAAGCTCGCGACTTCGTCCACTGTGACATCGACGTCGATTTCTGCTTCGGCAACTTCTTCGTCCGGCTCCACTGTGGATAAGCCCTACTCATCCACGGCCGCTCATGGGTTCCAGCAGTCATACACCACCAGCACCACTTCCTCTTCAGTCTACCCAGTTGCGTCGGGTGTTACCCCAGGGTCACTCGTTCCTGTCGCAGCGGATCCTCAATCCGTGATGCAGGCCATCCGCCGCAAACCCCTATCACGGCGCCTCCGTCTATCCCCCCGCTCGAGGAACCTCCTCATTGACCGGTTGGGCTGGTTAGCATCATCTTCCTAATTTCCGCCAGTCTATCTCTCTTCTGCATCCTATGGCAGTTCTCCACCATGCTTTCTTGGGATTTAGTGCTCTTTTCTCTATTCATTCTCTCGGGGCTGTCGTCGCTTACTTTTGTACTGCAGATATTGTTATATAACCGGGCTTTTTTTTTTGCTGTGTATCTGTCGTTGTCGCATTAGGTGCTATCCTGTTTTCCAGTGAATAGATCGTCAGTAGGAGTAGATGTCAGCATTGTGTTCATCACCTTACCACGAATCTGTATATAACATCCTATGGACCCTCCCCGCTCAACACGATGGCATCAACAGTGTCCCCTACCGAAATCGAGCGCCCGACCCAATTGCAAGCGGTTTCCGATTATCCGAGGAGAGCGATGAGAAACGGACGGCATCCGGGGGGGAGGTGGTGGTGGTGGGTGCCAGGTAGTGCGAATGATCAACCTTGGAAGTGGGCAGCGAGTACGCCTATTGGCAACGTGGCGGGTAGATGGAGTGGGTTGGTCAAAGAGGACGACCGCCGCGACGCACGTTGGAAGCTGAAACGTTGAACTAGAATTCGGGACGGAAGGGCTATTGAGTTTAGGGCGGCTTCGATTAAAATATCTACTTGCAGCATGAGCGACCGAAGAATGGATGGGACTAGCTATACGTACCAAAGCTTGCGACATCGGGCGTCGTAGGACCAGCATTACCCAGCGCCACCGTGCTATAGTAGGTCTGCGAAAATGAGATCAAACAAGCTCGTCAGTCGAGGGGTCAGCTTAACTCGCATTCGGTTTGGGGGGACCGTCGGCAGGTGCTTTATAACAAGACAAGACAAGAACACACCCCTGTCACACCCACGGATCCCCTGGCCTTCTGGAAAGATAAGGTTGCTCCACGGTCGGTGGACAAAAAGACGTCGTAAGGGTGGTTGGGTGTTGCGGAGGCGTTGACTGTCCGTGCCCCTGTATTTGTAGATGGGCAGAGAGGCGAGAAGGGGAAGCTCGAGCCCAGACTCTTCCTTCCACCAATTTCCTCGACTCGTGATGACTAGCGTGAGCCGAGTCAACAGGGCGTCGAGTCCATTGGAGAGGTGTGCGTCGAGCGAGGTGTGTGTTGAGGGGTGCGTTTCGCTGATGGCGGTTCTAGGCCGCTCAGGTTGATTCCGATCTCGGAGGCCAGAGGACGCCCATCAGTCTAGTCGTTCACCTCAACCATTGCGATAAGATTTCGACAATTGAACCATACAGTACCTACCAAGCAACACGAGAAGAGGCAAGTGTGACCAAGGTTTCGAAGGACCGTTGTGAGAATATTACTAGGCCAAGCATGAAGAGTCCGTGATATTGTCACTGAAAGTAAATGTACACCAAAGAAAGGATAAATGCACGACAACAAGTACTAAGAACGTGGAAATTGCGACTTTGCCCGACGGAGGGACACCCTACTCCCGCTCAATCTTGGCAGTGAATCAGCATTGCGCGGCAGCCTACAGCGAATTACTGCGCCGCCGCTTTCGAACCTGGGTGGCTGGACGGGGTTCGGCAGGTCTGAGGGCTTCCAAGAGGCGATGTCGCTGAGCAGAAGGTCGATTATCGAAGTGCGGAATGGGAGAGGAATAGTGGTGGGGGTTGTGCGAAAGGTCGTTAATCGCCGTGGTGGTGGACATTGAGTCGCCTGAGAACGAAATTCAGAACAACCATGCCATCAGCGACTCGGATGATCAAATATTCACGTACCATCTGCGTTATCCACCTCAATCTCTTCGTGAAGAGCGACGTGACTGGCGTGTGCGAGGAGCGGTCGTCCAAAGTTGAGGTGGACGGCGCTGTCGACTGTCCAGGTCAGGCCGAGGTCTAGAGGTGCCGGTATCGGTGCCGGTGTAGTATAGATGTCCACACAGTGAAGTAGATGGCGGCGTAGCTCGGCATATTCGAAGGGGTCTTCCTTGACGAATGCTTTCAAGGCGCCCCCAGCGGTTGCCATCTTGCGGGAAAGGATCCTTCGACACTGCAGGTTTTCGAGTACATCCCTACCTGTGACTGTTAGACTGCGAAAGTGAAAGCAGCCATACAGCGCTATTGACATCTTGAGGAGTCGAGGTCAGCGAATTCGAGATAGCATAGGCAGGTGTAGAAACTTACGACGGCGATTGGGAGCACCAGCGTTCGACCCATAAAGTCCTTTTCGAGGGGTGGATCGCATGCCTGGCCTGCAAGCCGTTCTAGAACGGGATTTGGGCTGCTACTGATGAGGCTTCGGATCCCCCTGACCATCCATGTGAATAGACCAATCACCCCCCCGCTTCGGAAATGCAAAACATAAGGTTCGCGGTTCTTGGCGACCATCTTGTCAGCCCTGAGGCAAAGAACAATCTGGAACGACTCATGAGCAGTGGGCTAAGGTTTAATTTATTAGTGCTCGAAAACGATCTCTTAGGTGAACAGAGAGATGACCTACATGGGGCTTGTACTCAGTCTGGATGAAGGGGAGGCCAACGCCGTCAGGCTTCGTCCCATAGTAATGCATGTAGCATCCACTCAAAGCGATATTGAGAATGACATTGATAAGATCGGTGATGTCGAAACCCGCGGTCGAGTCGAAGAAGCGCTTGAGTTCTGGGGAGAGGTCGACGAGGAGGCGAAGGGCGTGGTCCACCATGCCCTCGATGAATGGGGCCGTGACGTAGTCGGTGAGCTAATAGCGAGGCGGTGAGTGAACGTGACGTATAGGAGAAGCGTTAAGACTCACGAAAATGCTCAGGCCGGTGAGAAGATGCTCCTCGATTTCTCTGGCCGTCTCGGGCGAAAAGTCTATGGGAGACAGGATGTCCTATCAGAAAGAGGAGAGGAAAAGGACGGTGCGGACTCACAGCGGGTATAGTCGTCCGTTCCGGAATGGTTGCTCGAAGAGCCTAGGCGAGCCGCCTGTAATCCCGAAGCTGATACCGAGCGTGGTCTACTCCTGCGGGATGTTGATGTCGATCTTCGACGGCGATTCGTTGGAGAGGATTCTGAACGCAAGCGACTTTCGGAGGCTTTGCTATGGATACCTCGCCAAGCTTGGCATATGTATCCAAAGACATCGTCGCCTCTGTTGAGGCGCTTTTTGAGACACGTCTGGAGGTCCTCCTGCGATACGATCATCCCCTCAAGCATGCCGTTCAAGATGTACTGCAGGCCCCAGGAAACGAGAATACTTTTCGCTTCTTTCAAGGGCTCAGCCTGTATGGACGTCGGAGCGCTTCTATTCAATTCTTGAGTGAGCTTGTCGTGGAACGCCTGGAAGATGTTAGCGATAACAGCTGATGAACGAGGATCGACCTTTCCCAGGCGTTTCAAGAGTTTCGGGTCGAGTAACTCCTCTCGAAGATTGGCTGGCAAAGAAGCGGGCAACGTCGCAGGCGCAATGGGAGGATTTGGACCAGGAGCAGATGATGCTGGCGACTCTGGAAACAAGGGGTCGGTGCTAAGTTTGGGTATGCACAATGAAACATGGACGAACCTTCAGTTTTCGCAAATTTAAGGCGTAGTTCATCCGGGGTGTGGTTCACGAACTTAACCGAAGGTTGGTCCTCCGTGGATTGTTGGTGGACAATGGTATCGCCTAGGACTTGCTCGACTTGGACCTTGTCCATATCCGGAGGAAGTGGCTCGGTCGAAAACCATATAGTCCGAGTTTTACCGCCGCGACGCTGGGTAAGATGTCAGTCACGAGGGTCATGGCACGCATTGGGAAGCAACGCACAACCGACCCCAGTTGGGTTCCGCGAGCGGGGTGGGCGGTTGGGGGAAACAGTCCGTGTTCAGCCAAACCTGTGAGGTTCGATGATCAGTTCCGCAGCTGAACGGTTGGTGAAGATGCGCCCTCGTACCTGCGGGGACCGTTGCGGCGTTCGCATTACTCGAGTATGATTGCGCCGTGGCTGCGATGCGGGTAGACCAAGGATCTCGATCTTAAGTGGGAAGATACGTGCTAGGTAGATTGAACATCAAGAGAGGAAAGAGAAACCACGTACCAGAAGTTAAGCCTGTAACATTGGAGGGTGCGATGTTCGAGGTAGGCGTTGGATATGGATTCTGGGAGGGCTGAGGTTGGGATTGGGAATAGTCTACATGCATTCATTTAACATGACCAACATCGAGCGACGAAGATTTGTGACTTACCGCCGAGTCGCGAGCATTGTTGAGGCATGTGTTGAGAATATTGCTGAGGAGGCTGGGAGCGGCTTGGGCCTGGCAACCCTAGAGCGAACAGTAAGTCCCATTAGTGCATACACCGCGTCAGGCGCAAACTTGTCTCACCAATTGGATCAGTCACTGGCATCGAAGCCACAGTCGAACCTGAATTGAGTGGGTTCGGAACAGTCTGGCCCATAGCACCTGGCAAAAAATGATTAGCCTCTCGTCGTGAAAAGTAGACGCGAACCGACCATAGTGTGCACCTGGCCCAAAAGCCCTATCGCGATAGGGCGCTGGAGTACTGTTGTGGGGCGCTGGGTGGGGCTCTGATTCTGGTATGTCAGAAAGAACCTGGTACACCACGGCGACCAGTTGACTTACCTGGATTGAAATTGAGTGATGGAGGTCCATGGGGGTATCCATCGTGCGAGGCAACACTTGGAGGATGGCCTCGTGGGTCTGACATTCGCACCCCATCAGCACTGTTAACACAACGGTACGATTTAGTCGAGACTTACATAGGTAAGTAAGAGGTGTAATTGGCAGTGGATACGAATAATCTGCCTCTCGAATGGCGTCCTGAAAACCGACATCTAATATGAAATTTTGTTGTGAATGCTACGCTCGCTAGAGTTTGGGGATCTGGCTCTCACCTAAGCCTGCTGATTGATTCGCCGCCTCTAGTCCTGCTGAGATATAGTGAGGACGCTGGGCGACTCTGGTTAGAAGACACAGACTGACCTTCGTTTCCCTGACGCTGGTTGGTCCAAAGGTGCTGGGGCTGCGTGCCCGACTGGACAGGCCCCACTTCGTGATACCCAGTGTTTGCCTCCGACTCCGAAACTGCTTGAACCGGTTCACCAGAAGGGGCATAAGGCAGCGAACGTGCTATGGTCGATGGAAGCGCCCGAGAAGACGACTGGTAGAAGGACTCTTGCCCGTTGTGCGAGTCTGTTTTAAATGGGTCAATTCTGGTTCCAATAACAGGATCAATGGAATAGGGGAGGGAGGGGGGGAGGCAGGAGTCTTCCTAAGTGGATAAAACACTCTCGGAGTCAGCTTATATGTGGCGAGCAAGGAAAAGACACGTGTTTGGGGAGCTAGGAAGGCTGTCACCTCCTTTGTGAATGTGACATACCTTCATCGATAAGAAACCGGCCACTGTAGAAACTGTAATTCGTGAAAGATGTGCCAATTTCCGAAATACCACATGTGACCTGCTTCAGAACCCTGAATGGTGATAAGTAGGCAGGACAAAGGCTTCCAACGTCTAGATTTGACGACACTGAAGCTGGAAATGAAGTAGCCTCACCGAAAACACGTTCTATGTCTTCCTATCACCGACCTAAGACAACCGGTACAAGGCTCGATGAGGTATGTTGAATCATTGAAATCGGCCGATGTTGTGATATCTGGAAAAGAGATGGGGAACATGAACAGAGATGAGTCGGATGGTCTAGAGTCGCCCATGGCGCCGCGCCGGCGGAGTATCAAACATCTGCACAGCCATATGAACTGAGTCAACGGCCGTGAATACAACTAAATTATTCTCATAGTGATTTCCTCTCCGGTTACTGGCCAGTCATCTCCCAACAACTCACCCTCCCAGTTGGCCTCAACCCCTATTTGCTACGCCCGTGCGAAGCCTCCTCCAGCCATCTCGCTCAGTTCCTCCAACATTTTGCCGCTCAGCAACTTTCCCAATAAAATGCAAGCTCAAGAGAGACGTTTTGTGGAACAACCGCCCTCAAGCAAGCCAAAGCAACCTTGCCAGCCCGAACATGCGTGCGACGATGAACCGGGCCCTTCCAGGGATTTTCGTAAGTGAAATCCGCGCTGCTCTTGTCTTTCTATAGCTCTTAACTTATCCCTATTTCTCAGGGCGTGCTAAAAAACCCGTCTACGACGAGAAGGCTGTACCTGTGGATTATCCGCTGAAAGCGAGCGCGAAGGCTCTTGAGGATTACTCTTATGCACAGAATCTTCACAGCCTAACAACGATGTTTTCGCGCCCTAAAATTGGACGCGTGGATCACAGTGCTGCAGCTGACACGGTATGTATCCCCTTAATCATCGACAGCCACGTCTCTGACCCTTGTTTCAGCTGGTTGAGGAACCTCCCCGTTCAGCCCACCCACCGTCCCCTATCTCGTCGAAACCACTTCCCAGGGATACGTTTAATGCACCGCCACCAACCCGTCCACAGTCATCTGGCTCATCGTCCCAATCTCTTCGAACTATTGCAGAGCGCACTCGGGCATTTGCCCAAGCTCGAGGAGAGAACATTGCAAGAACGAATGATGTGGCATTCCAACTTGGCGCGACGATCCTTCAGAGCTTCGAGCTCGTACAAATGCTCATCGACCTTCAAAAAAAACGAAAATATATCGACGAAGGGATGGTCGAGCTTACCGCGACGCTCGAGGAGGAGTTCCGAAGCCACCCGAAAGCCGAACAACTCAATTCAATGCTCGACGCTTTCCTCCATCATCAGACAATGGGCGCCATCGTAAACCCCCAAGTTCCTCCCTTGACCGAGGCCAACCACATCACCACTCCTCAATCAACGCGGCTGTCTGTTGGTCAGCTGCGGCGGTTAGGCTTCGCGTACAGCACAAATCCCACCTCAATCGCCAAGCACGTTCAAGAGATGTGGTCATACGCTTGACGTTCACCCCAACCCTACCTCGCTTTCGTCTCTCACTAGGTTTATATACCCTTTCTCTCTGCTAGTCGTATCAGCTTTCGAGTTAAAATGTTGTACTGTCTCCTGTTTCCCCGCCACCGGGCCAGCCTCAAGTATGCATTCCATGTCGCATGTATCATTATTATATTGTCCTTGGCCTGACTCGTCAAATGATTATGAATGAATTTCAGTATTAATATAAAGAATAAAAGCACTATAAAGATAGCATACTATGCCTTGAGACTATTTATCACTATCGCAGATATGGCTACGGTTGTACTTCCTAAGGAAAACGCGCTCGCACAACGAACATGTAACGAACATGTCTGTGATTTGTTCTTCGGATAGACCCCGGCGGCGATATCCGAGGAACTCGAGACCGATGTCGTACTCGATTGAACGGTATTCCGTCTGGACTGGGGTTGCGCCACATGAGTGGAACCCCAGGCTCTCGGCGTAATGGTAATAAGTGCAGACCTGGCACTGGAGGAACACCTTGGAGAACTCCACCAGGGTTAATCCACGTGGCGTCCTGGAGCAGAGGCCATGAAATAAGTCAATTGTCGGAATGGGCAGGTTCGCTGGGTTGAACGTCTTGACGGCAGCTTTGCGGAAGAATGCCGGATGTAAGTCTGTGATGATAGCGGTCATCAGCTACCCAGCTAACTTCGACGACTACAGAGTACTCACTGATATAATCCTGCTCCGTTCGCTCTACGAAAATGGTCTCCCGCTTGACGACCTTGGCCCGATCTCTTAAGTTGTATCTGCTCTGCATTGGTGGAGGCGGACCGCGGGTGAACTTCGGCAGGTGATGACGGTCCTCCTCGGTCACAGCTTCTTCCTCCTCCAACGCTTCTTTCGCCCATTGCAGAACCAATTCATCGATCGGGTTGCGCACGCTTGAGTCAGCCTTCGAGATTCGCCGAGCTTTGCGATTCTGGCGATCGTTGGAGGAATCAAGTGGACGTTTGGAAGGACCAGGTTGGTTTGGCGAGTTGGCTGTTGGTTGAATGTGGATGGCGACAGAAGAGGGTGTGACGGAGAAGATCGATCAAACGGGTGAGTGAGATAGGACGCTTCAGTTGAGTGGGGCAATAACGTACCGTTCAGAGTCCCGTCTCCGGAACTCGAAACAGTGGGCCAAATACCCTTAAGGACAAGCTCAAATTTCGTCGGCGATGACTCGATCTTGATAGAAATCGGAGACGAATGGATGGAAGGAACCTCACGTTCGGCGTCTAACGAGAAACAGTGTGAGTGAGAGTCCCATTTCTTTCAATCAGAAATCTTACCTGTTGACGGTAACTCCAATTGCCCGCCTGTGCGTCGCTCAGCACCAAGAGGCTTGCCGCTGATAATAACAGCATGCTGGCGAGTGAGAGGGGTTGGTGTATTCTGAATACGATGCTGATCCGCTCGACCGCCACTATCCAGGACAGGAAGCTTTGGGAAGCTCAACTTGTACGCTTCAATGTCAGCGGCAACGGGAGTAGACGGGGCAGTATCGCTGGGGGCTATGTAGAAGGGATTGCTGGACGGAGTGGAACTAAGGGAACGGTTCGGACCAGCCCAAGTATGCTCGAGGCGAAGGGGATTGGCAGTCCCACCTCTGCTGGGCAAGTTCGCGCTGCGACCAGTCGTTCTCAAAGAGACGCGACGGGTCTTTGGCTGGGATCTGGGATGTTTGTATGATGCAGACATGGTAGTGGTTGGTCAAAGCCTAGAGGGAATGAGGAGTGGTGGAACTTCTGAACGAGAATGGGTGATCGACACCGGGAAAGACAAACCAGGTATTTATATCTTCGATGACTTGCGAACTGAGGTGTTCAACCTTCCCTATTCAGGCGTTCGACACTTGGACTGCCCAACTCAAGCGAGTGGTTTGGTAAATGTCGGAGAGCTAGGAATTAAGGGGTTCCAAAAGCGGTAATTCACCGATTGTGCAAATGGAGATGGCATTGCCGTTTTAGACGAACTCACAGCTTGATCAGGATTGTGGCTGCGGTAGCATTGGCCATGCTTTCCGCCTCACAGGCGAGTCCTCTATGGGTCGAACGATGTGTCGCGCTCGGGAAGAGCTGGTGCCGTCACCCATTCTTCCTCTTCGGCCCGTATTCGCTATGTGGGCCCAACTCTCCGAACATACCGTCGTTCCTCTGACCGTTTCCAGGAACAGTAATGCTGTCTTGGCTCCCAATACCCGTGGAGAAGTTGAAACGAGAAGAGCGGTCGAACCTTCGCCATCATGGAATCTGCAGACTTTTCGCCCACCTCCGTCTTGTACAGTCCTCCAGGCGCTATCCCTGATCGTGTTGAAATGGCGCCCCCTTCTCCAGCCCGCTGTATGGAGGGTTCTTCCAGTGACGATGGAGGGGACGCCTATGAGCCTCAGGACAACACCCACTCTTACGTTCAAATAGCCATCGAGGTCACTTTCCCCAACTTGGATCAGGTAGTTGACGTAGACTCAGGCTGCCCTCAGTTGATAACTCACGTTCTTATAGGCCTTTCTCGACGACGCCTTTGCTCACGCCCTCCGGTGGCAGGAGGAGAACCCCATCGATCCCACATTCCAAGACAAGGACGATCAACTTCTTGCCGCATTTGCCTCCATCTTCTATCGAACTCCGCTCTCCCAATCGACCTTGCCAGGACAAGGTCTCCCTCCGTTCTCCGACGCTGCTACTGCCTGTCTAAAGATTCGAGGCCCGCTCTGGATGGAGGTGGTATCCATCGATGACCTTGGTGTCAGCGCCTTCCAATTGGAACGGGTTCGTCTTGAACGTCGGAGGTATATACTTGATCGAGTTTCCCAAGCTGCGCGAGAGAGAAAAGTGTTTTCTCGAGATGAGTCCGCCGCCATTCGAGCCACTCTACCAAAGTACCCAAGGAAGACGCTTCAACTCCGTCTCACCGACGGCTCCCAAGAGATCGATGCTTTCGAGATCAATGGTCCACTCCCTCATATTTCACTGGACGAGACCTTCATTGGACATAAGGTGAGTCTCCTCTCAACGACGGTTCGATGCGGTTCTGAAGGGCGTTGTTATCTCTAGATAAGGCTGGAGAACTTCCATATCATCTCCGGGAAAGCATACATCATGCCGTGCAACATCGCCGAGGTTGGCGGGCCTCCTCCTGAGTTATGGGATGGCATGCACACTGTTACCCTTCACACTCGCATGGAAAGGGAGGTGCAACTTTGTCAGGTACGCTCTGATTCGCATAATCGGGACATCATTCAAGAACTAACCATAATCCTCCGCTTCCAATTATCCAGGAATTAGGCGTGGATCTTCAGGACCTGTACGATCTATCAGGTCTTTGGGGGCCAAATCGTGAGACGACTGCTCAGTACTAGTTCTTCAGACCCCTTGCGGACATGTATAGCTTAGCATTCAATAAAAAATTTAAGTGGACTTACGTCGCAAATCTACCTGCCCTGAAGTCTCTGTGAAGTCATATAAGTGAATCTGACCCCTCGCAATGATGTTCAACTCGTTCAATGTTCTGTAGGAGAGAAAGAGACTTTGGACACCACCATATGATCACTGTAAGTATCCACTGTAAGTATCCACCTTGTTTTCGACATATACAGTGGATACAGTACTGACGAAGAGGCGTCGTGCTAAGAAACATTCAAGGCTGGCAGCCGCGATATGGCACCCCAAAGACTATGGGCACGCAAGGTGGGGCCCGGCGCATAGGATTGGATGAACTTAGATTATTAGTACTACTAGTATGTGTGTGGCGACGAACACCCCTTTCACAGTGTCGACTTAAACATTGGACCGAGAGATGGAGAAGAAGCTCATGGAATTGTGTTTGGACGGGTCAGTAAGCTCCTCCGAGACTGTCAAAACCGAATGTCGACGACCTGGACTGCGCATACTCGGCTGGCTGTTCGGGAGCGATTTCCAACTGTTCGAAGTTCGGCCCCTGGAAGATTCGGTCTCGGACATGGCCTGAAATGGATAGGCATGAACCAAAAAGGCAAAAGGCCGCAACCCAAATTAGGGTGTCGGTAAACCATTGTGGGCCATGCAGAACTAGAAAGGCAAAAGGCCGTATGCCAAATTAGGGCTTTTCAGGTACCCATCCCACGGGCGAGAGTTCCGTAAGCGAATGAATCCGTCAGTTGGAAGACGGTCAGACCCATCGAAAATTCTATCCCTCTTCAATTTTGAGAAGAGAGAAAATGTTGCTGGACTTACTAGTAGTAGAATAAGCCAATACAGGGGTTGACGTTGGAGAGTTCGACGGGGACCGGTGGTGGAGGGCGGAACCTAGCGCCCGGACCTAGTGAAAGGTAGGGCGCTGATCCGTCCTGGTCCATCATTCCGTCATCACGAGCCCCAAATAAGGTGTAAACATACACCCACACCCACACAACCGAGGATTCGATTAACGATGCGCCACCTTCAACAACTCTTCACCTCCTCCCGTGCCCTATCCTCTGAATTCCTCGTACAATGCCCGAACGTGAACGTCCGTCAAGTCCCCTCTCACTCATTGACGACGAAGAATTCGACAACCCCGACACCTACAAGCTTGTGGACGAGGCCACCGATTCGGATATCCTCAACCCACCCCGCTTTGGCGTCTTACAACCCTCTCAACTACCGCATCGTAACGGCAAGAGGGCCTCGAAAAAGAGGCAATACAGCGAGTTAGAGCAGATTGCTCTCCGCCCGGTCCCGCGGAAGCCACCGTACGTCAAATTGTTTACTATGTCTAATTCTATGTATAGGTGCTCAACTACAAAGCAGCACGAGATCGGACAAGTTGGTTCACCACGGACGTCACTACTGTCGAACTATCTACGCTTTTTCCAACGTCCATGGGGTCATTACGCACGGCTTGACCGTAGAAAACAGCGGAAAGCGACCCGATACCCAGCAGTGAGTTATCCGTCAGTACTAGTGGGTAGGGTAACTAACGGGTGGACAGACAGCGGCGCGCTCATCGTGTGTATCTCAAGCTCCTCAACCTCGTCCCCGGCCTATCCGATCGTCTAGCCAACGCAGACGACGAGGATCTGAATACTATCGCCCGACATGTAGGCCGTGATAGTCGTCGTGGAGTGGACTCATGCATCCTAACTTCCTTGATTGTTCAGTTGCAGAAAGGTGCCAATCAGGCTCGTTCTGACGACACCAAGGGTCTCAGAACTGTCATAATTGATTGGTTGGCCCCTCCTGACGAGCCGTTACAACCCTCTCTATCGCGCACGGTCAAGGTCGACAGGGGTTTCAATCACGACCGTACCGGCGAGCTTCTTTGCCCGCCGCATATCAACTGGTCAAACCCCAAGTAAGGTTTATCCCCGATTCATTTCCTCCTCTTTTAACCCATCAACCGCATTTCCAGGATCAGAGAGCAGCTTCGCAACAAGTCTCTGGTTGTGTCTGGGAGCGATCTCCCCTCTTTCCTTTGGGAAGATGGTATGTATGACGGAAAGGATATCTGGAAAGGGTTCTTCCGAAACCCCATTCTTGTGAAGGTTTGTATTCACATTTGAAGTATGGGACATCGCTAGTATTCACTCAATGGTGTAGGCATATAAACATATCTTTACATCACCGAGCTCAGTCGATGACGCGCCCAAGGCCACGCGTTCCGGTAATGCGCGAATCCATGGGATGACAGCAGCTACGGCTCCATCACTAGCATACGTTGCTGTGCAGGTCAGCTCCCTATCCTTCAGACGAACGAACGCCGTTGTGATACTGACCGCGCCCATGCCATAGGTTCGTTTCGCACTGTCCTCAGAGACCACGTTCGTCCGCTCGGAGGGAGAAAGCGAAAGCGAGAAGTTCTACGAGACCCTTCTCGATATCTTCGAGGACGTTCATGCACAGCACAAGGTCGTCGAGGTATTGAGTTGGTACAATCAGTAAGTCCGTCTAGTTCTCTAACCCGACGTCGCAGTTGACAGCCTGCTGGTGCATAGGCAAGTGTTTCCCGCGTTCACAAACTCGAAGCGCATCGTCTCCGAAGACAGCCCGTACGCTCTATTCAAAGCCTATAGCCAATCGGTCAAGGATGCCAAAGCGCAGAAGAAAAATCCCAAGCCGTCTAACCTTAACCGTGCTCGTCGCCAGCAGCCTGTCGCTTCGTCGTCGAGGGTGTTGTTGGACACTGTTCAGGAGGAGGAGGAGATGGAAGGAGAAGGTGGCGGAGACGGTGATGAAGGTGACGAGGAGAATCGGGAGCCTGCCCAGCAGACAAGGTTCAAGAGGCAGAAGCGACCCCATCCTGACAACGGCGCAGTCGCCACCCCAAAAAGGACTTCTGAGGCTGTTCCGACTGCTATCTTCACAGGGAGGATCACTCGCTCAGCCGCAAGACAGGCGCTCGGGCCTGGGCTATCATTCTGATGTGCGTCGTACTTCAATTTCTTTTCATTCTCCGTCATTTAGATCTACGACCTGCGACAATATATCTGTTTTTTTGTGAATTCGGCTGGTGGGAACAGTAAATAAGCAGTGAAACATTTATTTTTTTTGTTTGTCCGTTGAGGGCTATCAGCGCTATTCCAGAGGCGACTGGTCTCATTTTAATCTCAAAGAAGCCATGATATCATCCTTTCTGCACTGGTGGGCGTGAGCGAATGCGTCTGAGCGGGGTGCGATGGTCAAATGGACCGTATAGGTGCCCACTGGTCTTCGTTTTCCGGCGGCCCAGACTTGGTAAGTGATTTAATTCGGGGCTTGGATATCAATGACCTCGTTCGGGTTGCAGCTATCACCATTATCCTTGCGTCGCGCGTTGTCAATAGCACCATCCCAAAGACTGTGTATCATCCTTGTCGCCGGGTTAGGCACTCTCAACGGTGAAATACTTGGCGTGATTGTCATTTGTGCTCAAATGTGTGGTATTGCCAGCTCCAAGGGAATGTCAAGGGTTTATCAGCGCTATCTGGATGGCGGGACCTTGTCACTTGTGCCTGGACAGTGGATTTGATGTCCTATGCCTGGATTGCATCTGCGATCAGCTTTGACACAAAGAACGGTAGCTGAGCGCGTCCCCCTTTTGGGAATAGATGATAGATTCTCCCTTTATTCAGGACATTACCAGAGGCCGACCTCCGGGGAAGGTTGGAAGTCTATGTCGGACAGGCCTTTCTGTTCTCGGTTGATAATAACAGACAGTTTGATTGGGCAGACAAGGTAGTTCAATGTGGGTAAGATGACATGATCATCCAGTCTGCCCAAGTTCACCATGAAGAAGGCAATGAGTGGTCACGACCACCCATTACCCTTGCAACACATATTATCAGTAGTTGAGTAAGGGCATTGTTTATTAGACCAAGTCCTTAAGATTGTGGCTCATAAGTACCATCACCCTTTATATAGCCATCTCAAAAGAACTATTAGGGGGCCTGTTACCTATGAAGAGATATGTATATAAGACATTAAATAGATTGGTCGTTCCATCACGCCTTCCCTGATGTTAGCGCCAAGGCACGCAGTACATGTGGGTGAGGGAACAGAAGAGGTGTCGATGGTGAGACCAGTCACGAGTCCATCGTCGAACATCTTCTTGACGGTTGACATCGCGATATGGCCCAAGATGCGGTGCCAATCATCCCAAGCCTTCTTCCCATTGGCGCCGGAGAAGAAAGACTTGTTCTGATGGAGCTCGGCCTCAGCATCCAACTTGTATAGCCTGTCCACCTTCCTACCAGTCCCAACAACCGAACCATTCCCGTCCAACAGCCTGCAAGTTCCACCACCAAAGTGGACCACTCCTCCTCCATCGTCGAAGCGACTCAACGAGAGAAGGCAGTTAGGCGCGCTCGGGACAAATAAGACGTCGCGGATCAAATGGGGAGTGATGGTGCCGTCGGTCCGAAAGTTGAGAATAATAGATCCGCTGCCCTCGACAATAGCAGATTCCGGTCCAATGCCCTGGACTGTGGTGTTCTGAAGGGGAATGAAGTCGATAAACGCGTCCCGATTGGTACAGATGTATGAGGTGGTGCCGGAGTCGAGATACCACATGAGTTTGTTGGGGGGAGTAGGTTGAGCGCCTAAACGGGCCATGTAGGTGATCGCGACCGCGGAATTAATAGCTCGAGCTGTAGAGTCGGTCGCCTGGTTCGATCGGTTCCTTCCCCTTCCTCTTGGCCCTCTCCCCTCCATTCCACCACCTCTGGCCCAGCAGTCCTTCCGCAAATGGCCCTTCTTCTTACAATTAAAACACTCCTTCGACGATCGGTTTCCTCCATTGGCTGCAGCGTGAGGTCTCGAAGGTCGGACTTGGAGCGAGTGGGCGGAGCTACCAATCCTGGTGCGTCGACGCCTATCCTCCTCCAGCAATAAGGGGATAATCTCCGTTGCTTTGAGAGTGGTGTCAGCACCCTGGGAAGCGAGATACGAGCTGGTGAAGCTATCCCAGCTCTCGGGGAGGGAAGTAATGATGACCATAGCAAAGTCCTCCTCCGAAACAACATTGGACATGAGGGCGAGTTCGGACTGGTAAGCCCGCAAGGTGGAGATGTGTTCGACAAGATCTCCGCCCTCCACAAGTGTGGCTCGATAAAGAGCACGTCGAGTCGCGAGAATGCCGAGTCGACCTTTGGTTTCCTTGATTTCGCAGAGACGAGTCCAGATCTCTGCTGCTGTGTTGGCACCGAGAATATGGGCCATCTCGGTGTCGCCAATAGCGAGCTCGAGTCGAGTGCGGGCCTTGGATTCACCAGCATCCCAGGTAGCGACGTCGGAGGTGGTGACAGCAGGGGATACACCGTCCGCAGTGACAGTAGGACGGGTCTTGAGGTCGCCAGTGACGTACTTGTCGAGGTCGAGTTCGCGCAGAACAGCGGTCATACGCCGCTTCCACGGCATCCAGTTGGTAGCATTGAGGGGCTCGAGTCGGAACGAGCCGTTGCCAGTAGCGTCTGCAGACATAGTTGACAGTTAAGAACGAAAAAGAGAGAGAGAAAGCGCGCAAAGAGATAGAAGCAGGAGAATCACTAGTGAGATTGCCTTCTGAGTTCGTGTCCTTCACTTGTTACAAGCCGGGGCTCATAACCTATGAGATAACAAGATGTGGGGCGAATGCAATATCGAATCGATTCGAGAGTAGCTAGCTTAAATACATTTCAAGTAGCTACAGTGGATAATAGAATAACATGAGGGTAAACTAATACCACAAGGAAGAGGGAGTGTCCGAGCACATCCCAGAGATAATCCATCCGAAATAACTCGATCGGATGGACGAACAATAACGGAGTAATAAGAAGAAACATTGTACACTACATCGAAGGTCCGTAGTGTACATGGAAGGTCCGAAATAACTCAATATAGCACCACAAGGCCATATCATGATAGAATTATACAATGCAGGAGACATGGGAGTGAACAGGGAGGTGAGTGAGTGAGGAGAAATGTATTTTTACTGGAGATGAGCAGACAAAAATGCGCAGGTCGGGAAGAGGAGCGAAAGAACCGAAGGTACGAAATGAGAGCGCGAATTCACACTCTTAGACCTTCTCTTTCCTCAGATAACATAGAAACGACATCTATACAGGCTCTCTAGATTCCAGGTCCTGGAAATGGGATCAAGTTTCGAAGCCAGGTAATCTGAATCCAGAGAACCTGGTCACTGCTGGACCCCTGACATACCGAATGTCGACCTTTCCACCCTCTAGCAGCAAGGATATACATGGAGGTGCGTCTGAGTAACAGCTATCTGATATCATGCAGACAGAGATGTCCTATTAAGAGTCGAGAGGCGGCCAAGGCAGGCTCCCAGTCCCAAAAAAGGCGACTACGGCTGTGACATCGCCTTGGTTAATCTTCTGGTAATAAGCGACCTAGAGACGCTTACCCACAGGCTGTGAACACAGCTATCCAATGTCAATTTGAACATCCCTAAATTTCCATGTCGACTACGCTGGTATCATCTTGCCACAGTGCAGCGCCAGAGTGAGTAATAATCGCTTATGTCAGCCAATTATGCAGACTGATGATGGCTAAACGGCCTATTCTGGCGTTTGTTCATGTTCCCTCACCTTGTAGACACTCGGTCATAGCGACTCTTGGTTTTGGAACGCTGTAGACGACCTTTTACAAGCTGACGACGCTTGAATAGCGTTCAAGAACGACTCTGAATGCCACCCATACCTGGCCCTTCGTCCTCGAGCAATGATTCGAGCGACGCAAAGCCCTATATCATCGTTTCTGACATTGGAAGGGGGAGTTTCGCTACTGTGTACAAAGGATATCATGAGGTGTGTGCACTCTGTCGTGTAACGTATCGTAAATAACCTTTGTGCCCAGGAAACGCGGTTGCAGGTCGCCATCAAGGCTGTGAAACGGGACAACCTCAGCGCCAGGCTCTTGGACAACCTGCAAAGCGAGATTCAAATCCTAAAGAGCCTGTCCCATCGACACATAACGAAGCTGATTGACATTGTGGTACGCCAATTGATTGTGACTGACGTCCGTGACTGAGCCTTTTCCCAGCGCGCCGAGAAGAACATCTACCTTATCATGGAGTATTGCGCGGGAGGTGACTTGACGAACTATATCAAGAAACGAGGGCGGGTAGAAGGATTGGAATACATTCCTGCACCAGGAGAACCGCCACAATATTATCCACATCCACGGTCAGGGGGGTTGGACGAGATTGTACTGCGAAGTTTCCTCCGTCAATTAGGTACGTCGTAGCGCCCTAACCACCCGTGCCTGTGCTTATCCCTAGCTCAGCTCGCGCCCTCAAATTCTTGCGGCATCGAGACCTCATCCATCGTGATATCAAACCACAGAACCTGCTTCTGAACCCGGCACCTCCAGAAGAACTGGCAAGAGGGCATCCTCTGGGTGTCCCAATCCTCAAGGTCGCCGACTTTGGTTTCGCAAGATCCCTCCCAAACGCCATGATGGCAGAGACACTCTGCGGGTCGCCCCTGTACATGGCTCCGGAAATCCTTCGCTACGAAAAGTACGACGCCAAGGCCGACCTATGGTCCGTAGGAGCAGTCCTGTACGAAATCGCCACCGGGAGAGCACCCTTCCGAGCCCAGAACCACATCGAGCTATTGAAGAAGATCGAACAATCCAAAGGGCTCAAGTTTCCTGACGAAGACCCGAAGACGAGTGCAGAGGCGACCCCAGTTCCGGCAGACATCAAGAAGCTCATCCGAGCACTCTTGAAACGGAATCCGATCGAGAGGGCGAGTTTTGAAGAGTTCTTTAACAGCACTGCGCTCGCCAAATCAAAGTTTCCCCGACCTCGAGAGCCGGTTGCTGCCGCAAACGCAGAGGAAGACCACAATGGACGGCCCCCGACGCCCGATCATCACAAGGACATCCCCCCAGAAGTACTCGATCCGAACGCGCTGATCCCACCTAGCAAGTTCAATTGGAGGAGACCTACAAACGGCGACGGGACGGAACCTGCACCAAATGCGAAACCGTACGTATTTCATATCTGGCCGTGGAGCACTACTGACCCTCCTCTAGGGTCGAAAAGGCGCGACGAAACAAGGGGCTATCAACAGAAGGTTCGTTTATCCCAGGAGAGACGGAAGAGGATGGAATGCTGCGACGAGAGTATGTGCTCGTCGGAGACACCCGAGCTGTCGAATTCAACCGTGCCGTCGACGAGATCAACACCCTTCCCCGAAAGCCCTTACACGACCGCAAGATCCCTTCCACCCCAGAGGACAGCCCACGACAAGAATACCCTATACCAAATGTCACCAACCCTACAACTCCTCACAACATCACCTTTCCGCCTCCACCAAACGTCAACGCGCCTCCTTCATTATCGTCGTCACCATCGAGTAACGCATCGAGGGCGGCTGCAAGTGCCTTGAACAGGGCACTGTCATTAGCGACGAAGAAGCTCTTTGGAACTTCAAGACGCCAGCCGTCGATTTCGTCCCCTGTGCATGAAGTCTCTAGCAACACAAGTCCTCCCTCTTCGCCCAGACGGCCACAGATTATAGCACTGGACACAGCTGGCGAACGGGATCCACTGGAAGATGAGCTCTTGGCGAACCTGGAAGAACTGGCGCAGAAGACGGACGTGCTCACCCGCTGGGCGGACGAGATGTACGAATATGTGAAAGCTGTTCCCCAGAGTACGTTGCGCTGTTCATGATCGCCATTCTTCCACTCACTTCGTATGCAGAACCACTTCCAGATCCAACGAAGTTCGTCAAGCGCGAGGGGGAGGGGGAGAAACACGCACGAAGGCGGAAGCTGGCCGACATGGAGGCGGAATACAACGCCGTCACCTGTGTAGCGGTTTATATGCTGCTGATGTCGTTCTCGCAGAAGGGGATCGATAAGCTGAGGAACTTCCAGGAGCATATGAATATGCGGCATCCGGATGGGGATTTCGTGGTCAGCGAAGGCTTCGATGCTGGTGCGTCATTCGATCTACTCATGAAGGTTATTATGGAGAAGTGTGATGTTGACTATGCGATTTGGGTAGCTTTCTCGTGGTTCAAAGATCACTTCATCAAGTGTAATGACCGGGCGGAGCTCGTGAAGACATGGCTACCTGCTCAGTACGATGGACCTAAAGCTTGGCTGGATCAGCTAGTGTATGATCGTGCTTTGATGCTGGTGAGTAGCGTCGAGGCATTTCGTTATCTCCTGATCAGTTCTGACCTCTACACCAATAGAGTCGGACAGCTGCACGAAAGGAGTTGTTGGACCAGGCCGCAGCGCCAGACGAGTGTGAGAAGCTCTACGAGGAATCGTTATGGTGCCTGTACGCCCTTCAAGATGATCTCCTGCAGACAGGTAACCCGTTCATGGAGGAAGATAAGGAAACCATTGGGACATGTGCGTTATTTTCTTGCTTTTGTATAATCCCAGCTGATGATGGCGCAGGGATCAAGCGAACGAAGCTTCGCCTCGTTAGGTGCCGGGCGCGAATGGCCATGAACGACCGCGATCGAATAATCGATGCTCGAGCAGACCAGAACCTCGCCGACGTCGCTCGAATACCTGCTCCATGGGACGTTAAGCCATCGCCTTCATCCACCTCCTCTCCGACATCTGCCACCGTTCGATCGCCAACATCGCCTGTAAAATGATGCAACCAACTTTGCTATCGTTCTATTTCAAATATCTTTTCTCTCTCTTCTCCACGCTACTCATTCATCAACAATCTGAGTTGTACCATTAGATGTATCATTATTTTTTATGAAGGCCGGGGGCACCAGGTCCGCCCGTCCGCTTTGCACGCTTCTTCACGTTCAGTTTCACGTTCACGGCCAGCATCTGTTCATTGAACACTGTCTTCACTGCAATCGCTTATATATCTATCTATTCTTAATCCCTGTTTGTTTTCATCGGTTTCCTTGTTATTTTCTTGGAGGACATCCCAGTTATCTTATCGTCTTGACGCAGTTGCCTGGTACGCGATGTTATCCACTTTTTTCCGTCAACCATTCTCATTTTTCCATTCGGTGGGTTTTTACTATTTTTTCCCGAGGATGTATTTTAGTTGGTATTGTACGACCTTGTATCATAATGCATGATGCATATTTTTGGTGATTGAGATTGGACTGAAGGGTTTCAAAAATCAAAGGATTTGTTGAGGTCTTCGTGTAGGAGTTCCCGCATTCCTGGTGGTAGTTTGGGTTCGGATCCATTGGCGATGTACCCTTGGGCGAGTCAGTTAGCTATACACGGTCAAGAAAAAGGCAAGGGGCAAAGGATGGCTCACTGAAAGGCATTTCCACGGACTCTTTGCTGTTGAACCGGATGGTTGGGAAGTCCTGTCCAACGATGGATTGTCAGTGTCGGAAGAGATTTGCGATCGACTCACGACGTAGGGGATCTTGTCCAATGGGGTTTTATCGTCGACGACGAGCTTGGTCACACCGAGTGCGGTGTCTGTCGTCATTTGGACGGGTCCCAGATGACGGTTGGGGAACCCAAGAACACGCAACTCGCCAGTGCGATCCCGAGGCGGGTCATCACCTTAAAAACGCGGATGTCACAGATTAGATGTCGAGTCTTTGCCTCGAAACTTGGGGGTCAATTCAAACCTAGAATTCCCTGTTGTCAGGAACACGACGGTAATCAGAACCTGAAAGCCCGCGTAAATTCGTCAGAAATATACGTACACCGAACAGAAACCATTCAAACCTCCCATCTCCATCTTCCGGGGAGAGCTCCTTCTCAGCTTTAGGATCCAAGAGGCACACTTTCTCAATTGGCACACCAAAATCTTCCATAAGCTTCAAAATACCGTCTTTATGAAAAGAGGCTTTGGCCTTTTCAGACTCGGTGGATCCAGGCTGAGAGGCATCGCGATCGATGGAGGAGCGTAGGAAATCCCTCGATGCCTCCGATAAGCTCGTAAAGTGGACTTGGGCACTGGGACCTGCCAGCGTGCGCATGTGCTGTGGGTTTTAGGTTCGTAGTCAGAATGGGGTGGCTCCGCAGGCGGAGGGGATGTGTATGCGGACCGCATATTCCAATTCGACCCAGGTAGGAATTGCTTTAGAGGTCTCGTCGTCCTCTTCCATATGTTCTGGGGATCGTAGGACTCAATCAATGGAAGGTAGGGGATGTATTTTCGATATGCACCTATCACGTATGTGAATCCCATATTTGAGTTGCGGTGTGGAGGTGCAGTGGATTGATGATAGAAAACGAGGTGGAGGTGAAGCGCTAAGCTGGAAAAAAATGACGTCGACGCGATTCTGCACGCGAATTCTTGGCGCTCTCAGATTTCAAGGACAAACTTAGGGGCGATCGCGTCAACCCAGGCGCTTATCTACCCGTCAAAACTTGAACAAGGCGGTAATTGAATAAAGTGATAGAAAATGTTATCGAGGTATACGAGTTGGATGACAATGTAAGTAATATACCAGACATGTTTAACCAACCAATCCATCCCGAATGGCGTTGTAGATGTGCTCCTTCTTCTGCAGATCCTGTAACACGAAATTCAATCAGGTTGATTTCGACGGCGCTCGCATTAATGTGCTCACTTTGTCCCAGGGATAAGGGTTAATTGGCCCTGCGTCAATGAGGATCTGATACTGCGGTCCAAGTCAGTCTCTACACGATGTCACGATATCGAATGCCCTGTACCTTATCAGTCAAACTCGCAAGGTTAATCCCAACACACGCCTTCGAATCCTTACAAGCCCTGACAACATCACGGTACACCTGAGCATGCAAGGGCGCTGCCGGTGGATTCCAAGGCCTGTCCTCCTCGGTCCAAATCGAAGTACTCCCGAGAGTACCCTCGACGCCCAGCTCCTCCAACTGTCGAAACTTGGAAACCAAGTTGCTGTAAAAGTCACCCTCGGGTGGTATACTCGGCAGGGCGAAGAGGTCGAGCCAGAAGTTGACCCCGTCAATGGGTACGTTCTCGGCTTGCAAGCGCTTCACGAGATTTAGCATGGCTGGGAAGTCAGTGACGTTTCGTCCGGTGAATTCCTCGAGATAGGCGTTGCTGACCTGGCGTGAAAAGAAGATCAGAAGTCGACTTTGGACATGGGGTGCAGCCTTACATAGAGCTTGACGTTAGGGTCGGCTTTCCTCGCAGCTCGTAGAGCGATTTGGAGATAATCGGTCACGCCTACACCCCATTCCACTGAGAAGAAACGACCGAAAGTCACGTCTTTGGGCTTACATTCAATCGCTTGCAGAAAGAACGAATCACAACAAGGCGTACCTCGGGCGACATCCCAGTAATCTTCAGTGTTAAATGAGCACACCTGCCTCGCGCTTGGAACTGAAGAATCAAGCACTTACGACTAAACAAGTATTCATCATATATCAGCATAAATTGCATTGTTCTGGGGACAGAAAGAGGACTCACACTCTGCCCCTGTACCGCGAGACCACTGCGGTGACAAACTTCTCAAGGGCCACGCGGATGTCGTCAGGAGGGTATTTGTTGGGCAGTGGGTTGATGTAACCCGGGGCTCTGTAATGGCGGACGGCGTCCACAAGGGTACCACCAGCAACGAGTTGCCCGTTCCTCTCAGCAAAGGCGATAAGTCGGTCAGCGACGCTAAAATCGTATTGACCAGGCTGCCGTTCAATCGAACCCTAATAAAATTTGCCCGTAATTTTAGCCCATGTTCTTACATTGCCAGAGTCGAGAAAGAGGGCACTTACCCATACAAATTGTTCGAGCTATTGAAATATGCTTGAGTGACGACATGAATAGAGCACCGCAGACGACTTACCGAGGTAACAAGGTTGAAATCACTGGTGTTGGAAAGCAATTCTGCATAGGGCTCGTCGTTCAGCTGATCCACCGTGGTCGATGCTCCGAAGAACCTCAGACCCGCAGCTTTGGCGGCATCGGCGAGTCCACCAGCAGCCCTGGTCTGAACAACACTGGCATTCGAAGCGACGGGGCTTGCGAAGACGATGGTGGTTGGCAGTAAAAGGGCCACCTGGATCGCTCTGATGAATGAGGGAGAGAACATCCTAGGCTTGTCGAGTAAAAGAGACTCGAACGCGACCTAGCTGAAGCATTCCAATCCGATGTCCACCTCTTTTATAGATGCGAGGCGCTGCCACCGGGTAATTGGATCGCCAAACTACAATCGATGCTGAGACATTAGTGCATTTCGACTAGGTCATGGCTGAAGCTGACGAAGACAAACTTCTTCGATATGAGGCACGGTCGGGGCAGAAGGAAAGAGGCCCTTGCGTTGTACAACTTGTGGATGCCGCCGAGAGCAAGAATGGTGTGGCTTTGTCCCTAGCATGGTGCTGGGTTTCCCAGAACTATGCTTACCGCTGGGAGTCCGAGAACGCCAGTGGGCGCTAACCTCAGTTGGATGCAGTGCCAACGCGAATCTTTGCCACTAATGGAATATCCGTGCCCACGTCCATTGGAATCGAAGTCCAATTGACCCGAGAGATGATCTCATGCCTTCATCTGACCACGTTCTGGAGGAGCTGCTGGACACTGAATGCGGGCTCAGCGCCCAGAACTCATGGCTTCACATGGGTCAGTTTAGATGATAAAGGAGTCACTAGAGAGTCACTTTGGACACTGATATTGAATCTTGAATGTCGACACATCACTGATCAGCCAACGAGACTGGCGAGCATGACCTATCCAGCAATGTCAACTCACTAGTGCGATACAACGGCAGACACTCACTTTTCAATTTCTGGACGAAACAGACCTCAGGTTCCCTTAGCACCGGCTTGAGACCGTCGTCTATTATTGCTCAGGGACACCACCCCAAGAAAAGGGTTGTACACAAATAAGGATAGTCCATAGTCCGCTTCGAATTCGCTTCTGATTCCCTATTCCCTCTTTCGGCGTTTGAACGTTCACGGTCAATGTCATGTCTCGAAATGTCTTCCTCGTTTAGGGTCTGCTTTCCTCTTCTCAGCCGCCTTTTTCAACTTCCTCTCTGGCCTGACGACAATGACTGGGACAGGGGAGTGTGATAGGCAGTACCTGATGATGGACACGTTAGTCTGGATCACAAGAAAGGGACGAGAATTTACGGACTTGCTGATACTGCCAATACCTCCGAACCCGACGCTCATTATGCCCCGCTTGCCGCGAGTACCGACGACCAAAGAATCGGGACGATACAATGCAATCAGACGATCGATTGAGTCCGTGATCTTTCCAGGGATATACTCCAGGATTAAGGATAGCTAGAATCCAACGTCAGTAGACTTTCTTTGTAGGGAGAGCGACAAGGACGGACTTTGCGGTCGGGGTCGGCTTCAGCACTCTTCTCCTTCACAGATCGCATGAGTTGTCTCGCCTCCTCCCTCAGGATGTTATGGTCCTTTTCTAATGAGAGTATCAGCGACGTTGTCCCACCCAGAAAGATAAGGTTAGACCCACCCATGACTTCCTCATCAACGCCTCTGAACACAATCAGCTCATCCCCATCCTGAACCAAGCTTTCCAACGCCCAATCCAAAGCCTTCTGGCCTGATTCGTCGGGGCCAGCCGCACAGAGATAAACCCGGGTGGTTCTTGTCCTCTTGTACCCCGACGACTTTGTTTGTAAAGTGAAAGAGAACATCGAGGCCTGAGGGTTCTCAAACGTATCAAAGCTAACTTTAGGGGTGTATGGGGTGGGTCCAATCGTCGTCCCGGTTGGTAGTGGAGAAGGACATGTCGAAGACGTCGGAGTCAGGAGGTTAGGAGCGTGAAGGGTGTTATCGCCCAGCTGGGGTGGCACGCCACCTGCTTGGCTTTCGGTAGGGGTCAACGGTGGCAACGTTGCATTGGGCGTTCTCAACGGAGTTGGTGGTAATGAGATGGGTGCCGGTGCATTCGGACTGGGTGGTAGAGGAACTTGAGACAAAAGAGAAGGCGAGTGAGCCCTGGGTTGGAAACTATCTTCGACGCTTAGACTGTTGCGCGGCGACGTCGAGAGCGTCTGCTGGGTTTCTGCTGGCAGCGATTGGTACGATCGAGCAGGCGAGCCTGCTCGCGATGAGTCACGGTCGCGGTTCTTGAGGGCGCTGCGCAGAGGGACTTGGTTGTGGTGCGGTGGTTCAGGGAGGGCCATTGAGTACTGTAGTTGTCGTGAGGGTCGTGAAAAGGTTGGTCGTCGTCGTGGTCGTCGTCGCTTTATGAGCCTCAGCCCCTCGCAGACGGTCCCAACGGATCTCCACGGCCGTGAGATTATCTTTCGCGGCAGTGCAGCGCACAGCCACCGGGCGCCTTTCGGTCGTCGGTGCTGCCTGTACCGCAAGGATGGACATTGGACAAGGCACCGGCATGTTTTCTAGGCCAGCCTTGCATTCGGGACAAGAGACAGAGCCTTCAATTCTCAAGAACTGACCATGGGCCCGTAATACAGCCTCATCACGCTGATCTTTCTCCTTCCGCACACGCTCCTGGACGCAACCTGGACGTTCAATTTATGTGCCCATTCCGTCCTCGAAAACGGGAGTAGACTTAAACGCAGGCCGCTCACGTCATCATCATTATACTATTGTTGCATTCAGGCCTTTACTAGCACACGGAAGCAGGCTTCTAGACGGTAAACAAGGTTGGGAGTGGTGGCGCCTGATCTTCGTAAGGCACAGCGCGTGCCAATGTATCAATTCCCTCTCAAATCTGGACGGATATTGACGGATATTTCTGGAAGCAGATTGTCGAGTGCGCAATCACCCTTCCTCGGCGTCATTACTTTATGCTTTCTTTCCCGAAACAGAACAGCCTTTTTGACCAAAGAGCAAACTGCTTCGAAGTCTATGCTTCCGATTCAATAGATGTCAGGACGAAATCAATTATCGCATATCGTTCAGTCTCAGAAGACAGAAGTTCTCATGTTCGCGCCCTGCCTTCTCATCCAAGGATGGCCTTAGCGCAACGTCAGCCTTGCTCAGGTCGCAACTCACCCAAGTCCATTAAACCTTTCTGCCCCAACCCATCCATGCCTTATTTTCTACGAATCCCTCGCACCCGTCACAGTGTAAGCCCTGATTCCCATCCTGGAGGTCGTTTCATGATCACACGAGCGCTGAAAGTTTGGGCGCTTGTTTTGAGTTTCGCCGGGACGAACCTGATGCCGGATCAGAGATTACCAATCCATCACACGTGGTGTTGCGGGGCAATGCAGCGCAGCCAATATTGGGGCGAAGGACCCTGTCAGTGACGCTCATTCCTTTCCCGATTTCTTGTATCATGAACCAGGCTGGAAATGGGCATGGACACCGACGACACCCCAAGCGACCAGCGTCGATAGCAGAGTTGGCTGACAAGGCACTCGAGCACGGCTGGGACGACGGCAGAGATCTCAAGCACTACCTTAGAATGGCAGAGAAGTACCGAAAGGAAGGAAAGGACTTTGCCAAACAGGGCGACCTCGAGAGTGCTTTTGTCTTGCTGGCAAAGGCCGCCACCCTCGTGCTCGAGAAATTACCGACACACCGGGACTATCAAACGTTGCTGAACCCAGCCCAGCGGAATAATTTGGCGCTGGTATGTCATTAAATGTCATATCGTCTGATTAACTGGCTTTTGATTGCGTTAGAATGGTCAAGATATCTTGGATCACCTCAGTGAACTCAAACCAATTCTGGTGGATCGATTTGACAAGTGGTTGAAGGCGCATCCGGATGGCCTTGACCACGATCAGACGCCTGAACCACCGAAGAGTGCTGCACTACAGCAGGATGATGCCAGAGCGCAGGCACAGGCACAGGCACAGGCACAGGCGAATGCTGCACGGTTTCAGGAGGAAGAGAGGATGCGGGCGAGTCAGAGGGACCAACAGCGTCGCGTGCAAGAGGAAGCTGCTCTGTGGCGCCAACAACGGGAAGAGATAATTCGTCGGGGCGACGCTGAGACGAAGGAGCGGCAGAAGGCTGCCGCAGTAGCTGCTGCTCGCCAAGCTGCGAATCCCGGATCATACGGTTCACAGCATACTGCAGTTGTGCACATACCACCTCCCCCTGCGGCTGTCAGGCATCAGCAGCAGCAAGACGAGTTCCGCAGACGTGAAGAAGAGATCAATCGTCGGAAACGAAGGCAGGAACAAGATGCCATTGCTCAACGTCAGCAGGCTGCCGACGACGCAGCCAGAGCGATGCGCCAAACCATTCCAACTGCCGTTACACCTGCCGGGGTCCCAGTCGCGCCTCTCTATCCCCAGACAACGCCAACGCCGAACTCTGCTCGTTCATACCAAAACTACCCTGTCTCACATCCTTCCTCTGTCGTACCCCCTGCCCCTTACTCGGCACCCGCATACTCGACAACCCCATCGCATTCAGAAGGGCCATCTATCATGCCTCTCGAGAACCCCCTTCGATACGAAGGCGACTCAACAGATTCCGAATCCGTCCATCACGACTTCCATCGACGGATTAGCAAACAACGGCACCATACTGCCTCCCCTCGTGCCCCAGTGCCAAAGTAAGCCTCCCTTTTGCCTCAGAAAGAATGGTCTCACTGACGGATCTTCCTCAGCTCTGCCGCCATTCCCCCCATCACTACCACTTCACCTCCACCTCAGCTCAGAATCGACTATCCTCGTCTCATGTCGCCTCATCAGCAGAAACAGGGTTATTACCCGTCCCTCAACTCAATGTTTATGCCAGAGCCATCTAATAACGCAACACCCTCGTTACTGTTTGATTCCAATGGCCTATACCCACAGAACATGTTACCTTCACATGCACAACCCTACAACCAATCACGTCCGCCGTTGCCGCCACCTCCACCGAACCAGAATCAATACCCCAACTATCCTGGGCCAACAAGACCACCCCCTCCCGTTCCTACAGCCCCGCCAACCGCAACGCAACCTCAGCCCTCAGAACCAGATCGCATTTCCCGCGAACGGTCGCGAGAGCCTGGATCCGGTCGACCTCCGCTCAAGCAGGTCAACTTCCCTCGCGAGTGTCTGCCACGCTTTTTGGCGATTGCTAAAGCCAATACTATGAATAACAAGGAGACTTGTGGACTACTCCTTGGGAAGGACAAAGGTCACAAGTATGTTGTTACGACGCTGTTGATCCCGAAGCAGCATTCGACGAGCGACACTTGCACGATGGACGAGGAGCAGTTGGTTCTCGAGTTTACGGAAGAGAGGAGCTTGATTACGCTTGGATGGGTACGTTTCTCTCCGCTCCATGAATCTATACCGATGGCTGACTCGCGTATGTTCGCTGCAGATACACACTCATCCTTCGCAGTCATGCTTCATGTCCTCCGTCGACCTTCACACCCATTCGGGTTTCCAACGCATGTTGCCTGAATCCTTCGCTGTTGTTTGCGCACCTAATTCTCGGCCAAAGTGCGTCACCCCCTCTGTTTGATCATACCGTCGACTGACAGTGACTACTAGCTTTGGTATCTTCCGGTTGACTGATCCACCTGGCTTGGACGTTGTGCTGAATTGCACAGCGAAAGAGGCCTTCCATCCTCATCCAGACCTTCCGATCTACACTGTAAGTAGTCAAACCTACTCGCTGTGAATTCGAGGGTTGACTTACATCGGCGACTAGGATGCGGACAAGGGACACGTTCAAATGAAAGACGGCCCACTCGAGATTGTGGATCTCCGTTGATGATTTGCCTGGCAACACAAATCACACGCCATATTACTTCACCGATGCACGCAACACACAAACCCTTACTCAACGAATCAACCCTATATATCATGACTGCCATCGACATCATGCCCCCCATTCTACACGATCTTTCAATGAATTATCCACAACCCATTTGTACTGCATTCTAGCACATCTCGAGCTTGTTCAGCATCCAGCCATCAATATTCCTTGTAAGAGTAACTTTCTTTGATTTTGTATTTATATGCAAGCATTTGGGCGAATTGATCATGTTGCATGTTATTCATCAGCGGTAACGCGTATTAGTAGGAGCTGCCAGTCGGATCCGGGTGGCAGCCAGTCCGTTTTATATGTTTCCCCACCGCTGTTCCTCTCCATAGACTAGGTCAAATTGGACTGCACTGACACCTGTCGATGCCTTCAATTCCTCCTCTACATCGATAGTCTCCTCACAGACGAATGTGACCTCCACCATCTCCAGCGAGGCCAGGCCGTGCTCTGAACTAGACGCGCCCACCCGGTACTTGACAAACTCGAGCAGATCCTCGGGTCCAAACTCGCCATACTTCCACTGCTCGCAAGCGAAATGTCGCAACTTTGTAAACAAAGCTGGACGATCCGGTCCAGGATTGAACTTTTCGAGAACGCTATCCCAAAAGATGGCGTAGGGAAATGGCCCTCCCATGTCCCGATACACCACATCGGCAGCCTGCATGACCAGGGAAGAGACACCCATCCCCGGACCGCCGAGGATATTGAGCACTGCGGCCAAGTCCTCTGGGGACAGGAAGTTGTACTCGAAAAGGACGTTGGCCAACTTGGTGAGGTTGCCTTGGTTGGCTTTCAGGAAGGCCAAAAGGGAACTAGGGCCTTCTATCGGGTCGCAAGAGGTCTCGAACTTCAATGATGCTAGCGAGGGCGTCTGCATGGCCTCCATGTACCAGTGGAGGTGGGGAGGATAGCCCATGCCCCCAGCTGTTTCGGTGATGGAGAGGTGCTGCAGGTTGGGGAAAGCGATTTTGGGAATATGCGCTGGGAGGGGATCTTGGCTTGGCTCTGGAGGTCTCATGGAAACGTCGAGAAAGCGCAGAGTCGAAGCGCAGAGGACGAGGACGGAGAATATCTCCGAGGCTCCATATGGATCCCATCCATTGAAGTAAAGCTCGGTCAGTCCTCTCCATCCATTGGCCAAGGGAAGAGCTCGGAGGCCGCCCACAAAATCCTGTCGAGATGGATGATGGATGTATAGAGACGAGAGTGCAGGCGCAGCCACGAAGCCGCTCTGGCAAACCCGCTCTTTCTTGTCCTTGATAAGCTCTTCCATCGCTGGATACATCCTGCTGCCTAGACTTGAAAGCGAGTGCCATTCGAAACGCCGGAGCGACTCAAGGTGAGACGCGGGGATGGCGAACAAGCGGGAATGGTAGGGCTGGTGCACGTCTCGCATGCATACCGATTCCCAACATCAGGAAAAGACAATCGCCGTGGCAGCCGTGGCCCCACACCCTCCACACCCCTCCACACCCTCACACCATGGTGTGGGACTATACGGGGGTACGAAACCCCACATCTCGATTGTGGCGACACAACAACGTTGTGCGGCCATAATCCATGGCCATCCACAGCAGACAACACCTTTCAACGACGGCCCACAATCTTCATTTCATGGTAGACATCCGCAGTTGTAGGGAAACAAGCAAATATATTCAATATTCAGTGTATGATACATGAGAGTCTATGCAAACACGCTACTACGGGCTGGAATAATAAATCGGGGGCCAGAAAACTTACCTGGAAGACAGGTTCTACAAATCGGCAGTCAATCCAGCCCTCTGCAGGTTCGACGGTTCCTGGAAGGAACTTGGTGACATCTCAGAACCGTTTGGAATAGAAAAAAGTGTTTAGGGATGTACCCTGTGCTACGACCTCCAAAGAACATACACACCGGGGAAATCAGGAGATGAGCCTCTACGCAAGGATCAGGATATCAGTATCAATAGGGAGCAGCGGAACACGCACCTTTCGCTGAATCTTGATTTACCGGAGCTTCAGGCTGCTATCTGTAGATATGACGGTAAGTCGATCATTTTTTGGGCACCAAATGAAAGACAATGACTTACCACATGTACTCCTGTCGCATACTCCAGAGACGCTGTGCTAAGACGTGGCTTAGAAGCGCAAGCACACGTACATAGAGAATCGAATAGGATAAAGGATGGGTGGTGGTGGTGGTGGTGGTGGTGGTGGTGGTGGTCAAGTTGAAGGAACGTCACGGTCGACAAATTTCAAATACGAGGAATCAACTTAGTCATGTGACCGCGTCAAACATCCGCAAATTGAGATCCGCGCGTGGAATCTACTAAGTCGCGAGCATCGCAGTGGTCTATCCCTCTAAGAGGTCCTGTATTCCAAGTGTTTCATTCTCAAGCTTCTGGGGTACTATTTCGTCAAATATGCATGTTACAGCTCTAAACAAAAATAGTACGTTGTGGCAGGATGTGGATTGTGTATGGTGTGAAGGGGTGTGGAGGGTGTGGACTGATGTGGAGGCTGATCAGCCACAGGCGCCACGGCCTCCACACCCGCCACGGCGATTGTCTTTTCCTGATGAATGCTGCGTGAACCGCGCCGAGCATACACGGTCGAGGACCTCCATCATAAGTCGGAAAATGAGGTTTCGGATGTAGAAAGAGATGTTATCCAGTCCTTGATTCGTAAGCTTGAAGGTCACTGACACCCTGCTGTTTCCAGCGTGGGTCAGCCAGCGCTCGACCGCAGCGCCTCGTTGCACCAGATAGTTCTCGTATTTGGATATCGCTGGACCGTCTCTGAATTGGTTGGGGTTGACATTGACTGGCAGGTCGATATGGATGGTGGACCAGAGTTGAGGAGTAGTTTGAGCTATTGCCCGCCACTCTCGAGAAACTGTGGTGAGAAGACATGGGTAAGTAGATGGCAAGATCGAGATTTGGTGTTTTGGTGGAAGCGCTTCCTCAAAGATCAGGGCTAGCGTTTCGGGGGCGAGGCGGTCTATAAAGGCGTCTGCGCGAACTTCTGCTGAAGGCATCGTGGTTGGCGGTCGTTGCTGGCTCGAAGGTTTGAGGCTTTATGTATTCGTGGTTGCACCCTGGAATTGAGTTGATAATAATCAAGCAAGTCCTTACAAGTCGCTCTTGGCCATCTCGTGGTTTGCCATGGGCGCCGTATTGCACTTGCTTCCGTATCACTGCAATCCAGGTGATTTCACCCCCGTCCCACTATGTTCTACCAAGATGGAGCATATTACTCATAATGGACACACGAATTACGATGCGAGGTCCCCAAAACGTATGTACGGCACTAGACACAGCAAGCGCCTCTCGGCCACCACCGCACCAACCCCCCGGCCATCAGGGCCATTGTGGTGCTTTCACGCTTTCTTGGTTGCAGTCCAAAAGGCCGAGTGATAAGTATAAGCCAGCATCGACTCCGCATTGTTCGTATAGGTCGAATCTATCGTTCGTTCGTTCTACAGACGGGTTGTCAACCAATCGCCCTACGCACAAGCAATGCTCTCACCGAGATTTCAAATCCGATAGCGCGAGCTAGATTCTTGAACTCTTCAAGATCCAGTTCAATTGAAGGTTCGTTATTGTTGTTGTTCTCGAAATGCCACAGGAGAGGCCCTGGAAAGGATTAACCAGGATCAGCTCAGGTTGGCTCGACGAAGGCCGTGTCACCCTGGTGGCCGCCTTGAGCCAGATGATCACATACCCAAGTTGATCCAAACCCCGCCTGGTGCCAGAATCTTGTGAATAATTCTCAAGTAATTGACGATGTTCTTCGCCTAAAAATGTCCCTTAGAAGCAAAGTTTAAAACGCCGGAGAGAAGAGTACGGACCGTATCCATGAAGAAGCAAGTTAGGATGGCGTCCCACTGGCCTGATTGCGGCTCGTCAGGATCACTTTCAACTCCGTATATCTCTTCGAAATCGCCTAGGGGAGATAGTCCGTGAGCATATGCGCGGTGATAAATGATGAGTGGACGTGGTTTAGCCTCACCAGCAACAAGGGAGAAATTCGATGTAGGGGGTAGGTCGGAGGGAAGGACATCTGGGATAGTGATTGGGCGAAGGATGGAGTTGCGGTTCGGCGCGTTGGAAAAGGAGTGCACGTAGGGATATAGCTTGTGCATTCCTATTTGATCGGTCCTGCAAGGTGATGAGAATGGCTCAACATAGATCAGAGGTAGAAGCATAATTACCGGTTGAGGATAAAGAATGAGGACAGCAGCATGTAGTGGGAGAATTCGTTGCCTTGGCACGAGAAGCCTAACGCAAAGGTTGGAAGAAATAACAGAGACAATTAGGGAAGTGCATACCCAGGTGGGCAACGTCCCATGCTAGGCGCCCGAGTCCAGCACCAGGGACAAGGACACGAAGTTTCCCCCTTTCTTCCGGAGTCTTCGCAGTCGAGAAGTACTCAATCAATGCGTCTGTCATGGGTTTATAACAGAGGTCTCGTTCCACCTTCCCCTAGACAATGGTCTTCGATGAGCTCAATTTCAATGAAAGTTGTTTCCAAACCAACCTCTTCACTCCAGTCTCGGACAAACTGCTTCAGAGTGCTCCTCAACTTGTCCATATCAAAGTCTGTTGGTCGGAACTTCTTTCGACGCCCGGGGGGACCATGACTGTGTCCATGATCATGGCTATGGCCGTGGTCGTGCGAGTGCCCGTGGTCGTGACTGTGGCCAGGCGAATGCGAATGTGAATGGCGTTGCGGAGGACCCGGTGAAGAACCTCCCTCAGCATCGTCTCCGTCCTCTTCGTCGTCTAGATCATGCCCAAATATCTCTGGATTCGCCACGATTTTGGCAAGAAAATCGGCATTGGCAAGAATCGCTTCGTCCACTTCATCTAGTTTCTTCTTGTAGCCCAGAGTGTCCAGAAGTTCCTGGTCTTCGCGAGGAATCGTGTAGATGTCCCTGCGGCGACGGTTGTTCGCCGCTAACTGACGCCTTTGATTCAATTGCCCGCCTAAAAAGTTAGACGGCGTCAACCTACAGAATATTGGGCATAGTTATTGAACGTTGTAAGGACATTTTGGAAATGTATTCTCTCTGGACAAAAGGGTTAGTCTTGAACGAATCAGGGATTTAGAGAGCTCGTAAATTATTATACCTTCCTCGGCGTCTTCTGGCCTTGGTGCCATCGCGAACAGGCTCTGGTCGACGTCGATGACGGTGAGGAACGCGATAAGATTGAGGGTCGCGGTTCGAAGACCTTATTTGACCTTGTTTTAGTTGAAAGGGACTGACCAGCACAAGCAAGCAAGCCCGCATCATCGTCGCCGGCGTTCTCGAGGCTCCCAACCAACGCGTACCCCGCCGCCGTCGTCCAGCATATCTCCAGGTCGTCCAAAATGGTGAGCTAACCGCCTCTGAATAGTGAATTAATGATACTCACAATGACAACGCCAGGCTCGCAATGAGGAAAAGGCACAGTCTATGCTTTACCGATTCCGCGAAGCCCAAGCGGCGGAATTGGGCTTAGGCACTCGTGCAGACCGCCGACCTAGAGTGGCCAGCACATGTAAAAGCTTGCGAGAATGTGAGCGGTGGCGAGGAGAAATTCTGAGGGAGATCAGTAGAAAGGTTTCCAAAATCCAAGATGGTGAGTGAATCCAAACATGCTTTAGGATCACCTTGGCTGATAGGTTCTGTAGCTGGTTTAACCGACTATGAGGTTCGAGACCTCAACGACGAGATTAACAAACTTCTGCGCGAGAAGAGACATTGGGAGAACCAGATCATCGCACTGGGAGGTGCCAATTACCGCAGGAATGTCGCCATGTTGGATGAAGACGGCAAAGAGGTACCGGGGACCAAAGGCTACAAGTAAGTAAAGCCTTTCCAACTTCAACGGTTGTAGACACTTAATCTTGGCCACCAGATATTTCGGACGCGCAAAGGACCTTCCTGGCGTGCGCGAATTGTTCCAGAGCCGGAAGACCGAAGAAGAGGAAGAGAATCGAGTATTCGCCCACTACAAGCGTTTCTTGAACCAAGGGCCAGCTTATTACGGAGATTTGGATGAATCAAACCCCAAATTACTGGAATACGAACAGACTGCCGAGGAAGAAGGTGAGCAACGCCCAGCGGATTCCTTAGCAATCACTGACATCATGTTAGATTGGGAGGAAGCATGTCTGAACGTATATGGCGCCCTTGGTTTACCTGCTGAAGATATCCCCAAACTTCCACGGCCAGAGGCAACCGCGGAGCATCCGGAATCTACATCTTCCAGCGCTGCTTCGAAACGGAAAGCAGATTCCCAAGATTCAGAGGACGCGGAGATGGACGACGCCTCAAAACGGACAAAAACCGAAAATGCACCGCCGTCTGGAACCTCCTCGACTGCCTCCGACAACGATGTCGCTCGGGCCCATGCCCAAGCAGCCGCCTCCTATATCCCTTTCCTCCAGCCCGAAAACCTTCTCCCTCCCAAATTACCTTCGAGAGAGGAAATGGAGAAGGTGCTGCTGGATCTACGGAAGAAGGCCCTGGTGGAAGAATACTTTGGAAACGAAGCCAATGGCTCATGACTCGTCTCCTAATCTTCGTGACCATGCGTTCTTCACCCTGTACGATATAACTCTTTTCATCTGTTGTACTTTGCAATTAACCATCTTCTCCTGGCTCAAGATTTGCTATTACCCGGTTATCGTAAATCCACGCCGTCTCATGCGAGGCCTGCGCTTCTAGTGTCTTATGTGACCGAGGAGCTTGATAGATTCGATCCACTGGAAAGACCACGATCCCCCGCACTTCCGCCCAGTCGTGTATTCAGCAAGTACAGCTACATCTTCTCCGTCTGCCTCGCTCCGGCTAGGACGCTTCCCTCGCTTTGCTTCTTCATAGCAGCGAACGCATTACCAAACGGCCACCGTCTCCATCGGTCGAGAGGTTGTCTCCTCTCGATATGGATTGATATCCTGCAGCGTGTCTCCCTAGATCCATTGCAATAACACACTAGAACCTTGGAAGCCACATTTTCGACCCAACTAATGTAGGACAGAGTGTAATATCGCGGCGGCCGACCCGGTGAACGACTCGGTTGCTTGACTTCGAGTTGGTGAATTCGATTCAGTTTACAGTTGTGAGGTTGCATACATTCTCGGTGGGGGTATTGCTCGTCGTGTAGACGAGTCGCTGACAGGTATCCTGCAGGTGTCGTAGCCAGATTGAGTAGTATTCTCCAGAAATAATCGTCGCGTTTCTTGGGGTGAAAAGGCCGGTCCTACAAATGGGACTGAACCCCGGAACCCTGGTCAAACCATGAACAACTTGAAGTTTGGGAGGTGTGTCGCCCTTCTAAACTCGCCATGTCCGGCAACCAACGAGGACCTCAGATCCCCGGTCCATAGGCTGCAACATAGTTCTCTTCGTCCTTGCCGTTGACTACTGCATCCCAGTCTGAGGTACTGCATTCACTTCCTGTTTTGACTCCAATGAGGCGTCCTGGAAATACCGGGTCAAGAGTAGATGATGGGTCACTTTGTACGTGATGAACGATTTGGCTGGAAACAACTGCTTCGCCATTTATTCCCAATTGTTCTTCACTGAGGCACCGATTCTAAACCGTTCCGCGTTACACGCAGTCGCCACAGGTACGTTGCATACGATTAATTCAACACTATCACTTGTTGATACTCAGAATAGGGATCCGTGTGCACCTGTAACAACCCCCCGGATGGCAGTTCGAGTCAGAGCCGGAGACATCCAGACATCCCCTCGGAAGCATCCACATACTCTCCCACATACCAATGGCATCTCGAGCTAGTTCAAGCTTACTGGAGGAGCGGGGTGGAAAAAGATAAAAGCCCATGCAGCGATGTGCTTTCGCTAGCAGTTCTTTCCTCCTTCAGTAACGCTTCCCTTCTCTGAACCACCCATCTCAGTATACTTATCTTAACCGAAACCATCATGGGTCGCGATATAAGTGACACGGAAATGTCTCCTCTCATTCGCCGTAACTGCCAGCCGCCCAAGTTTCCCTTGGGGTTGGTACCAGAAACTGTACAGCCTTATCTCGAGCTAATCCGACTGGAAAAGGTGGGTCTTTCATGCTTGCCAGGAGATAAACAGACGATGACCGTACTTTTCAGCCTACAGGCATCATCTTGATGTTTTGGCCCTTCGGTGGGTCTTGACACCATTCTCTCCTTGCGACGAGGAACTCATATTCGACGCTGTAGCCTGGGGTTTAACCATGGCAGCTTACCGCACTCACATTCCCCTCCCCGCCTATGGAGCATGTCTTTTCAAGTCACTTTTAGGAGCCTTCATAATCCGGTGCTCTGCTTGCACTGTAAACGATATCTTTGACCGTAAGATGGATGCCGGGGTTGGTGAGTGAGACGTTTGACTTACGGAAATAGAGTTTCAATTTTAGGCTTTGCATCGACGCTTAAAGAGCGTACTCGCAATCGCCCGCTGGCCAGCGGCCGGATTTCCGTCACATCAGCCACCTTTTACCTCTTCCTACAATACGCAGTTGGAGTCATTTTCTTTGTCTCTACAGTTCATGGAATAGCGTGAGTTTATTTGCATTCCTGCATCATCAAACGCGCTTCTTACTCCCGCCCGGGTACTCCGTAATTATAGGCTTTACGTCGCCCTGTTTCAGCTCTTGCCTCTGTATGCTTGATCTGTTCCGCCTTCAATTTCCCGCCGATTGATCTTTCCTGTCCAGGTTCGGCATTTACCCCCTGCTCAAGCGTGTCACGCATTGGCCACAGGCATGGTTAGGCTTTTCCATGAACTTTGGCTTCGTTACCGCCTGGATAGCTACGACAGGTTCCGTTGAGGTCGAGTTGCTAGCGGCTGCAATGGCCGGGTGCTGGTGGTGAGTTTAAGTATATCGCTTCTAATCCGCTTTCATTTCTTCGCTGAACCTCGTAAACAGCTGGACCATGCTTTACGGTACGGCTTCCGTCGCTCCGCAAACGTCTACTGCCCGTGGCTGACGCATCTTGATAGATACCGTCTACGCCTGTCAGGACATCAAAGACGACGTAAAGATGGGCGTTCGATCGACCGCAATCTTATTTGGCTCTTGGATCCGGCCACTATTGGTTGGGTGCGGCCTCGGTTTCGTGGTCATGCTGGCTATAGCCGGCCACGTTAACCAGCAAGGGCCCGTTTATTTCGTGATCTCTGTTGGGGGAACCTTGGTCCATCTCGTTTGGCAGTACAATACGGTGGATCTCGGTGTACCTAAGAGTTGCTGGGGTTAGTGGTCCGATTACTTCTCAGGCTCTCATGGTCGCTGACTAGAAGTGTCTTCTAGCCAACTTTAACCGCAACGGGCAACTCGGTTGGATAGTCTGGGTAGGCGTCATGCTCGACTATCTAACTACCGTTGGAGTGGTTCGGTTTTAAGTCGACGTGCTAGCTGGCCCACCTCTCCGCTTCCATCTGGCTCGGATTCTAATTATCCAGGCGTGGGGGCTTGGCACTGACGAGGTTATTTATCTGCATGATGTAGACATCGAGTGATGGCAACCAAATTCTACGCGTTTTCAAGGCTAGCTTGCTTGAAAGTACCAGTTCTCAGTTGGCTATATGCCCATTCACCTGAGCTTCCGTTTAAGGCTGTTTTTCCAGCTTTGAGTTTGTTCACATCGAAACCCGGGCAGCTGAGAAGGCGTCACGATCCATGGGTGTCCTTTCCAAATGGCTACCAAAAGGGAGGGTGTCACGGACGAGCCTGACGATATGATGTTGTGCGTGTCGCGGAAAGCCGGATCGCACTCCTGTCCGCTGCATCCATCGATTATCACCCCGAGTTTCGACTGTCTTCCAGAAGAAAAAGGTTAAAATAACAGCAAAATGGACACTGTGGGAATTGAACCCACGACCTCACGCAATATTCGATCTCGAGGATGCGAAGCGAGCGCGCTACCAACTGTGCCAAGTGCCCGTTGATGCTGTTGGATAAACGCTCAACAGCGAGGTGTGCATGCAGCGACGCAGTAGGACGAAGCCCTCTTTTGGGCCCTGGCGTTATTGAGGAGGGATTATGGGCTAGGAGGAGTCTATACAGCTAAAGGAAACATGCCTCCTGGACGGGGGGCTAGATATTGCGGGTCTGCCCTGGAGGATTTAATCATCGACCGGCCTCTGGACTGGTTTTGAACACAGTAAGCGTCCGTCCCGTAGGTACTATTAGGGTCATTCAAAGACCCACAACTCACTGTGACCTCCATTCTTCACATTCCAGCCAGCCTTCCTTTGAAGGGGATAATTGTGGCTCCAACGTGGAATTCCGATGAATTCATGGTGGGGGGTCGGCGGGCGGCGACTGCATCCCTTGCCTCCCTTTCACAACTCCTGAATTGATTTCATCCTCGTTCCGTAGAGCAAAGATGCGTGCACTACTGACAAGAATTGGATTATCATGCAGCGGTTTACGTTGCGCCCGGGAACTGGACGCCATGCACCTTCGGGAGATGGTGGCCCTGGCCCCTGAATGCACGCTGCCGCGCCTTGCCAACAGACACCGTAGCCAAGTGGTTACGGCGACAGATTAGAATACCCTTCTAGCCATCTGTTTCACTTTGTGAGCACAGGTTCGAATCCTGTCGGTGTCGAAACGTTCTTTTTAACCTCGAAAACGAAGGGAGCAAGTGAGGAAAAGGTACCACCAGGAGGAGAAGCAATTTTTTCAAGTCGAAAGTCACTCCGAAGCAGTTGCCCCAGCTCCATTGGACTCGTGCGCCGCGTTCTTCTATGATGTGATTACATTCACTATTAAAAAGAGAGCCGTAAACACTATGTTCTCTCGGGAGAAAAGCGCCCGAGGCCCACAGCTTTGACGAAGGACGGAGGAGAATGGTAGAGTAGAGGTCGCTCCAGCGGTACCCCTGCACCAGGGGCCATCAGTGGGAACACACACGGATCGCCAGGATCCGTAGGTTGCTGGGGAGGTTTCGAAGCTGGCCTCCAGCATCTCTCTTTACTTAGGGATCTCGATAGCCGAACTTCCGAACCAACATCGCACCGCGCTGACTTCAAGTGACTCAACGAGGGTGAACCCGAATCTGAGCTACACTCAGACCACTTAACGCACGCTTCGTTTAAGGTTCAATGCCATGTCTTGTGAGGCTCCATAGGGCCATAATACTATGGCTTGGAACGTTCGATCGGTTGAATCTTTCCGAGGTGACGAGATTGCTTTTAATTTTGGGGCATGTCTCTCGACAGCACATCCACATAACCCCCCTACCACCGCGCGAAGAGGACAATGCACTGGAGTGTACTAGTCTCGGGTATTCGTACGAGTTCTACCGCGCCACGAGGAACCCAGTGTCAAGCAACTGACAGTGGCTTTAAGGTTTTCGGTCGAGTCCTGAAAACCATCGACGCTGGAAGCGCCTAATTTCAATCGGAGTTTAAACAGCGGCTGACATTTACCGGTTCTGAAAAGACCCTTTGTCTTTATCCCACCATTTATGCAGCAAGCCACCGACATGGACACGACGCCAGGCCTCCCTATAAACACCCCAGAAGCGCTGTTGCACGGCCAAACCGCCTCAGGACGCGTCTTGATGAACTCGTACCTCCTCAGCGTAATCTTTGACGAATTACGAGATGCTATCGAGATGCTGGACAACGATCAACCTCAGTCTTCAAAGGCTAAACGAGAGGCAAGATCCAAGATGGCAAAGGAGCTGCTGCCCATTTCGTGGACCTGTAGAGCCTTTTCCGACGCTGCCATGAACCATGTCTGGAGCTACTTGCCTTCTGTTGTCCCATTATTACAACTCTTCCCGGGGTTTTGTAACAAGGGAGGCACGAATGTATGTGTCTATCCGGTCACACCTTCTGTCCTTCGTTGAAAAAATCCTCTAGTGTCTGTTCAGACTCAACGAACCTGGAGCGATGGACAGGTTCAATCGATATGCTCGACGTGTGCAGTCGATCGTATTGGGCGAATTTCCCATCTCAGTCGCGCCCCAAGTCTACATGCAGTTAGCCCTAAGCTTGTCGGGTTCCCCATTTCTACCCTGTCTCAAAGAAATCCGGGTGGAAAAACTGGACGATTCGACTCTTCCCTGCCTTCAGCTGCTCCTCTCGCCCTCCGTGCGTCACGTCCATATCCGAAAGAGCAGTCTGTCCAAAAGCCCCGCGTGTGCCAGTTCGCTCTGGGAGAGCCTAGGGGATGGTCGGAACATCCAGACGGTCACGGTGTACCCATCCACAATTGCTGTGGACTCGAGGCTCATCCCGTGGGACGTCGTGTCACGCATGAAGAGCCTGAAGAGGCTGGAACTACACATGGCAAACCATTCAATTGATACTCACGCGATCAAGGTACTACGGGGTCTTCCCAACCTCGTGCATCTCCTGCTAAAAGTCAAGAATATGCCGACGGGAACCCATCCGCCTCCAATACCACCCAACAATCCACATTCGTCTGCTGACCCCCTACCCAACGCGCCTTCTCTTTCGAGTTTTGGATTTACCCGCCTTCGTACCCTAACGCTTCCAATATGCAGTGGAGCCATCGCCCCCCAGCTGCACACCATCCCCCTCTACTCCATCACTTCCCTCACACTCTTTCTCCAGGCTGACGTGGACACATCAGAAGTCTGGGAAGCGATCGGCACCCACCTCCCATCTGTCGCGCACAACCTCACCACTCTCACCATCTGCTCGGCGAGTAGGGTGCTAATCCCACCTGAAGCATTAGACCTTCTCATCAGCATCCCTCGTATGCGAGGATTGTTTTTGAGTAGAACAATCGTCTACAACACCAAGGATCAAGCAGCGGAAACGGTAGACGAACTGTATAAGAGAATGCTTGGGGGCGGAGTAGCGACGGAGGCGAATTCGAGAGGGTTTGACATGAACCAGCTCTACATGCCCCGTCATGGCGTGGGGCGATCGATGAGCTTGAAATCATGCCTGTACCTCGCCCAATACGGCAAACATATCGTTCACGCCAGGATCATGGTCGACTCTTCTCTAGGCATCCCCTCCATCCCGTTATCGACGACTCCAGAGGCCTGTTCCCGCAGCCTTCTCAAGTTGGAGATTGTGGACGTTAGGAAAAGGCCATGGAAGCCAGCAGAATACGAGCCCATCGCACTTTTCTTCAACGCGTTGTTTCCCAACCTGGAGAGTATTCGGTCGATCTTTGAACCGGAGACCTCGTGCGCTGCACACACCGCACAGCCAAATCGCCACAACCATCAAGACAGTTGGAAGCTGATCGAATTGCTCAGGCGGTATGCGCGCAGGCTCCGTTGAGAAGTGCGCATGGACTTTAGGAATGTACTCACTAGTTGTATATTAGTCTTTTGTCGTCAGTTTCTGCAGAAAACCATCTCAGAAAAACCACGAACGGTCGCCAATTTAGAGACGAGGGTATGAGCTCCGTGTCCCGATGTGTCCAATCACAACCATCGATTTCCGTCTGGGCATTATGGTGTTTCGTCAAGCCTCAGGAACATTCTGCAATCTTCTTAGACTTCTATCTCGTTCAGCCCTTATGGCGTTCCCGACTCCAGAAATGGAGGCCAGAGGATGATGACGGATCCTTGCCTGAGAAGAGATTCCAGCAGGTTGAGGTTGAGTTGGGAGATGGCCAAGACATGGCGGCAATCTTGGAAGGGTATAATCGGCTGGGAACATGCTGGATATAATTTTGCGGCTTTCATGGGCATATGCTGCGATTGCATAATCATAGTGGGCATGCGATAGGAAGTACAGGAAAAATATAGAGATCGTTTACTCATCGGCCTCGATGACGGTGGTCTCAAGACCCTGCAAGCGCTATAAGCATTCAGAAAATGTCCAGAAAATTCGGCCACGCACCTTGAAGGATGTCACCGGCACATGGCTCACGTAGGTGTAAAGCTTCTCCTTAGCGTTCTCATCGTCATTTCGTTTCCCTGTAGCCAAATCAGTTCCCATTCTCCCTGTCCAACCAACAAGTCCACGCACTCTCAAGTCGCAGTCGGAGTCGGTGAGGTACGGACTTGATGCCCTGGGACCAGACGGCCTGGTTGAGTTTGGGGTCGAGGCGGACGTCGGAGGTGCCCATGTGCTTTTGGGAGAATTCAATAATAGACTTGACGGCCCATGGAGCGCGCTTTTTGAAGGATCGGCCGTGTACGCGCTTGTGGAGGTGGATGGTGTACTCCCGGGTGACGACGTCCTGGAGGGCCGATCGAGTCTTGCCGCCGGTCTGGTGTTAGACGAGATTTCGTTAGACATGATCTCTGGGCTTCCTGACAGGTATTCTGCATACCTTTTTCTTGGTTGCTGTGGCCTGACGACGTCCAAAGTCGTCAGCTCATCGTTCAGACGTCGGGAACGACGTACTCACCATTGGTCTTGAGGATAGCGGTGACGATGAGCAACGAAATCAAGCAATTGCACAGTCCCACCGCCCGTTTGTTTGGTTGACCGCCATTCAGCCAAACAAATTAAGGTTTCCTGTGGCTTGCTAGTTGCGGAAAACACCGAAACCCGGCTAGACGGCAATCCGGCCGTCGGCCACGAGAGCTTGCCAAGGCTTCTGATGACAGACGCCGGGCCTTCGAATCCAGAAATCGTCTTCCAATTTTGGGCGGTTGTTTGTGCCTTTGTCCCGTCTTTGTTGGTCCCATTATCCTTGCGTACCCTATTGTGGCCTTTGCGAATGACTTCGAGGAACTTCTCTAGGGGTATTCCCAGCCATACGGTCGACAGGGCCCTCTTTGTTGGAAACAGTATTGTTTTCTGTTCTGCGATAGGCGGCTTTTCGAGGTTCCATCCCTGAATTGTCTCGAACAATCAAATTCCCTCGAATTCGCTGCCGCAAACGAAAGCCCATATGCGGTAAGAACCAGGGACGTCTTGGATTTCCTGTGATCAACGTAATAGTCGGCTGCTTTGGGCTGGCCCTTTCAAGATGTGTCTATATAAACTGGTTGGCGCTTTCCTGGAATTCCCCAACTCGTTCTCAGAGTCTCCGTTCCCCTCTCCTCACTCCGTCTTCGAGCAACCGCGCCTTCACTTCGGTCTATACCCTCTTCATTTGATACCAGTCACAATGCGTCTTTCCACCGTCACCCTTACCGTCCTCGCTGCCGTTGCCTCTGTCTCGGCGTCCGCTCTTTACCGTCGTCAATATCCCTGTAAGTTCCTTTCATTCTGTTCACATTTCTCTTTCTGATCATAAACTATAGCCTGCGCCAATGCCTGCCTTGCCGCTGCTGACTTTGGCAATTGCGAGATGACCGACAACTTCTGCTTGTGCAGCAGTGAACCCTTTGTCTCTAGCACCACCACTTGCATCCAAGCCGCCTGCGAAGGTGAAGACCTCGAGACTGCCCTCTTTGTGTCTCGTGAACTCTGTGAACGAGTGGTACGCCAGCCTTCTAGTCATACTAGGTTTCGAACGATCAACTCATGCCACATTTAGGGTGTCACTCTTGGTGGACCCACACCCACCGGCGATGCCGCGACTCCCTCTGGCTCTGGCTCTGGTTCTGGCAGCTCCAGCCCTGCTCCCACCTCCGATGGTGATGAGGAAAACGAAGTTGGAGAAGACGGCTCTGCCATGGCCCACGGTGTCAACATCGCGGCCGTCGCCGCTCTCGGTCTTGCCGCTTTGGCTTTCTAAACTTCCGACATATCGCGAGACCACCCTTACCCACGTCATACCACTTCAACCATCAACGCATACCACAATCCACATCTCTACTCCCCCAATGCATTTCGTCGTTCCCAATTTGGCTGTAGATCATCCACGCCATTCTTTCATTGACATCGGTCCCTTCGTCTTTCATCTGTCCCTGTTTGCAAGAGTTGCTTGTAGCAACTTTCTGGCTCTTGGCAATTTTTATCAGTAATGTATTCTGGTGTAGAGCAGTGTAGTTTCTCATTGGGTATCCTCATAGTTAATCCTCGCATTTGACACAATACAATCTCGCATTCAGCATCGTCTCACTTTCGTCTTCTGCGTGATGTGATTTACGTGCTTGGCTGAACGAGGCTCCTCAGTGGCGTTAGGTCTGCATAGATTTGTTGCGTCGCGCTCCATTCCTCCACTCAGCCAGCTCGACAGAGTTCCAGAAAGATGCGTTTGCTTGTCCACACTCGGAAGCGTCTTGTCGTTACGCCAAGTGAGTGCACCCGATGAGAAAATAGACTCTAGGCGAGGGCCCAAGGAACGCAACCACCATCGGATATGAACTCGTTCACATAACATGATCTTGGTTGCAGGCAGTGTGATACTCGCGCTTGAATCGTGTTCGACATTGCTGATCGAGGCGCATATTTAGTCACTGAAAGACTCGTTCCCACTCACTTCTTGATGGGTCATGGTATCGACCCTTCCTCAATAATTTGGATCGTCTCTTCATGGCTTTAACATTCTCCTTGCTTCGTCTCTGGGGCCTCAACCAGCGTCCTCGACATCCGACTCGTGGAAGGATGTTGGGCATTTTCAAAGTCCGCTATGTGCGCCTAATTTTGGGCCTGACCATCGTATGAATTACTGCCCGGAGAAGCGTAATCTATACAGCAAATGAATTCATCTACAGTCCTCGATTGAGCATTAAATGATTGATCAACGTTTCGAATCTACGACAATAGTGCCTCTGCAAGAAATGGAGAATGAGATGTCCGTGTGTTTCATCTAGAGAGCGAGAGTCTGAGTCTTGAGATAAGCATGCGATCTAGCGAGAGAACAAGCAGTGAGTCTGCGGTCCGTGGTCGAGGGTGGTATCAATGTATGCCTGGTATCCTTGAAGAGAGTGCGAAGAAACTCGGAAAGGCTGTCGCGGCGTAGGAGGGCTTGATGCCTATCACCACCTAAGTGAAGCTTTGCAGTCGATGCTCCTCGACCAGCTTGTTGATCCTTCCTAGTGCTTCCATAGCCTGCGTAGTCGGTTCCATTGACCTCTGAAGAAGTAACTCGAGATTCCCAAGTGCGTCCTCCAGTGACTCTTCCATGCGACGCTGGGCTTCTTCCACTAATTGCTCCGTGAGTCATCTTTAGAACGCCGTAACCCATTCCACACTTACCTTCGTTGGTCCCGCTTGCGATGGAGCTCAGGCTAGATCGTGAAGGCGGACTCGGTTGCTCTTCAGGTTCGTCAGAGATGACCGAGCGCGCGGTGTAGAAGCTCGCATTGCGACTTTGCAGGCCCTCCAGCAATGACTTCGAATCCGCAGAGAGTTTCTCGGAGCTGAGAGACGGAGTCCCTGGCACGGACGCCCCACCGTCAATGCTCGATGGCTCTGAGAAAACAGTGATCCCAATGCCAGAAGCTTCATCGCTATCAAACATACTCATGACCTCCTCGTAGCTAGGAGGCGCATTGTCAGGCGAGACCGTAGGGGATGCCCCAAAGTACTGCGCGAGGTGATCAACGGTGCCCTGGCGGCTGGGGGCAGCACTTCCCCCCTGCGACCGGGGCAATGTGGGAGAAGTGGGAGAGGCGGGAGGGGAGGGAGACATATCTCTCTTCTTCTCTGAGTGCCTGGGATCAACAGGGCCTCCGTCGCGAGCCTGAGCTCCACGGGACCCTCCTTCACCCAAGCCACTGCCAGACGGGTCGGTGCACTCATCCTCGCTGTCATAAGCCTGCGTGACATTATCGTCGTCCGACCCGTATTCGGCAGGCAGACCAGGAAGATCTTTGTCCACTAAGGTACCTTTGGGGTCATACGGGGGAGCAGGGGCAGGCGACGATTTCGGAGATTCGAGGTCTGCAGGGTTCTTAGCGATGGACGAACGACGTTGAGACTGCACCTTTGGGATAAGCGGGACGGATGGGTCGGTGGTTATGAGAGGACGACCCTCGGGAGTCGTCATCGGAGCTGCGGGTTGGTTTGGGTCCTGTACCGCGCCCCACCGAGTCTCCATCGGATCTATATCGATATAGGCAGCTCTGGTAGATTTCCTAGGGCGGAGTGACTCGGAGAGGCTGTGAAACTGCTGCGAGATCTGGCTGATCGGGGCAGAGAGCATCTGCGAGATTCCCGACGGCGACTCGGGATTATCGAAGGTCGCTGTCTCAGGCCGGAACACCTCATATCGACGCTGAGATTGCCTCTTCTTCCTCTCCTTCTCTTCCTTCTTCTCTTGTTTCTTCCGAGCCAGCTCCTCTTTAGCAGCTGCCGCGGCTGCCTCGTCCTGCTTTCTTTTAACCTCCTGCCGACGTGCCTGCCATCGCTCATTGATAGCAGTCTTGTACGCGGGGATCTCGTCCTTCATCGCTTGGATAAACTAAATGAAAACAAAAACGGGGTTTTCACCGGCCACACACGAGCCCGAGTTGTGGAGATGAATCATCGAGTACGATAAAGGATCATAAAGGAGACTCACCGACTCCCATTTCTCTGAGTACTCGGGCTCCATTATTGAACTATTTGCGAAGCTGGGATGTGTAGGAAGCCCACGGGTCGCGAGCGTGACCGCCCGACAGATCAAGATCAAGGCTTTCTCGATGTCGCCCTTTGCTTTGGCGAGATGACTCGCGTTTCTGAGGTCAAACATGAGCCTGACCCAGTGCCGCAGGCTCTGTCCGTCTGTGTACAAATCCTCCTTTGCTAGCGCGGTTATTTCTTGGGGGGTACGCAGAGGTGTAAGCTCCAGCGAGTCGATGAATCCCTCCAGAACTTCGGGATCAGCGGGTGCAGGAGTGGGCAGGGCTCCGTCAGGACGTCCAGCCTGGAGAGCTCCGGAGTGGGGAACGGCTGTCATGTCTTATCGCGCAGTGGTGGGACCCGAACTAGTCGAAAAACGAGCGAATTATGCCGAGGACAGACGACACAGACGAGGAGAAAGGGATGGAGTTTTGAACAAGAGGGTCAGTATGGTAGCCCAATTTATACAGCCGATTACCTTGAATGTACTTTCTGGGAAGCCCCGAGTCATCCACAGCCTATTGTATTCAAGACTGCTTGGGCTCGGGATGTTGTTGGTGTGGTGTGGCTTCGAGAAGCGTTGAAGAGCTTACCTTATTGGGATTGCTCCAGCCTCCTGAAGAAACTGAGTACCGTGCCTGTTGGAGATGAATCTCGAGCGTAAACGACAGGCGGTGACGGTCGAGTAAAAAGGTGTGCTGCACGCACATGGCGATTCAGTGGGCCCTGGTATTTATACTCAGCCGTGCCACGACTTCCTATATGACCGTGTTTGTCTCTAAGGTAGCTACCAATTGTTCACCCCTCACAATTATTCTTCTCAACTAAGGTATGCAGAAAATTAATCATAACAGTAAATAATAAGAATTCTATTGGAGCTGGCGGTGGGTAGTGGGTAATCTGCATGGCTGTACAGATCTTGTGGGCGCCTAATCTCAGCCTGCCCGATCGTCGGACAGGGGCGGTGTCCCGTGTGGCACGAGAAAGCACTATATCCAGCTAGGGCTTGCTGTGGGATATGTAAAATGTCCCCAAATGGATGTCTGTGAAGTGGTTGATTTTTCTCAAAGACTGTAAATACGTTATTCACCTTGTAATCACCATTCACACCCACCACAGGCTTCGGAAATGTCAGTTGTGGGAAATTCGCTGTGATGCAGATTGGCAATGTCGTTCAACTGTTGCTCCTCCTTCTCTTACCCCAGCACCGTTGAACTAGCTTCGAGAGCTCCTACAGCTGTAGGCAGCGCAGCTGTCACGAGTTAGTACCGCTTACCTTGTTGCTCACAGTCTGAAGCGAACTGACGGTCGTGAAAGTTCAGCATGCAGGCTGAGACAAAAGACGAGTGCTCTACAGCGCCCACAACCGTTGTTCAAGGGATAGCCCCAACCTCAATCATTGGCCACGGCAATACTGTCACTGGGGGGACGATAGTTGCGGGCAATTATGCTCCTCATGTCATGAACGTATACTCTCATGCTCCCAATACATCTAGAACTCGTGGTAAGCTGCCGTCAAGGGCCTTCTCGCTAGCCCTGAGCTTATGATCTCCCTAGACGAACTGATATCTGACATTACCTCTTGGTTCGATCTCAAATCGAACTCGAGGGCTATTCACAACGACGTGCGGAAGAAACGGATCCCTGCAACAGGAGACTGGTTCATCCACAGCAAGGAGTACCAGGACTGGAAGAGGACGAAGGGCGCTGTCCTTTGTGGTACGGGTATCCGTAAGTTTACTTGTGTTCACCGCCGAAATTGCCCGGTCTAACGAACGACGAAGCTGGTGCTGGGAAGACAGTATTGATGTGAGAGTCGACTCGTATGGCTCCGATTCGTCTCGTCGCTAACAAATCCCTAGGTCCCGGGTGGTCGATGATCTCCTACCCCTGGAGGGAACTGTTGACAAGAAGATCTGTGTCCTCTTCATCTACAACCGCTACAACGAATCCCTCTCTCTTAGCGATATCTTAAAAGGGTTCATTCTTCAAATTATCCAACGTCATCATCATCTCGTGGACCTCGTCGAACCTCTTTACCGACGTGGCCGACTAGAGAAGACCCACCCATCCGACGACGATCTTCTCCACCTTCTCCTCATGCTGGAGGGCCACTTTTGTCAAATATACTACGTCGTTGACGGAGTTGACGAGGTCGATCGCAAACACCAGTTCGATCTGATTCAGGTCTTGAACCAGTTGCAAGGGAATCTCATCTTCGCCTCTCGCCCTTTGGAGGATCTCAGGACTGAGTTGAAGGACGCCCAGTATATAACGCTGTTGGCACAGGATGAAGACCTTCAACTACTGATTGATGAACGGCTGAGGCGATACAAGGGGCTATGTCGTGTTTTGGAGAAGCATCGCTATCGAGAGGAGGCCGTCAGACGGATATCAGAGAAGGCTGCTGGAATGTAAGAGTAACCTAACACGTTGCACCATCCACAGGTCTGGCCAACTCATCTGTATCTAGGTTCCTCCATGCTGCTCTCCAGATCGAAGCACTCCGTAGCTGTTTGTCACTTGCCGCCGTACAAGCGAAGCTCGATGAGTTTCCGGCAGGAATAGAGGGCATGTACACAGCCAGTATCTCTCGGATAGAGAACCAGGACCCTGAACTAGTCAAGATTGCGAAAATGGTGCTCTTCTGGCTTGTCTTTTCCCGCAGGTCCTTGTCGTTGCGGGACCTCCAAGCTGCGCTTGGTGTGAACGTGGAAACGTACAGTGTCGAGGAGTCGCTCATGCCCGACGATCAATCCATCATTGACCTCTGCTGTGGTTTGGTGGATCTGGACACCGAAAGTAATGTTGTCCGTCTTGTCCGTGAGTATATGTGTCTGTCTCTCTCTACCTTACGCTCATTTCCCTTGATATAGATTTCACAGCGAAAGATACCCTCAAACCGCTTCTACTCAAGGAGTTTCCCCAGCCCCATCTCTTCATCAGCAAAGTCTTGGCCCAGCGGATGGTGGACAACAATCTGCCCCATTGTACCATCACAGAGCGCGAGGAGTTTGAAACGTTCATTAAACAAGAACCACTTCTTGAATACTCTCACGAAGAGTGGGGCTCCCATGTTTCGGAGTGCAGGGATTCCCCCGAAGCAGTCGACGCTGCCATGGCATTCCTACGCCAGTGCACCTCCTTTCCCCGGATCGTGCTTGGAAGTTTCGACCATTTTCAACCACTCCATGTCGCTGCCGCCTATGGACTACCGATGTACTTGGACCACGCGATTGCAACTGACGGAGATCCGAATTACCTGACAAGGGGGCATGCAACCTGGTCCGACAGTTCGTCCCAGGAAGAGGCCCAACCCGAAAGTATCAGGATCAATGGAACTACGAAACGGGGCTGGACCGCACTGATACTGGCATCGGGTCTTGGCAGAATCGAATTCGTGAAACAAATTCTCCAAATACCAAATGTCGACGTTAACATGGGTGGTGAAGACGGTGAAACAGCCTTACAACTGGCTTCAGCCTTTGGACACGATGAAGTCGTCAAGGAGCTTCTCCAGGTTCATGAGATCAACGTCAATGCTGTGGACAACACCAAGGCAACGGCACTCCTGCGGGCCTCGTTTTCCGGTGCCCATGAAGTGGTCAAGCAGCTCCTTCAGACCCTCGGGATCGACCTCAATGCTGCCGACGATAGGGGGCGGACGGCACTGATGGAAGCCTCGTCCATGGGCCACGATAGAGTGATTCTCCAACTCCTCCAGAGTCAAGGTATCGACCTTGGCCTTGTGGATCGGATTGGCTGCAATGCACTCATGCTGGCCTCGTATTTCGGCCACGAGACAGTCGTCACACAGTTACTCGAGGGCCACGTGCTCGACGTCAATACAGCCAGCAACCGAGGGGCGACTGCCCTCATGCTAGCCTCGATGAAAGGCCATGACGGGGTGGTCCGTCAGCTCCTTGGGGTACATGGAATCGACGTCGGCGCCGCGTCAGCGACCGGGTGGACAGCTCTCATGTCTGCCTCATCTAACGGCCACGACGGAGTTGTCAACCAGCTACTTGAGGTCCATGGAATCGACGTCAATGCAGCAAACGACGAAGGGTGCACTGCACTCATGCTAGCCTGGTTGGAAGGCCGCGACGCAGTGGTCAAACAGCTGCTCGATGTCCCTGGAATCGATGTCAATGCCAAGAACAGCCAAGGCTCGACGGCGCTCATGATAGCCTCCGAAAAAGGCCACGTCGGCCAGCTCCTCGCCCGTGGAGTGGACGTCAACACAGCAAATAATGACGGGTGGACAGCGCTCATGCTAGCCTCCAGGATGGGCCACGATGGAGCGGTCAGCCAACTTCTCAAAGTCCATAACATTGGTGTCGACTCTGCGAACAACAACGGGTGGACTGCGCTGATGGTTGCTTCGAAAAATGGCCACTATGGAGTGGTCAAACAACTTCTCCAGGTCCGTGGAATCGACGTCAATGTAGTCACCAACGACGGGTGGACTGCGCTGATGGTCGCCTCGCGCTATGGCCAAGTTAGAGTGGTCAAGCAACTACTAGAGGTCCGTGGAATCGACGTCAATGCAGTCAACAACCAAGGGATGACTGCCCTCATGCTAGCCTTGTTGAAAGGCCACGATAGAGTCGTTCAGCAGCTACTCGAAGTCCATGGAATCGACGTCAATGTAGTAGGGCCAGAAGGGTGGACTGCACTCATTCAAGCCTCATCCGAGGGCCACGACGAAGTGGTCCGCCAACTCCGAGCCCACAGAGTCGATGTCGGCGCTGTGACAACAGCTGGGTGGACGGCTCTAATGACTGCTTCACATAACGGCCACGGCGGAGTGGTCGGCCGACTCCTCGAGTTCCATGGAATCGACGTCAATGCCAAAAATTACCGGGGCTGGACAGCGCTCATGCTAGCGTCGGAAAAAGGCCACGGCGGAGTAGTCAGCCAACTCCTCCAGGTCCATAACATTGGTGTCGACTCTGCGAGCAACAACGGGTGGACTGCGCTGATGGTTGCTTCGAAAAATGGCCACTATGGAGTGGTCAAACAACTTCTCCAGGTCCGTGGAATCGACGTCAATGTAGTCACCAACGACGGGGGGACTGCGCTGATAGTCGCCTCGCGCTATGGCCAAGGCAGAGTGGTCAAGCAACTACTCGAGGTTCGTGGAATCGACGTCAATGCTGCCAACAACGACGGGTGGACTGCGCTGTTGGTCGCCTCGAGCCATGGCCAAGGCAGAGTCGTCGGCCAGCTCCTCCAAGCCCATGGAGTCGACGTCAATGTTCCCAATAAACACAATTCGACAGCACTCACATTGGCATCGGAGTTTGGGCACGAAGACATCGTCCAGCAGTTGCTCATAAATGGCGCTGATCCTAACGCAGCCGACAACGACGGCGACACTTCCTTGATAATGGCATCCCGTGAAGGCTACGAAGGCATCGTAACGCAGCTCCTCGAGTGCCCGGGTATCGATCTTGATGCTGTGAACAATGCTGGAAAGTCGGCTTTGTCTGAAGCGCAAGAAAAAGGACACTCGAAGATCGTAGAGCTGTTAACTAGTTTCGTTCAGAAATGGTCGACTGTTGTAAACCCATGACGTTGTAGAATTAGTTTGTGTTATGGATGGATACCGAGTTTCAATCAATGATACTGTACTATCGAGTGTCTTGACCATCTTGTACTCCCCTCTTTCGCAAACCCCCGAACCCTTCAAGTGCTAGCTCTCCTCCCAGTTGATCCATTCGTGTCTCTCAGCCCCAACAGACCACTGCCGTCATGACCAGCAAAACATCCTTGATTGAATACAACAACTAAAAGTACAACCTGAGTAAAGCGAACAAAACATCATGGGACGTAAACAACCATCAAGACATTCACAACAAACTTCTTCAATTCACCGTGGGAGATGAAAGGTACCCTCTCAACCGCCCCATTCGCCGACGCTGGGTTATTCCAATCCGTCAGAACAGTAACACCAGCATCCGCAAACAGCTGTCCACCCGATTCCTCCACCTTGGACCTTAAGGGGTCGTGTTCCTGCCCGAACTGGTGATGCTGTTGCGGGGAGCCGTACGGGAAGGGCGGGGGCGGAACAGTGCCGGGGCGCATACCTGGTGCGATGCTGGGCCCGCCGTAGGGTATCGGGATCCGTGGGGGTGCGGACTTGAGGGTTGGACTCGTCTCGATGTCCTCGCTGAAGAACTCGACGAGTCGTTCGGAGGGCCAGATGTACTCCCCGGCTGCCCAGTGTAGCTCCGGATTGAGCTTGTACATCTTGAAAGCGTGGTACAGCAGATAGTCGCCTCCCTTGAGCTAAAGAGAGAAGTAGTAAGATCAGTCACTGTAGATAACGGATGGAAGAAGAGGACACGTTACCTGAGGAACCAAAGCCTGCGCCGTAACCACCGACGGGTTAACCCCATAATCATGCGAGAGGTAGAACCCAATCTTGCGACCCCTCGACATATTCATAACAGGCGCCAACATATCAAAGAACGCATCCGTCGGGATCGAAAGCGAATCAAACCTCACAGCTCCATCCGCACTAAAGTTCTTCACATACACCCCATACGACATCATCACCCTATACCCCTTATCCACAATCTCCGTCTCGTAGTCGCAGTTGGCGAGGAACGCGACCCACTCGAGGCTCTCGCGCGCGGCGGTGCCAGGCGGGGACGGGTGCGTCTTGCTCACGAACCGCTCCTGCATGCCCGAGATCGGCTCGCGCACGACGACGGCGCCGCCCTGGAACCGCACGGGCAGGGTGAGCAGGATCGTCGCCGCCCGCCCGTCGTTCCGCAGGTGCGCGATCTGCCGCTCCAGCCTCCCGCCATCGAGCAGCACCTCGAGTTTGTCCTTGACGGCGGTGAGGTAGTGGCCCGTCGGGAGGTTCGGGAACAGGGCGTTCTTGACCGCGTCGAGGATGGGGAAGTTGGAGATCTCGAGGGAGGTGGTGAGCGGGAGCGTGGGTGGGTAGAAGAGGGATTCGCGGTCCATGTAGCCGTTGTAGTCTGAAGTCTGGTGTGGTCTGCAGGCGGCGACTAGGACGTCGAGCGCGGGTGGGGAGTTGTACTCCACGTCGATAGGAAAGTCGAGAGATTGCGTGATACCACTCTGCAAAACATACGCGTCAATATACGATCCCAACCTTCATCCAACAAAAAGACGGATCGCACCTTGGACCTAAAGAACAACACAACCTGCCCAGGCTCAACAAACACATACCCAGTCGTCGCAAACGCAGGGCGGTCCTTGGCCGCAACAAGCGCCGCCACCTTCTGCCTATACACATTCTCATCAAAGTACACCTCCGCATTGGCGTTCACGTTCTGCGGGCTGTAGCGGTTCGCCATCGACGACGGCGGGCGGGCGACTTTTTCGACTTTGAACTCGGCTTGGCTCGGGGGCCGGCGGAGGGTGTGTCCTGCTCCCCCCATGGCGCCAGGCATAGTGCCCATGGTGTGCATCGCGTTCATCATGGCATCGCCGGTGGGCATTGGTGCGGATGGGAGGGGGACGGCGTAGGTTGGTGTTGTCGAGGGCATCGGCGGCCCGATGGGCATAGGAGAGGGAGCTCGGCTGTGGGATCGGCGGGGAGCGTACATGGCTGTTGGAGATGGCGAGTTGAAGCTGTCCTAGCCGATGATCGTGTTCGTTCTGGGCAGTAGAGAAGGAGGATCAGCTCAAACGCGTAGGCAGGGGGAGGTAATAGATGTAAGGGAGAGGAGGAAGGAACTTGGACGCGGGGTATGTATAGAGAAGGGAACAACGTCAAGCTCCACCAGATATAGCTCGGAGAGAACCCAAAGCATCAATCGATATCCAAGATATCACAAAGCCCATGGACACGGAGCTCAGCCTCAAGGCAGGTCAAAAGCCACCATCGCAAACGTCGCTTCCAATTCGGCATGAGTGGTCACGATGGCCGCGAGGCGAGGCATCTTTGTAGATGGACGTCTTGAAAACATGCACACGCAACGTGGCTTCCCCTGAATAACCTATGGGCGCCAAACCAAAGCGTCCTATATCGATTGTTGATGGCTTGTTGCCTATCCAGACAATCGTGAAAGAAAAACCGGGAGCGGATTGAATTGCGAACACAAAGGCAATGACAAGGGTCATGGTCGATCATCGATGTCATGACAGGGGCGATTGTGAGACCCTGAAACAGAATCAATCAGCAACACAATGTCAAGTTGAGAAAGAGCGGACGAACCTGTTGTCCAGGACAGCCCTACGTCATCTTAAATTCCAATGGGCGCCAAAACAAAAGGGATAGAAGAAAAGTGATGAACTTGAAGACATGCCATTAATCTACGGGAATAAGTATGCTCGTAATGAAATAATTTACAAATGAATGCTGCCAGGGTCATTATAACAAAAAGAAGTGGGCGACAGTGTACAGCCCCGAAATACGAAGGGAGAATCATGCTAAAAGTCCCAAATACAAAAGTCCATACCGTTCAAAGAATCTTAAAGCTCGAATAGTCCATTGAATTTCGATCATCAGCTAGCAGCCTCGCCCACTCCAAACACAGTCGATAGACATAGGCTGTACAAGTAGACGCGCATCAGTCAGGGCTGAGGACTAAAGATAAACTGGAACGCAGACGCACCTTCAATATCCGCATGCCTCCCCATCGTCCTCTTCCACTGCTTTCCAGCACGCGCAATCCGACGCAGCCGGCGATCTGCTTCCACGGATCTCCGAACCTCGATAGATTGGGAAGGCCCTGTCTGCCCCTCAGATTGATCTCGACGCTGGGGATCTGCACCATCGACAGTGTCGTCACCAGTGGGAGTAGAGCTAGCCTCTGGAATCCCCCCGCGACGTCAGCTAGGCTCGAAAAGTAAATGTGAAAGGATGCACTAACCAGCGTCACTCTCTGTGCTATGGTATGCTTCTAACGTCGACTGGGTGGGACCGGAAAAATAGGCATGGATGTTGTAGACTTCGTGATAGCTCGATGATAGTGGGATATAATGCAACCTGTGACGGACTGTTAAAGTTACTGTGACGCGGAGAGGTAGATAAAGCGTACCATGGCTCGATCCATCCTTCATAAAACTCCCTATACACGCTTGTCTTTAGGGGTACGCTGTCGCTAGCCAAAAACGCCATGAACCGTCCACTATAACCAACCCCATCCATATCCAACAGGTACTTGTACCCCCAGTGCCGCCCCAGCTCAACCGAATCTTCAAAACGGTTCTTCTCCCTCAGAGCCTCCGCCCCTCCAGGATAGATCTCCTCTCGAACAGCCTTCACAAACGCGACGTCCATAACTTCAGGGTTTAATTTCTGCGAGGTGACGGATGCTGTCAAAAGGCGGGAAGAGTCATCAGGGTCCACAAAGGTGAGTGTTCGGTTGAAATCTGATGTGTCAGAAGCCATTTGCACGAAACGGTGTCGGTGGAACCGATTGGCAAAGCCGGGTGGGTGGTTTCCTCCGCCAGTGCTTGCGCCCCTCCAATACACCTTGTCCACCTTCTTCTCCCATGGAACCTCCATCGAATCGACCTCTTTCAGCTCGAGGTTGACATAGTCCCAGCCGTAGGTGTAACGCGGGGTGTTGCCAAAGTAGTAGTGACTGGGGATCCTGATGTCCATGAACCCCGGCGCCTTGGCGGGGCTGAATATCGGGTAAAGAGCGTGGATAGACCTCCAGTCGCTGTAGAAGAGACCTTGGTCGAGGTGCAGCTGGGGGTTCGAGCAAAAGTCGACGTGCGAGGCGGTGATATTGGGGACAAAGTAGAAATCATCCCCTGAAGGAAGGCCTTGGGGATCGAAGTAGTTGTGACCTGAAGGACCTTGGCTCTGGAGGGTGGTGAGGATGCGACGACCGGCGGAGGAGGGGCTACATGTACGTCTCCAGGCATCCCATACATTGCCTTGGCCAGCCCAATCCGCCTGGAAGGGCCCACCGAGCATGGCGTTTAGGCCTCCCGACGAATCTTGCGTTGTCATGTTGGGGTAGTGTTGATGCTCCCATGGCACCAGAACGCGGCTTTCTGCAAGTGCGTTGATTGGGAAGTCCATGTCCGGCAACTGGCACCAAGAGTTAGCTGAAGCATGGTGCGGGTATCAAATGGATAGACGCTTACCTTGTCAACGAAACGAGTTATCATCGAGCGAAACCCTTCTGCTCTACCGCTAACCCCTTCATCCTTCAAGTTCACACTTTCCGACTTGCCATTGCGTATCCGTACGAGGTCAACAAACGGGAGTTCGCCTGCCTGTCAACTGCGTCAGTATTGGGATGACCATGAGTGAAGGAACCAGAATCCCCACTAGCCATCCTCAAGCACCAAATTAATACAAAACCATACATACCTGAACAGCGCGCCTGCGCAATTCCACACCACTCATACCCCAAAACGGCTCTAGATCCTCCACAAGACCATCATATTCATCGACAAGCTTGACATCATTCCGCTGCACAAACTTCCACCATTCATCGAAGCCCTTCGGCGGGGGCCGTTTATATCTTCGTTTATATTCCGCCACGGCAGCTTTGAGCGTCTTGCTCTGCCTTCCCAACTTGTCCCGGAACCGCGCCTCCGCTTCGTCCATGAGCTTGGGTATGGGGTGCTCTGCGTCCGACTTCTTCACCAGCCCCCGCGTCTTGGATAACAGCTCTTCGCGGATTTCGGGGGTGGCGCCTAGAAGCAGCACGGCGCTCGTTCGGTCGCGGTCGCGGCTCCCTGCATGGAATCCAGCCTGCATGAAGACGATGGCGACGCATAGGAGGAAGATGTAGCCGTTGCGGAACGGGAGAGAGAGGATCGCCAGTGCGGTTTTGGCGCGTGTCATGCTGGGCGGCGTCGCTGCCAGCTGCAGGGGGAGTAACGCGGTGGAGGTATGGTCCCTGTCGCCGTCGTTGTCGTCGTTGTCGTCCGAGTCGAATCGTGTCGTGTCCCTTGTCGCTGTCACCCGATTGTGTCACCCGACGATGGTCCACATCCTCGACGATCAAATTCTTTTGATTGGGGTTATTTGGTTTGGCCCCTGTCTCTCGCTTCGCTGCCCGACTCGGTAATCCACCTTCCCGCTTTTTGCATGGGTTTTTGGCGTAGTCCTTAGAGTGAACATGGTCTGCAATGTACTGAGACTGAGCGCTTAATAGAAGGAATAACCTGTGCAGCGCTTATATTTAACCTCCATGACGAATGGACAAGTAAGCATCAGATTGATACAACTATCAGTCATCGATGAAATGGAGCGGCAACAGCTCGAGACAAGGATGGGTCATGTTGATCAAGGAACATTGGTGTATTGGTGTTACGAATGGCATGGAGAGTGATACCGTCAATCTCGCGCTGTGAGATACTCAGGATCCGCAGCGAACTCCAGCAATGATAATGCTGTAGCTGACTCGATGATAGCTACTAAGGGTGTTACTGTCCGCAGCTAATAATTGCACAGGAAAGATTCAGATGCAGACCACGTAGAGATGTTTATAGCTCTCCATAACATTGACAATGCCTCTCGAGGATGTGGTCCCACAGCTGATGACGACCCACGTCCTACTCACTGATAATCCAAATCAGCCTTCGAAAGGGATGATAGAAGCATAATGCACCAGTCATTACAAAAAAAGAAAGCAGCTAGAGTACAATGTATCCACAAAACAAAAAAAGGTCCAAGATCATAGCAACGAGCTCGATAACAAGATGGTATTACTAGGTATCCAACTCATCCGAGGGTTCACAGAGTACGGTTAAACGTAACAGCAAACAACGTAACAACAAAAAAATACAGCGAAACAGAAAAGCCGTAATGAATCGTAAACCCGAACATGAACTGCCCACTCACGGTAACCGTTCACGGGCGCTGATTACTCCCACCTCCAGCCGTACCATCCTGCGGCGACTCAAAAGGGTTCTTATCATCTCTCGGCGGCAGCCAATCACTCGTCTCAGAGTACCCATACCCAGGCGGCTTGCTCTCAGCGGGCGGAGGGCCAGGCGGGGGACCATACGCGGGATACCCGCTGTACGGCGCATGGCTCGGGGTGTACTGCCCGTACGTCGGGTACGGCATCGGTCCTCCCGCGTTGTATGGCGGTGCGTATGGCGAGGGGTACGCCTCCGTTCGGACTGTGGTGGGTGCGCGCCATGCGTTCTGCACACTCGAGGGGTCAAGGAGTTGGCGGTAGAACCCGAATGCGATGCTGGCGAAGAGTGCGGCTAGGACTGTCCGGGAAGTTTACGGATTTAGCGCCGGTACGTTAAGAGGTGATGCGATGTACGTACGTGAGGTAGCGATGAAGGAGAGGATCTCAGACCAGGATCCGCGGTCCCATGAGCGTCTACACCCTGATTCAACCAGTCAAGAGTCGTCGATGGAGGGGAGAGATATAGAGGCGGACGTACAGAACTCGGCATCTTCGCGGCTAAGCGTGTCATATCTGATAGGGCCCCAGAACCCAGTCTAAATACAGCCCAGTCAGCCGTCAATACTGGAATGCAACCAACGGCTAATCATAGCCACTTACATATACCCGCACTCTGCTCCCGTCTGCGAGCTTCGCGCAGGCTTCGAGGATGTTATCCTATAGCCCATCTCAGCGTTTGGTTCGAGATGGATAGACGTTGAGAGCACAAGTACCTTCTGAGTGAAGTGAATGATCACACGAACAAGTCCCATCCCAGCCGTAGCGATAAACGCAAACGCGGACAACCAAGCGAAAATCCGAGCAGCCCAGAGTTTTTGCTGTGCAACACATTAGTCCAAGAACAGCAACAACAACAACAAAAGCGCAACGACGAAGACAACGCCGAATCCACGTTGAATTCGCTTTGTGGGCGTAGACGACATCGGTAGGCAAGCAAACAACACTCACAGTCGCACCGGCAAAAAGGCCGAACGCCTAGAAATACTTGGGTTAGCTTGGGTGCTTGGGTAAGGCGGTGTAGGGTTCGAATCGCACCTCGATAGCGGTGAGGAGCATGTATAGCGCTCCTAATACGATGGCGACGATGTTCAAGGCCGTCAATCCTTCTGTTGGTGCATTGTTAATGTCTTGATCGGACAAGAGGTAGTGTTGGAGAGGACGAACGTTCGGCAAAGTAGGGTGCATTGCGGAAGTGACCAATCTGAAAGACGATGAGTCTTCTGAGTCGGTGGGTGTGTAGGTAGAGCAGGTTCTTACTCCTCTGGAGGTGGAGTTAGTTATGAAGCCATCGCATGAGGTTAAGCGCCACTCACGAGAACAATGTCCAGAAACCAGCCAATATCGTTACTGCAACGGCTTAGTCCACACCATCGCTCAGCCCAAGAAGATCGGCACACACCAGCAATAATAACAGGTCGTAAACTTCGTTTATAGACTTTCGTCACAAAGGCATAGGACGGTGGTGGTCCTTCAAACCCAAACGATTAGGATTAACTTCGCTTCAACCGACCGGGAACTATAGATGCAAGTAATTACCTGTATAGATCAGAGATTCCTGTCAGCCTCATACAAATCCCAGAGTTAGGTGGGAGGGAAGACGTACCTTGAGGAGGAGGTACTCTCTCCATCGTCTAGATGGTCTGTAAGAAAGCGATTGAACTGCGGAAGGGTTGTAGTGGTAGGTGCTAAAGAAGGTGAGCACTGCCTTTCTTGTCCTGCCGAACTAGCCTGACGACGTTTGTTTGGCCGTGCTTGTTTCCAAGTTCATTGTCCTTCGAGGGAGCACCGCCACTGCGACTGCGGGAAACGTCGCCGACTGACGTCTACCGACCTGCACCTGATAAACGCGCTGTCCCCGACGACGGCGCAGATGTCGACAAGGGTCTATACGAATACAATACTCTTGGTATCTGCTCTGTTGCCTGTCATTCCAATGGATTCAACGCGAACTCAGAAACGTCTGGAAGGCTCACGACACGAACCGGGTACATCGACGAACAGTTCAACCGCATCTCGACATCGTGGCTTGGCGTAGCTGTTCACTACCGTATCGAGTGGAGCTGACCGGAACTAGGAAGTGACACCACTAGTCTCTTTGAGCAAGGCGGGGAAGTTGAGACTCGGCAGACATTGAGCGCGGAATTGTCGAGGGACAACGAGGGTGTGAGGTGAGCTTGCACTCCATGTTCTTTCCATCCAGGAACCACCTGATTGAAATTGAAAGCGGCTTATTCTTGTCTGCTGGATTGCCGACCTCGAGGCACTTGTTGGATTGCCGGCAACCGCAACCCCCGCATATCTCGTACAGACTACAGTCCAAACTGATAGCCACTTCCAAGCCATTTCACTTTGAATCTGTTCCTGAAGACTGTATCACCCAAGCCGCGCCCTATTTGAACGAGACTCTACGCTTAGCGCCAACGTGAATGAAGTTACGGAATGATACAGACTCACACCAACCTCCACAATTGCAAGGTTTGACAGAAACGGGTCAAGCTCTATCACGCGGGCCTCATGATGAACCTCCCATGGGGAACGAACTCCCACCGGCCTGTCTCCTTCAGCGGGTATGAAAGCCGCTTCGAACTCTGATAGTCACCCCCGTGAGTGACTAGCCTTGTTTTGGTTTAAGCACCCGCTGATCACCTTGACTAAAGTGTATTCCATCTTCTCTTTCCATGACTTGTTTGTGACTTCTTGAGGGTCCCGTTCTCCACTTTGCGGAGTGGAAGCCTCTTGGCCTCCAGGTACCGTTTGTCCCCTCCTTGGGGACTGAATGCATTCCCACCCGCTATCGGTGAAGTTCATCGCGTAAGGTCTGCTTGACTCCGACCCACGGGGAAGGCCTGCAACTACATACCAGGCATATAATAGAGCTTTCTCCTTTCTCCATGCTCTTTGCAACGCTGCCGGACCTCTTACCACGACGCACCTATGTCTGTCCCAGCTCCAATCCCGGGAAATGACTCTAAGCCAGCCCCGAATCGAAAGTCCACCTCATCTTCCATCGAGAAGGTCGAGTCGGCAAACGACACCGTCGACCCCAAGTTCGAGCGACGAACCATGTAAGTTGCCTGCAACTCTTTATCGAAGTCTGATATCTCAATCGTCCTCCAATAGGTTGCGCGTCGACTTGCACATCGTTCCGATCTTGACTATGCTCTATTCCTTCTCCCTTATCGACCGTATCAACCTGGGCGCTGCCTATGCTGCCGGAATGGACAAAACACTAGTTCGTCTCAAAATCTTGCTTATCTCCAACTTCTGCTGACTTGTGGATCCTCTCATCAGGAACTCAATGTCGGCCCCCGATACAGTATCGTCACATGCATGTACTTCGTTCCATACATTCTTCTGTGCGCAATCTTTCTTCACCACGTTCACACCAGGCAACTAACATAACATGACATGACAGACAACTTCCTGGGAACTTGGTCTTACGCAAGTTTGGCGTGCGTGACTGGCTGACCTTCTTGGTCCTCGCTTGGGGGACCGTCCAGCTGGGAATGGGATTTATCAAGAAGTGGGAAGAGCTGCTGGTAACCCGCATACTCTTGGGTATCTTCGAGGTCGGGACGAATTGGCTATGCTGCATATTATCGATAAGTGATCCTGATTTCACTTCTTCTCGATAGGCGCCCTTCTTCCCAGCTGTGCTCTGGATCATATCGGCTTGGTATAAGCGCCATGAGCTTCAGAAGCGGTACGTAGTACATACTTCGAATTCCGAACCTACGTTAGGGCGCTTCGCTGATCGGCGAACTTGTAGAATGGCTGTATTCTCATTGCTTCCGCTCACAGCAGGAGGCTTGAGTCCCCTCTTGGCTTACGGCTTGAGCTTGTTGGAAGGCAAAGGGAACCTGGAAGGATGGCGGTGGATCTTCGTAAGTCGCACCCACCCATTTACTTTTTTTCGATCCTGACTTCGACTTTCTCTCTTTCGCGCTTGCACTTTAGATTGTTGAAGGGATCATCACCATATTGCTTGGTTTCGTTGGGTTCATTTTCCTTCCCAACTTCCCTGAGGAGAACAAGTTCCTCACAAAGGAGCAGACTGAGTTTGTGATCAAGCGGATTAATGAGGATCGAGGTGATGCTCTTCCCGACAAGATCACTTTCGCCAAGGTCATGAAACATCTGCAGGATTGGACGTTATGGGCGTATGGTAAGTCCATGTGTCTTCTGTTTCGCTGGAAGTGGTTTACCGTGTATACCATTACAGGCTTCTTGGTCCTTTTCTCTACGATGCCGTCATATGTCCAAAGTTATTTCTTGCCCATCATTCTCGGTGGTATGGGCTACGATCGAAAGGGAACACTACTTCTGGTAAGGAAATATTCCATGCAAGTTTTTATCATTCCCTCCTGACGGACTTCCTCTCCACAGAGTGCACCACCATACGCTCTAGCTGTGAGTTCTATAGTCCGACGCGACTGGACAGACGCATCTCACACCCTTCTCACATCCAGATTCCAGTCACATTGCTTGTGGCCTACCTATCCGACAAGAAGAAACACCGTGCGGGGTTCATTATCGTCCTCGCAAGTATCGCTGTGGTTGGTTCTGCCCTCACTGCATGGCACTCGAATGACAAGGTCCGCTATTTCGGTATGTACAGCACTCCTGCTCCTGCCGTTGTCGTACATCCCGTCGCTGAGCGTTCCACGGCGCGGTGTGATACCTTGATTACTCAACGATTTTCGTTTCCTAGGCATTTTCTTAATCAACATGGGCAACGCCGGTACCTCCCCCTGTATCCTCACTTACAGCTCGAATAACGTCGTGAGCCATAGTAAACGGTGAGTTCCAGCCCATCACAAAGGCCGTCTCTCTCTGACTCGTTGCCCTAATTACTGTAGCGCTGTACAAACAGCCCTCAATGTCTGCGTCGGTTCCATCGGTGGGATCGTCGCTGCGACAGTATTCAGAAACCAGGACCGGCCGAGGTACATCCCAGGTAAGCGTCAATTCACTGTGCAATCAATCCTTCGTCCAGTTCAAGTTTGGCTGACCTATCCTTTCCAGGCCTTATCGCGACTATGCTTTCTCAGGCCTTGATCGTACTTTTGGTATGTATCTTGACTGCTCGACATATGTATTGGAACAAGCGGGCGAGGGAAGGAAAGTTGAAGGAACCGCTTGAGGGACAGCCTGGTTTTCTTTATACTCTGTAGCTGGTTTGTGGTGGCTTTGGCCTGGTGTAAGAGCTCGCCCTTTTTACGATTCACGATAGCTACGATATTTTACGTCCTATGTCGATGTTAGTGCTTTAGGCGCCCATGATTACCAACCAGAGTAGGCTTTCTACAGCCGCGAAACGTCAGCTTTTCTCTTCCTCTACTGGAACATAGACTGTTCTATCTCACTTCGGGCCAGCCGGCAAGTACTATCTGTGACGGAACCTGGGCGCTCATGTTAGCGTTTCAAGAGCTGAGAACGCCGAGGGGCGGTGTGCTGCATATGATGGCACAGGACCACTCCCCCGTATCAGGGCGCTATACAAAGTGGATACGGCGATATGATTGAATGCCCGCGAACTCTGTTTCATTTCTCCATACCATGCCGTTATACCACCTCCGCGCGCTGTATTTAAGTGTTCTCAATCTGCAACCGATCCAACCAGTCACAACCACTTCTCGTTTAAACAGCTTCCCTCACATCGACCCCACAATGTCAAACAACCCAGCCAATAAAGGTTCGACTGCGAACAAAACCCAGATGAAGAATGACTACCGCACGGTCCCCGCCCCCAAGAAGTCGTCGGGAAAGACTGACGCTGGAGGCCGGGCACTCGGTTTCACATCGTCGTTCTTGAAAGATGGCACTGCCGGAATTGCCAACCCTGGTGGTGTCATTCAAGGCGCTGGCGGTGCTATCGCAGGGGCTGCTGTTATCGGAGCCCAACGTAGTGTAAGTACAATTACCAACGACTTCAAGACAATGCATTTAGTCAACCCCTCTGGAACACTGGCAGTTCTTGAAAACTATCCGAGATGCGAATGCCTCTGGAGCCCTCCAAAGCCGGACGAAGCCAGCGAATAACAGTTATACCAATGATCCGGCCTTCAGCACTCTTCGGTGCCCTACGTGCTTCAAGTACCCTTGCGTAAGTTCTGCTACATATCTGTTCTTCGGATGCGTTGTACTGACCCCTGTTCAGACCTGCTCCAAGTAGACCCCGCAGTTCGACTCACCCAACGCTTGGCCTAACGCTTGTGTACCGGATTGGAATATAGTTCACTATGTTACTTCCTTTACTACATGTTCTATAAGCATAGCCTACAATAACAACTGGTTTTGCCCAACTGACAAGCACAGAAGATGCTACTACCGGATTCCGAGTCGGAAGCCGCCCAAAATCCAAGCTTGGCAGATTTTTGTCTCCCTTGTGGTCGCTCAGATAGTTAACTCCCTTTGAGGGTCATTCCGGTTGTTCAGGGATCTTCTCATGCTTCTTTACACTCATTTATCATTGTCTGTCTGTACATCTTACTCCACTAACCTACCTCTGTTGTTTCGGGTTGACTTGCGAGATGGACATAATATAGCGCAATAAAGCGATAAAGGAATGCGCACCGCACCACTCTAATACGGCCGTGCTCAGTGTGAAGCGTCTCCAGCCCCGCCAGGATATGCGGGTGTACCGATTGGCGGCATCGTAGCGGCTACGGTGTCCCGAAGCCAGGATAGGCCGAAATATATCCCTGGTCAGTGCGCCTGACTTCGCTGCCATCACTCACCTAGTTAATCCAACATATGCCGACCTGCTCCTCCCAGGTCTCATTCTTCTCGTCCTCACCATTTGTAATTACCATGTAAATGGCATCGAGTCTCGCGTGTTCGATGTATGGATTGGTAAGCGCCCACAATCACCAGGCGCCTAATCAAACCCGCCGAGTCGGACGCCTTCTTTCAGGTCATGTTTACCCCTCGCCTTGAAAAGCAGCTATGATGAGCGAGTTCCAGAGAGCTCTTCATACCTATAGTTCTTGTGAGTGCGCCAAGAGGTGAATGATAAGACTGTCTGACGCACTCCCATGGACTCGAAGAATTCCGGCGCCAATGTCCTCATTCGAAGCCTTACTTCGAGAGCGACCTTCGTGTGCCAGTTGGCTCAACAATTACAATGCTGTGTCCCCGGCGAGTAAGACTCCCACTTTCCGAATGCTCGGCGTCTTCGATATTTAGAAGTTCTCCCACCAAGCTCCGAGAGATTTATCTTCCAACCGAGACCTGGAAAAACTGTGTCATGAGTGGGGACGTAAAGTTTTCAACATCTCGCCTTTAAAAGAGCAGGAAGGGCCACTCGTCTCTCAGTGTGTCCACCTTTCTTACACCATGCACTTGGCCACTTCACTTTCGCTCGCTGTCATTCTTTCAGGTAATTGCCGGTGTCACTCCACAAAGCCACGTTTTCGAGGACTGACGTGTGTCTATTAACCTTCGGGTCCGCTCTACCCTCGCAGCGGTTTACGTTACAGGCAATCCTGCCCCAGTACCCTCGACCACTGCGCTATGTCCCAACGCGCCCAAGCCTACCTCTGCGTTGAAGGTTGCGCCTGGCTTCGAGGGTACCGCTGTTGTGGGTGGCATCAGCAATCCCCGAGGAATTACCTTGGATAAGAGGGGGAATATCCTCGTCGTCGAGCGTGGAGTTGGGGTCACCGGACACTTTGTGGACAAGAATGGATGCGTGACGAGGAGCAAGGTCATCGTGGACGACTACAACCTCAACCATGGGATCGATATCAGTGCAGATGGAAGAACGCTCTTTGCGACGTGCGTGTTCCTACTACGTGTACACACTTGAGCTGAGGCTTACCGCGTTTCCTCCGTTCTATAGCTCGAGAGAGTTCGCATGGTCTTGGGATTACAATGCACGCACCATGACGGCAACTAACCGGCGAACTCTCGTAACAGGGTGCGTCGCCTTGGATCGCGAAGTCAATACCAGAACCGGGGGCTCACCGTTCGTCGCATTGCAGGATGTTGACGGAGAAACAGCTTACCCGCACCATCATCGCTTCCAAAGTCAACCCTAATTTTATTGCTATCAGCATCTCAGCAGGAGATGGCCCGGACTATGAGGCGTTTGACCCTGCTGTTGGTCGAGCTCAAGTACGGGCGTTTGACTTGACCAAGTTGCCGCGTGGAGGTGCGGCGTATAACAGGTAGGCCTAGGTTCCTTTCTTTCTCCGAGATCAAACATCGCGTGGCTCAAATCTTCTTCGCGAAGCTCGTACGGAAGGGTATTAGGGTGCGTGGTTATAGATCTATCTTCTCGGTCGTAGACGGAGTTCTGATAACAAACTAGTTACGGTTTGGCGAACGCCGTAGGAATTGCCGAAGATCATCAGGGCTTCATCCATGCCGGAGGTCAGCTTTATGGAGCACACAGAGAAGTTAGCACTGGCTGAACTTACTTCCTTTCAGATAACGGAGGTACCACCCATCGCTTCATCGGGGGTGTAGGTACAGGTGTGGGAAACGACAACCCTGCGGAAGGCGTTTTCAAGTGTAAGTCCATCTCCAGCCTCGGTCTTGCATCCCACCGACCGACTGTATGCTTTAAAAGTGAGCAACCCAAGACGTCCCGAGAGCTCATTTGCTGGGTATCCATATTGCTTCCCTGTATGGGATTCCAACGCCATTCAGGATAGGCGTTTCGAACGAGGAGAATGGTAAGCCAGTCCGAGCTACGCTCGCCTCTTCGCGTCGAGGCATCACTCACCTTTTCCCAAAGGTCAGCGATTCTCCCAGAAACCGAATACAATGATGAGTGGTGCCAGCGGGAAGCCGCGAGGCCGTCGCTTATTCTCCCACCTCATTCTGCTCCTCTCGACATGAAGTTTGGGCCTCGAGGAGACGATTCACTGTATGTTGCAATGCACAGTAACGGATACATTGACCCCACCCAGGTAGGCTGTTCGTACCCCTCCCTTCTCCCAACAGAAGACTTAGCGCGTAGGCTCCAGGGCTTCAAAGTGGTTAAAATTAGTGGAAGTTATCCCAAAGCCGGAGTATCCGGATGGACTGCCACCGATGCTAGCGCCCGTCTCAATGTCACCTTCACGGACATTCTTCTGAATGATGTGGAGACAGAAGACCAATGCCTGAGAGGTAGGTCGATTGACATACTGGGTAACACGGAGCTGATCACCTGGCTGTTGCAGGAGGGTGCTTCAGGCCTCTGGGTCTCGTTTGGAGCCAAGATGGAGACAAGTTGTATGTCACGAGCGACAACACTGGCGAGATCTTCCTTCTCAAGAAGAAACCGACGCAAAGGCTTTGGGGGCAATGGTACGCCTCTGCTCGACGTCTGTAACGACTTGGCTAACCACGCAAAATGCGTAGTGGTGGACTACTCTATGGAGGACCGAGAAACTGCGAGGAGGGAGCTGTCTGCCAATATGTAAGCTCACACATCCCCTCTGGAATAAAGGACGGCCCCTTAACAGACGCTTTCAGCGTAATTTCTTGTACTCTCAATGCGTACCAGGAAGAGACTAGGTTCAAATGCGCGAATTTCAGCAGTTTTTTGATTCCACGTAGTATATTTTAAATATTTACGTTCCCAGCTGTTGGAAGGCCTTGGCGATCTGCTCAGGCGTTGCTTGGATGAGATCTGTCCAAGATGGAATGGGAACTTTGCCGCTTGGTGCACTAACATCAATCTCCATCAGCGAGGGACGTATAGGATTAACAGGATGAAATTCACTAGATAGGTGCAAATTGCTTGGACAACGTGAACTGCTCGATGGCAAGCTGTGAATCGGCTTGTGGGAGCAGGGCGAGGAGCATGGGCAGATCCGACGATTCTTCAGTCTCGCTATGAATCTTCATCGTTCGAACGATGTCCGTCAAGAGGTCGTCAAATGCCGGCGTCCCGAACTGAGTCTTGGAGAGGTTAAACAGACTTTGCTTGACGAGCTGTGCGTAGAATGTCAGTGAACTTAGCGTAATTGATGATATCGCATCCAAGCTTACCTGGTGGTCTGAACGGTCAGTGTCAGCTAATTTCTTACCGTCTTCACCGAGGAACTTCTCGAAAAGAGGATAAATCAAGAGTTCCTCGGCGGCGGAGTGTCGAGCGATTTGCCAACACAGTTGGTCTGCCATTGTCTTCTGCACCTCTGGGTTTCCAGCATTGCCGATGTAGCTGTCGAAGAGTGCATACACCTGGCTCCGTGTCAGGAAAAATAGGAATGGATGTCACATGAAACACATGCCTCTTGATGCTCACTTGCGATGAGGTGTTGCAGTGGGTCGGCCCAGGTAGACATTGTTAATTGGAAGGATTCGGGAGTGTTTCAGGGAATGCGCGGTGAAAGGAAGGCGAAGATGACTACTTCACTTAAATACCTTGGTGTTTGCTTGTTAGTGTGCTAGGTCCGTGCAGGACATGACTTCAATGACTTCACCGTTGACGCGTAGAGGATACATGAACGAACGCGTTTTATGGCAAAATTCTTTGCTTCAGTCCACTTGTGGAGCTGGGAGGTAATCGGTGACGAACGATTGGCGGGAAGAAGTTAGACTCTGACCGGCTACTCTATTCTACTGGAGTTAGTGGCTTTTTGGATCGACACGATATATGGAGCACCCATGGAAGCTACCTAATGCAACCTCAAAAAGGTTCCAACGCCATCTTGACGAGCGCTTAATCGCTGCCGAGAAGCCGAAGGACCGTGGGATAGTAAGGCAAGGCAACATCACCGCCTCTCGTCACCTGAACTTGGAATTCGACTATCATCTTCTCTTGCTCGCTTTTCTCTCGTTTGCTTCAGACTCTCTTGTATATCCGCCGCTACTATGACAGACTCGAAAGACAAGCAAAAGGCCACTGAATCCCAGTCTCCAGAACCCGAGGAGCAGCAGAAACAACGCTCTCAGTCGGTAGAAAGCGAGAACGATGTTACGGGGTCAAATGACAGCCAAAATGGTGGAAAGTCGACGCGTTCTGAGTCGGAGGCGGCCGAGGAAGGGTCAAAGGATGCTCAGGGACAGGGTTCCGCAGACGGCCAGGGTGCGACACATGGTTGGCAGGCAATCTACTCCCCACAACACAATGCCTACTACTTCTACAACAGCATAACGCAAGAAACGACCTGGGTGAATCCCTTGCAGCCGGAGGCGTCTGGGTCGGGTACGACGTCTGAAACCGCGGGTGGTTCCGAGTCTGGGCAACAAGCGGGAGATGCAGATGGTTCAGCAGCATCGTCGTCGTCGAAGGATGCAGGGTCGGAGCAGCTTGCTGCAGGACCGAGTTCGTCACACTATAGTGCCCTGCAAGCAGCTGCTATCGCGCAAGGGATTGATCCTGCACTGGCGCACCTCGATCCTTCGTTATTGAGCTCTGTGCCTGGACGACCTGTCGATGCTTCTGGTATGTTCCTCGTCCCCCTCGAGCAATCATATCATTTGACTTACGCTTTCTCTAGGGATCCCACTCTTCACCGCAAAGTTCAATCGGCATACGGGAGCCTTTGCTAAAGCAGACTCGAGGGATCCAGGTCATTTCTCAGAGTACGAGAGGGCGAAACGCATGAGCGAGTTCTACTTTGACGTTAATCAATGGGAGAAACAACTTGCGGAGCAGGGTGGGAGTATCAAGGGTGACGAGGCAGGGAAGAAGAGGAAGAGGCTGACGAAGGCTGATATGGTATGTTGATCGTCGCGTTGGTCTTGGAACCTGAGCTCAACAAACGTATAGGAGCGGTTCAAGGAGCAGAAAAAGCAGAAGAAGCTGGCAAAGACAGCTTGGCTCAGGACATAAAGCTCAGAGAGGATGTCTGTTGTCAGGAACTCTGTACACTTTACGACGAACTTTTGCCTTCTCCAGACTGGAAAGTCGATCCGTAGAACCTCCTTGGTTCTAAGAGGACCACTGGGGTTTCCAACCCGATGTCATTCAGTAGCCCCCGATTTTGCAGTGTGGGAATTTGAATCAAGCTGAGAAAGTGCTGTATGGTAAAACCTGTCTGTACAATATTATATTGTATACGAATACGAAGTGAATAGCTACATTCGTTCCCTGTATCCTCTCCCTTCGAGACTTGGCCGGACGTGGCCTTTGGCGGGTGGGAAAAGCGCGTCGATCACGTGAGTGTTGGAGATCCGTCGCGTCCATTTGGTCTGCCGGGTGTTCAACTTTGACTACGATCACTACGACCGCCAACGACGACGAGCAGCAGCGACCAAGCCCACGATGTCGATTATGGACGTATCTGGCTTTTGCCAGATTGGAAAATACGGAACTCTGAGCTTGTTGAAGAAGCAAGATCAGACCGTCATAACCTCGTTCGGAATCGACAATGAAGAACTCACGTTTGGTCGGGATCCTAGCTGCAGCGTTAGGCTGTACTATCCCAATGTCAGCCTTGTGCATTGTAAAATTGTATTTGAGGAGAAGAAGGTGTGTTGTTATCAGAGATAACTCAAAGTTCTGATATTGAATTTTTGACTAGGCCTTTCTCGCGGTTCTGGGCGAAACCGGCCTTGTCGTCGACGGTTGCGAGGTGTTCCCCAACCCAAACAGCGCTGCGCCAATGATGGTCCCATTAGCGAACAACTCTGAACTGGAAATCCACGGAAAACGGTTTCGATTCACCTACCCGCCAAAGGATATGAGGGCCCAGCTGTTTGCAGCCCCATCTCGTTAGTATCCAAAGCAGTTTTCTTGCTTCCACCGTTTTTGGTTGACGAATGCCCTCGGTGAAATAGCGGCACCCAATAGAAAACCACGGCTGTCTATGATTCAGTCGGCGCAGGTCTTCACACCCCGTCCTTCGAATGACCCAAGGGAGAACCTCCGCATCCTCCAAAGCCCCTTGCGAAACAAATTCAAGAGTCCAACCAAACCCTCACTACTATCTCGTACGCCCACCAACGGGCCCGAACCACAAGAGGAAGAAGAGGAAGAAATTGTATTGGTTGATGGGAATTACCCCAGAGTCGTCGAGGAGGAACGTGATTTGGTCATCCTCGAGGACGTCCCTGTCAGTTTGCCACTGGTCCAGCCGACCCCATCGAATTACCCGCCTAGGACGCCGACAAGGCCAAAATCCAGGAATACTCTCCACCGCGCCGTATTGATCCGTAGCGCTCAACGTGCCGTGCTCAGGGCTGAAGAGGAGGAAGAGGAACAGGAGGTCCTTGAGAGTGTTGTGGTTGCCGCAGAATCCGATGAGGATGACGAAGCGGAGGAGGAAGAAGAAGAGGCAGAGCAGCGATACAGTGACGAAGAGATGGAGGATGTGGAGATGGAGGACGTTGAAGAGGCGCAAGAAAAGCCTGCGCCAGCTTGGAGAAAGAGTCTCGGACGCATATGGCCATTCACCGGTGGCAACGAAGAGAAGGTAAACATATCGCAAGTGTCGCATAATCAAACTTCTGAGCGTTTTTCAAGGACGCCGAGGAACAAGAGCTCGATATGCAAGAAGAGGACGATCAGGAGCAGGAGCAGGAACAGGGGGCTCCAATGGAGGAGGACGAGGAGCAAAATGAGGGGGAACAAGAAGAGGAAGGCGACGAAAATCAACCAATTCAACAAGAAGGCGAGGACGAAGACTACGACGAGGAAGAAGAGGAAGGATTTGCGCCCCTTCCTAACATCGCTCAAACTCCCGCTCGACGACCATTGGGTTCTTTCCTCACTCCACAAGTGCGACAAGGCCAAGCCGAACAATCCAGTCCAGCACCTTTCGGAAACCGTCTCTCATTGGGTGGCCAGCCCAGACGCGTGCTTGTCGAACAGCCATGGCGTGTCAAAGACATTGTCGTTCCTCTCGAGCAATCACCCAACAAACAGTCAGGCCCTCAACGCGTCTCCGAAACTCCTCGTCGACAACCACCCACTGAAGAGGAGCGTAAAGCGATTCAAGAGCGACGCCGAAGTGCCCTCCGCCAGCCGGACAACTTCTTCCCTGGTGGTGTTCCTGGTATGTCACCAAAGAAGCCTACTATTCCCTCGACGCCCATCCGGCCGAGTATCCCACTCGACTCTTCTCCTTACAAGGGTGCGTCACGGAGGACCAGTGGCGACGAGGAAGACCTCGACACGCGCACTCTCCTCGAGAAGATGAAAGAAACCGTAGAGACGATGAAGAGGCGCAAGAGTCTCGCTCCCGGAGCTACACCTCAACCCCAACGGTTGTTTGCTACTCCTCGCAAGTCGATTGCCGACGATGGCCCACCTGTGTTTTCGAGTGTGAAAAAGTTGGATTTGAATGCTGGGTCGGCAACTCCGGGACCTTCGACGCCTACCCCTGCCGCGTCGTTTATTGCCCGTGGACATCATACTCCAAGGGCACCGGACGTGCCTATGGATGCGTCGGACGAGGAGGAGCGTGAAGAGGGTGATGAGGAGAAGGATAAGAGTGATACTTCGTTCTCGTTGTTGAAGCCTGAGGCGAGGAGCGAGATTCCGGCGATTAGGATGAGTCTTGCACTGGCCCCATCGCCACCACCTTCTTCGGCGGTTGAAGAAGAACCTCAACCCGAAGTTCCTACGATTGTGGCGCCCATGGACGTCGATGAACAACCGCCTGCGGAAGAGGAGCCTGAACAGCAAACTGAAGAGGAACCGGTGGAGACTGAACAGGAGGAGGACCGAGAGGAGGAACAGCGAGAGGAAGACGAAGAGCAGGAGGCGGAGGTGCCTGCCGCTAAACCTCCCAGTCGTTCGAGGCTTCTTCGACCTCAGAAGATTGTGCCCACTCCTAGTGAGATGGATTTGCTCACCGTTGAGCAAGCAGAGGTGTGTTCCTTTGTGCATATAGCATTAGCATATCATCCGAACAGTATTTACCAGACGACTCAAACCCGCCGACGATCCCCTCGTGAACGTTCACGGTCGCCACAACCACCAGCCGAAGAGGAGATGGAGACTGAAGAAGCACCTGCACCGGCTGTTAAGCCCCCTTCAGGTCGTGCAACACGCAAGGAACCTGAACCTCCCGCTCCGACGACCAGGACTACCAAATCCACTTTGGCGAAGAAGACGACTGTGCGTAAAGCCGCGGCAGCTGCTGACTCTGAAGAATCCGAGCCCTCCGCTGCTCCCGTGCGCAGGGGACGGAAGGCAGCTGCTGACCCTCCAGCTGAGAAAGCTGAGCCTGTGCGAAGGGGAAGGAGTAAGCCTGCTTCGGGGCGGGGTGTCAAGAAGGAATCGGCGGCGGAAGAGGAGGTTGCTTCAGAAGAGGAGCCTGAGGAAGAGGAGGAGGCTCCTCGGAAACCTACTAGGACTCGCGCGCCCTCCCGGACGCCTGCTACTATCACCGCGACGACTGCTGCGCCGAGGAGAACGGGAAGGCGGACGCCTGCTTCCGCTTCGGAGCAGTCTGATGTCGAGCCTGTGAGGAAGAGGGTGGGTGCCAAGGCGACTACGACTACGGCGGCGGCGGGGGTGAAGAAGAGGGTCGCGGCGACGAAGGCGGCTTCTTCGAGTTCGAGAGCCAAGGAAAAGGAAGTCGAGGATGCGGATGCGGAGGATGATCCACTTGATTCTATCCAGGAGTCTGGTGCCCCTGCTGCGACCAAAGCGAGTGCGGCCAAGACTACCCGGGTGAGGAGGAAGGTCGCGGTGAAGGAGGAGGATGACGAGTCTTCTGGTTCCAGCGTTCCTGCTAGGACCACGGCCAAGGCTGCAACTGCGACCCGAACTGCCAGAACTACGACTACGGCAGCTACTACGGCGGCCAAAACTCGCACACGCACAACTGCAGCTGCGACGACTGCGCTGAAGACTCCCGCGGTTGCAACCACTAAGACTCGAACTCGTAAGACGCCCGCTACCGCTCCTGCTGCTATCGAAGGCGGGGATAAGGAGAACGATACGCCTGCTGTTGGGTCTAGTCGCTCGACTGCTACTTCTGGATCCTCAAACGCTGCTGCGGGGGGAGATGATGCCGTGGTGAAGTTGAAAGTTTCTAGGTCGAGAGGGAAGGGTACTGCCGCTGGGACAGGAACGACGACTGCGGCCAGTGGGAGTAGGACGAGAGTGAAAGCTGAGCCGGAGGATGAACCTGTTCGGACGAGGGTTACGAGGACTACGAGGACTCGGACTAAGACTGGATGAAGGCACGGTGGTTCGGTGAGGTTTTTGGCTTGCTTGGTCAGGGAGTAGTATAGTTTCGTGAATACGATATATGGGTAATTCTTAGTTCTTGTTTCCTTTATTTCAATTTTCAATTTTATTCCTTTTTTTTTGCTTCTCCTCAACGCCCTTTGGCGTGTTTAATTTTGACATTGAACGGGCTGCGGGTGTGGGGATGACCTCAAGACTTTGATGACTTGGGGGGTCATGATGAAAATCCGGTCTATGATACCAAACTACAAGTTCACTCGACAGATCTAGATTCTGAATGAAGTCGAACATTTTCTGAAAACTTAAATGCCCGTTGAACCCGCCAGGTGCTCGCTCAGACTCTGAGCTTTCACGAGTTCAAATACAAAACCCTGCTGGTATGTTCCATCGCCAACACTTTATCGAAGCGCGTACTAGGCTTTGTCGATGGATGGTTGCTACGGTTGGGGCGCGCTACACTTTCACCACTGCGCGGCACACTGTAACTGGCGAAGAAGAGCTCGATCTCTATGGCGATATTTGGATGGTGCACCTCGGGCATCTCACTCGCATCCACATATCTGCAAATCTACCTTTTTCGATAGTAATATGGACCAAACAAGTTACAATGAGTTCGAACATCGCAATTGAACATTGTCTGAACCGTGACCTCCCTCATGATCAGGCTACGAACAGTTCAATGAGCATCGTCGCCACCCCTTGATGACAGGAATGTCCTCCGCTCGTATGGGCACTTGGCACAGTTGGTAGCGCGCTCGCTTCGCATCCCTCGAGATCGAATATTGCGTGAGGTCGTGGGTTCAATTCCCACAGTGTCCATTTATTTCACATCAGTGATTTTTTTCCTTGTGCAGTCTTTTTCTATCAAACGACTTTATTTCTTTGTTTTTATCAGTACCTTTATTGCCCTCGTTACTTAATAACGGTATTTTTTTGTCTTGTGTCCTCTACTCAGACATAACTGCTCTTCTCAGACATAACCCGATAGAAGTACACGTCGAAGCCGAAGGGCGAAGAACCTCATGCCAGACTGAGTAGTCGACTCAACTTGAAAGTGAGACGCTTGCTGTTACATCCTTGTTTGAAATGAAGAATTGTCCATGGATTAAGATATATAAATTAAGTATTGCGTGCATGTACTCGTTAACTAGCCAGACTTGGCGGGGAGGCATCCCAAACGAAACGGCCATCGCCCAACCAACCCTACGATATGTACTCACTCAATGGTATGACGCCCTGACTGCCCGTACGATACCCCCAACTCCCCGTACGATAGACAATGCCACGACAGACGATACCCCCTCACAGTCCCGTAAGTATAACCCACTGGCTAAGCGCCATCCCCTTCGAGCCCGAAACAGCGTCGTAGTCGTCACGTCCATCCTCTAATCAGCTCCGACAATTCCGTGATTACCACCTTCAGCCAACCCATCCCAGCCTCCAACCCATACCCATACCCACCTCATCCTCCAACCAAGCATCTCATCCTCCAACCGACCCATTTCATCCTCCATCTTCCCGGCCCCACTCCTACAACCACTCCTACAACCACTCCCATAACCACTCCTACAAGCTCTACAAGCTCCTACAGCTACAACAAATTCATACTCCTATCATGCCTAACCACCACCGCGTCCGGACTGCGCGATTTGTTGGGTGTGGGTTCCCAGATGGGGTCGACGTCGGGCCCGTCGAGGTCGCCGGCGCCGTCCCAGCCCCAGCACCATACTGCAGTAAACAAGAAAAACAAGAGGGTTAATTTTTTGGTTTTCCGGAGAGGGGAAGCGAGGGGGAGGGCGAAAAAAAAGAGGAGAGAAAAAGGGAAGCGAGAAGGGGGAGAAAGGAGAAGGAGAAAGAGGGGGGACGTACCATGAGAAGGACCGGGTTCAAACTCCAGTGGTTCACTCTCTTCCTCGATGAACAGCCTATCGTGTGGGCCGAACCAGGTGCGGTCCTGGGGGTCCGTTCGTGGGTCGTCGGGGAGGCCGCCGAGGCGAGTGTACCCCCTGATTGCCGTGAGGTTGCGTCTGTTGGGGTGGATGATGTCGTATACCCGCTATGAATCGAAATGATAAGCGTTTCTCCAAGAAAAGGCGGATGAGAGGGCATACACTATCATACGCCAATTTGACTCGGGGAACCATCATGATCCTCCCAAACCCAGCCTCCCAATAATCGTTGCAGATCAAACTACACTCGCTGGCACTACACTCTCCCTCCGTGATCCTCGCCATCCTAAACTTGACGGGGGCGGGGGAGTAGAACGGGGCAGGGTCCAGCACGGCGATCCCATTCCAGCACGACTGTACCTGAATAGGCAAATGCTTCTGCCACCTATTCGACGAAGGCTGGTGGTGGAACACCCGTTCAAAGGGGGCGTTCTCCAGCGCCGTACCGTTGATATCGCGCGCGACCCAGTTGTCGTAGAAGACGGGAGCCTGGATCTCCTCGTGGTACATGTAGTCGGCGGCGCAGGTGATGCCGGCGTTGTTGCGCCTGGACTGCCAGATGAGCTCGAGGAGGTCGTCGACGCAGGGGAGGATGTCGTTCATGAATACGATGGAGTCAAAGTACTCGCCCTCTGAATCGCGGAGTTCGTGGAGGGGCACGAAGGCCGAGTTGCGCACCTCGGCGAGGTACTCGATGCGGTGGTTGAAGGCGCCGCGGGTGCGCGTCGAGGTGCGGATCATGACGCGCATGCCTACGCTCCTGGTTAGAGCATCGAAGATGCGGAGGAGGGCTTTAGTCTGGTCCGTGGAGCCGTTCTCGTAGATGGAGACGAAGACGTTGTGGTAGCCCAGGATCGCGGAGACCCTGAAGAGGGTGGCGAACAGGTCGGGGATGACGTCGAACGAGTTGTAGAGGTTGATGGCGAAGAAGTATTTGTGGTCGCTGTTTTGGAGGTCCCGTCGTTGTTGGGCGTGGATGTCGTCGTTGTCTTGGCCGAGGAGGGAGGAGAGCCAGGAGGGGGAGAGGGGCGGGCTGTGTCCGATGAGGGGCTTATACCGGTCTAAAGCTTGTTGCGCGTAGAGGGGTTGGGCGTTGCGTGTGCATTTCTTTGTGTAGTGCGGTGTGAGGGTTGTGAGGAGTTGGAGGACACGCTTGCGCTGGTCGAGTGTCGGTGGTGGGATCGGGTAGCGCGAGGTTGACCGAGCTTTAACTGCAGGGACGTGTCCGCTTCGCCACACTGGCACCGAGGACTATGTATACCATTTATTAAAATGTATTTTGGGAATGTGAAGGATGGCTTACAGTTGAGAAAGGAGCTATGCGGGCAAAGATGAAACCAAATAGGATTCCAATTGCCAAGGCTACAGGCGCTGGAACTCGGCGAAACTGATTCCACAGACCATGCTGCCCATGCGCCTTTTCGTATTTCACGACCATGGCGTGACCAGTCTCTCTGCCTGCCTGGCGAGGACGTTTCTGGCGGGTGTGGATGGTGGAAGGGAAACAAGGGGCTAAGAATATGCCAGTTGCTTGTTTGGTTCAAGCATTTTTCCGATCTGCAGGCATAATGATATGGATGAATGACAGCCATCTTTCATTCTTACCACAACCACATCCACCATGCAGCGTCGACACCCGCGGGGCGCTGCGTACATCTCCCCGCCGCTGGGCCACGACGCAGGAGCAGACACCGAAAAATCATCGTCTTCCTCGCGCTTGGGACAGCGCAGCTTCGGCGTGGCGAACCGCATCTGGGTCCTTCTCTTCCTCCTCGCCTTCGTCCTTACCCTCACCCACTTTATCGGCGCCTTTCCCGGCTCAGACACACACTCCTCCTCCTCCCAACCAGCCTACTCAAATGCCGGTCTCAAGGCTAAGAATTACTTCAATTTCACGCATGAGCTGGGTCCTAACCCCTTCGAGTTTTGCCCGTCGCATGGCGAGGGGGATGTGCTTGGTGAAAAGTACGGGATCAAGACATTGCAGCAGAGTCGTGTGCATTTAGGTACGGGTGCACGGGTGCAGAGGGTGTTGAATAAGGCGTTGGCGGGGCAGCCTGTGACTATTAGTGTTATCGGCGGGTCTAGTGCGTATCCTCCCCTTCCTTCCTCCGATGACTGACTGGCTGATTGATGTAAACTGCAGTTTCTGCGTGCCATGGAGCAGGAGACGACCCCATCTCCTCGACGTGCTACCCCTCGAAGTTCTTCCAGTGGTGGAACAGCGTGTTCCCCCATCCAGCCACCGAGCTGACCAACGGCGCCATGCGCCGCACAGACTCGGGCTACTTTGGCTTCTGCAACGCCCACCACCTACCCGACATCACAGATCTAGTCATTGTCGAACTCGACACCGACGATGCGCCGTAAGTTCATCCATCCAAAACCCATCCATCTAGCTATCTATCTATCTGTCAATTAAGAATGTACTAACACCCATCCTCCGCATCTAGAACCCGAGAAGCGATGGAACACTTTGAAACCCTCATCCGCTCCATCCTGATCAGGCCGGACCAACCCGCCGTGCTCATCCTCGGCCACTTCTCGCCCCAAGTCTTCCAAAGCTACGGCTTCGCCGGGCCCGACCACTGGCACAATTCCGTCGCCCAATTCTACGACGTCCCGCACCTCACCATCAAGCCTATCCTCTACCAACCCTACATGGACGACCCGAGGAGCGTGGAGAAGTATTTCGTGGACCCTGTTTTAGCTAGTCCGGCGGGCCATGAGCTGTTGACCGATGTCCTGGTCGCGTATTTCCAGAGTCAGATTTGTGTTGCGTGGGAGCTGGCGAGTCAGGAGGCGCGGGAGGTGGTGCGGGGCGAGGGGAAGGGGAAGGGCGAGGGTGGGTTGTTCGGGGGTGTAGGACAGAGGAAAGGCGTACCCGAACCCGGCGACGAAGGCGCCGAGAAGGAAAAGGAGGATGATGAAGCTGTCGAGGCAGCGCCGGAGCGGAAGAAAGTTTTGAAAGGCCTTCCGGCGATGTTGGCGCAGTACCAAGTCCCGTCTGCGCGTATCAACACGCGTCCGAATATGGGTCGTCCATTTGAGGAGATAGCACCCTACTGCGTCTCCGCGAACGACCTCATCAACCCGCTCCCGCCGTCCCTGTTCTACGGTTCTGGGTGGTACGCGCACCACCCCCCTACAGCGGGTGGTTCCTCCCTTCGTACAACGGCGCATTATTGGTACTCCACCCTACCGACGAGTAAGCTAAGGATACCGATTCAGGTTGGGGCGGGTGATATTGCTATTTATTATTTGAAGGAACCGGTGAGGGAGGTTGGGGAGGGGAGCTCGGTTGAGTGCTGGGTTGATGATAATTATGCGGGTGCGAAGGTTATTGAGAATGCGGCGGATGTTGGGGAGGCTCAGCCTGCGTGCGTATTTCTTGCTTTATCTTTTGTTGTGCTATCTCTGGTTTTTGACTTGCTTTTGTGCTGTCTCTTGCTTTTGACTTGGCCTGGCTTTTTACGCTGCTCGTGCTAACGCTCACTTCGCTTTTGCCCTTTAGGCTCATGATGATCGACCATTTTGTTAGTCGGGGATCACATTTTGTTGAATGCCAGTTGTTGGGTGAGGAGGGTCAGAATGTGCCCATGTTTAAGCTTTTGGGTATTTTCTCGACATAGTCCGACTCTGTGGGATGGGGGTGGCGATGTGGTATCCTTTCGTGCTCGGATGAGTAGGAGTAGGACTCGTACTAGGCGGAAGGTGTTCATTCGCTCTCATTGGAAAGAGAGGGAGGAAAACGGACTTGAGGTGGTGGTAATATTTTGGGGCTCTTTTCGACTCGACGTTACTGTTACCTCGCTTTGGGCGCCCGTACTCTTCATTGTTCAAGGCATCCCCGCCTGCCTGCCTGGAAGGTTGGTGTACGTGTACTACTTTTGATACACTAACACCAGCTGCAGTTTGGGGGTTTGGTTCAGAGCGGAGTCGAGTTTGAACGTTGAACGGACTACTTTTATTCTAAAAAAATTTTGTGGTGCATAGTCTACATACATACATAGCATATGGTATCGATGAATGGGTACTTAATTTTTGTTTCTTTTTTGCATAGAATGGTACTTGAAGCTTGATGAATGGACTTGATTAATTCAAATTGGGCCTCTTTTGAGATGTTAGCTCTTCGTGTAAAGGTGGTTGGTTGACTGGGACAGTTATAGTAGGCATTTGGTGGGTGGTGATCCATCCTCTCAAGTTTAAAGGCACATTGCGTCGCCCAGCGATGTATTTCTTACTTGCCGTCCAAGGTTCGTCGAGACTAGATATTGCCCAATTGGTGAGCTCTCGCAGTTATACGCCGACGTCCAAAAGGGCCTCTCATTACATCGATGACCGTGCCGTCCTCAAAGAACGAAACCCATTCAGTCAAGGGAGGGACGTCAGCCGCCCAAGGCGGAACTTCTTCAAGAGGTTTCTCTTCAGCGAGACGATTTGCGTTGTAGGAATTCGCTGTCTGGCGTCTAATTCCCCTTCTAAGGCCGATCTCAATCTTGTCGTTGAACGAAGGACCATCTGCTCCACGATGCCAGCCAGGATGGCGTAGCGGACGGGGTGTGGGTCTTTAGGGTCTGGAATGTCCTTGACGCGCCAGTGAGCTTGGTGCCAGAAGTATTCGCCTTCCATCATGACCTCGTTTTCGGAGTCGATGGCGACTGCGTCGTGTAGGCGGTATAGCGATGCGAGTGGTGTGTCGCGGAGTTGGAAGAGAGGGATGGAGTGTAGGTGTTTGTAGATTTCTTCCTCGTAGTATCGCCGATGGAACAGTGATGGGTTTCTGCGAAGTTCTAGTGGGTTTAATGGAGGGAGAGGCTGAAACTTCCAGGGGATTGGCCAGAATAGACGACGGAGAGTTCGGAGGGGGTGAGGAAAGCTAGTGGCGGTGGTACATAGTCACATTTAAGTCAGAAAGCTGGTCCTTGAAATCGACCAACTTGAAGGGGCCTGGGAACACTCACTATAACCAGATTAAGCGTACTGACCATAGCAGTCGAAGGGATTTCAGCCTTTCCAGGTACGGGGACAAGAAGCGAGATGGCATCCCTATCAATAGTGCGGCCAGTGGGAAGGGAGAGAGTAGTATGCGCTGGCACTCGTGAGTCGATTGTTGTGGGCGCTTGTGAACTTCTGATAATCAAACTCTGTCAAAGTGTAACTCTCGTGGCGACGATTTCTCGTGAGGAGGGGAAGGGGGAGGGTGGGTTGCTTGGGGGTGTAGGACAGAGGAAGGGTGTGCCCGAACCTAGTGATGAAGGTGGCGAGAAGGAGAAAGAATCTGGAAGAAGTCGAAGCTTTGGCGCCGTAGTTGGGCGCTTCTTACATAGCTCTCTCGATATAACAGCGGGTAATTGTCGTGTATAATCGGCGCCTACGACTATGGAAACAGAATTTCCTTTCAGGCACAGCGACTAGAATCTAAGCCTTTAGGTAAGGAATGAATGCATTCGACCTCGAAACATGGCGTAAGTAAAAGAAGACCTCCTGGTAAGTAGCAGCGACCACTGGCTGAGTCCTGGTCCTGGTCCGGAAATATTCAAAAAGCCTGAAAAAAAAAAGAATGGACGCTATGGGATTTGAACCCATGACCTTATGCAAATTTTGCTATCCAAAGCCAAGCTTGAGACGATGCAAAGCAGACGCGCTACCAACTGCGCCAAGCGCCCTTGTGAGGTGTGGGTGGGGATGATTTTGCCAGGACGGATGGGATCGTAGAGCGGGGTTAGGCATCAGCGACAATTGATCACGAACGCAGGAATTTCTTTCTTGGACTTGGACTACGACTAGGACTACGACTCCAAAGGATTCCTAGGACCACCACGAGCTACGACCAACAACCACCAGGGGGGATCCACCTATCCGTCTTCGACGCCCGCTTGGGATAGATAAATTCAGGGGAAAATCATGGCGAAAACTTCTGCGGCCTCAAAATCCAAAACCAAGGCTAAAACCACATGGCCTGGGTCCTCCACCACCTCCAAATCCGTATCGTCAACGAGTAAAGTCTCCACAACGACTAAAGCCTCTTCAACAACAAAAGGCCCTTCGAAACTCCCCAATGGCGCCCCCTCCCAACTCAACCAGTCGAGTCGCAAGGGGAAGAAAGCGTGGAGGAAGAATGTGGATATTCAGGATGTTGAACGGGGGTTGGAGGAGATGAGGGGGGAGGAGAGGGTTGTTGGGTGAGTTTTCCTGCTTTCAGTGTCCTTTTTCACTTTCTACGGTTTCGGAGGGAAGCCTTCATATCCTGCGTTTGGTCTTGCGAAGCGGGAAGCCCCTCGCTGGGTGGGCCAGAAATAGACTGGGGTGGTCTGCGAGAGGATCATCTCTGGGGGCGATTTCCAAGGTCTGCGAACGGTTACGTCGAATTTCTCTATGCTTGGACGGTTAGAGAGAGCGTTTGGATCTCTTTCGCTTTTGGGGAGGTTTTTTCCCGGTGATTTATCCCCGCGTCTCAAGGCAGGATTGCGAAGCAGTCCGTGAATGCCCTTTCGAATGGTCATTCCAGGCGATTCCTGGGCGCTTTACTTTCTTCCACTCACGGCACACTTTCCATCCAAAATTCATCCTGGAGCCTTTTCTACACAAATCCGCCTCCTCAGAATACTAACTCTTCCCCTCCAGAACTGCTCTCCAAAACCTCAAAGACAGCGATCTATTCGAGATTGATGTCAAGGGCGACGACAAAAGTGCGTGTAGCCTATCCATCTCTTCCATGTGCTACGAAGTACTTCGTACTAACGAAACATTTTCATCTGGGACAGTTCGACCCTATCTACCAAAATTCAACGCCTCCCAGCTAACCTCTGCCAAAATCCTCGCACAGCGATCCGCCGTGCCAGCCGTATTCTCTCGTGCGTGTCCACCCTTTCTCTGCACTTCCGATAACCTCTAACGCCCTCCACACAGGCCCAGAAAAACGCAAAGCACCGCTTACCCGCGAAGAAAAAGAGCGCTTGATGCGAATCGCCAAACGACCAAGAAAAGGACCGTTCAACAGCGTCCAAGACACCTCCGAATTGAAATCTGGAGAGGGAGTCGTAGGGCTGAGCGAGGCTGTTAAACAGAGTGGGACGTATGATCCTTGGGCTGAGGATGCCAAGGGTGAAGAGGAAGAGAAGGAGGAAGAGGTGGAACTGGGGTTGGAGGCTGTGAAGAAGAAGAAAGTCAAGGTTCGTCGCTCTTGCCTCCTTCGCTATATCTCTACTTTGATATATGATCAATCTAACACTGCCTACCTTCGTATCTGCAGCCTCCAGTCCTTCCACAACCCCGCGCCCAAATCGAAGTCCCAGCCGTAGCAGAACCCCACCAAGGAACATCCTACAACCCGCCAGTCGAAGCACACCAGGAGCTCCTCCTCCAAGCACACGAAGCCGAAGCGAAACGCGTGGCCGAGCTCGAAAAGATGGCGGAGACGAAGAGGAAGATGGAGGGGGCGTTGAGGGAGGTTGATCCTGAGGAGGAGGATATGAGTGTGCCGCCGGGGATGAAGGTGGATTTGCCTGGGGAAGGGGATGATGGTAAAGATGACGAGGAGGGAGGAGAGGGAGAGGGAGAGGGAGAGGAGGTACCCGTAGCACCGAAGAAACAACCCAAGATGAAGACCAAGGCTGATAAGAACAGGGCAGCGCGTGTAGCCGCAGAGGTTCGTCTTCACCCCTTCCCACGTCTCCCTTCTGTGGTCGGAACTAACATAACACTTATCACCACCCAGCAACGCGCCCTCGCCGAACGCCTCGCCAAGAAAAAACTCCTCGCCTCGATCGAACAAGCCCGCCACCTCCGCAAAACAACCGCCAAACTCGCGCTCGAGCGCGAACAGCGCCGCTTACAAAAACGGCTCGCTTTTCAGGAGAAGATCAAGAAAGCTGGACTTGCTGGACAGAGGTTGGGGAAACATAAGGTGCCGGAGGGCGAGGTGGATGTACAGTTGGGAGAGGATTTGAGTGAGAGTTTGAGGCAGTTGAAGGTGCGTTTTGGCTCCGTTTTTGGGTTGGATGGTTGTGGAGGTGGTGTTTATGTGTGGATGGTGCTGATCCCCTTGCTTCGTTTTATTGTAGCCTGAAGGCAATCTCTTCCGCGATCGATTCCAGAGTTTGCAACAGCGTGCTTTGGTGGAGCCTCGGAATCTCGTGCTGTAAGTCTCCCTCCTATCACTTTGCTATCCATGTCGACGTGTTTGCTTATTCGTCGTCTTACAGACCCAAGAAACGCAAACACAAGATCGTCGAGTACGAGAAGCATGCTTGGAAACGGTTCGAGTAGACGTGAGCGATCCGAGGTTCGAACATATGTGCATTCCTGTACGTGTGGGCTCTACCAATCTACTGCTATGCATGGCATATCGATACTATATCCGAATACGAACATGGGAACGAAGGAGATACAAACGAGCATGGTAAACAAATCACGAGACAATATCTACTCAGTCCTTGGAATACATAGGGAACACGAGAGACAAACGATTAACCGGTCCATCTAGCACAGTCGAGGCCTGTTCGTAGGGGTCGGAGACCCACTGGGAGGAGTATCTGCCTTCCTCTTTTCCGCCCTCCTCGCGCTCTCAGACATCCACCGGTTTTGAATGAAGTTGGTGATCCGTTCCGCGATGGCCACATGTCCATTGTATTGCGCTGCAGATAAAGCCGTATGGCCCATATTGTTGACGGCGTGAACGTCGACGTCTGAGCGGTCGAGGAGGTGCGTTACCACGCCTTCGTGACCTTCACAAGATGCAATTATTAGGGGGGTGTTACTTTCATATGCGGCGTTCACGTCGGCGCCATGTTCGAGCAACAGTTGGACAATGTCCGCGTGGCCCTTTTCCGACGCTAGTGTGAGCGGGGTCGAATTGCGGATGTTGTGGATGTTGACATTGGCTTCGCGGACTTGGAGGAGCTTCTTTACCACTGTCGTGTGTCCGTAAAACGAGGCTGCCATCAGTGCGGTCCATCCTTCGTTGTTCACGGCGTCGACATTGACTCCCCGAGCCAGGAGCAGTTGGTCGACCACTCGATCGTGGCCCCAGAATGAGGCTATCATGAGTGGCGTCCACCCGAAAGTGTTCGCAGCATTGACATTGACACCGGGGATGGAGATGAGGTGACTTGTCACTCTGTCGAGGCCGTAACATGCGGCATGCATCAGTACTGTCCAGTCATCCGTGTCCACACTGTCGATATTCACGTTCGGAGCTTGGAGGAGCTGGCTCACCACTCCATCGTAGCCCCACCGTGAGGCAAGCATCAGCGCAGTCCGTCCGCCCTCGTCTGCAGCGTTGGCATCGATGCCAGGGACCTGGACCAGCTGGCTCACCACCCCGGCGCAGCAATTACGTGAGGCGAGCATCAGTGCAGTCTTTCCGCCCCCGTCTGCAGCATTGGCATCGATCCCAGGGACCTGGACCAGCTGGCTCACAACTCTATCGCAGCCCACCTCCGAGACCAGCATCAGGGCAGTTTCCCCGCGCTGGTTTGCAGCGTTGGCATCGATCCCAGGGACCTGGACCAGCTGGCTAACCACTAGGTCGTGGCCGTATTTCGAGGCCAGCATCAGGGCAGTTTCCCCGCGCTGGTTTGCAGCGTTGGCATCGATGCCGGGGACCTGGAGGAGCTGCCGCACCACTCCGTCGCAGGGCGGCCGTGACAGCGAGGCGAGCATCAGTGCAGTCCATCCGCCCTCGTCTGCAGCGTTGGCATCGATGCCGGGGACCTGGAGGAGCTGGCTCACCACTCCGTCGTGGCCTTTCTCTGAGGCGAACATTAGTGCAGTCTTTCCGCCCCCGTCTGCAGCATTGGCATCGATCCCAGGGACCTGGACCAGCTGGCTCACAACTCCGTCGTGGCCTCGCTCTGAGGCGAACATGAGTGCAGTCCGTCCGCCCTCGTCTGCAGCGTTGGCATCGATGCCGGGGACCTGGAGGAGCTGGCTAACCACTAGGTCGTGGCCGTATTTCGAGGGCAGCATCAGGGCAGTTTCCCCGCGCTGGTTTGCAGCGTTGGCATCGATGCCAGGGACCTGGAGGAGCGCCCTGACCATTTCGGTGCACCCAGAGCCTGACGCACAATGCAGTGCAGTCTCGCCATTGCGTTCACGCCTCACGTTGATGTCAATGTCCGGCATTCGAAGAATTCGTTTCACGAAATCGAGATGGCCAAAAACCGAAGCGATGAGCAGCGCGGTGTCACCCTCTTCGGTAGTTGCATTGATTGGCGCAGCGTGGGCGTGCTGGGTCGAAGCGTCGGACTGGGTTGCTTGTGGGCTTGTCCGGGCGTTAAACGCATCGCGATCGTTGTCGAAGGTGCTGTCCAAGTAGAACGTAAGACCGTAGCGAGCCGCGACGTGGAGTGGTTGCAAAAGGCCGATGTGCCACCAGTAATGATCGACCGAGGCCGGAAAGGCGGTACACTGCCGTAGAAATGTCATCGCACAGTCAAGCGCTTCGGGTGAATCTCCGCACTCCAGAATATGGGTGTGCCAGTGGTCGTAGGAGTAATCCAGAAGCGGATGGCGCATTTTGAACTGATCAAAGGCATACTCATCAGTGCTGTCCCAACACACTAAATTGGTGTCGACCATCCGCTGAACCAAGACTTGACTAATGAAGAGATGGGGCTGGGGAAAGTCCCTGAGGAGGAGGGGTTCGAGTGCGTCTTTAGCTGTGAAATCTGGAGAATGGGATATGAGCAAATAGTGGAGGGTGCAAGGTGTGGTACTCACGAACGAGCCGAACAATATCACTTTCGCTGTGAACCTCGAGCAGACCACAGCAAAGGTCGATGATCGATTCTTCGTCGGGCATACGCGATTCTTGGATGCTGAACGTTTCGGGGTGAGCGCCGAGGGCTGCCCGCAGGTCGTGCAACGACAGCGGTGTGCGAGCGAATACAACCCAAAGTAGGGCCTGTTTCGCAATCCAGACGTCTTTCGGGTCCTGGCTTTCGATCCTGGAGATACTGGCAGCGTACATCCCTTCCAATCCTACAGGAAATTGGTTGAGACTTTCTTGAACTGCAGCCAGCGACCGACAAGTGCAGAGGGCTTCGATCTGCAGAGCCGCATGGAGGAACCTGCGCACATCCCTGTTAGCCAGTCCTCCAAATCGAACCGCACATCACACTTACATTCCAGCTGCCTTCTCCGCTATTTGTCTAGTGGCCTCCTCTCGGTAGTGATTCCGCTCCAAAATGCGGCACAGCGCCTTGTGTCGTTTCAGCCTTTCATCGATAAGTAGCCGCAGGTCTCCATCCTGCGCCAGGAACGACAGATATCGGGCATTTTCTAGTTCTGTCCTGAGGTCCTCCAAGGGGCGAGAGGCAAAGATGACATTCCCCTGCAGCCGCTTCAACGCCTGGATCAGATCAAACTGACGTTCGCGATCGACTTCGTCGACGCCGTCAACAACGTAGTAAATGCGATCGAAGTGACTTTCCAGTGTGATGAGCAAATCGAGAAGATCGTCGTCGGTTGGGTTGGTCTTTTCGAGCTCGTGACGTCGGTAAAGAGGCTCGACGAGGTCTGCAAGATGCTGATGACGCTGGATGATTTGCAGAATGAAACCCTTGAAAATGTCACCGAGCGAAAGAAGGTCGTCGTAGCGGTTGTAGACGAAGAGGACGCAGATTGTCTGTTCTGTGGATTTTTCCAATGGTTGGAGGTCATCTACCACCCGGGACCTAGTGTACGTTGAGTAATGGCCTCGAAGACAACTGGGCAGAGCGCTTTAGTAGAACTGTCTTCCCAGCACCAGCTTCATGGCGAGTTAGACCGGAGCTATATCAAAAGGCATATGTACACTCACGCATGCCAGTACCACAAAGGACAGCGCCCTTTCTGCCTTTCCAATCTTGATACTCCTTGCTTTTGATGAACCAGTCTCCGGTCTCAGGTATCCGATTCTTCCTCACATCGTTGTGGATCGTTCTCGAGTTCGACTTGAGATTGAACCAGGCGGTAATGTCAGATATCAGAGCGTCTAGGCAGGTCCGGACGGTAAGGAGGGTAGAAATGACGAGGATAGTCAAGGACTCACGACGAGCTTCAGACGAGTTGGAAGGGGCGGCATTGGGGTAGATGTTATTGATATGCACGTTATGGTCTCCCCCAATTATTGTTCCACCGACAATGGTATTACCTTGGCCGACGACGACGTTTGGCACTGTCCCTCCAGAGATGGGCGCTAGCGACGAGGAGCCTCCCGTCGCAGCCTCCATTCTGTGCGACATAAACCCTGGTCAAATGCATGCTTCAGGTCTTGTTTTTAAAGCTTACCTGTGTTGTCCGGTAGGATATCTTGAGGTGGACATGCTGGATGAGAGTACCCTGGGCAGGGACACAACAGTTGGTGTGCGTGGTATGCTGACAACGTTTAAATGGGCGCAGAGAGGGCTGTGTGATTCCCCGGAAGATGCCATGACACGAGGAGATGCTGTGAAGAGCTACTGCCACATCCTGTGAGCTAGGAGGTCTATGGAATTAGGCGAACCATGAGATCCCACATTGCCTTCGTCAGACGTATGAGAGGCAGTGAGTCCCAAGCTGTCCACATAGAGCCAGGAGTTTGGACAAGAGCGACAGCATTGCAATTTTAGGAAGCTCAATGACAAGTCGTTTTTGGCCAGGGCCCTCGAGAATAGAGCATCTCAGTGCACAGTCCCCTAGAGTGGAAATCCTTTGCTTTGTGGTTCGGTCCTGCGATGGAAGACGGCCAAGGAATAGAGCTCGTCGATGGAAAGTGAATCGCGTTTCTTACTGTTGAACTACGGATCATCGGATTCCCACGCCAATCCCCTATTTCTACGAGCGAAAGTTACAAGGATGCCACAACAAACCATGTTTAGCGACCTCTGCGTCTATTATCCTATTATTTGAACCGTGATTCTGCTGGTGAGCGACTTCTATCGTACAAAGCACTCGTCATCTGGCTCTTACGGTGGCCCACTGACTGGACAGCTTTGAGCTCAGAGTATTATCTCCCTATGTACCTTTCTCTATAAGATCGGTTTGAACTAAGGACAAAGACTCGGAGTATAGGAGGGTACGAGGACAAGCCTATGATGTTCTGTATGCCTGTCCAACTACTAGTTAGGCCTCAGGGTACACCGTGCGCACTCATAATCTCGTGCTCTAGAAATAGTCAAGGATGTACGCAATCAAAATACAAACCTTATTTGCAATGCCATTGGCCTACCAGAAGGATAAGCTTAAGGTAAGTTCTTCTAAATGGCCAAGTTAACGCTACAGTCGAGAGCTCGGAGGGGGGGAGCAGCGAACCCAATAGGGGCACATCCATAAATGGAAATCGGTAATGACTGAACGCGCTGCCGCGTGGGTGAAGAAAGCCTCTTGACCATCGTCCACAACGTCCTCGACGACGTCAAGCTTTACTCGCCGCCATGGACATCGATACTGTCGAAGAACAGCCATTCAATCTGCCTTCTCTTCCATCCAGCAGGAGGCCCATCATCGCGCCCGTCGACGACGCCCACCCATTTGATCTCGAGGGCTACATTGCCAACTACACAGGTGGGTTTTCTCGACGTTCTACGGCAGATTAGTTTCTGAAAAGACGCTAGGGCGTACCGCCATTGAAAGGCTGATCCACATAGTGGTAACATGCCCTTCAATCGCTCCAGAGGCCTATCAACTGGCCGTACAGCATATTCATCAGTCTCGAGATCCCTCGCTATATCAAAGCCTTTTATCTGCGTATGAACAGGCGGGAGCCAATGCTGGTGTGCAACTACCGAGTCCCTACGACTTGGCTCAGCTGGATACGAAATGGATGGACGAGACGATCGCGAAGAACGCAGCGGATAAGAGCAAATTGGAGGTCGAGCTGAAGACGTACACGAACAATATGATCAAGGAGAGCATTCGGGTTCGTTTCAAGCTACCAGTATGCAAGATTCTTCGCTGATGTTGTCCATGTAGATGGCGCAAAGAGACCTTGGGGACTTCTATAGGGAAACGGGAGACTATGCTGCGTCTTTGAGGCACTACACGAAATCGCGAGAGTTTTGCACAACGAGCCAGCATGTACTGGACATGTGTCTGTCGATTCTCGAGGTGCGTAGTCTTTGGCTGGCTAATTACTCGTCGTATAACCTCAATATCAGCTTCTGATCGAACAACGCAACTACTCTCACCTCACCACCTACGTCTTCAAAGCCGACGCAGCCCTCGACGCCGCGAAGGCCGCCGCCAATGCCAACAACACCTCCGCAACAGCCCCTGTCCAATCCCGAAAGAAAACTTCCTCCGATCGTGAAGACGTCCAGTCCAAACTCGACTTTGCCACTGCTCTAAGCCACTTGGGACAGGGCAACTACGAGAAAGCAGCACACCACCTCCTCAAAGTCGGTTCGCATAAGAATTTGGGCGATTGGGTTGGGAAGCTTGTGGCTCCGGGTGATATTACGATTTACACGACGCTGTGTGCGCTGGCCACCTTTCCCAGAGGATCGATCAAGACGAAGCTGTTGGAGAATTCCGATTTTAGCCTCTACATTGAGCAGGAGCCGTACATCCGGGACCTCATTCAGGCTTATCTTAACAGCAACTTCAGAACTGTCCTCGAGCTGCTTTCAAGATACTCCGTACGTCCATTTCTTCGCAATATCACGTTGACGACGCTAACCTGTACGCAGACACGACACTACGTCGACATCCACCTGGCACCCCACGTCCACGATCTCACCAACCTCATCCGAAACTGGGCAGTCGTTTTGTACTTCCAACCATTCGCAACCATTCGGCTTGATAGGATGAGCGCTGCGTTCGGATGGTCCGTGGAAGAGGTTGAGCAGCAAGTTGTTCAACTCATTCAATCTGGACATATCCAGGGACGAGTGGATAGCCAGAACAAGGTTAGTGTTGCGACCACGCCTTGTCCTCTTGAACCTGGCTGATGCCCTCCCGCTTAGATCCTCCAAGCCAAGAAGACCGATCCAAGAGCAGAACTGTTCGCCAGGGCTACCAAGGCCGGAAATGACATCCAAGCCGCGAATCGTAAACTCTTGCTACGAATGAGATTGTGAGTGCCCTGTCCTGGCTCTTTCGTTGATTGGTGGCTTACTGAGACGTGATCGTACACAGACAACAGGCAGACCTTGTTATCAAGCCCCCGAAAGGAAGCAACCAGCAACCTACGAGTGTGGATTATCTCGTTGGGGGAGATTGATCAATCATCGAATTCATAAGCCGCGAACACTGTGTACTATATTCACTGGTTTCTCATATGCGTTGACGATTTCATGTCTTGCGGACCTATTCATACCTCCCAAACCTTTTCTGAGGCTGAGCATACCGATCGTTGCAATTCGTTTGGACATGGAGCGAATAGATGGCTTACACAAGCTAATGATGCTCGTGGTCCTGGGCGGACGCAGACGGAGAAGGCGAGTAATTCTGTGAATGCTTCGTTCATTAAGATTGTGTAGCAGTAGAGCTGGGGGTCCTGATTTGCTTGTATTTCTTGTCCCATATCGTCGGTTGTGATTGTGTCTGACCGTGTCTCATTGTAGGTGTCTTCCTCACCTGGTAGTGTTTTAAATTCGTCGATGCACGATTTCCAGAAGGCCTTTGAAACGCAATCTTGAAATCAAATAGGGAAAAGGGCAGCGGGCGAGTGTACACGCGTAAAGTTGAATCCAAACATTGTCCTGACCATTGTGAGGGATGCCATTTACTCCCCTACTAATTACTATGGTCAGTGGGCAGAATCTGGTCGCAGTCAGTGGGGCATTGGATACCTCGATTTGGGCGAGATTTCTGACTCGAATAGCATGTCTAGCTGTCCTCACTGCGAGCTCGTATGGCGTTTCGTTTGGCCTATTACGGGGAGGTTTTTCCCCCTCCTTCCTTTGGATTTACCTGAATTGCACAGAAATCTTTGGCCGCTCCACTGGCAATATCGAGAGGAAGTTACCTATGTACGTTTTTGTATTCTTCGTTATATTGCTTGCAGACAGTCGTTATCGAATCAAGAAACTCTGTAATAATAGAAGGCGAGTATTCTAGTCGTGGCGAACCTGAACACGACGCGCGACGCGTCAAAGTTAGGGGCATCATTTACCCCTAAACTAAGCCTGCCGATATAGGCACACTCAGCAGGGTGGTGGAGGCGCAATTATTGCGAACAGAATCATCTTTTCAGAATCTGTACCGGAATACCAGAAAGTTCATTGCCGATCGGTATCACCAGAAGTCACAGGAAATGTCTGGAGGGCAGGGAATGTCAGATTCCTTAGTATTTGCATCCAGAGTCGTCTCTACTAATATCCAGCGATTCGGTCAAGGTTCTTCATGGCGCCAACGGGCCTCAGAACCTGAAATAGGTCCTCTTATGGAGTAAGATGACACTCCGACTCCGACTCTCGGAAGATCTTTCTACGTGGAACTATGCCGTTCCGTCTTATCAAGAGAGTGCTACAGCGTGACCAGGTTTGGATGAAGGCCCTGAGCCTGGAATCAGAATCTCTACCACGTACATATTAAAAGTTGCTGTAATGCGACTATGACATGCGCGTCGTTTGGACTTCTGGGTCTACATGGGCCCCACACGCTCACAGCTTCGTGGCGGACTGAATACCCACAAGGTTTGGCACGCTTTGCACCACTCCAAAATTTGGAAGGTCTCGGGTAAGCTGTGGGCGCCGTGGTTCAAAGAATACAAAAGGATCTGCTTCCTTTAGGCGCCTTTCAGGGTCACAATGTGCCTGGCTAATCCTTCTTTGACACAGATTGTCGAGCTCGCACCACGGCACCCACTCCATGGTGGAAGACACCCGGCGTACCTGGACCGGAAAAACTGTTCCAACCTGTTCACCTCGCCGTGACCACTTTCCTCACTCCTTCGCACTTTGTACCATCCCAAATGGAAGAGCAAGTAGCAAAAGTGGCAAGGTTCTTTGGAATATCGCGGTTCGAGCGGGGCAAGCTAAAACCCAAACCCAACGCCGCAAACCACTTGTTCTCATATCAAACCTATATATACTCCCTGCCCAAACACAGCTGTCCATCAAGGATCAGCTTCCCACATGCAATTCAACGCACCCTGCATAGCGCCTATGCTCTTTTAGGGCTAAATTCAACACGGTTTACCTATATGTAAGTCATTCTGGTACCTACGGTCATTCTGTGTCCCATCCTTCGCTGTGGTCTCCTTCAAGTTGTACCTCAAGGGTCAGTTTCCCACCATGTCGACGGCACCTGGCACAGGCAAGCTCCAATCCGAACCGGAGAAACGATCTCCAATCCCCTCGCTCGACAAGGTCGAAACCTTGAGCGACACGGTGGATCCCAAGTTTGAATGGCGGACTATGTAAGGTCTTTCATTCTGGGACACTCAGCTCGCCGGCGGACATGAGTTCTGACGAGTTCATCTAGGCTATGGATCGATTTTCGGATCCTCCCAATCCTGGCACTGATCTACTCATTTGCCCTCATCGACCGTATCAACCTAGGCGCTGCCTACGCTGCTGGCATGGATAAGACCCTGGTGCGCCCGGTTTTCGTGGGTCCTAAACCCCAAGACCTTATTGACACGCCTCCACAGGAGCTGACAGTCGGAGCGCGTTACAGTATTGTGACATGTCTCTACTTCGTGCCTTACATCTTACTGTAAGCCACTTTAGCCTGTCTCTGCATGGCCTCTGGCCGTTGACCTGGGTCCTCACTGGCAGACAACTCCCCGGAAACCTTGTACTCCGGAAGCTCGGAGTTCGTAACTGGCTTACCTTCCTGGTTGTTGCATGGGGCACTGTCCAGTTGGGCATGGGCTTTGTGAAGAACTGGGAGGAACTATTGGTCACCAGAATTCTGCTCGGTGTCTTTGAGGTTTGTAACGATTGTGCTGGTGAAGGTGCACTATTTCCTAACCTTTGGATCTATTCGTTTTAGGCGCCTTTCTTTCCTTCCTTACTCTGGATTATCTCTGCATGGTACAAGCGTCATGAGGTACAGAAGCGAATGGCTGCTTTCTACCTCCTCTCTGTCACTGCGGGCGGTTTGAGCCCCCTGCTCGCATATGGACTCAGCCTCTTGGAAGGCAAACGCAACCTCGAGGGTTGGCGGTGGATCTTTGTATGTATCCTATTCCTTGTTTGATCGTCGCCGAAGGTGCTAACTGTTATTGTATAGATTATCGAGGGGGCGATCACACTCTTCCTGGGCATAATCTGCTTCCTGTTCATTCCCAATTTTCCAGACGAGAACAGGTTCCTCACCAAAGAGCAGACCGATTTCGTCATCAAGCGGATCAACGACGATCGTGGAGACGCTCTTCCGGACGAGATCACATTCCAGAAGGTATTGAAGCACTTGAGCGATTGGACATTGTGGGCGTACGGTATGTGTTTCTATTCGTCTCGGACCACAATGGTTAAACTCTTGGCTTTTGATCCAGGATTTATCTTCATGTGCTGTACTATGCCCAACTATGTACAGAGTTATTTCGTCCCAATCATCCTCGCGGGAATGGGATATGATAAGAAAGGAACTCTTCTTCGAGTAAGCTAATCCTTATCCTTCCTCTATATTGCGATTGACGGTCCTTCAGACAGCGCCCCCCTACGCTCCCGCCGTGAGTTCTCCCTTCTAATCTTCGTCTGACCTGGGCGCTGAAAGAAACTTGCCATCAGATCCCCGTTACCATCCTGACAGCCTGGCTAGCCGACAAGTACAAACACCGTTCAGGGTTCATCGTCATTGCCGTCGTCGTTTGCTTGCTCGGAAACGGTTTGACTGCATGGCATCCCGACAACAAAGTACGGTACCTCGGTGTGTCTTGTCCCATCGTATACCTTGGTCGATATGACTAACCCCCTTGTCGCATTATAGGTGTCTTCCTCACCAACGCTGGAAACTCGGCTTCTATCCCTACCGTCCTCGCGTACGCAAGTAACAATGTCGTTAGCCATAGCAAGCGGTACGTACGAGTACTCTCCATCCGTCGCGCAGATTCATCCTCACGTTTACCCAATATTAGTTCTGTGCAAACCGCGTTGAGCGTGGCATTGGGCTCCATGGGTGGCATCCTCGCAGCCACCTGCTTCCGCAGTCAAGATCGGCCCAAGTATATTCCAGGTACGTTTAATCGCCCATCGCACCGGCAATGTGCTCATGATTTCGTTACGTTGTCTAGGTCTAATTGCCACTATCCTCTCGCAAGTGGTGGTCATTATCCTCCTCGCTATTCTGAGCATCCGTCATACCTACTGGAATAAGCGAGCCAAAGAAGGAAAACTTTCGGAGCCCCTTGAAGGACAACCGGGGTTCCTCTACACTTTGTAGCATGGACGATCCTTACCTTTCTCGCAGTAGGGAAAAAAGAGTGACCAGCTCGTCCCTCATTGTGAATCTGAATTCAATCCGCTGCACATTTTACTGTATCGTTCTTTCTTATGGGGTTTTGCCAGGCGTCATCACCAAGCCGTTTTCCAGATCGTCCACAAGTACATACCAATTGATCCATGCTGCCATCGGAAATTCAATCCAACACAAAGCTTTAATTGGAACGTCAACCTAGGGGCGAATTGCAATCGACAAATCGTGGGCCGTGACTCGGACGCGTGACAGTGGTTATCGATCAGCCGAAATCGATATAAGCGCCCATACTAGGCTCTCCTGGGCGGCATTATCCATTCGCGTATACATCACCACTTATATGTACATAGTGATGTTCACACAGGAGATCACCAGTGAGATCGTAGCGGTTTCGCATGTTGACCGCTGGAGTATGATCTGAGAGACTGAGACGATCTGGGCCGATGGAAATCTCACTGGGCCTACGCGTTTATCGGCGAATACGATCGCGTTCAGGACGCGCCCGATTTGACTGCTCATGCCCAGTGAGATTCCCCCCGTCCCAAACCATCCCAAACCATCCTCCGAGTTACAGAATCCAGAAGACAAGGAGAGGTAGCTTGCCTCCGAAAATTTCATGGCAGGTGAATGCGCAAGCGAGAAATAATTTTCATGAGAAAATGCATATGGCTAAAGGAGAGCACAGGTCGACTTTGTTCAATGGTTCCGTTGTGAATTAAGCACGATCCCCGGCACTCGATGAAGTAGCCGGACAATGGCTTTGTGAGCCCTAATTGCGGCACCCATCAGCACTGTCCTCTCCTTGGAGACCCATCGATCCCTTGTGCTCGAAGTTGCTCGACGACGTCAATGAAACCCAGCCGTGCACTGCTACCATCGCCGCCCTTCCCTCCCAATCCGTTGGCACTCGAATAAGTCGCTCTACGATGGCTTTGCGACCCTTCTGCGCGTCCGCTGCCACTGCGGAGTGGGTGAACCACACCCTCGTGGCCTTTACTATGCGAGGCCGAGGAGCAATGCAGTCCACTCTTTGTCGTCTGCAGTGTTGCCGTCAATGCCATGGAGCTGAAGGAGGTAATAGTAACGACAGCGGAAACTTGTGTGACTGTGTCAAAGCCGAATGCAATGTACACAAATTGGCCCTCCTGCTCAGCAAGTTGAAGGACGAAAATCATAATATTGTTATACGCGTAGTTAGGTTTACATGCGTAGGACGCTGGAAAGTTCATAGGACATGCTATAGGCTAGGAGTTTGTGGTAGCGGCCATACCTGTACACGAAGCAGAAAAGCTCAAACTTTACGAAAAAAGAGAAAACACAGTCAAATGCCATGGTGAACAAAAGGAACCCAGCGATGGAAAGACGTTCCCTTGTCCCGCAACTCCTTCACAGCAAGATGCAGTCCATATGCTGCGTCAGTGATGTCTGGCGGGGCCGAAGTACCGTGGCGGAAAAGATGGCGATAGAATGCGTCGGCTACGATGGGGCCGTCCGTGTCGTGGATTACCCTGCATTTCAACGAACGCAGTTCAGTCAATGTAACATGCACGCAAGCAACGCCGTACTCACCACATGGTCGCAACCACACTACGGAAACCCGCAAACTGCATTGTGGCAGCCAGAGTGAGGGACTCGTCTGGACGTTCTACATCGCCCATGGCAGTCTCGCAGGCGCTCAAGTAGGCAAGGGCAGCTGTCGAGGCCTGACATTCCTGAATGAGTGATGCCATCGTTAAGCGCCTTTCACTGAGTAGCAGGCAGCTGTCGAGTGGATTTGATAAATTCTGCTTGCCGTGGCAGCCAAAGTGGACAATGGATGCAGCGTTGATGTCTTCCACAATGGGTTTTGCAGAGGTTGTCTTTGAACCAATGCGGGTAATTAGGCGACCCCTGTTGGGGATGCGCGACTCGATCTTCTCGAGCTCCTTCCTGGTCGCTGGAAGGCTGGATTCCCCCGATGCACGTCCCTCTGGTTCGATCACAACAAGCATCTTGAAATCAGGGTTGGGTTCGGGCGGGGGTGCGATGAGGTCCTGGGGAGTAGAGCAATAAGACGAGACGACGTAGTCGGATAAGCAGTCACGGTTGGATTCCGAAGAGGGTGAGGATGGATAAATGCCCGCAGCATGGATGGGAAGGAAGGTGAAAAGACCGGTTGGACACCACCACATTCGACGCGGTTCGCTGGTCTAGTGGCCGGTTAGCGATCGATTAACTGGTATGTATGACCCACCTTACCTTCTCGAACCCGAGTGCGGAAATTACCGGCTTGCCCACTTTCTTCCAAAGTTTTGCCAGTACATCCCGAAATTTGTTATCGATCGTTCGACCCTTTCTGGCGTAGGCCGGCCTGCAAGCACGGTCTGCGAGTCCACAGTAGTCTTCAGTATCGGTTCGCCCAACGCTTATTGCCAGTTTCCGAACCGTCGCTACCAAACGCTCCAACTCCTTCAAGTTTGTGGGCAGTGAGTCAAGGCGGTGAAGCCGGCCATCCTCCTTGAGAATGAGAGCATCACAACCGAAGTGACTCGCATTCAGAAAGACAATCGGTCCTTTGCTTGCTGCGGTCTTGAGGACATCAGGGGAAGGGGGGAGCATGAAATCGTGAAAGCCTTCGATGGCTCGGATCTTTGCGATGATTTCTTCCCTCTTTTGAGAAAGAAGGTACGGAGTACTTGCGGACAGTATTGGGCCAGTTTGGGGATTCTGTTCGGTCGCCATCTGCAGCCGGCGAGTAGCTGATCGGAGTTCCGATGCAAGGTCCGGATGGAGAGCGTCGAGGCGGTCGAACGACCCACGTAATTGAAGAGCTTGAGACCAAAAGACAGACCGTGCGGTGGAGAGAAATCCAAGCGCTGTTTCGAGTTCATTTTGCTCGAGCGCACACTGGACTGCATCCTTTGACAAATCCTTCGCGTGGACGAGGACGTTCTGACGTTGTTCGAGCGTGAGGTCGAGGGAGGCTAGGACGGGAAGCGATGATATGCCATTACCATAGGCCTCCAGTGCGGTGTGGGCACGATGGAATTCACGGCAGTAGGATGCCCAAAGCCGGGCATGGGATAACCTGGCCACGGGCGATGCGCCATACCACTGAACGCCACACTTGAGGAGGTCGAAAATCTCGTTCAGAGTGTTGTCGTCCCTGAAAATCTTGTACTCCTCTTTGAGAAACTGTACGAGGTGAATGACAGCCTGCAGTCCATCTGGGTGATTCCACATGGTGCGGGTGGAATCATGTTGGTCTTCGGGAGAGGTATGAGGGTGGGAAAGGATCGCCAGATACTCTCGCCCATGCACTATACATGCCTTGAGGGCTTCAACGTTACTGTCGCTCAGGAAACGTTTAAAAAGGGCTGCCGCCACATTGTTGAGCGAGCTTGCACGATCGGGATGCCCTTGAGGACGGAGAGCGAGCGCTTCCTTCTGGAACGCAATGCACTGTTCCAGGTCCTGGAAGTCGCCTTTGTTGTCGAAGCGAGCGGCGAGGGCTCCTGCGAGGTTGCTGAGCGACCCGGAACGGCCGGGATGCCCTTGAGAAATGAGAGACAGCGCTTCCTTGTGGAACGCAATGCACTGGTCGAGGTCCTTGAAGTCGCCTTTGTTGTCGAAGCGAGTGGAGAGGGCGCTGGCCAAGTTGTTGAGCGAGCTGGCACGGTCTGGATGCCCTTGAGGACGGAGAGCGAGCGCTTCCTTATGGAAGACAATGCACTGTTCCAGGTCCTGGAAGTCGCCTTTGATGTCAAAGCGAGTGGAGAGGTCGTTGGCGAGGTTGTTGAGCGACTCGGAACGGTGCGGATGCCCTTGAGGACGGAGAGCAAGCGCTTCCTTGTGGAAGGCAATGCACTGGTCAAGGTCCTGGAAGTCGCCTTTGTTTTTGAAACGAATGGAGAGGACGCTGGCCAAGTTGTTGAGCGAGCTGGCACGGTCTGGATGCCCTTGAGAAAAGAGAGACAGCGCTTCCTTGTGGAAGACAATGCACTGTTCCAGGTCCTGGAAGTCGCCTTTGATGCCAAAGCGAGTGGAGAGGTCGCTGGCGAAGTCGTTGAGAAAGCCGGCATGGTCTGGATGCCCTTGAGGACGGAGAGCAAGCGCTTCCTTGTGGAATGCAATGCATTGGTCGAGGTCCTGGAAATCACCTTCGTGCTGGAAGCGAGTGGAGAGAGCGTTCGCAAGGTTGTTGAGCGAGCTGGCGCGGTTGGGATGGCCTTGAGGACGGAGAGCAAGCGCTTCTCTATGAAGAGTGACACTCTGCTCCAGATCCTTGATCCGACCAGCGCAGGCGAACCGCTTGCCCAACGCAAAAGCATAATGCGCAAGCGTGTCGTGTCGCCTTGGATGCTGTGGAGGCCGGAGGGAAAGTGAGCGACGAAACTGCAAGATGGATTCATCGATTCCGAGTATGTCTCCTTCAAGTTGCATCAGCCGCGAACCCAGCACGTACGCGTCCTGTCCTTCTTGATCTTCGGCCTGAGCGGCTTGATGATACTGTGCCATTTCATGCAGCCCAATTACCCGTTGCTCAGGTCCGCATTCCAGGAAGTTGACAAACCCGACGTGTTGTAGGTGGCCAAAGGCAATGTGGAGCATGGGATCACCTGTTGCGAACGCTTCCTTGGCGTCATGAAACAATGCCCTGGCCGAAGACAAATCGTCCTCGTCGCCACAGGACAGGTACTTCAGCACCAGTGCATTTCCAGCACGGAGCGATAACTGTGCTCGTTGTTTGTCGTTGCCATCATGCGACGCAATGGCTTCATTAGCAACAAAGATGGCAGTTTCCAGGCTGGACTTGTCGATGGATTGTCGATATTCATGAAGAAGGTTGAGGGACAAGGTGACAAACTCAGAGCAGTGATCTCCCTCGGGCGCGGGACCCATCATCGACATCTGTGATTCACGCTGAGTGATTTCCAAGATCATTGCCTGTAGTTGCAGACTGAAATGTTAGCACTCACGATGAGAGTGCACTTGATGCGCGTGTTATCTTCCAACAATCTCACTCCTTCGTCCAGATCGTCCACCCATCCACGACAAGCAAAGCGGGTTAATAGCGCTTTGATCAGGGCAAGCTCAGCCTTAGGCTTTCTGTCGTTATCGCCGTCAGCTTCGCGGATGGCCTCTCGTAGAACGGTAATCGCGGTTTCGAGGATATCTTGCCGCATACCCGTCGTAACAGACTCCAGTAGTTCATTCACGAGAACCAAAGTTCCCTCCAGCACATCGTTTTCTTGTATAGATACTTCTTTAAGCGTCCCCCGAACAATGGCGATGGGATGCATACCTGCAAGTTGCATAGTCTAGAAGCAATCAAGTCAGTCAACGCCTCGTCACATTAATCCATTGGGGCTTACCATGTCTTCATGCTTGTTGAAAGGGTTGTTATCCATAGGCAGGTTGGGAACGGTTGTGTTGAGAACACCGCTTTTATACCCCTCGGATACCAAGTGCATCGGTACGCGGACCCTCCGATCCAAATTCTCTAGGTTTTCAACAAGTTTTCAACGAGTGTGAGGCGGTACGAAAAAGAATTGGGGAAAATGAGAGGATCATGGATGGCATGTCGATACCCGTGTGTGGACTGGATTCAACTTTGCTTGGGTTCCGCATGACTCGGATTGATGCAACTGAAGAAATCCAAAATCAGTGGTCTTCTCTACTGCGCAATGATGCTCCTACACAGTAGCCTTCACTTTCGCCCACATTTACCTGAATCTCGTGCTCCATGGGCCGACCTCATCGTCCAATTGGTCGAGCCGCATCCCCTCAACATCATCATGTTGTTCTTTCAAAACCTATTAGCATTAATTCATGTTTTAGTTTTCTTTCTCACTCGCACACGCCTAGGGCTAAAGGAAGATCGCATTTCACGCCAACTGGTTCAATAATTCCTACTCTACATCCTACCAACGCGAGATCGAAGTGCAACAAGCGTGTTACGCGCCGTCAACTTGTACTCTGGGGGCATCAATGGCAAACTATGCTCGAACATCTTAATTTGCGCCTCCATCTCCTTCTTCTTCATTCCCAGCTTCCCATAAACCTTGTACGGAAAGACCAACAGATCCCAATACCCAGTATCCAACTCATCGAGTCCCTCATCCTCCATCCTCTTCATCATCGCAAAGATCGGCTCCAGGACGCTCTCTTTGAGATTCGGATCCTTCAGCCAGACATTCTCCAACTGGCGCTGCCAGTTCCTGATGAGAACGCCACACATCTTGCGCAATTGGTCGCTCTGGGGCGTGGCATTGACGCAGGCGCGGCACTTGCATTCGAAACCGTACGGGGCGAGGTCGGCTTGTCGCTCGGCCTTGGACTGGTTGAACAAGGTGTAGGAGAGGAAGATTTGCTGGCCCGCTTTGATGTCCCTTTCGGCTCGGAAGGTGACGGCAAAAGTCATGGGATCGAACGATTGTTTCACGTCGGTGATGCAGCTAAGTTGGGAGTCAACGACGGCGAGATGCGATGGTGAGTAAAATTGAGCAACGACTACCAAAGCACTGAGGCGTACCTGTGGTTGAAGCGACTACCGATCCTCGTGACGAAGGTGTATCCGGTCCTATAGAACTCGTTATCCGTGGAAGAGCAGCCAAATTCCAAGGCGAATCCATTCGTCCTGCTTCTACCTATGATAGGGCCGCTCCCGTCCTCGGTGTGCGAGTTCCCAAGGGCCATGAACTCGACACGATCCTCGTCCGACATGGTCTTGTCAAACACCTTCTCTAAATACGCATCCGCATTGAGGAGCATGAGCTGGTTGATCTGGTTGGTGGTCAGCCGCCCGTACGCTTCGTTGGTGATAGGACCGAGATGGCTAAGCGAAAGAGGCGTGGCAAGGAACGGACGCTCCACGAGGACGACGTCGTATCGCGATATGTCCTGGGTAGCGAAGACGCCCAGCCCCATGCCATCCGACGTTTCCTTCACAGCGCATTTGGGCTTCATCGGAGGCAGAGGTTTGGGGAAGCCCGGCTTGGAGAACCAGCGAAGTTGAGTGGCACGTGTGGCGATCCACGTCGAACGCTGCTGCACCTTCGAGGGCGATTTGTGATTAGACGCAGGCACGACGGCGGCGACCAGCTTCTCGGGATTGTCTGTTGCCGAAGACGCCCTCTTCTTGCTATTGTGGTTAACGAATTCGGGATCGCTCTTGATCAGATATCGTTCATAGTCGACTGGGACTGGGCCCTCTGTTAGCGCTGTTCCCCTTCAGGCCAATGTATAATCGTGGTCTTACGTTTGTCCAACTTCAGCTTTCCAAACCCCGGTCGCGAGATGGAGACTCGGAGTCCTGGAACGACGACACAAAGTTCTGATCAGACTTAATACTCTCTCGACGAAATCATGTCCTTACCTTTATCGACGTCGAACACGACTTTGGGATCAGAGGCTGAAAGAAACGGTTAGCAAAGCTGTAGACACGTACATATGTGTAGACGGAGAGATGTGAGAACGTACCGAGTGTTTCTTGGTTGCTCATGGTGGTTCTGTGGATAGCCCTGGGGTAAGCCAGCGCTGCAAGATAACGATCACCTTTTGTATAAATAGGTTTCAGTCGGCGGACGTCAAAGTTATCGATCCTGCAATTCGGTCACGAGAGAGAACTTCTCTGAAACAATGAACCTTTTCAAAGTACGCGAGTTGACAGCATGATGCCAAGCTAGCTGGCGCGAAAGAGGTGTGTGTGTTTGCACTGTGGCTTTTGACTCACAACCTCGAGGCAAAGCGCATTGTAGCCAGGCGCCTGGCACGACCAACATGAGGCTTGCCTTCAGCGCAGAGCCACAGACCAAAACGAATCCTGATAGGCATCACGCACATGTAATAGTCTTGGACGCCGTTCGCATTTCCTGTGCGCTCCCTTGCACCCCGGACGACCGTATCAACAATCTTCCTTTGAATAAATTGATCAGAAACACCGTATATCCTACAAATCAGAGATGTAAACCCGTTTCTCCTTCCCTTTCAAGCCAAAGTCAAACCCAAACTTCTGCTTCGCTCCCTCCTTGTAATCGTCGCTGATCACAGGCCACTGGTACTCAAACCAGACCCGCAGCGCCGCCTTCGCCTTCTCGGTCAAACCCAACTTGGTGTACACCCGGTACATGATGGGATGCAGTTCCCAGTACCCCGCCTCTCGCGAGTCCAGCCCATCCTCCTCCATCCTCTTCTTTAACGCCAACAGCGGGTTCAAAACGCTTTCCTTGAGCTTCGGATCCTTCATCCACACCGTCTCCGACTGTTTCACCCAGTTATCGATGAGCGTTTTACAAGTTTGGCGGAGTTTGTCACGTTGGGGTGTAGCATGCTCACAGGCGAGGCAGTGGCACGTAAAGTTGTAGCGAGCGAGCCTGGCTTGGCGGGTGGCTTTAGGCTGGTAAATGTTGGTATAGGAAAGGAACAGCTGCGAACCGGCTTTGATAGGACGGGCAGCGAAGTATATGTAACTGAACGTCTTCTGGTCGAAAGCCAAGAGTAGATTCGGCACACAGCTGAGGAGATCGGCTGTGAGCTAAAGACTGATGAGCAACGTAGACATTTCACCCACCTGTGATTAAATCGACTCCCAATCCTCGGAATGCCCTTATATCCATCTTCAAACTGATAGTAAGTCTCATCGCACGCGAAATCGACGGGGAGCCCAATCGTGGTTGCATTGGCCAAGAGAGGTTCGCTCCCAGCACCCTCCGTACCGTCCCCGCCCAGACCTGGCAACATCAAAAACTCCTCCCGCTCGCACTCCGTCATCGCCTGGAAGGCCTTTCTGAAAACCGGCTCCGAGTGAAGGAGCCTGAGGCGCTCAATTTCATCATCGTCCATATGCACGTAGGCGAGTGCTCGGATAGGAGCGACGTAGTTGAGTGACGCTGGGTAGATCATGAACGGGCGCTCGGCGAGGACGATTTCGTGGGCCTGGATGTCGTGTGTGGCGAATATGCCAAAACCCATGTCGCGCGTCTTCTTGACGGCGATTTTGGGAGGGATGTTGGGTACGGGCTTTGGGAAGTCGGGTTTCGAGGTCCAACGGGTTAGCGTGGGGCCGGTGGTTAACCAGATCGTGGTTTGTTCTGTGGCTAGCGTCTGCAAGGATCGACGCTTGGAACGAGCAGGCACGGGCGCCACGACGATCCTGTCTGGATTACTGAGATCGAGCTTCTTCTTGGCCCCGGGGCGGACGATCCTGATCTCATGCTTCGGGCGTAGGAGGAACTTCCTCCATTCTTCTGGGACTAAGACGATGCCTGTCAGCATGGTGGTACCCCACAGACCAGGTAGAGAGAATGAACTCACCCAGGCTATCGTCACGCGTATCTCTGGGCTTCCTACTCCCGCCCACTTCGGCAGGAACGTCCGACGTTCTGGTCACATCCTCCTTCGAAGGCTTCAGAACGGTGTTGATATAACGGGTAAGGTGCGCGATCTGCTCCTCAGGCCTGCCCTCCAATAATCTCGCCTCAGGATAATTCCCGGAGCCTTTCCAATTCTCCAACATCATCTCCAACAACATCTCTCGATGGAGAGTCGAGTCTGGGAACATGGACTCTGCAAGCTCGGGAAGCCTCTGGATCCAGGCAGAGTGTACCATGTGTCTCATATACTCGGAGTCAGAGCCTAGGTTGGGTATACTCTCTGCTAATTTGGCATGGATCCTGTCGGCCAATTTGTTGAGGTTCTCAGGCAAGGCGGATGCCGCTCCTTGTGGCAAGGGTTTCTTGCTTGCTGGACTCTGAGATTGAGAGTTTGGCGGTGATTGGCTGTTCGTCGAGGCGTTCATCGCGCGTAAAGTCGCTTTGGATCGTCTGGTTGGGGTCGTTGCTCGAGGTCGCAGTGAAGGTGTATGTGGTGTGGTCCGAACGATAATCGCAGGGCTTATAGCTGCCATCCTGCCTCGTGTATCCGTAACCACTCGGTCATAGCCCAACCAAGTGTGTTTGCCTGCTGTTCCGATCGACCAGCTGCATGATGTTTCCTCAAGGATTCCAGCTGTCGTTTATTCTGGGATTTCTCCCTGTTCCAGCCTCGACAGGCCGTACGCCAGATGAGGGGTACCTTGAGTTGGTCGCGTGGGGTCTGCGAGGCGATCAGGCGACCGTGCCAACGTGTCCTTGAAAGCTGGGCACTTATATTCTGCTCTCAATGAGCAGTTAGAGCTGGATACGCAGAAGAGAAAGGTAACCACACACCGGTGCCAGGATCGAGCACAGACTCGGTTTTGGCGTTGGTCGACGTTGTCAAGCCATTTTCGCAGGCCCACACAAAACCTTTTCGATGCAAGAGGCGGGGCATTTCATCCAGGACATGGCAGGGCTATATCCCCATAGTTTTAGCAGCGCTGTTTCTGAAACCTGATCCAACGAGCTCAGGCCGGGAGACCTTGGTGGGAATTTCGGTCTGATCCGAGGTTGGCCACGAACCCCGACGGTGGAACTTTGTTCAAGAAAAGTTCGTGAAAGCTGAAGGCAGAATGGAAAAAGGCGGCGTGATATCGAGCCTATGACCAGCATGCGACGTGTATCGAATTCATTCAAGTTGTCCTGACTGCTCCTAAGCTCCGTAAGCAAAAAGATAATTACAGCGGTCCTGAGGTACACGTGTGAGCAGCTACCGTCTACGGCCCAATTTAGGTCGGCGGGCAAAAATAAATGCATTGCAAAATATACGACGTCCAGGTCCTACGACACTGATGTTCTACCTTTCTACCCACGACCAATACTGTTCTCAAACTCTTGGAGTAGCTTAATCTTGCCTTCGCGGTTCCTGCGCTTTTCCTGGTCGGCGATCGCATGTAACGGATAGCGTAAAGCCTGGCCAAGAGCCGTATACCCCTCTTCATCCTTCAAATCCGTCCTGATATCTCTGTGCTTCAGCAGAAGCGACACAACCCCAGGCGTCGTGGCAAGCATAAGCGCCGTATACTTGTACCCCTGGACAGCATTGACATCAATCCGGTCGTCTTCAAGCAAAGCCTCAACGGCAGCTTCGTGTCCTTTCTCGGCGGCCATCATCAGCGCTGTCCATCCATGCCGACTCTGCATATTCGGTCGGATATCCTTGTGGCGAAGGAGTAAGCGAATGGTACCCGCACGCCCGGCCTCCGCTGCCAACATCAACGCCGTCGAACCATTGGTCTTCGAGGTGAGGTTCACCTGAATACGCAGGTGCTGGAGCAAGCGTTCCACCAGGTCCTCCCCTCCATGCAACCTTGCTACCCTCATCAGCACTGTTTCACCCTTGTCGTCCTTCAGGTTCACCTGGATATCCTTATGCGCAAGTAGATTGTCATAGGTCGACTCGTTGATCGCGCAATGCAATGCAGTCCACCCACAGTCGGATTGGAGGTTGACATCGACGTCAGGGTGCTGGAGTAGACGCTCAACAGCCTCACGGCGACCATGCATCGAAGCCTGGATCAGGGCCGTGTTTCCACCCGCATCTTGAAGATTGATTTGGCCTGTGAGGAGATGCTTTCCAGGTTTACTGTGGCCTCCGAGAACAGACTTGAGGATCGTCCGGCGGTTGAGTTTGAGCAGCTGGTCGATAACATCGGTCTGACCGTACTTCGCTGCAACGATGAGTGGCGTCGCCTGCCAGCCGCCCACAGTGCGCACGGTGACGTCCCCCTTGGCCACATCGGTCGCGAGTCGGTCTATCAAGGTGTGGAGACCATATCTTGCTGCAACATGGAGAGGGGAGAAAAACTCGAGAGTATGAACCCTCTCCACCGGATATGAGGTGCAAAGCGCGAGGAATTCGAGGACGTCTGCAGCGAGGGAGTCGGATTCAGACAGGCACTGCTTCGCGTGATATGCCCAGTGCTTGTAAGAATACTGGAGAGCGGGATGCTGGTTGAAGAGGCGTTCTAATTCCGCGGCATCTCGCAGAGTCTGGTTTTTGACGATGCCGTGGTCAACCAGCTGTTGTGCGGCAGCCTGGAACAGCAGTCCATGTGGATTTGCGAAGTCGTGCATCAGGACAGGGATGAGAAATTCTCGTGCTGTGAAATCTACTCCAAGGTCAGTCTCAGGTCATTTTTCGTGAACCAACCACTCACGGATGAGGTGGACGATATTCGCTTTCAGCTCAATGTGAACCAAACCACAGCAGACGGAGGCAAGAGAGCTTCCCTGGATCAGCGCGCCCTCGGGCAGAGGGTCTTTGGTGGAGGAAGCCCCGTCGCAGGTCAGCGCGACGAGGGAGCAAAGAAGGGAGAGGGTCAAAGGCTGGTTCGCAAACACAGCCCACAGCAGCGCATGTTTTGCAAGCGCCACATTGTCAGGGGGGATTTGGTGATTGATCCGCGCCATAGCTTCATGATACATGCCCTCAAGCCCTGGTGGGAAGCGTTCGAGGTTCTTCTCCACGCAGGTAATGGTGAGGCATTGGTTGACTATCTCGATTTGAAGGGCTGCATGAAGAAACCTGGAGTACTAGGCTCAGTCTCGATGTTCCTTGTAGAACGCAAAAAACCTGCTTACATTCCGCTGGACTTATTCTGTATCCTCTGTATCAGGCCCTGTCGCTGACCACACTTGTCCAAAAGCTCTCCAAATCCAGGAACTTTGTCGATCTTCTGGTTAACAAGGCGGACGATATCCGACGAGTCAGGGACGACCCGATAGAATTTGGTCGTAGGGAGGCCCAGCTCAAGCCTCCTTATCGGCCGAGAAGTCAACGCGAAACGTCCCTGAAGACGGTTGATAGCCTTGATCAAGTCGAACTGGGTTTCCACCACAGCTTCGTCCAGGCCGTCGATGACATAGAACACGATCTCGAAATGTCGTTCCAGCTGCTGCAACAGATCGAGTAATTCAGCTTGAGTCGGACGCGTTTCGCGGAACTTATGGTGGGAGAAAACGGGCTCGACGATGCTTGCGAGTGAGGGGTCGTATTCCAGGAATTGCTTGACCAGAGCCTCGAGGATTTCCTTAACCGTAAGGGGTTCGGAATAGCGGCAGTACGCGAAGATGACGCAGACTTTCCCTTTTACTGAGTTACTGTGTTCTTCCAGGTCGCGTATGGCTTTCGAGCTGTAAGCAACAGGGATCAGCACGTAATTCGCCAATAAGGTTGTTGACGGACGCACGCTAAAACAGTCTTGCCTGCCCCGGCTGCGTCCAAAAAATAGTTCGAATAAGTCTTCGATATCTCTCAAACGATTACTGACTCACGTATTCCAGTGCCCCAGATGATACGATTCCCTCCCTTCTGCTTCCACGACTGGTACAGCTCGTCTGCGATGAACCACGACAGTGTTCCATCAGCACACTTCTCCAGGTTCGCGCTCTGCGCCGCTCTGAAGTGCGCATTGGGCGCCAGCCACTCCATGATCTCTTTCAAGAGGCGTGCACGGGCCTGCGCTTCTTTCTCCCTCTCTTCCTTCAGCCGCGCCCGTTCTGTTCGAAGCAAAGGTCAACGAATTGGCCTGCCTGTATAATGTCTAGGTACCTTGCGCAGCAATCGCCCCCTTGTCGGGTAGCTGGACAACCACGGTCGTATGGACGTCCCCACCAGCAACGATCCCGTCGCTGATATGGGCATTACCGGAGAGCGAGACCCCTCCGACCAGCTGGGTGACCTGGACAGTCGTCGTCGATTCGGATTTCACTAGTCCATGACCTTGTAACTGGGACCATGGTATCATCAGCAAATATTACCTAGCTTCAAACACTGTGAACAAACCCACCTGCTGATCTTCACGCTCATTCTAACCATAAGGCTTTCAGCTTCACGCTCAGACGAACTGGAAGATTAATGAAGCACCTCTGGCTTTTCGTAGCCTCCGTATGCAGAGATCGCGGTGGCTTCTTTTTCTTCTGCTCTGTCCGCCGACTCCGAGGTCTTCTAATGATCATGACAGAATCTCAGCTTTGGGTTATAGACCAACAACGGAAATTACTCACCTGGAACGACACAGACTGACCCATGTACAGCGTACGGATTGCGCCAGTGGTGCCAGATTAGTCGCTTTTCCGCGTCCAACGAGGGAAGGCGGCGGCGATCGAGGTCAAACCAGAAGGGTAGATAGGTGAGATATATCCAAGGTACGTCTGTCTCCGGAGAGGGGCCTCTTGTTGGGTGATACTCAGGTTTGTGGGTCCGCTGCCAACTTTCAAGTGCCAAAACGGGATGTCAAAGCTCCTCGCCATTATTGGCGCCACAACCCAGGAGCCAGGCCCCCAACAAGAAGGGCTTCGAGGACCGCTGACGCTTTCGGCATGTTTACCAAGACAGCGGTGGTCACCGCGCGCGAGGAGGGGTTTTCAAGTGCGATAATCGCGATTCAAATGTGACCTGGCGGAAGTCATCCATTCTATAAACTTCCAATGCGTCAGCCTGAGTTTAGGCAGAGTCATGAACCGAGCAACAAAACTCACTAGGCCCTACACCTTGAACTGTCCGACTAATAAACACTGCATGTGGTGGAGGGACAAGCTCGATGAGACTTGAAGCCCCTGATCATCGAGGGCGCGGGAACAACCGGGGGTCAGTGATGCGCCTGATGCGGCTCTTGATGAGACTCCTGCCCCCTTCCGAGCCACAACCTCCAGGAAGTTCGACGACCCTAATATCTAATAGATGGTCTAGAGCCATCGTTGATTGATTTATTCAACATCTACACATATCGCTAGTGTGATAATCAGATGCTAGTCACTACCCTTGCTGCTTTCAAACTCCTCCAACAACGCAATTTTGGCCAACTGATCACTACGCTCCTTCTCGTGCCAAGGATAGCGCCTAGTCTGTGCGAGAGCAGTATACCCCTCGTTGTTCTTTAAATCCGTCCTGATATCTTTCCGCTTCAACAGGAGCGACACGACCGCAGGCGCCTTGGCCAGCATAAGGGCCGTATACCCACTCCCCTGGACAGCAAAGTTGACGTCCACCGCACCGTCCTGGAGCAACGCTTCCACAGCAGCCTCGTGTCCCTTCTGAGCAGCCATCAACAGCGCCGTCCACCCACCCGGGTTTTCAAGATTGGGCTGGATATCCTTGTGACGAAGGAGCAGTCGGAGAGCCCCCGCACGCCCAGCATCCGCTGCCAACATCAGCGCCGTCAGACCCTTCTTCGAAGTCAGGTTCACGTTGATGTTCGGGTGCTGGAGCAAGCGTCCCACGAGGTCCTCCGTTCCCCAAAGAGGCACTAGCCTCATCAGCAACGTTTCGCCCCAGTCGTCCTTGAAGTTCAACTGAATATCCTTATGGGCAAGGAGATGGTCGTACGTCTCCGCCCAATTTGCGATGTCAAGCGCAGTCCAGCCAGAGCTGCATCGCGCGTTGACGTCAACGTCGGGGTGCTGAACCAAACGCTTAACAGCATCGCAGTGAGAGTAGTTTGAGGCGTGGATCAGCGCCGTCTTTCCGTCTGCATCGCGAAGATTGATTTGGCCAATAATCAGGTGTCTACCGGGCTTGCTGTGACCACCGAGAACAGACTTGAGCATGGTCAGGCGACTGAGTTTGAGCAGCGCGTCGATGGCCTCGACCTGGCCATACCTCGCCGCAACGATGAGTGGTGTTGCCTTCCAACCACCCACAGTTCTTGCCGTCACATCTCCCTTGGCTACGTCGGTCGCGAGTTGGTCAATGAAGGCGTGGAGACCATATCTCGCCGCAACATGGAGAGGGGAGAACAGTTCGAGATCGTCCCCAGTCTCCACCGGGTACGAGTTGCAAAGTGTAAGGAAATCGAAGACCTCTGCGGCAAGAGTGTCGGATTCCGATGCACTCTCCTTCGCGTGATATGCCCAGTGCTTGTAAGAATACTCGAGAGCCGGATTCTGCTTGAGCAGGCTATTTAGATCTTCGGCGTTTCTTAGCGTCTGGCTGTTGACTATGCCGTAGTCGACAAGCTGTCTGGAAGTCGCCTGGAACAACAGTCCGTGGGGAGTTGAGAGGTCGTACATCAAGACGGGGGTGAGCACGTCCTTTGCTGTAAAGTCTACCACACATGTCAGAACCCCGCCAACTGTCCAAGCAATCCGACGACTTACGGACGAGGCGGACAAAGTTTGTCGCCGTCTCGATACGAACCAACCCGCAACAAACCGACACGAGAGAGCCCGGATGAATCAGTGCTCTTTCGGGAGAGGAATCGTCGTCGGTCGAGAAGACACCTTCGTAGGTTAAGGGTAAGAGGCGGTAGAGGAGGGGTAAGGTCAAGGCTTCGTGTGCAAACACGACCCACAACAGCACATGTTTCGCAAGCGCCACATTGTCAGGGGGAGTCTGCCTATTGATGCGTGCCATGGCTTGATGATACATGCCCTCGAGCCCTGGTGGGAAGCGTTCGAGGTTTTTCTCCACGCAAGCAATCGTCAAGCATTGATTGACTATTTCAATCTGTAGAGCTGCATGCAGGAACCTAGGCCGAACGTTAGTTGGCTATGGTTCAAAAGTAAATGGATTGCATACACACATTCCACTCGACTTGTTCTGTATCCTCCGTATCAGCTCCTGCCGCAGGCCATACTTGTCCAAGAGTTCTCCAAATCCCGGAACTCTATCGATCTTCTGCTCGACAAAACGGACAATATCCGACGAATCAGGGACAACGCGGTAGAATTTGGTCGTAGGCAGGCCCAGCTCAAGCCTCCTTATCGGCCGGGAAGTCAACGCGAAACGTCCTCGAAGTCGGTTAATAGCATGGATGAGGTCGAACTGGGTCTCCGCTACAGCTTCATCTAAACCGTCGATCACGTAGAATACGATTTCGAAGTGGCTTTCCAGCTGTTGCAATAGGTCTAGAAGCTCAGCCTGCGTTGGTCGTGTTTCGCCTCCCTTGTAGCGCGAGAAGATGGGTTCGACGATGCTTGCTAGGGAGGGATCACATTCCAGGAACTGCTTGACGAGAGCCTCGAGGATCTCCTTCACTGTAAGAGGCTCGGAGTAGCGGCAGTAGGCAAAGATGACACAGACTTTGCCCCTGACTGAGCTACTGTACTCCTCGAGGTCGTGTATAGCTCTGGAACTGAAACCAAAATGAGTAAAGTGATTGTCAAATGTCTCGATTGTCCACGTACGCGAGTACAGTTTTCCCCGCCCCCGCTACATTTGAGCGTCCGTCAGCGCAAATTCTGCATACCATCAAATCGGGGACAACTCACGGATTCCAGTACCCCATATGATACGATTCCTTCCCTTCTTCCACGACTGGTACAGCTCAGCCGCGATAAACCACGACAGAGTTCCATCAGCACATTTCTCCAAATTCGCGCTCTGCGCCGCCCTAAAGCGGGCGTTGGGTGCCAACCAGTCCAGCAGCTCCTTCAAAAGGCGTGCACGAGCCTGTGCCTCTTTCTCCCTCTCTTCCTTCAGCCGCGCCCGTTCTGTTGGATGTGAAATTCGAAATCAGTAACCGAACCTTGTATATACATTGTCGTGAGATGGGTTAGGTACCTTGCGCAGCAATCGCCGCCTTGTCGGGTAGCTGGACAATCACGTTTGTATGGACGTCCCCACCAGCAACGATCCCGCCGCTGATACGGGCATTACCGGAGAGCGAGAGCCCTCCGATCTGCTGCGTGACCTGGACGGTCGTCGTCGGTTCCGACTTTCCAAGTTCATTGCTCTGGAACTGAGACAATGGAATCATTAGCATATGCTACCTTGCCTCGAATGTTGCTCATAAACACCCACCTGTTTATCTCCGCCCTCAATCTAAGCGTAATACCCTCAGATCCACGCGCAATTGAGCTACTTAGCAGACTGGACGACGCACCTGTATCTTTTCGTATCCGCCATACGCGGAGATCGCAGAGGCTGCTTTCTCTTCCTCTTTCTCCCCCGAACCCGAGTCCTTCTAACGAACAACAATATGTACAGCATGTCAGCGGGTGCTTGAACGATCAGAATCCACAATTACCCACCTGGAACGACACAGATTGGCCCATTACAAGGCACGATTCGCCCCCAACGAGGGTAATAGGTGGCGGATTGAGGTCAAGGCAGAAAGGTGGGCGGGTGAGATAGGTCCAGTTTCTGTCTCGAGAGGGGAGGCACTTCTGTCAGGCGGTGCAATGGCTTTGCCGGAATTCTCCCTCAGGTTAGTGAGTCCATCGTCAACTGTGCCATAACGGGATGTCAAAGCTCCTCGCCAGGTTGGTGGGCTCAACACGAGCCAGGCACCGCTCTTCCAGAAGACGGCTTCGAAAGTTGCTCGTTCTTTCGGCATGTTTACCAAAATAACGGTGGCCACCGCACGAGAGGGGGTACTCAGGGACGATAATCGATTCAAATGTGACCGGGAAGAAATCATCCATTTTACAACCTTTCAGCGCGTCAGATGGAGCTTAGGGAGACGGAAACCGAGAAACAGAACTCACCGAGCCCTACACCTTGAACTGTCCAACGAGTCTAACCAAAGGTGTCAATCAAGGGAAAATCTACCATGGCGGCGCGGGTTGAAGACTGGGAGCGCGCGTCATCAACGATGCGAGATCAATCGGCGCCAAATGATGCGCCTGATGCGGCTCTTTAATTGATGGGGCCAACTTGACTCCGAATGCAACGTCGACGTCCTACAGGCAGTGGGCTCTCTGAAGTTGTAACGGTCGTCCTCACAAATCTCTTACTGTGTTGCTTCCCCGTTACTCGAAACACAACCATCAAGCACAACACTTAATCAACCAAAAGCGTGAAAGGTTCCCAACCCATACGGTGGAGGGAAATATGGGATACATTGGCAGGTCGGAGCGACTGTACATGGAGGCTGAACAATACAATGCAAGCTCCTACCGACCACCGTTGCTACCTCTCTCAAACTCCTCCAGCAATGCAATCTTCCCTGTCATATTCCTCCGCTTCCCCTCCTCAGCAATGGTATGCAAGGGATAGCGTAGAGCCCGTGTGAGAGCCGTGTACCCCTCGTGATCCTTCAAATCCGTCCTAATTTCTTTACGCTTCAGAAGCAGCGACACAACCCCGGGCGTCGTGGCGAGCATAAGGGCTGTATACTTGTACCGGGCCTCGACAGCATTGACATCAATCCCATCGACTTCAAGCAACGCCTCTACAGCTCCTTCATGCCCTTCACTCGCCGCGAACATTAGCGCCGTCCATCCATATGGTAGTTGAAAATTCGGTTGGATATCCTTGTGACGAAGGAGCAGTCGAACGGCCCCTGCATGCCCAGCTTCCGCTGCCAGCATTAGCGCCGTTGACCCGTTTTTGGACACCATGTTCACCCGGATATCGCCGTGGGCAAGTAACCGTTCGATCCCCCATTCGTGTCCGCGCCTCGCCATTTTCATCAAAGGAGTTTCCCCGGTAGTATGCTCCTTCAGATGCAACTGTATATCCTTCCGCGCAAGGAGATGGTCGCACGTGGGCGCGTTCAAAGCACAGTGAAGTGCAGTCAGGCCAGAGTTGGATTGGATGTTGACGTCGACTTCGGGATGTTGGAGTAATCGCTCGACAGCCTCGTGATGACCGTTCAGCGACGCTTCAATTAGAGCCGTTTTTCCACCAGAATCGCGAAGATTGATTTGGCCGGTCAGGAGCTGCATTCCTGGCTTGCTGTGTCCACCGAGAACAGATTTGAGGATAGTCCAGCGGGTGCCAAGTTTGAGCAGCCTATCGATGACCTCGACCTGGCCCCACTGCGCCGCAACAATGAGTGGGGTCGCCTGCGAGCCCCCCACAGTGCGCACCGTAATGTCTCCCTTGGCTACATCCGTAGCAAGTTGGTCGATGAAGGTGTGGAGGCCAAACTTCGCTGCGACATGGAGAGGGGAAAGCCGTTCCACATTGAAGGATATTCTTACTGGAAACGAGGTGCAAAGCTTCAGGAATTCGAAAACCTCTGCGGCGGAATGGTCGGATTCAGAGGCGCACTTCTTTGCGTGGTATGCCCAGTGGTGGTAAGAATATTGGAGAGCAGGATGCTTGAAAATCAACCGATTGAAATCCGCGTTGTCTCTTAACGCCTGGCTGTTAGCAATGCCATGGTCAACCAGCTGCTTGGCTGTCGCCCGGAACAGTAATCCATGGGGATTCGGGAAGTCGTGCTTGAGGACTGGGATGAGAAATTCACGGGCTGTGAAATCTATACCATGATCAGTACTTAGACCACCTTTTAAGGGAACCAGTCACTTACGGACGAGGCGAACCAAGTTGCGTTTCCTCTCGATGTAGACCAATCCACAGCAGAGAGAGGCCAGTGACCGTCCATCAATCAGTGCTCCCTCGGGCGGGAGAGTACTGTCGGTTGAGAAAGCTCCGTCACAGGTGAGCGCGATGAGGGAGTACAGGAGGGGTAGCTTCAAAGGCTCGTTCGCAAATACAACCCACAATAACGCATGCTTAGCAAGCGCCACATTATCGGGGGGACTTTGTCTGTTGATGCGCGCCATGGCTTCCTGGTACATGCCCTCGAGACCTGGAGGGAATCGCTCGAGGTTCCTCTCCACGCAAGTAATCGTCAAGCACTGTTTTACGATCTCGATCTGAAGCGCTGCATGGAGAAACCTAAACTGAACTTGAGTCAAATTCCCTCGATGAACAGGAGCACTACTTACATGCCCCTCGACTTTTTCTGTATCCTCCGAGTTAACTCTTGTCGCTGACCATACTTGTCCAATAACGCTCCAAATCCCGGAACTTTGTCAATCTTCTGGTTAACAAGGCGGACGATATCCGACGAATCTGGGACGACCCGGTAGAATTTCGTAGCGGGCAGACCCTGCTCCAGTCTCCTGATTGGCCGCGAAGTCAACGCAAAGCGCCCTCGAAGACGGTTGATTGTTTGTATCAGGTCGAATTGGGTTTCTGCCACAGCTTCGTCCAGTCCATCGATGACGTAGAACACAATCTCGAAGTGGCCTTCCAACTTTTGCAGTAGATCGAGCAGTTCTTCCTGTGTCGGTCGTGTATCGCGGAACTTGTGGTGAGAGAACATGGGCTCGACGATGCTTGCGAGCGAGGGGTCGCATTCCAAAAACTGCTTGACGAGAGCCTCGAGGATCTCCTTCACTGTAAGAGGTTCGGAGTAGCGGCAGTACGCGAAGATCACGCAGACTTTGCCCTTCACGGAACTACTGTGCTCTTCGAGGTCGTGTATCGCCCGTGACCTAGGATCAATGTCAATTAGCATGCCAATGTGTAGAAGACATTGATCGACGCACGCTAAGACAGTCTTTCCTGCCCCCGCTGCGTTTCGAAGTGATCAGAATAAATAAGTACTACCCGACGTGTTGATAACTCACGAATTCCAGTGCCCCAAATAATGCGGTTCCCTCCCTGCTTCCATGACCGGTATAGTTCGGCTGTGATGAACCAGGACAATGTTCCATCAGTGCACCTTTCCAAGTTCGCACTCTGCACCGCTCTAAAGTGTGCATTGGGCGCGAGCCATTCCAAGATCTCTTTCAGCAGGCGTTTTCGAGCCTGCCTTTCTTTCTCTTTCTCCTCCTTCAGCCGCGCCCGTTCTGTTGGAAGTGAGATTCGAAATCAGTAACCGAAACTTGTATATACATTGTCGTGAGATTGGTTGTACCTTGCGCAGCAATTGCTGCCTTGTCGGGTAGCTGGACGACCACGTTCGTATGGACGTCCCCACCAGCAACGATCCCGCCGCTGATATGAGCATTACCGGAGAGCGAGACCCCTCCGATCTGTTGGGTGACCTGGACAGTCGTCGCCGATTCGGATTTTCTTAGTTCATTGCTCTGGAACTGGGACAATGGAATCATTAGCATATGCTACCTCGCCTCGAATGTTGCTCATAAACACCCACCTGCATATCTCCGCCCTCGATCTAATTGCAATACCCTCAGATTCACGCGCAATTGAACTAGCAGACCGGACGACGCACCTGTAGCTTTTCGTATCCGCCGTACGCAGAGATCGCACAGGCGTCTTTCTCTTCCTCTTTCTCCCCCGAATCCGAGTCCTTCTAACGAACATTGCAGCATGTTAGCGGCGGCTTGAACAACCAGCAACCGAAGTTACCCACCTGGAACGACACAGATTGGCCCATTAACGAGGCACGAATCGCGCTAGTAGCGCCAGCCCAGTCGACTTTTCGTCCCCAACGAGGGCAATAGGTGGCGGATCGCGGTCAAGGGGCAGAAACGTAGTAGGCAAGTGAGATAGATCTTTCCTCTGTCGAGAGGGAGGCCTGTCGTTGGGTGATGCTCAGGTTTGTGGGTCCACTGCCAATTTCCGAGTGCCATAACGGGATGTCAAAGCTCCTCGCCATGTTGGCGCCTTGTCACGATCCAGGAGCCAGGTTCCCCAAAGGAAGGTTTCGAAGGCCACTGAAACCTTCGGCATGTTTACCAAAACAGCGGTGGCGACCGCACGAGAAGGCGTTTTCAAGTGCGATAATCGATTCAAATGTGACCTGGCAGAAATCATTCATTTTACAAACTTTCAGCGCGTCAGATAGAGCTTAGGGACCCGGAAACAGAGAAACGGAACTCACCGAGCCCTACACCTTGAACTGTCCCAACGAGTCCAAAAATATGTAAGTGTTGTGTAAGTGGAAGGAAAATCTACGATGGCAGGCATGGTTGAAGGCTTGAAGTTGAAGCGCGTCATCAAGGACGCGGGAACAATCGGCGGCGCTAAATGATGCGCCTGATGCGGCTCTTCATGGGGCCAAGACTCCGAATGCAACGTCGACGTCCTACACGCAGTGGGCTCTCTGAAGTTGTAACGGTCGATCACATATTTCTCTTACGGCGTTGCTTCCCCGTTACCCGATACTCGACCATCACTTAATCGACCAACATTAGAAATCGGAAACGTCGGAATTACAGAGCCATTTGGGACAAAAGCCTGAAAGGTTGCCAACAGCCATCCATACGTACGTAGTCAAGAAAGCATCGAGTGGAGGGAAATATGGGTTACAGGCAGGTTCGCATGACTATACATGGAGGCTGCACACTACAATGCAAGCTACTGACCACTGTGGCTACTTCTCTCAAACTCCTCCAGCAATGCAATCTTTCCTTCATGATTCCTCCGCTTGCCCTCATCAGCGATCGCATGGAGCGGGTATCGTTTAGCTGAAGTAAGAGCAGTATACCCATATTTATCTTTCATATCCGTCCTAATCCCTTTGCTCCGGAGCAGAAGAGACACAACGCCAGGAGTCGAGGCGAGCATGAGTGCAGTGATCCCCGCCCACCCAATGGCAACATTAACATCAATGCCCTCGTCCTCGAGTAGGCCTTCGACAGCAGCTTCATGGCCATTCTCCGCTGCCAACATTAGCGCCGTGGTCCCATCGCGGGCCTGGTGGTTCGGACGGGCATCCTTGTGCTGAAGCAAGAGCCTAATGGCGGGCGCATGCCCCACGTCCGCTGCGTACATCAGCGCCGTCCACCCCTTCTTGCATGTAGCCCCAACCTTGACATCCCGCCTCGAGAGTAGCCGTTCCACCGCCCACTCGCCTCCCGGCGACTTTGATACCGACATCAGCATCGTCACCCCTTCTTCATCCTGCGAGTTGACCTGAATGTCCTTGCGTGCGAGTAAGCTGTCCAAGGTCTCCTCCGTTCTTGCACATCTCAAGGCGGTATACCCAAGGTTGCTCTTAGCGTTGACATCAACATCGGGGTGTTGGAGGAGTCGTTGGACAGCCTCATCCTGCGCATGCATCGACGCCGTAATCAACGCCGTCTTCCCAGCCGAATCTCGAAGGTTGATTTGGCCCGTAAGGAGATGCAACCCGGGTTTGCTGTGGCCACCGAGGACGGATTTGAGGATCGCAAGACGGCCAAGTTTGAGAAGCCGATCGATGACCTCGACATGACCATACTGCGCCGCAACAATCAGCGGGGTCGCCTCCCAGACGCCCTCGGTCCGAACAGCAACGTCGCCCTTGGCCACCTCAGTCACGAGCTGGTCAACAAACATGTCCAGACCATACCTCGCGGCAACATGGAGGGGTGAGAGTCGCTCGAGAGTCCACCCGATCTCCAACGGGTACGAGACGCAAAGTTTAAGGAACTCGAAGACTTCGGCGGCCAGACTATCGGATTTGGACGCGCCCTCCCTCGCATGGTATGCCCAATGCTTGTAGGAGTACCCCAGGGCGGGGTTCTTGAGCTCCGCTGGGGCGAATTTTGGAGCGGCACCGAATGCTTCATAGTTGGGGATATGGTGGGCTACCAGATGGCTGGTAGTTGCTCGGAATAGCAGACCATGGGGGTTGGGAAAGTCCTTGGACAGGATGGGGGCTAACACCTCCCTGGCCGTGAAATCTATCATATGAAGTGTTATCAGCGTGGCTGGCCTACAAGTTGGCAAGTGAGTCACTTACGGACGAGGCGCATCAAGCTTGTCTTCTTCTCGAAATGAACCAAGCCGCAGCAAAGGGAGGCGAGAGTTGCTCCATGGACCAGGGCAACCTCCGTCTGTGGATTTTCTTCACTCGGGATGGCACTATCGCAAGTCAGAGCCACAAGCGCCAGAAGCTTATACAGCGACAGCGTCTCATTCGCAAATACAAGCCACAGAAGGACGTGTTTCGCAAGTGCAGCGTTTTCCGGCGGGATCTGCGTGTTGATGCGCTCCATGGCCTCGTGGTACATGCCCTCCAGTTGCGGTGGAAAACGATCAAGGCTTTTCTGTATGCATGTAATCGTCTCACAGCGGTACACGTATTCCAGTTGAAGAGCTGCATGGAGGAACCTGAAAAACGAGGCATGAGCCAGCATTTTGGTTGGGCAAAAAAGGAATGACTTACATCCCGCTGCACTTGTTCTCAATTCGATGTATGAGCTCCTCGCGATGCCCGTACCTATCCAGGAGGTCACAGAACCCCGGGTCACCCTCGAGCTTCTGCTCAACGAGGCGGACGATGTCCGTCGGATCCGGCGTGACCTCGTAGAATTTCGTCGCAGGCAGACCCAGCTCCAGCCTTCGTATCGGCCTTGACGTGAGCGCAAAGCGGCCTCGAAGACGGTTGATAGCCTTGATCAAGTCGAACCTCGTTTTCACGATCGCTTCATCGAGCCCATCGACGACGTAGAACACGATTTCGAAATGGGTTTCCAGCGTCTGCAGGAGCTCGAGGAGCTCGACTTGGGTGGGACGGTTTTTTTGTCGAGATTTGTAACGAGAGTAGATGGGCTCGACGATGGTGACCAGTGAGGGGTCGCATTCGAGGAACTGTTTGACAAGAGCCTCTAGGATTTCTTCGACTGTGAGTGGCTCTGAGTAGCGACAGTAGGCGAAGATAACACAGATCTTGCCCTTGGTGGTACTGGCGTGCTCCTCGAGATCATGAATAGCTCGCGAGCTACACGGAATCATAATCAGAATGTCCGTTCTCAGAAAAATTAGACCAGTACACATACGCTAAAACGGTCTTTCCGGCTCCAGCTACACCCCAAAACCATCAGTACCCGTCCCAAAAACCTTTCGAACAGCCCTTGACTTACGGATTCCAGTGCCCCAGATGATACGATCGCCTCCCCTCTTCCACGACAGATACAATTCCGCAGCGATGAACCAGGAGAGCGTCCCATCAGCACACTTCTCCAAATTCTCACTCTGCACCGTTCGGAAATGCGCATTGGGCGCCAACCACTCCAGAACCTCTTCCAAGAGACGCGCCTGGGCTTGGGCTTCTTCCTTTTTCAACCGCGCTTGCTCTGCTGCTGAAATCTCTAAGTGAGTACCATTGACTCGGAATCAACTAGAAAAAATCGTGTATGGGTAAGTAAGTACCTTGAGTAGCGCTGGGAGATTTGGACGGTAGTTGGATGACAACGTTTGTATGGACGTCGCCGGCGGCAACGATCCCGCCGCTGATATGTGCGTTGCCCGATAGTGAGATTCCTCCCATTTGTTGCGTGATGATACGGACAGGTTTTTCATCGAGTTCTCCAGCCTGTAGTTTGTCGTATCCTCCATACCCGGATACCACTGCGGCGTCGTCCTTCTCGACCTGCCTGCCTTCCGACGCTGACTCCTGCAAGCCGAGAGCTCCCAGGTTAGTGTGCGTCGAAGACATGACGAAAACGGGGAGAAAGGAAGTGGAAACTTACCTGGAAGGACACGGCTTGCCCCATCGCGACGTACGGCTCTCTTTAGCTGAGCTCGAGCGAAGCGGTGACAGAACTCCAACCAAAATTTGGTCCCTCAAAGGGTGGTCACAACCTGTTGCGAGAACGGCTTGACTCGCAAAGATCTCTATCTCTGCCTCGAGGAGGTGGCTGTCAGGTGACGGTCCCCACATAAAACGTTGGTTGACGGCATTCTCGTCTCGTGTACATGTTGTGGGTCCACCGTGATATCCTGGAGAAAACTTGTTCTGGTTTTCCCATCGGTCAAGATCTAGAGACCGCCGCCAATCTAGGTTCGTAGGGTTCACAGCATCCTGACTCCCTCGAGGTCCTTCGATGATGGGCGCACAATGTATATATCTCGTTGTGACCGGAAACTCTGAGTCCACACACCCTCAGCCCCTTGGACGTCAGGCAAGTCCGTGCAAAATTTGCCCCGAAATTTCCCTGGAAGCCATTGAATTACTGGGAATCAAGGGCCATTTTTACGTCTACGCTGTCCAGTCAGCGCTCTACCAAGCAGTGAGAGAAGCAAAAGCGAAGCCAGTCACCTCGTCCAGATTACCTTCTGCATTCCCGAGGAGCAGGTGGAAGGCTGCCAAAATTGAAACCCGCCCTGCCGCTCCCGCCATCACTGCATTGTGCCTTGGCATCAGCCCGCCAGAAATAGGGGTCAAGACAAAGTGCATTCGGCAAAGTATGCAAGTAGATCACCAAGGGTTGCATTTGTACTACTTATAGCTATGTGGATGGTCAAGTCCGAAGAAGAGTACCATCCTAACATCCAAATCGAAGCTCCGCATAATCAATCGCAACATCCTGCCCCGTATTCAAGTCTATCGTCAGTTTCATTCAAGTTATGGTTCCCTGCAGGCCACCAGCCAAGGACAGAAGTTGACCCATCCGTTGGGTGCGTTGGAGTGTGGAAAAGGTACGTACCAGTGCGGCGCTGTCGTTGATCTGGACGGAGTAGGAACTGGCAGAGTTGGCCGATCTTCAGACAATTCAGACATGGAAGAATAACTTATATCTTCATACCCCTCCTCCTCCAGGCTGCATGACGAACCACTGATCACTATTAACTCTTCGAAGCTCTTTTGAATCTGACAACAAAACATAAACATAGGCCTCGTCGGCAGAAATGGAGGATAACACAGGGTTATTCATACTCACCCATGATGAGAGGATGCCAGCAACAAGTGAGGGATCAGACTCGCGTCGCTTGACGCTTCAACAAGGCGCTCCCTGGACGGACCCCGACGGTTCGTCCTCCACTCAACCACCTCTGAGACCCAGTACGTCGCCCCATCCCCGTCACATCACCCTCAGCGCTGAGGTCTACCACACTTCACCAAGTGCCACTTGACTTCAGTAGTGAGAGCGTCACGGATGTGGGATTTGCTGTGCGTGCGCAAATATGTGAGCGGCGTGGAATAAGACGCTTTTCGCAGGGGTAAGTTGGAGGATGACATGAGAGAGGTGGCCCTCAAGAGGGATGGGAGCCGCGGAGGGTTTGGCTTCGAATACGGGGAATGCGGCCGTTTCGTTTGCATAGCGTTCATTCAAGGTTGGGAAGATGCGAGTATAATTCTCTGGGGATTGGGATTTTACGACGCATGAGGCATAAAAGAAGGCTTAGGCAGCGCACCTGGTACGGCCGCCTCTGCGACAACCGCCGTGTAGTCGATAAGTCCACCAGGAACATCGTTCTCCAACAGACCGCAGGCTGTCAGAGCCGAGTGCCCGAGAGGTTCCAATGGCCTCGCAAATTTCGGTCTCGGATTGGACGACGGTCGACCTCTCCAAAGCCATTTCAATGTCATCGACAACAGGGAACGAGGGTGACGGGAAGGGGTGAGATCTTGCGAGCAAGGTAACACACTGACGGTCTTACTAGCGGATCGCTAGGTTGTGAATCGAGTGTCGCAATCATGCTGTCGAGCTGGTCTGCGAGTGTGTCTGTGGGCGTGGTGAGGTCGGACTCTGGAACGACAGACGAACGAAATTTCTGAAGCCGAGTGAGCGCGAGTTCAAGCTCTCAGGCGCTTAGAAAGGCAACCTTGCGTTTCTTGGATGGCGGCATGGTGGTCAACTTCCAATCTTGTCTGTGAAAGCAATATTAATTGCCGGGAGCCATTGAGCACCGTCTAGGCGTCCAGGATGGTTGTAGTCGCGCTCGAAGGAGGTGGAGAGCCCCTCGTGAGAAACCCAAGCCTTGTTGAACGACGCGGGCTACAGTGCCGTCAGCCCTTTGTCCCCGTCTCCCCATCCACCTTCGCGGGCACCAACAACAACGACGCGCCCTGGCAGCCTCCAGCAAAGGCTATCAAGAAGCCAGGACGACGTAATACGCCATATATAAGTACCAGGCGCTTGATCACGACTAACAGCAACGATGGCGTCCTATGGCATCCACGGCCATCGGTCGAATCAATCGTTGAGCCTCCAGCCTCCTCCAGGCGGAATGCTTCCAGGCAGCCAGCAGAGGCGCATGACGGTGTCCGCTATGAGCTCCCAAAGCTCATTAAGCTTGGTGAGTCCCAAATCCAAACCCTAAATCGAATCAACGCGCTGATAATAAAAACGTGGTTCATCCATCGTCCTACCCTGTTGATAGCCAGACGGAGGCCGCCAATCATCCCGTCCACCCTCGCCCCTCCGCAACGCGTTCACATTCAACTCCTCAACCGGTGTAGACGGCGACCAGTCCTTCGCTTCAGACGACGAAGACGACGACGATGCCCACCCAAGCAAATGGAAGCGATCCCCATCGCCCTCCTCGTCCGTCTCCAACCTCGCCGCAAGCTTCGTCCAGCGCGTGAACAACTTTGTCGGGAACATGGCGCCTCGCTCCCCGGGTGCGCTGCCGTCGGATGCCGAGTTGGAGGCGGAGGCGGAGAGGGAGAGGGAGAGAAGCAGGAGGGAGGCTGAGGCTATTCTGACGCGTGAGGCTCAGCAACGTAAACAAGTCGAGGAGCGCGTGCTGGCGATGCTTGGGAGCACGCAAAGTCTCCCTCCTCCCCCTTCCCGCGCTGCGACGATGCCGCCTACCACGCCGTCCCCCTCGGGCTCGCACAAGGAGAGCTCGTCGTGGTGGCAGACTGCGAAGAACAAGTTTACGCCCACGAAGGAGAAGGAGTCGCCGACGCCTGCTCAGCAGGTTATTTTGGATGCGAAGGCGAGGGATAAGAAGGGTAAGGGGAAGGAGGAGGAGGCGCAGTGGACGGCGCAGATGCAGCAGCCGATTGGAAATCTCAATATCCCTGTTCAGCCACCCCAGAGGAAACCGGTACCTGCGTCCCCGTCGTCACCTACACCTTCGAGACCGAATACTTCTGTCCCCAACCTGTCGCCTTCCCCGATGCGAGGTACAGACTCGATGGCCAACTCACCCTCACGCGAAGCACCACCCATGTACGCCCAATTCACTCCTCAAGGCACGCTCGACGTCCCGGCGACCTTACTCGCCATCGCCAAACGATTCGAAAAACTCGAGAAATGGACCATAGGCCACGTCCGTGCGCTCGAAGATCGGATGAACGACGTCGAGCGTTGGCTGGTCGATAAAGAGAAAGAGAAGGAAAAGGAGAAAGCCAATACCCCCAACAATCAAAGTCAACCCGACAACGCGGCGTTTAAGGAGGAGATGAACGAGATTCGGGACGAGATCTCCGAGCTGCAAGGACGCGTTGGGGAGCTTGGGAGGGAGATGGCCAAGATGGCTACGGCGCCGTCGAATCTTTCTTCTGGACCCAAGTCGCAGACGGTTAATGCCTCGGTGTCGATCGCACCCAGGCAGGCGTCTACGCAGCTCGTCCATGAGGATGGGCCTCCTATCTTACCGCCTATTGTCCCGGATCTTACTGGTACACCGAGGCATACACGACTGTCGTCAACAGCTTTGGACACCACCAGCCCGCCTTTGGCTTCGAATAACAGGACTCCCTCGGGTACCAAACTACCTTATCCTACCGGTGACTACAACTCCCCTCCAGACGCCTTCTCGCCTCCCAATTCGCCCCCCGCTTCGATCAACTCCAAGTTCCGCAAGTCGAGCTCGATCTCTGGGTTACCCTCCTCCGCCTACCCAACTCCCGTTTCGTCTACGCTCAACCGTCCGACCTCCCCACCGAGCACCGCGCCTCTGTCTTCCTCGCTCAGCCGGTCCCCGAATACTGCTAGGACGGATACTGCTAGAACGGAGAGCCCCACACCGAATACCAGCGGTCTCCCACCGCCCAAGCCAAAGGGTAACTTTAGGCAGAGCAGTGTCAGTCCTACACCGCGCAAACGGTACACTGTGGCGCTCGGTGGACCGATCGTTGCGCCTCCCGACCTCCAGTCCAACGAAGCTGAGCCTGTTCGTCGTGTCGGTACGCCCAATCCCAGGTTGGCTAGCCGTGACCGGGACCAGGATGAGGAGGATGAGGAGGATGATGGGGGAGAGACGATTGGCAAGTCGGCTGCCGCGAGGCTTACGCGTAGTTTGGCTACGAAGAGGTCTACGACGAGTTTGAATAGTGTGAATAGCTACGCGAGCGATCGTGGTGGTGGTGCGGCGGAGGATTCCGGTACCTATACTCGTGGAAGAGGAGACTACAAGTCCCCTCCCTCACCTACTCCGATGTCCAACAGGAGGCTCCGAGCGCAATCGGCGTACGGGTACTCGGCCGTTCAAGCTCAATCCTCGCAATTCGGTTCGTTGGCCAACGACTCGACGACGAGTTTGAATACGAACACGACTGCGCCGTTGAGGTTGAAAGTGCGGACGAGGTCGACGGAGCGGTTGGGTGGTGGCAGTGGTGGTGGTGGGGAGATTGGACCGGGCCCGCTTAGTGCGGGCGGGATTACGACTGCGACTGGAGGCAAGTTTGTGGATCCGTTGGTGCTGAGGAGGCAGGAGGCTGCTGCTACAACGAGTAAGCCGATTGCTATGCCTAAACCGTTGGCGAAGGGATCGATTGGGCAGTTGGTCGCGTTTTTTGATAAGGATAAGAAGTAGGGTGTTGGGTGTGGAGAACAAACCCTGTTTGTTGAGAATATAAGTATTATCTCTCCCTTTTTTGATGTGCTTTACCAGTTGTAGATTTTGAAGAAGTGCTTTGCTGACAATTTTTTGTTTTCGTTTCGTTTTTTTTCCTTCGATCTAGTCCACTGTTTCCCCTCCCACCAGTATTGCACTATTGCTTTGCTGTTTTGCTTGCCTCGCTATTCATCCAGTTATCATCTCCCCTAGTCTCGCATTCATCATCCCCTTCCTCCCTTCCTCCCTCTGTTTGCGTTACGACATTACGTCTACTCACGACCTCATACACCTTGTATACCTTTGGACTGAAAGCCTAGCTAACTAATGCCTTGTACACGACCAAACCCAACGAATAAAAAACGCGTTACGAATTTCTTCTGAATCATCCATCCCCAATTGCCGGGAAGGATTTACGTAAATGGCAGTGACACATCAGTGAGACGAGTTTTGGGTCTCGCCCGGCATCCCCTTGCTCCCTTCCCTCCTCCCATCCCATCCCCCCGCAGTCCCATTCCAAACGCGCCTTGGGGGTGTCGTGTCTCATCTCATCCACCGCCTCCTAACGTCACAAAACCAAATCACAAATCCGCATAAACTAATATATATATAAACCATAACAGAAAGGTCTAGGATGACAAGTCCAGCTTCAGTGCCGTCCTCACCCACCGTCTCAACTCTCGAACCCCTCTTCACGTTCCTCGCCAACGCACTGACGACGGTCGAAACGTCGTTCAACAAGTTACCCGGTTCGCAAGTCATCCAGCGCTATGTTCGAAGCTCGCATCAGAACGATCCAGGCAGGACTATTTTAGAGCTTATACTTGTCGTGTTTGCGATTCGAACTTTGCTGCAGTCGAGGACGAGGGCGAATCAGAAGCATTTTATTCAGTTTAGTGATAAAGTGGGTTATTTTTTCGCTTTATTTTTACCGGTTGGGTTATGGCACACCTGGCGATGCTCACGCATTTGTTTTGTGGATAGGAAATCGACGAGTTGGTGGAGGAGTGGACGCCGGAGCCGTTAGGACACGAGTTGACGCCGACGGAGCAGGCTGACCTGGCAGCCGTACCGATCGTCGCTGGGCCGAATGGACCGAAACCCAAGCTGGTCTCGACGGGCAAGACGGCGCTCAACCTCGCCAGCCTGAATTTCGCGGGTCTCGCTGGCAACGAGCACATCAAAGAGCGCGCCGTTGAGACGCTGCGGAAATATGGTTTGGGAAGCTGCGGGCCTCCTGGGTTCTATGGTACTCTCGGTATGTACTGACTTACAAGTTCGGCGAGTGCGTGACGTGGTGCTGATAACTGGGTTCTGTTCGATAGACGTGCACATCGACCTCGAACGCGACATTGCAGATTTCCTCGGCACGGAAGCATCCATCCTCTACTCGCAAGGATTCTCCACCGTCTCCTCCGTCATCCCCGCCTTCTGCAAGCGCGGCGACATCATCGTCGCCGACCGGGCTGTCAACTTTGCCATCCAGAAGGGCATCCAGATCTCCCGCTCGACGGTGCGGTGGTACGACCATAATGATTTGAAGAGCCTCGAGGAGGTGTTGATCCAGGTTGAGAAGGAGAGGAAGAGGAAGAGGGGGCCGTTGACCAGGCGGTTTATTATTACGGAGGGTATTTTTGAGAGGGATGGTGCGATGGTTGATTTGCCTAAACTTGTATGTCGTTTCTTACTTTCATTGGAGATGGGGAGCATGTGTATGCTAATGCACCGTTCTGCCAGATCGAGCTCAAGCAAAAGTACAAATACCGCCTCATCCTCGACGAGAGCTACTCCTTCGGTTCGGTCGGGCGTACCGGGCGTGGTCTCACCGAAGTCTACAACGTCCCAGCCTCAAAGGTCGACATGCTCCTCGGCTCAGCGGCGATCGGGCTCTGCGCTGCAGGCGGGTTCTGCGCCGGCTCGCAAATCGTCGTCGACCACCAGCGCATCAACGGTCCGTCATTCGTGTTCTCGGCTGCCATGCCTGCCTTGCTGGCTGTCAGCGCTTCGGAGGGTATCAACATCTTCCGTTCTACGCCGTCGATCTTTGAGACGCTGCAGGAGAATATTAGGGCTGCCCGCGCGATCCTGGATAAATTGGATTGTATTCATATCCCTTCGCATCCGGCTTCGCCCATCATCCATATCACGCTCAAGACGCCCTCGCAAGCGCCCGTCTCAGCGGGCCTGCACCCCTCGTCCGCTGCACTCATCAGTCCCACCAAAGCCCAGAAGGACAACAGCAAGAGGGAGTGGGATGTGGATTTGGAGGAGCGGATGTTGCAGGAGGTTGTGGAGGATGCGTTGGCGCAGGGTGTGATGATTACGAGGGCGAAGAGGTTGAGGGGACAGGAGTGGAATGAGCCGAGGCCGAGTATCAGGCTTGCGCTTACGGCTGGGTTGACGCGGAAGGAGACAGAGAAAGCGGTTAATGTTGTGAAGGCTGCGTTGGTTAAGGTTGTTGCGAAGAGGAAGTAGGTGGAGGTGGAAGGAGGATGTAAGTTATCGAGGTATAATCTTATAATGTAGATCCCATGACCCCATAGAGTGTTGTTCTCGTTTGTTGTGCTATTTCCCTTTTTTTCTCACTTTTTCTTCTCTTCTACCACCCGCTTCATTTTGTGACTTGACTACGTACGTACGGATGACCCCTTAATGTCTGTTAGGAACTTTCCAGACTTGTGGAGGGTTTCCTATTAATGTCTACTCCGAATTTTACGACTAGCGACTAATGTTGGGCTTTGGGTGTGTCCTGAATGTGTTAGTGAAGTTTGGTTTCGACGAAGAGGGAGAGCGGGATTCGTCGGGACCCCTATCTCGTCACCGCCGGAGGCTCGGATCAGGGTCCAGGGGGCATTCGTTCCACAGCGCCTACTAACCCTCAATGTGCATCAGGAAAAGACAATCGCCGTGGCAGCCGTGGCCCCACACCCTCCACACCCCTCCACACCCTCACACCATGGTGTGGGACTATACGGGGGTACGAAACCCCACATCTCGATTGTGGCGACACAACAACGTTGTGCGGCCATAATCCATGGCCATCCACAGCAGACAACACCTTTCAACGACGGCCCACAATCTTCATTTCATGGTAGACATCCGCAGTTGTAGGGAAACAAGCAAATATATTCAATATTCAGTGTATGATACATGAGAGTCTATGCAAACACGCTACTACGGGCTGGAATAATAAATCGGGGGCCAGAAAACTTACCTGGAAGACAGGTTCTACAAATCGGCAGTCAATCCAGCCCTCTGCAGGTTCGACGGTTCCTGGAAGGAACTTGGTGACATCTCAGAACCGTTTGGAATAGAAAAAAGTGTTTAGGGACGTACCCTGTGCTACGACCTCCAAAGAACATACACACCGGGGAAATCAGGAGATGAGCCTCTACGCAAGGATCAGGATATCAGTATCAATAGGGAGCAGCGGAACACGCACCTTTCGCTGAATCTTGATTTACCGGAGCTTCAGGCTGCTATCTGTAGATATGACGGTAAGTCGATCATTTTTTGGGCACCAAATGAAGACAATGACTTACCACATGTACTCCTGTCGCATACTCCAGAGACGCTGTGCTAAGACGTGGCTTAGAAGCGCAAGCACACGTACATAGAGAATCGAATAGGATAAAGGATGGGTGGTGGTGGTGGTGGTGGTGGTGGTGGTGGTGGTCAAGTTGAAGGAACGTCACGGTCGACAAATTTCAAATACGAGGAATCAACTTAGTCATGTGACCGCGTCAAACATCCCGCAAATTGAGATCCGCGCGTGGAATCTACTAAGTCGCGAGCATCGCAGTGGTCTATCCCTCTAAGAGGTCCTGTATTCCAAGTGTTTCATTCTCAAGCTTCTGGGGTACTATTTCGTCAAATATGCATGTTACAGCTCTAAACAAAAATAGTACGTTGTGGCAGGATGTGGATTGTGTATGGTGTGAAGGGGTGTGGAGGGTGTGGACTGATGTGGAGGCTGATCAGCCACAGGCGCCACGGCCTCCACACCCGCCACGGCGATTGTCTTTTCCTGATGTGACATGTCTGTATCGCTGCTCGACACTAGTTTCCAACGTATTTCGGCCCAGTCCTTCCATCTTCATGAGCTTGTGCGATATCAATAGATAGCAGTCTCTTGTATTGTGTGATGTGTCTAAGATGCTTCAGCCAAAAGTCCGCTGTAATCGAAATCATCTAAGATCTATGCTACGTGTAACGTCTGTGAGGGAGGGAGGGTAACCTATGATGTAGTACATTGTCCGTATGTACAGTCATTACCCGGCCAGTGGGACAGCAAAATTGGAAACGTGTCGGAGAAATTCTGTGTTGGCCTCTCCGCAAAATAAACTTGATATTAGGATGTAAGATAGGTACAAGTACTAGAATATGCAGTTAATCAATTCCGAGCCAGAATGGATCGGGTTCTTTTGTAGCAGGGAGCCCGAAGGTCAATCAGACCGCCAACGTGACTTCCTCGTGACTTTCCTTCCTCGTGATCTTCAGGCCCCTAAATCGCGTTTATAAATTACAGCCGTGAACTTTCCTACGTCCTCCTTCCAACCACGCGTATTCCCGTAAATCGACACCCATTTCCCTATGTTCATCCGAATAGAACTACATCAAAGCTGGATCCACTGCGTGGACGTCGATATCTTTCAGGGGTGCATCATTACGTCGGTAAGGGATACAACTCTATCCATTCTACAGTACTTTACTACCCACCCCGCTGCAATGCCGGCGCCATAGCTGACTTTGGACGACAGGGCTGGAAGCCAGGGGTAGCGTTGAGTTGGAGCACGAGGACGATGCGGTTGTGTTGTATGCTGTATATGACAGGCGATGGAGGTGAGACAGTGACATCACCGTGAGGCATTGGCCCGGAAGTTCGGAAGCACAGGGGGCTTCTGGCGAGGACCTTCGGCGCGCAGCGTCCGCTCCCCACAAGTGGACTTGTGCAGTAAATGGATAGAGATTTGAAAATCAGTGGAGGTGCTCGTTATCGGCCCCATACCTAGCCAGTGGGACGTGACTGTCACATCAAGTCACAGATTGATGTGTCCTCAAAAGGCAAGGACCTCGTTAATTGTCTGAGTCCTTGACTTCCATTTCGTCGTCATATTCTTCGTTTTCATCCGCATCCTTCTTCTTTTTGAGTTGGACGAGGTGTTTACCGTTCAGTGTGAGGTCAATTTCGTGACACATCGTGAAGAGGATGGTTTTTCAGACGTGTCGCGTCTTTCCCCTTTTGGTGTGTGACAGGTGCCATCACTGCTTGACCTCCCCCTCCTCCTCAAGATTAACGATTTCGTGGAATTCATCTATTCCACCCATGTATACGCGCTAACGTAGTAGATACGAACTGAAGAAGCACTGATATCCCTTTTTTTCGCTCCCAATGAACATAGATACGAGTGAATCTTAAAAGTACTGAAAAAATCACTTTTTCGACACCATCTACTGAGTATCGCAAGTGTCTCTTTAGACCGATAGTCTTCAAACTGCTATCCAAAGTGCATTACCTATCTATCTACCCCAAAACAATTTCTCCGAGGGAGATTCCATGACACCCAGGTTACAAAAAGCATCCTTCCCACTGGGGGGTCATTTCCCACTGGCCGGGTAATGACTGTATGTAAGGGGGTATCTCTTGTTTATGAAGCTTTGAAGTCGTGTCTAGTAGTCGATGGTGCATGTACGTGTAAAGTATGTGGTGTGTAAAAGGTATCGCATGTATCCCAAGTCCCGACAGCCTCTGACGTCTATATATACGGTATTTCGAAAGATCTCGAATGAGGTAGGGTAGGTAAGCGGGGCGGGGCGGGGGGAGGGGGGGGGGCGGGTCGAATGGGGGTGGCGGATGGCACAGTCCATGCATGTCCAAATTCTAGCGTCCATAGTTCTAGTTGTCCAGACTTCCCATAGCGATTGTTCAAAAACAGTAGTAGTTCCCCTCCTTCCATAAGCACTCGTTCCTCCAGGCCTGTGCCCATAGGTATAAGCGCTTCAAGTTGAGATGCGCAGGCCGTCGTCCCCCTGCAGTGCAATTCCCACATGTCGGGTCGTCGCCGCATCTCCTCGCGTGGTCTTCGAAGTTGAGTCGGATGGGTCCTTCACTTCCCCATCCTTTCTGCAGGTGTTTATCCTCCAGTGTCCCCTCCTTTCAAGCGGGACCGTACTCCGCGCATCGGCGCGCGCCATCCAATTTTTCCCTCTCCTCCCAAAAACAACCAATCCTTCCACATCCTCTAGTACAAGTCGGGTCCTTCCATCCTGAGCTTGTTAGCTTGAGCGACGTTAATCTCGAGACCCGCTCCTGAAGTACGGGCTGCGCGATAGACGATGTACGCGGCTGACAGCGCTGCCAAGAGACATGTTAGCCTCATCACGTAGAAAAACACAGAACGAAATTCAGTCTACTCACAGAATATCCCACTCAAGAACGCCAACGCGGACGAGAAGCACGCTGCGGCGCACCACGGCCCTACACCCTTCGGCGTCGCATTCTTGTTGCACTCGGGTGGCATCTGCGTAGCGAGCATCGTGCCGATGGAGATCCAGACGATTCCTAGGCCGACGAAGGAGACAAAGTGCGCTAGGGAGCGGGCGAGGAAGTGCGTGGAGAGGGGGCGCCGGTTGAAGTACATAAGGACGGAGAGCCAGAGCCAGGTGAAGATGGAGAAGCCGGCTGCGAGTTTGCCGAAGATGTCTGGAAAGAGAGAAGGGGTGGGTTTAGAGGCGAAAGGGTGGAAAGTGGAAAGGGGAGAGGGCTAAGGACGTACAGAGGTAAGGAGAGTTCCCGTTCACGAATCCTGCGTAGAACCCGAAGAAGGTTTGGAGGACTGAAGTGAAGATCGAAAGACCTGTAATTACCATTCATTAGACGCATCATTCAAAATCCCAGTAACGAGTTTGAACGCACCGTAGAAAGCTGTCCTGTGCACCATGGTTCTCTAGTTGATATTTCGCTCGTCGAAAGGAATGGGTTGTTGAATAAAGGAATGGAGAGTAAAAGGACGGTTGCAGTGCCTCGACGGTCGATATTTGAATGCGCACCCCGGATGGATCCAGACACTCGATTGATAGCCAAAACCAGAAGAGGGTATCTTGGTATCCTCGTGCAGAGCTCGATGCGAGGCGGCGTTTCCGCTGATTTCTTGATCCAAAGGTCCACTGGCAACGCAGTGCAATGCGTGTGGTCCGAGATACTGTGCCTTCAACCCCTAAAGTCTAGGGTAGAGTCGCAGCTGTACAAAAGGAGTCGAAAGTCGAAACACCAAACGAAGAGTCGAGGACACCGAGGGGGAGGGAGGGAAGGTGGGGATCACGAGGGGGATGTGCTGGGGATTTGGAAACCTCGAAACCGAAATGCAATCAGCGCTTTTGCTTTCGGGTCTGTGTATATGGCCCCACTTTGCTAAAATCAAAGTTTTGCGTGTCCGGGATTGGTGGTGAAAGGGGAAAGGATGAAAAATTGGGTGACGGGGTGACGATGTGGGTGTGGCTGACGATGGCACGACACCGGGGCCTGTAAGCTGTCGCTTTTTAGGCGACTCGGCTAGCGTCCTAGAACCAGAAATGTGTAACGACGAATTGAAATAGGCTGAAATGAATGAAACGAAAGGCGAGGAATGGAACGACAGGATGTCTACCTGTCTCGATGTTCCCTTGACAATGCCTGCGTTGACGTTTTTGAAGACACGAAAGAAGGCAAAGGCTGGGGGTAGGTAAGTTACACTCGACACGCCTATCGCCCTATTCGCGACTCGAAGAGCTCGAGCCAGAGTCTTTCGATCCCCTAATTTATTTTTCATTGATGCGAATACGTACGCCGTCGACAGGGTTCGGGAGGGTGTTACATATTACAGATCCCGTTTATGCCCTTCCTGGATCCTGGCGACATCTGAGACAGAGGGATGAGAATTGGATGATAATCGAAGGCGGTGCATTGGAGGGGAGGTACTAGGAGGAGATAGTCGTTGACAGCAGAAAGAGCGCGAAGCTCTCTCTCCGAGCTTGTGACGTTCCGAGCCAGAATGGATCGGGTTCTTTTGTAGCAGGGAGCCCGAAGGTCAATCAGACCGCCAACGTGACTTCCTCGTGACTTTCCTTCCTCGTGATCTTCAGGCCCCTAAATCGCGTTTATAAATTACAGCCGTGAGCTTTCCTACGTCCTCCTTCCAACCACGCGTATTCCCGTAAATCGACACCCATTTCCCTATGTTCATCCGAATAGAACTACATCAAAGCTGGATCCACTGCGTGGACGTCGATATCTTTCAGGGGTGCATCATTACGTCGGTAAGGGATACAACTCTATCCATTCTACTGGGGAGGGGCAGCGCGCGAGACAAAACGGCTGCTTAATAAGTGCACAGCCACCGTAAAAGTGCCAAATCGTAACTTTGTCCAGCTCTCCTCTGCGAAACCAGACCGAATCGTGTTATAAAGGCGTAGAGAAGTATTCTAATTAAGGTTAGATAGAGTACAAATAGCTGCTAACATATTCTATGTATAAAAGTCGTCGTAGTAATCATATTCATAGGAGGAATCATGTTCTGAGGTGACTGGTCCAGTTTCGGATGCACTGGGAATAGTTGGAGGCTCGACTGGAGGCTGAGAGATAGTTTGGCGAGACCTGTAACGAGAAACAGCGAGTTTGAGATTGCGAATTCGGTCGGACTTGAGCTTCATATGGGATTTGAGGGGAATTCGGTCGGTATCTGGAATAGATGTGATGCTCTTCTCCAGATCACGATGATAATCTAATTGTAGATTAAGACCGTCGTTTGTGAGCTTCTCGATGGCGCTGTCATCAAGAATAAGGTTCTGTCCTGTAGCGAGAATAGCATTAGCTTTTTCTTTTTCCTTCTCTTCCCTTCTCGCAACCTTCAATCGATTTTCCTCTGCTTTCTTTCGGTCTGCCTCCACCTGTGCCTCCTTCAACTGCCGTTGCAATCCATCCTCATCTCGTAGCCTCGCCTCCTTCCTGAGATAAATCTCGTCTGCTTCTTCTGTGAGCATGTGTTCGATAAAAAACTCTGTGCCGTTCAACTCTGCAGTAAAGGAAGCATTGAACTTGTGCAGAGTTTCAGACACCCGGCGCCTCTGTGCTAATCTCCACGAACCTAGGGCTCCCTCGTTGGCATCGTTTGTTGAAGCAAAGAATAGGTCGTCACGTTCAGCTTCGGTAAGGCTGTCAATTCCATTTCCCTCCCGGAACTCATCAGAAAACCGCTCGACAAATGCCTCCCTGGCACCTGTCGTAAATGCGGAGATTGAGTCGTCCAAATGCGGTAAAGTGGGCGCTAATTGATGCACGACGTTGAGAACCTCAGCGGAGAAGGTGTCAGGGGTGTTGCTGTCAAGGAAAACAGAGCCGTAAGGGTGACCCGGAGTAGACCAAACTGTGGGGGAAGTCGCAACCGATGCCAGAAACGTGTCCATCCGGTTGAAGAATGGCTCGAGTTTGAGAAGGTTCTTCTCTTGTCGAACATAACGCATGAATGGCTGGGAAACAGCCACATGGTATAGTGCGAGGACGGCAATCTCTGTGATCGTCGGAATGTCGTCTAGAGCACGAGCAAAATTCTGCTCGATATTGGTGTAACCGGGGCGGTCTTTGGTATCATGGACGTGATTGATGAACTGTCGGAAGGCTGGCAGTTGGGTTAAAACAGTCGCCGCAGCAGCACCATGGCTTCCGTATCGTGTATTGCTGACATCGGGGTAGGGAAGTTCGAAGCCGAGGTGTTCAACCATCCAAAACCGGTACGTATCTTGCTGACCTTTCTTCGAGTCTTTATTTTTGCAAATCATTCCTCCCAGCTCCACTGTCTTGCTTCCCCCTCGTTTCGACGCATCCATGGCCCGCTTTTGGTCTGCTGTGACTGGCTCTTCGCCCACGCAACCTTCAAGGATCGACACATTCTCTTTGTTGGCAAGTAGGCATGGAGGTACGAGTCCCTTCGCTTTCCACATCTCCTGCATGGATTTATCGCCCCATTTGAAGCAATTAAGGTCCTTGTGCATGCAGCAGCCAGTTCGGATAAAGCGCGAGAGCTTGGCTTGGTCGTTGGTCGGTAGATTCTCGAAAATGGCCTTCCCAAACTCCCTAATCACTTCGTCGTCTTTCTCTCCCTTCTCCTCCTCTGTCATTGCCTCCCAAACCGATTGCCCAATCGTCTGAAGCTGACGCCATTTGAGAGGGAGCAGAATTGCAGCTGAAAGTACTGGGTCCATCTTCATCAACGCCTCCTTACCCATCCGGTAACACAGCACGTCCATCCTCCACTCATGGAGGACTTTGTGGCTCTTCTTCTGGTCGTTCGCATGGTCCCCACTCGTACCAATCAACTTGTATGCAAAATTGTCGGCGCTGAATCGAATTCCTTCGCGTTTAGCGAGCGGGCTCCGGTTGAAGATGTCTGCAAGGTCGGCAAGCCGTTCCTTAAGCCCTTGGACTTGTGTTTCGCTCCTGTGGTCCACGGATGTGCCAATTCCGAGGCTGCGCAGCACCCATTGCGGTTCCTGGTCTGGGCGTTCGTAATCGACGACTTGGAGCGCTATAAAACGCGATTCATACTCAATATGCTTGTGAGAGGTTGAATCTGAGCTATAGCATAGTTCTGACACCTGGTAAGTCGCCAATACCTTCGAAACAAAGAAAGAAATGCACTCACTGCAAGCCTTTGCCATTTCGAATGCCATTTGGATGTCTGCAGCGACTCCAGCTTCAAGAATGCTTCTCTGGACCGTGTGTTTGCTCATAACACGATCCACCTGCAAGCCCATCGCCTCTGCAATCCTCTTTATCGTCTTCCCAACCTTCGCTTCGGCTGTTCCAGTCGATGCAAGATAGCGAGCAAGCGACCGGGCCTGCTTCGTATAAACACCCCTCTTCACCATGTTGAACACAGAAGGCTTCGACTTGACAAGTTCAGTGAGTTTCCTTTGATAATTTCGCTTTGCTGCTGCCAGTCTCGCCATCCTCTTCCGCACCACAGTCTGCCCATGTACCAGTTCCTTCCTGCTTCTCTCCAAGGCCCGGATCCTCTGTTTCAATGCACCCATCTCTTCATCCGCCTCTTTCCTTGCCTCCATAAACTCCTTCTCCATCGTTGTTATCACTCCTCGCATTCGCCTTAACTCTGCCATGACCACTTTGTGAGTTGCCTTCAGTTGCTGGTGAGCCTTTCCCATCCGGATTGTCCTCCTCCTCTCATTCCAATATCTCTGCTTCCATCGCTCTGATTCCCTCCTGGTTGCCTCCAACTCTTTCTCTAGCTCTTTCTTCTTCGCTCTCAACACGTTTCCAGCGGCCCTTTTCGTTCTCGCGTCATTCTTTTGGTGTGACAACCTGCGAGCAGCTTGGGCTTGAAGCAATTGTTGTTTTTGCTTTTTGGACCGCCCCGCCCGCGGTTTTTTTCGATCCTTTGGCATAAATAAGATCTATACATGTTAATTAGTTAGTCCTTTAAGATTCTGTTACAGAATGAACGAGTTATACCTTGTTTCGAGGCCCGAGTTGCTTTTACGAGCCATCGGGCGCGGTCGTAAATCTTGATTGTCGCGTTCATTAGGTAATCAAATGAGCGTGTTTACGGTCGCACCTGAGCACCCGTATTTCTCCTCAACCTGTAGGTCTACTCATCTTAGATATTGTCTGTAGACGAGATTCTACATTTCAAAGGAGCTCTTCAATTTATTTTTTTGTATTTCACTTTTTAAGTACTGGATTGAAGGTAAATCTCGTGGACCATCGGCGTTCTCAGAATTTGGCTTTGAAGGGCTCCGAGAGGCAGTGCTTCTGATCCAGTCGGTACTCAATTTAGAAGGCCCCAGGCCTCGGACAACCCAAAATGTCCATTTTCTCCCAAATCCCGGCCGTATAGAGAGCGACAAACAGGTGCAAACATCATCAGATTTCGCCTGGGCTGCCCCTCCCCAATTCTACAGTACTTTACTACCCACCCCGCTGCAATGCCGGCGCCATAGCTGACTTTGGACGACAGGGCTGGAAGCCAGGGGTAGCGTTGAGTTGGAGCACGAGGACGATGCGGTTGTGTTGTATGCTGTATATGACAGGCGATGGAGGTGAGACAGTGACATCACCGTGAGGCATTGGCCCGGAAGTTCGGAAGCACAGGGGGCTTCTGGCGAGGACCTTCGGCGCGCAGCGTCCGCTCCCCACAAGTTTCTGCGGCGAGGCGGAAGCAAATGGCTCGCTTGATCGGCGCGGACAGATTTCCTTGGCATCACCAGTGCTGTGTCCCGCATTCGCACTGAATCCGGTACACAGCGCCTCCCCAGCTGCAATCTCGCTCATTTACATTTCGATTTGCACCCTGTATGACGAATAAATAGAGTATATAGCCTCGAGGAACTCAGGCTGATCTCGCCATGGCTAAATACAGCGCCCGGCCCAGGCAATGCAGCAGCAAATTTTGCTGCTCAAAGGTACATAGGGGCGACTCGGTTCTTTGCTTCTTAACTGATTCTTTCCGAACCCACGAGTTGCAGGTGCTGCAGGTGATTCTAGCTTGATCTCCGGTGCAAGATGAGCTCAACAGTCCCCACACCGGTTTTGCCTTGAAGCATCCGGCTGCTTTATCTTCATCTGGGGTTTCGTCGGAGGCGCTGCAATCTCCAATTCGGTGTTTACATTATCGCAGATTGCCTATACCTTTGTTCCCTGCGATAAGCATACAGAAATAACCAAGTACATAGCTTGTAGTAGACCTAAAAGAAGCCGCCTTCAACAAGGAACCTGCCAAGCATTAACTCTTTCTCCATCTCCTTCAGCTCCAAGAGCAAGCTACGCTCCCAGGATTTCTCCTTCCCCAGTTCAGGGATCTCAATCGAGTCGCGAATGAAGTTCTGAATGAGAGGTACGTCTTGGAGTCTGTAACATTGGCTAGAAAACCGTCGAAAATCTGTGATGACCTCCCAAGCCCTCTGGCGCTTCTGGAAGTTTATCAACACTCCGCCTTGACCGAGTGTGTTGGCACTCCCTTTGCGAAGGGAGTCCAATGCCGTTATATATGCACCTGAGGCGTAGGTGAAGGTTTAGTGCGATGTTTTCTACGCTGTAGACCTCTGTTCAATACCTATGAACGGAACACAAGGCCCTTTCAACGATCTCATGGATAGCCGGTAAGCCGAAAAGCCGTCGCTGCGATCGAGAACTGCCATGCAGGCATGGAGGCAGACCCAGCCTTTCGCCGATAATGCGTACTCCCAGGTCCACTTCAAGCGTTGAATGGATGTGTAGCAGAGCGCGGAAGTTATCGACGCCATTGTTGCAAAGTTCCGAGGCCTTTTGGTCTCGGGTTCTGTTGGGAGATGGATTGGGGACGCCAAGGTTTCGACCTTGATTTCAACATGTGACTTGTGTGTGATGCATTTCCGCGCGCGCGGAGATGTGAGCTGGCGATGGCTTCTGGATCAAACAAAGGCAAACTGGAGGGCTGCAGGCCAAAAGGCCTCGGATTACTGCCATTTAATGGCCTGCAACCCACTAGTTGTTCAAGGAGCGACAGTGCTACAGACGTCACCTCGGAGTTAGTACTGGGTCCCTTGGACTTGATTTTTAGAAAGTAAAATATAGGCGACTCACGTCGGCAACCGTGACAAAGTATTTGATCAGAGCGCCTCGTTTGCGCTCACTCTCTTTGCTTAAGACCAGGTTCACCACCCAGTTGAGAACCTGCAATATGCGTTAGCCAGGGATCTGCGCTACCCAGGCACACCTAGTGATCACCAGGGGTTAACCCCGGGTTTCGGAATGCCGACCCGGACCCGACCCGTGGCTTGACCCTATCCGTAACCCGACGGGTTTTCCGCACGGGTTGAGCTTTAGATCATCCAAAACGGATAAGAAATGGATGAGATACGGTTAAAACACTTATTTGACCGTATCTCTACCATTTCTCATCCGTTTTGGATGATCTACAGCTCGTTTTGAAGTTCTCGGGTCTGGGAATCGCGACCCGTACCCGACCCGCGACAGGGTTGACCCGAAAACCCGCAGGGGTCAGCCGACCCTTGCTTTTCACTAAGAGAAATCAAACATTTACAGAGAGCTTCCTTTGAGCTTCGCACCGCTGTTCGCATCCAGGCGATACTTCTTATCTCTTCCACCGCCATCCACTGCAGGTTCCAGATATGCAGGAAACTCCCTACAATCTTCCACGGCGGGACCCATCTGTACGGCGACTGGATCACAGTGTCGTGAACCCGCGCTAGGGATAAAACACATCGCGAAAGATGGTCCTGGATATCGCGCCCAACCACCCGTCCAAAATCTGTTTTACGACACGCGCAATAGACTCGACGGAGGAGGGCGACTATAAGCGCCAGTTCTTTGATATCTGCATGGAGCGCCTTGAAGACGCTGTTGCAATGGGGCTCCACAAGGGCGTTAAGATGGTCAAAGGCGTAGTCAGCCATGGCGAAGGTGCTCAGCGGGGTCTGCCAAGGGGAGGGCCATTTGGTCCCAGCGATTGATCAAACGTCATATGGACTCGGATTTGCTCCTGGTGCTGCTACGTCGGTAGAATGATTCAGAGTCGTGGCAGTTGGTGAGGTGCGTGCTGGAACACCCGTGTATACAGTATCTCGAGTCGTAATGCCAGTGGTGATGCACAGTTGTCTCCCTCCCAGTCGAGAAGTCGTTGAACGTGCCGCCACACACCGCAAAGTTGCTCGCGCCATGGAAGAGAGGCATGACAGAGACTGGTCTTGGATTGAATGAATTCCCCCCTAAACTGTGAAGCTATAAACGCCATGAGAGCACGGCCTCCAGTGGACAAGAAGCCTCACTGATCACCTTGCTTTTACAGCACTTTACTGCGCAGCTTCAAAGTTTGATTGAGTCGAAGTTTGTCTTTTAGCGCCTCATTCAATGTTCATCAAGAAGAGCTTCCCAACGATGTTTGTCACAGCAGTTCCATGGGCGTGTACCACGAGGCTTCTCGAAGCGCCCCAATTTGCGACATATCGCGTAGAGAAATCAGGAATTACACGTCAAGTTCACACTAGAGGTGAGATTCGGAGACTTCTTAGATGATAGAACAGTCTGACCATTCGCATATTGCACACAAGCTAGTCAGGCTGTCATGACAGAGTATTCCGACGCGCTTCCTCGTCTACGAAAAAACCTTGGCATGAGACAAAGTTTCATACGCTGTCATGGTGCCTTGCTGCCACGAGCTGAAGACCTCCGACTGCTTCGCCCCATCGCCAACCAATCCCCAGCGAGGCAGAAACAGCCTAGGACGAATGACATCATTGAAAAAAAATCACTTCGCGTTTCTTCATCGAAGATCCCCACAATTACGGGGGGCATTGACGTTCCAGATATCCAAATAGATTTCTGACGAAAGATATGATAGAAAATTGATCTCATGAGGACTTCGAAGGACGTATGTTTTCCTGATTGTCAGACTACGTGCTCCGCATATGTGGCGAACCACGAATTGGAGCTGTGGTGTGGTGGAGTCTTCCTAGACAAAGATTTCAGTTGGTGTATATAGAGGTGACGGGGTGCATCGCTTACATTTTCGTTCACCCAACGACCTTCTCGCACGACTCAATCTACTGTAAACACTGCTCTCGCTTGTGGTATCCATCATGTCCGCAAGCGAACGAGCTCCAAGGAAAGACGAGGCTTTTAAGCCCAAGGAGGATCGTGAGTCTTTGAGCCCCTATTCTCTGCTTCTATCTTCGAAGTTGCGCTGGTTTTAAAATTCGTACCACCACGCACCTTCCCGTTCCCCGTCTCCAGCTTTTATTCTGTCTGTTTTCAATCTGAACTGATGAACAATGCCTGCCAGTATCCCACCCAGGGCCAGCAAAAGGCACCTCCCCATTCTTCGAACCCCGAACAACTGATTTCAATCAAGCCGGCGGCGTAGGCGCCCAAGGCGAGGGAGTCGATAGCCTTGGAAGGCATGATGAAGGACGAGTGAGAGCTGGAGGAATTGCTACTGGCAAGGGTGAATAGTCGTCCACTGCTTCAGGGATTGGAGAGGTGGAGACTGACTGTATTTCTCAGACCCGCGAGTGACGAAGCAAGCCAAGGCGCACGGGGAGGATAATCTTGAAGGGGCAAATACGTAGATTTCTCTTGTAAAATTCTGGGTGCGATGTGTTTTCGTATTCAGTACGTACCGTCGACAGGACAGTGCGTACTAGTGAACGGAGAATTTCCGAATATTCATTCTGATTTTTTCCTCTGTCATCATTTCGAGAATACCAGACCTTAGTCTAGAGAGTAATCAATCGATGGAGTGGAAAAGGCGAAGTGAGCCTATTCCAACCGCACTTAAGCTTGCCGATATCGCGCCAGTGACGTCACCGTGAGAATAAGCGCCCATCAGTCGCCGACAGGTATTTACACAGAGCTGAATTTTAGATCACTATTACAACTGTTCAGTTATAGAACGTACAAGAACCTGCGTACATTGTCATGGTACCGAATGCCATCTGCCTCCTCACGCCCGACCCTTCTCATACTCCTCAAGCAACGCGATCTTCCCTTCAAGGTTTCTTCGCTTCTCCTCGTCCACAACCACATGTAGCGGGTTCCTTTTAGCCCGTCCCAGAGCCGTTAGACCTTCCCTGTCCGTCAAATCCGTCCGAATCCCTTCGCACTGAAGTAACAGGGTCGTCACCGCAGGCGTCGAAGCCACCATCAAAGGCGTACAATTAGCCCTGACATTCACATCGATCCCGTCAAACTCCAGCAGCTCCCTCACAGCTCCTTCGTGCCCTTTACTCGCCGCTAACATCAGCGCCGTCCATCCCTGGCGACAGAGCATATTCGGACGGATATCTCTGTGACGAAGCAACCGCCGAACAATCCCCGCATGCCCCGCTTCCGCCGCCAACATGAGCGCCGTCGACCCATTCTTGGATATCGCGTTCACCTGAATATCGCGGTGTGCGAGGAGCCGCTCGACTGCCCACTCGACTCCATGCTTCGCCACTCTCATCAAGACAGTCTCGCCTGTCGAGTTGTCCTTTACATTCACCTGGATATCCTTGCGCGCAAGGAGAAGGTCGTACGTCGGCTCGTTCATCGCACAGTACAGCGCGGTCCAGCCAGCGTCCGACTGCAAGTTGACGTCGACGTCGGGGTGTTCGAGGAGGCGCTTTACAGCCTCATGGCGGCCATGCAGTGATGCTTCGATCAGTGCAGAGCGTCCACCGGAACCTCGAATATTGATCTGGCCCGTGAGGAGGTGCATTCCTGGCTTGCTGTGGCCTCCGAGCACAGCCTTGAGGATCGTCCGGCGATTGAGGTTGAGCAATCGATCGATAAACTCGGTATGCCCGTACCGCGCTGCAACGATGAGAGGTGTGGCATCCCAGTCCCCCTCAGTGCGAACAGTGATGTCGCCCTTGGCTGCCTCCACGAGTTGGTCTACAAAGGTGTGGAGACCATACCTCGCAGCGACATGGAGAGGGGAGAACCGAACGAGGGACCACTCTGAAATTCTGAATGGGAAAGAGGTACAGGACTTGAGGAAATCCAGGACCTCCGCTGCAAAAAGGTCTGATTCAGATGCGCACTCCTTGGCATGGTATGCCCAGTGGTTGTAGGCGTAATGGATAGAGGAGTGTCTGTCGAGCAGCGCTTCTAGTTCGAAGCATGTTGCCAGGGTGCTGTTGTTGACGATGCCGTGGCTCGCCAGCTGTTGGGCGGCCGCCCGGAACAGTAGTCCATGAGGATTTGGGAAGTCGCGCATCAGGAGGGGGACGAGCACGTCCTTTGCTGTAAAGTCTGTAGCACGTCAGTAAAGAGCTATGCTATCTTTCCAAGAGTACCACTCACGGACGAGGCGGACTAAATTCGTCTGCGTCTCGATGTGGATCAATCCACAACAGACAGATGCGAGAGACCTCCCGTCAATCAGTGCCCCTTCGAGGGAATCGTCGTCGGTCGAGAAGACACCTTCGTAGGTTAAGGGTAAGAGGCGGCAGAGGATGGGTAAGGTCAAGGCCTCGTGTGCAAACACGACCCACAAAAGCACGTGCTTAGCAAGGGCCACATTGTCAGGGGGAGTTTGTCTGTTGATACGTGACACAGCTTCATGATACATGCCTTCCAGTCCCGGAGGGAAACGGTTGAGGTTGTTCTCCACGCAAATGATCGTCAAGCATTGATTGACGATCTCTATCTGGAGGGCGGCATGTAGGAACCTAGCATGAAGGTCAGAAATATTTCTTGAAGAAAGGAAAAATTGGCGTACATCCCGCTCGACTTGCTCTGTATCCTCCGTATAAGCTCCTGCCGTTGGCCATACCTGTCCAGGAGCTCTCCAAATCCCGGAACATTATCAATCTTTTGGTTTACAAGGCGGACAATATCCGACGAATCTGGGACGACCCGATAGAACTTGGTAGCAGGCAGCCCAAGCTCCAGTCTCCGTATCGGCCGTGAAGTCAAAGCAAAGCGTCCTCGAAGACGGTTGATTGCTTGGATTAGGTCGAACTGGGTTTCAACCACGGCTTCGTCCAGTCCATCGATGACGTAGAACACGATCTCGAAGTGACTTTCCAGCTGTTGCAACAGATCGAGGAGTTCGCGCTGGGTCGGGCGTGTTTGGAGAAACTTGTGGCGAGTGTAGACGGGTTCGACGATGCTCGTCAGCGAAGGGTCGCATTCGAGGAATTGCTTGATAAGAGCTTCCAGGATTTCCTGCACAGTGAGCGGTTCGGAGTATCGACAGTACGCGAAGATAACGCATACTCTGCCCTTCGCTGAATTGCTGTGCTGCTCGAGGTCGTGTATAGCTCTGGAGCTGAAATGACAATCAGCACGGCTATACGTAGACAAACAGGTCGATTAAACGCACGCTAACACTGTCTTCCCTGCCCCCGCTACGTTAAGAAGTGGTCAATGCAAGTACTGGACGTCATCAACTGTTGGCTCACGGATTCCAGTGCCCCAGATGATACGGTTCCCACCTTTCTTCCATGATTGATACAGCTCGGCTGCGATGAACCACGACAGCGTCCCATCAGTGCACTTCTCCAAATTCGCGCTCTGCACCGCTCGAAAGTGCGCATTGGGTGCGAGCCATTCCAGTATCTCTTTCAAGAGCCGCGCACGAGCCTGTGCTTCTTTCTCTCTCTCTTCCTTCAGCCGCGCCCGTTCTGTTCAAAGTAAAAGTCAACGAAGTGACCTGCCTGCATAATGTCTAGGTACCTTGCGCAGCAATCACCGCTTTGTCGGGTAGCTGGACAACCACATTCGTATGGACGTCCCCACCAGCAACGATCCCGCCGCTGATATGGGCATTACCGGAGAGCGAGACCCCTCCGATCTGTTCTGTGACTTGAAGAGGAGTCGTCGTTTTGGACAGTCCTAGTTCACGGGCTTGGAACTTGGACCGCGGTCAGCGCATATTCGTCGCTTTCGTAACTGTTGTGAAAACAGACCTGCCAGGCGTTCCCTTCCTTATCTCCACCCGAAATCTAAGTACAGTGTCCTCAGGTTCACGTGCAAACGAACTGGAAGGCTATATGACATACCTGCAGCGTTTCGGGACCGCCGTACGGAGATATCGCTGTGGCCTCTTTCTCCTCTGCTTTGTCCTCTGATTTCGCATCCTTCAAGCAGCATTGCACTAGGTTAGTGTGGCCTCCCACAGCCAACAACCGGGAAAAACTCACTTGGAACGACACAGATTGCCCCATTACAGGCACAAATCGCGTGTCGTCGTCCGTCCAGGACTTGTCGCTTCTAACGAAAGTGGAAGATGGCGGATCGAAGTCAAGCCAGAAATCTCGAGGGAAAGGCCTGGTTTTGCCGGCACCTCAGGTTTGTGGGTCCACTGCCAGTTTCCAAGTGCCATAATTGGATGTCAAAGCTCCCCCCAGTCTAGACATGAACCAGGTGCCAGCCCTGAGGGAAAGATAGGTTGGAAGAACACGAGGCTGTCGTTAATTTTCCGTCGTGTGTTTGCAAAAGCATCGTCGATCACGACACGAGAGAAAATCTCGAACTGTATTCAATCGCCGAGCGCCTGGCGAAAAAAACAAATACCAAAACGTCCATTTCATAGGCTTTCAACGCGTAAGCCAGAGGGAAGATTCGGAAACCGAGTAGTAGAGCTCACCTTGCCCTTTGTGACTTGAGCATTGTCCAACCAAGTCGAGGGGAAAGTGATGGTTCTATCCAAGTTCTGCCACGGCTTGACGGGGAGCGCCTCGTCATCAAAGGCGCGGGAACGTTGATGGCTGTGCATGATGCGCCTTGATGCGCCCCGAAGAAACTCACAACGCCCCTTCCTAAGTCATACCAACGTAGAAGAGGGCCCCAGATTGTAATTAATGACCTCACAGAGCCTGTCATCTCCAGGCTTCGAGCTACATTTTCCTCCGATCGACTCCAACGGGAACCGTCTTCTAGTGCAACTCGCTATCCTCTTTCCAAATCTGGTATCAGAAATCCTATTTATTGCGCGTTCCGGGGGTGTGGATATGAGGTAAAATCTAGTTCACAGGGAGCCACTAACCGGAATGTTGACATTCTCCAGGTACGCGGACTAAGTTCCACCAGTGACGAGATTGACGCTGACTATGACTCAACCGGCACATTTACGTTCTACCACTCCAAGTTCGAAGTCTCCACTGTAGGGAAGTATTTATACTGGCCTGGATTCGAAGAAAGCAATCCACAGTGTATCATCCAACTCATTCTTTTTGAAGGAATTGGCTATTCAAACTGCGAACAATGTCAGATCCAGTTTACGGACAAGGCGTCGAACCCGACAACGTCTGGCCCGCTCGTGATACCGAATTCAAGCCTGATTCAGATGGTATGTAGCACACACTCTCAATCCTCTCATACAACCTAATTAACATAGCCCAATCCAGTCGGCTCCAAACCAACGCACGTCCAAGGCGACCCACCCGCCGCCAACGTCCGCCGTTCCGGCAAAGGAGAATACGTCGGGATGGACTCCCATACTCCCGCAGACGACGACGACTATGACAATATTGGAAGAAGCGGTGGAGCGGCTAACGTTGAAGGCGACAGCCTTGGTGCTGGGGAACCGGGACGAGTGAGAGGAGGGTATAAAGCGACTTTGTCGAGTAAGTCCATTGGGTGTTTTGTATTGTCTTGTGGATGTTGTGCTAATGTACCTTGTAGACCCGAGGGTTTCGAAAGAGGCGAAGGAGCATGCGAAAGAGGTCTTGGAGAAGAATGAATTTTAAATGTGAATTAACTGAAACAGTCACCTTGTAATGGAATCTTCGTTAATGTGCTTCACTCCTCTTGGTACTCTTACACAAATCCAGCTACAGTTCATGAACGGCTATCGTGAGACTGCATATGCTCGATGAGTTCCCTTCAATCCACTGGCATGCACTCGGCATCAGAATTAGCTCTAAAGCTGCTCCTAATAGAAGGGCATACCTTTCAACCAGCGAAGAGTTTCAGAAGTGAACAGAACTCACCTAGTACGTCCAAGGTGCAACGACAAGCCAATCTTAGCGCTCAACGTCTTTGGTGGTCGTCACCGAGGCGCGGGAATTGTAGGTGGCTGTGCCGACTCCCAGCCTATCCCAGCTGTGAGTGCGACTCGGAGTTGGGTCGTATCGGGGAGACCAAATTGCGTTTGGGTTTCGGATTCCATGCTTTTGAGCAAACAGGAAAGCTTCTGGGTCAGGTAGTGAGGAGAAGACTCTCAATTAGGGCGGGCCGATGAAGCGAAGGCGCTAGCGCCCATGCGATGATGCCATCAAAACTCGGAAGGGCGGGTAGGACGTGCACGTTGCCCTACTAACGACTGCCTATCACTCACTTTTACAAGTTTACTGCAATTCAATTGAGAAATTCCTCGGTAGATCTTGCAGAACTCAACACATTCCAAGAATATCAACAGAAGTACCGAGAGTGCACACACATCACCTCGAGATCTCCACCTTATCTCAAGTGTATACATCAGACAGTATATACTTACCCCAGAGAGCATAAGATACCACCTTCCGTAGTCTAAGGAGTTAATGGTAGTATACAGTAGGACCTAGGTTAGAAGTAATGGTTATGGACTCTTTTGGGCTCAACGGAAATATCCGCCATCTTCAAGGAGAAAAGCGAGCACACCCAAGAATAGATCACTGCAAGAGAGTACCAGGACAGGAGGTTTGTCGTAGGAGCACTGAGTGCAAAGGGGGCCAATGCCATACATATACTTGGGAATACAATATGGATACATTCCGTGCCCGAAAAACAGGACCGAGATCGACACGAGTCGGATAGAAAACCAAAAGGTACCTCAGAAATCCCCAAGCCCCGAGACTCAATCCTGCTCTGAGTCGAAGCTGCCAGAGAATAACCTTCGAAAAGGCAAGCAGTTCGTCAGCTAAGTCCTCCAAGCCCTGATTGTAGTTCCAATCGGACTCCAAATCCGAACGTGCGAGTGAGGTTGGCTGATCACCAGTCAATAAATAAGGAAACCCTCATTGATTCCACGACTCCAACCGTCGATAACGTCGGATCGAACTCTGTTTTCTGATTCTGATTCTGAACGGGTCGATAGAGGTCATTCGACTGTCGTTCACCCTATCTCCGTCCCATTCGAAGGTTTCCCCATTTCATGTCAGATCTTCAGCACTTGGATTTTATAGCTTGTAGCGTTGTAACCCTTGAAACTAGTTACTGGAACACCAAGAATTTCTTCATGTGCCCACTGGGGGTAGGTACACTCCGTCAAACCAGGGTTGGTCTGTAAACACAAGCACATCGTCACAGGCCTTAGCTTAAATCTAAGTTTGAGTAATGAGCTGCTTGAATTTTAAAACAGGACCTACCAAGGTAAGTAGAAGATAAACAGAGCGGTGGATAATCCTCTTTATTGCCTTACGTTAGACACTGAAAGCCTTCACGTTGCGATTGACGACATCCAACTATGTCTGAGTATGTGAAGTCAGTTATTTGACCAGCGAATGACGTTACTGACGTATCCTCAAATATTGAATATTAGCGCATCTCCCTCCCACAATTCCGCCACCGTCACAAATCGGGGAAAGCCGTTTTCCGCGACCCAACGAACGAGAGAGGACTCATGAAACCAACTTGAGCGAAGATTCCGAACCAATGTTTCCTCGAACCGGTGAACCACTGATTCCAGTGGGCTCAAATCGCAGGGCACCCAACTTATTGGATGCAAGCGAATACAATCTGAGAGACAAAATAGTAAACTTGAACAAAACAACGGAAGGATGGAGGAGAGGAAATGGAAGCATCGTGTCCCAGATATATCATATGTACACTCCAACCATCCTGGCTTCCACCACCCACGAGGACGAAGGAGTTGATGTGGTGGAATGTATCAAGATCCACTCCGTCGCCTTTTTGAGCCCAAGCTCGTCCAGCAATACCTCGCCCAACAATGGACTGTGGAGAGAACAGAGCAACCTTCGTCCAGCTGACCTTGTTCGCCAATCACCTTCGAAAATGGAACCTAATAAGAAAGGCAGATTCAAGAAGAAAACAATAATAGAATGCGACAAATAATAATACAACCCGTATAGTAGATACACCACAGACCACACCACAGAACCTTTTCTTCCCTATGCCGGCCGTTCACCTTCACCGACACCATTGCGCGCCCGAGCAACAAGAGCCGACCGACGTCTATTCCTCATTAGTCCGGTGTCAGATGTGTATCCCCCCACCATGGTGAGCGCCCCATCGCCGCCTTCCATCGATGCCCAGCCGCGGTGCCTATCGACCTGACATGTCCGCTTTTCACCCACTCGCACGCCTACTCGTCATCCTCACTATCAGACAAAAACAGCCGTTTAGCACGGCGCTTGACCACAGGTCCATCTTCTTCGTCATTTTCATCATCTCCATCCTGGGACTTCTTCGATAACGATGGCGATGGCGATGCACCTTGGCGCGCTGTCGAAGGAACGGGTGATGCGTCTCGTGGTGGTATTGAAGGCGATGACGCCCTCGGCGAATCTCCAGATGCGCTGGGTGTAGGCTGAGATTTCCGAGGACGTGGACGTGGACGTGGCTTGGGTTTGGGCTGCGAGACTTCTTCCACTTCATCGTCTTTGTCCGAGGGCTCTTTGTCCATCTCGACATCTCCGCGACTATTCGCATCTCTCTCCGTATCGGAGTCTTTCGTCTTCCTCTTCCGCCTCTTCTTGGTACCCGTAGCGCGCATACCCACGGGCCTCTGTCCCTGAACACCCGTGCTACCGCCGCCGTTCGCAGCAGCTTCCGCCTCGGCCCTCTCCGCAATCAATCCCATCTTCTCTCTCAACGCCTTCTCCCTCGCCAGGAACGCCTCCATATCTCCGTACTCTTCGTCACTGTCCTCAATGAACTGCGCACTCTTGTAGACCTGCTTCTCCTTCTCCTTCCTCTGTCTCTTCTTCTTGCGCCGTTCACCGTCCTCGTCGATGTCGGAGCCTGAGGGTGATGGTGAAGGAGTACGACGCCGACGCGAACGACGTTTCTTGCGGAGGAGTTCGGATAGCTTTTTTCCGGAGGGATCGAACGGTGTTTCGAGGAATTGGTTGATAATGGTGCGGAAGCGTTCGAGGTGGACGGGGGTAAGCGATGCTGGGATGTACCACTCCAGTTCCCCTTCTTCGTCATCTAGAGTTGCGCAGAGGTAAGCGTGGAGATAGGCGGCAAAGGAGGATGAAAACCAACCTTCATCCCGTTCGCGTGTCATGAACTTGACAAGGCGGAAGAGCAGCTTGAGATACGCGTTCTTGCTAGCGGCCTCAGCACGATCTTCGGTTACGTATGGTATGACTATAGCGAGGGAAGCGGAGTCAGTTTGCCAGTTCAGCACGACGATCAGAAAGCCTACCTTCATCCTGGATCTTTTGACGCGCCTCCTCAGAGGGGTTTTCATATCTCTTCGACTTGTCCTTTGCAGCGTCGGCAGCGTCGTTTTCAACGATATCTTCATCTTCGTTGTCCGACTTGTCATCGGTTTCGTCAATGATCCGCTTGCGTTTGTTAACCGCCATTCGCAGGATCTAACAATACATTCATTAGTTCGCTCCTGTTCGACGACACCCGTCGAGTAAACAACACTTACATCTTGGGTCCACACAACCAAGTCCCTGCGATCGCTATCTACCAGCGCGGCAATGGCAATGCCAATCTGGTCAGTGAGACTGTATCCCTTCTTCACTTCCACCTCCGTCGAAGCGTTCTTGCCAGCCGCATTCCTACCACCTACACCACCCTCCCTCGCCTTCTTCTTCTCTGGCTCCCAGCTCGAGTACTGCTTCCAGTTACCGCGGTTCTTCGGGAAGAAGGCCTATTATCGGGGAAATAATTCAAAATAGTGAGGACGATGTGCCTCTCAAGTCAGTCACCACGATCATTGGGTGGAAATTAAAACGGTGAGGGAAAGTAAAGTTGAAGGATTCGGGAGAATGCGTTCGAGGGTGAGGAGCGAAAGGAAGAGGGAAAACGAACACGAAGCAGAGCCACGCGCAAAGCATTAGGTTAGCTTGATCATTACCGCGCACGCGATTGTATCACGTTTGCGAATTGGAAGGCAAGATTCGTGACACGAAAGCGAGGGTGGATTAGGCGAAATGAAATTGAAAGTAGCGGAGTTCCCAGTTTGACAAAAGCCTGAAAAGGAATCGAATAGGGAGGACAAATGCGTACCTCGACAGTAAGGAAAGGCTCCTCTTCGACCGATTTGAAGAACTTCCGAAGGAGAAAGTTGATAAGGTTCACCAAATCTTTATACGGCTGATCCCGTGGTAAAGATTTCTGTTCACTGAGGATGGTCTTGAACAGGTCCAGAGTTGACACCTATCATCATTGAATAGTGCGTTTCCGCAGGGAATGGGGAAGCAAGGGAGGAGAGTTAGAAAAGTTCTCGCATCCGAACGAAGACCGAAGTGGAGTCGGAGAGGTCCACTCATTGACAGCGATGAATCGAGGAACGTGAAAGAATGGGTAATAATGATCAATCGAGAAAGCTTAACAGCGTCACATGGGCCTCCGGCGCCTAACTTGTTCTAAGTCAGTTCCACGCGCCCTCAGGGATGAAAGCGATGGGGGAATAGGGAAAGCAATCCCCCCTCCCTTGAAGCTCTTTTCCACCCTTTCCATAGGTTTCGAAAAGAAATAAGGATGGGACATTCGGCTCACCTTGAAGAACAGCCCCTCCGCCTTGGCTTTGACGGCCTGTCGATGCATCAGGCTGACCACCCGTTTCATCTTCTCCGGCGAGCTGAACTCTTTGTACCGGGCCAGGTAGGTTAACAGCGTATTCGTAATATCGGCATTTGCGAATTTCTGAAAGGGTTAGCCGCGTCCAAACCGATAAGTAAAGAGTACGAGGACAGTAGGACATAACGACGTTCATCCGCCGACCGAGCAATGAGCGTTACCGTAACGAACAACATCATCAAGGGGTCGTCGGTGGTGAGGCACGACAGCAATTGGAAGATTGGGGTAAAGCGGAAAAGTGGGCGCACAAGGTTCGGTAGTTATCAGCAACTGATTTCTGATCGTTACACGAAAAGAGAATTAGACTGGGTTTGCTTACCATTTCGAATGCTTCAAAGGAGAAAAGGACTTCATGCACCACATCTTCATCATCTCCTTCATCATCATCCGCTTCACCTGCTGCCATTCCGGCCTCCTCGGTCTCTGGAACTAACAACGCGGGGAGAGAAACCAGCGCCGGCTGTCAGCGACCAATCCTTTCCAACTTCCCTCCTCCCCGAAACACGTCGCCATCCGCTGCACTCGCAATCATTTGGATCTCCAGCGATTCGGGATAGTATCACCGCCAAAGGAAAGCCTGCTGAGACGGACTTTCGAAACGATATGGCGACCCATTGTCTCGGGAAAAGAAACGAAGAGAAGAGAATATATGACGATGCTTAACTCACCAGGACTGCGCCCTCTGGGGCGACGCTTTTTGCGCTTGGCCATCTTCTTCCGGACATACGTCCCGTCTCCCGACTTTTTGGTCCATCTCTCCAACATCCGGAGCAAAGAGTAGGCCAGGTGGACACTCGAGTCCAAATACGTCAGTGATTGGGTTCCTTCTTTGTAGAATTGAAGACTGTTGAGGGAGATGTCGAGGACCTCGCCGTTGTAAATGAGCTGCTGGAGAAGCAGTTCCGCGGCCTCGCTCAAGGTGGGATCTTGAATGTCAGCCGACGACATGGCGTCGATGAGGAGGAATAGTTGAGTTAAACACTCGATTCCCGCTTGGAGCTCGGTCCAGAGTTTAGGCTACAAGGATTCGCAGTCGTTAACGCCGATAGCAGCCACGGGAAGATAGATGGACAATTGGGGATGTATTTCAAGTGGAAGGAAAGGTTGTTCGTTCGCACAAGCGATCACGGACAATTTGAAAAGGGTTGAATCGAGGAGTCAGAATTCCGAAAAGGAAGCAAAAGGGGGACAAATATGGGGAAAGCGAGATGATATTGAAAATGCGGACGAACCTTCTCTTCCATTGACTCCCTCATTCGCTTTAACACCCACACGATCCAAACGCGTTCCACCACCTCTGCGATAAGGCCAAAGCTCCACTGGTCTGGGTTACCTTGTCCATGTGCCTTCGCCCGCATTGCGAGGAAGAACTCGAGAAACCATTTTGTCACGTAGAGTAGGCGGAGATTATCCTTCTCCGTAACTTTTGCCCGTTCAGCTCGAATATCCTTCAGCAACCCCGCGAGGAAGGCTAGAGCGCCAATAAGTCTTACTGGGGAAATAACAGGAATTGAGTACGTACGATTGAAGCAGCCCTCGAGGAAATCAGTGGCCAGCTGCTTCAATGTTACCCTGGCTTCGATCGATAGGTTGTCTTCCCTCGTCAATTCATCGATTGTATTGCCTTTCTTCGCCTTCCCTTTCTTTCGGATGTCGAGAATACTACCGGCCTCTCCGTGAATGGCCTGCTGGCGATGAAGCACGATGGGACGCGTCACAGTCTCGTTATCGGCGGCGGGAGGCTTTTTTAGCGATACCGTAATCGTTGTGCCGAACCTTGAATGTCTTGACGAGGCTTTACGGGCGACCTCGCGTCGGTTACGTTCCTCGACCGCCAAAAGCTGTTTCAGATTCACTGCAGATCGCTTTCAAGAATCATTAACGAAATTCTGTAGTTGCAACGGGCGAGGACTTACTTTTGCCTGGTCCGCAGCGAGGTCAACAGGCTTGATGCCACGGAACAAAAGGTAGAAGATTTCGAGCACAAGGGTATTCCAGCTATTGAACAACGGGTCCTCGTCGTGGTTGGCAGCAATCGTAAGGAGTAGCCGTAGGATGTGAGTTTCCTCCAGGATACGAATAAGCTTTGACTGAAGAGACGACATTTCGACGTTGTCGGCACTGCTGGTCGAGTCTGGGGGGAGATCTTTGATGAATGCGAGGTTGCGGATGAGATGGAGGACGACGTTGATAATTTGCCCGTCCCTTTCCTGTCGCTCGCTTCGTTTCTTCGCCAGAGGAGGTAAAATAATACCGAAAAGCGCCTTCATGACGCCTGTTTTGAGCAAAGCTGCCTTGTAAGTCAAATGACTCTCTATAAGTTGGGTATAGTCGGCCTTTTCGTCGATTTCGTCGTCGAGTTCCTTCAGTTCTTCTGCAACATCGATAGGCCAGGTCATGGCCGTCATCAAGTCGGCACATGCGATGGCACGCTTGTCTTCTACAAGGCCCTGACCAGCTGTGGTGAGGAGGATGGGGATAAGGTCATTTGGTAGGACCCTGGTCTCGTAGAAGATACGGGCAACGGTACGGTCGTCGTCGGTGTCGTCCTTGCGCCAAAGTCGTTTCAGATCCTTCAAGCAGCCATACGACTCGTCACCAAGCTTGTATTCGTTGCCTTCGTACCCACCAAGGGCGTCGACGACGCGGGTGATGATGGGTGTCAAGAGTTCGCGTCGGTCGATGTCGGGGTAGCCATTGGGTGCCTGTGTCGGCTCGTCGTCTTCTTCATCGTCGAAAATCTCGATAATTTCTTTGGGGTCCATGGTAAGTCCGTTAAGCAAGGGCCTGTGCTCGTCGTTGGTCGCGGTGAGGAACGAGCCTGGACAAATCGTCACATCGCTGACGCGCCCGTGACTGTGTGACAGGTCGCGTCTGTGACTGCCCCTATGTAATTCACGCGCTGCGCCTTCCGAAGATGGTTCCAACGTTCACTGGAGGCCCAGAGACTTCAAGAATCGCCTGCATTTCTTACATAGGGAGGCCATATGCCTCTCATGGTATCCAATTGGAAATGATCCCTGATATCTACAGGAGATGGGAAAGCCAGAGCGCGAGTTAGCGAGAAAGAAACCAGCGAGTTACCATTCGGGCGATACTACTAGTATCGCCCGAATGTATTGCCCAAACTACAAAGGTGGAGATAGCGTTACCTCTCCATATTCTCATCTACTCTCCTGATACCGTTGACTACTCAATGGTCTCATCCGAACGAAAGGAGTATTGCCGTGGAGATGAAATGGGACTTGGTGCTAATGATAGACTGCATTGGCAGCCAGGTACTGGAATGTAGACTTCTGTAAAGCGGTGAGAAGGAATACCACTTATTTGTAAAGAGGAGAACGAGCGTCAAAAGACGGCACTGTATGTAGCAGCCGTTAAAGGGATCCTGCGATCCCGCCGGCATCTTGCCTACGCTCCGGACACGGAAGAATAAGAACCACGACCGAGGCTGAGCGCTCTTCCCTGAAAAGGCACCGAGGCGGACGTAGACAAACCGCAAGTCCATAGAAAATAAGAAAAGCACAGGACTGACGAGGCGCTGCAAAGTCTGAGAAGGCAACTGAATTGGAGACGTCAACTGGTTGCTCATCGCCCCTCGAGGCATCAGGAATCAATCGACCGCTCAGAGGTCACTCCTGCCCGTAAAGTCCATCGAATCTGATCAAATTCAAAGACTGCATGTATCCTATCAGTGTAGGGTGCTTTGAACGTATGTTCGCATCAGTTGTCGTGTATCATGTCGTATGTCGAGACCTGAGTCTGAGTCCTCGCGAAGGCGAAGATCAACCTTCTTGACCTCGTCCCGGTGGGTAAGTATGACAGGGCTCCTCGGAGTTCCAGACTCGTAGGCGTATCACTTTGGAGCTGCTCAAGCCAAGAAATTTTTGTACAGCGCATTCAGATCCCCTCCCCACTACGATATGCTGTGACTCACCGTTACTGGATCGGTATCATCGCGTGCGTCCGAGCCCGCAGCTGAAGGGCCGTTTCAAGTCCCCGCCTTCCCCTATTCCATTTCGGCGTAGCTTTCAAACTTCGCAACCGTCGGCTCACAGTTGGGAAATGCCTCACAATTCGCGCGGAAGGTAGGAATGGCGGCCTGTTGCCGACGGTTTCTGTGAGACCAAAGGAGCGGGCTTGTCTTCTTGACTTGTTCACATCCTTGTTTTCGGAACTACTTCGTTGTTACGAAGGTGTACAACCCGAGAAGAAGCTAGTGAATGGCAACTAACGATATGTATGGGCATATTGCTACTACTAGTGACTAGGTAGCGACGGACGGTGCTACAAAACAATAGAAGAACAAGTTGTGGGCAGCCCCCCTCGCGCCTCCATTTGTTTCCAATCGTTCACTTGAACAACGTGTCGCCTTGATTGTGGAAGATGGGCACGGACAAGTGTTATGGACCGCGCAGGTGACAGAATGAGAGTAGAAAGGAGGAACTCCAAGGGAAGGAAAAAGCAGAATAAAATCACAGGGTGTCCAGAGTCAAATTTAGGGGCACACACAGGCACACACCCGAGACGGGTGATGGATAGGAATTAAGCGCCCAAGGGGGTCACCAGGTGGCAACTTGAGGTTGTGAGTTAGGCTGCAAAGGCCTGGACAGCGTAACCAGCGGGCCACTGGCTGAGACGAATCTAACTATCCCTTGTCATTCAAGGCACCAAGTTATGCGCACCACTGGGCTGAACCGTTGACCATGTTCGTGCGCCGGAGCGCCATCACACCATTAAATAAAGGTGTGTACAATTACCGACCGGCATCAGGCCCGACCAGATTGAATGGCAGGGCGGCATTCGGAGTAATCTCCCCTATCTCCAACGCCCCACCCCCCACACACAGATACTTTGTCGGTTAATCGAGCACCCTCGCTGGGCCTGTCAGGGTGCCCACTTAAGACCGCTGGAATTAAACAGCACGAGGACAAGCACTCTTCCCGAATCGTCACAAGAAGCGCGAAGGGAAGGAAACCTCGAGGCAATCCCCTTCGCTGGTCAAGAGTTTGCAGGCGTAACGGACTGCGAGATCGTAGCCTAAGTAGAAGAAACGAGTGCTAACTTCAGCGCGTGATGATGACGCCAATGCGTATCTGACTCTCTTGTAGGGAATTAGGGCGGGGTCGACCATGGTATCCGAGGTTATTTCGAGCCACCACTAAGGGTCGAGCCTGTCTAACTTGGGGATAAGAAAACAGCAATACTTTGTACCCTAAAATCGATTAGGAAGGCGGGGGACGCCACTGCACCATTAGGACGGATGTTCAGGAGAGTCGCAGGCCCACAGTCGCGGAGTTCTGATTCTCAGAAAATGGAAAGAGCTTTATTCGCTCTTTGTGGGTGAAGTGGGTATGGCTGGGAAACGGCTTGAGGGAAAGAACGGTCGGTTTGCTGATCCCCGATCACAGAAAACCCCTTCAGGAACGCTCGTCCGGAAGACCAGCTCGACAACCGCAATTTGCCGTAGGAGGACACGTTGAAATCAGATGGCACAAGACCACGAGTATGGCTGAACTACCCTTTTCAGTCTAGATGATATGCCTCCGTTTTTTCCCAGACATAAAAAAATGCTCATAAAATTGACGAATTGGGAGATAGATAGGAAAAGATCGTAGATTCGTCCTGTTCTGAAACGCAAGTTTAGCCTCGATGCGGGTACCAAGACTTTGGTGACGTGCAGGGTCGGACGAAATCAGAAATACCTACGGCCAGATCGAGAACTGTCATAAGATCGGGAACTGAAGACCCATCGGGTTTTTTGTTGAAAGCCACAGGGCGCTGTAAAATAAAACTTGGTACGGGTCAAGGCTTGTCTTATTCCCCAACTATTCTTCTACTATCAACGAGCTTTCGTCTCGTATTTACATGACTACAATGTCTTCAACATCGTCCACCACCGCCAATCCTGTCGACAAGCCAGAGCGTAGCCGGAATGCTAGGGCTCAGGCGCGCCACCGAGCGAAGCGCAAGGCCTATATCGAACAGGTGTGTCATGCTATCTTTATGGTAGCGTTACGGCCTTTACTAACGCCCATCCCCTAGTTGGAGCAAACCGTCACGAAACTCCAGGCTGCACTAGGCTTTTCACCAGAGCAAGTCTCTGCACTTCCGCCGTCGTCTATCACCATCCGCGAGCTCCAGCAAGACAACAGCAGGCTGCAGAAAGAAATCGAGGAGCTACGTCGCGCACTCGCCGAAATGAGTGGGGCGCGTCGGGGCTCAATAGCTCCTTATCCAGATCCTCGCTGCGACCGCGACTATAAGCGCAGAAAAATGTCCTCGCACCTGGACAGCGTGTACATGGTGAGCGCCGCGTCGCTCGCGTTTTTTACCACCGCAGCTCACCATCCCCTAGGGCCCCAGCGATAGTCATCTCAACGACCGACCTCCGCCACCGCTGACGATCCCCCACTACGGCAGCGTCTCGTCAAGCAGTAACAGCAACGGATCTCTGTTCAATATGCACGGGTCTACATTCCAAATGCCCAATACCCCATCCGGATCCAGCGCTACGTCAAGTCCTCCATTTTCTGTGGGTACATATTCTTTTCTTCAGTCGTGACATGTTCTTCATACTAATCAAAGTTGCCAGCCTATCCAAATGCAAGCACATCCGAGTCTAGATCAGCGTCCCCCCCTCCCCCACAGTGGTAGCATGTCAAACTATTCCCATAGCCAATACAGCGGTTCTGTGAAGGTGGAAGACGATTCTTACGGAGTAAGTGGCTTTCCGTTTTCCACCGACGCGAATCTCGTATTGATATGTTTTTTCTTTGTAGAACAGCAACAACCACCACTCGTCAATCTCCTACTCGTACTCCAATCAACAGCATAACAACGGCCTAGATTGGCACTCGTACTCCTCAGAACGCGCTCAACTACACCGATAGAATTCGTCTTTTCGCCTTCACTTTCCATTACACCCTACCTTAGATACCCTCATGGACACGGATCGCTATGAGATTGGTTTAGTTTGTCGTACTCGCTATCATTCGCTGTGTATTCGCATTTCTTATTTCCGTCGTTCAAGCAAAACGCCGTACTGTACTATCGCTCACCGGAATCACGTACATTTACAACACTTTTTACGAATCCTTCAGTTCCGTAAACTTGACCTGGGGCTCGTTGAAGTCAAAATAAACTTTACCGTGAGACGAGAAGATCGAAGAACGCGAAGTTCAACGATCGGCGTCATCCTACGGTGCCACCCTTCTCGTAACTCGAGTTGATTGCGTCAGGAACTTGGCGAGATACCGTAAGTCTTTACGCACTCGATAATAGCTCAAGGGCGTTAAACACATGGCTCTCCGCTGGCTGCAATAGACACTGCTGCATATCACGTTAATCGCTTCTCGACTTAACTTGCCGCCATCACCAAGCCTAGGGACCTGGACATTACGTTGAAGTCGTCTAAAGGTTAAATACCCTGCATATTAAAACACGATGACGATGGATTATCATTCTCCAAGTCCAAAGGATGCTCACGACACTCTACGACACTGCTGTACTTTATCTCTTTCAATTCAAACCAAGTTACAAAGGGCCTTTCCATCCCCGGAGGACCGAATATAAAGGTTGTCATCCACCATCCACCAATCCGCCCTTTGTTACCGCTATAAATCGAGGAAAGGTAATGGCAGAAAATGCCTCTTTCTTCAACCCTTTTCACTGCCTAGGATCCCTGGGACCCCGACCAAATGAGCTCTTCCGAGCACCTTCAAACTCACCGCGTTCCGCCAAGGAGTGTTAAAGACCTTCTTGACGAACACAAGACGGCCGTCCTCGTCGACAGCGTCGACGGTCGAAATGCGTCGGAATATCCGGCCGTTTACCAGAGTTTTACCGGTCGTGCTGACTACAGAAAAATGTTGACTTCTTCTTCTCTTAGCACTTTTGTACCACCACGATGTTCTCTCCGGCACTCTTCTATCTTTGGAAAAGATTGCGAGATCCTTCGACTGCGAAGCGGGGGACGCGTCCTACCACACATGGGTGGCGTGTAAGAAGGTGGTCGACCAATGTAACCGGTATGTGTTCTATTCTTTCAGAGACACCGTTTTTTCTATTGAATTGGACCCAAGCCAAGCTCTGCGGCATCCATTGGGGGAAGTGCCACCAATTGTAAAAGAACAGTCACTTGAGCGATTGGTAAATGTTTTCTACTCGACATAGTATGAGCCTCTGCTCAACCTCGTACCATCCTGGTCCTGCAGACTGTTGAAATTGGGTTAGCGCAGCGGCACACTGTTGCCGGTCCGCACATAACATATCTCAACCCCCGTATTCATGACGATGTGGACGCTATGATCGCGGAAGCACAGCGGCGATACAAACTTCTGCGCCTTGGCGGCTTGAGTGGAGACGAAGTTCTATTAACTGTATGTCCACGCGCACCCTCGATCTATGTCTATAGCACGATCGTTGACACGTAATTCAACTTGTAGATCCCCTCGTCTGAGGCCGGAATACAGGCAGCCCGGACGTTGCAGAAGGCCAACATCAATGTGAATTTATACCCGGTCTGTACTTTAATGCATGCGGCGGCGTGTGTCGAGGCGGGAGCAGCTGCTATCACTGTCAATGTCGGGCAGGTAAGCCAGCAAGCTAAACCGTGTATGCTCAACTTCCCTACATATACTTATACGCGAAGGTATTGGGGTGGTTTGAACGGGGAAAGGGGGCTCGTGCCTATCCCGACGCTTTCGCGCATCCAGGCGTCAAATCGATCCAATCCATTCTCACATACTTCAGAATCAATGACATCAAAACAAGACTTATTGGACAGAACTTCAGAAAGGTATGCTCCCGATTCGAGATGCGCTTCTCGAGTTTGTCAGAATCCTTTGATTGATTTGATCCTAGATGGCAGAGATAGCACTGCTGGCCGACTTCGACGCTGTCGCAGTGTCAGAATACCAGCTTGATAGATTGCAGTGGAACATCGCACGTATCGCTCCACCAGAGGAAGTCCCGAAGGAAGTCCTGGAGAAAGCGAGGCAAGCGAAGTACCCAGCAGGTCTTCTAACCGACGATGGGAATTTCTTGAAGAAACTTGACCACGATTCCCAGAATTTAATCAGAAGCACGTTGGACCCAGAACTCGAGAGGTCGTCGAAGGCAATGGACAAGATCGAGGACGCAGTATTCCGAGAGGTCAAGAACCATTGGGCACGCTTGAACGAATTGAATCCAAACACCAGACCGCATGGCGTAAGAAGTGACGAAGAAGGTGACAGACGAGTGAGCGGAGTTGCCAAGCACAAGTCCGCCGCGGCACAGAACGCATGGATCCTGGATTGGAGGGACAAGGTGGATGCGGAGTTGCAGCTCCATGACCTAGAGGCGTTTTAGCCACAGTCATTTGTCCTAGGATAGAATTAGAGTTGATATGTCGCCTTCAGCAATGGAGAAAGGGAACCAGCGAAGGCAAGGAGGACGCTCAAGAAGGATATCCAAAGGGATTTGGCCAACTGCTGTGAACCACGAATAACCCGGAGATGATGGAAAAACTGTTCTCACCAAGTTGGCGTGATGGTTTTCCGCCTTTGACCAAGAGCCTCCGAAAATACCAGTGATAAAGTTAGATTGGGCGCCCCTTCGCTGGCAGGCTACAAGGAGAAGTTGTCAGAACAAGATGACGGTGGCCATCGCCTCGAGTCTAGCTCGGGTGTCCTTGCACGAAATAACAGCTTTCTCCTCTCGAGATGAAAAAGAGACGCATCCCATGAGGACGATGGTATCGGCTGTCCCCATCCGATAAGCTTTGCGTGGAAAAGGAAGACGTTCTTGCTCGAGGTTGCCATTTCCGAAACGCCCGACAGTTTGAGCCTGGCGTGTCGAACAGGCCCATGAAATGTCGGATTTGTTTGGCCCTCGCAAAGTCCACTGTGGGCGAGGCCCAGGTGAGGGCATGGGTCGACAATCATTAGCCACGAGTGAGAGCTTAACTCCCGGCGTCTAAACGCTACTGGTCACGTTCGCAGCTGCGCGGCGACCCCATGATTGTACCTGTATTTTCCTAACCCGAGTTTAGTATTCACATTGGGAGCAGGAGGCATGAAGTTTAATGGAAACTTACCGAGTCTGTCACGATGGCGCAACTCGAACTGCCGGCTAGGCGTATGATCAGGGTTGCTGGGAGATAGGAATCGGAGGCCAAGGTCACGGCGAGCTTGCGGTATGTGCACTCACGAGTCACAGGTATGAGTACCTTGATGAGTGCCCTTCATCAGGCTTACTTTGTAGCTCTTTCGAGTCGGAAAGGATTATAGCCATGCGGCACAACACCCCTATTTCTTCCCGCCTGACAAACCGAGTCTAGCCAGGAAGGCGAATTGTTGCAGAAAATCTGAGGAATAAGAAAATGGAAAGCATCCGCACGCACCCAATAGACAAGGACAATACAACCTTCATCAGAATTCTGTAGTGAAAATGAAAAGCCCACATATACCAGAGGAGAAACGTCAACAGGATCCATTGACACGGTTCACAGTTCGGGTGATTGCGGTCCGGTATCAGCACTTCGCCGACACTTCGCGTCGCCTGGGCCCTTTAGACGGCATTCTCTCAACCATCATCATCTCGATTCTCGTCTTATCTATCTAATCCTTTCCGCCGTCCAATCTTCGTCCCAGGGGTATAGACCAAATATCTAGACTAATAGACCCTAGAAATGACCGCTGTACTCTCGACGGCAAGCGATTACGAGGCCCTTTTGCGCGATTATGACACCTGGCTTTTCGACTGTGACGGTGTGCTGTGGAGGGGAGACCATTTGTTAGACGGGGCGGTCGAAGTTCTCGATTTACTGCGGCGGCGAAGTAGGTCTGCGGTTTCGCCCTTGCCCGATGGGATTTGGACGTCGTTCTCATGCTTCGTGGTGGTTTCTAGATAAAAAGGTTGTCTTTGTAACGAACAACGCCACCAAATCTAGAAGAAGTTATAAGAGCAAGTTCGATGATTTGGGAGTCGAAGCACATGTGGTGAGAGAGGACTTTTGGAAATTGGACATCCAAAACCCAATGAAACCCTTTTGCTTGGTAGGATGAGATCTACGGTTCGGCCTATGCGGCAGCGGTCTACATCTCGTCTGTGATCAAATTGCCGAAGACGAAAAAGGTGTATGTCATTGGCATGGCTGGACTTGAAGAGGAGCTTCAGAACGAGGGGATCACCATCTTGGGAGGGACGGTATGGGGATCTCGCCGTTTCTGCAAGTCACACTGATGTAACTTCAACAGGATCCTGCTGACAATACCTTGGAGTCATTCAATCTCGCTGATTTCGTCCGTGATCCTGATGTTGGTGCCGTTGTATGTGGGTTGGACACGAAGATCAATTACACCAAACTGTCGAAGGCGTTCCAATACCTGCTCCATAATCAGGACTGCCTGTTCATCGCGACAAACGAAGATAGCACGTACCCAAGTTCGCATGGTCTGCTACCAGGGGCCGGTTCCATCAGCGCGCCCCTCCGCTGTGCACTGGGAAAGAACCCTATCTGCACGGGAAAGCCGGCGAGCACGATGCTCGACTGCATCAAGGCCAAGTGGGTTATCAGTCCCTGCACCAGTGATTCCCGCTTGCCAACCCTTCTCTAGAGTGAACTTCGACCCCAAGAGGACCATCATGGTCGGGGATAGACTGAACACGGACATCCTGTTTGGCCAAAACGGGGGACTGGCGACACTACTCGTCCTCACAGGTACGAGTCCATGATTTCGGGTGACCACACGGGATTGCCTTGACATTTGACTACGATAGGGATAACAAAAGTCACCGATATCCAAGGACCGAATGCTTCTCCCATTGTCCCAGACTTTGTCACAGAAGCGCTTGGGGACTTCCGAGTAGTGGAAAAGGCTGCATAGTGTTTGTTGTGGGCAACGCGGCGAATGGGACTGTGGGGAGGGCGGCGGTCACCGGTCGGGTTAGTTTGTAGATCCATCGGGAGACGATGTTCCTAATCGGAGGGTACCGTGAGGTCGATACCGGTCGCCGTCGCAGCGACGATAGAAGCGAGAATGTAACCAATAATTGCACCGTACGCCGGTGTCAATGGCCAGGCCTGGTCATTTCAGTAAAGGAAATACGAGGGATGGAAAACAATGTGACATACCTGCCACGGTCGTTCCCAGTCGAGGGCAAGTGGAATAACCCCGAGCCAGCTGCCAATCAGAGTGCCAATCGTCGGGTACAGGATAGCCCGCTCAATAGGGTTTTTCCACCTGTTCGAGTGATTAATTGGCCAGTCAAATGAGAAAAAGGTTGACGTACGATAGCCCAGCGTACAGGCGACGCCATATATGACGCTGGTATTGCGAGTGGCCGTCGTTCCCCAGTGCAGGAGGTCCAAAGACTGTCACTGGTGGTAGAACGGCCAAGTTGGCAATTAAGAAGGCAAGAAGGTAGGTCTCTAGAACGTGACTGTTCGGAAATTGTAAGCATAGAGTCAAATCCACGATAAGTTCTTGTACCTGAATAAAGGCGCGCCAAACAGTACCAAAAGACCGTGGATCCCGAGTGACGCGACGATCAAGGATCCATAGACTCGCGGTAGCGATCCCTAAATCGCGTGTTGGAACCAAGTCAAGTCTTGGAGCAGGGCTAAACGTACATTATCCTTGGAACCACTGCTTCCATCTTCTTGTCCCTTCAACCACCCTGCTTTCAGGGCTTTCGACCACCAGGATTGGATCAGGCAAGTTGCAAACCCAAGGGTGGCCATAGTCCAGACCGGCCGTGCAGCCAAAGCTTCAAGCGGTTCGTGTAGAACGGGCTCAGACTTTCCCTCCAGATATTGAATCCATTCTTGCAGAACAGCCGAAGTAGGCAGAAACACAGCAGAAAAGCCTAGAACCGAGAGCTGCAAAGTCGCGCGAGTCGCGTAGGCCTTGTATTCGCTTTTCCTGATTTTGTCGATTTCTGCGTTTGCATTGGTGCTGGGATTTTTGTCCTGCTTGGATTTACTCCCACTTGTTATCTGAGAACCCGTGCCTTGTGGTTGTGACCGTTGTTTCGCCTTTGGCATCTGTGCGACGTGGTGGTTGGACGGAAAGGGGAGGACGGGTTATGTAATCCCATCAGTGTTCCGCTTCAAGGGAGGCTTGGGCGCTTCCGCGCAATACCCACCATCCCCGAACCCGATGGATTCGTCGGAAAGCCCAATGTCTGAGCGTCTGTGCATCACTACAAAGGCAGTGGAATGGAGCTGCATCTATACCCCTATATTCGAGACCTACATGTGGATGAGGGAAATAAGCTAGGCCAAGCTTTCGATGTCATCATCCTCTCGACCCACCAAGCCGCGCTCGCGGTTACTTCATGCAGCAGTATGTCCCGAATGACCCCACCTTCCCAATCAATTTGCTGTTACTTACATACCTGCCGGCTATTACCAAAGAGTCTATAATGGGTACGTTACTCGAAGGTGGGCACATGCTCGTCATTCTGTTGGTACCAGTTGCATCTGGGGGCGCATACATATCCACATCTCTTCCCCGCCGCTTGAGCGAGACCACGAGGACATTGAGCTTTCGATTCCCGTTGTGTGCACTCGACCTTCCCCGCCCACCCGTGAAAATCGTGAATGCCTTGTATAGGTCCTAGTCGTATCAACAACCATATCACGGAGCTGAATATAGCCCACACATTCGATCAGCGACCCGCGCTCCCCCTCCTGTTGGGTGTTTGGATGTGGCTTCGAGCGGCGGAGAAGGGAGATACCTCAGATGTAGGCTCTTTTGGGAAGGAAGACCCAGATTTTCTTCAATCCGGTGTTTTTTGTCAGAAAGACGGCAGTCGGATGAAGTGTCAGGATTGTGGCTTTGAACTGCTTCAAGAACCAGGTCTTGTTGTTGGCGTGAGATGGCCGCTCTTAAACCTTATTTATATACCCGGATGGGATATGTGAGATCAAGGGTTGGAAAGAGGGGAACCTGGCGCTTCTGCCCAATGTCAGTTCTTCGACGCCGCTGGCTTTGAGAAATGTTCTGGGAGTTCTCACATGGGTAGACCATAAGCGAGTTGCCCGTTATAATGATGCAGGGTTTAATCGCGATGCCCTTGATATGCTTTTGGGGCGCAGTCGCTTGTTCTGATCGTTGTAATCTAGTCGAAGAACTATGATGGGCCTGTACCAAGGGAACTGACCCACCATGGCCAATTATTGGTAAGTAGCGCTAAATGAACGAGCTACTGGCCCAAAACTTGTTTCATTTGGGAATAGAAGAAGATTGACAGAGACAAAAACGGGGCACTTCTATGTGCCCAAAGTCAGGGATTAACTATAACCGTTCGACATCCTGGAACATGCAGCATGTAGTAGACACGTTAATGTGCTGCAAAGAGGTTTAGCATCCTGCAATCCCGTCACATGTCCTTCCCACATGAACGTGAGGTCCGACACGGACTAGAGGTTGAGGCGTTGAAAGGTTCTCGACATACGAAGGACGCATCGAAGTACATCTTTAAATTATGCCGCTGGGACAAGATCTGTCGGGCGACGGTTTCTTCACTGGGGACTCTGGCTGACAAACCGTTATGCGCGGCGAATGTGGAGGTAGTTTATATTGAGCCCGCCAATTCGGGTGGTTCGTCGACCTCGGAGGAAGGCAGAAGTTGAGAGATGCTTCTACTATTCAATTGGTCTGAATCCCTTCGATGTCTCAAAAGAATTGTGTATGGATAAAGAAATGTTTGGTGAAACTGGATGGTCGTTCTCCCGCGACGCCCTCCAGAGGGTTCAATCCGTAAGCATGTGTTGTAATCGGGAACTACACCGACATAGCCTCAGACATTACTACGGTACGTACCCACGAAGCGCCTTCACTCGTGGTAAATCACAATAGGACCATTATTGAATCTCATTCAGCGCGAAAATCATTGTTTCTTCTCATGCAAGGCGTCAATTCAAGTTCGCCGCCGGTGATCCCTGTCCGGACATACTCGAGATCACCATCATGTTCTCGCATTTCTGAGAATGCAGACATGCTAAACTCACAAAGCTCAGGAACTGGAGATGGTAGTCAAAATAACTGCCTACCGAGATTGTACTGCAACTTGAACGGAGAGACACCGAATGTTGCTCCAAGGCACCTATGATAGTGCCGCTGTACACGTCGATGGTTTGCATCGGGGCCGGGAGCATCAAGATGATGCTTGTCTTGACGCCGCCCAAGCGTATGTTTTACACCTCCCCAGTAGTCATTTTCTTCTCAAGCGCCAAGTCTTACCAATTCGGTTCAAACTCTGATGATGGAAACCACTGAATCGCAGGCTGCGTTCCCGTCTCCAATCTTATCTTTCGAGACATGCCATAGTAGCTGTTATGGAGACTCTCTCGATGCAACCATAGGGATGCCGTAAAGACTCCCAAGAGAGATTTTCGCGGTTTTAACGGATATTTATGCCCTTTGGCGCCAAACGGCAGCACACGCAAATAGACGCCGGGGCGGAAGCAAACTGCTCGATCAGTCGTGGCGGCACGTCCGGCATTGAGGTTCGGAAAGTGCCGAAGTACTGTGTAGTTCCAAGCCCCACCCACATTCGGAAAATCAACACCGTGATCGTTGCCGACATCCTCAAGACAAGGTGAGCTGCTGCCGAAATGCTGAATTATAGACGTTTTACTGACTGTGTCGGATAGCTTGCTCGACTGTGAGTAGACGCCGTTTGAACCTCGAAAATCTGTGTCGATTTGGACGAAATGGGGGGTTGGAGACATTGGTTGGGCCACCTGGGAATCAGTTTGGAGATTTTGGAGAACTGGGAGCGACACGGAGATTCTGTTTTAAAGGCGTGGTCAGGACGTGAACAACGAGTCTAATATCGCGTTTACAGAATTCGAAATGGCCCAACGAGTCACTCTCCGCAAGCGCAACCCTTATAACTCCACCTCCAACCGACGAAGGGTGGTCAAGACCCCTGGAGGCAAGCTTGTTTACCACCACATCAGGAAGCCCGCCGCTGCACCCAAGTGCGGTGACTGCGGTATCGCTCTCCCCGGTGTACGTCCAGGATTTGCAGCCCAAGTTATATCAGGTGGCTGATATCATATCGTCCAGGTCCCTGCTCTCCGACCCCGCCTGTACGCCAGGATCTCCAAGCGCCAAAAGACCGTCCAGAGGGCATACGGTGGCTCGAGATGCGGTGACTGCGTCAAGTCACGGTGCGTCGTTTTCTTGAAGATCGATGTTGGACTTTGAACTTATAAATGCTGTAGAATTCTCCGGGCTTTCTTGGTTGAGGAGGCCAAGATCGTGAAGAAGGTCATCAAGTCGCAGCAGAAGTCCGCACGCAAGTAAACGTGTGCTCTTTATTCATGCTTTCTGTACCACCCATTCTCCCATGTATTCGATTCATGCACAAAACGACGACCGAGGAGGTCAATATGGCGTATGCGTTCCATTATCCATGCATTTGGAAGTCTTGCCATTCGGAGCGTGATTGACCAAGTAACTTTGTTGATATTCTACCTGAGTTTTTCATCGACGTTCGGGCACCAATGAATTCATTCCTACGCCTACTCCAAATGAACGTATCCACTGATGGTGGATAGGTTCGTCAGAACCGTCGCAGGGCGATATTTTCGAAGTGCCCGTTCACACGGTACCCCTCCTGCCGAAACCGCGACCGTGTTGCCCAGTACCCTCACCTTTTTGGTTCTTCGCCATCACCATCAACGCCTTCATCGACAGTTCATCGTTTTCTATTCGAACTGAGGGGACCGAACCGACTGGTTCACGAATCTACTAGTAGCGTCCTAGTTTCATTATCAGTATCCGGGCGAATTATTGATACACGTCTCAAACACATCTCTGAAGATTATTTTTGGTCCTAGAGGCGAGGGGCTATGTAAGGTACCGCGCTTGGCCCGCACTTGACTTTGTACTTCCATGTCGCCCTCACCTCTGCAAGATGCTGTCCCCACCGAGCTCCTGGTGGAAATCGTCCACCGCCTAGTGCTCTGTTACACACAAAATGACGCTCGACCGATACCTCAACTGATGAACCTTGGGAAGACGTGCAGAAGGATGTCCAACATTCTTAAACCCTTCATCTTTGAACAACTCTTCGACTGCCTTGTCGCCATGCAGGTCGGCCGGGTACTCCAGCTACATCAAGGCGATAGCTCGGTCATTCTGGGCCGCAGCCAGGGGTATTGGGGATTTGAACAACTTCTCGGTTGCGAATCTGGCTTCAAGATTTCTTATACACCCAAGCACCAGTCTCTCTACAATGCAGAAGAGCCATGGGCGTTGTATCATCTCCTGAGGCGGCTCAAAGCGATTACACAATTCACTGTATTTATTCCCAGTCCAGGTGCAACATCAGAGCCGGGGTTAAATGTTGGGAGCGCTTGGAACCGTGGCCTGGCTTCTTCAATCCTCGCCACTGCGCAACACCCGGGTTCCATCTTGAAGTTCGAGGGCGATCCAATGACGTTCCGATACGTCCTTTCTCCATTCAAACACGAAATCCATGTCACTTCAATTCAACCAAGCGTAGCGCCTTCTACCCCAACCTCTGCGCGCCTTCCGACACACGACAAGAAGCCCTCCCAGGCCCATCGCATTTCGTTGCTCCTACGACGGGTATTCAATGGAATGAGGGAGGATGTTGGAAATTCGAAGGGAGAAGTCGACCAACCGATGGCAACCCCTCAGCCGCCCTCCAATGGGCAGACTGACAATCACATCATCTCGACTCTCAAATATCCACCTCCCGGGATGAACTTTCCATCGTGCACCACTAGTTTCCTGGCCGAGATCGAACTGGGAACACCCCGTATGCTCGATCCCTGGTGGTACCACATCACCCAGTCCCTTCTCCAGTCCTCCTACTCCACCCTCACAAGACTCTCCTTCTCCGCCCAACATCTGTGCTTATACGACTGGCGACACATTCTCCCAACATGGTCCTTTCCTCAATTGAAAATCTTCGCGCCAAGGAGAACAGAATTCGCCAATCCCGACCTGCACGACTTTCTGCTTCGCCATCCGTCGATTTCAACTTTGGATCTGACAGGGAATGAGCTTGCCGGAAGCGTGGACATATCGTCATTTGCGAACACCGACTTCCTACCCAACCTGGAGATGCTAATCGCCACTCCCGATTATCTCATTCCATTCCTCGCACCCACCACAGCTTCCTTATTTCCGAAACTGGCCCGCGTAAAAGTAACCCAGGAAATGCGTAGGACGTTCTCCTGCTTCGTTGCCAATGATTACAACCGTCTCATGGAACTACTCGCGAGCCGCACCCCTACCGCCGGTGTCGAGCCCATCACCGACCTCGCATTCGAATTCGACTCAAACCAACGCGATGCATACTTCGAATGGTTTACCTCAGTATCCTCTCGGCGGGCCCTTCCTTTTGTCAGGCAGCTTTCCGTCTACGCACGACGCTGGTGGCAGGAGATGGAGGAAGGGCTCGCTATGATGGAGGAAGGGTTCGCTATCCTGGCTTCTTGGTTGAGGATGTTCCCTGGCCTAAGCGAACTGGTTGTAGGGAAAGGGATGTTTGACGAGCCGAATATGCAGGAATGGGCGCAAGACAACCCCGCTGGACCACGGATTTTGTGGGATGCATGTCCGCAGCTACGGTCCATCTCGATGCAACCGATAGATTACGAGTTCACAAGGCCCGACCTGGGCTAGGAGATATGAAAGTTACTTGATTGTGTATTTCGAAATCGGGGCCCGTACTTGACCCCAGCATACTTACAGACTATAGTAACAATTGATACCCATCGCTGAAAATCCCGCGATCCTGGAGACGAAGGTGCCATGTCGGACTCCGCCTTGACCTCTCACCTCCATCATGTCGCCGTCGCATCTGCAAGATTACCTCCCTACCGAGCTCGTGGTGGCCATCACAAACCACCTAGTGCACACTCTCGAGCAGGAGGGGCTTCAACCGATCCCCCAGCTGATGGCCCTTGCAAAGACGTGCAGGAGTCTGCATGACATCTCCAAACCAATCATCGTCGAACGCGTCTTTGTCTGCCTTCGCAAGATGCAGGTGGATGGGGTATTCAAACTGTACCAGGGCCCTGAGCACACACGGGTAGACCTCGACCACAGCAGTGAGCGTCGGGACCCAGAGGGGCTCCTGCGTTGCGCACATGGTTTCAAGATACTTTATGTGCCCAGCCGCAATTCCTTATCCAAACCGGAGGAGTCGTGGGCGCTCTGTAATCTCCTCGTACGGCTCAGGGCTCTCACTGAACTTGCAGTGTGGTTCCCTTCTCAGAGAGCTGCAGACTCTTGGTATAGAGGCCTAGCTGCCGCCTTCCAAGCCGCTGCGCGACACCCGGAATCCATCCTGCGCGTCCGTGGTCCCGGGACTCTCCCAGGTGCAGATATGCTACCGTACAAGCATGAGGTCGTCGAAGTCGCCCAGTGTCCACCAACTCCCCGGTGCTCGTTAGGCTGGTTTCCTCTCCACCTACCGACGCAGCTTGGCTGGTCCTCACGTAGGCCGTCAACTGTAGAGCCCACCCATCGAATTATTTCGACTCTCCAAACCTCCGACTGGGCCCGTCCTGCCAACATGCAATGCCAGTAGCCTGGACGCAATCAGGCTGGAGACACCCCAGATGCTCGAGGGTCGGTGGTACCATTTCACTCAGCAGCTCCTCCAATCCTCTTCCTCCTCCCTCACGAAACTGACCGTCTACGGACAGTCCTTTCGATTCTCCGATTGGTCGGAGGTTCTCCCAACGTGGTCCTTTCCCCAGCTGAAGGAACTTGCGTTAGGGAGAACGGAAATCGCCTTGCCTGACCTACACACCTTTCTCCTCCGACATCCATCGATTTCGATGCTCGAGTTGACGGGAATCAGCAGTGTTGGGCGCGTGGACGAACTTTTGTTGTCGAAGACGGATTTCCTACCCAACCTCGAGAAGTTGATTGCCACTCCCGAGTACACCATTCCATTCCTCGCCGCTTCCCCCTCGCTTTTTCTAAAGCTCAAAAGCCTGGAAATACTCCAGGATTGGTTCACATCGCCTTACTGGTTCGTGCTCAACGACTACGACAAGCTCATGCAATCTATCGCGGGCCGCACCGTAGCCTACGGCGTCGTCTTAACCACCGACCTCGCATTCGAATTCACATCGAGTCAACGCGAGAGGATCCTCCAATGGTTCACAGCGTCTCAGTGCACCCACAGGCTCCCCTCTGTCAAACGACTGTCTCTTCAGTACTATCATGATGGATTCACAGATGGACATCGCTGTTGCTGGTCGGACATGGAGGATGGACTCGTCACCTTGTCTTCCTGGTTGAAGATGTGGCCCGGTCTAACCGAGCTAGTGGTCGGGGAGGAGTTGTTTCCCGGTACGACGGTGCGGGAGTGGGCAGATGCCAACCCTGAAGGACCCCATGGTCTGTGGGATTCCTGTTCGACCCTGCAGTCAGTCTTGATACAGGAGCTGGGTCAGAAGTTCACAAGACCAGGCCTGGAATAGGTTATACATGAAACAAAATTTATTGGAATGGTACCAAAGGAATGACAACACAATGAATCACAGCCGACACCGAAATGAATGAATGAATGACAAGCAGCTTGAGGGTCCACATCCACACCAAATTGTCCAAGGTAATCCACCAGAAACGAAGCGAAAGGGGAACGAAAGGAAACTAGGAAACCCTCTAAACAAACTTGTCATACCTAGCCGAGCGCAGGGAACCCCCTGAACAACTCAGCGCAATGGCACCCAAACGGTTCTGGTTGACGGGGTTAACGCCGTACGTGGGTGGTCCAGGGCTAAGCAACGAGCTCAACGCAGCAGCGCTTTGCATCAGAATGCCTCTCTGGGGAGTGAAGATGGGAGGCTCGAGTTCCTTGAGAGCAGGCGGTCGGTTAGGTCGGTTCAATCCACGCGTCGTGTGCGCAGCCGTGGGTGCAGCGGCAGTGCGCCCCGCATCCCCATTCGCACCCGCCCTGTTTGATGCTGCGGCGTTGACTCGCAAGCGGGCTGAGCGCTGGCCGGCGTTGGCGGCCCTGCTGTTGGTCTCTCCTTCGGCGGAGCCGGCGTAGGGGGCGTCGCTGGCAACCCGAGAATAGCCATTGTTCCTCTGACGGCGGGAGCTGGAGGCGCGAGGGACGGTTTGGTTGGCGATCATGTAGGCAGGGTGGGAGGCGTCGGTGGTTTGGCGGTAGTATGTGTAGACAATGAGGTAGCTGATCATGGATGGCATGAACCCGAAGACGAATACGCCGACGATCTGGGACCAGGATTGCTGAGTCCATGCTTCCACGCATTCTAGTCGTAGGGTTAGATACGTTCCGTTGTGAACGGGGAGTATACTCACCCCTCCGTGCTTGCATGAGTCCGACGGCGAGGAAGGACCCTGGCCACATCTTGCCTCGCTTCAAGGAAATCAGTTGTCTTGTGTAGGCAAGAGAGCTACGAGGACTTACGAATTGCGACTTGGAGTAGCCACGTCCAGAAAGAGCAAGGGCAACGCACTCATACATCAACTCCTCCTGTAGAAGCATGAGAAACCGACTTGACAAGGTTTTCAGGCAAGGCAAGGGACCTACAGCGTTTACGAAGAATGAGGTGGTCTTCAACACGCTCGCCGCTGTGGCCAAGGTGGCAGATACGAACGCTAGGAAAGTGTAGGCTCGAACGAATGCAAATCGTCGCTAGGGCGATGGATTGAGGTTCGAGGACAGGAATACAAGGCGGAAGACTTACTGTTGCAATGCCGATGGCACCGAATAATTCGATCAGGGTCGCTACCGCGTACATCACGCACAGCGCGATGGACACCATTGCCAGCTTCGTGGCATTCGCTGAGGCATCTATCTCGAGGTCGGACCATGCATTGTACTGCTTGCATCTTCGTTAGGTCAAGGCTTTTGAATCGCTTCTGCTCTAGCACTCACGGTCCTGGTCACCCAGTCAGCTCTGCATTTCGTCAATCGAAATAGATTCACTCACTTATAGATAAATCTCAGAGCGTTGAAGCCAGCAACTGCATACAGCGAGTCATGATCAGCACACCTGGTCCAGAATCCTGTGCTCATAGCTACTGACCAGCAACAATAGCATTCCGCCAGTTTGCCTTGTAGAGCTTTGCGAAGAACGATTCCTTGACTGGTGGTTTTCGTGCAGAAGGGATAGCTTTCGGAAGAGAAGCAAGATGTGAATAAAACGTGGTTTTTCGTCTCAAGACCGTAGTAAACTCACGCAATGGGAACCTGTTGTCGTCTACAATCTCTTTAAATCTCGAATTTGTACTGTACAGTACCAATATACGCACATTTGAGTTTAAGCGGAGGGGGTCGAATTGGCATTTTCACAGAATTTGCCTTTACTGCTCAACAGTAAGTCGTGGAGGACGATGGTGGTACCGGACAAGGGAACCAGAATGCCCCATGCGCCCATTTTGTGGTCGGCGGCGCCACGTTGATGATGTTGATGCAGCACAGCCCTACCCGTCGTCGTCGCGGATAATTGGCCTCCAGGGCCTATCAGGGCCCATCAGTGAAGATAGAGAGGGTGGACGAAACTTGTAGACACTGCAGACCCTCAGAGACCCTCCCAGTCTCCAGAGGAAGGAGGAAAGATCAAAGATATTTCGACTCCAGCGCCGCGGTGGGCGCTTAAACCTGTCAGCTCTGAATCACACGAGGGCAGAGTGAAGACCGAATGCTTCCGCATCTGTTTAAATTTTAATTCATAGTTATGTGAGGGTATCAGGCGCTAATAATACATCTAATCCAAGCCTGCGTTACGGATGGACGAAGACTACACGAATTTTAGGACGACGTCTAGTAGACCAATTGACCACTGGAAAGATCGCAATATCAGTACACGATCTTGGAGCGAAAAAGAGAGAGGAAACATACCCGTCAACGAAGTACTCAGCTCCAGTCATATATGAGGCGTGCTCGGACAACAAGAGGAGTGCGAGGCCAGTCATCTCGTGGGGCTCGGCGAATCGGCCCATGGGCACCTGGCTGGCCTGGAAGTCACGGATGTTCTTGTCCATGAAAGCAGTTTGGTCGGTGTTAACTGCGTTGGGCGACGTCAATGAACGATACATTTGAGGAAACTGAACCCAACGAACCATAACCAGGAGACAAAGCGTTGACCCGGATGCCATACTGAGCCCACTCTCCAGCGAGACCCTTGGTGAGGTTCGAAACAGCGGCCTTGGAAGAGTTGTAGAACACTTGGGTGAGAGGAGAGTTGTTGTTGACTTTGTTGATGATCTGGGAGCTCATCGAAGAGTTGATGACGATGGAGCCCTTGTGGCCTCGCTCTTTCCAGACCCTATTGTAAGCTATGTCAATATCATGCGCGGAAGAGCTCGTCGGGAAGGATGCGAGCTTACTTGGCGACGGCCCTGGCAGTGTTGAAGACCCCAAAGACGTTAACATTGTAGACGTAGTTGAAGTCGTCTTGGGTGAGCTCGAAGGCGGGCTTGACGACGGAGACACCGGCGTTCTAACGGTTGGAAGGCTTGTGAGGAAATAGGCTAGTGATGATCGAGAGAAGAACATACGGCAATCAGACCAGTGATGGGGCCGAGCTCCTTGTCGATCTTCTGCATGGTCTCATCGGTGAGGGCAGTGTTGGAGACGTCGCACTTGTAAGCCTGGAAGTGCTTTATTCAGCATTTCGCTACGCAGGGCTGAGAAGCTTGAAATACCTTAGCCTTGACGTTGTACTTCTTCCCAATTTCCTCAACGACCTTCTCGGCGTCGGGGGCACTCCTGTGAGCAACGGCGTCAATAATGGATCGTTGATGACTGAACTGCACGAGACAGACCTGTAGATAACAGCAATGTTGCCACCAGCTTTGGCAACGGCCTCGCTGAAGGCATGGCCGATACCTCGGTTGCCACCAGTGATGACAATGCACTGGTCTACACAGCGAGGTCAGACTCGACGTCGTCGAGGAGGCGACCGACGAAAGGGACTCACTAGCATAGCTGATCGAGAAGCTGGGAGACATGTTGGTTCAGACGAAGACGAAGTGAAAAAGGTCTGTTGATCAAAGAGGGGAAGAAGTAGAGTGTTATCTCTCCCCGAATTACAGCCAAGCCTATATACTCCAACGAAACTCACCCCCGATTCTGTATATGGAACCCCCAAGCCGGAGGGCCAATTCGTATAAGGCCTAGAGACTACGTCATCCAATCCGACGGTTTCGTAGCGCGATGTAAGGCCGACCGCTTCGAGATCAAACACGTACTGCGCCCCACTAGGACGAACGTTATACAAAATTTGTTGCATTGGTGATGCTGGATGGACTCGTTCAGAAATGGGGGTAAAAACGACGCGTTCAGAGGTCCCTTGGACTCGGTGGGAGGAGAAAGATGAGCGAAAACGCTGTCGTCGGCCTAGATCAAGGTCGCAACAGCGCTCCCAACAAGCCTGGCAGCCCGCGCGGAAAAAAGGGGCGATGATCAGGCCAAGCCCCCAAGACGGGATAACAACTTTCCCAATAAAGCAATTGGGACGGGAATGTTACCTCCCTCAACGTCATTTACCTCCGTTATCGATTCCGTGCCATAACGACTGTTGATTCTCCTGTGGAGCGGGTTGAAAAGATACTGAATAATGAATGGACACCTATCACATGAGTAGACGGGATTTGAACACGCGACGTTCATGTTTGATGAAGAACAAAAAAGATGGTGTCCCCTCAGGTGGTCTAGGTCGCGCTCATGTACGAAAGCAACGTCAATAAAGCGGGATACGAGCCGAGTAGGTGGATTGGAAGAACTTCTATGCAAAGCTGGACATTCTTTGGAGAAGGATGGAAGCACATAATACCCAAGAGGGGAACAAGGAGGCGCTGTTCTCGGGCGAGTAGAACGGAGACAGGACGGACGTGGGGTAGCACGGGATTTCCGAATGCACGGAGATGAATTCTTTCTTGCCAATCACCCGGTGGAGCACCGTAGGCTATCTAAAGGCGGACGTGCCTTGGAGGACCAAGACCCTTGTTTCCGTAAAGAACTCGCAATCTGTCCTGTCCACTTCCCATTCGCAGTTGCGTCCTCTCCGATTTCCACTGCGTTATCCAGCTCTCCTATTCTACACGTAAATTCACCCTTCGACCACTCTACTCTCGGTTGCTCTCTTCGCATCAGTTATAAGTTCCACACCCAGCAGTCGGACATGACTTCCCCGAGGTAAGAAAACTCCCCACTTCACAAATTTGTGCGCTCTCTCGCTCATCTCTAGCACGCAGCTCGCTGTGAATGGTCGCCCAAGCGGCCACCCAAGCCTCGTCAAGATATTTCCACGAGCACCCGACGGTCGAAGTATGTTGATCGTCGCTCCAAGGGATCCCCGAACTCCTAGGAACTTGACGAATCTCGACTCCAACTTCCTCCTGTCGCCGTCCTTTAACCGGACTTCGTCGCCCATGGGCACAATGCGCCCGTCATTCAAAATAGCATTCAAGCTCAGTGAGGAGTTGAGTGCATTGCAATCGCACTTGAGTTGGGTCACGGAGTCCCAAAGACGCCTATGGTGGATTGGTTTCGAAAAGCCTGCGAATGTGTTGTGGATGAGCCTGAGGCACATAGCCCATGCACGACTAGTACTCCAAAACCTCAATTTAAACTTGACACGTTTCCACTCCGTCGTGGACAACATATACTTTTTACCAATAGTCCATATCAAGAGAGCCTTACAGAACATCAGAAGCACTTATATCCAATTCGCCAGGCGCTTAGAAATACGAAGGTTGAATTTCTGGGGAGGGCACAAAGGACACGTCCTGTCCCGGACGACCCTCGGAAAGCAATACGACAGCCTAAGAGAAGACAGTTCATTAAACGAACCTCGCGCGAGAACAAACGCTGCTTACATATTTTCCAGAGATCTTCCACCCAGGCTCCTCTCGATCCAACTTCTTCGCAACCTCGTCTCCTTTGGGACCAAGACCTACCACCACATCGCTCTTGATAGTCCTCATACTCACCACCCTTGGTGCACCCGCAGCACTAGCCATCGGTCCGATAGCCTGTTCGAATGGAGTACTCGCAGGCGCTGCGCAGTCGTAAGTCAATTTCCGATGATTCAGGTCTCCCTTGAAAATAACCAAGTCGGATTTGGAGAGGTGGAGGAAGAGGTCCGGTGCTTCAGAGTGGAGGTCCCAGAACGTGTATCCAGTGCACCAGAAGGGATGCTGCTCATAAACCCATTTCCCTTCCTTTTCGTATTGCTGGTGGTATCGAGTTAGCCTTTGCGTCCGTAATGCACGAAGAAGCTGTTACTGACCTTCCATCGTCTTCCAAGGCGCCTCAAAGACTCCATCTCCGCTTCCGTGGCGTTAGGGAAGAGATTACCGTATACCATCACGTTGAGGAGCCACTCCCAGTCCCTGTGGGTCACGTCCGACACGAACCACGAGAACCTCTTTCCGTGGAAGTGGATCTTGCTGGCGAGTCCACTTTGAAGCAGAAAATCGGCTAGGTTTCAAGCATCCTGCCTTAATACATGATCTCAGCAAGAGAAATTATGAGAAGACCCACCGTAGACGCAATCGCAGTATAGCTCGAATCCGGCATTATCGAGAACAAAGTCCACACGACCCCCAGTCTTCTCCCTCGTCTCCACCATGATTTCCCAGAGCCGATGCATGTGGTTGCCCAAGATATTGCCCTCAGTCGAAGCGAGATGTGCCCCTGCCGTAGCCTGAAGAGCCTTGATCTGTTCTTCCGACATGTTAATGAGAAGCGACAGGTCCGTTGAGTTACCCCAGAGGCACACTAGCAGCGTCGATGACGTCCGTCTCAATAAACGAGAAAAGTGTAGAATACGAGGAGATGACGTTACCTTGAGTTAATTCCAAGAACATCAGACGCTCTGTTTCAAGATTTTCCTCCGGAGTTGCGTCCTTCGGAAGCTGGAATGGCTCGGCAAAGCGCATCGAGAGCTCAAAGACTGCGTCAGCCGATCTGGCAAAAGTGTCACTCTGGGAAGTGGCACCGTCAGAGAGATACGAGACAAAGAGACTGGAACGGATGGCGAACCTTTTGTCGATAGAAGACGTCGTATTCTTGCCAGTACTTGCTGGTACTGAAGCACTCGTGGAGTCTGCGGTACTTATAGGCCTCAGCGAAGAGCCAAGGGGCGTTCATGAAGTCGTTTCCTTCAGGTAATGGTCAGAGTCAACTCCGCATTTCGACGACACGAAGCGAAAGGTACCTTGGAAGTACTTCGCAATCTCCTTGTTCCACAGCGCAACATCGGCTTCTCCGTCATCGATGATAGGGCGTAACTTGGCATTACCACTAAGATCAATCATTAGGCCATCCATACGCTTGATGCACTCCAAGAGGTCGACGATGAGATCCTCCGAGGATTGTTCGTTCAGAGTGCGTGTCGCGTCGTCGATGGCTTTGCCCAGGATGGTGGGCAGTCTGGACTGCATGGTAGCATGGGCGAAGGAGTATCGGTGGTAGCCGCGGTACGCTGGCCAGGGTGGGTTGTTTGGATCGATCTAAATGGTGCGGTAGGGAGCGTTAATGCTGAGGTAGTGTAACACGAGATACAAGGCTACATACCCTATGCGGAGCTGGCGAACGTGCAACAGGATTTGATTTTCTGGGGAGGTGGCCGAGGTTGAGCGCGACCTTGGGTAGGGCTGAATGTGGATGAGCATCGTCTGGTGCTTCAGATGCACCATGCGGGATGTTGTTCGTCAATCTGGACATGTTTGGTTAGCAGGTACCAAGGAGAGCAATCGAGAGTCGCGTCTGCCGGATTTCAGAGCAGTGTCATTTTCCAGATAATCCCCCGTTTTTAATACTCGAGTATACCCGCTGACGTCGTGGGCCAAAAATGTGGTGATGCTATAGATTACACCAGGTAGTGGAGGACGCGGGTGGCAGAAATAAGCATGGTGGAGCTGGTATTGGATCGACAACTCCGATGTCGCCAAGCTGTTGAGGTTCATTCAATCATGGCTCTTGTTAGGATTGCCGTGCGATATGACAAACCTTTAGTTCGAAATTGAAACATGCAAGCAATAGCGAGGTTCGGTGGTGGACATCGGGCCAGGAGTCGCGCAGTTCGACGGAGGTTGTGTATACGTCATCCAACCAGGTGATGAGGCAGCTCGAATGCACTGGTTCCTGAGAGCGCTATGCATTCTAGGAGCTTACCCTCACAGTTCCGCGAGGATATATGCCGAACCTAGAGTAGGAAAGTGTCGCCACAGTTGAATGCAATGTAGGACAGGACCCCAAGCTGCTGACGCGTTCGATTACACCTGCCGAGTCGGACAAATCTTCGTGAAACGCTCGCACAAATGCACACGGCACGTAACAGTGTCGGCCAGCCAGTCTGGAGAAGGGTATTGGTCGATGTTATGTGGAATTGGGTCTGTATCTTCGAACAAAACGCTCCGATTCGTCCAGGGTTTAAACTCGATGTCAGGGAAGTGGGGCTGTTCTTTAGCAGTGGACGCGAAGAAGCCGAAAGAAAGGGGTACAGAGATGCCCTGAAGTGACTCCAGCTGTTCGTAGAACCAAGCCTCTCGCGCCAGGCTGCGACTGAATTCCAGTTTTGCAAATTTGAGGCACAGTGTAGGCGGTAGCGTGGACTTGACATCACTTCCTCTTCGCGTCGCGGAGACGACTTGGGGCGCGTAGGTTACGCCAATACGGCCCTCTGAGATGCGTTCTACAAGCCGGATTGCGAGAGTCCCGTCAAAATCAGAGTTGTCCTTTGGTCCCCATGCGGCAGGGACTGGTTGCTCCCAGTCTTCTTGGAACCAGACGGCGCCAGGGAACGAGGGAGATACTTTGAGAGTAATCGTTATCGGCTCCCCGTCGACGGTACCGCAGTCGTGAATCAGCAATGTAGAGAACATCTACTACCTCTCAGGGTGTCGAGAATTAGCGCGAAGTTTGACTTGTTTGGATGCACACAGCCACCACGCGGATCGGGCGCATCTCCAACGTCCTCGCGGCTTGCCACCTCCCGAATCTCATCAATCGCCTGCTTTCCATCTTCCGCTTATTGATTTGACAGGATATGCGAAGAGTGTAATCTTCGTATACTCAAAGGGACAAGGAGAGCTAGGAATAGCCCATATGATCCACCCTGATTCACTTGCTCCAAGTGTACCAGGTTAGACGTCACTGGTCAGTGCACAATTCCACAGTCTCCAAGATAAAGTAAACCCGCGAACATGAAACAGGACAACTCTCCTTGAGTCCCACCCACATCTCCATCTCAGAATCCTCCGTTCTGCGATATATCTTCACCATGTCGAACCGAGTCGGAATTGAGCCAGACAATATCTGGCCCGACAGAGACGAGGAATTCCAGCCCGGAAGCGATGGTGACCCCTTGACCACCTTTCCCGCGATCTATCCAGCTGACCCACTCTGCAGTCGCTCAGCCTACTCGCACCAAAGGAGCGCCGCCCTCTTCCAATCTGCGTCGTTCTGGAAAAGGCGAATACGTAGGAATGGACATGCACGAGGCCGCTGATGACGATGATTACAACAACGTTGGGCGAAGCAGGGGTGCTCAGGGCGTCGGTATCGATAGCATTGGCCAAGGCGAGGAAAGTAGGGTCAAAGGTGGCTACAAGGCAACCCTTAGCAGTGAGTTTCTCTACGGTGGTTTGTGGAGGTGGCATGGCGAATTGAGGTCGACGGCCCATTCAGATCCGCGAGTTTCAAAGGAAGCTAAACAGCATGCGAAGGAAGTGTTGAAAGAGGACGATCTTTAGATCTGCCCATAGCTCTGCCCTGCGTATATAGTCCTATAACCTGCAGTTTGAAAGTCGATGGTTTGATTACTCCACTTGTATTTGTATGTCCAATGTAATTTCCTTTTGGTGCGATAAGCGCCCGGTGGTAGGTGCACAGGTTGATTTCAATTTGCGCGTGCTTTATCTACCTATTGATGGTAAACACATATCAGGGTCCCACGTTTAACGTTTAACCTCCGCAGTCGATGGTTGCTTGCAAAGTCTCTACGTCGACCACCATGTCGTCCGAGCCTCTCTCCACTCATACTAGCCCCCGGGAAGAGGTCTTTGGGAATGAAGACCTGTTGGGCATGATTTTCGATTTCGTGGACGTCGAGAAAAGTGACAAAGGGCATCAGTTCTTCCATATCGCTCTAGCACACAAAGGATTCCATCACGCGGCCCTGGACTTTCTCTGGAAATCTATTCCGAACGTCCTGCCATTGTTAAAACTCATACCTGGGTTCTGTGAGGTCGATGGAGTATATGTACGTCGGCAGCTCGCCCCCATCGATCTTCACCGTCAACCACTGATCTATTTGGTGCCAGTTCCTTACCGCACCCTCCGCCAAGGAAGACGATTGGGAAACATTCCGCCTTTATGCAAGGCGTGTCAAATCAATTACCTTCACGCATCAAGACGAGACCGTCTCTCCATTGGTGTACCAGACCTTACCTGTCTACCAACCATTGCCATGGGTAGACATCGGCTTCTCCCTCCCAGCTCTCCGCACCATTCGAGTAGAGTGTGCCGCAAAGACCGACTATTCCGGGGCACTCTTCGTAGCAACAGCCTCCACGTGCATCCTGCAAGTCGAAGTCGTGGACATTATTCCGGATTCATTTCCCTTCCTTTACCAGCTGCTACTCGTCCTCGCCCACCGACATTCCCAGCTGGAGGTGTTGGAACTCGAAGGCAAGGGCACCGATGCACTTTTCCGTGCACTTCTCCCTCGGCTATCATCCCTTTCCGTTTTAAAACGTTTTTCTCTGAATTTTCCCGGGGTGTGGCCTCTGGATGTAGAGGACCTTCAGCACATGAGCCAGATTGGAACTCTGGCGTCATTGGCGATCCATGTATCCGACAACGATGGAAGCGACCGAGATCTGAAAGCTCCGCCTCAGAAACCCCGTTTCTCTTCCTTAACCAAGCTCGAGATCTCCGGCACTGCGCTCGTCATCCTCAAAGCATTGGTGCGAACCGACATCCCTGCCCTCGAGCATATTCATCTCCGGCTGGATGCCACGTTCTGCACGCCACACAATCGAGAATTCTTGAAGAGATGGATTTCGTTCTTAGCTCAATACCGACACCTTCTCACGCTCGAGGTAACCCAAACCGATTCCTCAAGCTTCAGCTTCATCTCTACGGACTTGTTCACAGAACCCCCGTCTTCCGAATCACCTTCAGAGCCTTTGAAACTGCAGCATCTCCACCTAAGAATGAACACGATGTCCGACACGACCGCCTTTGTCAATTTGATTTCGTGTAGTGCTTTTCCCAATCTCACCTCGCTCATTCTCCCAGCTTCTACTTCCGACCCCGACGACAAGAAGGCAGACTTGACCTGCCTAGCCTTGCTCGCAAAAGGCTGTCCCCGTTTACTCGATGTTCAAATTTGCCTTCGACTCCATCGCCTTACTCCAGATCAACTCAGTGAGGCATTGGACATAGACGTTACCCATGCCGAGGCCGAGACGTATCACCCACTGAGGTCCCTGAAACTCAGCGATGGCGGGGGAGATCAGGCGTTTGGGCTGACCGACTTAGTCTCTATGTTCAAGTATTTTCATCGACTCTTTCCCAAATTGGATCAGCTGGAGGCGTATCGCGATGCCAAAGGAAGAGGAAGCGGACGTGCGGAGGTGTTTGAAGCTTTTCAGGAACTTCTTCTGACATTGAAAGAGGCGAAGAACAAGGGCGCTGCGTCTGTCAGGGCTAAGCGTCCAAAGGATGGGCCTCCGACACTGACACCCCAACCGAGTCAACCAATCGTAGTCGACACTTGTGTTCAAGCGGATCTAGAAGCAACGACAGATCTCAAACCAGCTCGCGAAGACGCTTCTGTTCAAACAGATATGATGGAGGTTATGACAACCCCAGGAAGACGAGAACTCCGCGTTGAGGACGCATCGATTCAGACGGACATGGACCCCATTGCAGTCGAGGAAGGTGGAAGGGACGGGGAGGAGGGATGCGAAGCACCTTCAATGCACTCGGAAGGGTCTGTGGTGTGGGGAGAAGTTTTACTCGAATCCGGAGGTTGCGAGCGAGCTACGTAGTGAATGCAGTGGTTTTACAAGAGCATGTAAGCAAACGACAGCTGCTACCGGTAGTTAATACAGTCTTTTACCTTGTCAGAGTAAAGTACCCCTTTGCTTCATCTCGAAGCTAATCGGACCCGCCTTTCAGTGGCTGGATGGCCTCGGTGCAGCTATCGCAACGCCGAACAGACGCAGCACCCTCCTCCTTTGCCTCCTTCAAAGCGACAATGAGATCCCACAATGCTCCAATCGCCTTTTCACACCCGTGAACTCGACCTTGGTCATCCCGATAAACGCCCAGTCTATCCAGGTTGGGAAAGAGTCGGTGGATGTATTGGGCGATGATAATGTACTCTTTAACCCCTAGTTTCGCGAGCGGCTCCATCCACGGAGTGCTGAATTCCAACGACCTCAAAGGATGGGAGGACGATATCGATACCGTTGCTAAATAGTGGAAGAGCTCTGGGAATATTCGCGGCAAGGGAAGGGGTATTCGAGCAATGAGGAGCTTGGGACAGCCTTTGGCAAGGAGTTCCAGACAGGATAAATCCTCGCCCCCAAACGCCTCGAGAGGAGGAAGGGCAAGGGAAACGAGGTTGGGATGGTCTGCCGCACTGTTAAAATAGCTCCTAAAGGCGGAAGGTAATTTGGAACTACCGTCGAAATGGATAATCTCAACAGTTTCAACTTGTGAAAAGGCGTCCATTAAGTTGAAGAAGTGGGATCTCAGCACGTTTCCAGGTGTGTTCGTCCGCTGACTGAAGTCCAAGGTAATTTTGGCGTGCAGGAGATTGTGGGCGGAAATTGCGCGAAATGCGTGTATGACAGCATCTCGGGCGCCACGAAGGGTGAGATGAAGTACCCGGAGGGAAGGGAAAGTAGCTTCATGGTTGCAAATCTGCCACCACTCGAAGTGGTCACCTCTGCATCCGACGTGAAGTGATAAATGAGTCATGCTAGGGAGGCGTGACAGCGTCGGCAAGATAGGTCTCTTGAAAGAGCAGCTTCCATCGGGGCTGAGGACATCAATGTCAACGTGTGACAAGGTTTTGAGGCCGGAGAGCTCCCCGAAAATGTCCACCAACACTTGTTCGTCCATCCTCCCTTCCAAATGAAGTTCCCGCAATCCCAACTGTCGCAGTGCTATGATGGAGGCAGCTTGGCGAATGAATATAGCTGATTCTGGCGTAACACCGACTACTTCCAGCCTGGAAAGTGAAGCGGATGGTGTGGTGAGAAGGAATGATGCTCCGGCATAATCGTGTCGGGGATTGCATTCGATCCGAATGGTGCGAAGGGCGGGGAGGCGGAACCCCGGATCAAGTAGAACGATCGTGGCCAACGCCTGGTAAGCGAAAGGTGAAACGACTTCTTCTTGCTGGGAGAACTTGACTCTCTCCACATGCTTTGCATATCTGCAGAACCGCCCGAGTTCCGCCTCAGTCGAAGGGATATGAGTGAAGATCTGAAGGCAGCACGAAAACATGAGCTTTCCGATGTCGCACAAAAGTCGACACGATGGGACGCACGTAGATGCCCTCCACCAGACTAAACCCGGGTAAAAGCTTCAAGAGTGGTAGCAAAGTCGGAATCTCTTTCCAAAGGACCTTGAAAGCAGGATCGCGAAAGCCTGTGTGTGTCAAGGCGATGTGCAGAAGTTGTTGGTTCGAGCCGACGCCCTGCGATGGTGATGGTGAAACCGTGTTCGTGCCTCCATGCACAAATTCGAATATGATGTCCAGCAGATCTTGGTTTGCCAGTACATCATCGCGAGGGGATGATACGACGAAGCTGGACAACATTGCTTCCAACCAGATACAGCCTGAGAGTGCACTGGCGATGATGGTTAAGAGGAAAAGAAGCTTCGCATGTTGTGAAGGGATTTATATCCTATCGATAAGCGCCCGGTTTCACACAGTAGTCACGAGGTATAAATGCTAACACAGGATAGACTTTAACATTCCAGGCGAATACTACGATAGAAAGTGGAATATATCCCCGATATCGAAACATCGACCATGTCACCGTGGTAATCATAGTTTGTAAATTATCAGTACTAGGCGCTTATACGGGCGTTTGATTCAAATCCGAACTGTTTTCTCACATAGCAGCCCTAGATAACTGCTCCTCCATCTCCTTCATAGTCTGGAAACTCGCCTTCACGCAGTAAAAAGTCTTACACTCAAGGGACATCGACGAAAAGCTTCCGCTCCCCCCATATTGTTCCAACTGAACCAACCGAGGGAACAATCCATGCAGAAACTTTGCAATGGAGATGCACTCTGGCACCGTCAACTGACCAGTGTCGTGTGCGTTTATCCACAAAGACTTCAACGGGTGCGGACGTCGAACTGCATCTGGTTCGCTTCCTTGGGGCTTCCAGAACCCAACGAGGTCGTCTTCGGCTACTGCATGGAGGCGGAGCCCCAAACGAAGATCAACCAGGTGGGGACACCCTTTTGCAAGGGCGGACAGGCAGGTGATGCTCGCGTATGTTGGGTGTGCGGAGCCTGAGCCACTTGAAGAGTCGGGGCTGGAAGTTAAGGATATGTTGAATGAAGCGGGAAGGGTGAGTGAGGTGAGGTTAGGACATCGCTCTGCAAGCAGATGTACGATGCTGACTTGAGCTGTACTGGGCTCCGAATCAGATGAAACCGGGCTTGATGATTGTGAGTAGGAGGCGAATATGTCCTGACCCGATGCACCGGAACTGGCTCCAGTGAGGCTAAAGGTGACAAGTCGAGGGGAAGATTGGATGAGGTTGCCAATTCGACTATGAAGACAGAGTGCGTCGAGTAGTTCAAAGCTGGTGAGATGGATAAAAACGTGCTCGAGACGTGGGCCCTCTATGCTCGAGATGACCCTGCTGGCCTCCCACGCAGGTCCAACGACCTCCAACTCGCGCAGGGATGAAAAGCCCTCCTTCACTGTGTATTTCTTCTTGCTGCGTTTGGAAGTGGGAGAGAGCCTGATTGAGAGGTGACGGAGGTTTCGGAGTTGTCCCAGGCGATGGCATGCTTGTCTAACGAGTAGCATGCTACCAGGGACCTCAAGAGCGACATGAGATAATTGGGGGAGCGAGGGAAGCCGATCCTGGAGTTCAGTAAACGACGACAGGTTCCATTCTCCTCTGAATGCCAGCTGATTCACCCGCGGCTGTCGGCCGACAAGAACGGGGAAGAGCTGCTGAAGGAAAACTTGTGAATCCGCGTGCAAGTCCGCCCCGCCCGTAAGATAGTTGACCACTTCAACTTTGCGAAGCGAGGGAAAATGTTGACTCGCTGTCGTAACGAAGAAGGCGCCGGGGAAATTGGCCGGGGATGAGCAGTCGACCCGGATGGCACGCAGTGCTGGAACGTAAAAGCCGACGCTGTGAGACGGGCACGCCAAGGCCAACACGTGATAAACGAAAGGTGAAATCGATTGAGGAACTTTGCCCAATGTGATCGCTTTGACGTATGGCGCGTATACGTGAAACCTCTGCCAGTCACTGGCATGTGAGGGTATCTTTTTGAAGCCCTAAACAGCTGCCGTTGAGAATAGTTGTAGCCTCTAACGCAGAGAGAAACGCACATAGTCGCTAGATTTACCAATCAAACCAAACTCAGGCAAAAGCCCCAGCAGTGGCAGAAGAGATGGAATGTGTCTCCAGAGCACCTTGAGGGCGGGTTCGAGGAACGACTTGTGGGTCAACGCAAGATTGAGAAGTTGTTGATTGGAAGATAAATTGGGAAGCAACATCTCGCGGAGTGAGGTGGACCCATTGAAGTCGTGCGGTGTTGCCTCGGCGTGGTTGAATTCTTGCACAAACCCGAAGATGATACCCAGCAGATCTTCGTTCGATAGGACGTCATCACGGGGTGCTGGGGTAGCGAGATCGGATGACATCGTATCGATCGTAGAGGGTAGATGCCTGCGACAGTGGTGCAAGAGGTGAAAGAAGCACTTCATCGGTGCTGCGGTCTTTATATCTCATCGATAAGCGCTCGTGCCACAACAGGACCACACGGGCTTGCACAGTTCCCAATGTGTCAACGGAAAACGTCAGCATCATGTACTGTACGCAGGATCATCTCAGTGTCACTCATCCTCTCCCCTGACGCTTCCTTGAATTAGTCATCGAAAAGCACTCACCGACATGGCTTTTAAGTTATTTAAGCGCCCGTGGGGTAGCCTGGGACACGGACGCGAGTTCTCGTCTGTTCTATCTAGTCAGACTCCGGCTTTAAATCTACCAACTGCTCTGAGGCGATATTATACCCCTTGAGACAAAATTAACCTCCCCATTACCGAAATCAATTCCTGTAAGGCCTCAAACGTTTCTTTCCGCCCAGACCCCCCTCCCGCAGCATCGCGGTACCCTTCCAACCGATCCAACTTGGGGAAGAGCCGGTGGATGTATTGTGCCATTGAGATACAGTCCGTAACACCGAATTGTTGGTCTCCTCCCGCATCACTAATTCCTAACGACTTGAGGGGATGTCCGCTTGATATCGACTCACCAGCGGCTTCAGCGCCAGACTTGAGCAGCCGTTCCCCAGGGAAGCCGTGTTGTGGGGAGTATTCTTTTGGTGTGATGCGGTGTAGTCGCAGGGAGATGCGGATGTCGAGAAGGTCAGGACAGCCTTTTGCGAGGACTGCGAGGGATGTCAAGTCTGGTTTCTTGTAGTAGGGGTCTAGACTGGTCGCTGGTAGAACAAGCGACACAAGCCGAGGGCAAATCCTCGCAAGAGTGGCGATGAAAGCTGATGTATTGGATATCCCGTGGACGCCGAGGAAGAGGTGTTGGAGGTTGGTTGGGCTCTTGGAGATGCCGAGATCGGCTGGGAAGGGGAGGTGCAAGGGCGTGGGACCGGGTTGGGTGATTCGGATAGAAGGGACGGTTGGGTGGGCTATTGCGCGCTGGACGAACCGGTTGAGACAGTCTTTCGTCTCTGGAAGGGGCAGGAAGGTGCCTTGGTATGTTTCAAGCTCGACGGATAAGAGGCTGGGTGCGGATATCATCCAGTGGAGAGCACAAGCTGCGAGTGGAGGGGTGCAGTTGAAGCTGAGAGTGCGTAGGAGTGGAAACTCGAGCTGGGGACGTGGTCCCGTTTCTTGGATTAAAGGGGCGTCTGGTGCTTTAAGCGAGAGGTGGGTGAGGTTAGGTAAATGGCACAGAAGGCTGAAGATGTCCTTTTTGAACAAGGCAGTACCGGCTTCTCCACGGATGTCGATCTTAAGTCGCGAGACTTTGGTTGAGCAAAGGTGAACGAGGATGGTCTGAAGGAGCTGCGCAGAAAGGTCGCCTTCTAGTGTCACTTCTTGTAATACTTGGCGGTGCCTAAGGCAAAGCGTCATATTGAGTTGCCGAAGGAAGGTGGATGATGTCGGGTGCATCCCGACGACTTCGATCGAGAGGAGACGAGGTTGTACAGTGGACGCGACGAACAGCGCTCCGGCGTAGTCGCAAGTACTAGCGGAGCAGTCGATGCGGAGTTTTCGAAGAGTTGGTAAGGGTATATCAGTCCGCCCTGAAACCGTAGGCCACACTTGGTATGCGAGGGGTGAAATGATATCGCCTTGACCGGCAAAGGAGATGCTCTTGACGTGCTTTGCGTAGTAGAAGGAGAGCTTGTCCAGGTCCAATGTGTTGGTAAACATCTATGGCTTCCATTAACATGACATTCTCGGAAAAAAACAACAACGCACATAGACGCCATCGATACGTTCGAATTCTGGAATCAGCTTGAAGAGCGGGAGTAAGCCCGGGATAGTTCTCCAAAGGACCTTCAGAGCCGAGTCGCGAAAGCCTTTGTGCGTCAGCGCGAGGTGGAGGAGTTGTTGGTTGCAGGAAAAGGTCTGCGGAAAAGCCTTGCCATCGACATAGGCCTCCTGTACAAACTCGAAGATGATGTCCAACAAGTCCTCGTTCGACAAGAGTGCATCGCGAGCGCTGGTTCTAGTGATGCCAGGTTGAGCAGAAGGGTTGGAAGGAGGTGCCTCTACGCCCATGATAGCAGTCCAAGTTCAAGAAAGCAAGCTGGCTGCCCCGTGGCCATGCTCATCGATCGATAAGCCCCCGTGTCCAACACAGCAACGATGGACGAAATTCATTTCGGCAGAATCGAAGATTTGGGTGAATGTAGCTCGTGGATAGGTATTCCCGAGAGCTCCAGAAACAACAGGGACCTGGCCGTGGTGGTGGTGGTTGGCAAGAAAGTCTGCGAATAGGGGTCCCGACGCAGGCGGCGCACCAGAATCCCCATCACCCGCGCGGTCCCCGCCTTGGCGGGAATGCCAAGCCCAAATCCATGCCTCACGTGCGACATTCCAGCGTTACGATCAGGGGATTTGTCGGTGAACGTCGAGTCGTTCAGCGCTGTCCAGCCGGTGGCCTCTTCCAGCTTCTTTTCTACACTCTCGCTGGTCTTATAGCTTTTCTGTGGATCTTTTTGGAGTTGTTGGTGGTTACAGTTTTGGGTTTAAAGAGGTGCGTTGGGGGAATGTTTGGGTATTGGCTGGCGGGGATTGACTGGCCGTATGCCTCTTGTTGGGCTCAGACATCCGTGTGTTGTGTATTCGTTGGCGCCACGATTGTGGATAGAAAAGACGGGTCTGGTCAGAATCAGTGAGTTCAAACTTCCTCTACTTGGTTGTAATCGTCTCATTGAGACTCGTACGCGACAGTCGATAAAGACTAACCAACTCCGACACCTGGTCTTCCGAGTCCACAATTTCAATACGATCTTGACAACGTTCAACCTTACAGTCTCGGCTACGCGACCCTCTTTTGCCCTCGCTCATTATCCTCGGTGTATTCCTTGCCTCGACCTCACACCCGACATACAGTCCTTTCTGAAAGATAAACCCATACATAGCGTGGCGCCCTTCATTTAATCGCCGTTCCTTCTTTCAAAAGTCGAGTGGCTCTCAAGAGATAACAAAAACTCCATTCTGTATCAACGTGCAGTTTCATCAAGGATCCTCAATACCGGTAAATACCAGCTCAAATGCCTTCCCCAACCTCTCCTGGATTACACCGTCGCAAGTCAAGCAAGGACGCTTCCAACAGCGAAGCTTTTGACTCAGCCACAGCACCAGTAAATGGCACCGGAGACGTGAATAACATCGTCGTTTCACCTCCTCCTGAGGACGACCCAACGACGACTTCCCCGACTTCCGAGTTCAAGTCTCAGCAGCAACAGCCACCTCGGTCTCACCTAGACTTTCCTTCATCCTCGCCGACCAATCCGTCGCCTTTAAACTCGTTTGGACAAACGAAGCCAACACTGAATGGAAAGCGCGGGCCTGGCCATAACCCTCCGCACCTGACGCTCGTCGGACCGCCCCCTGCCCCCCGGAACGGTCTGCAACGTCCACCAGGCGGCCATTCTCGCAGCGTGTCCTTTGCCGGACCCGTATCCAGTCCTCTACGGAACACATTCGTACCTTCACCCTCTCTCAACGGGGCGAATGGCGCAGGAGGGCACCAACATCAGTACGCACACAGCCATACCCACAGCGCCGCAGGCAACCTCGCAAGCCCGTACCGCGCCTCCTTTCCTAACAGCTTAGGACCATCCCCTGCTTCACCATTGAGTGCCCCTGGCGGACCTGCAGGTGGCCACCTCCGCACACGCTCGATCTCAGCGTACGCGAGTACACCTGGTCACCTACCCTCGCCTCTAACGCTGAACCATTCGAATGGGTACAACTCGCCAGGTTCGGCGCTACCTTCGAGTAGTACATTACCGAACGCGTCTTTTGGACAGCAGCAGAATGGGCTGGGTGTGGCTGGAGGCGGAGGGGGAGGACAGCAGCCTGTTACAACGATATCCCCGTACCTACCCCTCGACTCTTCGGACGCACCCTCTTGGGCAGCCCATGCTTCAGCATCGATGGTCCCTCCCAGCCCTATCACGCCCAACTCTGCTTCATACCCTCCTCCTCCCCCCTCTCACTCGACGAATGCAGTCTCATCTTCCCCGCCGCAGTCCACCATCGGCTCCTCAGCAGCAGCAGCCCGCCACAAACGCCTGCACTCGCGCAACCTATCCGTCTTCTTCCCCCGGCCAGGTATGAATTTGCCTTCGACTGTTCCCGAGGATGGCGGGAGTGGGGAAGGCGGTGATGAGGAGGGACAGGAACTGGAGATTCCGAGTGAGTATGATGGGCCGAGTGGGGGTGTTATGATGCCTAATGCGGGGTCGAGTGTGAGTCTACCTTCGAACCGGCGGTACAGCCGTGGAGGAGGAGGAGCGAACCCGCCTATCACGCCCCTCGGACAGGGGTTCAAGTTTGGTGGACGACCGCCCCCAGGCGAAGGTAGTGAATCCGAGGAGGGGATGCCTATGCCGCAGGTGAACCGAGCGAAGAGGAGGGGCCACCACCACAAGCACTCGCTCTCGCACAATTTCTTTTCGTTCCTCGAGCCAGGGACGGGTCCAGCGGCCTCACAGGGGCAGGCTGCCAACTTGCATTCGCAGCCCACGCCGACGCCTGTCTCGCCTTGGGCGCCGATCTCTGCGTTCCCGGATTCGGCTGCTGCCAGTGGAGGCTTCCCGACTGCTGCTCCTACACCCTCTATTACCCCGTCACATGCGAGTCACGGGCTGACGGTTTCACATCTTCCTCCGGTTCCTTCGCAGGAGATCTCTACCGTGGCGCTGGGAGTGACGATTGCGCAGTTTGTGCTTGGTGCGAGTATGTGGGTTGTCGGGCAGCAGATCGGGTCGTTGAGTGTGACGGGGTTGGGGTACTGGATTGTTTTTGATAGTTTTGGTGTTGGGGTGAGCAGGGTTGTGCCGGGGTGGTTGGAGGGTGGGAAGTTGTTTGGTGGGAGTGGGGGTGGAGGTGGGACGGGGAGTGAGGAGGAGAAGAAGAGGATTAAGAGGCCTTACGGGTGAGTGTCTCTGCCTTTATGCCTAATTCTTCCCCAGTTCTGACCGTAGGCGCTACTGTGGTTTCTCCTTTTTGGTGATTGTAGGAATGGACGATACGAAACGGTGTTACTTTTCACTCAAGCCGTATACTTGATGTTCTCGAGTGTATATGTGTGCAAAGAGACGGTTGAGCATCTACTGTTGAGCGCGGGTGGGGAGGGACATCACCATCATAGTGGGGACGAGATTGAGGGTGCTGGGTGAGTCTGGGTCTTGCTGAACCCCACAAGCTCAGTTCACTAAAACGTTCCGTTTGCAGAATCGAGTTCCCTATCTTTATGGTCCTCGTTACATTCCTTACTGTCCTTGCTACTTCCCTCGTGTTTGATAATAATTCGAGATTGGTTAACAGTGAGTCGTCCCTCCCTTGTTCTCACCCTTTAACCTATCCCTATCTTTCGAATGCTAACCCCCTTCTTATAGTCTCGGGTAACCGCCTCCCCTCTCTACACACTCTTATCCGCACGCTCAAGTCCAAACGCAACACCCACTTTATCGAACCTCCCCCGACACACCCGTTGGCGATCGTACTCTCCAACCCGTACGCTGCATGTCCCCTGGCCTTTTGTGTGGCGATTTTGGGAGTTGGGATCTTCGTTGCTCAGTCAGTATCATCCTCGTAGTAAAGAAGCAAAGTCTAACATGTGTCATTTCAGGGAACACCACCGCCATGCTGACCTGTTGCTTTCGTCCGTGATGGCTGTCTTTACGTTCAATGTGGCGTACAAGGCGTGTGTGGTGCTTGGTGTTGTGTTGTTGCAGACTTCACCGCCGAGAGGGTTGCCGGCGGGCAAGATGGAGTCGTTCTTGAGGGCTATGCGTGAGGTGGGTGACCTGGTTTTTTCAATGACACATTCAGTTGCTGACACGCTAATTAATGCGATGTAGGTCGAACGTCATCCACATGTCGTGCACCTCCCCGCCCCGCACATTTGGCAACTAACAGCGAGCACCGCTGCGCAAAAATCCTCTTCCTCCTCCCCGCACCCGCCACCGACGCACCGGCCGTCCAAGTCCCTCGCGGCGCTTTCAATTCCGAACTTGGGAGCGCCTGCGGATCAGTTGGTTGTGACGTTGGAGGTGCATGTAAAGAAGGAGTTGGGTGATGATGATGTTTTGGCGTTGACGAAGTGGGTGTGGGAGAGGGTTGTTAATGCGCTTGGGGGGTATAAGGAGTTTAGGGAGGTTGGTGAGGTTGGGGGGCCGGAGGTTACTGTTGGTGTTGTGAGGGGGTGAGACTCGTTAGGAGGTGGTGTTGCACTGGTTGACCGCCTCTAAATTAATTATTTAAACGTTCTGTTTTCTTCGCGACTTTGCGTTGTGGCTTGTGCTTTTGTTTCGACATGGGACTATCCTATTACTACCATTACTACCTATAGTGCTATGCTTTTTTGTTTTATTTGTATACCAGGTTTTTGTCACAATCGATCCATTCGTTCGCTCGGTGATAGATAATTTGGTGGGTGGAAGGTGAATCCACCGAGTGGCCTCCCGCAAATCGTGACCTTGTAGTGGTGATTTGATCAAACTCTATATCGGGGCATGGACTGTCCAAAACTGGAAGGCCAACGCCGGCCGCCTTGGAGGCTTGGTCTCTGGGCCAGACCCTTCGGGTTTCTTGGGCGCTCGAACCTCTACTGACGAAAGGGTTCCCCTTGACCCTAATTTTCGAAGGTGGTCTTCCATGATTCTCTTCTTGAGTTGGGGCCATGACCTGCCACTGTCAGTTTCGACAGCAAGAATGAACTGTTAAAACGTTCTGTCTGAACCGCCAAGTTTGGGCTCCTTACGAGAGTGACGTAGAGATTTACCTTCTTTGTGCACCGGAGAAATGGGTCTCCCGGGTTATTTTATGTGAAGAGTGAAGTTCAGTCTCTTCAATGTCATATGTCGTTACAGATAATCTATCGAAGGTGCCAATGCATCGGTCACGTTGTGAGGCTTTGGGGCCACCAACCCCGCCGTGTTGTGAAGAAGGCGTTCGGTGCTGAGGTACTGCCGTAGGAACTGCCACCTCGGGGGTTTGGTTGAGCTCAAGGCTATACGAGAAGACGGGTTCTTCTATTGAGAAGAGGTGTCTAATTGACGCGTGAACATTGCTTGTGTCACTGGTGGCGAGGACTTTGCGGCTGGTACTGACGTATGTTTTGGGTGGAGGGGCCGGGATAGATAAGTATAAAAGACTCCAGTCCAACCAAACCTACTCAGCACCCCAGTCCTTGAAGTTCATCCATCGAGCAACCAACCAGCCCGGAAATTTAAAATATGCCAGACACTTCCCTCGGATTCAAGATTATCAAAGACGTCGTTCGCCAACGCCACCTCGATCAACTGAGCGCGCACCCCAAGCTCTATGCTGAGCCGTTGAAAACGATGCCGGTGTTTGCCACCAGGGAGGATATTGTCCAGTGGAGCGAGGAGAGTAAAGCTCAGATCGCCCAGGGACAGGCTGATCGTAGGTCTATGTTGTCTGAGGGTGGTCGACAAGCACCGAGTGCTGACTGGATGGCCGTTTACAGGTGTTTATGGAGGTCCGATTGGGTACGCAGTCGTTTGTCCTGTGCATTTTGGGCGGTGAGCTCAGATGTGGTTTGCGCACTTAGCTCCCCATTGAACTTGAACAATGCGTTCATGGCCTTTATGGAAAGCGCTACTGTGTATCTCCGGTATGTATGGGTCTTCGGGCTGTTTACTAGCATGATTTGGTTTTTTGATAAGTGCTGCAGAGATACGTCGAAAGTTTTAGATGCGGTGCAGAAGTACCAAGCTGGGCATGTCGAAGAAGCTCTGCGTCTCTTGGAAGATTCTACTAGAATCATTGATGAGATCGTACGTGGCTGGACACGCTGTTGAACTCGAGTTATGTTTTCAGGTGCTCACCATTTTTCTAGGCCGAAATGTGGGGCATGGAATTCGTTCAGATCTGTGGTAAGTCAGATATCTTGATTCTATGAGAAGAACCTTTTGCGGGGAAACTTATCTCACTTTTCGCCTTCAGACCTGCCTGAGGTACGCGATCTTTATTGTACTCCGAGATCTACTTTCACCATTATTTACATTGGCTGTTCAGCGCCATCCGGATGGACACAGTTTCCTGGTAGGCCCCTACTGTGGTGCATTCTTCCCAAAGGACTTTTCTGGTCACAATCCTTTCATCGGTATCGCATACAAGGTACCTCCATTGCGTCACCCTGCTTATGCAGTTCTGATCATGGACTCTCTGTACGGCACTCGTAGGGAACCAGCAATTTCGGCGAGTTTCTGAACGACTTGTTAGCAGCGAGCACGATCAAGGCGAGCGGACGTCTCTGGAACACAGAGGTCTGCAGTGGATTTTATTACCCGCTCTTTTCGACGTATAGCGCGAAGACGTTGACCACCACGGCCGCTGTGACGTCTACGATGCCTTTTGGTGAGATCCAATTTTGTTATCATAATTGTCAATCTTGAAGATGTAGGTTCTGATGTTTCTTCGTTCCAGTAATGGTACAACAAGCTGTTCAAGATCTCATTACCAGGGCCACTACAACGGTCATCACCCATGTCACTGTAAGTATCACTTATCCGGGGTTCCGAAGTAGGCCGCCGACCACTGACACCCATTTCTTTTCTGTCTTCTTCTCTCCCAGGGTCATTCACTCGGCGGTGCCTACGCAACACTAACACACGGGCAACTGTGTATCGAAGGGTTCGGCGCAGCCGGCGCCGCGGTAGGCGACCTGTACACTTTTGGTGGACCGCGTGCCGGCCGCGGTGACTTTGCGACGCTCTTCAAGGCGAGCGTGGCGCCGCCCACCGACCAGGGCTCGACGTGGAGGATTGTCAACTATAAGGATTATATTCCCAAGGTTCCTGCGTCTAAGCCCCTGATCCCTGTTAGCAACCCGTTCGTTCATATTGATGCTGGGGTTATGGTGTACCCCGACAAGCAGCCGGAGAGTTTACCCTCCGAGATTGGTACGAAGCCGACTTGGAGCATTCCTACTGCGATTTCGCCGCATTGTGAGTGTTTCCACAAAGAAGTATGTCGTGACGTAGAAGATGTGCTGATGGATCTGTGCTTCAGATACGACGGAGTATTACAAGTCGCTTGTCTTTGCCACGACTGGGAAACCTCCTGTCAGCGCGACGTTGGCGAGAGCGCCACATTCGCCGAGTCTCTCGACCTATAACACTACCCAAGTTACGGCCAAGTTGGAACCTGAAACTCGCAATGCCCTGCCCGGCGCTGAAGTCACCTTCGAGCCTGGCCATGGTGGGTTCGTTGTAGGCAAAGTCCGATACGGGCACTTCCTGGGTGAGATCGTGGCATTGGGAACGCTTTCCGAGGTATCCCAAAATCCTCAGTTCTTCTGCGACTCCATGGAGGCTCTTTATGGGAAGGAAAACCATGCCGTCTTCTCGGTCAAGGATGGGAAGACGTTGGAGGTTAGATTCATTGTGGATGATCAGGAGGTCGCGGTTGCGCGGGCTTCTACCAGCGAAGACATTGATCAGGTGCCTACGCGAGGCGTTTGCAGGTGGACGTCAGTTCGTTTTCTTTCTGTTGACTATCCATTGGAACTCATGCTTCTCTCGCTGGCAGGTTCTATGATGACGGAACGCTCGAGGCAGTGGAGCAGAGCGTCGCCCAAAGTGCAGCAGCAGTCTTTCAGCATGCTTCAGCTTAATCCCCTACCCCTTACCATTGATCCCTGCACAAGGCTCCCGTTTTTACCTATCCATCGACGCTGTTCTACCGAACTTCTCATTGTCCCTTCACACTCCTATCATCACCAAGTCTTTTCGTAAAGGCTGTTGATATGGAAATTGTATCAATATCACGTCTGATCATGATCACTCGCTGTACTACTACTCCAAATCTTGAAAGCATAGTTTATGGTCCATAAACCTGCCTGTCCAGGCCGTTTTGCAGTGGAATGATGGATTGGCGTTAATGCACGATACTCTCACTGGAGGTCAATCTGTTCTGTTTGCTTGGGTATCCGAACCTCGACCGGCGAGGGCCCAGGAAGGATTCCCTTAATTCTACATCTCGCTGAGAATGTTCTTGCATAACGCCCATGACTTCCACTCGGTTTCGATGGAAACATTCCACGCTCCACTCCTGTCGAAATCGAGGTCGGGGGAAGGATAGACCTTCGTTGCATGGTGGTGTACCACTTTGTACTGCTAGGCGTTCAATTAATATTTAATTGGCAGTTCCCCGCCTTCCATCCCTGCCCTCACCCTTGTCTGACCGGAGAGATATGACTCCCGGGCTACCTTCCATGTGAAGAGTGAGCTTCAGCTTCAGCACTCAGTGCCAAATACCGTAGGTTATTGAAGATGATGCATGGCACTAGGCGCATTCAGACTTATTCCGTTTCCGAAATAATGCGAGAAACATCATGTGATTAGCATCATACTATGGTCCTTTCTGACCCAAGATATTACACATTGTCTTCTATAAAAATGATGATTGAAAGGACGCGACATATTTCTCATTGGCGGGGGGCTTTATCGGCAGGGAAATACTACAACATATGACAAGTATCTTCCGCAACATATGATTCAAGGGCAGCTTACCTTTGTCTGGCCCTTTGGGGAACCGGAAATGAAGCAACAAAGGTAGCCTTTGTTGCAAGATTTTCTCCGATATATTGTGCTCGACCCATGAGAAGTTTTCCCGTTGTTTTCTTGAACAAAAAAGGTTCGATTGCCCGGCCTTTGTGCTGTCCTTTCATCATCGCGTCAGCGAGCCAGCGACAGCGCCACAGCGCCAATCACAAAGAGTGATTGTAGTCTTATCGTATGTGACGTTCGAGAAATAGATTGTGATTGTTACAATATGATTAGTATGGGTGCAAGATACATATGATTAGTGTGGGTGCAAGATACAAAAAGAGGCGAGTACAAAAGTGAATACGTCAAACGGCGACGGTGAGGGGTGGTCTGTGTTCAAGAAAGCGTGCAATAAAATCATAGGGAGGAGGACTCGAGAGAATTGTGGAAACAGCGAATTGACCTAAGGCCTCGTTGGAGAGACTTCCATTGTTGGAAAGCTAGAGGTTGGTCGAAGTTTTCGACAGCATTCTCAATGTCATGTAACCGTTTCAGATACCATGCCTCTGTTCTGTCGCACCAATGCCCGTAATTCTCCCCGCAATCAGAACGTTCATATGCCCGGGCGAGGGGCCACCACGACTTGATAGCAGTATGGCCAGTTCCTGGAGGACAAAGTTAGTTTCCCTGAGGGTCTGAGTAACTGACACTTACCTGAATCGATGCACATGTACGCTCCGCATGTTATGGACTGTACGTGATACAAGCACGTGTCGTCCAGTACTCAGCGACTTTGTGGTCGATGAATCAACTCGTGAGTACGTCAAGAGTTCTTCGCCTGTAGCTTTGTGAACTTCGAGCTAGACTTTGAGTGATAACTAAAGATATTTGTATTCGCACTGAGACTTGTTATAGCGTTATGAACAATTAAGAACGAAGTGAGGAAGCTAACTAAGAGAACTAGAGAGTTTATATACTAGAAGACGTGTGTTAACCATGAGGCGTAGTCCTCATGGATAACATGCGTATTCCGCGGAATGTATGTAGGTTTTGGTGTGTTTTTAATGAGTATCAGTCAGCAGTCATCAATGCGCAGTAAATATGAGTAAGACGATGAGTTGAGATGAAAAACATAAGGTGGAAATGAGGTAGGTATAGTAATACAGTATAGTAAGCATACATGTTCGTAACATTACCCCCCTACTAGAGTTAAACTACTCCTGGAGTTTACCTTTGCCCTTGCATCGGCTAGCAAGGTGACCCGTCTTTCGGCAGAGGTTGCATGTCGGAATTCCAATTTGACGAAGGCGGGAGATAAAGTCGCGAACCCAAATTGGGTTTAGTTTAGAGCCTAAAGGTTGATTCCATGGTTGAGTAGGATCATCGACGTCGATGATCTCTTTCGGGGGAACAGATGGAGGCGTTGGTGTAGGAGGATACTGAAGCGGAGGAAGGTCGTTGGGGTCGAATGAAGTATCTCGTAGAGCTGCTCGGTATATGATGGTGGAGGATGGTCCGGGGGTCGGCATACGAGGTTAAGATGGTTGTTGCATAATAGGTGAAGGAATGTCGTCAGGGATAGGCATAGGAGGTGGAGGAGAATGTTGGGGAACGTGGTGATAGAGCTGGGGACCTGGAGCTTCAGGTTGGGGGTTTCGAAGCTCCAGTACGAGGTCGGTGATTTCGGGACGGTGTACGAGGTGTTCGTGAATCCCGAAGACGAACTGGTGGAGGGTGTTGACTATGCCCATAAGTTGGGCGATGATGAGGGCAATCATGTGCCCGATAGAGACGATGCGAGCGACGGGCTCAGCACCAGGGGTCTCGAGAAGTCTATTCTCGAGTCGGACGGCGTACTGGGCGTTGGTGACCATGAAAAGGGATTCCTCCTCGTTGAGAGGGGGAACGGGCATAGCAGGGGCGAAGTAGTTGTATCGAGGAGCAGACATGTTGTTAGGTGGAAGTGGCTCGTCGAATGAAGTTGGGGAGTCGTGTTGTTTTCTTCAATCGAGTCTTCCTTCCTTCTTTTAAGTCTAAGTTCTCGTGTTTTCTTGGTTGATGTCATGGGGCATGTGTTTGAGGGGTGTTCAAGATAACGCCTCCATGTTGTCTTTCATGTTCTAGAGATAAAGGGTGCATGTCGTCCTTGAGTTTTTCATGTTTCAGGTTTATGAGATGTGCATGTTGGGCATGTGGCTTCCTCATGTGAGCTTGTGTTTTCGTTTGTACGCCTTGAGGAGTTCCTTAGCATGGGAAAGTTCCTTTTCCTTTTTCCATTCTGCTTCGGAGAGAGGGTATCCTTTCCATGATACTAAGAATTGTCGTTGGTTCCTCACGACTCGATGTTTGAGGATTTTGTCAATTTCATATTCTTCTTCTCCATCAATTAATTCGGGAGAAGGGAGTGTGTAATTGGGTCCGTGTGTTTCTGTTTCGACATATGGGGAAAGTAGAGTTGCATGGAAAACGTCGTGGATCCTCCAAGTCGGGGGAAGGTTGAGGCGGAACGTGTTTGGTCCAAGGACTTCTGCGATTTCGAAGGGACCTTCTCGTTTTGTTGTCATTTTCTTGGAGTATGGGAGCTTGATATTTTTGGCTTCCAACCACACTCGATGACCTTTGCGGAAAGGTCTTGGTGTCCCCTTGATTCGTTGGGCCATTCTTGATCTGGCGAGCTCGTGTGCTGCCACGGCTTCTCTTCTATCTTCTTCCAGGGCTCTGAGTCGTTCTTCCACTGATGGGAATTGAGTTTTGGAGAACGTCGTTGGTAAGGCCTTGGGTTGGAACCCCATGATGAGTTCGAATGGAGAGTGTTTTCGATCTGCATGCCTTCGGCTGTTGTACGTGAATTCAGCGAGGGCTAGTTTGTCTGCCCACGATTCTTGGTTTGTGATGCAGTAGATCGATAAGTATGTCTCCAATTCTTGATGTACTCGTTCAATGGCTCCTTGTGTTTGTGGATGGTAAGCCGTGGATAGTGACGAGTCTATTCCAATGAGACGGAACAGCTCTCTGAGAGCTTTGGCTGCGAATTGGGGACCTCTATCAGAACCGATTTTGTCCGGTAATCCGAAGCGTTTGAAGAGATTTTCCATAAGAAGTTTTGCGATATCGTCAGCAGTTGCTGTCTTCTTTGTTGGAATGAAGATCACCCCCTTACTGAGGCCGTGGTCCACCACGGTCAGGACCGAATCGTATCCGTTTGATTCCGGAAGATCCGTGATCATGTCAATGACGACATAACCAAATGGTCGATCATTTCCTTCTATGGGCATGAGGGAGATCTTATGGGGATTCCTCTTGATTTTGAACTGCTGACATTTCGCACATCCCTGGATATATGATTTGATGAACATCTTCATTCCGGGCCAGTAATAATGATTTTTGATGGCATGGAATGTTTCCAACTCTCCAGGGTGTCCCGCAGTTTCAGCGTCGTGATATCGTTGGACAATCTCTCTTCGGATGTTATTGTTCTTCAGAATATATTGTCGGTTCTTGTAGAAGAGTGTGGTTTTTCCATCTTCGGTAATGACCGTCCAATCGTGGAGTCCTTGTTTCATTTCGTTTGATCCGCCTTCGACTAGGGTTTTCATGGCCTCAATCGCGGTTTGATCCATTCCTGTGGACTGATCAATTCGTTTTTGGAGTTCAAGGTCAATCAAACCTATGGAGGTATCCATGTCGAGTTCATCGATAAATAACTGTTCCTTCAATAAAATAGTTGGTAGGTCGTTTTCGTCTTTTTCCGGAATATGATCGGGTCTTCGAGAAAGAGCGTCAGCTTGAATCATCTTGTCGCCGGGCATATTTTTGAGATTATAATAGTATTCGGACAGTATCAGGGACCACCGGGCTTGTCGATCGTTGAGTTTTTGTGGTTGCCTGAAATAGGTTAAATTTTTGTGGTCGGAAAGGATGTGGGTGGCGAATTCTGATCCTTGGAGATAGTGTCTCCATTCTTGCAGGGATCGTACTATTGCAAGGAGTTCGCGATCATAGATCTCATATCGGCGTTCGGTGGGAGTGAAGGTTTTCGATAGGAAGGCTACCGGGTGTCTCTTGCCATTTTCGTCTTCCTGTGTGAGAACCGCTCCGTATGTGTACTTGGAAGCGTCGCACTCGATTTGGAATGGTCTGGTCATATCTGGCATTCTGAGGACGGGTTCTTCGGTGAATCGCTGTTTCAGGGTCTTGAATGCATTATCACATTCTTCGGTCCAAATGAACTCCTTTTCTTTGGTCAGGAGTTCATTCAGAGGTCTGGCGATCTCGGAATATTTCATGATGAACTTTCGGTAAAAGTTTCCGAATCCTAGGAAGGATCGTACTTGCTTCACTGTTGTGGGAGTGGGCCATTCGGCCAATCCCTTGACCTTTTCTGGGTCCATCATGATTTTGTCGTGTTCGATGATCATACCGAGGTATTCGATTCGCGTTTGGGCGAATTGACATTTTTCGACCTTGAGGAATAGATCATTATCCCTGAGTTTCTTGAGAACGATTTTAGTCATGTGCTCCAATTCTTCGGGGGTGTCTGCGGGGATTAATATATCATCCATGTAGATGATAACAAGCCTTCCTTCGATTTCTACGATGAAGATGTGGTCCATCATCCTTTGGAACGTTGCGGGCGAGTTACAGAGCCCAAAGAACATGACTAATGCTTCGAAGAGTCCCTTCTTGGTTTTGAATGCCGTTTTCCATTCATCTCCCTCTTTGATGCGCACGTTGTTATACCCCCATCGGACGTCGAGTTTAGTGAAGTATCGTTTTCCTTTCACTCGGTCCATAATGTCCGAAATTAGGGGTAGTGGATAGGCGTCCTTTATCGTCCATTCATTGAGGTATCTGTAATCTTGGCATGGGCGTTTCTTTCCGTCTTTCTTTGGCACGAAGAACATGGGTGATGCCATTGGTGATTTTGAATGACGGATGTACCCTTTCGCTAGATTTTCGTCAATGAACTTCGTGAGTTCCTCTTCCTCGGCAGGTGTGAGGTTATAGATGGGAAATGATCTGGGTTTGAAGCCTTCCTTGAGATTGATTGCGTGATCCCACTCTTTCCTTTCCGGGAACCGGTTTGATGCTTTTTCCGAAAAGACACTTAGGAATTCATGAAAAGCATGGGGAACTTTGAGTTTGAGGTCCTCTTCAAGAGGTGGTTCATAATCGGAGTCTCTTTCTTCGGTGCTGGTCATATTGAGCCATTTCTCATTGATTTCTTCTGTAGCTTTTCCCTCTATGAAGGCGAGGAGAAGATCTTGATCACCTTGTTCCATGGTCGGGGAGATGGCGTTTCTCCATTTGACCTCTCCTCGCTTCCAATTGATGTCAGGATTCTCGCTCTGTAACCAGGGCATCCCGAAGATGAAGTCCCATTTTCCTAACCCTGTGACGTAAATAGTGTATTTTTGTAGTCGTCCATTAATGTTGATGGTGGGTTCGACCGTTTGTGAGATGGTCCCTTGTTTGTTTGCAGTTCCATCTACGTTTCGGACTTTGATGGGGTTTTTAAGTGTTTTTGTAGGGATTTTATATTTGTCAACCATCCGGTGGTGGATAAATAGGTCATCCGCTCCGCTGTCGATCAGGACCGTTGTGTCGATGCCACTATCGGGTATTTCAATTGGTAAGACGATCGATCGTTTGTTTCGGGTGGTGATCGTCGCCGTTCCAATCGACAGTTCGGGGACGATCTCCATCGACCTTAAGATGTCCCCTATGAAAAATCCTCCTCGGATCCTTCGCCCTTTGTTGTGGCCCGAATATTTGAGCTTCCCGAGTCAGGGTGTTTGGGGCAAGCTCGTGTCGTGTGTCCTAGTTGTCGACATATTCCGCATTTGGCTTTTGGACAGGCTCGCGCCGGATGTCCCTTTTCCTTGCAGATGAAGCATTTTCCATTCTGTGTGCCGGATGATTGTTTTGTTTGGATGGCGTCAACATCCATGGCGTCCGGATCCTTTTCCTCCCTCTTTGCTGTTTGTGGGGGGTCCCGGTAGACCACTTTGACCTTCTGTTGTGGCTCGCTGCGATATTCTCGCTCCGTTCGCCATTCTCTATCTACTTCCATGGCGGCGTCCTTCCATTCTTGGAGAGTGGGTGGAATTTTCTTTTGTTCCGCGGGTCTGGCAGCAAATTGGGTGGCGACTCTTAGTCGGAGCTCGGGATTTAGTCCAGCCTTGTATTGGTCTAGGGCCCATTCTTCACCGTATCCGGTGGCTTCTGCATAGCTGTTGAACATTCCCGTGTACCAGTCACAGGTGTTCTTTCCCATATGGAGTTGCTTGAGCTGTTTCTTTGCAGTTTCCTTATTTGGGAGTAGGCAGAAATACTTTCGGAACTGATCGATGAAGTCATTCCATGACTGGTAGTATCCTTCCGGATCAGTGAAGGTTGGATCCGACTTCTGAGCTTCCTTCGCCTCAAGCCACTTCTTCTTATATTCGGTCATCTTTCTATACTCGATGGACGCCCAGTTCCGGGTCTTGTCTTTCTCCGTTTCGTTCACAAGTGCAACCATGTATCG